TTGTCACGGGTTGGATGCAATGAGTCAAAGCAAGAACCTGATTGTATTACAAGAAGAATTAACTAAAGAGAGAAGAGTTCCTTCTCGTACGAAAGCTCCTTAGAAAAAGGGGCTTTCGTAGGTTCGTAGAATGGCCCGCGCGCTTTGGCGTCGCACGGTCACATGCGGTCTCGCGTAGTCACGTGTAGGCTGCACTACGTAGTAGTGCAGCCAAATATCGGGTTCAACCCGTCACACTAATAAGTTTAGGCATTATATATAGCACAAAGTTAACCCTGTAGTTTTAGAAATTCAAGTTAATTATCACACGCGAATAACAACACTGGGAGTGGAAATCAGAAACCTAAGCTGGAAGTTCTGGGCGACATTCTCTCAATTTTGCCAGCCAGGCCGCGGACTGCTCAACGTCATTGATATACAGAATCTCATCGTAGTCCATTTTGTCGCGTCGCGTGTCGGACTTGGGATTTAATATTTTGAATTCGAGAGGAAACCTGCACACAGCGGTAAGGAGTGATGATGAAGTATATTTCCGTCCAGCTCTAAGCCTAAAGGGCACTAGTTCCAGATGTCACATGATTTACTTCCTTCGATCCTACCATGAGCGGATCACGTGTAGAGCCTTCCCCGAAACGGTAAGCGTTCGGGTACCTCCGCCGTACTTTCGGGTTGGTATCTTTATCCGGCATAGCGCCAAATGACGTCCCGAAGCACAGGCTCCCTTAACTTTTTCTCCTCTTCATCCACAAGTCGGGTATTCCCAGCACCGACGCTGACCCAACCCAACTCGACTTCGACTCTTTTCTGATGGGCTCACATGTGAGTGGTCCGGGGGAGGGACGCTGTATCCACGAAATGACAAAGATAGTAATGGTTGCCGCTGGGATATTTTAGCGCAGTTGTCCCCATCACCCTCATCCTATCCTGTCCTGTCCTGCATCGCCACATCCTTCCGTCCACCTTCAACCGTTTCAGACCAAGCGGCAACATAAATTCATCTCTTACCCCTCCTCTCTCCAGTCAATATGGCCCCTCGTCAAGCAAAACCAAACACCCGAAAAGTTAGGCGGCAACCCTCGCTGCCAAAAGATCAAGGTAGGCAATTCATCCCCGTGCTGCATACTTTCACTGATCATTGATAGGGAAGCGGCCTCAAGGTATTAAAAAGAAACGACCACAGCTATTTTCTCGTAAGAGCGCACGCCTAGAAAACATAGAACGCCGCCAGGATCGAACCAAGGACACGAGAACCGAACCAAAGCATCTCCCCTCCCAGCCAGCAACACTCCCGGGAATGAGGCATGTCACTCTTCTCCTGCTATGCTATACAGCTAACTCAAGGTTTTTCCACAGAACTTGTCGGCACCTCTAAAAGCCGAGGATCGAAAACGCAGACGACCGCAAAAATCCGAAAATCCACCTAAAAGCGCTCTACTTTAACCTGCTCGAAAGCGACTACGAACATCTATTACAAGCTCGGTTGTTGGGGATACACTTAGCCAAGAGTCGGCGATTGGCGGCACCGAGAATAATCCAATTAATTACTGGAGAAGAACAAGACGCTGGCCCAAGGAATATTTCATACAAGACGATTAGGCTAGGAAAGATTTCAACAAAGATTTCGAAGAAGACAGCTGGTACGAGAAATATTGGGTGCCAGAGACGAACATGAATCACCTACTTGCAAGGCGGAAGTCATCATCTTCTCTTCGCGGTAAACAATCGGAAGCCAGCTCTGCCGCGCCCAGCTCTACTACACCTAGCGATCAAAAGCCGAGGGAAGCCAAAAGTACCCCTTACCAAGATGCACGTTATAAAACTATACTTGCTACCAAAGACAGCTTTATAGACGAGTCCGATTTAGGGATCACAGACAAAAGCAAAAACAATCTTCAAACCCTCCTTAGCGCGGAGTAACAAGTTCCTCATAACTCGTTATTCCGCGACGACCTTTTCAAATTAACTTGTCGGAAGATACAAGACAGAAACGAGACCAGAGTCATCCGGGATATCTCGCTATTGATAGTTCCTTCTGCGAAAACACTAGCTACATGTGGCGCCACCAACCTTCAGTGCTTGATCGAGAGTACTAATGAGGGCTAGAACAATTCCATCCCCATAACCAAGACTCGTCCGCAACCAGACTATTCTGTAGGATTCAGGCGAGAAGCGTTCACAGAAGATCAGCTTAAAAGGCTTGGGCTTTTCGTTGGCGACCTTACAGACACGTCTTTCTTCATGGCCACGTACTACATGTACTTCCCGTTTTTGACGTGCGAAGTAAAGTGCGGCGCTACAGCTCTTGATATTGCAGACCGACAGAATGCTTATAGCATGACAATAGCGGTAAGGGGGATTGTGGAACTTTTTAGGCTTGTAAAGCGCGAGAATAAGCTCCACCGGGAAATCCTGGCCTTCTCACTCTCTCACGATCATCGGACAGTAAAAATCTACGGCCATTACCCTATTATTAACAGAAGCAAAACCACTTTCTACCGCCATGTCACGGGTTGGATGCAATGAGTCAAAGCAAGAACCTGATTGTATTACAAGAAGAATTAACTAAAGAGAGAAGAGTTCTATTTTGTACGAGGAGCTCTTTTAAAAGGGGCTCTCGCTGGTTCGTAGAATGGCCCGCGCGCTTTAGCGTCGCGCAGTCATGTGCAGGCCCGCGTAGTCACGTGCAGGCTGCACTACGTAGTAGTGCAGCCAAATATCGGGTTCAACCCGTCACACGCCATCCTATCTATACATTCGATTTTACGGCATTAGATAGCAAGGAAAAATAGACGGCATACAAGTTCACCAAAAGTGTCTACGATATATAGATACCAGCTCACTTCAAAAAAATCTATTCGGTTATCGATAAGTTACCGCCCGATTTAAAGTCTCGCAACAATCCGAGCCAAAGAAATCCGGACTTTCGCAAGAGTTGGAAAGCCATCATCTCTCTAACCAATCAAGTCAGGATACCGCGTCTCTAGAGGAAGCTGGCAGTCAATCAAGCCGTGTTAGTTCGCGAGACGTTACCCCAGATACTTCACTATCTCAGAAGATTGAGGAAAAAGCATTTAAAAAGCCAAGGAAAAGGGGTCGACCTATAGAATTACATCAGTGAATAGCTTCACCAATTACAAGTCAGTATTTTCAAGCGTATTGTTTGCTACCGAAGGGTACACACGAATGAGAGACCATATTCTTGTCCTGATTGTGGCAAGAGCTTCGTCCAGAGCAGCGCTCTCTACGCTCACATGCGATCAATTCATCATCTAACAAACACAATAGACGTCATGGGGGTAGTCAAAAACAAGCAAGCTGCACGCCCATTCCAGTGTGACTGGCCAACCTGCTCCAAGGTATGTATACTCGGTGATCGAGACGTAGGAACTACTCTAATTGAGAATTATAGAAATTTAGATGGAATTGTGACCGCAGGAGTTAGGCAAGACCTTGGGGAATCCAGTCAGGTACACTACACCAACTTGTTTTCGATAAAGACAATCCACCTCTTATCCTTCTTCTGATGTCAACCTCTTCATTTTCCTGGTGACATTTGATTCCCATCCTCCTCGCCTTGAACACCGCCTCCCTCGACCGTACCGTGATCCCGCGTTGGGACTAGCCGATAAAAGTATGAGGTCCTCATCAGATATTCGTCCAGCAGAAGCCTAGGGACGGACTTGCAATAGCGGGTTCGAACACATGTAGTGGGAATGCTGGATCCTGTTTTCAAATAACTGCCTGGCCCACGTTGTACCGTCATCCGCTGCAGCCTCTGTTTAGCCTAGTCATCTGTCGAGACTGGCGGCTGCCTAACCATCGATGTTCTCTGGATGATCGAATGTCCATTGACACCGTCGTCACTCTACCTCCTCAATCTCCCAGTCTCGTAGGCATATGCAGCATGATTCTGCTGCCAAACCGCCGCGGCGTTCCTCCGGTGTAGAACTCTATCACATAATGTCGTGATATTCTCGCGACAGGCTCGGCGCAATCGACGTGAACGCGAGAGTTGAGCAAAGCTTTGGCTCGTGGTTAGTCACTTTTCCCGCGGAGATGAAAGCCGCAGACAGGGGTATCAGATGGAATGTGCGCATGTCATGGGAACAACAATATGGGCAGAAAGAGTAGTATTGATAAGTCTGAAGGAGAAGAATCTAAGTGAGGGTACAGGAGTGAGGATTATATAGGCATGAAGAGTTTTTAGCACTAAGAGCCCCTGAGCTAGTCCTAAACCAGCGAATAAGAGTGGATACAACCGAATTCCAACTGACAAGGGGATACATACACCAACAAAGTCATCACGGGACAGATCGACCCTGCCATTGCAAGCAGGATACACTTCAAGATCAAGTATAATAATCTAGGCCTCGACCAGAGAACGAGGGCAGTGTGGACGAGAGCTCGCTGGGTGAGCTATTCACTGAACTCCCCGCGCATTGCGTCATCCTTCTTGAAGATATTGATGCCGTGGATGCAACACAATCTCGACAGCGCGGAACGGTGAAGACTGATCAAGATGAGACAAGCTCTTCAACAAAGGGAAAGTCGCAAGGAAGGGTGTCTCTATCGGCCCTTCTAAACGTTCTCGATGGTGTTAGTTCGTAGGAAGGACGGGTACTGATTATGACGACGAACCACGCGGAGCGTCTCGACGCTACGCTGATTCGACCAAGTCGAGTGGATATGAAGCTAGAGCTTTGGTACACTAACCTGGACATTAACGCTCGACTCTTTTGCGCCCTATTTATGCGCGACGATACCTTACCAAACAAGAGCGGGCGAGGAGATGAAGACACGCTCAAGAAGCTAATAACAAAGTTTGCAATCAAGGTACTGGAGCAGGAGTTTAGCCCGGCGGAAATCTAGTCGTTTTTGCTGGAATATAGGCGTTCGCCTCACATAGCAGTGGAAAATGTGCAGGAATAGGTAGTTAGAACCAGGAAGGGGAAAAGCCAAACGAAGAGAGCATATTCTTGGGTGCTTCACGGTGGTGACGTTTTTTGCTTGATTTGGGCTGGGTTGGGTTGTGGCTGACATTTACCGCTGACCACCATACCTTGGCATGGTGGCACTTCCCCGAGCCCAAAAGACCAGAGAGAAAGCAGATGGGGTGTTATGTATCCGAATAATAGAACCGAATAATAGAACCGAGACACGTGGCTGCAAGCTCGATGTTTGCATGTCGGTGGCTTTCGTCGTGGAGGAGGCTGGTCGTGAAGCAGCACGGCGACATGTTTAGAGCGGCTCGGCTCGGCTCCCAATGAACAGTTCCAGGCACGCCTCAACTTCGCACAGCGAGATTCTTCATTGTCGAAAACCAACACAAATCAAGCTGGAGCCCCAAGACGGGGTTTTGCGTCCCTGCCAGGCCACCATACGACGTCTGGATGACTAGGCTGAAACTCGTCATTTCCAGACTCTCAAGCCCAGCGTCTCTTCTGCTGAATCTCCGGACAATCAGAGTCGGGAATTGGCATTTGAGTCAGGCTTGCAATACATCTATCAGGTAACATCGCAGCTTCTTCCGAGCCTTGATATCATCTTTACTGTGGTTTACTGAGATTCGAGCAGCACCTAGCACGCCTTTGCTATAAATCACTCGCCTATGGCTCCAACCCCCTCTCCTCAACAACGCTTTTGGGACCACCTCGACCATCCTCGTACCTCTCTCCAACTGCCTTACCTTTTCGCAACTGCCCGCATCATACCTACGACGACCTGACCATGTCCTGGCGTGGCAACGAGGCAGGTCACTAAGAAGAGAGGATCATGGAAGCAACGATGTGGGGAGGTGCGATCACCCGCCCGCAATTACAGCAAACGATTAGCCATCTCCGAAAGCTAGATGAGCTCCCTGAGGTGCCAAGCGAGAACATTGCCGTCCCTGAGGTAGACCGAACGCGCCATTTGAGCATCTCGCGAGAGAAGGAGATTGCGAGCAACCTGGCATTTCTATCAGCCACTTCAGATGAAAGCCTGAAGGTCATGGCTGTCTGCGTTGAAGGACACTGCAACGGGAAGGAATCACGATTCGGATAGCATCTCGGAGGTGATGCGAGAGTTCATAATGCTTGCGAAAATCTTGAAGCAAGCTACGCGGCGAGGGTGAATATCCCCACCAAGTTCCGGAATCTAACTGATTTGCCTTTTAGAGAATTCGAAAGCCGACGACACCGAGGCTCTTTTTCGACAGGTCGTTGTCCTAGACCTATATCGGATCCTTTCACGACTACGATCACGGCATGGAGAGACCTGGAAGACTACTGGAAGACTAGGCCTTATTACTCAACTGCACGAGGCGATCAACGACAAGTCCGTCAAGGCCAGATCAGGGCTGACAAAGAGCAGTTTGAAGGCTGGCAGAGATAGAGCACGAGCTCTGCACGTCCTATTCACCAAGCTAGAAGGCATGTCGGACCTCCACGCGGAGACAGTCGAAGCACACGAGGTGGTTGGGGGATCTTATTTGTGCTGCGAGGGACAGGACGTGCCGCGTGTTTCAGAACGTTCAGGTGGAGCCCTTCCAGATCCAGATGCCCACCTCTCTCCAAGAATCACCCTGGAAGGTTCACGCTGGGATACAGCTCCTCTTCTTTTATGAGCTTCATCCACGCTATCCGCGACCGAGATTCATTTGCTCTAGCAAGAGTGCTTGCTACCTGTGCAATCTCTTCTTCTTCCTCCCCGGCGGCTTCCACGTGCCTCGAACACACGGCAGGCTCTACGACAAATGGACCCTACCAGACTGGTTAGACGTTCCGGTGGAGCGTCACGGGGAGCTTAGTCGCATTGCAACCCGGTTGAAAGCAACCTTAGACAGCCAGGTCCGAAGGGCTTCGAAGTCAAAGAAGAAGCTGTATCACTTTCCAAATGAGAGTGTTGTGCTACCACTTGCGCACTGGCCTTCATCGTCCCTTTCTAGGAATCTGTCAACCCAGGCTTCGACGTCTACAGTTCGGCCACGACCCTCTCCGAGTGCCTCGCTGTGCACTGAGATACCTTTAACTTCGCCGAGAACGCCCCCGGAGCCACTTCACACTGGCAATAGCGACACAGAGATGAGGGTAGCTTTAGCCGAGGCCGCACTCGCTGAAAATACCACAGGTCATATATCAACTCCAAACGACGTATCTCCGATCACGGTTAGACATAAGGAGCTCCCCTATGGCCAGTTGATCACGTTAACAACGCCGTCGCTGCATTATTTTAGACGTGGCTGGAAAGCTGACGCGGCTCTGATTGTCCGACTAAGCCTTTTGGGTTAGATCGACAATCTCTCGACCTTCCCAACGTCATATCACCATTCTACCCAACGTCGACTGTTCCTTCTCGTGTCAAAAACCACCGAACATAACGAGTGAATCTATGCACACCGGATTTGCTCAGAGCGAGAGCCAAATTGAACGCGTAATCGTCCGAGATAAGGCAGAGGCCGAGCCTGATCTGCAATCGCCATCCTTCAAAATCTGAGTCGATGGCTTGACTCACACTGGGTCCTGAATCGTATACCTGGGAACAAGAAAGGTGGGGTAGCCAGATTTTGACACCCCAATTCTAAAAATAGGCTGAGCTCTCTCCTACAGTCAGCAAGCTCTCCTCGGCGTTTCAGCCGGCATCCCCGTTCGCCGGTGAAAGAGCTTCTAGTTCCCGAACGACGCCAAGTTCTTCCCTATCTCAGAGTCCGTCCTTCTCAATCACTTAGCAACATCAGTAGTAGCGATGCCATCACTGGTCGCAGCAATGAACCAAGCCATCAACTCCAGAATAAGGCAGACTAGCGAAGGAGAACATACTTATAGGTACGTACTCACTTTGATGCATATGTTCTCACAGTTAGCCCAGCCAATACATAGTAGAATGCTGATTTAGATACGTAGGATGAGTGAGAAAGCCGAGAACGACTTGAGTCAACGCGAACGAATCTACGACTAATCCTCGACAAAAATGACGGCTACGAAGAGCGGGGGGAAGTGAAGCACGGAGGAACACATTTCTATTATAGATGTTTTGCAGGTCCTCTAGCTTTCTCTACGGATTGCTTTGGAAGTAAATTGAAATGTCCGATGGTCCACTCCCGCAAGCATTGATGGATGGCATGATCCTAAAGCCAGATCAATCACAGAAAGGCGGCGAGTGTAAGTGCTGCTTTGCACCTATTCGATTTTCCCCTCTCAAATTTGTTGACGTCGCAGACTAGGGCTCGCGATCTAGATTCAAGACTTGACTCAAAAACATAGCTTAATTTCGACTGATGACTGACTGACTGACTGATTTACCAGCCTGCTGTAACGTGAGCTTCCACCTTCGTCGCTCATGGCGTATGTTTGTCGAAGACTACCGTTTCAAATAAATAATACGTCATCTCTCTTGCAGAGCGGCTGGGTTGGGCTGGGTTACAGAGTCAAAGACCTGCCTCTGCGATAGCCTCCCCGTTTCCATTACCTTGTTAATATTATTGCAGTGTCAGAGGTGTTGTCTTGCCACTTCTATCACCATATCCGAGCTGTCACATCGTCAGTTATGCTACAATATTAGAGTTGTCATTTCGTCAGTTCTGCCATCTCGTCATGGCTGTCGCTGTGTCATTTTGTCAGGGCCGCTGTCTCATTAGTTCTATCACCACGTCAGGACTATCCGTCTCTTTCCACTGCCCACCTTGCAATTTGCTCTACTACAAAAGAGGCCAGCGTGAGAATACATCAGAGAATCAGGGCTCTGAGACTTAGCTAGATCATATCAACTATTACGGTCTTGTTTTCTATCTTACAAAGCTATAAATTATCTATCTACTGGCAAATAACCTACCTATTCAATCAATCTCTTCAACCGTTTCTCCATTCGACCCCATTTTTCTTTAAAGTGGAAACGAGAAGAGAAGGTTTTGTTTAAGCGATGGGAGGGATTGAAGAGAAAAGTGAGAAAAGGATGAAAAAAGGATGAGAAGAGGGTGAGAAGATAGGAGGGAGGATGGGTGAGAGGATGGGTGAGAAGATGTGTGAGAAGATGTGTGAGAAGATGTGTGAGAAAATGTGTGAGGAGGTGTGAGGAGATGTGTGAGAGGATGGGAGAGAAGATGGGAGAGAAAAGATTGGAAGGCAAGAGGGAGATAGCTATTTATAGAGTAAGAAGCCCCGGGCAAACCGCAGAGAACGACGTCAAACACACTGAAGTAAGAGGCAAGAAAATGTCCCTGCATGGAAGACGGGCAGACGGGGATAACTGTCTGGGAATGAGTCCTGGCTGGCATAAGTTGTGAAAGTGCAGTGGGAACAGATTTGGGATCCCTGGCTGGGAAAGGGGGCATTTTCGGGCCCCTTGTTAAAAGTTGATGATGTTTGGTGAGATGGGTGAGCAGACCTGAGCAGACCTGAGCCGAAGGTGAGCCGGGCCTGAGCCAGCCTGAACAAAGGCGGCGCGAGATCACTTGAACCTGATGGTTGGGAGGTGTCGAGATTCCGGTCAGGAAATAGTGATTTTAGCTGTGTATTCCGGATGATGGCTCAATTCCATCCTTGCCAACTTGAAGACACCATAACGTCGGTGGGTGCTATTCCAATAATGCCACAATCAACAAATTCTGAGCTAGATATAAGCCTAGTACCCTCGCAGTAGCCGTAAAGAGATTGCCCATCCAGTCGCGGAAATGCTTTGAAGCAGAACGAGCGGCATTTAAACACATCAAGGCACATGATCTAGGAAGATTCAATATCGCAACACTCCTCACAGATCCCCTCACCACCCCTAAATCACATTACTTCATCCTCCCTTTAGCTGACGGCGACATGGAGCGCTCAATGCAAGTCCCCGATTTCTCCGACTACAGCAATTCCATACACGCACGAATGGCACCGCTCGTAGAAGGTCTCGCAACTTTACATGAGACAGGAATCGCACACTGCGATCTCAAACACAAAAACATCCTCATTTACAAGACTTCCGAGCATGACCTAACGCTGAAGATTGCCGACTTCGGACACTCCTTGCCAATCTTGCCTGACACGCACCCAGCAAAGGGTCACTTCTGTCCATCAACCTTCTCGGCGCCAGAAACCTGGTGAGACGAAACGGGCCTAACATTGGAGCCTATCGATATGTGGGCTCTAGGTTGCATGTATATGGAGATGGTGGCATTTGTTCAGGCTGGCTCTACAGGATTTGCCGAATGCGGAAGATTCGCATGAAGAATGTCTCTCCCACTTCTCCAGCGCACAATACTTTTCACGATACTCGAACTCTGAGAGACTCTCTACAAGCTTGGTTGAACGATCTGCACGATGATCCTATGTACAGGAAGCTGGCGGTTTGCATTCAAAGCATGGTCCAACCCAAGCAACAAGATAGACCTACTGCAAGAGAGGTTTTTGAAGGTTTATGATCTCGCGTACTTGGCCTGACTTGCTTGTTCGTTTTGCCTATTCATATAAGCTTTGTATTTTGATTGGATTATATGCTTGTCTTGATCTTTATGGAGAAGAACGGAGACGGATGTCAAGTGTCTGAGGCGAGAAAGATATTGTTCGCATCGCTAAGCGAAAGCCTCATTTCAGCGGGTCGTAAAACAGGACTAAAAACCAGAAGACAGGCTTTCTATCGCTAAATTTTCAGGCTATGCCGCATTGCAAGCCAGCGCCCTTCTACAACTAAGGCTCGGATTTGTATTTGACAATATCACGCTGTGACATTGAAATGTACAAAGTTCCCGGACACGAATATGGCTTGAAGAAAGATCTAAGTAGACAACAAATGAATTTTCAGAACATATAGGTGCTCACTCGAGCAAGATCTTGGGAGCAATATCTCGTGCGAAGAAAGTAGTGGTCAAAGCAATACTCATTAGATAATCTAGAAGGTTTTCGTTGGTGCTCCTGTAACATTAATCATACTCCACAGACACATCCTTCCCCGTTCAACTTATTGCCATAAGAAGAGCCAATTCCAACTCGTCACTTGGCAATCGTCTACTACCAGACACCCCATGATCTAGATAAACACCCTCTCAACATCAACCCCAACACAACTCGCATTATCCGGCTCACCCTCCCCATAAACCAAGTCAAAATGGCATACGTATACGAATAATCCACCGTACAGACATACCAGCTATACCCCGGCTCCGTCGTCGTATCATCCAAGATATACAACAAGTTGCTCTGATCGAAGCCCACCAGCGTCCCCGTGGTCGACGGCTCAAAGAACGCATTCTCGACATTGGTATCAGAAATGTTCTGCAGCGCCATTGGAGAGCTGAGGTTGAAGGACCCGGCCTGGAGCTCCCAGGTGAGGAGACCTTGGTAGCCGAGAACTGGGTCGGGGGTGGAGAGCGAAGAGTAGTTGAAGTTGTATGGCGATACGGGCTCTACTGGGTTGAAGTCTGTGGTGACGCAGAGACCTTCGATAGCGGCTCCTTCGTGGCAGGAGAAGAGGGCTGCACCATCGAGGGAAGTTGATGCGGAGTGGAGGACGAGATTGAAAGGTGCGGATTGGTCGGCATAGTATGGAGTTTGCGCAACGACGAGGGGAGCCATGACTGCTAGGGAACTGAAGATGATTGCTGCACGCATCTTGGCGATGAAATTAGAAATATGTGTCTTGTTGATGAGAAGATAGTAGTTATGAATTGGTGAACAAAATGGGAAATACTCCAGTTTTTATATCCTTCTTAGCTTCAGACAAGCAGTTATTTTTATGCTCAGTGAGAAAATGCAAGCAACCATGAGGCGGTCAATACGACGATGAGACTATTCGATCTCTTATCAATCTAGTAAATTCGAGATAAATATATGATCACGATGACTGAATCTCCACTTGGGGTCCTCGTCGCTCGAATTATGTAGGTGAGTGGCGATGTCTAGCGAGTCGTTACGAGGCGCATTACAGTTCCACCTGACCACCCAAATAATCTGTAAACTTTAATTGAGAGAAGCTTTTTCTGGGAGATCTTGGTATATTTCTCCTACCTTAATCAGCACATATATCATGCTGACTGATTCTTGCGTTTTTGTTGGGTGGTCATGTCTTGTCCGAATTTGAGAGGTCCAGAAGGCAAGTGCGGTGCGATGAAGAAAGCTTAATGCGAAGACTGATTGCCAAGAGAAACATCCTTGATAGTTCTAGATGGAATTTCTGACAGGAGAAGTGTTGCATGCAATTCAATAATTGATTGCACCTGCAGGAGTTGAACACGAAGAAGGACCCAGTCACCATGTCGCGCTTGGGTGAGAGGTGGGGAAACATGACAAGGTCCTTTAGTAGCACGACTCGCAGAACATAGAAACGCTAAACCCATTAAACTAGGGACAGAGAATAGTTTTATCTCAAAGTTATAGATCTATTTCGGAATTCGATGCTGTCATGGGGTGATACTCTTTCAAAGAAAAGTCCTTCCACTGCGGGATCTTCCTTGAGAGAATATTCACGATGCTTGTGACAAGCTATAAATGCAATTTGAGTCAGATCTTGGTTTGAAGTCAAGGCCACAGTAAGATATTCGTCCTCACTTCTGTGCTTATCACCGAGGAAGGTAGACCGCCTAGGACGTACACGAACAATGCCCTCCAGGATCAACCTGAATATCTAGACAACGTTGTTATAAATTGTCCTTTCTTGAAATAGAGAAATTACAGTAAAAAAGAAGCAACAAACAAATCTCAACAGAACGTACAATGGAATCCACACTTGTGGAGCTTTCCAAAACAAAGAATCCAGGGAAACGTTCAGTTGAGACACGGAAAGCATCACAATCATTGGGAGCTCAAGCGTGTCTGGTCATCACTTCTTCATTCTTTCTCACAGAATTGTACTAGGCCGGAGTGTGAGAAGGCTCCCCCTTCTCACACTCTGCCTATTCCTCCTCAGACTCTTCGGACTCCTCTGCTTCCACCGACAAACTCTTCTCTACTTCTGCTTCGATGTCTGCCGCTAATTCAGCTTCTAGCTCTACTGCGATGTCCGCCGCCTCCCTCGCCTCCCTCTCCTCCACTTTCTTCCAGTACGCTGCAACCGCAGCCGCGTCCTCCTTCCGCTTTTTCTTCTCGTTCTTCTTCCCCTTTCCAATCTCCTTCTTCTTGCCCGTAGCCTTCGCTTTTCCCTTCTCCGTCGCCTTTTCAACCACCGGCACCTCCTCCTCCGTCAAATCCACCACGACGTTGTCCTTGACCGGCTCCGAAGCCGTCATCCAGGGGCGTTGGACCGACATACCAAAGGTATGACGGATATACCCCTGGCTCTGACGGACTTCGAAGCCAGTCAAGGGCAAGTCGGCCCTCTTCACCTGCTTGGTTGGAGGTTCGTCCTTCTTCTGGACTTCTGTGCTCTTCCGCTTCTTGGTCGGTGCGGCGGCGGGAGGAGGTGGGACGGAGGAGGTTGGTACCAGCGGCTGAGATTGTACTGCAGCGAGAGGTTGCACGACAGGGATAGTTTGTCCGGCAGGAAGGTGGTACGTAGACGGTAGGGGTTGTACGACTGGTAATGGGTACGCAGCAGGCATCGGATGGGAAATTGGTTGCTGAGGATAGCACGTGACCGACATAGGTTGCGGCGAAACGCGAACCACGTGATTCTTGGCGAAATTGGCTCTGGTGACATAGATCCTGAGATCCTTGCGGACTTTACGGTGGCATTTCGAGCAGTTTTGACGGATAGGATTTGGTAAGCCTGGGGCATTTGCTCGGGAGGTAAGGGTGTTGAACTTGAGACATTTGTGTTCAGGATCGGCAGAATTCTGATGTTGGAGGCCACAGAACCATCCTAGAGTTCCATCACGTCCTTCGGTGAACTCTGCACCATCGTTATCAGATGGAGGTGAGACAAGTCTTTCAGCTGATGTGCGATTAGAAGGAGGCGTAGTCGGAAGACGGTTGGAAGCGCGCTGCTGATGCTGAAGTCGTTCGTTCATGGCTCGGAGTTCATCGTTCTCCTTCTTGAGACGTGCTAGCTCTGTTTCGTGACGAGTGACAGATGCCGAAGTCTTTAAATTCTCCTCGCCAAGCTTCTCGCAATGCTTCTCGAGAATGGCATATCGGGATTGGTGGTGCATATTCATGTTCTGAAAGTCCACGTCAAAATCTCCAATTGCCTTTTCCAGCTGATCGTAAAGCTTTGTAGTATCTTCGAAGAGTTCGTTTCTGATGGTCTGAACGAGATTCTTCATATTCGTAGCGAGAGCGTGGCATTCTTCGGAGGTCTTGGGATTGAAGTTGACATAACGGTGACCACCAGCCGAACTTGCGACTGGGACGAGGACACAATCCTTGAGGAGAGGCGCAATCAATCTGAGTTGCTCTGCGAGGTCTGTGTCTTCAATGGAAGCACGATCACCTGTGGCTTTGAGTACTGATAAAGGAGTTAGCATTAACTCTTCGTGTTTGGGGTTGGTGTTGAAAGTGAACTTACCTTGACTTTCGAAATATTGCTTGAGATAGTTGTACAAGGCCACAGAGATAGAAGTCGTGAACATGGGGTTGGATTGGAATTGAGTGAGAAGTAAGGTGATGCTGGAGCAAAGCGTAGGATCAAATTGACCTGCATCGGCAGCATTGGGCAGTGAGGAGAGAGTTTTTGAGATGAAATCCGAAAGAGCGGGTAGCAACAAACGTTGTGAACCGTATTCAGCCATTTTGATAATTGGAGCTGATGCCGTTGAATGCTGATGCTGCGATTGCGATGTTGTTTCTCGAGGTGCGTTGTGTCGATGGTTCTGGTGATGGTGGGCTTCGGTCGCTCGTGGTTGAGAATTTTCGGCTGTAGATTCACTCTGCCCAGCCCTCACACGAACACGCGACTGCTGCAGCATCTCACCTTCGCCGATTTTCCGATTCTCATCGCTCTGGATTTTTTTCAGCCAATGTGGCAGCCGTGGCAGCTTTGGTGTTTGGATGCGGCGTGATCGGCTGGGAGCAGCAATCGGAGTCTCATGCTGATTTACCACTGGAACATCGGCCTCGATAGATGGAATTGGTATATCTGGGTCTACTGGCGTTATGATTGGGAGAGGAGACTCTCTGCCTTTTGCTTCATCGCTCCCTTTCTCCTTCGAGGTTGTAGACTCTGGCTGATCATTCTCGCAATAGATACCTGCATCGCGTCCATCATGGGCCTCATAGTTAATACCAGTGAAATCATCTTCTGCATCTTGCCGATCCACTGCAGGTTGGCTGACCACAGTCGATGCTGTAGCCGCCGAATGAGCATCTATACTTCTTTGGACTTCGTGGACAGGTTCAGTTTGTGGTAGAATTTCCTCAATGAGTTGCGAATGGCGAGAGACCTGCTCATTTATGCATGATTCTGCAATACTTATACCGTATCCAGAATCACTTGGGCTGTGAGCAGGCACAATTGCCGGAGCCCATGCGTGGTTTGCGAAGAAACCTTTTGGATGGAGCTGTATCGAAGCTTTAGCATTGCAACAAATGGAGACTGGTGGACGTACCGTATCAGCGACTCTCGAGGATGCAGCTCTTGCCTCTCGAAGAGTAGGAGACGATGTCTTTCTTCGCTTACGGGGAGGCTCTGGAAGCTCATAGTCATCATCGAACAATGACTGCAGCCATTCCTGATCTCTTGGACTTGGGCAATCGTTGGGATCCGGCCGCAAGGATCCAAGGACGGCGTCCAGTTCCTCGTCCGTGACAGTATGGGCAGGATCAAAGCGACATACATTGCTAGACTGTATCTCGGGTGGTAGTGTAAGCCCTTGATCTGTCTCTTCGCATCTCGCAGAAGAGTGCGTGGCAGAAGCATAAATACCTTCTCCTTCAGTCTCCATCTTTATGTTGGGCATGCCTGTATGATTATCGGGCAGCGCCATTATGGTCTCTGTGGATATGATCCTCTACTTCCGAATAATGTAAGAGATACTTGTGCTCTTGTGTATCGAAGATCGGTTGATACTCGAGATCTTTGATTGAAGTATGTACTTGACCTTGACCTGAAAAGCTCTGTCTGTCGATCTTTCAGACTCCGCGAACTGTCAAGGTTGTTGCGCGTTGGTTGCAAACTCGACTCAGGATTGAGCGAGCGTAAGGTGTTTTCTATACTATCTATCCCTTCGCTACTGCCAGTTTCAAGATTGGCAAACAGCTTTGGTAGTAGTGAGTAAGTTGAATTTAACGATCAAGACCCATCGTCGAGGGTCACGAGGAATTTAGGCAGAACACACGGCGAGTAATATGAGCTTTCGAAGACTGACAATGCGCTTGTTCGATCTGGGCCAGAAAAAGGCTTACAGGTACGAGGTGCAAGTTGTTAGTTAGATCTCCAGCGTAGTGCTTGAAAGGATGTGGTTTCCATGAAGAAGTTTTGTGTAGAGATCGATCTGAGCGGGGAGGTTGAAGATTTGACTTCGTCTATCTCCGAAACCGCTAGCCGTATATAGTTACGGCCAGCTTATGTGGATCGGCCAGGGAGTGAACACCAATGGCAACGCGAGATGCCCCAGCAATGATGAGACCGCTGATTTGCTGGTAAGACGTCAGAAAGATTTGGTGCTTGGGCGTCGAGATGTCCTCTAAAAACGATCTGTATAGAATCAAAGTTTGGATTACCAATGACCATTTATTCATGTGTGCTGTTATTCAGTGAAGAGTCTCATATAGGTTGACTAGACGAGGAAGGAGTGCCGGCATGAGTGTGATTTTATGTACAGGTAAGTTCTCCATTTTCCAGCCTAGAGCTGGTCAACCTCAACACCGTCCATGACCTTGCACCTGAAATCCCAACTTCACGATGTCTTATCTACTGGGAGAAGCTGACGAAGAGATTACTTTGCTTGTTACAGCTGGTTACGACCATACAATCCGGTGAGTTTGAACTGCGCAAACAATCTCGCAGCTGTGTTAACGATTGTGACATCAAGTTTCTGGGAAGCTCTTTCCGGCATCTGCTCTCGAACAATTCAACACTCTGATTCACAAGTCAATCGATTATGCATATCGCCCGATAAACGGTTCCTGGCTGCTGCTGGTCATCACAGCGTCAAGCTCTACGATATCAAATCTACGAATCCAAACCCTCTTCTTTCCTTCGAAGGTCATACTGGCAATGTTACCGGCGTCGCATTTCATTGCGAGGGCAAATGGATGGTGACAAGCTCTGAGGATGGCACAGTGAAGATTTGGGAAACAAGGAGTGGTTCAGTCCAGAGAAGTTATTCTCATGGCACACCGGTGAACGACGTGGTCATCCATCCCAACCAGGGTGAGATCATAAGCTGTGATCGCGGAGGAAGTGTGCGAATATGGGATCTAGCAGAGAACAACTGCTCTCACCAACTAATACCAGAGGAGGACGTACCAGTCGCAAGTGTCACTGTAGCCAGCGATGGTTCAACGCTTTGCGCAGGTACCAATTCTGTTAGTACCATCTCACTTCTTCATACACAATCTAATACTGTACACAGGGAAACGTCTACGTCTGGCACCTCCTCCAATACCGCGAAAAGACTACCCTCGTACCTATAACACACTTCACTGCCCACAAGAACTACATAACCCGAGTCCTGCTATCTCCAGACGTCAAACACCTCGCAACCTGCTCCGCAGACCACACAGCCAAGATCTGGGAAGTTAAGGACCTAGAAACCATGCTCCCAATTCCGGGCCAAGCACCAGCCGCACAAAAAGACCCCAAGCCGTTCAAGCTCGAGAGCACATTGACGGGCCATCAGCGCTGGGTTTGGGACTGTGCTTTTAGTGCTGATTCGGCATACTTGGTTACGGCTTGCTCTGATCATTATGCACGACTGTGGGAGCTGCATAGTGAGCAGATCATTCGACAGTATAATGGGCATCATCGGGGCTTGGTTTGCGTTGCACTGAATGATTATTCGGAGGCACGTTAAGATGGACAAAGTGGGTATCATACGGCGTTCAGCGGGGCATTTGGGGGCTGGGATGGTTACGAAACGCGTCTTAGCTAGGAGGCATCATGTCATACCCAAGTGGTGAATGAATTGAATCTATTGCATTGCTTTATATCTCGTTCATATTTATCATACGGTGACGCCTTTCTGTTTGGATCGCTGTATACTTGACATTCGTCTCCGATTGCTCGTCTTGGAGGTGGGACTTTCTACGTCTAAACATGTCTGTCCTGGAGATATATGTTCTCATCAGAAATCACTTCTTCGCACACTTATCTTAATTTGGGATACAAGTGTACGTCCTCCCAGTTTTTAATCAAAGCATCTCAAAGTCCTCTAATCTACTCGGCGTTTTTCTTACCCAGCGCCATATTATACTCTAGACGAAAGAGATCTACTTCCGTTGTCAAGACTCTCACTCTCACTTTCTGTTCAAAAAGAAATTTCGCACCCAAGCCTAGCTCCAACCTAACATCATCCCCACACGAGAAATCGTGTAGCGGCCCACACTCACCGGCCCCGGCTCTCATTCCTACTGCCCTATAGCAAGGCTTCTAATACTTTGCAGTTTTTGCAGAGAGAGGGAGAACGGTTCGTTATATACCTACCTGATTCGGGTCAACTTCGGGAATTGTCTAGACCATCAGGGTTGATTGAAGACTTTCAAGTGAATCGTTTTGTCTAGTCATATAGAAGAAGTACCTCGAATACAATTAGCCGAGCGGGCATAAAACGGGGTCTTTCTCTCTCCAAAAACTGCAAACTGTTTCCCAGCGTAGATGATTTCCCCCTGGAAGAAAAGCCCGTGGCAATGGGTCCGGGTTGGGGCCCGGCCATCATGCTGTTCGCGGTATTTACGGTCACGTAGGTTTGTATGACTAGCTAGTGCTATGTGTGGGACAGGTTAATAGCAGTGTTGCAAAGATTGACAGTAATGCTGAACTGTTTCGTCCTATATCAGCTTGTTTTGTGAATCGTGTGACACATGCTTGCATGTCCCGTCCCACGGAACAGCTTCGGAATGACAAAAGTTGCAGGTAAAGCAAGGACATTCATGACAGCTAATCTATATCTTTATATGTAAAGAATAAGGGTTACATTTATCTTCCTGTATCTTTCTGCTCTACTGCTTCTTCAAATACACCGCAGCCTGCGACAAAAAATCCCCCACCTTATGCAAACAAGTCGTATTAGCAACCGCATCCCGAATCGACTCCCCAATCGTATAATCAAACGGCTGTTTACTAGTAGAATCCACGCCAGGAATCTTCAACGATTTGATCGTCTCCTGCTCCGCCTTTGGCAGCGTCGCTACATAGGCCAAGAATTCATCCATCACCTTCCTACTAGGCGCTATATCCACACTTTGGTCTTCCAGCATGATTTTACCCACTTTGGACACCCATTGTATGGTCGAGGGACGGATCCCTTTCTTGAGTTGCGATTGCTTGAGTTGCATCGGCTTGAGGCGTTGACCGAGGGGGTGAGCGAGGATTTGCTTGATGTCTGACTCGGTGAAGAGTTGCTTGCTGAGCGGATTCCGCATCACGCCATCATTAGCCGTAATAGCTTGAGCCAACTCGTCCATATCCCACGCATAGTTATCTTCACTAACGAAGAAATTCTCTTTGGGGATCTCGGAGATGTCGTCTCCGAGCATGGTTTCCGAGTTCACGTACGTTTTCTCCAGGTACGCTCGCTCGATGTGACGGAGTGCGGCGGTGGTATCTTTGGTCATGGAGTCGGGGATCGCTGCTTCGAGGAGGGTTTTGCGTTTCACGAGACGCTCGCGGATGGCGTCTGGGAGCAGCGGGGGGTCTTGACAGGCTGCCCAGCGGATGATGGCTTCGAAGTCTTCGATTATGAGGGAAGAGGCCTCGGAGGGGGATTCCGCTATTTCTCGTGCTCGGGAACGGACGGACATGGGCTGTTCCATGGGGACGACACTGCCTACTCGTCCTTCGCTGATGGCTTGGAGGGTTGGGAGGACTTCTTGATCGTCTGAGTCGGAGGTTGAGAGATGAGAGAGAACGGCGGCTAGTTCAACTTGGAGCATCTGTGCTTCGAGTTTGAGGATGGTGTAGCCATCGGAGAGATCCTTTTCTTGGGCAGAAAGGTTCTTGATGGGTTGGGAATTGCTGGATTCTGCAAAATCTGGATGTGTCCATGGTCGAGAAGCCTTTGAAGTTTTAGGATTCGGCTGGTTGGACACATGCTTGGTCTTTGACTTTGATTTCTGGCCCAGGTATTGAGCTGCAATTTCGTTTTTGGGATCAAGCCGCTGAAGCGTGGTTGCAAAACCAGTTGTCATATCTAATTGATTTTGAGTATGTTGATAGAATGTAGTCTGTCTCGTAAAGGGATGACCTAAGCTATTGTTTGTTCATACCTTTGTCCCCGAGCTCGGCCCATACTTCGAGAAGCCTCTCGTGGAGGTACACGCTCTTTGGATCCCCATCCAGGGCCGCATAGAGCTCGTCTAGAATGTCAGACTCTGCTGCCATTCTGCCCCGTCAAATGGTCAGCCCAAACTGCTGGCTGGCATACTGTTCGGACTTGGCTGTGGAATGGGCCTTTCTCGAAACGTCCTCGGTGTGACAAAATAACTGAATGAATATTGGCATCTTCAGCCTCATCCTATCCAGGTGCGTGGAGGAAAGAAGGGGTGTGGTTGAAGAAGATAGTGGGGTGGTGTCTGTCGAATAAATTTAGGGGTGTGCAAGAAGCGCCGCCAAAAGCAAACGTCCAGGCAGAAGTTTCGAAACAATCCTTCAGCCACCGCAGCTTTTGATTCGAACTCAACGAAAGTCGCGCAACCTTGATCTGTACCTCTTCGTATCGCCTTGCATACACCCAATGGTCATGGAGTACCTCGGTCACTGCATGCAGAAGCAGTGAAAGGGCATTTGCCTTGTTGTCTGGGACCACTCAACCAAAGGGATTCAGCCTCCACCAAATATCAGTCCCAATCCTGAACCATGTCTCAACTACGGCAATTTATCCCGCTGCCCTTGGACAGGACAAGGGCTGATTGCCACTGATTGACACGTGCACGATGGATATCGGTGCACCCAAGGCGCTAGAAGGCGAATGGAACAGAAGGCTTGCTGGAGAGCCTTGCCAGATTCAATCGAGCCTCCAAATGGTCCAAAGGGCTTTGCCGGTGACTTCAAGAGCCACATTTGCTACGCTGTGTCGTCTCGGGAAGTATCACAGCCCATGGGCGTCGGCTCTCATTCTTGCTCCACTTCAGCATTGCCTTTTGTTTGACATTTTTCAGTGGGTTTACGGAGTCAGGCAATACAGGCGCACCATTCTGTATACCAACTACAAACACTGGCATTGGCATCTTCAGCATGTGTGATGTGAAGTCGAAGAAATGCGGTTGCCCCGCTTGCCTGTGCTGAAAAGCTCTGGACGAGATTCGAGGAATGAAGAGAAACATGGGACCCAAGAAGCTGCTCTGGTTACGAGGGCACCAAATCGACAAAGATGGCACGAGGAAGTGAAACGATGTGATGATGTTCTCGAATTTCTCTTCAACGGCCGACCTCTGATTGATACTCAGCGGGCCAAATCATTGAGCAGTCCGACATCAGAATATCTGGCAGCTGTGGACCCAAGAGTTATTCCAACTTCTGACGAATGCGATCAAATCTTGAACGTCCTTCTCGAGGAGCACGCCAACAACGATCCTTCGACATTGTGTGTTGCGGTCCTTGCTTGCCTTTGTGGTCTTTCATCACCATTAGCTACGCACTGTCTTACCTCCCTGGTAGTACTGGACATCGACAGGTATCTACGATGCATCATCGTTGCAAGTCAAATCAAATCGGAAGTCATTCCACCAGGAACACTACATGCTGCCAAGCTACTCCTTCTCGTCGTCACTGGTCAAGCTCGTGGTCTTCAAGAATTTGGACAACTTATCCAGTCCCTCGCCGTCCCTGGCACCTTTCTGTATTTGCCCCTTCAGACAGTTCACAGTGCACTGGCAAAGTCTGGTATCCGGTCACGCCTTAAATCGCAAGTACAGACTCATCTAGAGCAGCAGCAGTATATGACAGCGTTTGGGCTGGTCTCCTGGCTGCAAGATATTTCCGATGCGCCAAGTAATGGCAATGTGCTTGCTTTGTTGGATGCCCACTTCCCAATTTGGTTTTGGCTTTCGATCTGGAGGCCAAATGTCGATCGTATCAATGCTTGGGAGCACGGTCATCTTTCTACGTCTCAAAGGCAGAAGCTCTCAAATATCCTCCAGCTAGACGGTCCAGACTTGGAAACGGAGCAATACCCAGCTCTCAGGCTTGCAGAGCCCAGATGCTACGAGTATGTCAAAATCGAACCTGAAGATCCAGAAAGCCTTGAACGTTATCTAGACCTTCTGTACAGAGCTTGTCTTGTCGGGCCGAGCTCCGTTGATCTCTTCATTCAGCAGTGCGTTGAGAAGGTCGCTACTGCCGAGTTGCTATCAATGGTCGATGATGCTGTGCAGGCTGGAGACGACACGCAATGCCAGACATTGTTGACTTTCTCCCGTGCTCTCGCTTCACAACATGATGTTGCAGATAATGTAAATGCCTTAATCGAGTCTGTGTCGTCTTTGGAATCCCTGAAGAAATTCACACATTACGAGCCTTTAGTGGATCAGCTTGCCCAACGCTTGTGCCACACTATGCAACTAGCTCAAGACGAGTTTTGCAAACATCTTCGATCAGGACCTGGAGACTATATGGGCATGTTGGTCTATGAACTTGGCATGGCAATTCTGCAATGCCCCAAAATTCATTCAAAATTACCACAAGAGTTCCTCGAAAGGATACATCAATTTCCACAGCAGAAAACCTTGGAAGCAATTTTCGATGAGCTCCAGGATGATAGTCAATATTCAGCATCTCACAGTTCCAGGTTCAGATCATATTTACTGTCGTCACTCGGCGGGAACGGGACCAAAGAGTCCGGATCAGTGACTTTGGCAAACGTCCAAGAAGAAATCAAGTTCTGGAAACGGCCTCCGGACCAATCAAGAAAAGATCTTGCAAAGAAGTTGGGAGAGATCTCAGGTCTAGAATACAGTCTCTATACGACATGTCTCCACGCTATGTTCAATGAGCACGATTTATACATCTCACAGATGAAAGGAAATATCATACCGGAAGATGAAGAAACCGGGCTTAACTTTGCCAAGTATCTCGCATATCGCCGCAAGCTTCATCAGATGCAACACCCTTGTTGGCTATCGCTGACTGCATCATTGCTAAGGTCGCAGAAGGCGTCATATCTGCCAAGGATGGCTGACGCAACATCCTTCGTGGAGTGGGACAAGTTGGTAGGAGATTTAGAATTGCTCCTTACACCAATTCGCGATCAACTTCCGGAATCTGGCCCTGGGTTGACGAGAGAGCGAATGGTTTGGTGGAAAACATTGTCCCAAAATGTTGCCCCGATCCAGTTCTTATTGAAGATGCATGGCCAGCAAAGAAGTTTGCGATGGCTCTATTTTCCAACCTCGACAGATCATGTCACACCTCTACTTCAAGTCGCTTCTCAGGGTGACGATATGTCTTCCTTGAATCGTCAAATTATCTCCTACTTGAGCCGCAATGGTAGTAATGCTGTCGAAGTATGTGACTGTATTCGACTACTACCTGGCACTTCTTCACTTGGCAGGGCGGTCTGCGAGCGCTTCCTCGCAAGGGAGGAGATAAGCCAGTGGGCTTCATCTGATTTACATATGGTCTTTGTCGCATGGAGAAGACACAAATCCATGACTACAGAAGACATATTTGCACTTGAGTCTGTCCGACTACTTCTCAAACTACCCTTAGCCGCACAAATGCGTGCCAGCACTGTTCGTTTAACGAACGAGTTATTGCAGGCGGAATATGATACACTCTTCCGGGAAGCCAGAAAGCTCGAATCACTCCGTCTTAGACTCGGACATCAGAATACCCAGAGAGTAACTACTATTCTCTCGCACATCGGTGTAGAGAACAGCGCGACTGGTCGTGTTGTGGACGAAGCAATACCTGACGAGCTCGTGGATGCAATAGATGAGATTGGAGACAATGAATTTGAACTTTCTTTCGCTTTGACAAGCCTCAGTAGCCTCCAACGTCAGGCTCGAGGTATACACAACGACTCCCGTATGCTTCTAGTTCGTCTTTCCCTCCAAGGCGATCCACAATTCTGTATCCATTTCTCTCCAGACGACGAAGGACGAGACCGACATAAATACTGGCGCCCGAAAGACAGTCAGGAGCCAGCCACAACGTCATGTACGACGAAACCAACTTTGTTCACATACTACCTCGGCCGCAATCTTCACTACCTCCTACGATCTGGCAACTCCTCCTTGCAAACAATCTACAACTCTATTCAAACCCTGGTCACTGCACAGCCTACCGCTTGTCTCGTGTGTGCCAGTAAAGTCGGCACAAACTTATGGAAGCCAGCAACCTGCTCCAAAAAATGCTCCAAGAAATTCCGAAAAGCTCCTCTTGAAGTTAGACTTCATAATCTATTAGTCGATCCCGCCGCAATCGATCTTCTTCTCACTTCCATCTATGCTGCCGCATCCGATACTTCCACCCTTGATCTCTTACCTGGCTGCCCCGTCCCAAAAAATAAGGTAGCTGCAGTCATCGACACCCTCCCAGCATTGGCTACTTTTCAAACAGCAAGCAATCTAAAAATAGCCATCCAAGGAACCGATGGTCTTGGGAAAGACCGCGAAGATCTACTGTCATGGCTTTGTCTCAAATTCAGAGGCTTCATACTCAGTGCTCAAAGCAGCTTTCGAGTTCCTAGCATGCCAAATACCCAGCAATTCCTCATGCTCAATTCGAATCATGAAAGAGAAGCGCTTTTCAACTCAAAGAGCCCATCAGGAGGGAGTGGTCGTGTGATATTCCATGGCACCCAAGTCTCACGAATGTTCTTAATCCTCTCTGAAGGTTTGAAAGTAATGAGCAATACACCCTTCATGTTGACTGGCGCTGCCAGAGGTGTTGGCATCTACTGCGGAGACGATCAAGCGACCTCTCTGAATTATGCTGGTATGACGGGTACAAGTTGGAAGAACAGTGCTCTAGGCAATATGAGACTGATGATGGGCTGTGAGCTGGCGTCAACTGCACCATCGGCAACAGGCACCTACCACGTGGTTTCCGACGAGAATTCTCTACAAATCCGTTACATTTTCTTGCTTCCTGCTACCTACCAGGCTCCGCCGCGACATCATGTTGAACCAGCTATGAGCATCACGTATGCGAATTTGCGAGCAGGGACGCTTAAGTAGAAAATATAGATTTCTGTATTTATGTGTTAGTTGGAGTTATTATGTCGTGTTCATATCATATTACGTTTTTGAGATAATCATTGTACAAAATGCAAATTAACTCTCCTATTGCCATTCTACTATCACTTATACAACAAATAAAGCCATAAATATTGGTATTACAAGCCATTCGGCGTTTTATAAGTTTAAACTCTACAGGGTGTTCATACTGCATCCTCCGTTGTTGCCCACACTCCTGGCTGCGGTCTCGGTTCATCTTCCTCCACGTCTTTCTTCGGTTTACTCTCACTGTTACTTTTGCCCTGCCACGACCGCATCATACGTCCTACTCCGGTCCTTTGGGTGTTGTCCTCTGCTGCAGCCTTTCGATCATTCTTCTCCACCAGCTCTATTATCTCGTTCTGTCCATTTGCATTGTTGCTACCCTTGTACACCGGCTCCCAATTCGCAAACTGCTTTCTCAGTCTAGCAATTTCGTTCAGTTTCATGAAATACTCCTGCTGAGCATCCGCAGGGACCGTCTGCGCTCTCAGATTCTCTTCAATCCCGTTTAGAACACTAGACATTGTCGGTGCAGTATTCTTTCCGCCATCTGTTACCTCCGCGATTCTTTCTTCAATTAGTCTCTTGATTTCCTCCACTGCTGCATGATCCTTGATTACGAGTGGATCTTCCTTGCCCTTCTCAGGAACTGCAAATGCCACCACCAAGACAAGATAAATGCTACAGAGCCCGTACATGACATCTCTAGCTCTCTGAGGATCATAGATATCAGAGTGAGAACGATCAAGCTGTCCCACGATGACGATCTCGCAAAAGGACCTCAGCAACAGCGCAAATGCCGCATGAGCCATGTATCCGAATTCCTGCCAACATCATCAGTTCTCATTTCCTTTCTCAGCCGAAAAACAGGAATCTCACATCATAATAAGCACAACCCGTCTGCCTCTCCGTGGCCCTCGAACACGCATAAATACTCATAACAAGCATAGCACAAAACTGCACCGTTATATACGTAACCTCCAGCGCGCTCCTCGCCCTCGCAACCCTCTCCGTTTCATCTTCATCCCCATTCTGATTCTTCAACCACAGCCCCGTCGCCGCTACTAAGAGCGCGATATGGACCGTCGCCAACGTCCACAGAACGCCCGAAAACAAGTTATCGGCAAATGCATCCACTTTCAAGGGCCGCAGGAAATCGTACCGGATGATGATGCGCCAGAGGCCTGTGATAACGAGGACGTCGGTGCAGATGCGAATGATATGCGTGAACATGGTGTATATTTGAGCGTACGCTGTGACGTTGCGGTCGACGTGGCTGATTACCGAGTCGATCCAGTGGGTTATGAGCCATCTTTCCTCTTGTTAGCTATCCGTCTCATTTCTTCGGGGCAAGGGAATTACAGTGAGAGTAAAGCAAGGCCGACATGTAATCTGATGGCTTCGGGCCAATCTTTCGAGCGCCGTACGATCGCGAACAGGACGGCGAGCGTAACGATGAATGCTACGAGGGCATTAAAACTGATGCACCCGAGCCCGGGGTCGATTGTGAAGAGGAGGTAGATGAAGGGGTCGGAATAGTATGCCATTCTTGCTATCCTCTCTATCAAGTTTCAAGCTCCTCAGATGTTACAATTAATTATTGTAGTAGCAAGTGCTCAAATATCACGATCCCACCACAGCTCAAGCCAAAAACCCTCAAAATCAACCCCTCCTCCAGCCCCAGGCTGCATGGAAGAGTGTGTCTGTATCAAAAACCCTTCGACGCCCGACTGCTGTGTATGCAGGGCTCGCTAGTGCGGTGTGTGTGTGTGTGTGCCAAGACAAGGGCGGTCTTCAGCCCCCTGTCGCACTTAGCTGCAGCCTCACCGAGTCTGCCCTGCCGCTTTGCCAGCGAGCGCATGCAGGAGGATGCGGGAAGGAATGGGGTGCTCTGAGTAGGGTGTGAGCGGGTAGGAGCCGGGTGTGGGAGGAGTAGATGGTAATCTGACGAGGCTGTGAGAGACTTTCGACGAGTGTCCGGTGCCAGAGTTGGGAAGATGGTTTGGGGATTTCATGTTCTGTTCGTGGGTTTATTGCAGATGGGTTGGAAGCAATTGATGAGGAGAAATGATCTAGGATATCATTCTTGAAAGCTGGCGGTATATACAGAATCTCTGATCGTAGCTTCCTCCCAAAATCATGCCATAAACAGTTCAGAATCCAGTTCATGTCTTTCTTCTCACATCTCCATTCAATTCAATCCTCCTCAATAGGATAAATCTCACACGGCACCATCGCCCTCTGAGCACTCAAGTCCGACCTCCCATCACCCAGCTTCTCCAGCCCCGGCGCCGTAACAATATCCACACTCTGCGTCTTCCCCTTAAAACTATCCCCATCCTCACAATCATGAAACTTCTCCCCAATCTTAATCTTCTCCCCATACTTCGGGACCACGAGCTGCATCTGCGCCGGCTGGATGCCAAACTGCAGCGCAATATCTCGTCCCAATGCTACCATCTGCCGGATCTGATCTTGGATCTCCGGGCGAATTTCAGCGTGAGATAGATTCGCGACTTCGGAGAGTACCCGAGTAATGCGGGATACGGTGTCGTTGAAGTTCTCGGTGTTGAGTTGCGCGATGGGACTGTGGCTTTGTTCGGGGGTCGTGAGGGCTACGTTGATGTATTGGAAGGTTGTTGAGCGCCAGTTGTTGGCCAGGACGTCTTGTCGGAAGACTGCGTAGTCTTCGCGGTCTGGAGATGCTGAGACGAGACGTCAATTGGTATTGGCTGCATTTGGAGAGGAAGGAGTCTTACCAGCGACAGCATTTGCGTCAAATAGTTTCCGCCATGCTGCGTACATTTCGAAGAGATGTTTCTGTGATTTTCCTGGGCCGAGAACTCCGAATCCGAAGGGGGCAGAGAAGAATTGTTCTGCGATGATGGACCATAGTGTGCTCTTGAGCCAGAAATGGGATTTGGCGTTTCCGGCTCTGGTGAGGAATCCGGTCTTGTCCAGGTGTGAAGGTAGTTTCTGGCCAGCTGGAATGAGGAATTCTCTATTTCGTGGTGCGGTTACTGATTCCATCAGCCTTTGCAATTCTCTGAATTTGATTCCCATCTTGTCGTCTGGCCAGCCTTGGTCGTCTCTTTGACTGACAAGTAGTTGAGCTACTAGCTTGTCTTTTTCTTTCTGATGATCTTTTCTTATGTTGGTGACTTGCTCTCTGTGTTTCTCCCCTTCTTTATCCACCTCCATTGATCGAAGTTCCGCAATATGCGTGAGCTCTCGATTGTGCTCGTTCACCAATTCATCTCTTTCCCGTACCAATCTCCCTCTCTTGAACTCCAGATCGTTGATCTCCGCTTGCATATTCTCCATCCGCTGGTACTGATCCTCGATCTTGCCACTCGCTCGATGAAGCGACTTCGCCTGCATGTTAATATGATTCTCCATCTTCGACCTCTCTCGATACGCATATCTCGCCCACGCAAGCATATCGCCCAGACTGTCGTCTCTCCGCTTAAACATACTGAATGACCTGCCCTCGACCTCATTCAGGAACTCGTCTATTTTGGAGATGTATTCCCCAACCGAAGGACTTCCTCCTCCTCTTTTTCCTCCTCCTTCTCCACTCCCCTCACTCTTGTCACTTTTCTTCCCGCCGAAAATATTCAAACTCATCTTGACAAACAGACACGATAAGGCGAGGAAGAATCGCGAATGGAACAGAGCACGCAAACACGCGATCGAGCGACGGTGCTGAAGGAAGGTGGTAAGGCTCTACCCAGCACGAGAATCAATTATACTAGTCAGCCTCGTCGTCTATCATATTGTTTGCACCTACCTGCCACCTTGTCTGTCTTACCTAGTGCCGAATCCAGGCAGGGTTGCAGAGAGCGACGCCCGACCAAGGTGGTGGAGGCTGTGCTTGCCACCGAACACCCAGTTTCTGATTGGCAGGTCTCAACTCGCAAAAACCGAACCACAACTCCATTCCCCTGCGGCAGGTCTGCCTCGAATAATCACTATTTCCACTACCGGTGACTTTCTTGAGTCGATCCCTCAGCCTCGCGAGGGTTGGGTATCGTCAACTCACTTCATGTTTGTCTTTCCCGGGTTTTAATCAAGAGTATACTTTGAAATAAACTCATGCGTTTGTAATTCGACCTTTCATACCATTCGTCAATCTCAACTTGGTGTATGTTCGTCCTTCCAACCTGACTTTCCAAGATCGCACGCTCACCAGACGACTCCTCAAGCTCCATGGCGCAGAATGGAAATATCGTCCAGGGTGCAGTGGCAGATGGAGTAACAGGACCTCGAATCGTCGTAGGCATTGATTACGGAACTTCAAACACAGGTGCGTACGCACCCACTCTACCCCGCCTAACCCTAGCAATATATCTTCATGAGGTCGCTGACCGCGACGGCTTCTCTGACTAGAACTCGCATGGGCACAAACCGACGGATCAGCCAAAAACTCCATGGCCGACCTAGGCAGCGACCTCGTCGTCTTCAAATTCTGGCCCGGATCAGACAATCCCCGCGTCCCCTCCGCAATCTCGTACTCGCCCACGAACCCGGACACCAGACGCTCGCAATGGGGATGGTCGATTGACGACGACTCGAAAGTATTGAAGTGGACGAAACTAGAACTTGAACCGCAAAGTACGAAAGCGGAGCTGGACCAGTTGCGAGAATTGACTAAGGGTCTGGATTTGCTCAGGGAACTAAGAGAAAGTAAGAATGAGGGCCTGATGACTGATGTCCCGCAGCATATCACCAAGAGCGCGGAGGATATCGTGCGAGATTTCTTGACGAAGGTTTCGAGGGTTTGGTATAAGCATATGAAGAGTCAGAATCAGTTTGTGTTGGAACAGGTTCCGCTTGATCTTGTGATCACTCATCCTGCTGTAAGTTAAGATACTCTTTGGGGCCAAGAGCATCCGCTTACTGTTTTAGACTTGGAAATATGAAGCGATGAACAAGACGTTTCGAGCAGCTATGGGAGCTTTCCACAGCGGCATGTTTCCAACTATTCGAAATGTATCATTTGCCTCAGAGCCAGAATCTTGGGCTCTGTATACCATTCAAAATTTACTGGCAAAAGGTCATGATGTTCTGATTCCGGTGAGAATCTTGTTCCCTGAGAAAGTGTCCTTCTCTGTATCTAATGACGAGTTCAGGGAGAATGTTTCATTCTTTGTGACGCTGGTGGTGGAACTGTCGTAAGTATCTCAATCCTATTTCCTGGTATGAAACGCCTGACATGTGCAGGACTTGGTATCCTATCGCGTCAATAAAGTTGACCCACTTGAGCTTCACAGAATAGGCAACATCACAGGTACGTTCTCAAAACAGACCTGAGAAAGAAACTGCCTCTAACATTCAAGCAGGAGATAAATGTGGTGGTACATTCATCGACAAAGCATTCCTTGATTTCCTTGCCCCACGATTAGCAAATCTTGACATCGACCCAGAAACCGTCGGCACGGGTGGACACATGGTCTTCAAACCCAGATCAAGAGTGTTGCTTGAGCGATTCGAGAGAATCAAGCATGCATTTACAGGGACTGGGGATGCTTCATTGACCCTTCCCAGAGGCACAAAAGTTGTTGCTGGCTATGAAGACAGTATTGTCAATGGTGTGCTTACTTTGACTGAGTATGTTTAGATTTCTATGTCTGTTCTGAATGTGGCCTAACATAACTTAGACAAGATCTCAAGAAGATGTTCTCTAAGAGCGTTAATGGCACTTTGGGCTTGCTTCAGAGGCAAATGACGAGAGTTATGAATACAAAGTATAAGGGTATTCCATGTCAAGTCACTGTAAGTCTCTTCTATCCGCACAACCGAGCAACAACTAAAGTAATCGTTCAGAACATCATCATGGCTGGTGGTTTCTCAGAGAGCGAATACCTGTTCAACCAGGTAAAAGCTTATGCCAACAAAGAGGCAGATGTCGAAGTTCAAAGAGCCGATGACTGGTATGTATACCCCACCGAACTCTCCAAACAGGAACACATACTCACATTCAACCCGTAGCTGGATCGGAATCGTCAAAGGAGCAGTCCTCCGCGGCATGGGCGTCGGCATGGCACCAGCACCTGCCGTAATCCCCTGTCCACGCCACTACGGCATCTGCGTCTCTCACAGATACGAAGAATGGAACAACATCGGCGAAAGAACCGTCGACGACAGCTTTCACGGCCAAAGAATGGTACCCGATCACCTCTCCTGGTTAGTTCGACAAGGAGATGCGATCTTGCCATTCGAGCCTATTCAAACGAGATTTGGGGTACGATGCAAATTCACGAAACAGCAATATGATTTGGGGAGTAGTGTTAGGATAACTTTCGTGGCGTCGTCGATTATGGAACCACCGTCTACGATGGCTGGTCTTTCGAGGGGTATGTCAACACTCTCTACTTTCTTACTTAAAAAAACAGGATCCAGCATTTCTTTCGTTTTTTTCGCTAACTTCCTATCAATGTAGCTGAAAACGAAGTCATCTATCTCGACGTAGAATCAACCATGATCCCCAAATCATTCCTCCAGAAACAGTCCAAATCACGAGGCGGGTCCTACCTCACAGCCGATCTCGAAGTCGTTTTCGAGATCTCCGACCGAGTCTACGTATCCGTGCAACACCACGGCGAGGTCCTTGCCAACGTCGACACGAATCTGTAAGCGAGCAATAAGTAATAGCGTGTACACTTTCTCGTTAATTTTGGCGTCATTGGGATTTCCCGTTAAGAAGACGAAGCCTTATTTGCAGATCTCTCATGTATAGAAGCATTCTAAGAACAAAACTCAATATACCCACCCAGTCCAATTACCCAATCAAAAAGTCCCGAAATGCTGTTGCCTGCCTGCCTTTCAATCTGCTGTCTTGCTTTTCCATATGCATGCGCGTGTGTCGATATCAAAACAAGGCGGTGTCAGCATCCATGCAGGCCATCGGAACGCCACAGATACCAAGTCTACGCCCGGAACATGTGTCACCACCACATCTCGCGCGGTGGTTCGCGAACCAAATCTTGGTCTCAGCCTCACGCTGTTTGGCTTCTCTTCTCCGCACAACAGCAACTGTGCCCGTGACGTGCATGCTGCGAGGTCTCGGCGCGCATAGCCCACAAGGCTCTCTCTCTATCATCAAGGTGTCTGATAAAGCTCTAGCTTCTTAGTGGAGGCTTGGAATGCTTCTGTTTCCTTTCACAATTGGCGTGGGCTTCGTTGCTACATTGAGCTGTACGTTCCTAGACACCTGATCTGAGACTGTGACTTGTGACTTGGGTACCTACTCAGCCTCGGCAAGTCTACTTTCCATCATTCATTTTCGTTGCTCGCAGCCTTCTCTTCGTCTGGCAGGACATTTCAAATCTTCTGTCTGAGTGAAGGATCGATTGGGAGCCTCGAAAGACAAAGCGCCTCACCAATCACTCGAGCCACGATTCCTACCACCTAACTACTTGCCTCGTCCTCCCATCTTCATCTTTATCTTCATCCCCTCCCTCTCCTCAAGACCATGGGTTGCGGCCCCTCACGCCCACCCCCAGAAAACGGCTTCCAACTCGACGACAAACGCGCCGTCTTCCGCCCACCCCCCTCCCCATCAACCCCCGCCCCCGAAATGAAGAAATTCTTCGCCTCCGCAACGGCCTCGCGGTCGTCTCGACGTCCTGAGCAAGCACCGGCGCAATACACGTCGCAAAATCGCGCGAAAGAAGTAGCGAGGTGTGCGGCGCTGTTGAGGGAGATGTATACGTTGGATTTGGAGATCTGGGCTATGGGCAATGCGCATGTGGAGGATGTGCCGGAGAGGGAGTTGAAGAAGAGGAAGGCGAATGCGTTGTTTGGGGAGGTGAGGAGGTGTGTGGAGGGGTGGAAGGGGAGTAAGGGGGCGGGGTGGGAGGGGGAGGAGTGGAGGTGTGTGGAGGATATTTGTGAGGTTGTTGAGCAGCATGGGTTTAAGAGGTATTGAGTAGAGGTTGAAGGGTTTGGATGTAGGGTGGGAATTGTTATATATTTTTTGGGGAGCAAGGTTAAGTGGGTTTGAATGATGATACCACACGTTTTTGACATTTTTTCTACTCTGTCAGGTTTGGGAACTTCTCCTGCTGTCTCTGGCCAGTACCAGTTGTGTATGAGTATACTCCCGAGTGGGACGTTGACATCCGCAAAATTTCTATTCACTGATGTTATCGCATTCATGAAATTAGTCCTCCTCCATCCTCGTTTCCATGCCTTAGTATCTTGGGCTAGAAAGGTATGCGACTTTCATCAATTCTCCCAAATCGAGTTAGGGTCGGTAGGTGGCTTTAGCTTCATGTTCTCGGCCATGAACGTTTGTTCAACGGGTTTGTCTCTACTCCTCGAGTCCTCGGTCGTCGATGCTTTCGTGCTTCGCTTTGATCATGCATCCTCGATCCCGCCGCTTCCTTGTAGCTGTTTTCTTATTTCTGAATTCTTTAACGTCAACGAGCAGGTCAAAGGATGGTAGTCATCCACAACTACCTGGAGATTTTCATGTTTTTGGTGGGATTGCAGAACCGAGACCTTTCAGAACAAATTTTGGGTTATGTTTGGTACCATCTGACCATTGGACGAGCCGGAAAGTACGGTTTGTCAATTAAAATTTTCCTTTTTATACCTCGCATGCAATCAGTATATACTTACATGTGTTCCCCAGCACCAATCACCACGTTCTCCCTTGATAGATGCGCTCGCTTAACCAGCCTGAACACTTCAAGCACAACACCTCAATTGCCTCGAGCAGCCTGAACGATTTAAGCATATAAAAGCTACATGGTCGGTCACATCAGCATTGACTTCACATCCTATGTAACTTCACTATAAAATGTAATTAGATCGGCAACATATTATCCGCATCCATAGGCCTGATTAATTCCTTAAACAGCGTCTTGGCGAACGAAACAACCTCGTTTCGAAGTTCGGCACTTTATCCCCTCCAGCCTAGAACCGCCAAATGAGGTACCGATAATATCGGGAGTGTGGGGTAGTACCAAACACTTAATATCCCCGCGCGAGAGAAATCCACGAACAAGTCCCGTTAGATTGGACGATCGTCCGTTCCGCGTGAGGAGGGTAAAAATATCCGCAAGATGGGTTCGTTTGCCCCGTATATAAAGCCCCCACCCGTCTCTTCCATGGGTGGTTGATCGACGAACCCGCGCTCATATTTCATCCAGTCTTGACACCTATTCAGTCGTAACTCGATATCGATATCAAGATGTTGGCAACCACTGTTGTTATGCTCGCGCTCGCCGCTTGCGGCTTCGCTCAAGCTCCTGCTGGATACAAGACTGTGTACCTCACGTCCATGGTCGACAAGACGTTCGCCATTGTCCCGAAAGCTGCCAAGGCCGGTAGCACCACTGTTGTGCAGACTCTTGACAGCAAGCCAGAGCAACAATGGTACCTGAAGGAAGGCAACTCTACAATTCAGCTGGCCGGAACCACACTCTGTCTTGATGGTGGTGCCAAGAGTGAGCATCACACTACTAAATAATGAGAGTTCGAGCCAGTACTGATACGTTGAGCAGGTAACTGGAAGGACATGGGAACCGTCTACCTGCAAAACTGCTCCGCTACGGCAGTAGCTCAGCAATGGGACGTGATGGCCGACGGCCGAATTGCGCTCGCGCCATCGAGTCCTCGTAAGTGCCAAAGTGCTGTACTGGCAGATTTTCAGAGCTGATACCATGTAACAGAAGAATGTCTCGATCTCCAGTACATGAGAGCTACTGTCAACAACCCAGTCGGGCTTTATAGCTGCGCGGGTCTCCAGAATGCTGGTGCGGGGGACAAGGGTATCAATTGGCCACAAGTCAATGCTACTACTTCTTGAAGTCGGTTGGCTAGGGGTAGAGAATGAAGTCTGGAGGAAGAGGAAATGTATAGGTCGGTCGTTTTGTTCAGAAATGTGAGAATGAGTGGTACATAGTGGTCAGGAACAGCTTGTATATATTCAGTTGAATTCTTTGTATACCAATCAAGTTTAGTTCATTCGTTCACCACTTACTGTTCAACGTCTCGCTCTATGGTTGGACGAAGATCATGTATTTACTGTCGCCAGCTGTTTTCTTCAGCAAAGTGCCAAGCATGAATGCATAACATCTAAGTGCTGGCAGAGCTCCGTACTAAGACAAGCGAGAGAGGAAAAGGCCCAGTAGTTCGCCTCATGATGTTTGATGCACACTCAGAAACAAAATAAGAAAATCCAATGTATTTAAGATACCACGAGAACTCCATGCAATTAACCCTTCTGCTACTCACTCTAATCAGACGTGTGCACCAACTAATCATTCAAACATCTCGAACCTTCAAACCCTTTGAATAAACCAAACGCAACATACCACGAAGCCCCTGCCAGGGATGCAAATCAACGAGGTCGTTGGCCAGACTTTGAATATAGCATAAATCCTGGATTTAGTGACTATTTCCACATGACGTCCCGCCGCCGAGTCAAACAGGACGGAGACCTTGCTAGCCACATCACGACGCGATATCGAGGCTTCGAGCAGAGAGATAATCGTTGAGAAGATTATTGCCCAATTTTGGATTTTGAGTAGCTCAGAGTTGTGGGGAGTGCTAATTCGACTAACATCCAGAATCACCGATTGGAGATTATTCTTCGTCTCTAGAGGGTTATTTAGGAGTGAGGCAAGGTTGACGAGATCTTGATCTTCGAGCAGGATGTATAAATGAGCGATGTTGTTCAGCTGATGTCTTGTGAGTTCGTTCCATTCCGTTAGGTTTCTCGGGGACATCATTTTATTTTTCTGGTGGTAGATTCTTCGAGCTGACTCGAAATCTTCGCTGCCACGAAAGGCTTCTAATTTATCGGGCTCGCAAGGCCCTAGGTAGATTTCGAACATGAGATCGAATATCGTCTCTTTCAGATCTAATGGAAGACCTTTCCAGTTAAAAGTTTGATGTCGTGGAGGGTTCATTTTAGATGCACGTGGCGATTGTAGGGTTTCATTTAATCGCTAGGGATGAGAATAGTTGATGTGATGCAACACCAAGACGATAGTGGCTTTACAGAATAATATATAGACACAATGTTTGACAACTTCAAGTAGCTTCATATTCATACAGTCATACGGGAGTTATGAAGAGGCACTTTTGACAAAAGGACAGCAAAGTGTTGCTCTTGCTATTAAGCGAGGACTGAAAAGGGGTTATGCGACTAAAAGCCAACCAACACAGCATGACAGTCATGAATGTACAGTTGGTCTCGATTCATTCTTCATCAATGCGATGGATTCATGATGATGGGCTACATCTTGGAACTTCCACGGTGTACTCTTAATAGCCGTTCTAGTCTCAACCGTGAAACAAATGTAAGCGGATGTCACTAAGTTGCTAGCAAGCTTATAGTTTCGGGCTGATTCAATAGTTACGGAGTTTCAAATCGCATTCAACGTAAATCTACGATAAATTTATCACTCCAAACACAACTATCGTCATTTCCCAGAGCAGGTACAGGTACTACAAACTAAGTATTTCAGGAAGTGAGCCACACCGCATCCACTTGTGTCTTCCAATCATCGCTTTCTTTCATTTCTGGGCAGTTCTAGCTACATCCTCCGAGCTCAATAGCCACAGGTACCAAATATCCGGGTCAAGCCTTAGAGACAGATTCTCGCAAAGCATGCGCTTTACCAGGCGTCTCCTACAACCAGGAGGGCGCGTGAATACTATACTGATCTTGTTAACACAACCATGCGAAGCAAGAATCAAAAGTTTAATCATTGGAACAAGAGTATCTTCCCAGACATTCCGAACAAGGTATTTAGAAAAGTAGCCAATACGCGTCAGATCGATGATGACTGAGTGGAGATTGTTGTTCTGGCTCAGTGGATTGCGGTCGAGGAGAAGGGCATCTTCAGACGAAGTGTCTTGATTAAACATGAGGTAGAGGTGTTGGACCCTATTTAGTTGGCTACGATTGTATTCTCGCCATTCGCACATATTGCTTGGAGTCATGATGCGGTTCACCTCATGATACATGGTCATAGCGAAATCGCCGTCTCTGTTGCTTTCCACTCTAAGTTCGCAGAAAGGTTCCAAATTATCAGGTATCTGTGGCCCCGGTAGAACTTCGAATATCATGTCGAACACCTTTCCTCTGAGCTCTGGTGGGAGGTCTTTCCATCGGAAGAACGTTGTGGGTTGCGAGCTCATCTTGGAATGATTGGTCGTCACTTATCTTGAAGTTTGTATCAGAGTTGAATTGTCCTCCCTTTTTATTGTGTCAGAGGCCCTTTATATAAGCATTTCCTCCATCCAAAGTCATCATCGCGGACACATTGTTCTAGACTCGACAACGCATCGTGAGAGTCTAAGATAGTAAAGTGTGAATAAGCGAGGGAGGAAAAGGGGCTCGTCAGACAGCACTCAATTCCAACACGAGAACATCATTATCAACAAAATATGACCATTTACAGATTTGCGAGCAGCGTGATAAATCAAGGACTTTCCATATGGTACTTGAATGTCTGAAGTTCAGTTGATACTTGAAGTATGCCATCATCATTATAGACATGGAAAATGCGGGGCAATATTGCGGGGTCGTAGAGGAAACTTTAAGCGAAGGTCACTGATGCGCATAGGCGGTCTCTGCCTACTGTTGAAGAGCCCAGGACGTAGCCGATCGCAACGTCAACAGATATGACCACAGTTATTAGAAGCAACAACAATTCAACAGACCAAGTACGGCCAACCTCTTCGGCATTTGGTCATGATCTATATTAACAACAATGCCAGCGTTCTTCGATACTATCTAGCTGCAGAAGGACAATCGCGCGATCACTAGAGCACGGAATAAGATGTCACTCCCGCAACGCTGAGATATAAATAACGTCGCTTCAATAAATATCAAATATCAATCGCGGCGAGCTAGACCCGAAGCACCAACTGGTCAACTACCCAATGCATAATTCGGTTGTACAAGGCAAGCCACAATTACACAGAACTGCTTGTGGACTCAATGCATCCAATATTTGCTTGAGGCTGGGATCCGCGCATAACCTCCGCCTGCTGTTTTCTTTGGAAAGGCTATCTATTCACGGGCCAAGTTCCTTCAGCTTTGCTGCATGTGGATTACAAATCCATCGTACGATTTCAGCTCTTGTATTAAGCAACAAAGCCATCACGCGGTAAGGATAGACAAGGGTTTGAGGGAGCTGAAATATATCGTATTGCCAAGTTGTCGAGCCTCACTACTTTCTTATCGTCACCCAGACTTTTCATTGCTGGTATTTGCCTCTAAGTATGCATAAGACTCCTTTTCTATATGGACACTCAACAGATCTAAGAGCTGACCAAGCATTAAGCATTTCAAATCTCGAAAGAACCTCGAACTCATAAGGCTGAAACCTGAGAAATTCGAGATATGGATCCTCTTAGCGCTATTGCATCAGCAATTGCCATCATCCAAGCCATCTCATCTACCTACAAAGTCATCGAAGACCTCAAGAACCTTCCAAAAGCCTTCCGCGAAGTCAATAAGAGCCTGCCTATTGTCGAAGACACTCTCAAAATCGCTCGCCAACAGCTCCTTGGCAAGTCGGTAGATGAATCGACAAAGAAGGCTATTGAGCCATATATCATTGCATCTGAAGAGAAGGCGAAGTCGTTACGCGATATCTTTAAGAAAGTCGAGCAAGGACAGGTTCAGGGGAAGGACACCAAAGGATGGTCTGTGGTCGACTTTTATCGTACTACAGTGGTACCCATGGGCAAAGCGCATAGGGTCGAGAGCCTGATGAAAGACATCTTGGAAGCCGTGAAGAACTTGGCAACTTATCAGGTTTTCAAAACTGCAACACAGCAGCAGGTGAAGAAGCTGGAGGATGCCATCAACGAACTGGCTAAGGTCGAACCTTCATTACCAGACTCGGACTTCGAAGCTAAGAGCACTACAAACGTCAGCCAGTCAGTTGCCGAGGGAGGAAAGGGGAATCAAGCTGTCAACAGTGGACCAGGACAGCAAGATAACAATTTTGGAAATAAGTTCGAATCAGGTGGTGGAGCTTTTAATTTCGGTGAGGGAGTTTTGAAACTATTGGGCGGGAATTGATAGTCATAATCTAGAACAAATAACACTGACTTCTCCTTCGTACAGTATATAACATTTATCGTTCCCGTCCCAATGGTCAGTTCCTTCTACACCTTAATAGATTTGAGGCTCTAAATCGCAATAATAAGCTGACGCATTAGATGTAGGCTCCGATGCGTTGAGCCTTGAATACTCCAACTTGCCATCCATACACGTTTCATATTTTGTTGAACGAACAAAACTTCTCCAAGACCTCCGCGAGATTTTCGATACTGGTCCTAGAAACTCCAGCGTTCCCATCATAACGGTACTATCTGCTATGGGTGGACAGGGAAAGAGCCAAATCGCACTCAAGTACTGCCATTCAAGTGCTAGTGGTAGTTACCGTGGGATATTTTGGGTTAATGCGCTGTGCAGGAGTACCACACTAGAGTCGTTTCAGCAAATCGCCGATGAAATATCCCAGAAGAAGATAGAAGGGGTGCCAGTCCCGGACCCGTCGGAAAAGCTCCTCACGTGGGACAGGGTGACAGAGGAGCGCTATCTCTGGGATGAGCCATGGATCTTAGTATTCGACAACTATGATGATCAAGAAGGGTTTCCAGAACATGAAGAAGAGCGCCCTAGAAGTTTCTCCAGACTGGTTGATTTTTTCCCTTCCAGTGAGTCTTCTTATTCATCGCATGTGAAACCCTTGCTGACAGCCTTTGCACCTCTAGGAGGGAAGGGCTCAATCCTAGTAACAACAAGAGACAGTCGCGTTGGCCAAGGCCTAGACTGGCACAGAATCGAAGTGCCCAACATAGAGATGGACGATGGTGTCGATCTTCTCAAGCGCTTTTCGAACAGAGCGGATCTTACAAAGAATGACTTGCTCGCCTGCGAAGAGATCGTCAAGAAGCTCGACTACCTATCTCTAGCAATCGATCAGACGGCATGGTTTATTTTCATCAACAAGCTCAAATTTCACACTTTCGTCGAACAGATTGATGATTACATGCCGAAAGCCCTCACTACCACACCACGGGATATGACTTGGAGTTACCGGCGAGCCGGTCGATTGCAAAATTGCAATACAACTTATGAATACTCCCTTTCCATATTGGATTGGGAAGTTCAAGACGTCGCATGGCATTTCTTAACACTCTCTGCATACTTTGGTAATGCCGGGATCCAAGGAGTATTGTTCAAAGAATATTACACCATCCCAAGTGGCGAAATCCGTCCTCCGTGGCTATCATTCTTTAGTCGATCTGATGTCTGGGACATGGATAAATTGCGGACACTCACTGCAGACCTGAGCTATAGACACCTAGTGACCTTTCATGATGATCCAAATCCAGAATCGAACGGTGTCCATTACTCACTTCATCCGGTCATTCGGGAGTGGCTTCGCGAACGGTCACAGTCATCAGCAGAACACTTTACTGCTGAAGCCGTGACCGTACTTCAAAGGTTTGTCGAAACTACGAACATTAATCAGATGTCCCTTCAGACAAGGCTGGATATACTCACACATATGAGTACGATTATGCAGGCGAAATCGCTCTGTCTCTACAGCGGTTTCGGACTTGGCACACCAGGCGTACCAGAGGATCACGTACCTCCCGCACTCTCCTTCGCCATATTCTGCCGAAAATTCAGTCGACTCAAAGTATCCAAGAAGCTCTTGTCGGACTTGCTGACCGTAAGAGAGTGTGCAAGTATAGCAAAAGCCCATCCCAGAAGCGTCAAGATCTTGATCGAGCTAGCGGAAACATACGCAGACAACGCAGAGCATAGCGTTGCTGAGGAATATTTTATATCTGCGCTGAAATTATGTAGTGACACACTCGTTTCACTGCGGTGCCAGGCTCTCCTCGGCCTCGCGAATGCCTTGGGAGCACAAACCAAGCTTCGAAGTGCTCGTGCCCCGGCGGAACAGGCGCTGGTGTTGGCCGTATCAGTCAAGGACGATGGCCGCATGCTTATCCAAGCAAAGATTACAGTCGCCAGAGTAGAAGGAAGTCTAGGTCATGTTCCCAGAGCTGAGGCTTTGATACAAGGAGCACTTAACGACGCTAAGAATTCAAAGACGATTGGCCCCAGGGACAATCTTACCCTTGAAGCCGAGCTCCTAGATGCCTACCGCTACATGGCACGGGGAGACTTTGGAGAGGCGAAGAAGGTTACCGAAACTACGTTGCAGAGGATTGAGGAAGAAAATGGACAGGACCATCGCCTGGCTCTCAATGCATTGCAGCAGTTAGGTCAAATTTACGGCCAGATGACACAATACTACGACGCGCGTTTATGCTTCCAAACGTCACAGGAGAGAGCTGCTGCTCTGTTTGGCGACACGCCTGGCGATTGTGACATAGAAGTTCTTATCGGATACACTTACCTCAGTGAAAGAAACTTTACGCAAGCAAAAGCTCGATTTGAACGAACGTGCGAGAAGAGTAAAGGCAAAAGGGGCTTCGAGATGGCTTTTCTTCGTGCTTCCATTGCTTTGCTACAACTTTATATCAAATATCTTAGCTTCTTTCAGGCAATACCACATATCTGGCTGTTCTTCTGGTACTTTCCGTTTGCTTTCTTCGTAAGAACGCAGCGAGGTATCTTGATGTTTCTGACTGCTGTCTTACTATTGTTGGTAAACATGTGTATACAGGGACAGTTTCTCACTTTGGCTGCTATTTGCGGCTTTGTGGTCGTTGGTTGGATCTTATTGTCAAGGTAGCGCGAGACAGAAGATATGTGCCCCAGGCTAAATGCAACTTTATGAGATCTTCCTATATTATAAGAATGAGAACGTGATAACAGTTTCTAATCCAAGACCGCTTCGATTTGGGAGATTCTCTCGTGGACTGGCTACAGAAATTATCATATTTATACGCAACAAATATTATAATATGATGATAAGGAATTCAAGTTTGTATTAGCAAGCTATTCGTTCGATCAATATGTTACCTCCAGGGGCAACTGAACCGATTTGGTCTCAAACGTAGGTCACTAACTGTAAAATCGTCCACATCTTCTTCAGGAGCTATTTATGCCATGTCCGTTCCACAGGCTTCCATGGCAGTACTGCGCCTATAGAACGGGCACTCGAGAGACCACTCCAAACGCAACCCTCCAGCAAAGCGAAACCATCCCACGCCCAACCACCACAAACATAGACACCATCGTCGCCATTACGCCAGGTTGAGTTGCTATCTCCAACGTCCCTCTCTCTGAACATCGTTGCCAAATAGTCTCGAGAAGTGGGAGTCGCAAGTAGGCGTACGAATCTTGATTCATGGAGGACTTTCGCTTGATCGAGATCCATAAGATTGGAATTTCCGGGCCACACTGTTGATAGGACCCCGCAAGGGTGGGCATGTGTAGCTATTGTTGTTTTCCCACCTATGTGGTCCCGTTTCATTTGCATGGCGATAAGTTCGCTCCTCGAGTGCTGCACCAGCTGTGCTGATCCTTCTGGCAGCATATCATAATCTTGGTGGACGACGACTGACACGTCAGAAATTTGGAGCTTGTCCATAACATAGGAAGTGGGAGGATAAATCGCAGATGTCTGTTTCGGGTTGACTGCTAGAACAACGTTATCGAACAAAATGTTCAATTTGGTGCCAGATTTGGTATCTTGGTAGTGCAGATTCAAGCGCTTTCCTGATGGCTCTATCCCGGTGACTTTTGCATTGTAAACAACAGATATCCCTTGCACAAGCCGACCCTGAAGCAGTGACATGGTGATTGATGTCTTGTGAGGAAACATATGAGTTTGTCGTTTGTAGTCCGTAAGATAGATTGCCGGAAACTGTAAAAACAAGTTGTGAGGGCTTGAAGCAACGCTCGAAAAGAGGGGAACCGCGTAGCCCTCAATGAAAAACTTTGGCAGTCTCAACCGAGTAAGGTATTCCCCAATGGTTTCCGCATATGCCGATTTGCGACCCAGAACTCTTGGAGAGATCCAGAAACAGGCAACAGAAAACCAGATATAACAGCACAGCACTATGAAACTTGTCCATAACCCAGACAGCAATCCAAGTATTCCAGGGGCTCGCAAGCAGATTATAGGCAATCGATGATTATTAGACGGATGGAAGAAATAATAGTTTGAGATAGTTGCCACATCATCAGCGAATGCAAACAGGAATCGCCTTTCGATCGTAGGAACTCTCAGATATTCCAGCAGATTGAAGAGATTCTGATAGTAGCGGCCGGAGAACACTCTCATGGGAACATCGACACGAGTAATTTTCTTGCTTTGCGGTTCGACATATTCATAGGAATGACCGTCGAGACTAAGGGCAGGAGCCTATAGAAAAGGTTAGTCTCAAGATATTTTCGGGAGATCAATGTATGCATGCCATCTCGAAAATTGTAACATTGAACTTCCTTTGCAGGTCATTGTGGAGCGCAAAGGCAGCGACTAGCCCAGCAGGGCCACTACCAACGACTGCTACTTCTTTCTTCATGGTTTCCCGAATGTCACTTAGAGGGCAAAGTACAAGCTTGGCAAAAGTGGTATTGAACAGAAATACTTTGCAGAGCTCCCCCTAATAGCTAGTGAAAGGGTTTGAAGAGGACAGAAACTTCCACAAATGCTTACGTTGACTTTTCTGAGATAGAGCTAGAGCGAACAGATGACCTTTCTATTCCATTGCATGTAGAGATGCAGTGTGCGAGTCCCGGTAATGGTAAGCTGACTTACAAGCCTAACTCTTAGCAGCATTACTTGCTCTCTTTCAATTACTGTTGTATAAAAAATAACTTCACCGCCACTGATGCTGCACCTGCAACGTGATTGATAACTATTGGTATTCTCGAGTAATGAAAAATTAGACTTAATTACAAGACTCCTTTCTCAATCTCAAAACAGCTCGTAGCGGACTTCCGAAATAACCTTGGGTTCCGACCTCGTATGCTTGTCCAGTCACGAGCGTCCGAGCCGCATAATTGTGGAAGGATCCAAAATCCGAAAAAGAAGCGCCAGGAGCGTTACATCTCACTAATCATCTACACTCTGATTTGAAGGAAATAGTGTTGAGACTTCTCAGATCTGCTCACTCCTGGTGCAATTGGTCAGACGGTACGAGATACACTTGATCTCCTCTAAGCCGGATCTCTCAACACCAACTCAGAATTTGCCTCATAATTTTGGGCCGAAATGTTGATACAAATCAAATCTCATATAGCGAGGATTGCGGTTGAGATTGCTAAGCGCAAACTACTCATTGGCTATCTAGTTGCCAAGTAAAGAGGACCTTGTCTGCTCCACAAAGGTAGTTTACTAATAACCTAGCGCTTGTTTGACTCGTGCTCTCGGTGCTCTCACTCTGAAAGATCCTTTTTGGAGTCAAACATTGAGTGTGGACGTGAAGTGCGCAGCTTTGAACGATAGACGTTTTCACTAGACCGAATGGGACAATTTTGAGTATGATCTCGAGCCAAATAGACATATGGTTCATTCGCTCAAACACCGACTTCATCGTGAAAGTGACACTAGCTCAACCAAAGTTGGTTTGACAGCGGACACTTCTTTAGTTCCCGCTCTTAGCAACAACGAACTACACAGAACAGTATGTCGGACCATGACCTCAAGACTTCTATAGCGTGAACTGTGAACACACAAACCATCAACTCATCTAAATAAAATTCAGACGATGTGCTCTCCGAAAACCTCATTTCTCACAAACGCAAGATTAAGAATTAATAATGCATCTCAAAACTCCCCTCCTCTGCGCCGCGGCGCTCCTCAGCAGTGCGATTTCCGCATCTCCCACTCCTGGCTTCAATGGCTTATTCGAATACGCGGAGCTCGACCAATATAACACTACCGAATGGTACCTAGATTTCCCCCCTCCTCCTAAGAACTTCATCACTAACACGCACAACCACAGTACTCTAAACGAAGACGGAAGCGGACGCATCTACCACGCCAAACCCTACAGCAGACAATGCAAGAACATCGACGAAAAAACCACATCCTTCAGCTACTATCTCGCGCTCTTCACTCAAGCATGGGGTGAGTTCCTCCATATCATGTTGGATGCGGGAGATATGTGCTAATATTTGTTCCCTGTCGTAGCTTACGCGGAGCCTGGATGCAAGGGGAAGAGTAGGAAGATCAATGATTGGGATCAGGGTGAAGGTTTTCCAGATATGCCACATGACCCGGTTTGCTGGAATGTCCACGTTAAGTCTTGGGATATGGCTGAATTCCAGCGAATCCGATCTATCATGATGGATTAAGTATGGGTATGGCGCGAGGTGTCTTTTGCAGCATTGGTTTAGAGTCCTTAGCTCAGAAGTCTCACTTGAGGGAGACGTCAATCCTAGGTCTATCGACGTAGTATATAATTGGACACTAGCACGTGCAACTTTCATGGTCAACCTTGAACTTAGCGGAGAGTCGAAGTGCACAACTTGTGCTATCACGAGATTCAAATCCGGCAATCGCAGTGACACTTTCATTCATAGTACCGTAAGGAAAATTGTCCTAACTTTAGGCTTTCCACCATTGTGGGGCATGTACAAGCACTTGTGATCTGACAGCGACCGGACCATCTCTAGACTTCGACGGACTGTACAAAACAAGCCAACTATAACATAATGACCATTTCATCAGATCATATGAGTCAAGCGCCCACAAACCTATAAGAGTATTCGATATTCCCCTTCATCTCATCAACTCTTCCATTTTCCGAAACAACACATGAGCACGAAATTGCAACCACATCAACACAACGACTCGCAACAACAAAACATCACAACCATGAAGCTCAGTACCATCATGCTTGGCGCTAACACCCTCGTGGGAACTGTCTCAGGAGAATTCATGCCCTTCGTAAACGACTTTGTCTCCGAAGTAAAGCAATGGGATGTAGGAATGTGGTACGTCTTCCTCCACTGCTCTCCCCCAACACACCTAACGAACTTTCCAGCGGATCAACATCAGAACGCGGTAATCCGCCCTGGGAATTCCCCAAACACAACCTCAGACATATGAAGAAAGATTACCTCACGCTGCGCCAATGCTTCGAGCTCAAAGACGACGCGGAATCGTTCCAGTACCAGATGGGATGGTGGGCTAACACCGTATGGGGTACGTAATATAGATCCATGTCCTTGAGAATAGAGAAGATAAGCTAATGTGGAAGCAGCTTACTCTGGCTATGACTGTCAGGGAGAAGGTGGAGGATACAAATTATCGCCGGGTTGGTGGAAGATGTTGACGACGGAGTATCGGTTGTTTGAGGTTTGCTGGAATACGAACTTCACGTCGGTTACGGCGGGAGGGAAGCGACATAATTTCACGAGAATTAGGTCGATTATGATTGATTGATCTGCGGGTCCTAGCATGTCTGCGTCGGAGCGTCTGGAAGCGGGTTGGATAAATCTGAGACTCATGGAAGCAATTCATGGTAAATTCGTACATAGATTGATTACTAGATAGATGTCAAAGAAAAAGATGTTTTACCAACCTTGGAATCCTTTTTGGGTGGGATACTTTCATGCGTTCCTTCACAACTTTTGTACGTCTGAGCCCCCAGCAACTTCCGAAGGAGTCGTCTGTGTTCCGTAGGGATATGATGCACATCTAGAAAAGCCCCTCAGTCAAACGATTTGCCGGCCAGCCATCTGTTCAACATATCCAAAGATATTTCTGGTTGATCCATTGGAACCTGAATTCAGTCAGTTATCATCAACATTCGCATGCTCGGAAATGATCCTACCATATGCCCAGAACCATCGACAGTCACGAGTGCGAATCTCGTGGTCTTCTCATCACCATCCATCATCTTCACGTTGACTTCCTTGAAAGTTCCGGCTACCACTTCCTTGCCGTCTTTTGTACTTTTCCACGGTTTCAACTCTTTGGAAGTGAAGGCGCTCTGACCTTTCCAAGGCATGTTGGCAGTCCATCGCTTTGCTCCTGCAGTGTTACAGGCAAGATCTAGATTGCCTTGATAAATCAGAACATCTATCTGATTGGCAAGGAGATACTCCAGTTGAGGTTTCATTGTGATTTCCAGGTCTTCTGTGAGCTGGAACGCCTCTTCCACAGCATGTGAGCCAACCTCGAATTTCCTGACATTTTTGGGTACGCCAAGTGCATTGAAAGAAGACTCCAGATTGAGATAATCCTGAACTAACTCTGTCTCAGGGTAGCAGAACTCATCCAGATCACATGGCGCAGTGACTGCGAAATCATTAGCGACAGCACTCAAATAGAACATAACAGAAAGGAAAATGTCTTACTATCAAATCGATTGCGACCTCCAGCATATGATTCACCATCGTAGAAGACGATAACACCATCCCAGCAGACTTTAGCAGCAGCATTGCAAATCGCAGGATCTGGATAGTCGTAACAAGTCTTGGCCACTGCAATACAACGAGGAAGATTTGTGGCCATGATATCACATATCGTTTCGTTGAAGATCGGCTTGTCTACACCAGGATTGGTAGTACACAAAGTTTCCCAGTATCCATACGCAGTATCCAAGGGAGATACGTAGCCATTGCCGATAGCTAAGGACTTCAAGGGAACTTGTGCTTGCTTTGGATACAGAATGTTTTGACTGACAATCTGGGCTCCTAGAGCAGGAAGATAATGGCCCTGTGAATGTAAGTGATCTTGAATTGGAAACGATTCCTGCAGAGGCGAGACAAATAATCCCACTTACAGCATAGCTCTCTCCTGTGATCACCAATGGCCCGTTCTTATGCTCAGGGAACACTTTGCTCACGAACACTTGCAGAAAGAGATGCATGTCAGCAGCACTGGTGAAGGAGTCGCCAGGTACCGGCTCTCCCTCATCAAGATAAGAGAAACCAACTCCAGCAGGTTGGTCCACAAAAATCAACGCTGTTTCCTTGTTCCAGCCGAAAGGATTATATACAGTGCCATTGCCATGCTTATTGATGAGGCAAGGACCAAGTTCTTGGAGCATTCCCAACATACTTGAGCCCCCTGGCCCTCCAGTAAGCCACAATGCAAGTGGCTCGTCGTCATTGTCTGATGCAGCATTCTCAGCTTTGAAATACCAGAAGAAGAGATGCTTCGCGCCAACATCAAGCCAACCTGTGTACTGATCTACAGGTGTATCGCACAAAGTAGCATTCTGGCGCTTGACACGAATTGAGTGGCTGGACGACACCTCACTTTGGTAAGTCGTGAAGTCAGAAACGGATGGATCGTGATCATGAAGCAAAGGAGCCTGCGAGACCTTTGAGGCAAGAATTGAGGTGATAATGCACGGGAGCAGATACAAGTAATTCATGGTGCAATGATTCAACTTGAATCGATCTTTGGAGATGTGAATGAAGACGGAATGCGGGGAGGAAGTTGAGATAAGATTCACCAAGATGCAGGCAACAAGGTACCAGAAGAGTTTATCTATTCTCGAATAGGAAGGTGGATGAAACTCGGCCGTTGTATTTATCCGTATTATTGGCGATCAATTGTAGACTACTTTTGACAAACCTTCCCACAATTAAGCCGCATTGAAAATGACATCCTTTCCCGCATTGTCAATATCTCAACTAGAAAAAGGGGGGCTTTTGGAACATATGCCAAGCAAAAATTGGGGTGAGAATTGGTTTAGACCTTGCATCTCGAGCTACTGAACCGTCTGCGTACTTGTACCAGTACAAATTGTTGAATTCAGAAGTATTAGTTAGCCTCTAGCATCTTCAAACTTCAATAAACATCTTTGAGAAATATTTATGTCACGTGATACTAATCATTGGTTAACACTTCCATTCGGACTTCTGGATTCGACTGTGTTGTCCTTCTAGAAGCCTAGCTGCTCCATAGCATATTTCCACATAGCCACAGCACCCCCGTCCCCCCCGATCCACACGATCCTTTTCAATTCAGGGCCGATATTTGATACCTTGCCTTCACAGCCCAATAAACGCTGGATCTCCCGAATAATGTCCCTCTCGATGTGCGCTGTTGGATTCACGAGAACAGATACTCTACCGACGGTTGCATTTCGTTCTTCTCCGTAAACTATGGAAGCCCCGCGTCTCGACGCGTCGAGTAATGCTTTCGTGAGACTCCCGCAATCCTCCAATTTATCGCATCTTAACACATCGAGGGCGATTCGCTCGAGGTCGTTCCGGTACTTGAGCTTGAAGCCAGATCCTACAAAAGACTGACCTTCGAAAATCAATATGATCCCATGAACCCATTTATACGGACGGTACAAAGCATTGAATGCAGCGAGGTTACCAACAGTTATAGGGATATCAGCTCGGTGGTAGCCAGCGAGGACATCGGCATAATGTGCAGGATGAAGTAGAGAGGCTAGTTCTGGTTGAAGCTTAGTGAGCAGCAATGGTTGCTGAAATCCGTCGTGAGCCTCTCGGATAGCGAGGAGGCGAAATATTTCTATGCAGATATCTGAAGGAAGGGTTGCCATTGCAGGAAGCTTGTTTAAGGGATTTTGTGCGGCTTGTCGGACAGCGCCGAAAAATGTCTATCATTGGATGTTGGCAAATGGCGGGGATAGAATCGTGCGTTGTGTGACACACAGCGTAAGAATGTCTATCGTTGTTTGTGGACGAGTTGTGGGTATAAAAGCGTATTGATGTTGTGACGGAGAAAGAGAGCAGGCAAAGGCAATTTGCCAAAACAACGCACATAGAGGAGGGCCGAGGGGAAGGAGCCACCAGCACAGCCAGAAGTAGTGCGCAAGACTGGAAAGTCCAATCTAGTATCAGTAGGCCAGAAATCATGTGGAAGAAAACGCACAATGGGTAATCATCACACTGACCTCGATGATGTTTGAGTCCATAGCGTCAGGTTCATCATTACTATCTCCACACCGAAACTTAAAGTCGAGGACTATTAACTTACATATCATAACTCCAGAGTGGTATCCAGGTGTTTTCATGCCACCACAAACGCCAATGCTATGCTGTGCTTCAGACCGGGCCAGACCCTATGCGGCCAAATGATTACCATCCATCACCCCACCCATCGTCATCTCCAGTATCTCTTGGAGCTGTATCAATCTTTTTCGCAGCTACAGGCTTCGTTGCTGGTTTTGCAGCTGCAGTTGTTGCTGTCTTCTTCGCGCCGAGGCCACCTATACTGCCGGTTGTTGCTACTCGGGACGCAGGTCCAGGTCTATTACCATTGGAAGCGGACGGCTTAGCTAGTCCCTTTGGAAGTGGCTTAGCAGTAGTCTTCTTTCCTGCTTGTGCGGCTAGCCATCCTGCAAAGTCAGGCTCTCCTTGGTCATCGAACGGATTCGCAGATACAGTTGCAGGCTTGGTTGCCTTAGAGGCTTCGCTTGGTGCATCGAAGAACGAATCTTCCTCCACCTCGCCCCACGCATCATCTATGTCAATCTCTTCATCCGCACCAGCATTCGAGTCTTGGAAATAGTCATTTGCATTCGAGGATGTAGAAGTTCGAGCAGATGTCTCGGGTGGGGATGCAACTGCTTGACGGTGCAGGGCTGAAGCGGAAGCCGTTCCAGGGGCTCGACGATCAGCAACCAACGGAGCTGAAGACCGTCGGGGGGCGCCATTAGCTGTCGGTGTTATTTCACCTGCTGCAGCCGAGACTTTATTGGTGAATGACGAAATGGCCCAGCCAGCCCATGAGGCTGCTTCACTAGGCTGAGGAGTACTCATTCGAGGTGTTTGTCCAGTGGAAGACTCCGTCGAGCTTGGAGGAGGAAGAGCAGTGTCTGCCATGATAGAGGCAAATTTCCGAATGCGTTGCATATAAATTTCCATAACCTTGTTCGTCTGGTCTCGGATGATCTTTTCCTTGTCTATTAATAATGGGCACAGAGCGGGTAGTATTCTATTAGCACAATCATCTTCGCTGAATGCATCCGACGTCACTCCAAGTGCCATCAGAGCAGCATTTCGTGCATGGATAAATGGATCTCTTAAAGAGCGAGTAAAGGCTGCGATCAAGACCTTTGACCTTGTCCCCGCTCCAAGGTTCTTCGAGATCTTGCCTAAGCATATTGTGGTATTGGTTCTAATACCAGGTTGCTCATCATTGGAGGTTTTCGCGAGGTATCTGAGCAGTTCGCCATTTATCGTTCTGTCAGACAGCTTTCCAATGACCGTGAGGACAGCTTTCACAGTCTGCTCTCTAACTACAGGTGCTATATCTGTAAATCCAGAAAGCTAAGAATCATAGATCAGTACGCATTCATTCCGAAACAACATCGCGAACTGACCATTTGAGGGAATATTTTGTCATTGACAATCTTCTGCGATAATCTGTCGATCATCACGGGTAGATTGTCGAGCAAGGATACTCGAATTGCTCTGTCTGGACTACTAAATAACCGCACAACCGCAGGCGTAACTCTTGCGTCGAATTCGTCGTCGGTGAGCTTCGTGCTGATTTTCATGACTACACTGAAGACTTTGGGACCACCACCGCCAAATTCGACTGACTTCAACAGCTCTGGGAGGATCTTCACCTTGAAATAATCTTCTGGAAAGTCATCTGACAAACCGTCCAAATCACTGCACCAGTTAGCATGAGGGTCTTGCTCACGATGGGGCCACTAACTTCAGAAATTCTTCACGTTCTTGCTCTGTCTTCATACCAAGATTATCCACACTTTCAGTAAGCTTTATTAGTGGAGTGTTGAAGAATCCGCCGTTCCTCTGTCCCTGCGCCAAGAAGCCTCCAACACTGATTCTGGGCTTCGGATTCGCATTTACTAGCGACCTGTAAGGTGGCTGCATTTTGACTGGAATGTTCTTCGTTTGCCCAACTTGATCTCCACCCATGAAGTCGCCATTAAAGACCTCGAATATCAGAGTTCCAAAATTGTATGCATCGACTGCAGTCAAGGGGTTGCGCTTGATAGCGTCCCAGCCAGACTTTGCAAGTTCAGGAGGCGTATATCGGCCAGCATCCGGGACCAGACTGCCATAATTCTGGGAAAGTTTAGCTTGGTACGGATTTGGCCACGATGGCACCTACGTAGATGATTGCCTCGTCGTCCTTCATACTACTCAAGACCTCGAAACCTCCTACCCTCCATTCGCCACTCTCACTTGTGTATAGCGAACCCACTCGGAGAGCTCCATGCACAGAAGATGCGTCTTCGTTTATGAATTTAATGGTTTGCTGTAGTAGAGTTTTAGCAGATATATACTACACCCATTATGATATGCAAGCTTACAGCCACACCAAAAAGTCCCCACTTCAAGGTCTCCGAGCTCATGCTCTTCCGTTTTATGTGCCAGCGTAATGGGATAAGTCGTTCTGTGGCAATGTATATGTATGTTTCGGTCTATGCAAGAGTGGTCAAACAAAGCTTTTGCCCCTGTCACAAAAAGCATACCTCAACAGTGTCCAGCACTTTTATAACTCCGGGGTGTCTTAAGGTTCGAAGCTTCTTGACAGCATTCCTTGCCATAGGCAGGCGGGACTTATTCGCCGTGACATCGAAGGAGAATATGCTACAATTCGATCCATCTTCCTGTAAATTGTCATTAGCAAGCAAACAACTTGTGTGCCTGCGCCTACCTACACGCTTGGTTCCATTGTGGAGGGTCCAAATACTGGCATCGACATCTACCCGGTCGCCAAAAGTGTAAGGGAAAGGAGGGCCTTTGGAGATTGCTGAAGCAACGGCAGATTTAAAGAATTCCATAGCGACAGAGGAACAATAAGTATGGCGAGGAGGAGAAAGGAATGTAAGAGACGACGTGTAGAAATATCCAGATGGCCTTTTCCTTATCGAATATCGGGCGCACTGAGTGGTGTAAATTAAGGTTAGCGGCTAAAAAAGAGGTCTAGCGGCCGCTTGTTTCCTATGGTGGGGCTGATCGCGGTTTGCTTGCTTGTCGCGTTAGAATTTCAATTAATACCACATCACCTGCCATTACAGATCGACATAATACAGCAGGCTTCTATTGCTACTAGAGACAGCTCTCTGGAAACCTCGCAAACTTTACGGACGATTCATTCTTCGACTGTCGGCTCCAACACATTTTCGTGCTGGTGGCGTACGGGAAGCGCATTCCACGGCATGTGCTTCTGATCTATCATCTTCCAGAAGCCATGGATTCAGGTTCATCCCCACTGCGTCTGCCTGCGCCTAGTCTTGCTTTGAGCAAACTTCACGTTGATGGGGTCGACGTCCTAGGAGCAAAGGTACGTGAAGTAGAATATTTCTTTCTTGTGCGTTGCGTCCATGATGAACATCTGGTAAAAGGTCCGACTGCTTTATGCTTGCTCTGGTTCTGGTCATAGATCAATTTTTATTTTGATGTTGAGGAAGCTTTCAACTTTGCCATCTCCAACACTTGGCAATCCATCAAATACGGGCAAGACTGTTTGCACATAAGTAAAGTGCGGAGAGTGGTGTTACTGGATACATTTTGGTTTTGAACCCTACCGCTATTCGGAGTTGTGCTTTTCCATATTCAAGGGAGTTCAACCAAAGGCTGTGGTGGATATGTGGTTGTCGAATACTGCTATTGAAGTTGTTGTGGACGATTTTGGTAGAGACATTCCTTCCTGAACTTGTTCGAAGATACATAACCGCTCAAGCTTGCAGATTGACGACTCTCTAAGACTGAAAAGACCTGAGACGTTTTACTTATTCTTCATTGTTCCACTTTTCTTCAAGAAATACTCATTGACCGACCACTTTCAGCAGGCACGGCACCGAGGCCAAGATCTCTATGACGATTCCAGCTCAGTCAAATCAGGTTCAGTCATATCAATGACTTCAAGCAGCAGAACTCCTATCTGTCGTGTATGTAAAGAGCCCGAGGAGCTGCCTTCTAAACCTTTTGTGAAGTGTACTCAATGTCGACAATTATGGCATCTGCACTGCCACAGAAACCCGGATTTGGACTGTTCCAAAGCCCCTCCGTAAGTCCACACCCATCTTCCAGGCGTTTGAACTTCATACTTCTGATCAAGGAGAAACTGATTTGGATTAGTCTAGGGTTCGTTTGTGGGAGATGTTCAGCTAAAATGAAAGCTTCCGAGGCTTCTAGTAGCAAGCAATCATTCGTAGCTAACAGCGCAATGAATGAGTCTTCAAAGGAAACAACGAATAACCCAGTAGCTGCGACAAACGTTCTGCCACAATCCTTGGCTAAAGATACTCCACCAGCTGTTACACGCTTCAGTCAACCTCTTACGAGCAATCTTCCACCCCGAACAGGATCCAGCCCTGTCATTTGCGAGATCCCTGGCTGTGGGGAACATGTGAGGAGTCAGACTCCAAACTCGCAATCTCTATGTTTCAAACATAGAGTCGAGAAACAGTATGCGAAAGCGAAAGCACAAGCACCCGCAACTAATATTCCACGAGCCTCGAAGCCGTTCAACAAGGGCAAAATATATCCTCTCAGGCCAGACGACAAACCTTACGTAAAGCAGAAACCGAAAATTCCTAAGAGAAAATCTACTACCAGCGAATTGGACATGAGGCCTCTAAAGATGCCCAAACGAACGGATATACAAGGCCATGTGGCAAGTTCTGGCTCAGAACCGATAGTAGCCAAATCTATGCCGTCCAGAAGGAGGGACGCATCCAGTGTCATTTCACCACTAACAACAACCTTCCTCGATAGAGATAGCTCTTTAAGCTCAGCAAGTGCAATCAAATCTCCAGCCATTGAAGGTTCTGCCTCTTCTTCCACTCCGCTTGCGGTTAACAGACATCGATCCAGCAATCTGTTGGAAGAATCAACTCCTACAAGAAGTACTCCGGGCTCCAGTTCGACACGTCCCAGCCCACTATTACCCCGCAATAACTCGCCAGAGTACGAGCCTCCACCGCCTCAGACATTTGATCATGATAATCCGTGGGCCAATGAAGATGGAGCAGGTGACAGTCCGGGATCGCAAATCGCTCAGGAGCTTAAAGCCAACGCCGAAGGATCTCAACAGACTGACAATCTTCCTCCTATGTTAAGTCCTATTGGAGAGCTGCATCTGGAAGTTTCTGCTCGCGCCTCAACTTCTGCTAGACCTAGGACTCCAGAAGTTCCCGCCAATACAGGAATTGAAGATTTTCTAGGCCATAGCGAATTGATTGATCGTCTTGCCTTGGAACACGTTCCATCTCCAAATAACAAGCGCGGTGCACCAGGAGCTGAAATAGATACTGCTATACAGTCTCCGGATCTACCTACAGACGCCGGTTCTGGAGATGATATAAATATGACCGATGATGCGGATCGAAATACCCAAGCTGGTGTACAGAGCACGAATTGGGATGAGGGATGGACGACCGGAGGTGGACCACAGACTACTCTGCAGAAACGGTTAGCCCGAGGGGATGTGGACGAAAACATGCTCGACTCCTATTTCGAAAAGCAACGAATTAGTGCCAAGACACTCATGCCAACGAAGGCTGATCTTGAAGCTCAGAATTGGAGTTCCATCGATCCTCGCAAAGCATGGCCGGAGCGGCAAATGGACGATAAAGAGATTGCGGCCAAAGTCAAGCAAATCGAAGCTCGAGGTGGTCGCAAAGCGAATTATGGCAAGATCTTCACGGCACAGAATCTGCAAGAGAAAGAGGAGAAGGGTTGGGAGATGCACCAATGGAGTGATAGGAAAGATGACGACGAAGCTATGGAGCGTATCAAGCGCTTAGAAGAACTGTTTGGTGTGGAAGGCCTCGCGGACTTTGTTCCTGCTACGAGAAATGGCCGATTGGTGATGATTGAGAGGATGAGTGAATCGCCAGAAGACGAGCCTCGTGGGCCTGGCAGGAGGAAGAGAAAACGTGAACCAAGAGTGTTTGTCGTCAATGGAGCGCCAAGCACGATTTAAACTTGACTTAAGGGAGCAGCATCGGGTAGTAGGGGGAGGATATGTGTGTACTGTACATTTGCATATGGTTACTTTGGCGTTTTTGATTTTCTAGCGAATACCCCTCGGCAGATAGCTGTTATCGACTTGTTCTCTCTGCACATCGAACTGGTACCTCGTTGTACATGTATGTAACGAAAAGCCTTTGAGGCAATGTATATGAAACAGACAACCCTTCATTGTCTAATCCTAGAGTGCTTGTCGTATCCTGTGTCTCTTTACTCGCTGTCAGTACTCCTGTTTAGTTTTCGAATGGTTTTGCATAGTCTTGTGCATTTGACCTTACTGTGCGTCGTATCTTTTCCGTGCCTCCAATAATGAGCTTTTTCCAGTGAACAGTAGTCAGAAATTCCACATTTCCAACAAGAACTCAATGGACAGTGCACAGGATGCCAGAAAGGAAAGCAGAGCCGCTACAGAGAATTCCATTCCTACTCAAAATAGATCTTGAATAACACAATTGGTGTCTAGCACCTAAAATATATACAAGAAGATAACTCAATCTCGAATCCCACTATTCAGCATCGCAGCTATCGTCCTCAGGGATAATAGTAGGCGAAGGGATGACTCTAGTTGAGAATGTGGTGTGGTGGTTAGATGTATGTTCTTGCAGAGCCGTTTTGCTTGCTTGTGTGGTCGAGGGGAGAATTGTTGCTGTGGACGAGGAGGAAGGATTCTCGATAGCTGCTGAGGAGGTGCTTGAGGTTGAGATAGGGACTGTCGAAGTCGAGAGATCCAATGAAGTGGCGTGTGAAAGTTCAGTTGACGAAGAGACGATAGCAGCTTGAGATGAGACCACAGCCTCAATGGATGAAGAGGTGGCTACTCCAGCAGCACTTGACACCGCAACCGCGGCAGACGAAGGAGATGCCACTGCGCTCGAAACCATAACACTCGAGCCAGAGCTTCCTACGCTAGCACAAGCAAAACTCATCTTCGTAACCGGAGTTCCCGAAGCCTTCGGAGCGCTCAAATCCCAAACCATATCCACATACGGCCAGCACACTCGATCCGTCCCCACATTCGCAATATCACCGCTGACAAACACACTCGTAGAGTTAGTCACCGCACCAACTTTCGCTCCAGCACTATCCACGAACTGAAAAGAAGTGCCCGCATAAGTGCCTGAGCATCCCAACGGAACAGGCTGAGAATCAGGACTTGTGAGAGTCTTCCAAGTCACGATCGACAAGTTGGAGTTCAGCGTCGCTGTATGGACATTCTGGTGATCCTCAGTAGACGAGTAAGTAATCCAATTGACCTGATCATCGCCCTCCGCAGCACCGACGGTTGACGAGGCTTCAGCTCCAGTAAGTGTATCTTTACTGGACATGGTAGAAATAGCCACGTTATGGTTCAACCATCTGGGACTACACTGCGTGTAAGGGCTTCCCATCCACGCATTCAGCGTCAAGTCTAGAGCGCCGCGAGATTGCCAGGCGAAGATATAGTTCGTTGTTGAAGGGAATAAAGCGAGATTGCTATATGAACCTGACATTCCTCCCATGGGCTCGCCGCTGACTCCGTTGGTGGTGTTTTCGTTTGCGATTTTGACGCCCGACATGTATTGGGTGTCGGTGTTGAGCCAGATGTCGCCTTGGTCCTCTGCACAGATACTAGCGAATGGAGCAGAGTCGGCGGCCTCGAGGCCAATTCCTGTGTTGTGAGAGCAGCCGAATACACTGCTTGCTCCCGTGATTGTTTGTAAAGCTCCTGTGTCGTCGACGTATTGGATTGAGTCTCCGAAGTGGCCTGATGCATTGCCAGTGTATGCTAAGATATTATTATTTGAGATCTTTGATGTCCCACTCTAGTGTGGCATCACATACCAGTAACAACGAAATAAGCACCATAGAGACCAGCAGCTGAAGAGTAGACAAGATCACCATTTGCATCCGTAGTCGCTGTCAACTATCTTGCCTATCAGTTCCAAAATCCCAGGTTCGAACCCGCATTGACACTTACCCCATCAGAAGTATGCACACCCGGTCCGTTCAATGCCGTTGTCCAAGCTTCAACTCCATCCTTATACCTAACAACGACCGTGACATATTCACCAGTAGGTGGAAGATCCGTTGTCCCCGTAGCATTCGTCGTAACCATAACTGCAAACCCATCATTCTGAGCCACCAATCCCGCCGCCTCATAGCCAGTGATCTGCACCGCTGTTCCCACAGCTTCGAAAGTGCTTGTGTTTACTTGTTGAATGACAACATTGCTGTAGCTAGCATCCAGATATGCTAGGTATGCAGAATTTCCATCTGGTGAGACGGAGAACGGAGTTCGGCGATGATGCGGAAGGCCTGTCCAATATGCGGCTTTGATAGGATCGAAGCTCGATTCCAGCGTCAAGGAGTTGGGGAACGAGGATATGATAGGATCAGCGATTGTGCTGCTAACCAGAGCGAGAAGAGAAATGAATGTAAGTTGCATAATTGAAATGCTGTACAAAAGTAAAGACTGACTGAGCACACGTGCTCGAACGGAAATGAAGAAAGCAATGAAGCGTGGTGGGCAAGAAGAAAGTATCTTAAGGAAGAAAGATAATTTATGAGGTTAGAACAACATCACACCAGTCAGCACTCATCTTGTTCGAAACTTTGACGAGATGTGATGTGGGGTTTGGCAAACAAAATTATCACCTGCCCCTCTCGTGCTGGATGCGGTCAGGCTTCTAGACCTCATTAATTCCAGACTCTTGGCATTCGAGTACGAGAGTTCGAAAGCAATAGGGAAACAAAAGACGATTTGGCCGCACAATGTGGAGAGATATTTAAAGTTTGCGGATCCTTTTCATTAAGGTTGAAACATCGACGGAAAATCTGCGGCCGGGAAGAGGCGGTCTCCAGGGGACAGCCCCTCATATCTTAAGACTGCAATCCTTGAGCTTATTTGAATTTCCGGAAATTTGGCAAGTAGAAAATCACCCCAGACAGAATTTGTAAATCATTTGCTTAGCTTTTGATTTTGGTGCTCTATATTGAGGCGGGAAAGGGATCGCTTATGCATTCTTAAAAAGCCTCCTAGGCCAAATTTCCTCCGTTCTTCATATCCTGAGATGTTTTAATAGTCATCACCTCGACTGATGACCTCCTTCACGTTTGGGCGAAGCAAGATTGTCTAGACATGTCAGTAATATCCAAGAAAATAGTTCTCATCAACTCACATGTTCAAATTGCGCCGTGTATGACCCCTTCTTGTCCACTAATGGTGGATATGCTTCGACGATACCGTTCGATACTAGGTTGTTTAACTGCCAAAGGTTAGAAATCTGAAGGAATGGCTTAAATGGCTTAAGGTTCTGAAATACATACTCCAAGCAAGTATTTTTCTTGACCCAGGCGATCCAAATATCTTCTGCAGAACGGCAATGTACCAAAGTTCTTGTTGATGACCTTGAGCAACTTGCTAGCAGATGCAACTTTCAAATCGATCTTGGGAGCATCTGCTCTCTTTGCATAGTGAGATGTTTCATACTGCAAAATATTTAGCAGGCAACTTGACCTTCTCTCCGAAGGAACTTACGTCGTCACGAACGTAACCATTTCCAGTACTTCCAAAAGTCTCAATGGCAAAGACTTCTCCTTCCTCCATCTTCGTCTGATCACTGCTCTTAACGATTGGCACACTCTTGCCACCATGAATTTGCCATTGTCTGATATCATGTCCGTTTAGATTTCGGATACACTTTACGGGGAAAGTCTTGCCGTTGATCTCCACTTCGTAGCTCTCCATAGTCTCCTGAATTGCAGTTCCAATCTCACCCAGACGAGCATCAATACCAGCTTCTCGGATACCGGTGTTTGTACCCTGCTTGACTGCCTCGAGCAGATTATCATACATCGGGTCGAACGCAAGTGTGAAGGCACTGTCGACGATTCTGCCATTGATATGTACGCCAAAATCAACCTTCATGACATTGTCCTGGGCAAGAAGTGTCTTGTTTCCGGCGTTGGGGCTGTAATGTGCTGCAATATGGTCCAGATTGACACCAGTTGGGAAAGCGATTCCACCCTTAATGTTGTCACCCTCTTCCAATCCAGGGTGTCCAGTCAACGCTCGAACTCCATCCTCGATGCCCTCCGCGATCTCGGTCAGGCTCTGTCCAGGCTTGATGTTCTTTTGCGCCCATTGCCGAACCTGTCGATGAATCTCAGCTCCTTGCCGATATTCTTGCAGGAAATCATTGTTCATCCGGTCCAGATGTCTCTTCTCCTCATTGGTGGTCCGGTACAGATTCTCATCTCTGTATTCTACTTCCTCGCCCACGGGATATTCTCCAGACGGGAACAGATTTGACAGCAGGACTCGAGGAGGATCTGATTGCTTCGTAGGAATAGCGCCCGCACCTCCGGCCTTCTTTGGCTTCCTCTTCCTCTTGCGCTTCTTCTTGGCTGCTCCATCTGCCCCTCCTTCTCCAGGCGCCCCCTTGTCCTCTTCATCGTCGTCCGTGTCCTCTGCTTCTAAGTTGCCATTTCCGTTCGCCTTGGCTGCTGCGGCAGAAGCTTTTACGGCTTCAGGATCCTTGACTATTATCTGATTAATCACAAACCATCCCTGGGCATAGGTGCTTTGGAAGATACTAACTTTTCAACATCGCAACAGCGTCCGAAACCTGGGCCGCCATGTTGCCTTGCACAGAGTGCAACTCTGCTGTGTTCAAATCTTAGAGGTTGGCAAATAGGGAGACTCGTGTTCAACACAATAACGAATGTTTGTGGTGATCAGAATTTCGATTCGATTGCGGGGCAAATGCTTTTGTGGTACTCTCGAATTTATTGCCCGTTCAGGCTTAACCTAAGCTAGACTGATATCAATTCTTGATCGAAGTAATGCCGTCACTCTTTTTCGGACTTTCAACTGAATGTCCTCGAGCAACTCTCCCTGCCTTTCCTCCGTATCAGAATATCACATACGGTCGGGATGAGGAATGCCACTCCGTTTCAATTACTTTCCTACAACGGCACGTCTCCGTCGGCACTTCAATACCACTACTATTCGAAGAGATAGCCCTAAGCCAACTCACTATGAGACTCTCGAGATACCGACCAATGCAACGCCCAGCGAGGTGAAGAAGTACGTATAAACCTATTCTTCCTCGGAACATCTGATTTAATCTTTCTACTCCCAATGTTGTGTCCTCGTCGTCCCCAGTCTCCAAGCACACGACCAACATCTAACTAACCTCCTCTTCACAGATCCTTCTACACCCTCTCCAAAACCCACCACCCAGACCGCAACCCCAACGACCCCTCCGCCTCCCACCGCTTCGTCCAGATATCAGAAGCATACGCCATACTCGGCACACCCGCAAAACGCCAAGCCTACGACCGCGAACACCTTTCCCACTCTCATTCCCATCACCACTCACCTCCCCCACAAGGCTCCTACCACTCCTCCGGCCCCGCCGGCGGACGCCCAGCCAGCGGTCTCAGTCGCCGCCGCACCCAATTCCGCGGTCCCCCTCCCTCCTTCTACAGAAGTGGAGGATGGGGCGCTCATTCTGCGAAACGGCAAGCAGCGCAGAATAATGACGCTGAAACGGGAGGAGGAATGGGACCGGGACAGTCGCCGTGGGGACAGGTGAACGATGTGCCGCATTTTGATCGGGAGGGACATACGCGGACGCATGAGAATAATACGCGGCGGTGGGCAAGGAGGAAGGGGATGGAGGACGGGTGGATACCTGAGCAGGGCGCGCCGAGGGGGATGTTGGCGAACTTTTTGTTTGTGAGTGGGATTATTAGTTTGGGGATTTTGGTGCCGAGTTTGATGATCGAGAGGGTCATGAAGGGTGGTAACAGGGACAAGAATTTATGATGCGTATAGAAGAACTTCGTTCGGACGAATGTACTACCTTAGACGATTCGATTACAGCGGCAGAAGCACGATAGAAGCATACGCAGGTGTTACAAGTGGGGTCTTGATTCTGTTTGAGGAGTTATACTACATACAAGCCATTCACCCCCAATGCAACGCAACCACAGGGAATCAACGGGAATCAAGTTTTATCTTCGTGCTCTATCGTACTCGCCAAAGTTGGGAATGACCACTCTATGCATCGAAAGTGAGAGAAGTACCAATCTTGTGGTTGGCTTGGTCGAGCTTCTGGGTATCGAAGGAGGCACCAATGCCAAGTTGAACACCAGGTCGGAGGAGAACGTTGTAGGCAACGGCAGCAATACCACGGTCGTTGATCTTGGCCTGCAGATTTTGTGAGTGGAGTTTCTTCTGATAGTATGAAGTTAACTTGCCTTGGCGAATGAGAGAGTGTCCAGTCTGTACTTAGCAGCAACCTCAAGGCCGACCGATGAACCGGCCTTGGAGTTCCAGGTAGCCTTTGAGCCAGCCTCAACTTGCGAGTTGACCTTGTGGTAGTAAGCAGCAGAGAAGACGCTCAAGTTGTTGGTGGCAGTGACGGAAGCAGTGTATTGGGGAGCAGCATATCCAATAGCAGCAGAGTAGCCGGTGATGGCAGCCTTTTGCACATCATAACCAGCAGAACCACCAGCCAAGAAGCCATCCTGACCAATAACAGCATCAACGGTGGCAGTGGGACCCTTGAGCAGATCGAAGAATGCACGGCCGTGGAAGTTGGCTTGCTTGAAGTGCAAGTTAACTTTTCCACCATAGGCTGAGGTAGCAGGGAGGAAGTTGCCCAAGAGCTCAAGCTTGAGACCCTTGGTGATGGTGTCATTCAGCTCAAGCTTGGTGTCAAGAGCATTGACAGTGTTCCATGATTGAGTGAGAGTCAAGCCTGCACGGCGATAGAACATTAGCAATTGTGCGTAATCGGGCGACACATCAACCATAAAATCGATAATTGGACTGAGACTAGGACGGAAATCGGAGGACATAGTAAATCGTCTGAAGGATATACCGGATGGTTTGTCACTGAACTTGGCCTCCAACTATACGCAGATTTCTCGTCAGTGATCATCGAGGCTTCGTCGTGGGAGATTTCATACCAGACCGCTGGTAGCTCCCTCGTGTGTAGATTTGCCAGTAACCTTGAATGCGACATTGTTGGGGGTGTTTGACTTGATCTCCACAGCCTGAGCGCTCAGGTGATAGAAGTCTTTCGACAAGAGCTATTGATTGTCAGTGTCTAGACTTTCTGAAGATCAAAAGATTCTGGGGTGAGAGCTGTTGATGCGAACGTGCTGCAAAGGAGCAGATCGACGCCAACAAAACAGAACAAGAGAAAAGAAGATAGCACCTACATCGTTAGACGCCTTGGAGATGTCTGAGAATGCTGGGACCGACATATTGATGGTAGGGAAACGATTGATGCGTTGACGAAGAGATGAGGAATTTGTTGATGTGTTTGAAAGCTCTCCAGACAAAATGTGACCAGGAAGATCTGCTCGAACCGGTACTTCCCGACCGGGGAACGTGCCCCTCATGATTGGCTCGAATTTAGCTCAGGTCTCAGGGGTATTTCTTTATGCGTTGAATGAGGCTGTAATGCATCGATTAATCACATTGCGAAGTTTGTTCATGCACTTTTATAAGCTCAGTCTAGCATGATAATAGCTCAATCTATCCTGGAACGGAAACCACGCTCGACTCCTCTAAGGTTTATTTACATTGGTTTTGCAACGGAGCATTTGGCCCAAAGTTGGATCCACGAGATCTTTACTCCCATGTAATGAGGTATTAAACTCCGATTGATGACAACATTGCTAAGAAAGAAAAAGTTTTCTCCTCATATCTCAAGGCTACGGGGCTGCATTCATGCTTCTTTCTTTTCGTCCCCAGCCTCATACTTCTGGTTGTGGATGGCAATGGCTCTATTTTATTGATCAGCTGCAAGTTATCCTGCTTTCAAGGTTGTTCAGCTTACCTTCCACTGGGATCAGTCTGTTTCGACCAAGTTGGTGTCCAGCGTTCGACAGTCTCTGCACAAGACGGTGGGAAATGCTCATCGAACATTGTTCTGTACCAATAGCTTTGAGTCTGTCAGCAATCGAACCCGCTGGATGGACATTCCTGAACTTACGCTTCCTTGCTATCTGGGATATCGCTGCCCCATTCTGGCTTGGGGTTCTTCATCATTTCATCAGTGACATGGAGTTCGGCGTTGTCCTTGAGAGCATCGATCCATCCGTAACCAACACCATCACTGAACTGCTCCTTTTGTCTCCACAACACCTTCTCGGGTAGGTATGGCTTCGCTCCTGGCTCCAGGACCGAGACATCAAATGCTTTTCGCATGATGTACTTCTCCATCCGCTCGCCCTTCACAATCATCTTGTCCTGAGGATCAATGTTCATTGCGACTTCCAAAAACTATCTCTTTGTTAGTGTCTTGATTGATCGTATCAAGCTTTTCTCTTACCTCCTTATCCAAGAATGGGACACGAGCCTCAAGACCCCAAGCAGAAGTGGACTTGTTGGCTCTCAGACAATCTGACAAGTGTAAGTTTTTGACTCTTCGGATTGTTTCCTCATGAAATGCTTCCTTGGTCGGAGCAGCATGGAAATAGAGGTAACCTCCAAACATCTCATCACTGCCTTCACCACTCAGAACCATCTTCACACCCATAGCCTTGATTTTTCTTGAGAGCAAGAACATAGGAGTAGAGGCACGGATAGTCGTCACATCATATGACTCCAAATGATAGATGACGTCTGTCAGAGCGTTCAAGCCCTCCTCGATAGTGAAGGTCATATCGTGGTGCTTGGTTCCCAAGAACTTTGCGACCTCCTTGGCAGCCTTAGTATCGGGTGCATCGGGCAAACCAATTGAGAAAGAGTTAAGCTGGGGTAGATAGGTGACAGTGGATAGCTTTCCATCGTCGCTGATACCAACCAAGCCTTCTCCCTTATCCTCGTCTTCCCGGCTGGTTTCCGAATCACCGTTCTGCATTTGCGCCAAAGCAGCCGCCTTCAGACGTAAAGTCTCGCGTTGGGCGATTGATGCGACTAAACTCGAGTCAAGACCACCAGACAATAGCACACCGTATGGGACTTCAGCCATCAATCGCTTTCGTACCGACTTCTCGAATGTCTCACGAAGCAGCTTGTAGTCAACAGGCGTAGTAGGAACCTTAGCTGGATCCCACCATGAGGGTTGAAAGTATCTGGTAGTTGTGTCGGTTTTTGAATCATAGACATGACCTGGAGGGAAGGCAATAATCTTGTCGCAGACAGAGTGCAAGCATTTCAGCTCAGAAGCAAAGAATACAGCTCCTGGCATCTTGCTCGACCATCCTTGGTAAAAGCTGGTAATTCCAATTGGGTCGCGTGCTGCAATGACTCGGTCTTCCTTCTTGTCATAGAGAACGAAAGAGAACATTCCGTCGAGGTACTTTGGCGCATCGATACCATATCGCATGTACTATTCTTATTTCAGCGCCCTCTCTCAATCTAGTATGTCTTATCTCTCACCAGTGGTATTATGACCTCGCAATCGGAGTGAGTCTTGAAGTGGTATGGGGTCTCGAGGGTCTTTCGAATGACTCGGTGGTTGTAGATCTCACCGTTGACGGCAAGGGCAATAGTCTCATCGCTGTTGGTAAGTGGCTGAGCTCCACTGTCGACACCGACGATACTCAGACGTTCGTGGGCAAGAACTATATGTTGTTAGTCACAACACTCTGGTTTGCAGACCAATTGCGATCTTACTTGTGCTGTTGGCCAAAAAGCTTCCACTCCAATCTGGTCCTCTGTGACGGCACTGCTTGACCATCTTCAGCGCAGTAGGCTTGAAGGCTTTTGCGTCTGGCACATGGTGACACCCTGTTGTGCTCACATGTTAGCAAGAGTTTTCGAAGGAGGCGACTTTCACCTCAGCAGATTTTCAAAACATTGGAAAATCTCTCGACTGAGTAATACACATGTTGAACTTCATAATACTGACCAACAATTCCGCACATCTTGTAAATGTAGCGGTGGGCGACTTTTGGTTGCTCTTGGGATGACTCGTACGGAAATTAGTTGTGTAGAACGTGAAGAGGACTTTGTAGGAATTGATCTCTTCAATTGCAGACTAATTGGTTTGCAGGTCAATTGACGGATGTGTGAAGAGACTGAGCTTTGGTATGATGTGAGCAAGAAGAGCTGCGAAGCGTTGGGTATTAAGTAATAATTGTGACTCTTCACCAAATTTCTATCTTAGTGGGGTCATTGCCGATCTTCGGAACTAGGTTAATGCAGGTCGACCGATAACAGCCTCCGTCAAACTGTCTTTCGTGAAACCAGTCATCCGACGTCTATTACCACGAGCTTTGAACCGCATTTCTGCGCTGTGGAGAGGTCAGATGGAATTCAATCTCTCAAAATGCATCCATTTCCCATCCCACGCCCTGCTTCCCCTCCATCGTACCCCCGCAGAGTGGGGTATGCGGGCTTGTATCAGCTGATCGTGGCCGTGGGTAGCTCCATGCTCGTGTGCATTGGACATATCAAATAAAGCACAGTTGTCACACAGAGGTAAGCCAAAACAGAGTCATGAACTTCGATTTTCCCGCATTACGTAGGCCTATTTGGAGACTTGTATCCTTCCTCCAACTTAATCCCTCAACTGCTCCCAAAGTCAAAGCCCCCCGTGATGCTCAGTCCGCAATCGAGAAAGCCCTAGCAAATCCCACCAACGCCTATGCTCAAATCGCCCACCCATACATATGCCTCCCACTCCGTAGCTGTTCAGGGTGCTGGGTTATCCCGCACAATTCGCTTGATTTTATTCTCGTATGCCGCGCGATCCTTCTTGAATAGGTTGTATGCATCAGCCTGAGCTGGGGAGTCAGGGTTAGGGTCGTCAAGGAGATCTTGAACACCGAGGAGAATCTGCTTGATGGTGATCGCCGGCTTCCAGCCTTCCTCTTCGTTGAGAATCGAGAGGCAGACCGTACCGGATGGATAGACGTTGGGGTGGAACAATGGGGGGACGAATTTGCCTGTGATCATTAGTACTCACAGCCGCGAGACAAATCTAGGAACGGCTCGTACACTTCGGGGGCTTTGTGGGATACTCTGCCACGTCTATTAGCATCTGACTTGGATCCATACACGTTGCGACTCACCATCGGGAAATATGACGCTCAGCTTGAACAGCCCGCCCTCCCAAAGAGTCTTCTCCTTGCCTGGAATTCCGCACTCCCAAATCTTCAGATCAAGGACACCAGCGGCATTTCGTTGAGGCTTTGCATAAAACCCAAATGGATGATCTCGTCGCCATTGCTTTCGCTCCTCCTGCAGACGGTTTTGGCAAAGAGCCATGGTTGTTGTGATCTTTCAACGCCTCTTAAACGCGAACCGCTGGATGTTGGTATCGCGACTTGAGGAGGCTGAAAAGAAGGCCGTGAAAAACACCGAGATAAAGACCTCAGGAATTCTTGGTTGCGATGATGATTCACTTAGAGTCTTTGTAACCTGTAAGCAGGCTGGGAGACAAAAGTATGGTGGTTCTTCGTCGTGGTCGAGGATGAGGCTGAAGTGGGAGAAGAGACTCAAGTCGCGAGATTTTTAGAAGGTTGCCACAATCGCGATTGGCAAGCGAGGAAGGAACAACCAGGGCCTGGACTATACCGAGGTCTTCTAGAGTTGGTGAATTTCAAGATTTATGAAATAAAGATGAAAACCACAAACTTCATATAATTTCTACAAATACTTGTCGGTTCATAAACTTTCCTCTCCTAGCCTGCCTTTCTAGACTCTAGACTTTTATCTTTCATCAACCCCGCACAGCGCATGCGACGCTGCAAACAACCGTCACAGCCGCCTGACACGAGCCGATATCGAAGTGTACAATCCTTTGAGTCGCAAACATTGCCCAGATGAGCACCACCGACATGGAGAAGAAGGCAGATGACTTGGAAGGTCTAGCAGAGACCTCTGGGAAGATTATGGAGAAAGAGAAAGAAACGGCTTCAAAACCTACAGCAGAAGCTGCCAAGTCAGAAGATGTTGCACCAACAGAAGATATACCGGACCCGGATGAGGATGACCTGGATGACTTAGATGGTAAAGCTCACTCGTGCCTATGCTCTTTAATTCTAACATGTCTTCCAGATATGCTCGACGAGTTCTCTCCTTCAAAGCCAGAACCTACCCCTCCCAAAGCTGCCTCTGGCGCTGGAGCTTCTGGCCCTGGCAGACCTCCAGCGCCAACTACAGACCTGCTTCCAAATGATATTTCTGATGAAGACTTCGCGAAGCAATTCCAAGCCGGTATGGCAGAGTTGATGGGCGAAATGGATACTTCTCCTGATATGGCAGCGCAATTCGAGAACTTATTGAAGGAGCTTGGTGGGGCAGCAGCTCTGGGCGAAGCAGCTGGATTAGGACCTGCCCCTCCTATTCCCACATCGAGCAAGGAGAAGGGACCCAGCACAAAAGCCAAAGCAGGACCATCTGCGGGTACAAATGCAGCTGAAGAGTCGTTCCAGGAAACCATCAAGAAGACAATGGAGCGAATGCAGTCAAGCGGAGATCAAGCTACTGCTGCAGCTGCCAGTGAGAACACGGATGACGTGCTAGCGGAAATGATGAAAGCCATGCAATCAGGAGCTCTAGGTGGTGAAGGGGGCGAAGAAGAGTTTTCAAAGATGCTGCTAGGCATGATGGAGCAATTAACCAACAAGGAGATCTTGTATGAGCCTATGAAGGAGCTGGACGACAAGTTTCCCGATTGGATGGAGAAGAACAAAGATAAAGTTGCGGAAGCGGATCTGAAGAGATACAAGGAGCAGCAGATTTATGTTAGGGAGATAGTGAAGAGGTTTGAGCTCAAGACGTACAAAGATGAGAATGCTGTAGATAGAGAGTATATCGTAGAGAGGATGCAAAAGGTTGGTGATTTTCATCTGATTACTATTTGTTCTGTGCTGATTTTATACAGATGCAAGCGGCTGGATCTCCACCTCCAGATCTTGTTGGAGATATGGCAGCAGCGCAAGAAGCTTTTGGGGCGCCGGAAGAGAGTTGTCCGACGCAATGAAGAAAGCCAATCCCAAATACTCTGGACCAAGCTTGTGATCAAAGCTCGTAATACTCCAACATGAGTATATACAATGATACCCCATAACGCCTCCCTATGCTTCCGTTGATGACTCGAATAATGTCTGCTCAAAACGCCTGCGCTCAAATGCTAAGCAAATGCTCGGAAAATCCATCAACACTAACTCATATCCATCATGTCTTGATCCTGTGGATAACCAGAGGATTGTTGCTGGCTTGACATTCGCTCTTCCTCGTGAATGACATCCATGAAGATATCATCGTACTCATCATCACTACCGTACGGTGTGTCTGATCGCACATGGTCCTGAGATGCTGAATTTGCCGGCTTTTGGTCGTTGGAATTGCTCCACATCGGGGCATTCATGTTATGTTGCGGCAACATCGGTTCATCCAAAGCTTGATTCCCAGTGCCGTGGTCGAGATATCCAAGAAGAGCTTCCAACTCCTGCTCCTCATTCAACGCGACTTCATCAGCCATAACCTCATCTATAAACAAATGAGTTAGTGTTTCATCCAAATCTCCCTTTCGACAATAGTAACATACCAATACTCAATTCCTCCTCTTCCACATCAGCCTCAATCCCCATAACCTCTTTCCTCATCCTTTCCTCCAATCTCCTCTGCTCAGCAACCCAAATACACCGCATAATCTCCTCATCCCCACCCCTATTCTTCCACCTCTTCTCCTCACTCGCCTCCCTAACATTCTTCAAGAACAGCTTCCTCCTCGTCTCGCGCCCCTCATCCGCGCTCGCCCGTCCGTGAATCAGCGGATTAACCTTCGTCGTCCGCTTACTGAAACTACTCTCCTTACGCGACGGCGGCGGAGACGGTAATGCGTTCGGTGATGGTGTAGTAGAGGAGATATGCGACTCGGTTTTCATCCGCGATGGTTTAGTCGGAGAAGACATGATGGTGTCGGCGGCGCGTGAAGGCACATTTGCGTCGCGGGGCGAGAGCGGGGAGGGAGAATTGCGCAGTGGAGAGGAAGAGAGTGGTGATGGGACGTGGGGTGTGTAGTAGTGGGATTGATTGTTCGTGTCTCGTAATCGGGGGAGTGTGCTGAACATCTTTGGTGGTCGTGGTTGTTGTTGATGATGTTCGGTGTTGAAGATTTGGATGGCGGAAGTTGCTTTCGGCGGACGCGCTTACGGACGCGATTTCATCGCGTAAAGAGGTGGATCGAGCTTGGCTTGTTTCGGCGATGTCACTTCTTCACTCGTGGGTGGGATCAGCAGATTTCAGCAACTTCCTGATACTTCGAACATGAGTGCACGAGACTATTGCAATGTTTGATTCATTATCTGATGAGATCAGCTACAGTTTGAAGTTGCCTTCCGAAATCCTTTCGATGTTAGAAGAGACCTGATCGTCCCATTCATGGCAGATCTTCATCCTTCGTTGTCAATATCGTACAGGTATGCCAATAAAGTAGCAAACAAGAAGAGCAAAATGCCCCAACGCCTCCGCTGGTATTCAGACAGCGAGCCCCTATAGCAAAGCCTCTAATTCCATTTCTCATTCCTCGTTCTCTGTTTCGGCTGCCACTCGCAGTTCGTAGCTGAGCTCGAAGCATTCTGCAAGTAGGTCGTTCACGCTACCTTGTCCTTCTGGGATATCCTCTCCAAGCATGAACTTCCCATCTACTCTCATGTTGTCGATTGAGTTGAGCTAAAACAGCGTCAGCGATATCATGAGCTCGAATGCATGTGCAATTTACTTTCATGCTGTAAGGATAAAGCTCTCTTGGTGAGCTGACACCTCCGGAGTTCTTGACCTCAATCAGACAGCGTCTCAAAGTCTGAAGTTGGTTGTAAACAGGTAGCAGGGCTTCAGAAACAGGTTCCGATGACACCATTAAGTAGTAGATGTATGCATAGCTCCGTCTGATCAGATACAACAACGTCTAGAAAGGTGAGTAAGTGTAATCTTATTACATGTTCAGGTTAATACTGACTCGTTGAACATATAGTTCCGCAAAGTTTTCTTCGGCGTCCACAAAGTTGCCATCAACGCGGCTTTCATCAAACTTGTCCAATTGCCTCTGGTAATCGTATAAGTCTGTTTCTCGAAGCGACCATGCTTGAGTCAATGAGAGTTTCTCAAGTCTGTTTCGAATATCAACGAGGATTTGATATGGTTCATTGAAGGCGTCGGGTATTTTTCCCTTCCTATGATGGATCAGCAAGAATTGAAATCATTGGAGCGCTACACGTACCGCTCGAGAACAATTTCTGACCAGCGCAGGCATTTGAATAGCAGTTCTCCAACTTCCTCATTGCTAGCCGGTACTTCTCCACTCGCAGTCACGAATTTGCCGTCCACTCGATGTGAATCGATTTCCTTTGCTTGGGCCTGAAGCTTTATTACTTCGCTCGAGGAAAACTATTGGGCAAAAATGTTAGTGTTAAATCTCAAGATTCTGCCATCCTCGATCTTACTTTTGCTCTAGTATTGGCTAGTGATATGGATCGCAAGATTGAGATTAGCTTCTCATGTATCGCGGGCAGTCCTTCACCTAGCCGATCGAGCCGATTTTGGAGATTTGTAAGTGATGCTTGGCATAACTCAATCCGGTTTCTGAGGAGGGTGATGAGCTTTGGTGAATAGCTTGCTTCGGCATTCTTAACGATATCTCGGAGTCGGTTGAGGGTATGCGAGACATGTGTAAGATCCTTTTCAGAGTACAAATCCACCTCGGTGAAGTGGTCCAGTAAGCGCTTGATAGTGGAAGTCAACGCATACGCAGCAGGAGCTTCATTATTCCGGCCAATGGTCATGAAAAACAGAGACAGAAGTTGAAAACATCCATCCAACACGCGATCAACTGCTACCGTCAGAGGTGGCTCAATGCCTATACATATCTGCATAACGTACCTCGATTATCTTCCTGCGGCTTATCGGTTCTGATCTCGTTCAAATCTCTGACCTGGTCAACGGTCCTGTCATAGAGAGCCATAACATCTGAAGACTTGACATAGGTCGACCTGTCTTGCTTCAAAAGCGTCAACTCATCTCGTATCCGTAACAAGCTATCAAGAATAGGTTGTTCTCGCGGATCCAGAGGAAGGGGGAGCGTAGGAGTATCAGCCATGTCGCCGAGGCTCAAGATAAGGTTTGCGGATATTGTTGAGGGTGTATGTGATCCGATAATAAATCAATCCCCAGATCTCAATCGTCTTCAAGGAGGATCAAAATATGTAAATATTCAAAGTTTCCGTCAGATATGACATCTCCCCGCAGCTTATCGGATCTCGAGCGGGGCTAAGCTAGGTTGCAAGGGTCTAACGTCGTAAGCTCGGAATTGCTGTCAGGTGATCGGCTACGGGCCACACGAAAGGCACAACGAATTTTTGAAATAGCACTTGAATTTCGCGACGACTTACTTCAAAGTTCCTACACGAGAAAGTAAAACTTACGACAACACAGTCACCTGTTGGTACGTCGCATGAGTTATACAATGTCTGGGAAGAAGAATTAGCACTGATCACTGTTCTCCAATCCATAGATTCTCAAAATGTCGAACGCTGAGCTCGCAACCTCCTACGCGGCTTTGATCCTCGCCGATGACGGTGTTGATGTCACTGTACGGTCCCAATCTCCTCGAAACACTGCAAGAAGCAGAATTACGGCTGGCAGGTGCTAATACATGATATTCAGGCCGACAAATTACAAACTCTCATCAAGGCTGCCAAGATAGAAGATGTTGAGCCCATCTGGTGCTCTCTTTTCGCCAAGGTACGAAACAACACGCTAGAGAGTAGGAATACAAAGGGACGGTACTGATGCTCTGGATTTGTAGGCTCTCGAGGGCAAGGATGTCAAGGACTTGCTGTTGAACGTCGGATCTGGTGGTGGAGCCGCCGCTGCGCCAGCTGCTGGTGGAGCTGCTGCAGGAGGTGCCGCTGCTGCTGAGGAGACCAAGGAGGAAGAAAAGGAAGAGGGTACGATTTTCTCCCCAATTTCAAAGGTCTCGAATTGTGATACTGACATTTTCTACAGCCAAGGAGGAGTCAGACGAGGATATGGGTTTCGGTCTCTTCGACTAAGCGCGCTTCTTCAACTTTCCTGTCTGTACTTCAAATGCATGGCCACGGTTTTCTCGGTGCAACATTTGGCTGGTCACTGGTCGAGTAGCTTTCCATAGATAAGCAAGCTCATGAGGAAATTCGCAACTGCGCAACAGGTCTATGTGAATTGCCGGGAGTGACGTGTGGAGGGAATACCGTTTCCAGAATCATCTCTTGCCATGTTGGTGGTCACTGAACATCAAAGTCACGAATTCTGCCTGGCAAATACAAACGGAGTGAAACGTGCCCTCCCGATCTCTACGTGTTTCCAAGCAGAATTGATTTCTAGCCAATGCTCTACGATGCTGGGTCATGGTCCAAGTGGTGGCTTCAATGAGTTCCTTCAATGGCTCGTTTCTCCCAAAGCACAGGTCCGTCGGAGGAAACGACCCGGTTCTTGGTCCCTGCATGACAACCCCATGTTCAGCAAACGGACCAAGATTTTTCTTTTGACTTCCACCAAAGTTCGTCAGAGACAATGCTAGGCATGTAGAATACCATGTCAGTACATGGAGAATGAATGTCTTTGAAGACCCCACTCTGCTTTGAGCATTGCGGCTGCAAGGCAGTCCTCCATTCCCGTCTGCTGTAAGCATCTTTCTATATAGATTGAACGTTCTATCACCAAGAAATGCTCATCATCAACCAGCACATTCAGCTCTGATTTCTCAATCGCTCCAAGCACTCACTCATCTTCTCATTCTCTTCAACAAGCTCAACATGAAGCTCTTCCTCCTTGCTTCAGTTCTCTTCCTGCATCTAGTGGCCGCCATGCCCACACCAGTCCTCCCACCTCACTCCTGCACCACTATCACCCCCAAATCCCTCACGGCCCTCGACAACTCCTCCCCCGATTTACCCTTCCCCCAAGGCCTCTTCGCCGGCAGTTCCAGCTTGATGATCATGCACAACAACATCAACGGTAGAAACCCTCCGTCCCTCCCTACCAATATTTCTAACCCTCAACCCAACAGCCACCAACCCAACCCACTCCCTCCAACTAATCGAATTCGCCATCCCGCAAACCACCTCCGGTGCCACCGGAGCCTGCCAACTCCAAATCACGGACCCGGCCTGCAGCCTCACATTCACCGACTCAAACGACTACGCCATCCCCTCTCCCGTGCAACTGAAAGCCATCTCCCTGCACGCCATTACTACTGGTAACAACATCTCATACAACGATATCTTCAGCGCTGAGCCGTCACTTGTATCTTCGTGGGACTTTGGAGATGCGGTTATGAGTGCGGGCGATACTGCGAGTATTTCTAATAGTGAGGGGTGCGAGGGGAGTGTGTGGTATGTGTTGGATTATGAGGATGTGGCGGATGGGGGGTATAGTGAGTGGAGTATGTTTCAGCAGGATGAGGATGAGGCGAGTGGGATGGAGCTTAATGGGGTTTATCTTACTTATTGCTGAGAGCTGCTGCAACACACAATACTGAGGTAACTAAGAGATGGGTTTATGTTTGATGATCTGGAAGGTGCTGGGTTGTTGCTGACGCTAAATTGTGGTTTTTGGGAAGAGGGAAAGGAGTGAAATGTTTGGATATAAGTTAGAGGCAGATCATCAATGAGGAATACGGTTAAAATACATTTAAGAGCACTTTTCGAGTAATGTTCGGGACTACAGTATCTCAACGTCCTTCTCACTGCTGGACATTTCCCGCCAATAACTTTCCGAAAATGGAAACATCCATACTACAACTTTCTTGAAGCATGGAGACTCTTTAAAGATGTTTGTGTAGAAAAAGAGTGGAAAATTCAACAGTGACTTGAGCATATTTTTACTTCTAGAGAGTCCGAATTGTCCCAACTGAGGCCGAGCATGGGATAGAAGCTCAAATCTGTCTCTAGTGGTATTTGACTTGGTTCTCTGGTCTTGACATAAGGTCATTAAAATTTGAGCTCCCTAGACATTTTTGATGGCTTGGTGATAGTACTCAGATATTCTGAGATCTCAGAAGTAGAAGAAAATTCACGGAGCAAGTAGACTAGAAGGGGAGCAAAACAAAATCCAAGGGAGTGTTTGGTTGCTCCTTACGGGAGATGCTTTTGATCGATGGCTCAATTCGTATCTCACATTTAAAGCAGTAAGAAACGCACGGAGAGAAACCTCAGATGCATATAAACAAGGATATCATTGAACTTTTCTCAGTCCCGAAAACTCCGTATACTCTACAACCAGATCAATCCAACCTACGACCGCTTCATCTTAGCAAGCAAATTCAATGCGCTGCCCGCGAGGATGAAACCGCACTGATCCTCACTCAACGTATGCTTCGTCTTGATCGTAATCGTCTTCTTTGACTTCGCTTTCTTGACCTGCAGACTTATTTCACCCTTTCCACCATTCTTCAACGTATCATACAACCCCACTGTCTCAACCTCATCGCAGGCATCGATTTTGCCGTAATCCTCACCATTCGCAAACGTGAGAGGGACCACACCCTGTTTCTTCAAATTTGTCTCATGAATGCGAGCAAAGCTCTTTGCGAGAATGACTCTGCCGCCAAGGTATCGTGGTTGGAGAGCAGCATGTTCACGTGCTGATCCTTCGCCGTAATTATCTTCTGCTACAACAAGCCATTCCAGACCTTGGTCTTTCCATTTCTGCGCAAGTTCAGGGATACCGAATGTGGTGCCATCGAAGTCATACGCTACGTTTACTTCGCCTGTAGCAGCATTGACTGCTCCGATTAAGGTGTTGGCACTGATGTTGGGGAGATGGCCTTTGTATTTGAGCCAAGGACCAGCGGCGGAAATAGTATCGGTTGTGCACTTCCCAGTGACTTTGTACAGGACTTTGAGACCTTGGAGGTCACTTTCTGGAAATGGGGCAAATGGCTCAAGGAGCGCGAGTCGGTCAGATGTAGGGGAGACGACAACTTCGGTTTGAGGTGAAGGAGCGCCTGATGTTGGTAGGAAATCTGGGTTTCCAATTTCGAAGCCTGAAGCTGGAAGTTCGGCGCCAGTTGGTGGTGAGAAGCGAAAGGCTGCCCCTGAAGGAGTAGTGAGAGTGTCTGTCAGAGGGTTGAAGGTTGTGCTACCGGCGTAAGACATGGCAGTCACGATTTCTGGTGATGCTAAGAAGTTCATGGTCTCTGGGTTACCATCATTTCGGCCGCGGAAGTTTCGGTTGTATGATGTGAAGATGGCGTTGTGGTCTCCTTTATTGACATCATCAGTCCTCTTCCATTGCCCTATACACGGACCACAAGCATTGGCCAAGACGATACCGCCAGCGTCCTCGAAAGTCTCCAGAGTAGAATCTCGCTCAAGAGTTGCTCGAATTTGCTCACTGCCAGGTGTAATGAAGAAGTCGGTTGCTGGCTTCAGGCCTGCAGCAGAAGCCTGTTTAACAAGATCCTCGGCTCTAGCCATATCCTGGTAAGAGCTATTTGTGCAACTACCAATGAGACCAGCAGATACTGTCTCTGGCCAATTGTTGGTCTTAACTGCTTTGGCAAAGACGGACAACGGTGTCGACAAATCAGGGGTGAATGGTCCATTGACGTGGGGCTCAAGAGTAGAGAGATCAATTGTAATCAGTTCGTCATATTGAGCACCTTCATCGGCTCGCAGCATGTTGACCAAAGAAGGTGAAGAAGCAATTGTTTGAGCTTGTAGAGCAATCGATGATCTATGAGTTGACTCGAGGTATGGGACATGCCGTGTAGAGAACGGGTAAAGTGATGTTGTGGCCCCCACCTCGGCGCCCTGCCATAATCAGCAATTGTGACAATACTTAGTGAGAATAAACTAACCATATTACATATTGTTGCCATCCCCGTGCAGCTCAGCGAGTCAACACCTGGGCCATGATACTCAATAATATACCCCGTCCCACCTCGGACAGTCAATTTTCCAGCAAGAGCTAGAATAACATCCTTTGGCGAGGCCCAGCCGTTTAATTGTCCCTCCAGTCGAACACCCAAGATCTTTGGGGCCTTCAATTCCCAAGGCGCATCAACGAGGGCGTCTACAGCATCAGCACCACCAACACCAATTGCAATGGCTCCCAATCCGCCAGCATTCGGAGTGTGACTATCTGTACCCAACATCATCAATCCCGGAGCAGCATAGTTTTCCAAGACGGTCTGATGAATGATGCCAGCTCCGGGCGGCCAGAACTCAATGCCATACTTCTTTGCTGCAGATTCCAAGAAGTCGAAGACCTCCTTGTTGCCCTTGATTGATTCTGGAAGATCCACATCTGCACCCCTCTCCCCCACAATCATATGGTCACAGTGTATGCTAGCAGGAACCGCAGTCGAGGGAAGGTTGCAGGTCATGAATTGTAATAAAGCCATCTGCGCTGACGCATCCTGCATTGCCACTCGATCGGGCTTGAGCTTGAGATTCGCATTTCCTCTGATATTGGCGCCATTTTCGGTATTGGTGAGAAGTGCTTCTTCAGGATTGTCGAGATGTGAATATAGGATCTTTTCGGCCAATGTGAGCTGCCTTGAAGAACCTAGCACCCGTCGAACTTCATGGAGTCGTTTGAGGAGTTTGGGGTAAGGCGGGGTTCGAGACTCGATATCTGGAGAGTATGTTGTGGAATTGTTGACCGTTGCCAAACCGCGAACACAGAGAAGTCTGAGACGGCTTCCTTGGCTCTGTGAAAATTCGTTAATTGGCAGATTTGTACTAATCTAAGGATTACTTACTCTAAGAGCGAGCCTGGTGGTACCTAGCATCCCCAATGCCATCTTGTCAGTGTTGAGAAAAAAAGATCGGGAAGCTCGAAATGTGCCCGGTATCGCAGAGCATAAAATCGGATTGGTTACAGCGGGGTTGTGATTGGGCCGCTACAACAGCCGACTTTAGGCTCGTGCGCCCCTGTATTCTACAACCACATCACGAACGTCAGTCCTTCTTCTGTGACTGTTATCAGATTCAAGAATTTATTGTCTTCGAGATCTGTGTGACGAGACATGCACAGAACCAGAACCTCGTTCCTTTGTCGAGCCTACTTAGATCGCAATAGACTACATTACAATGAAACGATAACACGACAACTGGTAATTGTACAATCACCGTTGTCTGTCGTATTCATGGTGCTATCTCCTGATCCATGGCTTCCAGTCACATCTCCAAAATCATATTCTCTCAAAAAACCTTGTTGACGCTGACAATGTACGGGACATTGCAGATTAGAACGTTGTTGGAGTAGAGGTACGATATGCTTGTGTTAAAGCTCTTACTCCCCGATCTGTAACAAAGAGTTAACCTAAATCCAATGTGGGAAGCAAACATGCCATGCCCAGAAGCGTCTTGTATCAGCCTTAGCTCCTCTAACTTGAGATGATAACGGTCCTGAAAAGGAAGGAACAAAGCATGAAAATGTAGAGAGAAGAGCGGATGCCAACATCAGCTTGTTTCAATGGAACAGACCCCTAGCAGTATTTCCCTGACAAGGTGGCGCAATACTTCGTAAGCCACCAAGTCCTAGAGTTGGTTTAATTTCAACTCCAGAGCAGTGCTCAAATGTAGTAAAGTCTAAGTACAGCTTCAATTCCTGACCTCGCTGCTAAACAGTGCCTCTGTCTCGTTTGACGTGGTAAGTCATCGATTGATGCGTTAAGATTATTGCACCCGTATTAGTTTTGCTTGCTTTGCACCTGAATCTTCGTGTAAAAAGATCTTTGGTACACACTGGCTGCTTGAATTGTGGTACACAGAGCTTTCGATTGCCTGCCTTCGTATTATCTACGATAGTAGATGCTTGTTTCTTGGTCCCTGATGGTGTTACTTTGCTGGTGTCAGCGACTTTCTTAATAAGTTGGCCGCGTTCATGGCCCGACATCGTCAGAACATCGTACGGGTACGCTAGCTATCATTCCTTCACCAGGAGTGGATGGGCTACCCAGGTATGGGTGGAGAGATGCTAGTAAAGCATAAGCCTTTCATGAAAAATAGACTGTTGAACTTTCATTCTGGTACCGTTGCAGTCTTGCGTTTATGGATCGCGTGCGGCAATTATGAAAAGTCCTGCATGTAAATTCAGTAGGATATCACACTTGGGAGAATTGGGAGATATCCTCACGAGTTCCTTCGGCTCTACCTAGGTAGGAACTTTACTAGACATGGTTGGTTGAGAGTAAAGGAGTCGTGTTCTGGGGAAACGGCAGCTGCATAGAAGGACTGCTGATGAAAGGACGGCGCATTACCGGAGCAAGTTATGAGAATAGTTTGCCTGGACCAATGATGTTTCTTGCTCACCTGGTTCTGGAAGTGGTAAGGCTGCAGTCAGGCACACTTAGCTCCGGTGAATCTATGGCAAGCGTTCGTATACTGGGTTCCTTCTTGTTTGGGTGCCCTTCGCTTCGCGAGATCTTTCCCGCTGTTTACATACAACCGATCTTTACCAATTTCTCTCCAACCTCCCAAATATCTCACCCTACTCAACTCAACACCACTTCTTCAACCGTCATACTCGAGTGACTCGCACTGTAGTTCTCGAGGCCAACGTAAAGTAATTGGTACGTCTCGGGCCTTCACAGTTTCTCTTTCGTGCGCTGGTGTCTCTTACCATCTACCGAATCTGCCAAAGATCCTTTTATGGCAGTTGTCACTTCTACCCGCCGCGTCCATTTGGGTTCTCATTCAACATGGCAATCAAGCACTTCTGCAACATCCCTGAGGACGTTGTCGAGTGATTGAGAAGCCGTATTTTCATCGATTTCGACGCGTATTTCCATGTCGTTGACTCGTCGTTACCCGTCTCTTATCAACTTCGATCTCTCCCTCACCAAACAAACACATCACCCGTTCATAGCAACGCATTCGCACTGACTAGTAGCTAACGAATCTATTGCAGAACAAGAACACCTAGACTACATAAAGATTGATTGCCCGATAATCACAACAAAGACTTGCAGGGTAGTGCCTCGACATGGCGAGCACCACACCTGGCAATGGGGCCCCTCCGGGTGACTCTTCGGAGCGAACAGCTGAGCAGTTGGCCGCTGTTTATGCAGCTATGATGGTCAGGCACCACTGCAAGCTTTCTTGACCTGGAAGTACTGACCTACCTACAGGAAGAGCTTGGTGTTGGTAGAAAGGATGAACTACCACTTGCTGATCGAAACGAGAACGTTGTCGTCGATACAAGTGTAATCAAGAGACGTGATGTCACCGCTGGTCCTGGTGCTTCGTGGCATAGTAATCTAACTCATCTCCATGCCTTGTGCCTTGCTAATATCTTCAGACATTGTTTTCGACGATGTCAACCCAGCCGACGATGACCTTGACTCAATTGCCGAAGGCCAATTGTATCGCCTCCGAAACATGGCTCTTACTGGAAGTAGTCAAATTTCCGGAGGTAGTGGAGGCCGTGGAGGCCGCGCAGACCGTGGAGGTCGTGGAGGGTACAGAGGTCGTGGAGATCGTGGAGGCTTCTCACAACGTGGCGGCCGTCATTCATCTGGTCAAGAGCCTGCTTACAACATACCACGTGGTGGTCATGCATCACCTGGTCGAGGTTTTGTTCCTAACAGGTTTGTATTCCTGAATCAGCTCAACTAATTATACTGACAAAAGATAGACAACCACCACCTCACCTAGCCACGTTCACCCAGACATTCTTCAACGATGCTCGACAGGGTATCAACGCTAGGGCTCGAGTCGACAACATCATTGCTGGTCTACGGGCAGGGGAGAATGGAGCAAATCGGACTCGCCGAAATCGAAAGTCCAAACAACAGCAATCCCCAGCAGTCAATAGTGGTCAAGGACATCTGGCAGCTCCAAGACAAGTATCGAATGAACCTCCAGCAAGAGTCTTTCGAGAGCCTGCTGCGGCGATGTTTTCTCTTGCTAGCGTAAATGCCTTCCTGACTCATGCGGGACTGAACTCAGATGAGCCTCGCTCATCGCGTCCTTCTGGTTCGTCTCGTTCAGCAATCCAGCCAGTTGCAACTGTCAATCCTACTTCAGCTGTTCACAGACCAGTATCTGCTGTTCCGGAGGCTGAAACCAGAGGACCGCAACCTAATGGTCAGAGCTCAGTCAGAGTTCATGCGCCACAAGTCAACTCGACCGTCAACCCCAACAATGCTCACATTTCTCAAGTACAACCAATTGTGCATTCAACGGCTTTAGATAAGAAGCTACCAGATTCAACTCTTGACGCCCAGCAAGCATTGAGCCAATCACAACAGAAGGTGGCAAAGCCACAAGTTGAGAAGCCTCATGTTGGATTAGGAGGGTCAAGATTTGCTAATCCTCCCACGCCCGGACCAGTCCCTCTAGTATCTCATCAAGTACACCGAAACGATGAGAATAGAACTCCATCGGAAATTGCCTCTATACAAAGTCAGACTCCGCCAGTGCTTCACCAACGACCCCCAGTCATCAACGAGAACGAGAATTCATTCCTCACCACGAAGGATCTTGGGCCATCCGGATCTCAATGGGGTGGTAACAGCATTGCCAAGATAAAGCGAGAGCACGGTGTGTCTGTACAAAAGAACAAGGATGCCAACATCAGACCAGGCAAAGCCCGTCTCCTTACGTACAATCCGCAAGACAAGTTCTATACTTTCGAACTGGATGTCGATGGTAAAGTTGTTGTCCATGAGTTGCTCGATGCTGCTGTATGCTTTACACTTGAGGGAGGACCTCAGGGGAGAGTTATCGCCTTCCAAGCCGCTGATAAAGGTCAATTGTCTCCAGTGTGGAACTTGCTTTTCAAAATGCCGTACATGGCCAAGAACTTCTATGACACCGCTCGACCTACTTCCATTTCCCCCCTACCCCTTGCTGCAGCTCTATCTACAGCATCTACCACAATAGGAACTTCTAATACAGAGCAGACAAGCGAACAAAACGATGTCGTGATGTCCGAGGAGACATGGCAAGCCCCAGCCAGGGAGCAAAGCGAGATGTTGGTTGATTTCTTTGGAAATGACCCGGAAAATCAATCTCAAACCTCAGAGAGCAGAATCAGCAGTCAAGTCTTCAGCTCATTGGTTGAATTGGAAGGGGTTGCGCCGCTCATTTCCTTCTCCGATCATGGAGATGATGATCCAGAAGTGGGCGGGGCAGGCTCTCAGGTTCTGTCAGAAGCCATGATAGAGATGCTTTCTGCAGGTAATACCGAGCAGATTCGAGAGATTCTTGAGAAGCTCGACAGTCGTCCAGAAGGAACATTCCTCCAACAGCTGACTGCGATTGTCACCAAATACGGCTTCCCTGGGGCATCGCGATTGACGGCAGGAGAGCTGCGTGATGGAAAGTGGGCAACCGCCTACGCAACGGCCTCTGAGAGAGTTCTCAGCAACTTCCTTTCTGACTCCGAGATCTTCAAGGAGCTTCCTGATTTCGTGTCCTTAATGTGGGTGTCCAACACGAGCAAAAAGGTGTTGGAGCTAGCCATTTCCCAGCATCGTCGACTTTCAATCGAGGAGCTTCTGAGCCACCGTAAGAATGCGTATAAGGTCCGAGTAAAGCTCATCGACGAAGAGGATCTGAAGTACCGAGCTCCAGCACAATCGCTTTCTCGCCCGGCTGGATCTGCTCTTGTAGCTCCACATGTACCTGCACCTGTACCTTCTGTTGCACCTGTTACAGTCGAGCCTGCCCTGATCAAAGCTTCCCAAGAGTGGCAAAACTTTCAACAAGAGCAAACAGACATGTCACGATGGGACGCTATCCTGAATAATGACCGAAAGCCACCCCCGAGAACCCAAAGTGTCTCGAAGACTAAAGGACATGTACCCAGCAACTCTGACTATGATCGTCTTGCACAGACATTGGAGGGTTTCCACATGGATCGAGAACCAGTTGGCAATGAACAGAAGTCATCTATTAGCAAGAGCCAAAATGAACCCGAGCATGCGGTCTCCAATGCCATTGGTACTGAGGCTGTCCCTCCTCCACGCCCAATGAGCGTTGCTAGTAGAGCATCGACCTCCGCATCTCAATCAATGACCGAAAAGCTCACGAGTGCATTGACAATGCCCCTTACAGCTTCTCCTAGGATCAAGACACAGATCAGCACTCTCAACACACGCATGAAGATGATTGAGGGCCAACTGAGTCCTGCTGGAACCAAGACAGGCGACAATAGCATTGTCATATCCAAATCTACTCAAGGTTCGATGCCAGCAGAAGAGTTTAGCCCATCTATCCTCAGCGAAACCTCGACTGTCCGGAATGCAAGCACATTCGTACAAAACTCGATTGTGGTTCCTCAACAATATCTTCTCGCTGCTCCTCCGAATGCACATGCAGCTGACCCAAGTCGCTCTACATCACCGTCAAGCAGCCTCGTAGTTCATGTTTCTCCTACCGTGGCCCATGCTGATCACCTCCCGGAGACTGCAGCAGCCACACCAACTCCGAGTTTACCTGCCCCAATTGCGCAACCAACAAAGGGTCATGGTCTTTCCGCATCCAAATGGGCCAGTGCAGAAAGCACTGCCGGCAGCGCTACAGACAGCACTGCTGAGAGCACTGAGCAAACTCACGATCGATCGTCAGGAGCCGGCAGGCACCGATTGAGCGCAGCCAATGCTCCAGTCTTCAAGCCAGCTTCGCAGTTGCGATATGACGACAACGTTCACCATGACTTCCAACCCAGTCGCATCCCACTTGATTTCATGTCGCCACCGCCTATGATTCCTGTACAAGAAGGGTATGTTCCACTGGTAGCAACTGTCATCACACGCGATCCTCACACAGGCGTATTTAGGGAGACTGAGGGTTTGTTAAAGGCTGGCTCTGTTCCTGTGCTGGCGCACATGCCTGTGTCCCTCATGGGCCCGCCTCGGAATCAAGAGAACATCCCAACGGGGTTTGTTCCTCCTGCGCCTGCGTCGTACCAGATGCCGTCCTTCCCAGCTCGATCAGACATGCACACTCGTCAACCATCCGAGTCCTCCGGATCCGAGATCAACTTGAGGTCTGGATTTGGAAGCAATCCTCTTTCTCCACTAGGTCTAAGAGGTCGGAATGATCCTTTGACAAACATTGCAAATATCAGAAGAGCATTCTCGCCCGATCACCAAGAAGAGATGGACATGCAAGCCAAACTTCAATCACGTCTGAACAGCAGCCTTGCTGCAAGACAGGCCAGTCTGTCACCTGCTCACAAGTAAATTCAATATTGCACAAGGGAAACCGCAAGCTGAGAATGTACTTGGAAAATTGATGATTTGACTTGACCTTGATTCCATATGGAGCTGATACGATACGACGATATGAAAAACGACTGACCATGAGATATGACCGACATTGAGATATTGATGCATGACAGAACATTTGCGAATCTGGTTCATAGAGGTTGTGATGGTGAATGAACAGAAGCGGAAAAAATCGGCATGCAAAGCAAAAAAGGCAGGGTGAATGGCGAGGTATTCAGGCTTGAGGGCTTCGGAATAACCTTGTTATCGGATGTTTGTAGACTGTCTTCCCTAGGCTTGACAATAGAAACATGCTCTGCAATATTGCTGTCCTCTTGAATGTGATGCATTACCGTGAAGTTCGAACATAAATGCGTGAAATGATCCACTTCAAAATTATGGGTGGCGAAACGAGCATTAAAAAGGGGCTTCGGCTCCAGCATTATGATCTGCGCATCTTGTGGTCCGTTCTTCTGCAGGCTGGAACGATTGGGCGGTGAAGGTACCCTTGAAACTGGCACCGGCGCCACTAAGAAAGTGAAGCAACATATCGAACCACGAAGAGCACTATCTTTGAAAGCTTTTCTTTTACCTACTCTGTACATATCATAGAGCTGTAGGCATATCAATCGTTCAAGATGCCTGCCTCGACCTCCATCCTCACCACCATGAGCTCCGTCAATGACCAGACTCCTACCCGTCTGCGAGGAGTCTCGCAAAAAGCCACTACCGCATCGGCAGCCCCTCCATTAGAAGTCAAAGAGCATGATTTCTTCTGGACATACACCGAGGAACCTCATCGGACAAGGAGACAAGCTATCATTAAAGCTCATCCAGAGGTGAATACCTCTCCCCAATACTTATACATTCAATTGACTGACTGATGTCCTTCTGCAGGTCACGAAGCTCTGCGGGCCAGAGCCATTAACGAAATACCTCGTCCTCGCTGTTGTTTCCTTACAAGTGCTTTGCGCATACATGTTGAAAGATACACCGTTCCTGTCTTGGAAGTTCTTCTTGACGGCCTATATAATTGGAGCGACTGCGAACCAGAATCTGTTTTTGGCTATCCATGAGATCTCTCACAACTTGGCTTTCAGATCTCCTAGTGCGAATCGCATGATTGCTATCTTTGCCAATCTACCTATTGGGATACCGTATAGTGCCTCTTTCAGGGTACAAATTCTCTTCTCTCTGCAAGAATCAGATCGCTAATGCAAGGGATATAGCCATACCACCTCACACACCACAAATCCCTCGGCGTCGACGGCCTCGACGCAGACCTGCCCACCGCCCTCGAAGCCGTGTTCCTCGACTCCATCCTGGGCAAAGCATTCTTCTGCACCTTCCAAATCCTGTTCTACGCCATCCGCCCCATCTTCGTCTACAAAGTCCCCTTTACCAGCATCCACTTCGCCAACATCGCCATCCAACTCCTCTTCGACTTCCTACTCGTGAAACTCACCTCCTTCCATGCCTTATGGTACCTAATCCTCTCCTCCTTCCTAGCAGGAAGTCTGCACCCCTGCGCAGGCCACTTCATCGCCGAGCACTACATCTTCGAGAAACAGCCCGCCGCAGCAAGAGATCCGTTAACCAATACCCCGGTCCCGGAAACGTTCTCGTACTACGGAGCGCTGAATATCTTGACGTATAACGTGGGCCTGCATAACGAGCACCATGACTTCCCGGCCGTGCCGTGGAGCAGGTTACCGGCGCTGCATGAGCTGGCGAAAGAGTTCTATGCGGATCTGCCGCGGCATGAGAGTTGGGTGGGGGTGATCTGGCAGTTTGTGTGGGATCGCGAGGTCGGGATGACTTGTCGGGTGAAGAGGAAGGAGGGGGGGAGGAAGGTAGGGAGTTGGACGATGGAGGAGGTGCAGGCTTGAGTTGGAGATGCTGTTGCGGCTTTGGTATGATATATTTTATAATGAATTGGAGACATTGCAGGCGTTGAGGTTTGGGGAAAATGTATAGAGATAGACAGACGCAGTTCGCTGTTTTACATAATCGAATACGTTCTTTACACACGCAGCACATCTATGCTTCAGTGTTCTAGCAGTCAGAAAGTGGTAGAGTGAAGTCTGGCATTTCGTAAACACGCAACGAAATGATCAAAAGCAGTGAGTTAAGTTCAACTGATTTGAATTGGTAAATTAGTTTTCCCATTAATTCGTAGACATGCAACGGAACAGGCTTAGAAACAGTAGAGCACACTTCCCACATATTTTACGCAATCGAATATATTCTTTACACACATATCACAGCTTTCCTTCACTGTTTCAAACCAAGGCACGCAATCACGGCATTTCTTCATTGTTGGCTACTCACTTCCTCCCCCACTGCCATTCATCAGCCAGAGCAATTCCTCCGCGTCGATAAAAAAGACAGCCAACCTCCCCATCGTACCCCGATTGACCAAATGCACGCACCGCAGTTGCAGAAAAAGAGAAACCGTTCGTTGAGACAATAGAGTACAAGTAGTGTCAGATAGGAAATCTTCGTAATGTGTTTGTGTGTTGTGCAGTCCGTTACAGGAATAGACGGTTTGCCACCCATCCATCCATATCCCCTTCACATACCAGTCAATCAGACAAGTTTTGCGAAGAGGACGATTTTTACTATGATCTTGACCGCCAAAATGATTTGTTCGCCTTGCTCAGATGAGCACTTACATACCCCAATCCCTAATCAACTCCAAGAAATTAGGAGGAGTAGTTGGTTAGAAGAAAAAGTAGGCAAGCAGGAAGCTGAGCAAACACAGTCCGGCAACAATCTGCAGAGGTACGCCTTGAGGAGCTTGATGGACTTGTTGGGCAAGTTGGTTCACTGTCTCGTTGCTGGTCTCTCCCTTTGCTACCTTTCGTGCTCTGATCCCGGCCTGTTCTGTATACGTAGCGATGGTTGCTTGGGCTTCTGCTAGCTTCGCCTTCAATTCTTCCATGCTTTGTGGCATCGAGGCTGCGATGGATGGGTTGGATGTAAAAGACTTGGCATCAGCCACCGAACGAGAATCTTCATCACTGTTCTTCCGTCCTGTTTGGGGACCAATCGTTGAGCGACGGGTCTCAGGGGTAAAGGTTTCTTCAGGAGGAGATGGTGAACGGTTTGTGCTATAAGCAGGAGGTGCTGTAGATGGGGTCTCGTGCTGTTTGTCGTTAGCGGCTTGTCAAACTGAGGATATCGAATGCTTAGCGTACAGATGCTGATGTGCCATTGACCCCATTCTTTAAAGGTGTGGCATCCGCACCGATTCCGTTGGCACCTGCTGGTAGATATACAACTCGGATCTTCTTCTCCTGGACAGACGACTTTTCGGCTTGATCGACATGCTGCCACTAGATCAGATTAGCCATCTCGTACCGTGATCTTTAGAGAGCAGTGTTGCCTACAATCTCGGTGATGTTGGTGAACTCTTTATCGGAAGTGACAGCTACAGATTGTACCAGGAACTTGTCTCTGCATTTGGCATCGATAGGGGGCTCCTGCTTCATAGCTTGGAGAAGAACTACAGTAAGTGTCAGCAACAAGAGACAGAAGATCTTCATGCCCATCTTGCGCATACCAGTAACCTCGACTTCCTTGCCTGGCTCGATCCTGCCGGAGTTGGGGCGGACACAGTATCTGTACATTCAGTTAGAATCGATCACTCGGGGATATCTTCGTGGATGCGTACTGCTTTGGCGCCGTAGTCTTGACCTATTTGCGCACAGTCTTGTTAGAAAGGTTCTGCATAGTCTCGATCTTCGGATGGTATCGTACCTTGAAAGCCACTGGAGTCATGTTTGGATTTCTAATCTTGAGTGCTTGCGACACCTCCGACGTAAATGGTCCTGTTCTGCTGTCAGAATACGTCCGCAGACAATGCGAAGCAAACATACGGTGGAAGCCCAGCTCAACAGGATCGATCTCGACGGACATGGTGGATGGTGGTGGATGCGAATTCGCAGTTGGAAATAGTTGGTTTATGATGATGTTGCGGGACGGAAACGAATGTCGGATCGTAGCTTGAGCGAGGCTAGGCCGGACCGATCTAACGTTTGTAAGGAAGAGACAGAGGAGGAGGTGCAACGTAGATCGAAAGGCGGAGGATATTAGAAGTTTGAGATGTTTTTGACAGTGAGGAACTATGAACTTGTGACAGTGGTCGCCAGACTCTAGATGTGTTTATGGAATTAAGTTCAGCCGTTCCGGAGGCCAGCACCAAACGGCGTCATTGGCCGCTAGATTTGTGGAAGTAGTACGCTAGCCGTTTCGAACCTGGTGGGCTACTGTAAATGCTCCCCACGGCCTTGTGCAATTATATTGACCACTCCACAACTTTTCTTTTCAACAACTTTGACAACTCTTTTCAACTACCACACATACCAAACTTTAATACTTCTTGTCAAATACCAACATACATTCTACCATCATGGCACCATCAGACCTCGCACAACTCCTCGAAATGGGGTTCGAGCAGGAGAGAGCAGAGCTTGCAGTGAAGAAGACTGGTGGTCGTAAGTTTTGCGCTCTTCTCTCATAGCAGCCTTGCATGTCTAACAGATATACAGTCCAAGGTGCAATGGACTGGCTCGAGACCAACCAGGATAAGCCTATCGAAGAACTCCGAGCTCCTGCAGCCAACGACGACGAGACGAATCCCAGCATCGAGCCCGCTGCTTTGAAGGAGGGCGAAGTCGCAAAGTCTCTTGTCTGCGACGATTGCGGGAAGAGATTCCGAAGTGAGGCCCAAGCCAGCTTCCATGGCGATAAGACGTAAGTCTCCACTCAACTCTGCGGGGATGGAAGGGTGTTCCTAGTACTGACGTTTATGCTAGTGGCCACGAGAACTACTCCGAGAGCACGGAAGAGATTGCGCCCTTGACCGAAGAGGAGAAGAAGCAGCGTTTGGAGGAGCTTCGGGAGAAGATGAAGGAGAAGAAGGCCAAGCAGGCTATCATTGACAAGGAGGAGCAGAAGCGGAACGAGGTACGTTCTAGTTCTTTCCCTATACTACCACTACCTCAATCATCACCTACAAAACCCCAGACATACCGGAGAACCCTGTATTTCCACATAACTAAAGCTAACACCTTGGCCAACAGAAAATCCGAATGAAGTCAACCAAGGAGGTCCAAGATGCGAAGGAGGAGCTCGCCAAGAACGAACAGATCAAGGCCGCTGCGAAGAAGCGTCAAGAGAAGCTCGACGACATGGCAGCCAAGAAGCGTATCCAGGACAAGATCGCCGCCGACAAGGAAGCTCGTCGCCTGAAAGCAGAGACCGAGAAGGCAAACCGTGAGGGACGCCAAGCTCCCATTCAAGCTGAGGTGCCAGATGCCCCAGTTGTGTCAACTGGTCCACGAAAGGAGGCTACCGAGGCTAGACTTCGACTCCAAACAAACGGAGGTACCGTCATGAAGACCTTTCCTGTCGACACCACACTTTTCGAAGTTGGACAGGCGCTTGAGACGGAGAACGGTGGACCAGTTGAGAGCTTCACTATGACTTTCCCACGGAAGGTCTTCTCTGGCAGTGTCGATTTCGGAAAGACTCTGAAGGAGGCTGGTTTGGTACCAAGTGCGGTCCTGATTGTCAAGTAGAAACCAAATTCCACGGTGTTTCTGGAGGCGGGGTGCATATTTCCTTTTGCGATTATTTTGGCATGGCGGGGTCGGGATGCATGGATGGAGTTGTGGAGCGTTGCGCTTTTTTTTTCCGCTTTAATTTTTCACATTAGCATAGGTAACAGACATCTACCTATTAGGCCAGCCAGATACTAAAAAGAAGCTTTCTGAGAGCAAGTCCTTCATTCTTTTCATGACAAGTGAATACCTGATGTTTTGTCTCAGCAAAGTTCTCCAGCAAAGTCCAAAAGTTTAACATGTACAAGTAAGACGCCAAAATCTCCAACTCCATTACACCATGCTCGTTAGCAGTCTAGTAATAATCCACCCACACACCCAGAACGCCGTGTCCGTTTTTCTGTTCAGTTATACATTTAGCCATTTAGTCGCTGCCTCTTCAAATCTCCTCCAGCGTCGGCACCAATAGGTCCATTAGCTGGTAGGTCTGTCAATGGCGTCCTTCCATTTGCACCAGCCGTTGCACCCGCGTTGTCGAATCCTCTCTTGACTGTCGTAGGTGGCTTATACTGACTTCTGTTGCCCATGGGACTTGGACTGCCGGGAGCACCAATCCGTCTGGCAGCATCGAGTTGCGGATTTATGACATTAGGTCTTGCAATAGGACCACTCAGGGCTGCAGATTGCGTTGATCCTGGGACGTGCTTCAAATCTCGAGTAAGTGGTTTGGATGACTTATGGTCGATTCCTGGGGTTTTTCGAATGGATGGAGACTCGGCATGAGGGTTGAATGCTGGGAAATGGCTGGGTATAGGGGCTGGAGGTCCTTCAGTGGCTTTACCTTCTGGAATCATTTGTGCTGCTCGAGCTGAGAAGAAGCCTGCTCCTTGTGGCGGCAAGGAAACTATGTCGCTGTCTCCTCCAGAAGACGGCAGTTGCTTGGCAGGAGATACTGGTGCTGATGGTGGTCCATTACGACTCGGTTGATTCAGAATTCGTCGTCCAACTGGAGGGTTCAACTGTGGGTTTGGTGGTCGTGGTTGTGGAGCTGCTTCTGAATTCGGACGAGGTCCAGGACCTGCCCAACTCGTAGATCTTGTAAGGCCACCACTTGGAGTTTGAGGTTGTGGTTGATTAGCATTATTTTGGGCTGAATTGGTTCCTCGTGCAGGAGCTGCCATTGGTTGCGGTCGGTTGACTGGCGGTCGATTTTGGTTGGGAACCGTTCCATTTGTTGTGTTACCAGATGGTCCATTGTTGAAGTGGCGGGATGGGATTGGTGGCTCTGTCAGAGCAACCTCATCCGGATGAGCATCCGGGTCTGCCACGTTGAAGTCTGCTTCATCGAATTCTAGGATTGTTAGTCTATATACACTATATCATGGGATGAAGACGCACCTCCAAATTCATCCTCTATTGTATCATCAGTGGCTAAAGGCGTCAGCTATGCTTCCTATCAATCGAGCATCATCAAGCCCACCGTTATTGGCTCCAGCAGCTCCATTCTGTGACTTGTCGTCGAGCAACTTCGACTCCGCTTCTCTCTTGACCGGTGTATAGTCTGAGTGTCGATGTAACCTATCCACGTCCCATTTCGTCGGCGCGGCCTTGACTTTCGAGACGTTCTTCAAGTATTCCTTGTCGTAGATGCAATTGCCAAGGACATTGCCAAAGTTCCTCAAAGCTCTCTTCAAAGCATCCGTAGTTCCTTCCTTCTTAGCCTTCTCGAACGCAGCAGCTTTCCCTTTGCAATTCTCCATATGTCCATATCCGATGTCTTCGTGAAATGTGCCATCTCGAAGAGTAACACGTACAATAACTGATAGGCCGAGATTGACTCTGAAAGTCTGCGGGTTCTCTTCTACGAAGTCCACCTGGACTTCCTTGATTTGACTGGACCAGCCATTAAAACCGAAGACTTCATTCGCAAGTTGTATACATTTTTCGGCCGCAAGGTAATGTACCTTTTGTCCAGACGGTCCAGCTCGGGATGAAATGTACTCAGGACCCAATTGCTTCTCCAGGCGACTCTGTAGTGTTGCAATTTCTTGCGCGGTGTATTCCGAGAGTCGTGGTTTGACTTCTTCGAAAGGATTTGTTATTTGTTTCCCACCAGAATTGAGGTGCTGCTCGCCAGGTCTGTAGACGGTCAGTATTCAATGGCATTTGTAATGGAATGATTTATTATCATACGCCGGCATCTTGCTGTACTTTACTCTAGCAATTCAGAAAGCTTCAGCACGTCACATTGGACGCGGTTGTTGATATAAGATGATTTTGTCGCGTGTTGTGTTGCCTTTTGACGCGACTCGAGAGGAAAGCGATGACCTAATTCGCGTGGAGATCACACGATCACATGACTGCATACATTTGAGGTCACTTTTCGTCCGAACCTTTTGAGTACATCTTCGTAACAGTTGTCGGACGAAGATTGAAATGTCGTATTCTAATTAGGTACACCGATTCTGTGGTTTGGCTATTTCCAAAGTTGTTGAGAATGCAGGAAACTTCATGTCATTTCACACATATTCACACAATAACAGCGTAGAACTTGGTAATATCTAATATGCTCCATTCGTAGGTTGTAGTATTGCTACAAGACCAATACAAAGAAAAACGAGTGTACGCCAACATTGTTTGCCACCGTTGCAGGCCCCAAATGCAGAAGATCAAATCCATTCCCAGTCCATAACTCCCCAAGCATGCCAAAGTAGAAGAAAGAAACCCAGACTCAGAAAATGGGAATCATCGTGACTGTCGTGAGTACTCTGATGGTAAGTACCATGATGAACAACGCCAAAGTGTGAACTGTTGCCTTCTATGAATCGCAACCCCTTATGAGACGCTCTCCGCTTCCGATGTATGTATAACCTCTCCAAATCGAATGTGGGTATCAACGGCCTGCACATAGTAACTCTGTATCTCACCAAAGTCCAACACGCACAGGTAGGTTACCTCCACCAGTGCCATATGTGTTGTTGAATAGTTGAGCACGGATCGAGTTGTCTCCTGAACCCATACCTCCCATCCAGCCCAGATTGGAGCCAAGTGCATTGACTGCGGTTTGCATCCGACCACCACTCTGTTCGTTGTGTTTCTGGAGTCTTTGGTCCCATTCGCCAGAGTGAAGGTGGAATCCGCCTCCGCGCTTAGAAGCTTCAGTGACAACCAATGCCCATGCCCTCGAGATCTCGTCATAAGCGTTGTCCTTGTGGTGCTTATGAGACTGACTGTTCCATTCTGGGAGATCGTGAATGACCTTAGTTGCACTGTCGAGATAGCTGAGGGATGTGTTGGTAGACGTCTCGTTGGGAGGGAGGTAATGCGGCGTAAAGTCGGTCAAAGCGTCGATCAAATCAGTCAACTGTTGTTTGACTCGATTATAGGCATAATCAGAACCAGCATTTCCTCCAAATGGGAATGCCTCTCTAAGCTTGTCTTGGTATTGGGACAGGACGTCGACCGCTGCCATGACGGAAGGCCTCGGTGCTGACGCAACCACCTCAGAACCTATCTCTGGGCGTCGTTCACATATTGTTTGAAGGACCGATCGTAGAGAGTCGGCATCTAGGGTTTCGAGGAGACGGGGAAGCGTGAGGGGCCGACCGGTGACTTCGTTAGCTCTGGCTTTCTTTGCAGGACGAGCGATCGTTCGAGGAGCAAAAGCGGGGGAAGCTTGAGGTGATATGCTCATGCTCTCATCGAGCCCATCTTCATCCGCCTTTCGTTTTCGGTTCGACATTCTGGGAGTGTGAGGAGAGACTGTAGTGCGAGAAGAAAAAAGTGTTAGCAAGCGCACACAACGTCAGAACTGGCCTAGAAGGGGGAGCCATACCTGGATTGTGATGGGCGTGGTGGATCGCGAACTCAGAGAACGACGATGGATGAGTCGGCAGGAGAACGCTCATCTTGCTGAGACTCACGATATTATGCGAGGCAGCAGAGCGACAAGAGTGCCTCCAGAGGGTTTGAAGGTGGTATTGCGATGTAAGGTGCTTTGTATTGACTCGGATCGTGAATGTGCTTTTCGTTGCTTTGGGGTTGGGCCTTCGCCTTTCTTAGTCGGGTCGGTTATTTAGGTGGTAGCTTAGTCTAATAAATTAGCGACCAGGATTCAAGACCTTGAGAAGGAACAACAAAGCATGCAGCTACTGTACTCCACCAGCTCCTCGAAACAACAACAAGAAATCACTTCAGACGAATAATGTTGGAGTCTTCTACCAGCAACTCTTCGTATCTGTATAGTGCACGCAAAGTATTACACAATTTTATCCATACTAGCGATACGACCCCACGGGATTGATTGTGTTACATCCCCTGCATAAGCATGTCGTCACGTTCTCGCACAGCCAAACATCCTAGCTGTTACGAGACTCCAGTGCGTACTCGAATTTTTCACAATTCAGCTGCCTTCGCTCGACGGAACAGGAAATCAGTTCCAATCTTGGTGGCGTGCTTTTTTGTTTCGCTCTTCAAAATTCTATGGTTTGCCACTGGAAATTTTGCAGCTGCTTTTTCTTTCCTCTTCGTTCGCCTCAACACACTATGAAAACACCAGATGTTTTGCTGAAGCATTCACGATGAATCATGATTCAGATGTTGCATCATGTTAAAGCAGAAATATTCATATCCTGTTTTACTACAATAGTGCATACCGAACCATACCTGTAAACGATTTGTTAACGGCAAAGGGGCTATTGTATCAGGTGTTTCTGCAATGTCTATATTTCGTGTTGCACATCCTCTGCTGAGACGAGTAGGTCAAGAGAATGGTACTCGTGTGAGCGTTCTGTCGTATCAATAGGCGAGGAAGGATGCAGACAGTCATAAGTTGGATGACCGTGAACGAAAGTGTTTACTCAAATCGCGACATACCTGTACTCCGATATTTTCTGAGCATCTTCTCGTGCTCAACGCCAGCGATTTACATGTTCGCATATTGAAAAAAACAAGGAGATCAGCAGATTAGCAAAGCTGTTTGTGCTTGCGTTCCATTGCCAAAGGCAAAAGTCAATGCTGATTCCAGAAATTGAACTATACATCGAAACATGATAACAGAAAGTTTTCTCTCCAATGAATGGATTCAACATCAGCTACAGACACGCTGTCGTCCGTCAAGTCTGAATAATGAAGAGAACGGCAGGTTCACTTCGTCCAACGATTCCCATGCATTAAGGCCGCGAAAGTCAAAGTCCCAAGAGCAAAACCCTACTCATTTCAATCACAATAGAAAGGGCATAGAAAAGGCACAGCTATACAGTAGAGCCGACACCACCAATTCTTGAATTAGTCTACATATTTATTACTTCACCGCTCTGAAGCATACCAAGACTTAATATATGTGTAAAGGTTCCTCAAAAAGCATGCGGCACAGTCCATGAGCTGAGGCTTAGGTCTGACCAGTGGACGAGACTTCTGCTAGCTTTCAAGTACTACAGTCAATATCCTCAGCCTCCTTTGAAGGACCTGCTTTGTTAAGTTAGCGTCACATTTACCCACCAATTGGGTGTGTGGGCGAACCCGAAACGAGCACTTACTGCGTGGTTTTTAAAATCCGCTGTTTTGCGGAGGCCGCCATGGCGGACAATCTTCAGCGGTGGAAGCGAGAACGCGAAAGCGAGCGCGATACGCACAGCCCTGCGATTTTGGCTCTTCACCCGCTTCTCCTATTGGCTTCTTACATTCGAGAGTTGCCTTCTAATTGGATGGTGAACTTTCAGCGCTGTATCTTATGTAACATTCCAGGCTCAGGCCCTCAGGCTCCGCCTCTAAACGATACATTCCGTATGGACATTGCGATTGCTTTTATAAAGTCTATCCCATACACTTTCTTCGCAAAGCTTTATTGCGGACCTCCATACCGTCACGCATTTCATCTCATCGCCCAAATCACTTAAAATCACTTGCAAGATGGCAAGAAATGATCAATCCTTTGTCCCCGAAGGACACGATTCTTTCCTTCTCGACTTTCCTATAAACAGTCCTCGATACATGGAAGCCCAACAGATGTACGATTCTCAACACTACATATCCGATGTACCTCCTTGGCTAGAAAGTCCCGGACAGGCTGACAATCAATACTTGGATGCACAACCTGTGGGCAATGCAAACTACAACCTCGATCAGATCGATCCTGCTTTGTGGCAGTATCAGGAAGAACAGTTCCTCAACACCCAAGGAACCGCCTCCTCTGTTCATGGTCCAGCAGAAGCGCTTATCATCGATCCTCGTCTCAAAAGTATGCCACAGCAAGACACCCTTCACAGAGATATGATGCCACAGCCGCCCAACAACAGCTATCGAGGTATCTCATCTAGGGAACAAGAACAGCCAGGACCATCTCCACAACCCTTCTCGCAGGTCTTCGTGGTTCCTATCACAGACCAATTCCCCGGCTCCGAGACTTCCTTAGACTCAAACAGCATGTTCTGCGATTTCCCAGGTATCGCCTTTCGATCCTTCCTGCCAGAAGGCGTGAATACTCCCATGTCGGCTTCAAGAAATCTGTCAGTATCGGATCAGGGAAGGAAAAGAATGTTCGACCCTAATACGGACAGACCTATTGTCATGCATGGACCAACTCAACCTCAGGTTTATGGTCCCTTCAAGAGAAAGGTACCAGGAGAATCAGAGCACAGTTCCTCACAGTCGACGCCGTACGCTAGCTCTTTGTCGAGATTAGCGACTCCTGATATGTTTTAGACCCTCGAAGCAAGTCTTACGAGGAAATGAATAGTTCAAGAGTGGCACAACAGTGCGAGATCGATTCCTACTAAGGAAATACAACACTGCAGATTTCTTCCACTCTTTGGCTACCAGTCGCTACGAATGTGTCTCGGCTCCTGCTGCACCGTTCTATGCCGGAAAAATCATGTTGACGATGTCATTATCAGGAGTTTATTGTGCAGCTTAACCTCTGGCATACCCTCTTCGATTCTCGTCCAACAAGAGGCGAAGCTTGGCATGGACAAGAGCTACCATATTGGCGAAGAAGCTTCAAGATACCAGAATGGTGCTGTCTGCTGGAATTGGAAAGAGAAAGGATGCTGTTGGAAGCACATGCAGATTACGACTGTGGCAGAGACAGGGGTTTCACGGATTCGATAGGAGCTATTGCGGTAGCGATGGGTTGGGATAATTGCGATGCATTATTGCCGTTAGTCTAGTCTAACTGAATCGTCGATATTTTGGATAGTGACAAATGGATAATTTTCCCTATAAAGCCAAGTCTGCCGCTCCAAAGTACACCTTTCGCAGAATGAGTACCGCATACTTTGCAACATCGAATAGAGATAATGATTCGTATTAGTGTTATCAACCGTGGAGGCATTTACTGCTCTCGCACTTGTATAGTACAAAGCCATGGGCCTGCTTCATTGTCCCCCTTTGAATGGACACCCGAAGTCTATCCAATGTCCCAGCGGTCCTCAAGGCTTGACGTCTTTCCAATCACCCACCTTTGATCAAAGTCTCTGACCTGATCAGTGACCTAGGCCATTTCAATATCCCAACCTTTCTCCAAAATTCAGACGAGATCCAGATTCGACACCACCAAAGTCCCAAATCCACCATCTAGCAAAAACCTTAGCTTTCCCCCATAACAACATCCTCCGCTAAACTCAACCCCTCCATCGCCCCCCTCCACTCCCTATCCAACTCTCCCTCCACCCTCCTTACCCCCACCTCCACCTCCCCCCGGATCCACCACCTCACCGCCCCGCCCACGATCTCCGCCCTCCACTCCCCTCCCAGTCCATACCCGAGCCTCACCCTCGAGACCGCCGCATTAGCGTCTTGCAAGCTGGTGAATATGCCGTGGATGATTTCTTGGGGGCCGTGCGTTTGGAGGACGATGTAGAGTGCGGGGACGGAGGTGCTGGTTGGGGACGGGGAGGGCCGTTTGCGGGGTGGTGAGGCGGTGGTGGTGGATGTTGTGCTCAGGACGCGTTTGTGGGATTTGGAGGTTGAGGTGGAGGCCGAGGGGAAGTAGGGATTCATAGTAGGTGGTAGAGTGAGGTATCGTCGATTTTGATGGTGAGTATTGGAGTGAGGTTGGTTTAATGGTATTCTCGATTTTGGGAAGGGAGACTTTTTGGTGGGATATGAGTCTTTGATATTGAATTGATGTTTGTCTTTTGATGTATGTTTATCTGCCCTGATTGAGGAGTGAGTATTGAAATAATGGACTCTTTAAGAGATGAGATGAGGTTAGACGCGAGATGTCGCCTAGGAGACGCGCCGAAAGTGGAATCATGCGGGTCTGTGCGTGCTCGTGTCTGTTTCGCGAGCTTTTCACGGGACTTCTTGATGAGTTCATTTCAATAGGTAGGTGAATTTGGGGCAGGTGCGGAGGGTGGGTGATTGTTGGTCGAGATTTGAGTTGTTGAAATGCTGGTGGGAAGAGGTCACCAAATGGAGAGTGCTCCAATTTAATTTACCTAACATCACGATCACTTATCCAACCACATTTCGTTAGGTAAACCTTGCATCAATTTAATTTGTTCTTGAATATCTCTCAATCTTGTTTTCAGAAAAGCTAGATTCAAGGATAATACAACAGAATGGACAGGCTCTACGCAAAGCTCTCCTCTCTCTTCCCCAGTCTTGCACAGGCTGAGATCCAACATCCCAAATTGTCTCCTTGATAACCTCAATGTCGCATTCACATCCATCCATCTCACGGTAGCTCCAAATTCAGTTGCTGGCGTCGCACTTAGTAGCAAAGACGCTGCCAATAGAAGTAGTTCTGCTGAAGTCATTCCAGTCGTCGTAGGGGACCTTTTGGAAAATGTAGGCATATGGAGGAAATCTGTCATTGTGTAGATGAATATTATGCTGGGAATTCGGAGAGATAGCCCATTCATCCTTGGACGAACTTATGCTGTTGAAAGACTTAGTTCAATGTATATTTTCTCCGACATGATCCAATCGTGTCGGTATCACTCCCACACTGGACTAGTACCAAACAAGCAATAAATCAACATCACCGATCAAGCGAAGGGCGTGCGGCTATTGAACTCAACCCCACTACTCACTACAGCCGGTCCCACATACCTAGCTCTCCCTCTCCACCACCCCTCAATGATATCTAATCAAATGTCACTCCTACAATCTTCTTCCCGGATCTTCCGTCATCAGAGAAGCTTCAAGTTCATACCTAGACATCAATTTCTGAGAACGATGGCGTCGGCTCCAGAGAAGTTTGAGTGGATGGTAATCATTCCTGATGTGCCGGGGAAGTTGGAGAAGAGGATGGAGGTTAGACCGTATGTGCCCCATTCCTGGCGAAAATGAAAACAGACTGATGTGTGCATAGAAAGCATTTCGAGGGGCTGAAGACGGCAATGGAGAAAGGGTTCTTTAAGACGGGCGGTGAGTACTTGTCCTTGTGAACGTGAACATGAAAGCTTATGATGAGTAGGAGCACTGTTGGACGAGGTTCCAAAGGAGGGAGAGGGATTGAAGATCAGTGGTAGTACGGTGGTAGCATGGGCAAGCTCGAAGGAAGAGGTTATGGAGATCTTGAAGGGGGATATCTATGCCAAGGAAGGTGTATGGGATCTTGAGAAGGTGGGTTTGATCTTCCATTATCCATTCTTACGTACAACATGAAGAAGCAATACTGATGAGATGGTAAAGGTCCAAATCTGGCCATTCAAGTGTGCTTTCAGAGAGAAGTTTCCTTGAGCAACTTCCATGCATGGAGGAAATCTTATTCTTGATACTCGACAAAAAAACAAGCCGTTGAGTTTGACTCACGTCGTTTTTCCGAGCATAGTTTCTTAAACCAGATTTCACTCATAACACAGAAAAATGCTCTCAAAAATTATTCGTGAGCAACCAGACTCATCATTAAGTACCAAATACAATTCCCCATTATCAGAAACGCCCCCGCAATTCTTCAGTCCCGCTCCACGTTGTAATCATATGTATAAGGATTCTTAACTTCAACAGGCTGCTTCCACTCACAATTGGGCACCGATCCCTCAACCTCAATCCTTGTCTTCTCTGCATGCACATATTTGTATCGTCCGTTAACATCATTTGACGACCACGAAACAAGTCTATCTTCGTCGATCTTCCGTTCGTATACCATAATGTCGTTGAATTCTTGGTTCACTATGGCCTTTATCGCATTATTTGCGTCTTTGATTGTGGTGTATAAGCCACGAAATTGTGGGACATCATTTCCACTGTTGTCGTGGCCGTCGATGCGGACCACATAGACGAAATGAGGTGCGGTTGTAGTGGATGTGGACTGGACTTGACGTTTCGGTATTGGAGGTAAATTGGATATTTCTTGTCGTATTGCCAAATCTAGATCTATGGGGATCGATCCAGCTTTTGGTTTGGTTTGTTTGAGTCATTGCGAAGTTCGGGGTTATGCAATTCGAAGATTTCAATTGGGTATGTAAAGCTTCAAGGTTGATGTCTGAGGACATAATGGTTGTGGGAAACTCTGATTCATATATAGAAAGGATCTTGGGGTTGTGAATTCGATAATTGCTTTTGTGCAAAGTGATAGATCTGGGGTTAATATGACAGAAAGTACTTTGCTAGGAGGACCTTGTCTAAACATGCGCCAACCGAAGCACTAGATCTCCAGCAAATGCGGCATGCTTCAAAAGCGGTAAACGGAATCGAAAAAGCACGAAAAGTGCTGTGCATGCATACAATTGCGGTTTCACTAGAGTTGATTTAGGGTAGGGGTTGTTGGACTTAACATAACAGAGAACGAAGCAAGCATAGAGGCTTTTGTAGGCCCTCAATCACGTCCTTAATGACCATCTCTTTTTTGTACGTCCAGTTGATCTTGAAATTTTTGGGGTTTGGAGAATTCCAGCGAAATTATTGCTTTTATTATTCTCACAGAGTAATCTAGGAATAGATAAGTCACCTCCTCTCCAGAATACGTTCTGATACTGTCTCTCTCTTGAACAGAAAGAAAAAACGATTATGTCCACTGAATGTCAGCAAAGCCGTGCTAGAAACTAGCTGCACAGACCTTGACCTTTGGGTTTCTTTCACTCCGACTCCTGGGCGTCTTCCTCGTCTTCTTCCTCTTCCTCTTCATCTTCATCTTCATCTTCTTCGTCCTCCAGGTCTTCCCACTCACAATCCGGTACCGACCCCGCAGGTTCCACTAACTTCTTCTCGGTGTGCACCCATACACTTTCCCCATACCCTGTGTCATCAGAAGACCAAGATTCAAGGCCATCTTCGTCAATGTCTCTGTCGTAACTGGAGGTTCCCCCATATTTGTCCTTGACAATATCCTTTACAGTATTATTGGCATCTTTAACAGTTGCGTAGATACCCCAGATATCGGGAATGTTATTACCACCACGATCGAATCCATCTACGGAGACAACATAGACGTATTGAGGTTCCACCTTCGGTTCTGCTTCTTGAGCTTGACGTTTGACTGGTGGCTGGGGCTGGCTGTTCTCGGCTGTACTGCTAGATCTTTTATGGGAGCCTTCTGCTAGGACTTTTTTGGAGGTAGACATGTGAAGATTTTGATTTTTGAATTGCGACAGAGGTAATTACAGCAAAAATTGGGTGGATGAGTGATGTGTTGCGTCCTTCTTCTTGATAGTTGCCAGGAATTCAGGGATGACTTAGACTAGGCTAGGGTGACGATACGGTGCTCTAGTGCTGCCCAAGCTGCAAGAACAGATCACATTGATCAGTTCCCATGCACAGTATTGTACTAGCGCAAAAGCATCCATGTCCACTTCAAGAGCTCATATTTCTCGAAAAGAAGCGTTTCATGCTCTTGTCAGGTTGCCAATAAAAGTAAGTCTCAGAGCCGCACGATGTTTTGATCAACGCAAGATGATTTGACTCCAAGCTGAAGCCCTCAAAATGGAAAAGATAAATTCGTAACGGAAGAGCAATTGCACGTGAAATGCTATAACAGAAGATATGTTATTTTGTTCTTCACTGAAAACTTCTGAAGTACAAACAGCGACGAAAGAGAAAATGCAAATTGCAAATGATAACTTAAAAAGTCGAAATGGAAGGAGACAAATTCAATCTTCATCTTGCTCTTCATCATCCTCCTCGCCATCATCTTCACCATCAACCCACTCTCGCTCTTTTTCCGAGCCAACAGGTTTCACCTCCATGATTTGAACCCTGATCTCAGCTCTGTCCCCTTCGCCCACATCCTCAGAAGACCAGAACACCGTCCCATCGCTATTGGTCCCGCGAGTAACTTCCTCGGCTTGAGTGTATTCTTCATAGGCGTACTTCTTTACAAAATTGTTGGCATCTTGAACGGAAGCATAGACGCCGTGAATGTCCGAGCTAGACTCGCCGTACGAAAGCATAGACTCTACCATGACGATGTACACGTATTGAGGTTCTGGTTTTGAGGCACGTGGTGCTTGACGCTTGGCTTGTGGAGGTGCTGCAGTACTGCCTAATCTCTTGTGAAGAGACCCTGAACTTTCGGCGGAGGCCATTGAGCTTTCGATTAAGGACAGAAACGAATGGATGAAGCTAGACTGAATGTTCTGTTGCGACGAAAATACTGATATCTTGATGGCAGAGATATGCAGCAGGTACTGGCTGTACGGAAACCCACAGAGATTCAGAGCGCAGAAAGCCAGACTTGCCCTCAACTGGCACGCGTTCTCGAAATTTCCTCTTCTAACCTGCTCTCTTGAGTCGGTAACTATTCAAAAGACTGATTTGAGTATGCTGATACTCGTGAGAGTCCAGAATCTTGAGCACGACGGATTGTGCTCGTTGTCTGGATAGGTGTCTGGATAGGAACATCCAGTCTCCCGCACTCAAGTGACTCTTCTGAGTGAGCCAAACAAAGCTTCAAGAGGAGGGGCATGATTCCTTCATCCTTCCGAGACCAGCTTCGGACACGTTCAAGAGCAGACCATCCACCGTCAAACAGCTCAATCAATTTCGGCTACCGGCTACACAGCCACCACGTTCGGATGCAACGCTTCTCAGTCGTCCATCAATGGTGACATGCATGTCATCACGCACGATTGTGCATCGGAGAAAAGACCCTTCCAATGGATCGTGCCGATGCGGTGTTCTCTTGAAGCTTTTACGCCGTTACCAGACGGCCCCGCCAAATACCATCACCAGAGCACAATCTTCGACAAATGAAAAGAAGGGCCGTCTTCAGGACAGCTGAGAGGGAGTTACTAACAGAATCTACATATAGAACTTTTGAAGTCGATAGTACAGGAAAGTTCGGTCTTCAGGACAACAAATTCTCAGAACTACACAAACGAACATCCGAGAAATGCAAATGCATCCTTCATCCGGGGTCATCCGGCATCAATAACGACTGCCGTAAGACACCGGCATTGCTTCCGATCTCATCATCCTGCATACTCAAAAACGCTTACTCGAGCCTATGGATTAATGCATGCTCTCGTTACTGGTTGCGTGCCTACCACTTAGACGACCATAAATCCTCACCGCAGAATCTACCCCGCAGCTTCCAGCTTCCATCATCAGCTTCAGAAAGCACGTTTTGGATCCTTCTCCACGTTCGCTTCTGCTGGCTTGATATTGGCAAGCTGTCAATGTCGAAGATGTACCAGGTGATCCAATAGGCAGGGAGGGAACCATCATCTCAAGGAGAGGTGGCATCTGCTTCGCTTGTTCTTTCTGCTTATGTATGTGACAGTCTCTTCGTTTGTGGCAGGATGTCTTGTCTCCACTCAGTCAACAAGGTGTTGCCAACGACTGTTCCTACAGCATACCCCGACTTCGACATTCATTCCGGAGGCATTGCCTAGCTTTGTGAGTATCCCAAATTTAAGAGCCAATGAGATTTCAAGCAAACCACACATTGAAGACTTAGTCCACAGTCTGAGAGACGGACGTAGTGTCCAAGGCGAGTCCCTCCCCACTGTGATCAGAAGCCTGAATACAGTTCTGGAAAACTCATCAAGGGAGTTCAACCTCGGCAGCTCATCCTGGATTGCAATCTTTCGGGCATCTTTCTTCTCTCAGTTGTCTTCATCACCACGTGGACATCTCTTAAGAGCTTCAGTACCTATCGAAGAAGTATATAACTCAGGCCAGGAGACTCGAGACATCTCTCCTCCGCACGCACCAAGTATCTCTTTATACATCCAATCACATAATCATTCAGAAAGCTGCACTCCTTCAAAATGCAGCTCATCAACACCATCGTTCCTCTCCCCTTGTCCTCCACCCTTACTCTCGCTCTTCCAGTCGCCAAGCGAACAGCCGCCACCGTTCTCTCAGATATCTCCAGCATCAGCTCGGATGTCTCTACCTTAACCAATGACGCCCTTGCCTACACTGGTGGACTCTTCCAATCCCTCGCTCTTGCCATCACAGTCGACTCTCTCGAGTCATCCATCACCACCGCTACAAGTGATACTACCTCATCTACGGCCTTCACCAGTGCCGAGTCTGATGAGATACTGCTTGCCATTACCACTCTGACCCCAAACATCGTTACTCTCCTGGCTGATTTGGATGCCAAGGTAAGATCAAGCAAAGCACAGAAAGGAACTCCGGAACATGACTAATAGAGACTCAGGCTTCCACTATCTCCTCAGCTGGATACACATCCACTGTACTCAGCGCAGTGAAGAATTTGCTTACCGACACTGATGCATTGTTTGCTGCTATCGAGGCCCAGGTTGATACTACTGATACTGCTTCCATTGCTACTCTTCAGGCTGAGGTTGATGCTGTTTTTGCTACTGCCATTGCCGACTTTTAGACAAGAGGAGATTGTTGAATGACGTGAGGGGGATCTTCTTGACTGTTTTTTCTGCTAATTGTAGAATGCATCTGGTTTTGATGGGAAATTGTAGGCAGAATTTCAATTGAGGACAGATAATATGGAAAGGAATGATGCTCAATCGTCTCTTCGTACATTTATGGAAAGAGTCGTTCTACCAAAGCTCACCAATATCTTCCATCCTTGTCAAGCAATCAAGCCAAGCAGCATCCTTGTTGTCGGCCGCCATTACCATGCATGCTGTAAGCACATGGTAGACTTTTGGTGCTGACCCGTCTGCCTCGCAAATAAGTTGCTGGGCTCCTAATGGAAGACAAGAGCCTGAGAGACAGTACGAATATCTTCATCCACAGAAGAAAGATAAAACCCTCGAATAACCCGGGGATCAAATGTCCCAAAGAAAGTGATGCCGGGATTGACCCAATCAAGGCACGGTCTGATCCACATTCGGCCATAGCTCCTTGCTGTCACACCCCGCTTCAAAAAATCTCTTCTCCAGCAATTCATTACTTCTTATCTTTTATCAACGGCCAAGATGCCATCAAAAGGTATGGATGCCTATGCCAAGCTCAATGTTGCCACCACGAGTGCAACACAATTGGCCAAAGAAATCTTGGAATTCTTTCAAGTGTTCTAGCGCCTTGGATGAACGCAGGGTTTAGTCAAAGATTCGTCTCCACAGACAAATCACACATAAAACTGAACGATTGCGTCTTCTGGGTGCCAAGAAATGCTCCCCGCTTTTAGATCTGGGCAAAAGATACCAACATGCCAATGTTGTTCACAAAGGGAAGGTGAAGGTGAGGGTAACGTGAATCGTGAGGACGCGCTTGCGGTTTTTGGATATGGAGAGCGAGCCTTAGTTTCCTTTTACTCCTAGGACTTCACAACGCGAGGCTGAACTTCTTTTTTTCTTCTCTCCCTCACGTTCCTTTCTTCCTTCAGTTCGTGCCTTTCATCCGCGTTTCTGCATCTCGATCTCAACACAGAAACGCAACAATGGAGACGCACAACACCTACAATCCTTCTTCGGGACCCAACAGTGAGAAGCCCATCCGTGAAGATGTGGATGTCAATGTCAGTAGTGCCGACGACCTCACGAGAGAGGATTCCAATCACCACCTCCATCGTGGATTGAAGGCCAGACAGATTACTATGATTGCCATCGGCGGAGCAATCGGTACTGGTCTGATCATCGGAACGTAAGTCCTCCTCTTTGAATGACAGCCGAAGGGCGCGTCCAGCTGACAAGAAATACAGTGGAAAGTCACTCGTTCAAGCTGGCCCCGCGCCTCTCTTCATTGGTTACACCATTGTCGGCTTCCTATGTTTCCTGGTTATGGCTGCGCTGGGAGAGGTAGATCGTTTTCGTCCGAAATGGTGCAGCATGTTGCTGACACAACTAGATGGCTTCCTGGCTTCCACTCCCTTCTGGTTTCACTGGATATGCCACCCGATTCGTTGATCCGGCTCTGGGTTTTTGCCTTGGTTGGAATTACTGGTTCAAGGTTCGTGAAAAGGCCAAATTCTTCTTAAGAATTTAGAAGATGATACACTGCTCCCAAACTTATAGATCGGCCTGTATTGAAGAATACCTTACTAACAGAATCCTCAGTACATCATTGTCACTCCGAACAACTTAACTGCTGCCTCACTCGTGATCCAATATTGGATCGACCGTGACAGAGTCAATCCTGGTGTCTTCATTGCGGTCTTCTTGGTCGTAATTGTATGCATCAACTACTTTGGTGTCAAGTTCTTCGGTGAATTTGAGTTCTGGCTCTCTTCCATTAAGGTCACTGTCATTCTCGGCTTGATCTTACTGAGTCTCATTCTTGCCTGTGGAGGAGGACCATCTCACCATGCAACCGGATTTCAATACTGGAAGAATCCAGGTGCATTCCATGAGTATATTCTCAGTAAGTAAGATCGTTTTCAAGTGTATGGATGGCACTAACACGCGTCACAGCTGGTAGTGCAGGTCGGTTCTTGGCTGTCTGGAGCACCTTTACCACCGCTGTATTCGCGTATCTTGGTACTGAGCTTGTGGGTGTGACAGTAGGAGAAGGTGAGTAAAGTGCAGACTTCCAGAAGTTCCACTACTTACAATTTTCTAGCCGCCAACCCAAGAAAGGTCATTCCTAGGGCTATTAAGTTGACCTTCTTCCGAATCCTCCTCTTCTATGTCCTTCTCATCTTCCTCCTTGGAATGCTTGTGCCATATAATTCCCCTGAGTTGAAGGCCGGCATCTCTACCAATGGTGGAGCCACAGCAGCTTCGTCGCCCTTTGTAGTGGCAATTCAGATCAGCGGCATCAAAGTTCTACCTGGTATCTTGAACGCCTGTGTCTTGATCTTCGTGTTCTCTGCTGCCAATTCAGATCTCTACATTGCGTCTAGAACTCTCTTCGGACTCGCACACGAGCACAAGGCACCCCACATCTTCACTTACACCGACAAACGCGGAGTTCCAATCTTTGCTCTTGCACTCTCGGTAGCATTCTGTCTCCTCGCCTTCCTAGGTGTCAACACAGCTTCATACACCGTCTTCAGTTATTTTGTCAACTTGGTTACCATGTTCGGCCTTCTCACTTGGATTTCCATCCTCATCTCCCACATCTTCTTTGTGCGTGCTCGTCGTGCTCAAGGTATCCCGAACTCGGCATTAGCCTATGTATCACCTCTAGGGATGTGGGGATCAGTTGGTGCATTGATCTTTTGTATCTTGATTGCATTCTTCAAAGGCTTCGCACTATTCGCATACAAGGCAACAGCTGCCAAAGGCACGAAGCCGGTCTTTGATACCAACACGTTCGTCACCACATACCTTGGAATCCCGCTTTACATCATCATGTTTGTGGGCTACAAGATCATCATGAAGAGCGAGTTCGTCAAGCCCGAGTCAGCAGATATGTATGGTGGCAAGGCAAGAATCGATGCTGAAGAGGCTGAGTACCTTGCTGCCGAGGCGGCGAAGAAGGGAGGACCAGAGACGAAGTTAGAGAAGGTTTATCGACTCACGGTTGGCAATCTCTTCTGATTGATGATCGCTGCTCAATCTTCCGGATGGACATTGATTGACAGTTTTGCTATGATAGATTTGCAATAGTTGGTAGCTCGGTCTGCTCTAGACAACTAATGATATGTTTCGAGCTTTCCACCGATTCCTACCTTGTAACACCCTTTGCTCCTATGTAACTCGTGATCAGAATGCCAGTGATTAATATGCCTTACCTTTTTCCACACGGAGAAACACTTAGACTCCTCGCCTGTGAAGTATCCGGCAGTTATATGTGGCATTCAGAATATAAATCTCGAGCATGAAATAATGTCTGTTCACTTTTTGAATCTTCATGATGAGAAAGTCTGGTCAGTTTGAACCCGCTTAAAACACCATCGATGTGTACGCCGAGCTTAGATTGGGCGGTTCGCTTTGATTTACAGAGTTTGTTCTGTGGAAGGTAAAATAAGTAAAAATTTATCACATCTTGCACAATTTGCGCCACTCGCGCGATTCGCGCTGAACTTGGACCTTACTTGAGAATGTCTTCATTTCTCGCTTTGAAGTCCACCGCAGAGATCCATTTGCAGCAGTAACCAAGAGCGGCACCAAATCATGTTCTCAAAACCATTATTTCTTCTGAATTCATACAGTACAGTTTTACCAACACTCAACGCCGCCATATGCTTCACAGCCCAACCAACTCTCCCTACTTCTTAGCATCCTTCTTCGCCTCCTCAGCCAACCTCTCGACCTCTTTAGTCCTCTTCTGCAAAACATCCTGCACATCCTGATACGCGCCCTTAAGAATCTTCTCCGCATCATCCCCCCTACTCTTCGCCACCTCCTGTAACTTCTTCAACTTAGGCAAGATCTCCTCTCCACCCGGAATCATCTTCGCATACTGCTCCAAACTGCCGCTAATATCAAACCCACCAGCGCTCTGCTTCGCCTTCTCGCCCGCTTGCTTGATGTACTGCTTTAAGCTCTCCGGATCCTTGTTATAGAGAGCCTCGGAAATCTTCTTGAGGACCTCAGCTACGTTGCCCTTTCGAAGAGCGTCTTTATTATCCTCGACTATCTTCTTGATCTCGGGGTTCTTGTCGAGATACGGTTTCGCGCTCTCGATTCCCCTTTTCCAGGCCTCGTCTCCCATTCCTTTTACCTTCTCTGTTTTTTCCTCCACGAGTTTCTTGATCTTGTCCACGGTGTCGAAACCCACGCCTGCTTTCAGCACATCCTTGATCTGCTGGTACGTAGCTTCGAGCTCCTTCTTTGCTTCGGGCCCGTAGGAATCCGCCATGCTTTTCAGCTGGTCTAGGTTCCCGCCAACTTGCTCCTTGAGCTTGGGATGGTTGTCCAGGATCTCGGATGCGGAATCAACGCTCAGTTTCCCGAGCTCGGAAATAGCTTCCTCGATGATGGTCCAGCTCTTAGATGCGGTCTGCATATCCACCCCGCCTTTCTTGCTCACGTCCTTGAGGTCGTTGTAGGCTTTGTTGACAATATCATCGACCTCCTTTCCATGCTTGGCTTGGATCTTCTCTAGGTCGTTGAATGCGGAATCGACATATGATTTCGCGCCCGGGATGAAGGAGGCGTACGAGGTGGCGGTTGAGCGCAGCCATTTGAGGGCTTGGTTTGGTTCCGGGGCCGAGGAGGACAGTTTTTGGGTTATGTTGTTGAGTTCTGATTTGGTCTTTTGGGCGGCGTTCACGAAGGTTTTGGCGCCTGAGGTGTGGTAGTAGCCGTAGCCTGCCTGTGAGGGGATGATGAGTTTGAGTCAATTGGGAGGAGGGGGTATTGGGGGAACTTACGAGGAAGACGAGACTGCCGCCTACGATGCCGCCGATTACGGCTTGGGAGTTGATTGCTGAGGAGGAGGATGAGGATGAATAGGTAGAATCGGTGCTTGCAAAGCGAATTTGTCGTGCATTTGCACGCACTGGAGCTCGTAGTGAGCGAGCTGCTGCTCTGGTAGTTCTTGAGGCTAGCATTGTGATTTCAAAGTATGGAGAACGAGAAAGGTTGAGGAATAATTAGAATTGAGAAAAGTTGAGGACGATTGAGAAAGTAGTTGAAGTCCTTGGTCAATTGAAGTAGAATTTCTTTGGTGTTACTAAGCTCTGTACGGAGGTAAGGCTCCTAAATTGAGCGTTGACCGACGTCATGGTGCCGAAAAACGATGACATCGTGGCTTGTGGCATGGTTAAATTCACTTGAAGCAAAATTCAACAATTGAGTGTGTAGAGATTTCAAAATTTAAAGTGAAATCTGACAGGTTATGTTCGCTGCTTAAGAAGTATATTGAATTGGTTTGAGTGATAATCGGAGTTATTGAATGGTCGTCGATATCTCCATGATCTGCAAGGTACACCAAAATTCCGACAGGGGAATTAGCGCACCCGCATTGATTTCAGGCAACTTGCGTTATCTTTTGATATCAACAGTGTGGTGGTACAGAGGCTGCGGTCTCTGGTTTCATGATCGACTAACTCCCTCAAGAGAAAGTAGAACGTGGTACTATGGAATCCTCGAATTACAGCACCAATGAAGCTCATAGTAACACGCGCTGGCCACAAGCAACATGAAGCCTCTGGCCATGTTATCTTAATCAATGAGAAACAGAGAGCTTGCTCATTGTCCAGCAGTCCCAAGACTTTCATATGAGTCCCAGTCGCTGCAGTCCGTACCGACAACCATATTACTATGTCTGTTCGTTTAAAGCACGATAGAAAATCTAAGCAATGCTTAAGTTTCAAACAACAAGATATTGATTTTTGGTTGCACTTGCAAAGTGGACCCTCGGCCGATGCCTGTTGCTATTCAGGAAGCAATATCGACTTGAGCCATCTTCGGGATGACGGACATTTCGAAACAACCAAAAGCATATCAAAAATACTCATTCTACCTGCAAAAAATCTAAGTAGCCCCATTCGCCTGCTGCATAGCCTGCAACGGCGCCATGATATTCTGCGCATAAGTATCCGCATCCGCTGATATAGTCGCGATGTTGATTCTATTCTCCAATGCGTTCTGGACACTTTGCACCACTTCTCTCTCTTCCATAACAGCTCTCGTTACCTGTCCTTCATGAATCCAGTAATCCTGACTTCTGCCTCTCAGCGCTTCGTTTCTTACAATGGTATTTCGTAATACTCCTGTGGCACCCATTTTACTTCTCGCCATGTCTAGAATCCGAGACGAGGTTTCTATCCGTTCGGCTGTGCTTGGCGGAGTCAAGAATGCTCTGTTCGTGCTTGATAGGTAGAGGACCCATCCGAGAATGCCGTCGAGGGCAGCAAGTGCAACTCCTCGATAGATCCGCATCTTCCAGTAGAAGAAATCGAGGTCCTCTACTCTTGTGGCCCTTGAATTCCCTTGATAGTTGTAAGAGCTAACGAAATATACCTCCATGATCGCAACTGCTATTGCTGCAATGGTCCCCGTTGTTCTCCATATTGCTCCCTCTTTTCCAGTGAAGAGACCACTGGTTACAAGAGCCAGGACGCAAAGGTTGAAAATGTGCGGTATCAATATACCTGGGAGCGCGTAGTAGAGGTAGGAATTCGGATCATCTGGATTGCAGAATTGACATTCGCTGAGAACGTCTGGGCCGAACCGGAAGTATTGGAGACGGCCTTCTAGAGATCCAATCTTAGTCCTCAGTAGCTGATCGGTAGGCGATAGGCCTTGAGGTCGTAGGCCGGAAAGACGTGTGAAGAGTACATCGGTTGGGATTTGGAGACGCGATGCTGTTATAGCGAATATGTTTTCGGGGGCGAAGTTTGGAAGTGTTCTTATGAGAAAGGATAGCGAGGTAATGAGGAGGATGAGGAGAGCTCGTTGTACTGCTGGAGGTATAGGTCGTATGGGAATGCCGTGAATGCTAGGTGCAGCGCGAACAGAGCGGTAATATGCGATTGCTTTGGGAAGCAGAATCGGGCCAAAGAACAAAAGAAGGGACTTGACTCTACACCGTGTTAGTTCATATCTGTAGTATTGAGAGATTCTACTTACGTGCCCCAAGTGATCGTCATGCTGGACGATGAAAGTTTTGAAGTTGCGAGGGCTGAAATACTTGACACATTCACGAAATGTAGCCTTGTCTCGCCTTGCACGATGTCACTAGTGCTAATCAAGTAAGCGTGATTTGTACTCTAAAATATCTTAAATTTTTCTAGCCTTTTCTTCTTAAAACAATTCAACAATGAAAACTACAATCTTGAGTGCTTGCCCAATAGGTTTGTGTTTGACATTTCTAATTGTCCTATGTATAAGAAATCCTTTCATATCCTGTGTGCGTCGTCTAGACGAACTTTCCTATCAAGTATATCAGTGGCACTTTCGAAGCTTTGGCGATCCTCTCTCCCATGGTCACTCAGAGTCAAAAAGAATGCCCAGAGCAAGCCCAAGTACTCTGCCAAGAGTCATCTCACTCGTGTTGCAGGGTCATTAGCTTTTCGAAGCAATGGCGACCTTTGCGTCTTTTTGATGAGAGACATGAATGTGCACTCATATCCTGTTTTATTTTATATCAATGCAGCCTTGTGACTATACTACAACTCCTTCTTTCCTCCGGCCGTCTCCTTCTCGCTGGGTATCTTCATCGGTTGACCCTTGGATTGTTGTGGTCCAGCACCTAATGCGATGATGGCCACAATAGCGTCACTGACAAGCAAAATGATTGCTGCGCATGCTAATGACCATGCCTGCATGCTGACACTTCCCAATGGTGCTCGTGGGAACGACAATAGCCATTCCGCATAGTATGGAACCCAGCCCTTAGGAAGCCAGAACATCGGTTGTCTAGAGTACCAGAATTGTAGAAATATTCGTAGACCATTGGTGGCTATCCATCGTAGTGAAGATACTGTAGTGTCGAATGTCTGTTTTGTACTGTCCGAAGAAGACTCTGAATATAGACTGTCAGCCACGGATCTCGGACACCTAGTCTCTTAGGAAAAAAGGTTGTGCGTACTGTTCTTCTCCAGCTGCTCCAGTAATTTATCATGCTGTCTGCGTAGCTTTGCCCATTTCGCAAACTCGTCCTGGCTGCTTGTAGCGTTCAACTCTTTTCTGACCTTCATAAACTGGGCCTTCAGCTGTTTCTGTTCCGCCGACGTCTTCGCATCTGATGATGGTAGTTTGTTATACAAGTTCCATAGCTGAAAAGAGTTAATGCTAACCTTTTTCAAAAGGTAGGAAGACACGTACCAGGCTGTTGATGGAAGATGCTCCGACGGTGTTGACTAGGTGGATGGCAAGTTGAACCAGGAAGACGACAAGAAGAATGGAAGGCATATTGAGTGATCACTATGGAAGTATGCGCATACCACAAGAATTGTATGCGAGGGAAAGTTGTCGCTGTGACGGTTAGCAGGTGAGCTGTTAAACCCCGAGCCTCACACAAACAAACCACCGCGCTAGGGCGAGGCTACTGTACAACGGAAGGCTCATTCGTTCGTCTCTATACTCCCACATAAACATCACAATGTCGAGAGCTCTTGACTCCGAAACCATTTCATCTGCTTCCAAAGGAGATGCAGAAAAGTCTTATACGGATATCACTCGGGCTCTCTGTATCGATGCAGAACCCTTCCTCGAGATTGAATTTCTGGGCAAGAGTCACCCAATACCCGCGGGTACCAGTGTTCTTGTGGATGGTAACAATATTGCTGTTTCGAAGGCGAAACTCGTTCAGGCTTTTGTAGTTGCTCGACAAATCCTTTTCCGGAATTTGAAAGACTGCCCGAATGATCAGATTTCTCACTGTCGAGATGCATCCGCGGTCATGCTCTTGATGGATCCCGAACACCTAACAGCTGCCAATTTTCGCAAAGGACTGCTTGTACGTCTCCGAGATGGGCCGCGGGACGAGTTCGAAGCATTGTTGAAGAAGGAGCTTCTGTTGGTAAACAGCTACTTAACTTCACGTCTACACCGGCATACCAAATCACCAACTCTCTGGGGGCACCGTCGTTGGATTCTGGAATTTGCTTCGAGTCACATGAAGGTTGATGTTCTGAAAGACTTGCAATCCGTTGTACTGGTGGCAGCAGAACGACATCTTAAAAACTACTATGCGTTCGTTCACATGCGATGGCTTATTCGAACATACACGTGCTCAACGGAGACGTTGAGTCTGCATGACCTTCCTAGAATCATTGCAATTACCAAAGATTGGTGTCTGAGACATCCGAATGACACATCCGGCTTCTCGTTTCTGCTTTTTGGTCTCTCTCAGTGCCAGTTAGCCAAGTCAACTCATCCAGACTTAAGTAATATGTGCTCGGTAGTTTGTACAGACGTTCTTCGTCTTGCTGTCTCTTTCAAGTGGACGCATGAATCAGTCTGGGTGTTCTTGCGAACTCTGGTTGCGGAGTATGGAACGGATAGCGATATACTGGCGTTTAACACCGCTATCGATGATACAACAAAAGCATACCCGGAAGGCCAAACGGTTCTCAGAAAAGCAAAAGACTGGTGTGCGAAGTACCAGCAGAATTATCTTCACAAACCATGAATTTGGAGTGTAAAGCCGCAGGCACACTAGCTGGCCAGACTCAACTTTGGAAGCACTGTCCTGAGATCGGTCCCAAGTATATGGACTTTTCGCGGCCCCAATTTATCCAAGTCAATCAGTAGTCTACCAAGTTGTTGAGTGGCAAGTCGAGCAGAAGAAGAGGCGTCATGTGATGAAGAGGATGTGAAGTGATGGCAAACACGAAATGAAGGAAGATCTTTCGCTCGTAAGACTTCGGCTGCGTCTGAGATATACTGAGCAGTCGCAAAAATCAAGAGGCTCTTGATATCAAGCATTTAATCGAAATCAAACCCTGGTTCGAAAAGCCTTGGAAGAACGCTCAGGGGCAAGGATACAAAATGAAGCAATGTCAATTGCAACAAGCGAGAGACAGGGGCTATAAATACCCATCTGGGGCCGCCAAAGACATCGTCATCGACAACGTCCTCCTTGCAGCGGTTGCACGGTACAAATTCTGGAAGAAGTGGCGAAGCTTAGGATCAGACCATGAGAGTCTGGGGGACAACACGGTATTTGTAGGAGACCTCCTTCGAGACGTGATATTGAGACGAGAAATCACCTATTCCTGCCGAGGTAAAGCCATGAAAGTTTGTGAAGAATGGTGGATTCATCTCGGAAAAAGAGGTGTTTGTTCCTTGGAACATGTGACGGACAGAAGGTGACTCGAATAATAATGCTTTTGTACACGCAAGCGATCGAACTGGTGGTTACCGATACGAAGACTCGACATACGGAATACGGGTATTGTAGTGAGGCAACGGCATCTGATCCTATTTTCAGATCCACCAGACGATGGTGCATTTGTGAAGTCTGCTTGTGCCGACTGGCCCACCATAATTATTTTCGACGTAAAAAATCCAGACGCCAGAGATCAAGCGTTCACGACCAGTCGCTCTTCATGATTTTGTCATCTTGTCAACATCCAGCCAATGATGGGATTCTGGGCCACCGACATAGATTCCCATACTCTAGCTTACCAGATCGGTTGCACCAGGTTGCCGCCCATTTGTGGCTGAAAGAATCTCGAAGTCGATGTCGAGGCCGCGAGAAAAGTGCTGAAGAAAAAGGACTTTTTTTGGAAATTTGCCAATGAGAGACCCTGGAACACCGGGTGGTTCAATTTAGGCCAAGGATAGACGGCCACACTTCGACGCCTCTCCACCACGCCTGACCAAATATCACCTAACGCAAAACTTTGACCATGATATCCAGCAGAGAGATTGCGCGTGCAGACAGGCCATCAGCACGATTTGTTGAAGCTATCAAAACATCGCATGCGTGCACCAATTCGTATGCATCTGTGCTGGTGCAGATGCAGCTCCCAGCCATACGAGAAGGTGCATTTTGCCATCCAAATCCCAGACTCCCAACTATCATGGAGCTTTTTTGGAGGTTGGAACTTGTGCTGCCACCTTCAGGTCGGGGGTCGTCCAACCCTGTTCCAGATATGCCCTTGGGGGTTCATTGGAGAGACGCGCGACTCTTCCGGTCTCCACCAACAGGTGTGCAGGCTCGCCTGCCCTCCACATCGCTGCAGCCAAGAAAGGCACTCCAGCGCTGGCAAATCACAGCGGGCGGAGTCTGGTCTTTTACCCAAAATGTCCCAGATAATCCTGGTTTCAACTTTCTCAACTGGCGCATGAGCTTGCTTCGACGGACTGATATCAGGGAATTTCGTGCTTGTGGACAGAGGCGGAGGGGTGTGAAAAAATTCGGCAGGAGGAGAGGCTAGGCTAAGTAGAGACGGAGAAAGCAGATCGTCCTGCTGCAGCAGAGAGTCTGGTCTGGTTAGTCGTCGAAAGGGTATCAATGTTTCACGATCTCGGGGGACATCGACGAGGGGGAAGAACGAGAGAGCGCAGACGCTCACCAGTGCCCATCCGCGAGCATTGAAGGACTGCTGCTGTGGGTAATGAATTGGAATGATAAATTTGCTTGTAATGATGATGTGCAGGATGTCTGATAAGAAACGCTGCTCATTGTCGCTGAGCACGCTCTTGCCTCTTCCCTCTCTCATTTCCGGGTCCATAAAAATCAATCGTTTGTTGTGGCTCGCTGGCCGGGTTGAGGCCACTAGTGCCGCTGCTTAGCGTCTCCTCCCCTTTCTAAATCTCCATCCACCACCTCGTCTTCCTCTCGAACTCGCAACGCTCTGAAACTCTTCTTCTAAACTTTGTGCTTCCGCTCTTGTATTCTCTTTCTCCCTTCTATTCTCACACTCGTTAGGACTTCAGTTCTCGAATTTGAGGTGACGAAAGATACATCCGCGGTTTCCCCTTCCCACACTCAGTCAACAAACAACAAGCCAAGCAAAAGAGGAAAGTGCCAACCAGTACGTTGTTTCATCCTTCTCCTTCGCAACTACTTCTTCCCTGCATCATATTTGGAAGAGTTCCCCTCAGAATTCACATCAAAAACACATTTGGTATCGAGCGACGCGCGGCGCTGGGTTCTCAACTCACACATCAATCATCCCATCTCGTCTTGCTCAACTTTATCACTCAATTCTGCTGGCATCGAATCAAATCATTCAATTGAACCGCACTGACATCAGAGAAGTAACTGTAGCATAATACCTTCACGATGTTCGCTCAGAAGCTCATCATTCCCGCTCTTGCGGTCGTCAGCTGTGTCGCCGGTACGTTCTCGATATCCTATCCCAACAAGCACATTATATTCCTGGGACATTGGGAGAGGGAGAGGTCGCGATGGGCAGGAATGCTGCGAGCATAGACTCGAGCATGCGATCACATCACACTAAAGCTACAATTGAGATGGAATTGCGCTGACATTCATCTTTTTCTAGCCCAGACTGCATCTGTCTGCTCTCAGGCCACAGCTACCATCAACTCCCAAGCTGATGCCACAGCTTTCGCTTCCTGCTCGACCATCTCAGGCAGTATCGTCGTCAGCTCTGCGGCTTCCGGTGTCATTAGCATTGATGGACCTCAACAAATTACTGGTGACTTCACTTGCGAGAACGCTGGTGGTCTGACCAGCTTGGGTAGCACAACCCTTGGGTCAATTGGAGGTTCCTTCACATTGAACAACTTGACCCTCCTCTCCACCCTGTCGATGACCGACTTGACATCCGTCAAGACCATTGCGTGGACTGCTCTTCCAGCTTTGTCCTCGCTGACCTTCCCATCCACTGTTAGTTCTGCGACCAGTGTGACCATCTCCAACACTTTCTTGAGCACTCTCGATGGTATCAACTTGGACACTGTGGCCACCCTGCAGATTGACAACAACAACCGATTGAAGACTTTCAGCACTCAAGTCGCCAATATCACATCTGCTGTCAACATTAACTCCAATGGCAACAGTCTCGAGGTCTCTTTCCCGAATTTGATCTGGGCTGCCAACATGACTCTGAGAAACGTCTCGTCTATCAACATTCCCTCCTTGGCAACTGTTAACGGCTCCCTCGGCTTCTATGGAAACTACATGACCAACATTGCCGCTCCCAATTTGACCTCTGTTGGCAGCACTGCAACTGGTCAGGGTTCTTTGGCTTTCGTTGCTAACGCCAAGCTCGCCAACATCTCCATGCCCATGCTTGCCACCGTTGGAGGTGCTGATCAAATTGCCAACAATACCGATCTTACTGGTATCAGCTTCCCAGCTCTGTCCATTGTTGGCGGTGCCATTGATTTCTCTGGAAACTTCTCCACGTAAGTACTTAAGACTCTACCTGTATTTCCCAATCTAACCGTATGCAGCCCATCGCTTCCAGCTCTCACCAACGTCAAGGGTGGTTTCAACATTCAATCCACTGCTACCATCGACTGCACTAGTTTTCAAGCTGAGGCCGGATCTGGCAAGGTTATCCAAGGTACATACATTTGCAAGACGACTGCCGATGCCACCACTCTCGGATCCTCCACCACCACAGGCTCTTCGTCTGGAGCATCATCTACAAGCAGCAAAGGCGCAGCAGTTTCCTATGGTGTGAACGAGGCCGTTGCTGGTATCTCGGTTCTCGGAGGTCTTCTGTCGATGTTGTTGTAAAGCATTGGGACGTCGGCGTTTTTCTTCCGTTACTATCACCATAAACCTAATCTGCCACGTTCTCATTGTCTTTTTTCCATACAGCTCTCAGCAAAACGAAGCCAGTCATTAGCGAGTTGTCACCTTCATTAGGATCATTCGGGGATGGGATGAAGGTGTCTGCATAATTTCCATATCACGACCTTGCTGAAGTTGCATAATTTCTGCAGCTAGCCTGGGGGTGATGGGATGTCTTTTTGTTTGGAGGTTCATGAGATGAGGGAGGGACCACAAGGACAGTCGTCGAATTCCATAAAATTTGTACATTGAATACACTTTTCTGTGCCATTGTGTGTGATGATTGTGACTAGCATATCTTGTCACTCAACTATATTGAGAGAAGCTTCAATATTTACCGCAAGTCAGCATTTCCTCTTGCCTTCTCGGATCGGGTTATAGACCACCATAACGCGATTTTGCTTTTTCTACGTGATAGTTTCTGTGCCGTTTCATCACCACGTCGGTGGCTGGGAGCATTAAGCATGTGCTACACGACAGGCTCAGCCTCTCCTGTACAGCATCTATCAAAAGCAATGTGGAGAAGAAGAGGCGAGCTGAAATCTCATGAAACTTTGCGAGATGTGACCAATCATTTCTGAGATTTTCTGTTCTTCTATTCTATTGTGATTTGTGATATCTAGAGGTTTGCTATATATATACGGGAGTGGGTATAGGGTTTACAATTTCGCTTTCGGTTGGTCTTGCTTCATCATTGTGTCTGCTACGATGCGTCGTTGGATTTTGCCAGTGGCTGTCTTGGGCATGTTGTCTGTGAAATAGACCTTGTTGTTTGTTAGTATTTGGCACAAGTGTGCTTGAAGCAAAGAAAATAACATACCTTCTTGGGGACCTTGAACTTGGCGAGCTTGTCCGCAACCCATTTCTTCAGTTCTTCTTCGCTGATGTGTTGTCCGCTCTTGGGCACGATGGCCACGCCGACTTCCTGTCCGAACATCTCGTCCGGGATCGCGAAGCTGACGGCCTCGCCGACTTTGGGGTGTCGGGCGAGGACGTTGTCGAGTTCGATGGGGCTGATTTTCTCGCCGCCTTTGTTGATCAGTTCCTTGATTCGGCCGGTGATGAATACGTAGCCGTCTTTGTCGAGCTTGCCTTGGTCACCGGTGCGGAAGAAACCGTCCTTTGTGAAGGAGGAGGCGTTCGCCGAGGGGTTGTTGAGGTAGCCTTTTGTGACGTTCTCGCCGCGGATGCAGATTTCTGCTTCGGAGCCTTGGGGTACCTCTTTTCCTTCTTGGTCTAGGATCTTGACTTCTACTCCTTGGCCGATTCCTACTGAGCCTGGTTGTCGTTTTCCCGGTGGGAGGGGGTTCGAGGTCATTTGATGAGCGGCCTCGGTCATGGCGTATGCTTCTAGGACGGGGGCATTGTATGCTGCTTCCAACTGATGGAAGACGGTTGGTGATAACGGCGAGGAACATGAGCGGATGAATCTGATCTTTGGCTTGGTGTGCGGTGGTGGGTTCTTCAAGAGGATCTGGTGGATTGTAGGAACTGCTGTGTACCAATTGGCACCGTGGGTGATGAAGTCGTCCCAGAAGTCATGAGCAGAGAACTTGGGCGGTACAATGACGGATCCGCCGCTATATAAGGGAGCCAGGAAACCTGCGAGCAGGCCGTGAACGTGGAATAGGGGCATGACGAGCATTGTACGATCGGCGGGCGAGAGGTCATATGTTGCCTTGATGTTCTTCATCGTTCGTGTGAGGTTCTTGTGTGTCAATGGCACTGCTTTGGGACGTCCTGTTGTGCCACTGGTGTGGAGGACCAGAGCAATGTCATCTGGTTGTGCCCTTTCGACTTTCTGGTTGCCTTTCCCCTTCAGCTTTCCTTCCTCCTTCACATCTAGGACAACTTCTTGGCCATTCCAGTAACATTCTGCTATGGCGGCATTGTATTTCCTCGCTGCTCGTACAGCAGGGCCTTCCTTTGCATATGAGCCCTTGGGCACAAGGGCGGCGGCGGACTTCAGATCATCGATGTAGAACTCGAATTCCTCCTGCTTATACGCCGAATTGAGAGGAGCTGCAATGCCTCTTTGCCAGGCACTGGCGAGGAACGCAACGATAAATTCGTATGTATTCGGAAGAGCAATTGAGACTGCAGCTTGAGGTGTTACGCCGAGCTTTGCAAGCTTGTTCTGGAAAGAGGAGATTTCGGCGGAGAGTTGTTTGTATGAGACTGTGAGAGGATTGTGCTTGCTCGGTATGATGACGGCTGTGGAATTATCTCCTGCCGAGAAGGAGTTCGAGAGTGTAGTGGCTGCCATTGTACCTCGAAATATGTCAGATTATAGAGAGTGAAAAGAGCAGGTTGTAATTGTATGACTTTTTGAGCACAGCTACGTAGTGAATGGATGATGAAGAGACAAACGCCATTCCGATAATCGTCCGGTCATTCTCTGGCACACATGGGCAATGCACCTATCTGATCACCCCATGTCTAGCGCATTATCAGGCTTATCGTCCCAAATTCCTCTTCAGCAGCTGGCTGCAGTAGCTTTGCACATTTGACAGGACCTCATTATTCCCGCGCGCCATTTGATAGCAATTTTTGCTGTCTTGTACCTCTTCATGATCTGGTGACTCAATATTTCCCTCCACATCTCTCATTGCTGGCTAAGTCTCAGAAAACATCACGAAGAGAATTCTTGGTGGGGTGGAAAAAGTGAAACATAACCGTTACAGTTCAATGTGTAACGGACTCAGAGATGATCAAATCAATACGCTACAGAAAACATTCATCAAGACGGATGTAGGGCGCGGGCCGATAGTTCTTCCGCGTTCTAGTCCCGAGGAGGCATTCAAAGTAGCCTCACGCGTGAGGCTGTGAAGTTAGAGACATCTTTGTGCAATGCATTTCGATCACAATACATCAAATACCGTCCCACAATGTCTACCCCAACGAATCCGCGCGGGCTATCGCTTTATGCGAATCTTCTTGATCCAGATTCTTCCGCGCCAGGAACAATATCCAAAGGTCCTGTTGTCTTCAAGAATGCTGAAGCTGCAGAAGACAGCTCGGCCAAGAAGCCACAAATAGATCCTGGTATGCGATACTTCCCAATAATGGAAAAGAAAATTAGGATTAATTGTCTCCTCGAGCAGCTGCGCTCCGTTTCCAGCCTACGAAGAGACCACAATTGTCGCAAAAGCCCAAACCAAAATCTACCTTTCCAAAGCAGCCCCTTTCAGACAACTCGAATCAGAGGAGTGTCCCGCCGCAAGCTACACCTACTGTAAATATTGCACGACCAGCTGCGAAGACTACCCTCGCGGATTGGACAGGTGGAGACGACGAGGACGTGAATGGATTCTATGCGGGAGAAAAGAGGCAACGAGGTGGCCGGAAGAAGAGAAAGAACAAGCACAGGGAAGAGCATGTTGCTGTGCAAGATTGGGATGATATCTATGACCCAGCACGGCCAAACAGCTATGAGGAGTATAAGAACAGTGACGAGAAGATAAGAGAGGTTAGGGAATGGAAGGACAGACTATATGCCCATAGAATGGCCAGAAAGTCACCTAGTGAGAAGGATAGCGACGAAGAAGACTTTCGTCCTCAGATGGGTAGTGAGTATTCTTCATGGCATGGGGCATTCTAATACTGATTTTCGCAGGGCAATTTGCACCACCAGGGCAGTTTGCACCACCTTCCAGCTACTCCTTTGCACCTCCTCCTATGGACTCTCCGCCGAAAGCTCAACTCGAGAACGATTCTCCTAGGATACTGGAAGATATACCACCACCTCCTCCGCCACTTGATAATCTACCACCGCCCTCTGCGCCCTCACAACCTGTCCCAGAAGCATCAATATCTCGTGCTCCAGTGCGCTACAACCTCCCGCCAGCACCAAGCGATATCCCTAGTTCAGAAGCAGAACTAGAGAAAGCACTGGCTGAAGAAGACGATGAAGATGACGAAGCTGCCGAGGAAACTCCACGATCACTTCGACCTGGTCAGAAAGGCTTCGCTGAACGGCTTATGTCGAAATATGGATGGAGCAAAGGCAAAGGTCTGGGTGCTGATGGGTCTGGTATCGTCAATCCACTCCGAGTACAGCTTGAGAAGCGAAAGAAAAAGTCAGATGCAGAGGGAGGTGGGTTCAGAGATCCTGGTGGTCGTGGTAAGATCATTGGTGGGAAGAAGAACGTACCAGAAAAGGAGTCGGATACTGGCAAGTTTGGACCTATGTCGGAAGTCATTGTGCTTCGAGGCATGGTTGATGGCATGAATCTTGACGAGGAAGTCGAGGGCGATGGCGATGGTGGTATCATGCAAGAAATTGGGGACGAATGTGCTGAAAAAGTGAGTGACACCTGTTCGTCACATTGGATCTCACTGACAGCAGAACAGTATGGGCGAGTTGAAAGAGTCTATATTGATCGACATGGAGCTGCTCCAAAGGTTTTCGTCAAATTTACCAGTCAGCTGTCAGCTTTGAGGGTACGTTTCCTTGACTTCTTATGGCGGCAAACACTAACGAGGACCAGGCTGTGAATGCTCTCGAAGGACGAATATTCAATGGGAATACCATATCTGCACTCTTCTACGAGGCGGAGAGATTTGAGCAGGGAGTCTACGAGTAATAGTTTCTGTAGCTCGAAAAATTTACATCGTTTTACGGACACTGCCAGTTGCTACATATATCTTTTGCTACTTCGCCTCGCGCTTTGTGAGCTTTACGTGATCTTCACCAGCCATAGTGACCTTACTAAACCTCGAACGTTCACTTTGCCTTCTGACATACTCGGGGCTACACTCGTCCGAATAAGGGCCTTTAGATGAAGGAAAGTCTGTTGTAAGTACCTGGTATACTTGGAGACCAATTTCTTGTTTTGTGACAGATTTGGCAAGTTTGAGAACCTTGGTCTATTGGTGAATATGAAGGAGTCCTTCTGTTGCACATCGCACTTTCAGACCGTCGAGAGAATGATACTTTACTAGCTTCGAAGTCAATCCTTGAAGACGGACAATGTAAATTTTTTGTTGCATATCGCACTTTCAAATCGTAGAGAAACAATACTTCATTGGCTTCAAAGTCAGTCTTTGAGGACGGACAATTGGATCTTTTGTTGCACATCGCACTTGGAAAGGTTACATCAATTTTGAGTTGACTTTAACAAGAGGCTGAGAGGAGGCTGAGAAGAGGTTGAGAAGAGGTTGAGAAGAAGTTGAGATGAGGTTGAGTAGAGGATGAGCAGAGCTTAAGTAAAACTTGAATTGCACTCAAGCGGAGTCTAAACATAGCTTGATTATAGCTCAAGTGAGCTTGATAGAGCTTGATAGAGTTTGATAGAGCTTGAGTAGACTTGAGTGAACTCAATCGACGAACAAATGGATTTTTGCTGTGCATTGCACTTAGTAAACATTACTCGATAGAGTAAACTCTGGTTAAACAAACTTCATAGACTTTCTTCAAGTAAACTTTGTGTAAGTAAAGAGTCTAAGCTAGGTGAGTAACTTGTGATAGACAATGGGGTTTTTGTTGCACACTAAACTTCATAGAGTTCACCTGAGGATTTACTATACTTGAACAGACTTTAGAATAGAGTAGATGATTATTCTAGTTACCAGACTCCATTACAGGGAGCCAAAGCTTGCATTCTATATGTAATTTAGAGGATGAAGTGGCATTTGTAGGCAATCAAAAATTATACATGATTCAAGTCTCATTGCATCGATTTACCGCGGACGAGTCGGCAGTGAGTATTCACATTGAGGGATCTGTTTCTCTTTGGAGTTGGGCAAAATTGTTGCTGTGACGGTGCGAATGGCGCAGACTGCGCGAGTAGCGCAAACTGCGCGAATTGCGCGGAATGTGCGGAATGCGAGGATTATGGAGATCATAATGAAGAGATGGGATTGAGGTCTGTAGCGACTATAGTGGGGGTTCTAGAGTATGGATCGTAATACTGGTGTACTCTGATGATTTGATGAGAGGGGTGATGAGAGGGGCATGGTAGGTAAGATCTGAAGACAGGCTACACTTGAGCTCAGCTCGTTCACGATCTGCTCATTCTAGAAACACAGCCAGAGCTCAATTGTCAGAAAAGGCAGCCAAGTTTCTCTCGACTAGTCAGAATGTAAAATGTTTAATGTATGGTATGAAGTGCCGCAATCAGTTCTGCGGGGTATGCTCAACCCATGATCTCAAATGCAAAATCTGCAGAAGTACTGTTTGCTTTGCAAACGTCCTCTCCCTATAGACCCAACGCCGTTCGCAAATGTTGATATAAAATACACGTCTATTACCCTCTAGAACTACTTTCGCCGCCTCTGGTATCTGGTCTCGGTGCTGTGCTACTCACGCTCCCACTCCGACTTGCTGTCGTTGAACCTTCCTCGGCGCTTCTCTCAAGAAAACCGGTCCATAGATCCGCTAGTGACTCCTTATTGGCGGGAGATTCAGTAAAGAACTCACTTGATAATGAGGGTGTACTCGGAGTGCGGTGGAATGGTGACATGGGCAATCGTAAGCTGCTGTTCGACGCACCTGGTCTTGCAAGACCTGCTTGCTCTTTCTGCTCATCTGTCCAGTTCAGCAGTGATGCTATTAACTGTAGGATCTGAAATTTCTTTGGGTCTGAGCGGTCCAGAGTGAGGAAGTGCAAGAAATGATTGGTGACGATTTGTCTAATATTTTTAGTACTAGTTCAGATAGAGTCAAGATTGGTACGTACCTGTCAACGTTGTCCTCTGGCTTGGCCTTTCTGAGAAATCGTAAAGCTTTCGTGAGGTGGTCATTAAGAACAATCGCTTCATGTCGTAACTTTCCAATTAAAAGATTCTTCTCCTTGATTTCCTTTTCGAAGGGAGCCAGCCTCTCCACCTCTGTTTCGAGAGATCCTTTCGATGCTTCGGCTTCATTGGCTCGTACGTCTGAGTCTTGAACTATCTTCTTCAGAGCTTGGAGTTGTTCTTCGTATGACTCCACCATCTCACGAAGCTCACGTTTTCGTGCTTCTTGCACTTCTTGCAGACCTCTCTGTAAGCCTTCCAGAGCCTGCGATTGGCTGTCTCTCTCTGATACAGCAGCTTCGTACGCTTCCTTCTGAGCCGAGAACTGTTCTTCCAGATCCCTAATCTTCTCTGCTGAGCTCTCCCTCATTGACCTCTCTTCCATGGCCAAAACTTCCCAATCACCCATAGCTTCCTTTGCAGCTTCGGCCTCATCCTTCAGCTGCCTTGTCTTTTGTATCAGATCTTCTCGCTCGCTCACCCAATTTTGTTGCGAGAGATTGTGCCTATTACGTAGACTCGAAAGCTCCTTCGACGATTCGTGAGATTCCTGCTCCAGACGCTGTACATCATCCTCGAGGCCCTCTACACGTTTCTTCAGATTCTCGTTTTGTGACTCGAGCTCATCAATCTGCTCCTTCGCTTCGGCTAATTCTTGTTTGTCAGCTTTCAGACGTTCCCCCAAGCTTGATTTAATAGTATTGATGCGTCCAAGTAGAGATTGGTATTGCGTTTCTGCATGGTCCTTTGCGCTCTCACTCTCCGCGAGCTCAGCCCGGATCGTCGATACCTCCTCCGTGTGTTGACTTTGAATTGTAGAGACTTCTTCTGAGTGCTTCGTCTGGATATTCGATAATTCGTCGGCATGCTGTCCCTTGATTGTGGAAACTTCCTCTGCGTGTTTTCCTTGAAGACCTTCGAGCTCTTTTCGTAATTGCTCCACTTCAACACGCAACGCTTCCCGCTCTTGTGACATTGCTTCTAATCGAGCACTCGCATCGGATGCCTTCGAATTCGTGCTGTCCAATGCCCCTCCTTCTGCTTGATGCTTCTCGGATGATCGTGTCGCAGATGAAACTGCATGGCCATTACTAGCAGAATCGTGGTTATGGCCATTCGTCTGCGCTTTTGCACTTTCCGGGAATTGGCCGTCCTTCGGTGTGTTCTATAGACAATGTCAGAGCTTGATCGTTGCTGTGTTTTGTGAACAGGTGGCTCGTACCACCCCGGACTGCCCAGAATCCTCAGCATCTCCTTCAGCCTCTCCATTTTCTAGGGACAGTTCCTTTTCATCAGCTCCCTTGGTAGGCTCCTCTGCAGCCTTTGTCTTTGAACTCTTCTTCTTCTTGTTGTTTTTCTTCTTGGGCGCTGTCGGAATGTGTTAGTATGTTATACGAGCTTCAGAATCGCACGAGAATATCAGAGAAATTGGGGGATCACGCACCTGACGATGAGGTCTGAGAAGTATCTGCAGGTGCCACAGCTGACATTTTCTGGCCGAGTTGTGAGGTTGCCCAGTAATTGAAGCTATTCCTACAGTTGGGTATGAAGCTGGGACTCGTCAACACACCTAAACGGGACTAGTGAATTGATTAGTCTGCTGCACGGGAAGCCCAGGACCGAGATCTTGAGGATCGCCCTTGCTCATGAACCGCATCCACACATATTTAGACATTTACGTAGCAGCCACCCATTTTCACTGCTTTACAACGATTGATAGTTGGCGAACGATCATTAGCTAGCCCCGCGCATCTTATCTACCAGCAATCTCTCCAGCAAGTGCGGGGAAGATCTTAGCATCTCATTAGATCCAATGATGTATTGTACAGTTCTTCACTACGTGTGTCTAACTAGCTCCGTTCCGTCGAGACCATGGTTTAGGTCCATTAGGCCAATCGCTATGATGTTATGTTTTTATTTCACTCGTACCTGATATACCCAGGCAGTATAAGCCATTCAGAAAATCAACATGTCTTCTCTCATTCAAAACATAATTCCGAACGCCATGGCATCAGATGGCGCGAATGGACACAGTGGTGTCGATACTGGCAAGTACATCAAGTGGAACGCTGAAGGCGTGGAGAAGATACCTCCAAATGAAGCAGAGGATATAAAAGCTGTTGCAGACATGATAAATCAGATGCAGCAGAAGCAGATCAATAATCATAGACACTGCTACTCAGGTTAGTTCCTAGTTTCGCCGTATCAGAAAGGCTGCTGAAACGTCCGTGAATAGGTACACATGCACGTACTCAGGGTATCGTGAAAGGAAAGTTGATTGTCAAGGAGCTCCCACAGCACCTGGCACAAACTCTATTCTCCAAACTCGCAGAGTATCCTATCGCCATGCGATACTCAACAGAGCCCGGAGATCCAGGAATCGATGATCGAATACCTCAGCCTCGTGGTCTAGGTATGAAGGTCTTCAACGTTCAGGGGGAAATGTTCGATGCTGGCAAAGACTTTCCGACCCAGGACATTGAGTTCAACAATGCTCCTGCGTTAGAACTTGCAGATGCGAAGACGACTAGGGAGATCTTTGAGATCCGTATCAAATACGGAGATGATAAGAAAGACCTGTACAAACAACTCGAAGCACGAGACGATACCGATCTTCAAAAAGCCCGAGATCAGCTCCGGAATACCCATCTTGAGGTTCGAGACACCAAGCATAATGAAGTCAGAGAGTGGTACTGACATTTGAGGAAGTCATTTCGAATGTACTCGCAGTCTGCGTTCAGATTTGGTGACTATGTCGTCAAGTACTCACTCGTACCATCGGGAGAAACCCAGAAGAAGGCACACGAAGAAACAGTGGATCCAGACTCGCATCCGAACAACATCCTCAGCCAATGGCTGCAAGAGTTCTATAGCAAACATGACGCTGAGTACTTGTTCCAAGTACAATTCCTCGAGAACCTAGACGAGCAACCTGTCGAATACGCTGGCACACCTTGGGATGATGCTAAATACCCGTGGCAGACTGTTGCGAAAGTCATAGTGCCCAAGCAAGAAAGCTTCCTGCCCAGCCGGAAGACGTTCTGGGAAGAGCATATTCGGCTGGACCCGTGGCACGGATTGAAGACTTTCCAACCGCTTGGCTCTTCTAATAGACTTCGTAGAGGTGTGTATCCCGCCAGCGCTGGCTTTCGTCACAAGATGATAGCCAGGAAAGAAATCAATGTCACGAGTATCGATCAGATCCCAGATGGTGGTTTTGTTACGGGTTGAAGCAAACTTGGGCGATGTATTTTTGTTGCCGATCTCAGAAGGAAGCGTCACTGCTTGTACATATGTAATGATATATGAACCTGCGATGTTAGTCTCACCCCAGAGCAGACTGGTTTCGTTCGATGAGTGAGGTTTCAGTGACTTTCAAATTCGAGAGCCGAACCAGCGAGATAAGTGTGGTGTACAGGACATGTAGGAGATTGACCCACAACCATGCGACTTTGTCCACAAGGTAAGCTAGGATCCAAAACAGGGGTTCATCAAATATATGTTTGCACTAAGCGAATCTGGATGAACATTGAGCAGAACTCTAATTCAACAGAATTATAAAAGGCGGAGTTAGTCTAGGCAAATCGTAAATATGATCAGGCTATGAAATGTAGATGTGTATCCACGCTCATTGTGTCAATTGACAGCAATGAAAGCCAGAACATGCGTAGAACGCCGTTATATATAAAGACTGAAGAAGAGAGATCGCGAAAAATTATTCGTAGGCAGTTTTTTGGGGTCGAGGAGCGCTAACCGCAAGCGGATACTCACGTGATCGCGTGAGAGACGGAGATCTTGGCGTTTGCGACCATGGTCATGGTCTTGCCACCATCAAATCTGTAGGATCGAAGAATGATATTGAGTTGAAGGTCTTTCTACTGATTCCCCATCCACCAACAAAAACTTCTGATCTAGAATCCAATCTCGATACTTGAAAGTTCTGCACAAAGAAGAACAATGGTGTCACGTTCCTCTGGCGGGGCCTCCTCCTCGAAGGCGGGATCCATCGCGTCTCCAGCTGGAGCACCGCCTGAATGCATGGCCAAAGTCATGGACAACAAGAGCATCGAGCCTACCACTCCAAGGAGGACTCAAACTTCCAAGAAACGCAAAGCACCGCAGCTCTCCCAAGACGATGAGACTAGCAATGCGGATGACTACCTCGCAGCAATAGCGGCCCAAGAAGCACTGGCCGGCATTGAAAGTTCCAAGCCCAAGAAACCTCGAAAGAAGAAGGGCGAAGAGCCAGAAGAGAAGCGACTTAAGCGTTTCCGAATCAAGCCTCCTCTCTCTTACATCGAGAGACTTGAGAGAGTCAAGGCGCAGCGAATGTTCTTGATTGATCGAAATAGAACCACTGGTGAAGATGGCACCCACGAAGAAGAAATCTTTGACATTGCTGGTACTACTGGGAATATCTACCAAGTCACTATCTCCAAGGTTCCAACTTGTTCTTGTCCGGACGCGGCGAAGGGGAATCAGTGCAAGCATATCATTTATGTATGTATCTTAACAAGTCCTTATTACTCTATCACTCATGAAATTTCTAGGTTCTGGTCAATGCCCTCAAAGCCCGAGAAGATCTAGCTTATCAGCTGGCATTTCTTTCGACGGAGCTCACAGAGATTTTTGCCAATGCACCTGTCACTCCCCAGTCATCTGAAACTACAGCTTTAGCTACTGATACTGGCGGCTCCCGCAAGCCTGTCGAAGGCGATTGTCCCGTTTGCGTCATGGAGTTCGAGGAAGGAGAAGATCTCGTTTGGTGCAAAGCTGCATGTGGTAATAACGTTCATCGCCATTGCTTCGAGCAGTGGGCTGGGAGCAAGTCTGGTAAGCAGTCTTATCTCTCTCACCATATAATGTTACCAGATCACCCTACTATTTATTGTGTTTCATTGTCTGGTTTCTACCCAGTGCTTAATTACCTCGATATGTGGTATTTTCGACTAACACTTTCAAGGTCCTGTCAAGTGTGTTTTCTGCCGCAGTGCATGGAAAGGTGACGAGGAGAGTATCAAGAAAATCAGTAAGTCTGGTGCTATTGGCGTTGATGGCTATGTCAATGTCGCTGGTGAACTGGGACTTAGTGGGGAGCGTGATATGAGCACGTATCATCAATACTGAGTTCGGAGACAACCAGGATACGGGCGGTACTACTAAATACGAATGATGAACGAAGGTTCTGGTGATCTTTGAGCTAGACTCGGCCGCATCCGGGGACGATTCTGGAAAGGTCAAAGGGTATGGTGCTGGGGTTGGATTGCAGGAATAAGGCGTTGCTGAAGGAATATACCCATTTGCTTTGATGATTTACACTGTCGACTTGTACAATAGATGGGACAATGCAACAGTGCAACAAGTGACAGGAAATGAGGTGTCATTCTTTCATTTTTGATATTCGCAACGCTAAACTTTTATATTAGTATTCATCCCTGATTTCCATTCTTTAAGTCTGATTTAGACGATCTTCCCCTCATTCACAACGAAGCTTTCGAGTGCCGCTAAAATTCAGTTAGCAAATGCTTGAAAACTCTCACGGATTCATCTTACCAATAGCAGCCCATAGCCTATTCTCGCCCTCTTGGAACACCAAGCTTCTAGGGCCATAGAACACCTCATCAGCCACTTCCTCAGGATGTCTCGGCAGACAATGCATAAACTTCCAGCCCTCCTTTGCACCACCCCTCTTCGCAAGATCACTTGTAATTTGGTACCCAGCAAAAGCCTTCAATCTCTTGGCAGACTCTTCTTCTTGGCCCATCGAAATCCATGTATCTGTCACCACGATGTCTGCATCCTTGATCGCTTCTTCGGGGACATTGGTCTCCATAAGCTTGCCTGGAGAGCTTACTCCGTTGGCAGCGCCATTGATAATGTCTCGCATTGAGGCAGGAATCCCGTAACCTTTAGGTGATGCGACAGAGATGTTGACCCCAAGCTTCACAGCAGCGATGGCCAGATCAAATAGGACATTGTTCGAGTCGCCAATCCAAGCAATCTTCAATCCATCTACACCCAATGATGGGACAGAGCTCGAACTTCGAGAACCCGATGAAGGGAAAGCTTCATGTATTGTCAGGAAATCGGCAATGGTTTGCAGTGGATGGAAATCGTTTGACAAAGCATTGATGACTGGGACCGACGAATATTTTGCCAAATCTGCAACATCTGAGTGTGGGCCAACCCGGGCGACCATACAAGAAGTCATGCTTGAGATGATGAGTGAGGTATCGTAGAGGGACTCGTTGACTCCAAGTTGAATGTCGTCTTTTCCGAGGAACATTGGGTGGCCGCCCAGTGTTGCTACTGCTGCTTCGGTGGAGACTCGAGTACGGGTACTGCGCTTGTTGAACATCATTGCAACCGATTTTCCTGCGAGAGAGTTCAATAAGTTCTTTGGTACAGAGCCAGACTTAATAGCGATTTTGTGGGAGGAGGCATTTCGGACGAGGGTGGTCAATTCCGAGGGTGTGAGGTCTGCAATTGAGAGGAGATGTCGAGGTGCGAACGGAGAGGTGGCGGGTGTAGAAGGACTCGAGCTTGCATATGTTCGTTTTGAAGATCTGGAGATGAGTTGGATGGCCGCCCTGGCGGGACGGAGCTGTGCTGAATGCATTCCGAAATCGCCCTGTATCAATTGAGTCAATTGCACATCAATTGGATGAATCAGAAAACTGAAGATTGAAGACGAGCAGAAATGGTACTTGTCTTTGAATGACTCACGAAGGAGTGGACTTTGAAAAAGGTGAAAATACCTACCCCGATCTTTTCAAAAGTTTCTGTCCATGTGAGTCTTCCGAATTGTGGCATGCATGCAGAAAATCCAGCCAGGCACAGCTCAGGCACCGAGCCGGTTTAAGGCTAGCTTAGCTTTGAATGTCCGTTCTCCCCAGATTCAACATACAACAGCTCCATTCGTCAACTTGGTTTCAGACATTCAGACCCTGCCTAGACTCCGAGTCGAGATTATAGTTTGTAAAAATCCGAGGGTATATCTCCAGACAGTCCGCTGCACATTAAAAAGCAACACCATTCAGTCATATCGCAGATCCCGCTAGTGGCGCGCTACGATACGCAATCAGCACCAGCCGCAGCTTCCTGCCAACTCCTCAACACTGCACTCCAGTTGTTTCATACACACGACCAGCTTCTACCCTTCTCTCCCCGTACCCATCACCAACATACTTTTGAATCAGACGCAGACCGTCAAAGTACTACATTGCGACAGAAACAGCTATAAAAGTCTAAATGTCCGACAACACCCCGCTCCTCGGCGGTACCTCCGATCGACCGACCTCGAAACGTTCGAATAGGTCGACTCACTCAAATGAATCTCATGAACAAACACCTCTATTATCACGCACAGATAGTGCTGATCGATACGATGGCTCAGAAGAACATCCCGCGAACGATAGACTAGCCTCACCTGCAGCGACTTCTCTACGATCGTTACAAAATGGAGGAGGTTCAGTCAAGTCTACGAAGGGCGGTCGTAGATGGCCAACAGTGGTTGCCGTCAGTCTGCTGGGCTTGATCGTCATAGCCATCATACTTGGCGTCTTCTTCACACCAGCAGCGGTTGAAGAGTATGCCAAGCAAGCGTTGGTTATAGAACCGACGAACTTGTCGATAGATTCGTTCACGAAGACCGGTGTGAAGGCCAGAGTGCAGGCAAACTTCAGGATGGATGCTTCTAGAGTAAAGAACGAGCATGTAAGGAATATTGGACGCTTTGGAACTTGGATCGCTCGATCAGTCGAGAGCCAAGAATCCATGGTTGAGGTCTATTTGCCTGAATATGGAAATGTTCTTGTTGGCACAGCACAGGTGCCAAAGGTGGTTGTTGATATTCGAAACGGCCACACTACAGCGATCGACTTCATTACAGACCTACAGCCTGGAGACATTGAAGGCATTCGACAAGTTGCTAACGACTGGCTGGAGGGACGCTTAGACAAAATCAGATTGTTAGGCAAAGCAGATGTTGCTCTGAAGACTGGTTTGATTTCTCTTGGATCTCAGACTATCGTTGAGTCGCTGGTTTTTGAAGGTCAATCTCTCTACCGTTCCTTTGCTTCATTGTATCTCGGAGAGAAATCACTGGTCTAGAAGTATCTTGGATGTGATCATAGTTGATGCATTCTCTCGAAAAGATAAATAGAACTCATTGGATCTATACTTTACTTACAATCCCAACACTCAACATGCATCATTCACTTTGCTCGATATTTCTATGAATCACTAGCTAATGCTGTCAACAGGTCATGATCTCCCAGCCATTCCAGAATATAACATTACTCGATTAAACTTCAGAGAGGTTCCAATATCGACAACCGGTCGTCGTGGAATGGCCGCAGATGTTTCGTTGTCTCTTGTGAATAGTTATCCGATCAAGCTTGAGATTCCACCACTCGGATTCGATATCCTCGTTCCTAATTGCGGTATCGATGATCCACAAATCCGCCTTGCTGATGCCACTACCGGTGCTATTGACATCGAGCCCTATTTAGATGTGCATGTCGACGTGGGTGGCATTGTTCGAGAATTACCGCAGTCTTTGACTCAAGCCTGCCCTCACTCCCACTCCTCCCCGCTGGATGCTTTGTTGGGCGATTACATCCATGGCAAGGATACAACAATCTATGTACGAGGCTCGAACGCACCGGACAGCAATACTCCAGATTGGATCAGCAAGATCATTCAAAGTGTAACAGTACCTGTGCCTTTTCCAGGCCATACATTCGACGGCCTGATCAAGAACTTCTCTTTGACGGACACGGAGTTCAGTCTCCCGGATCCGTTCGCTGATCCTGGTTCCGATGGAGCAAACCCTAAGATCTCAGGAACAATTGCAATTACAACAATGGTCCCAAAAGAGATGAACTTCGGACTCAATGTGAGCCGAGTCCGAGCAAAGGCAGACGTTTCATACAAAGGAGCCAAATTGGGCGTCCTTAACTTGGAGAAGTGGCAATCAGCTCAGTCGGAACGAATGGAAGAGGACAATTCTTTGAAAATCGAATCCCGAATTAAGGAAGCTCCTTTGAACATTACCGATGATGATGTATTCACGGATGTTGTCCAAGCGCTCTTGTTCGGCGGGAAAACAGTCATGCTCAAGGTCCAGGCTGTCGTCGAGGTTGAGATTTCCACCGTTCTTGGAAAGCTTGTCATCAAGGACCTTCCTGCTGAGGGAAATGTTCCCGTAAAACGTTAGACTGCCGTTTTCATTCTTCAGCTCGACTGCACCGAAGCTGACGAGATTGCAGCGATCTCTACAGGCAAAGACTTCAGTTCACTGAAGCCTTCGGTAGGCGACCTGAAAGTTCTGAGTACAAGCAGGACATCCCTCCACCTCCAAGCACATGTCAACTTTACGAATCCCACAGAATACACAGCCAAAATCCCGTACATCAACATACACATTCTCAACAATGGCTCTGTTATTGGTGATGCAACTGCACGAAACATTACTGTTGGTCGCGGCAATAACACCAACCTCCTTGTCCAGGCGACATGGGACCCTACCACTTTTGGAGGGGAAAACGCGACGAAGATAGGCCGAGAACTATTGTCCCAATACATCTCAGGCTTCAACACTACTTTGACCTTCCAAACGCACTCCGGCTCTATTCCTTTCCGACCCGACATTGGAGAGGCCTTAAGCAAATTTGCGTTCGAAATTCCCACTCCCAGACTATCAACCCCGGGTACGGGCGGTGATGGTGATGGCGATCACAAGCCTCACTTCATTGACGATGCAACTTTTCATTTATTTTCTTCCACCGCTACTTTCACACTCATTTCGCCCTTGCAATACAGCATTATTTTCATTGAAAGCATTAATGCAACTGCTCTTTACAACCACACCGAACCAATAGGTACGATTGATTACGACCTACCTTTCAGTGTCCCTCCAGGATCCAGTCAATCTCCACGATTGCCGGTTGACTGGTCTTTGGACAGTGTTGGTTACGAAAAGCTGCAGAAGGCTTTGGGTGGCACGCTCAAATTAGACGCAAAAGGGACCGTTGGCATTAGACTTGGGGAATGGACGGAGACGGTTTGGTATGTCGGGTCTGGAATTGGCGCAAGAGTTTCTTTTTGAATAATCAAATTGGCTGGTGCATGCGGAGGTTAAGTATACGATCACGGGAGTATGTATATATGGGAACTGCAGGTGGGATTCAGGTTGGCGTTTCAAGGTTGGGAGGTAGGCGTCAAAGAAATCGACGTGAAATTGAATGTATAGAATACATAGAAGGAGATTTAATCTACCCTCCACGTTTTGCAGGCATCTCATGATATGCCAAATGACGCCAACTCCGAATTATAAACCAATTTTTGTTCACGTGAGTGAGACCACATCTATCCAGGAGGCAAGGCGCTTGCATCAACAATATCGTCGGCATCTTTGGGCAGTTCCGCCTCGTTGGGACCATATAGAGGTGAGCGAGGAAGAGCCATTAAACCAGTTCGAGCTGATTCCAAGATTCCGAATGGAGCGATTAGCTTCATGAAAGAATCAATGCGGGTGGGTTTTGCGGAACTGATTTCGTGGTTAGCTTAAAGCAGGAGATCAAGTCAACTGAGAAGACTTACACTTCGACAATGCAACTATTTGTGCTGATATCCAATACCTTTCCTCCGAACTGATGAGTAAAGTATGTGATTGACTTCAAGTGCTCATGCTTCAGTCTCAGCGCCTGACTTAGGGCTAGCTTGCTGGGGTGAAAGTCGTTCGTCTCTGATCTCTTCTGTGCCCAGTCCTCACTTCCTTCCAGCCCTTCCTCATCTCCAGCTGTAATTTCTCTGTGATGAGCTTGCAATTCCTCGAAATATTCTGGACCAAGAATGTTGATCTTTGCCAGTAGAAGTTCTCGTTGAACGAGAGGCGCAGTTGTATAATCCAGCACCGCCCAGACAGGGACCAAATCTTCTAGTTGTCGGCGAGCTTGCTCCACTACGCCGTCTTGACCGGAGAGCACGATTGTCATGCGGGACAGGTCTTCAACTTCTGTGTGGCAGACAACCAGTGAGTCAATGTTGAAGCCGCGAGCAGCCAGGATACCCGAGACGCGGGACAGCACACCAGGCTCATTCTGAACCAAGCAATTGAGGATATGTCGTTTTGGCGGGGCAGCTGAAGGAGTCGGGGTTTCGTAGAGGATGTTGGATACGGCAGCTTGGGCAGACCATGATGGAGGAGCGTCGGAGGTAGGGAGAGGGTAGATTCTTCTGTGTAGAGCTTTGTATGCCAGCGCTGAGGTTGAGGATGACGTTGATTCTGCTCGGAGTTGTTGGCGGGCAGAGAGGAAATTAGAAGCACGAGGACGAATTGCCTTGGATGAGAGGGCGCATATGGCTTTTCGTGAAGCCATGATGGGTAGGAGGAGGCCAATTAAGGCTTCAGGTCAATTGACTCGTGCTACCTCTTCGTTGACCGTTGTGGTAGGCAAGAATATGAGATATGACTCCGAAGAATAAATCAAAGAACCGAAGATCGGCTCCAAAATTTAGTGAAGCGAGGCAACCTAGTTCACCGCCTTCGTATGATTGGTTGGAGATGCTAACCAATAGGCTAAGATTGTGGCAGCCTTGAAAAAAGAACCTCAAGAGCTACATATTTACCAACGCTTCTGCTACTTTTGTATGCGCCTCAGCCTTTCCTACCGTGCGCTTTTGGCTTTTATTTATCAGTCCTAGGATCCGCGATGGACGACACCGAACGACGCACCGCAAAGCGCTCGCGCTTCGATCAGACAGAGCCAAAGCGCACTTCGAGATTTGACAGACGCTCGCGATCTCCCCCAGCCTCGAAGCCGGATCCCGAATCTAGACGCAGCAGGAGCCCGCTACCACGAGCCTCTGATAGCCCCGCCACGGACTCTGCGAAGAAAGGAGGAGTTGATCCTGCTGCTGCTGCTGGTATGAATCCGCGTGCAAAGCTATATGGCAAGGCTAACAATTTCATAGCTGCTGCGGCCGCCAGAATCAATGCCCAAATTCAGGCCAAGAAGGGGATCCAGCATGTCGATGTTCCTCCCATCCTATCAACCTTGAGCCCTAAGGAACCAAGTATGGCATCCCCAGGAGCCTCAGGTTCAGGAAATAGCGCAGCTTTGGTGAATGGTGAGATGTACATTGCAGACGGCGACTACATTCGAGATATCGAGGTCAATGACCTGCGGAATCGTTATACACTGACCAAAGGCTCTACGCAAAAGATGGTAAATACTCCTTGTGTTAATACTCCACTGATACATCAGGCTTTCTTCTATAGATATAGCTTCTGACCATCTCCCCGTTTCATTTCCAAATCCATATAAGCGATCTATCTTTTGTGTGGAGTTTTCAAGCTTACGTGGAAGCGCTAGCATTTACTACACGTCCCTCTTTGGCATCTGCTGACTCCCGCTGCGTGACATCTAGATTAAAGAAGAAACCGGTGCTGGTACGCTATACCTACAACTTACGTTTGACAAAGAGCTTTCTTATTGACTTGTGAAGATGTCACGACCCGCGGGAACTATTATCCGGACAAAAGCATGGCCACGGCTGCTGTAAGTGACTTTTGTTAATGGTGAAACTTTGCTTATAAGGTTACAGAATCCACCCCTGTACCTACACGTCACGAGCACGACAAAGCGTGGTCTCGAGCAAGCGGTAGAAAAGATCGAGGAACTCATGAAACAAGAGCTTCCCAATCTTGTCGACGAACGAAGATTTCGACGACGAGAACCAGAGCAAGTTGAGAGAGACGAGTTTGGCAGAGTAAGGGTGGTCCTTTTGGCATTAGCGAATTACTAATGGTGCAACTAGCGTAAATGGCCTGAGGAGAGAATTTCCATTGACTTCGAACCACTGCCTGGCTTCAATCTCAGAGCTCAAGTTGTTGGTCACGGAGGAGCGTATGTTAAGCATATTCAACAGGAGACCAGATGCCGTGTTCAGATCAAGGGCCGTGGTTCTGGATTTATGGAACATGGTACTGGTCGTGAGAGTGACGAGGAGATGTACTTGCATGTTGCGTATGTAGTGTCAGCCGAATGTTGTGGAGAATACTGATGATAATCTAGTGGTCCCGATCCTAATGAGGTCCAAAAGGCCAAGGAACTCTGCGAAGACCTGCTGAAGAACGTTAGAGAGCAGTATGAAGAGTTCAAGACTCGCCCTCCTCAACGTGGCTATGGAACTACCGGTTATGGTGGAGAGCGTGGCTACGGTGATCGTGCTCCTGATCGGTCAAACTCATATGGCGGCTCAGGTGGAGGTTATGGTGGCTACACTGGCTCACCTGCACCAAATACCCCAGGAGCTGTTCTGAGTCCAACAACCCCATCTGCTCCTGGCGCTGGTAGTCCGACATCTGCGGCTGATTATGCAGCTCAGTACGCTCAGTACTACGGAGGTGCAGATCCTTACGCAGCCTACGGAGGTTATGCAGCTTATGTCCAGTATTATCAGCAATACATGGCTGCTGCGGCTGCCGCACAACAACAAACTGGCGCTCCAGGCTCCGGTTCAGCTCCTCCCCCACCACCGAATGAAGCACCGCCCCCTCCTCCGCCTTCCGGTTCTGGTTCTGGTTCTGGTGGCTATAATGCCGTAAGTTGAAGATGACTGTGTTGTATCTCATTCTAATGATTATAGGTACCACCGCCTCCTGGCATGTAATTAGTCCACCTCAAATGCTGGGTTGGTTGGCTGGCTATATGACTGAATGAAGCATTGAGCGGTTAGTAGCGAGATGTCTGAAGGAAGCCTTCATTCTCTTTCCCTTTTGCATTCCTTCGTCTGCATAGTCTGGTCCTGGTCTCTGGCGGTCAAAATTGCAGGATACCTCATTCTTGTAGAATACGCAAAAAGTCTCACAATGCATTTCACTGGACTCAAGTTCAGTCAATCATATCGATGATAGTGAGAAATTCTGTCCAATCCTCTGATCCGTTTGCTGGCGGTTCCTCGGGAGATTTCCACCAACCACAAGCTAGATGCTGATCACCTGCGCACCGGACCGAACCCACAAAGCACTCTTGACTGCAACAACAGCTCTCCCAGCAGGCTGCGAAAGGCAAGAACATCACTTGAGAACTGGCACAGAACCTCTCTCATTGGCTCAGTGAAGAGAAGCCGTCAGTATCCGATCGAACCACGTTACGCGTGCGGCTGCGATGATGCACGCATTCCCCGATGCGCGAATGAGTGCAAGTGCAAGTGCAAGTGCACTTGAAGAGGATCGCATCGCATCGCATCGCAGCCTCAGACCGATTGGGTGCCTAGGTAGATACCATCTCAACTCGATTGCACTTCAAGGAAGAATGTACCTATGCCCGGGTATGATGATATGAGTTCATGGACGAGGGAACGGGCTCAGGGATCCGGATGTGGTGTGCCTGTGCTGTAGTATGCAGATATCTGAATGTACGTACTTGGTCATGCACGCGAGGAGAGCGATCCAGGCTGCAAGCCAATATGCATGCATTCATGTAGTCTATGGCCGTGAAGTGAACAAGCGTCTGCCGTGCCGCTCCAGGTGGGTGCACGACCATCGACGGGATACTCGCTTTTCCTATTGAGCCCAGAGTTCAGGAGTTCGGATGCATGTCAATGGTGTTAGTGATGGAGGCATTGCTGTCGATACATTGAAATTCTTAGCGACCTGCAAGCAAAGTACTTTGGGTGCCCATGGAAAATGAATGATGCGATATAAATGATTCGTTGTATGGCGGAAGATGGTGATCATTCATCCACAGTGCTAGGCGTGCTGGAAGTGAAGTACTTCAGACGCGTTGTTCTCGTCAGCTCCTGCACATAGCTCCCATCAATTGCAGCACCACTGCCAAGTCTATATGGTGATTGCTCCAGCCAGCCCAAAGTGGCGGCTCTGATCTATGCAAAGAAGTGCTATGTGTGCAAGAGTGCGTCACATGGCAAATGCAGTTGTACTTCATAACGTGACGCAGCTGATCCGTTCACTTGGTCATCTTGTGCGTGTCTACAAAATGGTGGAGCTTGCGAACGCTTTACAGCATACTGCTCCGAGGAGTAATGGGCCATCGATGTTGTCCCTATTGCCATAATGAGTCGTGCTGGAGCGGGCATAGAGGATGAGAGAATCAAAACTCGAGATAGACGCGTGAGAAACTCCAATCACTCAGTATGAGGAGTCTTCGTCTACCTGCTTGTCCCTTATGCACAATGTACAGCTCTTATGCAACTGGAAGCTGGTGGTGGTGGGAAAGCGGGCACCTTCCTTTCCTGCCTGTTGCAGCACAGTGTGTGGTTATCCCCAAATTTCCCTCCTCGATTTTCTTCTCCTCTCCTTGTCACATTGAGTCTGTGATTTCGACAGCCCACAGCTCACAAACGCTCTCAAATTTCTCAAACAAACAAACCAAACTTAAACCAAACTTCCACTCTCCAGAAATTTCCAAGTTTCAAACTCTCGAAATGGCTTCTTCTTCTTCTTCCTCCAAGAACTTCGCCATTCCCACTGCTAGCCGCCGTAGCAAGCGTGCAGCAGCTCCAACCAACCAACCTGGTCGATGGACAATCCGACCCTAACATCCTTGAATATTTCGCCAACGACGAGATTGTTCATGAAAAGGTCAGTCAAGAGTTTCCTCAGTTGTCCCTAGACCACAGACTGTTGCTGGCAAGTTTGCCAGTCATGAAGAAGGATTCTCAATCTCTTTCCTCTCGTCGAGAAATTAGACATCGTAGAGGATGCAGCCAGAGCCAAGAAGTTGATCATCGATCACACTAACATGATGTACCATTCAATCACAATTACTAACTGCTTCAGGCTTTCGGAAAGAAAGCTAGGATGTCAATGGATGACTCCGATTATGCATCTCGTCGTTCATCCGGCTCCGTCATGGATGACATGAAGCATGCTCTAGAAGCAGAAGGTTTGAGTTCCCAAAAAGCTCTGTTAACATCTGCTGTACAGAGGCAGACCCGAACCGCTAAAAAGCGGTCTCTGGAAGAGTATGTCGACTCTTCTCATACTACAAGAAGCAGCAAGGCTGCCCGGTTTGTTGCCCCCCCTGCCCCTTCTCGCGGTCGTGTGGGAGTCTACCTGTCCAAGGAGACAGTCGCTGACCTTGCCGCTGCGGCATTTAATGCTAATGCAGCAGATGATATGGACGAGGACATCGATGTGCCTGCTAGTCAAGCAGATAATGTGCAACTTGACGAGGCACACTTCTCTGATTCAGACGCCGTTGACTCAGATACCCCTTTGGTCGCCCACTACGAGGCCAAGCGAGATGCCAGGTAAGTTGCTTTCCTTCAATGGCAGACAGCTTGTCCATTGCCTGCAATGTCTCAATAATCCCTCTCTACATTGGTCTGATCATCATCTGCGAGTTGGGCTACGCTAACATTAACATTTGTACTAGACGCGCAGCGAAAGGCAAACAACCTGCCAAGGGCCAGGAAGAGGACGACACTCCCACCATTGGTCAGCCATGGGTCGAAGATGATGAAGATGAAGATACCGAAGAGGCCGATCCGGTAGAAATGCCGGTAAAAGGTCCAGCAGATAATCCGCGCAATGAGAGTCCGGAAGCCATCAAGAAGGAAATCGACTTCTTGAAAAGCTTGGAGGATAGGCCAAACCCTTCCTTCAAGCCAAGTCGAGATGCACCTGCGTATAAGCGACGATTTGCGGCTCGAATGAGACATGTTCTGGGATATATTGTGGATGGGGTCCGTGATGGCACTTATCACATCAAAGGTATGTCCATGAGTATCAAATTCAAGAAATGGCTAGCTATTGCAGACGTGCAAAAGCTTCTTGACTTTATAGTCACAGGCATAGACGACCAGAGACAGAGAATCTTTGGTGCAGAGGAGTTCAACATGCAGGACATCTTGGTACTCCATGAGATTGACGACGCCGAAATGAAGAATTTGGTTGGTGTTTATGCTGACATTCTCACTTCAATCGATGATGCGAAGGCATTGTATATCGGGAGCTCTTGCCGTCAGAACAAGGGCATCTGGGCCCGGATCCAGGAACAATGCAATTTTCTTGCCGCAGGGGACGATATCAATTCTAAGTACGATACTTTCCACTACCAGTATGCTCGAGAGAACGAGCTAGGTCCAAACTTTCGACTCCTCGCATTTTGGCCACAAGACATCAGATTACGTAGTGTTACCTTCCTTGTCGAATCCATTCTCATAATCCTAGCATCCAATATGGACAAAAATCATCGGTCCTATAACATTCTAACCAGATTCCCGGACACAGTTCCAGACGACGTCAACCAAGATGTCACATGGAAAGGTCTGAATAATTCTCTGCCCCTATTTTCGGAATGGATTCCGCAGGCGTATCGAGGGCAATGTGGCTGCTGTCGCGAATCGCCCGATAAAAAGTTTCTAAAGGCTCCACCAGCTTTCAAACGAAGACCTAGAGTGCATGGAACCACTGGAAAGGTATGCGTGTCCTATTATGCAAGAATACGGAAACACGCGATAAGAATTAACGATGGCGAGAAACTTACACATGCGGTTGGTGAGCGACCTAGAGCGCAAGGAGCTCGATTCCCTCCGGGTACCCCTTGCGCTTATCCGTGGTGCAACCACATCAAGATCAAGGGAAGTAAGAAAGTCGTATTCTCAAGAGTAGATGGGCTTATCTTCTGTGGAGGTTGTCGAAGCGTATATCTTAACCGCAAGAGAAAAGGTACTGATTTGTTCGCGCCATTGCAAAAGGTAATCAAGCAATTCACGCTTGGGGAGAAGTGCAATTTCGCCGGTTGCGAGACCGTCTATAGCGGAGCACAGGGCACCAGGTCATTCCAGCGTTATGAAGGTATAAGCTACTGTATCAAGCATTTCAAAAAATTGTACCACGACGACGCCGCTTCCCGCCGCCAAAGGGACAACATCATCTCAGACCAGTAAGATGCACAATGATATCTTGACTGACATCCTGTTTAAACGATCCGCAACGCTTAGGCGTTTGATTTCCTCTTTGGAGGCGCTCCCTCCTTGGAGGTTTTCTTCTCCGGAAGATTTACTCTACTACATTGCACGTAAGTAGTATGAGTGTGGTCCATTGTGGTCTGGCCTGGATAAGGCAAAATTTTATGGGGGACGACAACTCAACACCTGTCCGAAGGACGCTTTAAATAGCTCCAGGTGTCCCCTACGAACCTGTAAGGTCTAGTCTTTTGGTCCTTCCTTCGTAATGTGCCTGTAGACATAGCTAAGGAGTGGCCATCGTCTTTCATCACCTTTTGGAGTGTTCATTACTAGAACTAGGCCCTGTGAAGATCTGAGTTAGCCTGCCTATTTCGTCTATGTGTACCTGCATGCCGAGAGTGATGAGACGTGCATGGGGCTGCTTCCACGTTGTAAACAAAGCGTAGCAGAGGAGTATTTTGTCTGAAAATTTGGCTTACCTGTACCCTGTCCAGAGAAATACTTTCCTCCACAGGAACCTCCTCTGTCTTCGACATCTTGGTTGCTGAAAAGTGGCAAAAACAATTTCAATGTGTTGTTGAGATTTAAGCGATAAGACACGATAAAAGAAGCGCAAGTGCGACTTTGTACACCAGCAACTCAACACCGTCAGGTTGCAGACTGATGGCCTGAGAAGCGAAATAGCTATGGCCCAACGTGGAGCATTTCCAGTTGAGACGGCTAAAGAGCCTCATTCCGTTTCCTTGAAGGTTTTGAGGTAAGAGCCAAGTTCAGCATCAACAACGAGCTCTCTGACATTGCATAGATTGTCTAGACCCTCCCTCTCAGTTCAACATCCTCTGCCGCTACCTACACCTAATGCCTCTCCATCCAGTTCCCCAAATACATTCCCCGCCGCCTCCGAATCCCTCGCATACCCCTCCACCAAGAACGATGCCTTCATACTCTCCCCTCTGCTCACCCTACCTCCGGCATTCGGATCCGCGTACGTTGGAGAGACCTTCTCGTGCACGCTCTGTGCAAACAATGAAGTGCTGCCCGGCTCCACATCTGCGAAAAGCATCTCCAACGTCCGCATCGAGGCCGAGATGAAGATCCCCAGCTCCAGTGCACCCATCAATCTGGTATTAGTCCCAGAGGCAGACAAGGAGGGGGAAGACGGAAAAGAGAATGGCGTGGATCTTGAGCCTGGGCAAAGTTTGCAGAAGGTGGTTAATTTCGACTTGAAGGAGGATGGGAGCCATGTTTTGGCTGTGACGGTAACGTATTCGGAGACTACGGCGACGAGTGGGAGGATAAGGACGTTTCGGAAGCTCTACCAGTTCGTGTGTAAAGGGTGTATGGTTGTAAGGACGAAGACGGGGGCGTTACCTTCTTCGTCTGGGGAGAAGGGGAGGAAGTGGGCGTTGGAAGCACAGTTGGAGAATTCTGGGGAGGAAACGATCACACTTGATATGGTGGTTCTTGAGACGAAGGAGGGGTTTAAAAGTCAGGGGATCAATTGGGAGATTGTGGGGGAGGGGGAGCATATGGAGAGGCCGGTGCTTATGCCTGGGGATGTTCAGCAGGTGTGCTTTTTGGTGGAGGAGGTTGTTGGTGAGGATGGGAAGGGTCCGGAGCCTGTGGATGGGAAGTTGGTGTTTGGGATTTTGAGCTTGGGGTGGAGGGGGCCGATGGGTAATAGGGGATTCCTGAGTACGGGTTCTTTGGGGGCGAGGTTGAAGTGAGGATAGAAGCAAGGCGAGAATGCTTGAAGAGAGTATAAGGAACGCTCCAACCTCCCCATTGACCATATCGAGATTCACACGGGCCCACGCCATGAATTTTCGCTCAATATATCCTTACCATCTCTCCAGTATAAGGATGGACGGGCTCATTTGACGATCTGGAGGACAGGTTCTTTGCAATGAACCAAGGAAAGGGCTGGACCGTCATCACATGAGATGATTCGGAGCATGCCAATGGCTTCAGCTGAAACGACAGCTTGATGTTCATGCCTGAATATTGGCTGATAGGATTGCCAACCCAAAGATGTTGAAGGCAATGGCATCTAAGGCTTAGCAGAAATGGAATGTATGAAAATGGCTGTACAACGAGCAAGATAAATAATACTATTGTAGCGGACATGAAATCATACACGAGAGATGTCCCATTTATTGGACTTTGGGCTGAGTAGATAAGGAATGCCTCTGCTATGTTGGGACTTCCACGAAATATTGTCCATTCGCTAGCTCTCATATGCGGAGGATTGCCCTACAATATGCGAGAAGCAAATTACCAGATACCGACGCAGCTCACCTTCAACCTGCCTTACCAAAATCACGCTAAGGTTGAGGCTCTCTACCAATCACAGCCCTCAACCTCTTTAACACCATATAATTTTAGAAAAGCAGAAGTTTGCCATTATCCTCTGAGACAGCGGCTTCCAGGGTATAGATGCTTGCGACAGTGATCGTGCCTCTCTATATTCTCGTGAATGCTTGAAATACGAATGACTCAAGAGACAGCGGCCTCCAGGGTTTAGATGCTTGCGATAGCTTGCCTCTCTCTATTCTCGTGTGTGCTTGAAATACGAATGTCTCACGATTCCCCCCTTTAAACCCCATACTAGCTATGGTGTTGGATACCACCTTCGGGTGGTTGAGTTTTTGCTTCTGATCCTTACGAATTTTTGAGCTTTTGAGCTTTTGACTTTTTACTTTTTTATACGTTTTTTGGGGCAATTGAAGTCCTTCTTAAGCGGAGTCCGCGGGCTCGGCTACTTTTTTTTTAAAGTTGATTCATGAATAGTAGGGATGAAAGCAGCCCAAAGCTATCCTGTCTTCCACTCCGCATTCTCTTTACTCCTTTACAAGCGCTGCGTATCTCTTCGAGCACCCCTCTTTCTCCTCAGCTCAAAACAATATAATGCCGTCTCTTCATCTCATGCCTTCCCCTCATTCATACCATGCATCACCTCCTCCCTCTCAATCCAATTCATAGCCTCATCCCACAATCTCTTGACCTTCTTCATTTGCTTCTCAATAGAATCTTTCTCCTTCCCCAATACCCTCACCCTCTGTTCCATATATTTCAATTGCGTCTCACTTTCCCAGCCATATTGTTGGATTTCTGCACCTAACACTGCATTCTGCTGATTTATGCGATCGAGCTTAGAGGCTAAGGTAGAGATGGTTTGGATCAGGGTGTAGATGTCGAGTATGCGTGGGTGGTGGGAGAAGAACGAAGTTCGGAGGGTGGAGATGAGGATCCGGAGTTCTTGAGGGGTAGGTGAAGGTTGATGGGTGGTTTTCATGGTTGGGATGGTGGGGATAGAGAAACATGTTCAATGGTGTGGATGTTGGTGCGCCGTATGGGCTCTTTGTTGGAGATTCTTGGGGGTGGCTTCTTTGTTCGCCATTTGATGAGTGATTTGTTACTTGATGGGAATTTGAAGCTGCTTTTAGTACTGCGTATTTGAGGAATCTCGAGTAGGTGATTCCATTGCTTGGAGTTCAAAGATCTTTCTCAATCAACCAAATGTGAGATACTAGCAGGAATATCAACAGCTTCAAGTACTCAACATAAACTAGATTAATGGAGCATTCAAAAACAAGATATGAGCAATTGACAAGTTTGTGTATCAGTAGTAAGTGAAAACAATCTAGAGAAGACACATTTGTGGTCATGACATTGAACTTTCAAAAAAGCAGGAAAGCATAGTTAGGTTGTACATCCAGGTGATAAGCCACATAGTGTGTACTTTTGTTTTGATTTGTTACCTGAAGTTTGCTTTCGGGTGGCGAAGGAGGCAAAATCGTGGTAGTGAGGCCATCGTGAGATCGCTTACCTCGTTTATAAGGCACCAACTTTGATGCCTTGCGACAAGACTCACACTAGATCGAGTGTAAACAATGCAATCCAAATGATTGTCGTAATTGTTTTTTGCAAAACTCTCCCAAGACTAATTCTATCTGGCTTTTCAAGAATTCAAGCTTCCATCATCCAAGATTTCTCCTCGAAAATTAAGTTCAAAGTCGAATCGCCAAGATCTTTGCTTACGGTGCACGACAACAGCCATGTACGCAACCTTGGGCCCGGAGCCCGGATTTACGCTCTCCTCTTACTGCCGTCCACTTGGTCTCGCAGGGGTCTCATCAGCCTCGTCCTCATCACAACAAAAAACTACCAAATCTTTTGGCTTTGGACTGAGCTATGGCAAGATGGCCAAATCAAAGAGACTTGTATGCTTCTACTGCAACAAGAAGTCTGATCTCAGATATGATGGCCAGATGACACAATGGCCATGCGCCCTTTGCGAAGCTGTAAATTATCTCGATGAGGTAAGTCTTCCTTCCCTATTGTACAACTCCAGATAGCTAACAAACATGATAGAATGGAGAAATCGACGATCCACCTGTTGCGACGCTGGAACCTGCTGCGCCTGGTCTTAGATTCGCAACATCCCGCTCAGAGTCTCTTACGGCCCCGATCTCTGATTCGAATCCTTTCTGCGCAACCTGCCTAAAGAATCAACACCTCTTGACAGCCTCTCTACAGCAGTACCACCTCGAGACCGACCCTACCCATCCACAATACAGAGAAAGCGAGCGGTTATACTTCAAATATAGAAGAACACTTGAGGCAACATATCCTCAGGTGTGCGCAGATTGTCTACCTCGAGTCGAGAGTCGCATGGATGTCGCTGCTAAAACTGCCAAGTCGGACTTCTTACGCAGATTGTTGGACAAGACTCGAGCCAGAAAAGTTGGCACAGCAAAATCCTTCTCGTTATTCGATTTGATCCTTCTTTTTACAACATGGCTCTGGTACATTGGGATTGCTGGGCAGCTTCTGTGGAACGTAACGACTCTACTTGCCATCTTCGAAATCCAACAACCAGATACACCTCTGTCACTTTATTTGGGAAAAGCCATACAACATGCGCAACCCTTGATCACGGCTGCTACTTCAGAGGCTTGGGCTCGCTATAGTTTCCGCTGCACCCTCTTTTCAATATGGTGGAATCCAAAGTTCAAGGAGCTTAACAACGGCTTTATGAACCATATTACTGGCTTCGCCGACTGGTACAAACTTCAACTACTACACATCGTTATTCGATCACTATTCTTCTACACGATGGGATCAGGCGTATTCTCCAGTCTAGCCTCTCCGGCTACGGCTGGTGCTCACGCTGTGGTTCCCATATTCGTTCTTATTGCAAGTATTCCGTAAATCTTCTCCATGTGCTATTGCTAATAACCTACAGCTAGCAATCAAATCTAAGCGTGCTCTGAGAGTTGACATGAACCCTTTGTGGAAGTCTACACCAGAGAAAATTCGTCACGTCGGACCGAGATCTAGGAGCCCTAGTCCGCAGAATATGGGAGGTATGGGAGGCATGGCAGGCATATTGGATGAGATTGCAGCAACTCCTTCGAATGATCTCAGCCAACCTGCACCTACGTCCGCTTATCTACTCTCAAGACGAAAGTCTCAACAACACCAAACTTCATACAATCGTCCTATGACCCCAGGCGGGTACCAAAATTCATATAATCGCCCCACAGCCCCAAGTGGTCTCTTCCCTACACGCCACAGCACGTCTCCATTTCGCGATATACCGCAAACTAGCAGCATGAGCTATATGTCGATGGGTGAGGCGTCATATCATCCTCAAAACTGTGGTGCTGAGGAAATGGAATGGACTCCTTCCGTACCCCAGACTCAAGCACGTGCATTTAAACCAACTCGGTCAGCACAGCCCAAACCCTATCCTTTCGGCGAGACTTCAAGTCAGCCATCCCCCTTCTATGGACGTCTTCCTGAAGCACCCATCACACCAGCTCATAGACTTCGCAATCCCCCCAATCAAGCGAGGTTGCGCGTTTCTTCACAAGAAGTCAAAGAGAACTTCTTTAATAATATTACCCGACAAAGCCCAGATCTGAAATCAGCAGACGACTCGAAGCGAGAAATGAATCTTGCCCAGCAAAAGTTCTTCGCACCTCCTCCTCCTAGTGAAGCTGGCAATGTTCTAGCTGACCTCCTCACATCTTTTTCCCTCAGTTCTCCTGAGGCCAATACTCCTGCCGTTATTGAAGAACGCTCCGCGAGAACTCGACACATATTCCAGGCATTTTCAATCATGCTGGGATTGTTCTTCTGGAATAACAATGCAAGTCTTGAGATCAGCAAGCAAGTCATGTTGACGGTCATGATTGGCAGCTTTGCTATTGGCATTCGAACACTACTTGATAACACCGTTTTCATCCCAAGAGGAAAGCCAGCAGGTATCATCCGATGTACCTTAGGCTCTTGCGTTGCCGGTCTTGAACTCACAGGAGCTGGCTATAACCTTATGGAAATCCTCGCTGGAAGAGGTGATCTCGAGCACTGCACTTCCTTAGGAACAGTATTGATGGGCGGCATGTTGGTTCATGAACTATCCCTTGCTTTATTTGGACGTTGAGATGGCGAGTAATGATTATGATAATGACCAAGAAGCACAGCGTTTGCATTAGAGAGCGAGGACTGTCTAAGGAAGAGAGGACACGGCGTGTTTTGTTCTTGTTTTTGTAGGAATAGCACTTGATTTTGTGGAAGTACATATGATTCAAACTTTCATGGATGGAGTAAGGCGTTAGAAGGAAATACCTAGCAACAGCTTGAGCTGTCATTGCCTCAGAGGCACTCCCATTCATCGGAAAATCAGCGCAGGATGTATGCAGCAATCCTTTAGATCAAATCGAACAATATCAACGTCTTAAAATTTCCTTCTCTACTTGCTTCATCTCAGTACGTAACTAGTAAAGGAGATCTTTGAGCCAGTCATCGGCTGGCCTTGCTTTACACGACCGAATGAAGAAACGTTATACTCGTAAGGTCATTCCCCAGTAAAGATATCACATCTGGTCTCTTCGAGCAAAACGTTGTTGCCTTGTTGCCTCGTTGTGATTGGGCTCGTAACTTCTTTAATGGTCTATCACGAGATTACGCGAGGCCTCGCGCGTCAACCTTGGAATCTGTCACAAGCAACTTCTGCTTTCAGCAACATCATCTTGCAGTCTCACACGCAACCTGGCATACACTTCAGTATTCACGATACTATTCAGAAGGACCATTCGCAATATGGCGAGTTCTTCAAAGCCTCTGAACAAGCGCAAAATTAGCCACGATGCGCCAATATCTCCACCACCTCTGAAGCGCAAAGTGCAGTCGATGACCACACGTATGTCCGCAGCATCCAGAATATCGGCATTTGTACTGATACTTCCGCAGAAAATGCAGTGTCATCGTTCTTCACGCCAGCTTCAAAAAAGCCACCTGAAAAGATCCTGTGGCAAGAACGAGCACCAAATGATGATGTCCCAAGCACCCTTTTGATTGGCAAGTATACACCAGACGAGTCAACCTCAGGTGCCGTTCCACCTAAAGGAAAGAAAATTGCTGCCTTTGATTTTGTGAGTGGAATGACAGTTCGCCATCAGCATGGCCGCTTTTCGCTGACAGCTTCACATAGGACTCGACTCTGATTCAAACAATGTCTGGCAAGAAGTTTGCATCAGGTGCCCAAGATTGGAAGTGGTGGCATGCTTCTGTGCCGGGAATGGTTCGGAAGATGTATCTCGAGGATGGGCAAGTAGTTCAACTCAATCTTGCCGTGACATCAGTTAACGGAAGGATAGATTCACGATGGTGGTCGTCAGCAATCAAGCTGGCCTAACTTTGAAACATGATGCAAAGGGTCCCAAAACCCAGCAATCAAAGGTAGAGTCGTTCAAGACGAATGTGGCCGCGGTTTTCAACCAGCTGGACATCCCAATCAGCATTTACGCAGCTACGGAAAAGGACAATTATCGGAAACCCAGGACTGGCATGTGGACAGAACTTCTCGAGGACTACGAAATCCGCCTTGCTGACCTCGACCTCGACAACTCCATATTCATTGGTGATGCTGCAGGCCGACAAGCAAGTCAAGGCCAATCGAAGGATTTTTCATGTTCAGACCGGTACAGCCCTTCTCTGCCGTTGTGTTGCTAATGCTGATAAGTATAGTAACTTTGCCCATAACGTGGGCATAAAGTTTCACACGCCAGAGGAGTTCTTTCTCGGCGAGTCACCCAGACCTTTCACGCGCACATTCGAGCCGTCGGAGTACGCATCTCCAACCATAGGTACGATATGTATTCCTTTCTGAAACCGAAACGTAGCAAATTAATTCTCGTTAGTGGGCGCCACATATGCAAAGAAGGATGCGTGCGACCTCGTCCTCTTCTGTGGCAGTCCAGGCGCTGGCAAGTCGACCTTTTATTGGAAGCACCTTGAGCCTCTTGGGTATACGCGAGTCAATCAAGACACACTCAAGTCGGTACGTTCCGTAGTTATGCAAGTACCCGTGAACACAGCTAATAATACTTTACAGCTGGACAAGTGTATCAGAGTTGCGGACGATAATCTGAAGGCAGGAAAATCTGTCGCTATCGGTATGTAGAAGAGGCCGCGAGGTGGGCTCATGACCATTTCTGACAATTGCTAGACAATACCAATGCAGATCCGGACGTACGGAGCAGATGGGTTCAATTAGCTGTCAAGCATAATGTGCCCATTCGTTGTGTCGTTTTCACAACAGCATCTGAGATTTGCGAACACAATGATGCCGTACGAGCATTGAATAACATTGTAAGTGCCCCCTTGTACTCTCTCCTCTAAAAGCCCAACAAAAAAATTGGCAATATCTGCAGCGTCAGATTATCCTTGAGATCGCATGTGAATATTTGCTCACGAACGGGTAGATGAATCCAGAGAAACGTACAATCCTTCCCAGCATAGCATTCAGGGGCTTTCACTCTCGATATCGGCGGCCGCAGTTAAGTGAGGGGTTCCAGGATATTACAGAGTGGGCATTTCAGGTAAGATCTCACATGCATTCGTTCTTACTTCGAGGCTTGCTCATCTGATTATCGCATGTAGTTCGTCGGAAGTGAGGTGGAACGTGAGATTTGGACTCGACATTGGACCTGAAAATCCTAAACGAGAAAGATGTCGTGCATGACTCCATGTGCTGTGCATGTGTTCATTTAAATCAAGAATACAAGCGGATTGTATCCATGTTCGTGTCACACTTTTCACAGCCAGGTGCTGGGCAATGAAGCGAGATCCTTCAGGCAATTCCTGGCTGGTTGTGTATTCCGGGAATGTCTCCTACTGCGAGATTATGGATGAAGGTAAGAATCTTGTTGGAAGCTGCGACACCGTTGTTTACGCATATACGCATTCGTTCGCTGATATCCCGCAGGCGCGAAGACGGCAATAGCCTCGGAAAATTAAGCCGCTCATCACCTGCAGAGTTGACTAATGGTACGTATAAGGCGATAGGTGTATCGTAAGCTTACTGCAGCTCTTAATTGCATATTTTCAAAGCAAATTTAGAGCTCCTCTGTGCCTGCATATGACGTGAACTCTATCCACATCACTTCTCGACAAAAGGGGCAATCGCAAGATCGCATTCTCGACGAATGATGCGGAGCAGAGGATCTTGCTAAAAAAGTCTGCTTGTTCATACTGATGCACTATGATATTGATGCTCGTCACTGCAAAGTCTTTTGGTGGGGAAGGATGCCGGGGAGGTGAGTCTAGATCTGATCGACCTTACTGATCAGCAGTTATCTGAGGCTCTCTAGCTCTTCGGCCTGAGCAGACTTTCGCAAGAAACACCGGGCCGCGCTCTTGCGGGACTTGAGTCGCGCCATGTGGCTTCACCAGCGTAGTCGCCGTTGATCCTTTACTGCGTGTCAAGTTCCAAGGTTCCAACTCTCAACAACAATACACGATCACATGATAGGTGACAAAAGAAAACTCGACCTCGAACTGCAAATGGCGCAATCACAAGTGATTCTGAGCTTTGTCAAATTGCCATGAAAAGACAAATCATACAGTAGGGCATCTCGGCAGCATTCGGGCAACCTGCTCTGCGGCAAATGGTTTTGCTATCACGACTTTGCGCCGAATGCAGGGCCCCCTTCGCTCACAACACACCACTGTTGGGCTTGTTCCTGTCCCTGGCATGACGGCGTGGGTCAACGTGGATACAGCAAAAAGGCACCGCTTGGGATTGGTCGGGGAAGCTGCAGCACGGAACGAGTTGCTACCGCACGGAAGCGAAAAAGAGGATTCAGGCTTTTTCAGCACACCCTTTTGCTCACTGCAGCAGCGGGCGATGAAGTCATCTCCGCCTTTCGCGTCCCCTTGCCGTACTGTACTGTAGGGCTCTTCTCAGGATTATCGCAGCACACAAATCGTGAGATGTGACGAGTCAAGACAAGACGAGAACGCGGGCGGGAGTGCTTGGGCTGGCTTGAAACGAGAGAAACATTTCCGATGATTGGTGAAGTCTGAAGGACATGCGCAGGTACCCGTGAAATGTCTCACGGGAGTCAAGACTTTGCGCCTGAGAGTCCACGCGTGACTTGTCGCATTCTCTCCTCTGCATTGGGGATCTGGGGCTCTTTTTCTTCTGTTTGTCACGAGTGACAGCGGTGCCATGTTGGCTCCATAGACTGGAATTCTTTGGAAGAATACTGTACAACAAACCTTGCCAGATTTCGGCGACAACTCTCCACTTTGGCTCGAGTTCCCGAGGCACTTGTTGGGCGACCTGCAACCCATGTCTAATGCGTTTTCATCGGGGGGCCCTGTCTCCCAGACCTTCTCTCACCCCAAGCGGTACGTAACCTTCGCACCACAGCAGCAGAGAGGGCTGCAGCAGCGCAGACCAGAGGTGGAAGGAAGGGCAGTGCAGTGCAGTGCAGACAAGCAGAGCAAGGGAAGCTTAGGCGCTATAATCGATCTCACACCAATGGAAATAATCCAGCCACGGAGTCGATGGACGAAAGTCTACAGTTTGCTCTACCCGTCCGGATATGGCTCCTTACTTTTGGCGGTGCATGGGCCAGGTCGGAGCGATTGGAGTCCTGAACGTTCACTTTACACCCTTGTTCCTCGATCTCGAACTGTTTTCCTGGAGCTTCCACAAACATTCTCCCTGCAGGCCTCGTCCTGGCAATATGCTTGGGATTTGGAGCAGGGGAGAGCTCTTGTGCAGGGTCAGCAAGGCCGCTGTGTTCACCCACCAGATCCTGGGAACACAGAGTGGGATGGTTCTTGGAACTTGGAAGGCGGCCCGTGGGAAAGAAGCTTGGATGGAAGAGAGGGAGCTCATTTGGAGCTTTGAACCATTTCCGCTTTGGGGCGATGGAGAGGTCGTCCCACCAGTCCCTGCCTTTTCCTTTCCTTCAGGCTTCTGTCTTCGCTGTGGTGCACTGGTGTTTGTCGCTGTGGGCCAGGGCCAGGGCCAGGGCCAGGACCCAGTGAGCGATTAGACCATCGGTCCACGCCCGGGATCTCAGTACTGTAGAGTTCAGTGAGGAAGAGGTTAGCTCGTGCAGTGGGCAGTTGGTTGAAAGCAGTCTAAAGGTAAACGGCGAGCGAGGCGTGAGCTAGGGCGACTAGGGCTAGGTGGTCCAGTCTAGGGGAGGAGAGTTCCGCCGCTCGTCAAAACACAAACGGTGCTCGCGGTCGCAAGTCGCAGCAGTCGCAGTGGCTCTGGCAGTTCCCAGACCCAGAGAACCCAGAGAAACTTTTGAGCTCCCCCCAGCAAAGACCCAAGCAAGACCCAGCAGCCCTCAAAATCTCTGCCCCGTCCCCCCCCCAAATCTATAATCTACATCCACATCCCCAGCCCTCCTTCGACTGAACTTCGAACCTCTCGCTCTCTTGTCTCTCTGTTCTCTGTTTCTCCTGGTGCAACGCTCCGCCATTCATTTCTATCACGTCGCATTTGGTCGCCCACGTCGCTACCTGACATCGCCAATCATTCGTCCAACCCATTCGGTCTCTGTTTCCAGTCCCGTCGCCATTCGTCCAACCGATCACATCACACGTGAGCGCACTGCACTGCATCCCCACGAACCCCCATGCCCTAGCCAGGAAAATTCTCTGTTGCAGTATTGGAGACCAGATCTGAACCTCTCCTACGTGTCAATCGATATCACCAGCTTTTCCCAAGTTCCAACAGGCCCCGACCACGTATGTTTCATGAACCAGCAGTTCGTTCACAATATTGAATCGTCGCAAAACAAATTTTCCATCATGTCGAGGGCCATTGCTCTATAACAGAATAAGCTCGCCTCGCTGGTAAACAACAACAATAACCACCACCACCACAACAACAAATACCACTCACAGAACGACAGTCATGTCGCCAAAACTTAGGCCGCTGTTATTACCCCAGTTAGTGGAGGATCGACGGAAGAGGGAGAGCATGTCGGACTCTGATATGGATCTTTCGTCTTCTTATTACACCCAAAATTCATCAGCATCTGAGATCCCATCGCCTGTCACGCCTACTTTCTCCACTCGAGGACATTTGAGATACCCCAGCTCGGCTTCTTCATTGGAATCTTCCTACCACAATTCCGCAATTGATAGCCCATCTTCGCCCACTTTCGTCGGTGCCAAGACGGGAAAGCGATCTTTACCTGACGTGCAGGAGGAGCCGCACGAGAGAGACGAGGACCTCGACATGTTTGAAGATGCCAATGAGCTTTACGATTGTTTGTGTAAGTTGTTGTGAGCTTCGAGTGCGGGGTCGCATAAAGTTTGTGGACATTATAGCTGATGCTTGTCATTATTTTACAGGCGACGACAAGCAATGCTTGCATCGTGATTCATCCCTGGCGCAAAGCTCAGTGCAATTGTCTACGAGACAAGAATTCGATTATGACTTGACGGATGGCTTCTTCAGCGATGGAGAGTTCTCTTCAAGCCCACGATATAAGAAGCGACGAGCAGTCGAATCTCCACTTACAGGCCTGGCCAATCGCTTTGGGACCAGATTCCCCTCCTTCTCCCGCAAATGGCGATTAAGAAAGGGCTCAAGCTCTGCATCTGTTCTTTCAGATGCGCAAAGAGAGAGTGCTACTTCTCGAGGAGCATCGAGCAGGTCCTCTTCAGTCTCCAATTCAGGACGACAAACTCTAGACCAGAGCTTCGATCCTCAGCTACCACCTACTCCTACAAAAAGCGTTTTCGATGGTCGAGACGACAATTCGATGACCACTGCCATTGACATCGAGAAAGCGAACTCAAATGTCGACGAACCTGATGCAGCTTTCGCATCTACACCTCTACTACCACCACTTATGATGGATGCTTCCGCCAATACAAAGCAAGTTTCTTTGCAATCCCCGTTGCAATCGCCTTCGGTGGCCGAGCCTCATGACCCGTTCTCTGGCTCAGTCACTCCAATTGATGCTATCACAACACCTCAATTACCGGGCATGCCTTCACCGCCTCTAAGCACTAAACAATCGATCTCATCCTTTCATCGCAACAATGTCAACCGACCTGGACACCTGATTCCCTCTTCGGAAATTCCTCCCATTGTCATTGCAGATCCAAATGATGAATGGGCCAACAAGCTAGGACATGCGAACTTCATCATTTATCCTGAGCCATACATGCCTGAGAGCTTTGATCTTGAAGCTTGCCGTCAGCTTCGGGCCAATTGGGATCTAGCTCGTTGCAACTATACGAAGCATCTGGTCAGAACAGGTGAACACTACGGCGTTACCTCGAAGACCTATAAGCTTACTGAGGAGAAATGGGCCGCTACAGACGCTGTCTGGAGGAAGAATAATGAAATAACCATCACCCATACTGTCGAGAGCGGCAGTGACGCATTCGCGACATTAAAGCACAACACCTTAGGCGACAATGGCAACAATAACATCATGACTAAGATACCTTCTCTCAACGACCCAAGAAGTGGAGGCAAATTCCCACAACTTGGAGACGAAGACATTGTCGGACCAATGGTTCAAGTCGCCGCTCAACTACAACGAAGCCCAAGCAAAAAGGCAAAACTTTTCAAATTCCTTGCGGAAAAGTTCCCTGTAGGACTTGGGCGATCCTAGGATCACACTCTTAACGGCTGCAATATTCACTTCTTTTGTTGATCTTTTTTGTCTCTGTTGTATAAACTTTACGACGATCACGACTTTGCATTTCATTTTTCATGTATCAGATACCCCACGCTCCTTAGCAAGCTACGCTCCTTTTGACATTTTCGCGAGATCGCGAGACAGTCGATTTTTATCTATTTACCTACTTATTGTTTACAACATATTGTTTTATGGTAGTGGTGCTTGACTGGTGTAGAGATGCTGGGCTGGGCTCACTGGACCATTTGGGATCAAGGAATTGGGTTATAAAGGACTGGTGGAAATGGCGCATCTTTGGACTGAAAAAAAAGGATGGTGTACATTATATGAACATCATAGATTTGGGACCTTTCACGGAGGAACAGAAAAAAAGGCGATTTGGGTTGGGAGTCCCAAAAACAGCATTGTGGGGTGTGTGGCGGCTGTTACCTCCGATTCCTTCTAAGGATTCTGTTGGGAGAGCGCAGTCTTTCATCGTGTGTTGAGGAGAGGATATTTGAGGTGTCATTGTCATTTTTTGACGTGAGGACTACAAGAGAGGAAATGAAGAAACTCAAGCAATATCTGTGTCTTTGAGAATGAAGCGAGTGAAATGTGCATGTTTGACTTGAGACTTCCGCTTTCAAACACATCGTGATTACCAGAAATTTCCCTCGTACCCTTCTTCTTATCCATCGAGAGAATATACATCGAAACATGAAACCACACCAAAGTACCACAAAAATCTGATAAGAGCTCCTGGCTGTGTAATTGTCTGGAGCTTTGGTGGGGTCGGCAATACGATAATCCGCCACCCACCTTAAAATATATCTGGTCTCAAGACGTTAAGCTCATCTCAAAACTCACCTCCTCTATGTGAGCTACAAAATGAAGCATAAAGCTTCACAAGCTTCACCTTCATTAACCTAAACATGGAATCTCACCTCTTCCCTTTCTCATAACATACCTCTAAATATAAACCCTCCCTCCTCACATACCGCTCAAAATGATCCTCTCACCCCTCCCCCTCCTCACAGCAGCGCTGTTCCTCCTCCTCACAACCATCTTCGTAAGTCCCATCTATTCAATTCAATGCCGAGCAATACCTAACACCCCCAGCTCCGAGCCCTCTACATCCGCACAACGCTCTCTCGCCTCCGGCCCCCTAAAAGGACCACCCCATCACACATCCTCATCGTCCTCGGCTCCGGCGGCCACACCGCCGAGATGTCGTCCCTGCTCCGCGGTTTCGACCCTTCTCGCTACTTCCACCGCACCTACGTCGTTTCCTCTGGCGACGGCTTCTCTGCTCAGAAAGCGCTGGAAATCGAGCGCATGTTGCAGCAGAGCAAGGATCAGCCGTCTAAAGAGGGAGACACCGATCCCGTGACGGGCAGGTGGGATGTTAGAGTTGTGCCGCGGGCGCGGAAGATCCATCAGAGTTTATTAACGACGCCATTCTCGGCAATCTGGAGTCTGGCGTCTTGTATCTGGGTACTCTGGGATTGTAGCTGGAGGAGGGCAGGGTGGCCGGATGTGGTGGTTACGAATGGGCCGGCGACGGGGGTGATGGTTGTTTTTGCGGCGGCGGGGTTGAGATTTTTGGGGGTGGCGGGGTGGGGGAAGATGAGGTGTGTGTATGTGGAGAGTTGGGCGAGGGTAAGGACGTTGAGTTTGAGTGGGAGGATACTTTTGTGGGCGGGGGTTTGTGAGAGGTTTTTGGTGCAGTGGGAGGGGTTGGCTAGGAGGGTTAATGGGAGGGGTGGGGGGAGGGGGAAGGTTGAGTGGGTGGGGTTTTTGGTTGCTTGATGGGTGGGGAGGGGAGGCAGATAGATTGTGTAGGAGTTGATTTTTGGTTTTGTTACTTGAACTGTTGCCGGTGCTGCTTGTGATGTTTTATGTGAATTCTTCGTCTATTATAGTAACTAAATTTGTGAAATGACTATGAGACGAAATAGTATAGGCTTGCCATCTTCTAGTAAAGAAGAAGTTTTCTTCGTGGGCATATTTATACTTCACAATTGGCTGCATTGGTCTTACTTGCGAAAGTCTTATACAACACTTCATTGTATGGTTATACTGAAGAAGCACAGGCTAGATGCAAGTGCTTAAACTATGAATGTTCAAATGAATCTTGAAGTCGCTACATACACCCATCAGAAACAGGTTTAGCCGTGGAAGGAAGTGTAGCTTTGGCTTTGCCCCAAAGGTTACATTCAGTCACTTGTGTGTATAACATGACGGACTGAAGGTTGCAACATTGATTGGGCCAAAGTCGAATCATGTCCATATTTACAATATTTTACAAGCCATCTACCTATTCTCATCTCATAACAACGGAGCAACCACAGGAACAGGATCAGTATCAATCTCATCCTCAGTCCCAACCCCCGTATAAGCAGCATCTCTCTGTCGATCAATAGTCTCCACCTCCTTCTTCGCCCACGTCTTCCAAGACTCATACGTCTTATCCTCCAACTCCATCCCAATCTCCAACACGCCCTTATTAAAGTACGCCCCCGTCCACAACGCCTCTTCTCTCGCTACCCTCCGCTCAACCTCCTCTTCGTGCCGGAGAGCGTAGAATTCCTTCCTTGCTATATCGTAGGCTTGGTTGATGCCCATATCAGGCACATTGTTCAGGAGCCACAGCTGTCTTTGCACCACACTGCCCAACTCGTTAGAGAAACCCTCTTTATAAATAAGAAAACACAAACTCACCTCTCTCCATTCAACGCCCTCCCCGGCTGCCGTATAGAGCTCCAATCGCACCTCTGCCCATCCCTCCCATCATTCTCGAGCACGATCCGCGGCCTCGCCAGCTCCCACGGATGGTCCTTGTAGAAATTCCGCCTGAGGCGGTCCTCCTCGTACTCGATCAGCTGCGGCTTGAACATCTTGCTCGGTTTGCGGACGCGGCTCTTGGGGGAAGGGCGGTGCTGGACGGGTTGGGTGCGAGTGAGGATTTCGGAGGGCGGGATGCTGCCGATGATGCTATACCATGGGGGTGGTTGGTTGATGCTGTGGGATTCGAGGAGGAGGGTCGCGGTCTGGTAGACGCGGGAGGGTTTGAGGTTTAGGCCTCTCATGTTGGATTAGTTTCTAGAGCATCATATTAGTATTCTGTATGATATGTCGTTATTTCAAGACTCACTGAAGCGGATTGGGGCGATTGTCGTGAAGAGACAAGGTGTGGTGTAAATTATTTCGATGCCTCTCGGCTAGTTCCGCGCGCCCCAAAAAATAAATGTCCGTGATGAACCTCGAGCATCGAGATTTCAACACCTCTACTTTTATGTATTGCGGCCCGCCACCCAAACGAGATATTCACGCTTCTGCAGGGACAACGACGACGGTGACACGCAGCATTGGGGAATCAACATGTCAGGCAACTCATGTCCTTCTTTTGCAGCTCATTCCCCTCGACGACGAGCGGATCTCTACTGTTGTCGAAGGTCGTAGCTTCGAGGCCACGCTTGCAGTTTTTGTATCCCCGCGAATGCTTTAGTCCGCCGCTGCAGAGACGAAGGTCCTCCCAGAGGTTGATAGCTACGTCTGCTAGGGAGCTGGAAGCTTGGTTTTTTAATGCTGTTACGGATTTTGGGGGTTGTGAGACGTGCTCGACGAGACGAAGGACGACTTTCTTTACGTCGAGGAGGCCTTCAGTTAGAGTTGGGAGGGGTTTAATGGGCGCTTCTGGGTTTCGAAGACAAGGACATATCACTGGTGCAAGGAAGGAGATACAAAGAGCTGTTGAAGCAGAGCCAAATGTTGACGCAGAGTCAAACCGAACCGGGGAAGATGTCCAAGAACATGTTGAACCAGAACCAAATCGGACCCGAGAAGAGCTTCTGGCATTGGTGGATCAGTATAAAGGAGAATCATTTACAGATCAGCTCCCCCTGCTGGAGCTCCCAAAGCTGTACCAACCCAGTGATGGACCGCATCTCACTGTGTCAGACAAACCCCAGGACGAATGGCCTCCTCCAAATTATACCTGGCCTGCTAATACGGAGACCAAGGTCAAAATCAACGAGCTTAAAGAAGCTCTCAAGGATTTCCATAATCCTCCCGAACTCATATTCGAGCTATATCGAGCCCTCCCCGAACCTCGAGTCCCCTACCTCAGCGCCAAAACACGGCACAGGATGCTTCGCCATCTCTCAATTGTGGAACGGAAAGACGAAAACTCAATGTTGAGATACATGTCTGTTATTGATGATGTGAAGGAAGCTGCTATTCCTCTGAGTGTGAAAGAATGGACCAGCGCACTGTCTTTCGCCTCTCGATACGTTGCTAGGTCTACCGATGTGGAAGTCGAAGCAGCACTGACTATGTGGAGAGATATGGAGCATATAGCAGGAGTTAAGGGCAGTGCCGCTACTTTTAATGTCCTATTCGATGTGTCCTGCAAGGCTGGCAAGTTCACCCTTGCAGAGATGATATATAAAGAGATGGAACGGCGAGGACTCGAATACGACCGTTACCATCATGTGAGCATGATATTCTACTACGGGCTTCAAAGAAGTGGAGATGGTGCTCGTGCAGCGTACAAGGACCTGATTGAAGCAGACGAAATCGTTGATACCGTGGTCCTGAACGCGATGATCTCTGCACTTCTCCGGTCCAATGAAGCGGAAGCAGCAGAGAATGTGTACGAGCGCATGAAAAAAGCCCACATAGAACGTTCAAATTCTCGACTACCACCTCGAGATTACAAAGACCGTCGCGAAATCAACAATTCTTTGCTAAAGTTGGCGTCAGCTGTAAAGAGGGGTGAGGTCAAGAGAGAAGATGCTCAACGAACCTCTACCATTGCTCCTGATCTACACACATATCGGATACTTGTAAATTACTTTGCGGTGCAAGCTGGAGAGCTTGACAGGACAGCGAAATATCTCGACGAGATGAAATGGTTTGAACTTCCACTTCACGGCGCTCTTTTCAATGCGCTTTTCAGGGGATTTGCGACCCATGGCGGCATTCGTTACACTCACTGGACCGAGAAGAGACTCGAGAGCGTGTGGAAATCCTTCTCGGAGGCGTTAAACGCCAATGTGGAGGGCTTATACATATCTAGGTGGATGGCGGCATGGTTGCTCAGAGCTTTTGCGAAGTGCTCGGGGAAGCCTAGAACCATTGCCGTGTGGGAAGAGATTAGAGCCAAATGGGACCCTGGCGAAGCAGATTTGGATTTTATGATGGGCATTCTGCAGAGGATACTTGAAGCTCCGGATATGGCCGTGAAGCGCCATGATTGGGTGTTGGGGTCCTTGTAAAGTACAATGTAAAATATATGAAGGATGTACATACAAGTATCTCAATATAATGTACAACGCAGTATTCCTCCTTCAAACCTTGAGCTAGTTGATGTGACTTACGGTCATGCGTCTACTGCAAACTTTTTGGACGTCTCATTGACCCTGAGCTATTGAGCCATTCAAAGGGAATGCACAACAGGTGACTCTCCCAGCAGCATTGACCTCTACATGACGGCTCAGAGGTTTGCCCTGGTACTTTCTTTGTTCAATATTCAAGCCCTACATATGCATACATATTAATTCCTCCAACGCGTCGAGATATTGGCGAATCTCCACAAAGGGCTGCACAGTACAACAAACAATTTTAAGTGATGTTCATTCACATACTATGATTGTGGTTGCAAAACGGCGTGCCAAGCCGTTGCAATAGAGTATAATTAGCTACTAAGGCTTTATCAAATCAGGAAAGGGAGACCCGCTTAGATAATGCGCACATGCATATCAAAGAAATACCCGCGCTACTGCCAGGCGAAAGACACACATGGAAAGATTGTGCGACCTGCATATTACATCCAAAAGGAAACTTATTCACCTCAAAAACGTTCACACATCCTTCCTATTCACTCTCGGTACTTCTCATTGATCTGCTCGCTATCGGATTAGTGTACAATGACGATGTAGAAGCTAAGAGGCGCTTCTTGCCGTAGAAGGCAAAAAGTCTGTTCCTAGACAACCGGCGCATCCGTCTTTTCCCATACTTTGGTTCAACCTCTAGCCCACGCACACACACGACCTCGAATCTTGCGTTGACTGTTCTTGTTCCCTTCCTTCCCTATCGCGTTCACCCAAAATCCATCAACACTTCCGACCTTGATCAGAAGAACCACCAACAATGCTGATCTCTCAAAAGCATCTCGAGCGTTGCGCCCTCCTTTGAGGACCGGCCTCGAGCCCTCTTTTTCTGGGACCAACTACCGGTCGCAAAACTCATTTCGTCATTGGGGAGAAGGAAAAAACTGGGTGTCGCGATTCGATCATCAATTGAGAGAGAGGAATCATGAATGAGAAAATGAATTCCAGACAAGCGAGCGAGCACGGCGGCAAAGTTTCTAGACGCAGCACTAGAACCTTTGTCGAGGAGGAGCAGCAGCAGCAGCAAAAGAACGGCCAGGAGTCGCGAACTTCGAGCGGGGACGAAATGGATGTCGAGATGGTCAAAGGAGGAGGAGAGTTTAGAGCTACGAATGTGGCTGTCGTCTTCAGACCCGTGGCTGTGGATCTTGGGATGGATGTTACCGACCTATTTCCTGCTAGATTGGAGGATCGTGATAAGCAAGGTAAGTCGCAATGGCAAAATTTGTGAGTTCGAGGCTGACAATAGTAGTTTTGGCCGTTCTCCAGGGCGCGAAAGCCTCGACTAAGTCGAAGACTGATGAGAGACCTATCAATTTTGGCAAGGTCATTCCGGGTGTCTATCGCAGCTCATTTCCAGGGTAAGTCTTCAGTTCTTGAGATGAGTTTCTTGAGTTCTTCTGGAGCGTCTTTGGTCACCTTTCACGAGAGTATCATGTATGCTCAAGAGACATATCTCATTGCGAGTAGTTTGAATAAGTATGCTAACGCATTCCTGTTACAGAGAAGAAGACTTCAACTACCTCAAGACACTAGGTCTGAAGACCGTTCTGTGAGTCTTTGCTGTCTCTTTGATCTGGAAAGATCAGCTCTGATCTGATGCAGCTCTCTCGTAAAGAAGGACTTTCCTCCCGAGTTCGAGGCCTTCATGAAGCAAAATGGCATCCGTCACTATGTCATCGACATGCAAGGCACCAAGAAAGTCGACATTCCTGAAGAGATCATGAACTCTATCATGGAAATCGTTCTCGAGAAGAAGAATCACCCACTTCTTATCCATTGTAACCACGGCAAGGTATGTCCTCTCCCTTCACCAACCCATAAATCAAGCTAACACCATTCACAGCACCGAACCGGATGTGCAGTAGCAGTCATGCGCCACGTCGCGGGCTGGAACATCGACTCCATCATCCAAGAGTATCAAGGATTCGCCGCTCCCAAAATCCGAGACTGCGATGTATCCTACATCACGCAGTACAAAGTCTCTAGTCTCGAAGGCCTCTTCCTCAGACGCGCACAACGACTCCGCATCGCCAAGAAACCCTCACCTAATGAACGCATGTTGAAATTCCTCATGTTGACCGCCATCATCCTCTCGATCTGGTTCACCACGTTTTTGATTTGGTAAAGAGAAAGGAAGAAAGAAAAATCGGAGTTTAGGGATCTGGATCTTCTTATAGAAAGACAAAAAAATTGGAGTTTGGGCATGACTACTACTTATAGATGTGACAGACGGATGGGTATATCTGCACTGCATACGATAAAGGGTGAATGGGCGTTTATTCTCGGTGCAAAGAGAAAAGGATTCTTGGATTGGGAAAAACGGATACAGGTCGGTCGGTAACCTGGCTTTTTTGGAAATCCGGGTTTGGGTTGTAGAATATTGTATTTTTACGGATTTCGAGGGAGGCGCCATGATCAGACTTTTGGAAGAAGGATTCTATACATCTTCATGTCTGTATTTGGTAGCATCCTTTGATCTTGAGCAACCGAGCTCACTGCAATGGATCTCGTTGAAGCATCATCCTTGAAACTGTGTAATTGTTGCCGTGCTTTAGGTTTGTTATAAGTGAAGAATGTCTCGTTCTACTTTAAGCCTTCCGCAATGTTCCAGAATATGTGAATTATTCAACCTCCCTACTTTACGAGGAGGCTTAATGGATCGTTCACCCTTGTATTGTACTATGAAAAATAAAGTACCTACTGAAGATTCGCTAGAGTTTGGCCTGACTCCTTCAGCTGACGCACATCGAGCTGTCTGATGAGGTTCTTTGTCACACGAAATATTGAGCTTCAAATTTTAAAATTAACTGAAAGGATACTTTAATGATCTAGGCCAGTACTTAGATTTCAACAATGTGGAAGTGTGAATGACAAATGTATTATTCATTAGCACTCTTCATTATCAAGTGCCGGAGTCAGTATATACTTTTACGCCGCTCTCATAGTTCTTACAACTCGTCCGCTGCTTCATCATCCTCTTCATCTTCTTCCTCGTCGCCTTCTTCCTCTCCACCACCTTCAACATCATCATCTTCCTCCTCACTACTTGATCCCGAGCCCTCACTCTCCCCATCACTCCCAGGATCATAATCTTCCTCTTCTTCATCCTCCTCATCTATTTCTTCCTGGCCACCAGCTTCCAAAGCAGCCTTTTCCAGTTCTCCAGCCTCGACATTGCCGACCACATTCCCATCCTCGTCTTTCACCACATTCACATTCAACCTCTTAGCCTTCCTCTGTTCTGCCATACTCTTGTCTTGCAAACCATGTCTCTTTACAAAACCGTCGATGCCGCCAAAATCTTCCTGATCCAGCATCGAGAACTCGAATTCCTCGGTACTCTCTTCTCCACCGGACACACTCATGTCTACTTCCACTGAAAGATTGAAAGTCCGTTGTAATACACTCGTATACGATACAGCCAATATCCTCTCATGAGGTAGGAACAACATCGGTTTCTTGAACGCCCATAATATGCCATTGGGCAAAAAAAACAGATACCCATCTTTCGAACCTCTGAATGCCTTGACATGCACTGCCTTCTCGCCCGGTCTATGCGCCTGTCTCTGCTCTGAAGCAAACAGCTTCTCATCTGCCTGTACGATCTTCGTGTCCTTACCCGCGGCTTTCAATCGTGCTAAAAGAGCCCAGTCGAAAAGTGTTTTCAGGTCGTCGGAAACTGCTGAGGCTGCGGCTGCTTCGAGACCACTGATTGTCCCGGGCTTGGGCGCGCTGTCTGGGATGCTGAAGACGATGGGCTCTGGGGTTGGAGGGGCGCCTGGGATGGGTTTTGAGGGGGCGATTATGGAGTTTCGGGGGAAGAGAATGTAGTTGTATTGCTTTTGCGTCTTTTCGGGTACTGGTAGACAGAAAGCATATTCTGGTGATTTCAATTAGTACAACTAAGTAACTAAAATTAGTTGGAGCATACCTATATCACTCCACGCAAAGCTGATGCCAGGAACGGGTTCTTTGGAATCTGGTAGTCGCGCGTAGAGGTGTGAGGAGGTAAAGCACAAGGTGTATTTCTTTCTCTGTGGAATCACGACTGAGATATCTTTAACCTCGAGAAGTACAGGATCTTCACTACTGGCAGCAGATGTGCCATTTGTAGCAGCATGTCCATTCGTTCCATTGGTGGCAGGCCGACTCGCGATGTTTTCATCCAGTCGTCTCTTTTTTGTAGCAGGCTCTGAGCTTACAGGCGCAAGGCTGCAGACATGTAAGCTGATTTGGTTGAAGAGTTCGGTGTAATGTGGTCCAGCTATAATATACAAAATCAGTAACCCAATTAAGTGGAAATTTGCAAGTCGTAACAAGTGATGCGTAACTCCTGGGGGCTACAATAGCAAGGCTTGGATGTTGAAGCTCACCTGCAGCTGCATTTCGAATAGCACCTTGGATGTCGGGTCGTGATGAAAATGCCTCTTGTAGACTCTTTTCATCTAATGTGGAAGCCATGTTCGAGGTACACAGCTATTGTTGATGGAGTTTCGAAATTTATGGCGAAAGATGTCGAGAAGACGAGGAGACGCGGCAGAACGCGGTCGGTAAGTGAAACCAAGAGCCTCGCGGTGGCGGTGATGTCAGGGGCTCGAGGTTTCCAGGATATCCTCACTTGTTCCGGCAAAACGTGGTCAGGTCTCGAGTGTTCCAATTCTAATATGTCGCTAAAGAGGAGTGTGATTCATTGATTCGAATATTATTCACAGTAGTTTTCTATATTGTCTGAATGGATTTGAATACATATTCTAAACCGTCTCATCTCCCAGAGTAAGAGCTAGAATTGAATGTCCAACTCCGCGTAACCTTCAACCTGAGAAAGACAATCATTAACAAACTCACAAACAAAACGGGCAAGAATTCAATTGTCTATCGAAGGTGTACAACTTTCCGGTAAAACTCATAATGTCCTACAGTAGAGAATAATTAAGATCAGGGTCGATTGACGCTCACTTGAGTCGATTGACGCTCACTTGAGTCGAGTGAAAACTGAGGGCTCTTGACAATGTTCTCTGGAGTATATTTGACACTTGCTAAGTTGCCGTTTCAAGCAGCATCATCTTCCATATTAGTCTCCATTCAATACAATGTAATAGTAGACAAACAAATGAAAGTCGAAGGGGTGCTAGTATGCTCATCGAAAACTCCAAACGCCTCTAAAATATATGTACACCCAGAACCCCGTTCCATTTCATCCCAAAGTTGCTGCAAGAATGATAATGGTAAGAATAACGGCCAGAATCAGCAACAAACAGCATGCTTTCGACCGAGCATTTCTCTGGTATCTCGCAGCGCTCCTCAACTCCAAATCCGCACCTCTGGTGTCAGTTCGAGTTCTATCGACGTTTCCTTCAATGGTATCAAGCATTTCCCCTTGCTCGTTGACGATGTGCGCAACATCTCGGAAGAGTTCGTTCAGTTCAGTGACACCCTGCTCGATATTTCGAATCTCGGCTTCCCGTTCCACGATCAAAGAGTCTTGGAAATCCACTTCGTCCTGCGAAGCCAGTCGCAGTTGTTCTTGCGATTGTTGCTGACCGAAAGTATTGCTACCCTCAGCGCTGGGTGACTGTTGTTCCTCCAATGCAGTTCGTGCTGCCGATGCTGATGATCGTTGCTTCTCAAGAGCTTGTCGCTGTACATTCTGGAATTCTTGGAGGTTGTTTTGGAATTCCCGCGTCAGCTTCTGCTGGGTATATTTCTGCGATGGCTGAAGACTAGTTAGTCTAGATAATATACTCTTCAATTCTTGATCTTACGCTGACATCCTCCCATGTTTGAATCTTCTTTACTCCTTCGCCGACCTCTTTGAAAGTGTCCTTAGATTCCTCGAGCAAGTCGTGGACTCTTTCCCGAACCCGCTCGGTATCTCTTCTCGTGCCTAATAACGCAACTTCGTTTGAAAGCCTCGAGATGTTGCCAGTCAATGAGAACAGTTTCGACATGAGATCCTGCGACAGGCGTTGGAACTCTGGATCGTCTGCATATTGCGGGTCGTCCTCTCGTCGCATAGTCGTTGGCTGCGACTCCAGCGATGATAATTGATCGAAAGACATGATTGCAGTAGCACGTAGTAATGTTGCACTTCTCGACCAGCGGTTACAACGTTGATATTTGTGCTTGTCGGTTGCCTGGTGATATCGGATCTCGTGGTTGGAAGTTGACGTACCCGGGTTTAGCTCCGAAGTGGCTTGGCGGCGCAAGGCTCGCGTCGTCTAAAGCTGTATTTTGTTCTGGAATCGCAAATGTCAACACGCTTTTGCTTGTGCCTCCACAACACGACAACGATGATATGAAACTCGCTATCGTGTAGCGAAAGTTGATCACTTTTCCATTCAGTCTTTACAGCTACAGGAGAAAGCGATAATTGTCGATCTCTCAAGATGCCTCCAGCACCTCGAATTCGTCCGTACAAGGACTTTCTCACACCTCTCATGCACCGAAGATTTGCTGGGGCAACTGCAATCCTCGCCTTTCTCTGCTACGTTGAATCTGTTTTGATTGGAGAGAAGAATTCTGGTAAGAATAACCTTTCAAAGGTTGCAGAATCAACAACTGACGTCGGCACAGTGTTCTGGTCATGGTTTCCACTTGGAAAAGCTGGCATTCGAGCTGGCCTCCTTTTCATACCCGCATTCGTGATCTTTATTCTTCGACTGGCGCAATTACACGTTGGCATACGAACATCGAACTCGGGATGGGACACGTTCAAGAGATATGGACCCAGTTTCCAGGTTGTTCAAACGGTGGGATGGTATTTCTTCTCTGCATACATGTTCAGCGAGATCTATATCTGGTCCGCATCGAAGGACGCAGATCTAAACAGGATCAAGCTTATTCCAAGGACGGACCGAACAACTCTGAATGAGAAGCCGATCTATCTCACAAGCTTTCTGTTCTTCCTGGCACTCGCTCAGACGGGCTTCCACCTCTATGGCGATTATGATCGAATTGATATGCCAGTCGTCAAAACAAAGCCAAAGGGGTCCACAGAGCCAGTGCCAACCATCATCCATCCCGCGATACAGGTCAGGACCAAGATCCCGGAATTGGTGAAAAGGTCACTCCAGCGGACGATCGCGGTCGCTATAGCAGCACCTATTCTCTACTCGATACCCATAGGAATATATCCATATTCTGTTCGACAGTGTGCTTGGAGCTTTACACGATCTTGGGCGAAGATCTTCTGGAGTCTTCCCAAATCGAGCTCTCTTCCAACTATACGACCATTTCACTATAGTGTTCTTCTTCGCACAGTTATCGCGGGCTTCCTACTTACTATGTTATGGGAAGTCGGCAATGCTGCATTTTCGGTTTATGTTGCTCAGGAACCCTTGAAGAATGAGCGACCCATCACTTACGAATCACGAGATCCGAATGGCAGCTTGTTGACAGGCTTGAAGGGGAAGAAACTACAGACACGAGTGAGTTGTCAGTGCTAGCTACTGTAAACAAATATACTGATCTTCAAACAGGCCTTTGCTTTCTGGGAGTTAGCATATATTGCGGAAAGATTTGAAGGTCGTCGCAAATCGATTTATGAGGATATTGACCGAAAAGGAGGATCAGCTTGGTCACAGATACTGGGAGTATGCCTCGGGGTCATCAGTGGCGTGACATTACGCATCGCTGAGTATGAAAGACCACCAGCTGCTGCACCTTCATCTACGGCATCAAATCAGGATTTCATATCAGGGCTGCCACGACTAGCTCCTCCAATCAAAGATAGTCTCAAGAAGCCAGGGGATCTGTTTGGAAATGCTGCAAAGCCAACTTCAGCTAGCGAGAGCGCTCTGCAAGCGGTTGGGAAGTATGCTAAAAACCACGGACAATCACCAAATTCAGGTCTTTCTCCAAAGTCCCGAAAGCTACTGGAGAAAGCCGAGGGTGTCATTTTGACTCCAGCTCAGAAGCAAATGATGGCTGCTCAGGATGTCACTGGACTTTTCAGAGACTGGGCATTGTGGGTGGTCAGCTCGGAAATAGGATGGCCATTCCGACAAGAATACAGACGAAGAATCGCTGCTGTTGTGCTCGGATCGCCATATGGCGATGTAGGCATTATTGTTGATGCTATCGATTCCTTGACGAGGTTTGCTGTATGCAGTCTTACAGAAGACAAGTTCGGCAATGTCCAAAGAGATGTCAAACTCATTATACAAACACTTACGACGACAATCACTCAGTTGGAAGGATTCAAAAGTCGAGTAGGAAAGCACTGGACCGATGTGAAGTCGAGGCAGGAAAGTCCAGAAGTCGATACAGTATTGGCTGCATTGAAGAGTGGACTGGGTGAATTAGTGACTGCATTTGGAGATTATAGCGAGGATTTGCGATTAAGCCAAAGTGAGATGAGGATGGCTAGAGAAGCTGCAACACCTGCTGCTGCACCTGTTGCTGCATGAAGCCTTGTTGATCTACTGTAACAAAGTTACAAATACATGAATGTACGAGTCAACGCTGTTCATTTGTCACTCACGTGTCTTAAAAGGGGCTCGGTAATAAAACAACCACCGACTGCAATGGTAGACTAAATCTTGCCAAGTGTTTCCCTTTCATAGCCAGGAACAAGAAAGCTGTGACCATTTAGAGATATCCCGCACCAAGTTCCTCTTCGGACTGACGGAAGATCCAAACAACTTTCACACAAGATGTTTCACTCGTAACCAGACATAACCGAAAAACCAGCGATTGCGGCGCCCAACCCCTGGCCCCGAACGCTCAGTGATGTAAGAAGGCGGGGCATCCCACGTCTCCCGAGATTGATCCGCATGAGCTATGCAACAGCATCATACGATTTAAATACCATCGAAGTCCCCCATAGCTTTCCTAGAAGCACGACCCCTAAAATTCGCTCGAATTGGGTACCTGCCACTTCTGCAATTGAGTGCGGATTTCTGTGACGGAGCAAGATGGCGGCTACGGCAGCTCTGACAGCTTCGGCTGCTCTGAAGGCACGAGTGAGAAGACCTTCGTTGCTGAAGAAGCTGGCTCATCCTGAGGATTTGATTCCGTTGTTTCCCAATGGGGCTTATGTTGGTTGGTCTGGGTTTACGGGTGTTGGGTATCCAAAGGTATGTTTCAATTGCTCAATTGCGTCTGTTCTGGACTTTTCGGATTGTCCGGCAAAGTACTTTTATCTAAGAAGTTTTGTGCTAGAAAATCCCAACGATGCTCGCGGATCATGTCGAGAAGAATGGCTTGGAGGGGAAGTTGAAATATACTTTGTTCGTAGGTGCGAGTTCTGGGGCAGAAACTGAGAATCGTTGGGCGGCGCTCAATATGATTGAGAGGAGAAGTCCTCATCAAGTCGGGAAGCAGATTGCGAAGGGAATCAATAATGGGAATATCAAATTCTTTGATAAGCATTTGTCGATGTTTCCGGTGGATTTGGTCTATGTGGGTGCTCCTTTTCCTCGATACTTGGGTAAAGATTGGACAGTGATCGGAAATCTACCCTACGATTGTGGCTGTCGATGTCCGTATACTTTATGGACATTGTTACATATTTGGATGCATGCTTGGAGAAACGAGTACTAATTAAGTATAGGGATTCTATACCAAGGATCGGCCGAACAAGAAACTAGATGTTGTCGTGGTGGAAGCTTCAGCAATCACGGAAGATGGTGGAATTATACCTGGAGCTTCCGTTGGAGCCTCTCCAGAATTGATACAAATGGCAGACAAGGTAATAAATAATTCACAGATGGCAATTTCCACAGGGCTAATAGATTTGGAAGATCATTGTCGAAGTCAACACCGCTATCCCAAACATGGAAGGCCTCCACGACATCACCATGACCCAACTACCTCCTCATCGAAAGCCTTACCTGATCATGGCACCAGAAGACCGCATTGGCACAACCTGCATCCCCGTAGATTCCGAGAAGATCGTGGCGATCATCGAGTCAGACTACCAAGATCAGACTGTCCCGAATTCTCCAGAAGATGAGAGTTCTAGAGCTATTGCGAGACATCTCATCGAATTCCTCGAGCATGAAGTGAAGCATGATCGACTACCTAAAAACCTCCTACCTCTGCAATCCGGTATTGGAAACATCGCCAACGCAGTCATTGGTGGACTAGCTGAGTCAAATTTCCAGAACCTGAAAGTCTGGACTGAGGTAAGTATTTCCAAGCTTCAACTAACCCTAGACCAAGATCTGACAACCTCAGGTCCTACAAGACACCTTCCTCGATCTCTTCGACTCGGGCCGCCTCGACTTCGCCACCGCAACATCCATTCGCTTCTCCCCCGACGGCTTCAAACGCTTCTACGACGGCTGGGAACAATACCACAACAAGCTCCTCCTGCGCTCGCAACAAGTCTCCAACTCCCCCGAGATCATCCGTCGCCTCGGCGTCATCGGCATGAACACCCCAGTCGAGGTCGACATCTACGCCCACGCCAACAGCACCTGTGTCATGGGCTCCCGAATGCTGAACGGTCTTGGTGGTTCTGCCGATTTCTTGCGCTCGGCGAAGTATAGTATTATGCATACGCCGTCCACGAGACCTACGAAATCGGATCCGCATGGTGTGAGTTGTATCGTGCCGATGTGTACGCATATTGATCAGACGGAACACGATCTCGATGTCATAGTCACCGAACAAGGATTAGCGGATGTGAGGGGATTGAGTCCGAAGGAGAGGGCGTTGGTTATTATTCGGAAATGTGCGCATCCTGAGTATCGACCTATCTTGGAGGATTATTTCAAGAAGGCGGAGTTTGAGTGTATGAGGAGGGGATGGGGTCATGAACCGCATCTTTTGTGGAATAGTTTTGATATGCATAAGGCGCTGGACTTGGAAGGGAGCATGAAAAAGATTAAGACTTGGGGTTGAGGGAAAAGAAGGGCTTGTGAATAATGTCAGTTGAAATGGAGTATAACGTATAGATTGGAGGCGAGATTGGAGTATGCAGTATATGAAACTTCTTTGTTGATATTCAATACTTGGAATAGACGAAAAGTTCGACTTCAGCCTGGTCTTCTTTAGGGTGAGAAGGTCAAATCTATAAGTTCTTTCTTGGTTGTAGGCGCAGTCCATTTAGTCCATCCTCCTCCTCAACGCGCAAACTCAACACCTGCAACTACCACATATCGAAAGCGCAATTTGCTGGTCAATCAAAACCGCAAAGTTTCGAAACCAGCAAAATGTCGCTTCCAGAGATCAAGCCTTCGAGAACGACGAAGGAGCGCTTTGGTCCGCTAGAAGGTGACTTCGTCCCAATTGCAGTGCATGGCCCATGTAATGAGGAGTGCCAAATATCATCATCGGGAGTCATCCACCAGTACTCCATCGTGCAACATATATCTGCGCAATATCATTCGACCGCACAATCTCCAGAGGAACTTCGTTGGCGCCACTACACACTCAACGCGCTTTCGGAACCAACCACCGTAGCAGACGACATGGCAGTCCCGCGTAGATCGACCTTTGACCTTCCGAAAGCTACTTCAGAGGAGTCGCAACTGATCTTGCAGCATCCAGAAGATGTACATGACCTGCGCCGTCCATTGAGTGGGGGGCTTCCCGAGATTGGAGGAGACATGGATTGCGGTATATTCATCTTCGATGATGTCCCAGACAAACCCAGAGTTCGACTTCCTGTCCAGACATCCGGTATAGCCAACCCAGTCACCATCCAGCAACTTCAGGATGACCTCGCCAAAGCCGAGTTGGCGTTGGTAGACCTGAATTATAGGCACGAAGAAGAGAAAAATGCTTGCCTTGTGGAGAGGGAGCAGATGAAGAGTCACGCAGGTTGTCAGTATTATATTTTGTTTCTTTGTCTTTAAAGCGCATTTACCTAGACTGACTAACAAATTTATAACAGTAGATAGTCAAAGACTTGATTGGAACATGGAAGAAGTTCAAGCATTGACGAAAGAGGAGGTGCTTGCAGGGCTCACGCAGGAAGATGTTCAGAGCCTGCTTGAATCCAGTCAAGTACTCAAGAACACTTTAGAAGCTGCCAAGAACGACATGCGTAGGCAAACCATAGACAACTGCGAGTTACATATCCAAGAAGCGTTCCAAACTTCCGTGAACAATGATTTCTTTAGCAACATCACAACTCAGGCGATCGAGGAGCACAAAAAGAAGGCCAAGGTCCAGCTCAATGCTGAACTTGACGAAAAGTTGCGGCCGTCTAACTTTGCTACTGCATGTTCCTGGAACGAGGCCGAAGCTGGAGAGTTCATTAAAAACAACGAGAACGCAAGGGCTGTCGTCATGCAGGCCAACTTACAACAAAAAGCTCAATTTGTAAAAGAAGAACGCATCCGCATCACAACTCAACTCCAAGCCGAATTTGATGAGAAGCTTAAAACTGCTAGAGCCAAGATGACGAAGGAACTGGAAGCACGCTTTCAGAGAGAGTATGACAACAAGCTAGAGGAAGCTAAGGAGAGTGCTAAAGAGCAGGCCATCAAAAGAGTGACAGACACATATGAACAGAGGATCCGGGAAAAGAATGGGCTGTTGAGACAGAAAGACTCGCAACTGCAGGACTTTGATAATGCCTTCACAGCTGTCAAGCATGCTGTTGGTCTGGGCTCTATTCGAGGAATTAAGGAGGTCTTGGATGATATTCCTCGAATGAGCCACGGTCTAGAACCGGCACGCTCGTTGAAGGATCGAGAGGTTGAACCAAACTTTGCATTCTTGAAAAGATCCAGGGAGGTTGATGACATTGGCAGAGATGCCAGGGGTGACAGCCAGAAGAGAGTGCGTCGAAATGGAGAGACAAAGTTGTGAACGTTTGAGCATGTGTAGGAGGGTACAGAAGTTTCTATGCCTTGTTGGGAGAGACCATAAGACAATGTGGGTAGATAGCTAATGTGGAGAGCATGCGGGAGTCAAATTGTGATAGTGGCGAGAAATGTGCGGATAATACCATTAGCCTCATGGCTTCATGGCACATATCATCAGCAGAGTCTAAAACGGTCCTGCATGTAGGTCTTAGAAACCGTGAAGATGTGTTCGGGTACAAGTAATTTTGGTAGAGGCAGGACGTCCCAGACCAGAAACAAGGTTCAGCCACACCACTAAAGCTGTCCAGATCGAGTTCCGGAAGTGTTCCCGAGCGTCCCTGTTCTAGAATGTATGACATTTCTTGAACCCACGACACTTCATCGAAAAAGCAGTTTCCTTACACCTGTTGTCCTTCCCAGGTCTCCCCTTTCGAGCCGTGTTGTGTTCTTTGATAGTTGTATGTGGGGCTTTTCTAACACCCTGAACCTCGTCCTTTTCAGCACTTGACTTGAAAATCGATCAAACGGAACGGCTCCGGGTAGAGTCAAAGCAGATTACAAACAATCTATTTACCATTCACTCGTTGACCCCCTCGAATCGACCGTGAGACTAGACTATGCACCAAGCCAAGCCCCACTCCTCTTCCCCAGCCCAGTACAAATCATTGAGATTATGCTCGGTTCGCTCAAGGGCCCCTCTAGTCAGTCAAACCTGGACGAAAATCCTGCTCGGCAATCGGATGCCCTAAGCTTCTTGAGACTTGATAGGATGAACCTGACCCGACACCAACCTTTAGGACTTCCCGTGCTGTGTTTATTTCAGACAGCGGCGACAAGTTGAGTCGACTAGGATGCTCTCGGGACAGAGAATGCATGTGGACACAGATGTCGTCGTTGTCGTTATTGTGTAACTCTGTACTTTCGGAACAACAAATATGGTTCTCTGGCAGCGGCACCAGCCTTTCTTAGGGTCTAAGACATTTCCACCATGAAACTCAGCGATGTTCCCTCTAAGAATCTTGCGTCAAGAGGCACCGTCTCGAGCAATCACCGTGCGTGCGGACGAGCGTGAATCTCAGATGGCGTCTGTCCACGGACCATCCAGAGCTGAAGGCGCCACATCGAGATCTGGCTGTCCAACCGGCAATGTCATTTCGAGCCGCTTCGACAGGCACAGTGCGTCTGCCTGCCTCTCACCCGTCTGCGGAAACCCGAGTTGAGAAGGAGAACCGATGCTAATGCTGCGGGAAGTCCTGCTTTTCCTCTGTCAAGTCATCAGTGGCTGCTCTGTCAAACGCCATGTTGTTCGCAGAGCGGGAGCATGTTACAAATCTTCTTCAAGTTCTTTGCGAGATCGAAGTTCCTGTGGATATGCATTTCGGCGCTCTCAGAGAGGATTTTCTGGTCGGGAATTTTCTCCTTCGTTGATGAGGCGCTCAGGTCCCAAAATGCTGGGTTACTGGATCGACGCTATTGTGGGTTAGTGCCAATCTTCCTTCCAGCTTCTGGACACGGAAAGAGCTCACAGCGAGCGGGTCAAAGAAAGTACCTACGCTCGCTCAGCTTTGCTATTGATCTTCTGTTCCTTATCCTTATCCTAAAATGAATTTCTCTCCTCCACGAGAATTCGCCCCCTTCCTTTCTGCACATCCAAATCACACAGGCGGTGTGCTCTTCCTCCTCTTCTCTCTCTCCTTCTTCCTCAACGCTCTCGTTTCTACTCACCCGAGTCCTTCCTTTCGTTCACCCCAAATTGACCAAGCTGCAGCCACATCTCTGCGCTACTGCTCCTAGCATCGAACGCCTGCAGGACCACTCGGAGCTTGGACAGCTACTGGCTATTGCAACAATCTCGTCCCTTCCACTAGACCCAGTCGATCAATAGTCTCTCTTTCGTCGACCCCACTTTGCTACCAGTCTGCAAGTCACATTGTGGACCTGTCTCCTCAGGTGTCCGAGCTCTAGGATCTACATCTCCTACCTCGACTCGACTTCCCTGTTCACGGACCACTTTACCGACCCGTAGCTCTCTCTCTCGACCAAGCTTAAATCTTCTGGACCTCACGCTGACCTGTGCCTCTTAGAGATAGTACACGTTGTTGTGTCAAAGCGGAATGATATCGATTACAGTCCCATTTCAGATCGCCGTCCGGAATAGCCGTATAGGACCCACTTGCTCTCGAGCTTTCACTTCCTCGGTTCTTTCCAGGAGTGAGAGTTATATGTCCTTAGTTTCCTGCCAAAAGAAAGACGACGAACGGATACTATAGACTCGACAGCACGTACCTGTACCGCCACGTCTTTCGGAGAGACCACAACGAAGTTTCTCAACCCTTCCTGTGATGGACAACCTCCAGGACCTAGAAGGGCACTTCATACCCAGACGCTTCAGAGCCGGATACATCGTCTTGTCATATTTTATTAGCTTCGTGGGATCATGGACTACGTTGGAGATCATCAACCGGAGAACCTCGATGCGAGGTGCTTACAACTGGTAATATTTACTCTTCCCGAGCTCATGTTGGTCTGGGCTTACAGAATCACAGGCTTCATCTCGCAGCTGCTTCGATTTCCATGGGAGGCATTGCAATCTGGTGCATGCACTTTATTGGCAATCGTGCCATCGTTCTTGGAGAAGGTCAGAGGCAGCTACAGATTGCATATAGTTCCGGGTTCACAGCTTTGTCCTTCTTCTTACCTGTGATTGTCCTCTTCATGGCCTTCTGGGCAGTTGGTTCAAACGAAAGAATAAGCATCGTCAGAGTCATATTAGGGAGTATCCTTGCAGGATTTGGTATCTGTGGCATGCATTACCTTGGTCAAGCCGGTATATCAAATTATGACTGTGTCTATACTGTTGCCTATGTCATTGGAGCAGGTGCTATTGCAGTAGGAGCAAGTGCTGGAGCACTCGGTATATTTTTCCTTTTCAGATCGTCCTGGGATACGTCTTGGTGGAAGCGAATCATCAGTGCCAACGTTCTTGGAGTTGCTGTGTCGGGAATGCATTGGCTTGCTTCCGTCGGCACACAGTATCGTCTGAGGGTAGTTGATTCTACCTTGATCAACTCCTTCTCGAGTACGTCTACGGTCATCGTCGTCATTGTCTTGGTAAGCAACTAAACATTTTTGCCAATGTACGCTCTGGCTAACAAGAATAGTCCATTTCAGCATGCTTCACACTTCTAGTGTTTACATTGCTTGCACAAAGACGGATTTTGAAGTCAGCAAAGCGGGCACAGCAAGTCGTCTTAGCTACAGCCATTTTCGACCATGAGGGAAAGCTTCTTGTGACACCCGAAGGTCGACTACCCACACAGAAGATCACAAACGCTTGGCTTGAGCGGGTTCGTATTTCCAGACGACAGTTTCAGATGTGCATCTAGCTAACGGACTGGTAGTCTCTCAATGATGTTTTCAATACTTCGCACGCTGTCTTTTTATGGATCTTCAGGACATCGCGGAACTGGAGCGGTGTCGGGAATTTGATTCCTGGTATGCGACTTCATGTACACCGAGCCGGCATCAAAGGCCGTCTTGGATCCAAGGCCGACAGCAACCTTCTCAACGATGAAGGTATACCTATTGAGGATTACTCGCTTGTCTTTCGAGAGCTATTCTGTGTAGCAGCAGCAGACTTAGCCGCCGACCTAAATCAACCACTTGACAACATGGGTGTGCTTTACGACGAAATCATATCCACTGGAAATCCTCCCAAGACAGCGAAAAACGCAAAGTCCAAACAGAGCGAGATCACAGTCACTAGTTCTCTGCAAGACGTTGAACGTGATGCTGGTCACTCCTCTGTGGGCAGAGGTCAACTCCTTTTTCTAGTTAATCGCGTCGGGAGAAAAGAAGCAGATCGACTTCAAGCTGCAGGTTTTCGTTTTGCGACTCCCGCTTATGTCGTCCCCATCATTGCCCAGAGTCTCCAAACCGGCCCACATACCCTGGCACGTCGACTCAATATCATGCGTGATTATGCTTACGAGCCACATATGCTCGACGAAGGTGTTCATTTGGCTTGCTTTGCCATTCGGGCATCTCTCGGAGCTGGACGCCATGGTTTCGAGGTCCTTGCACGCAAAGACGCAAAAAACCAACTGCCGACTATGCAGATTCCGATCGAATCCCTAGAAGATTGGCAGTATGACTATCTCAAGAAGATGGATACCATGACAGTATCAGCAAGTATCAAATTATTGTTCAAGGCTGCCAAACCCAATAATCCTTCACCAAAGGAACAAAAATTCGCGAAGCAGCTTTTAACGACTCTCGAAGCCCTGAAAGATGAGATCGAAGATCCGTTCTTCAATGATGCAATGCTCATTGCGAAACCCGTCGATGCCCCTTGCCGTGGTCACGGTGAAGACTCGCCTCCAGGAACAGCATTGCTTATCACTTTTAAGATAATTGTGCCCATCCATAGTCGCGCGCCAGGCAAGAAGTTGACATTTGTCCCGTTGAACTTCTTTAAGACACAGCAACACGTATACAAGAACTCGCCGGATCACGGCGTATTTGCTAGGAAAACTTACCGTGAATTTTCGCCTTTCTTGGACTTATATAACCCAAATAGCCCAATAGGTAGAAGCTCTGGTGGGTCAAATTTGATTCCCAACAAGTTGACTGCTTCCTCTACAAGGAAGAGTCGACATGAAGCCATGATGGGTGACAATCTCGACATGTACGGCAATCCGGTGGATCAATCGCAAGAACCTGATCGAGGCCCGTCGAAGATTAGATTTTGGGACAAAGCATCGAAATCCAAACAAAGATTGAGAGGGGATAATTCGTCTGAAAAGGGTCTCGTGGACGTGGCCTCAACAGAGAGTCGAACACTGGGTGGCATCATGGTCAGCCAAGATATCAGTGTCGACGTTGGAACGGAAAGCCAAGGAAATCCAAACAGTCGATCCAGCAGTCCTTTGAAGAAGGGAGATCCTATGATCGAGATGAAGGAGTTCGGCAAGAATCCAAAGAGTGGAATCATCAGCAAGATCGGTAAAGAAGAGGAGGAATCAGCGACCTTTGTTGACGCTCTATTTACGACCACTATTACGACGCGACAGATGTGATGATGGAACGAGGAAAGTGTACAAACCTGATACCCCTTATTGTTAGCGGGATGGAGGGATAATGAGCTACTTCTTGGCGTTTGTTGACAGGGAACGGATGTACTATATTGGCTTGTACTGGCTGGTTGGATTGGGATCGTGCTATATCAGTAGATGAAACATAGCCAAAAGCATATAAATGCTACTCCCGACACTCGTCTTCTCCTCCAATGCACTGGTGACTCTTTCCAAATTGAACCTTGGTAATATTCTGGGTATCATCTCGCGAAAGACAACATACTAAGAACTACACAGTCTCGCTTAACTACGTAAGTATCCTCTCCCCTTAAAAAAAATCATTAAGCGAGAGGATCAAAAAACTCGGACCTCGCCACCTACTCGAGTAGGCAGGGAGGTCGTAGAAAACTTGCTCGGTGTCGATTGCAGTTTTTAAAGTTCGTTCGATCGTTCGCATGCGGGCCAGGCGATTTTATCCCTTTTCCATCTCTTAGCATCACAATTGTCCTGATGTGGCTGCCTAACTATCACGCCATGTGAGCTTGTGGAGAAAGAATCGCTTATTTGAATCTATAAGGGTGGTAGGGAAGGGGAACTGGTTGTTGAGTCGGGGACGAGGATGGGATTGTTGGGGTGTTTATTCGAGGTTGAGAGATTTTATCGAGTGTTATTGGAGACATTATTGGGTTCCTGTTAGCATTTGTTCATTTCTTTATTCGTTCATCTTAAGCTTGGGAAAGGAAAGGCAAGGCAATATCAAGGGGCTCGAAAGTCCATCCTCGATCCAGAACTTGAAAGTCACTAGATGATTAGGAATGTCCGGACGATAAACAAATTCTATTATCAAAACATATACAGTCAACAATACACCGTACTTTACAATGAATGGCTTACCACCAGCCAGCCTCATCCATACTCTCCTCATCAGCCTCATACTACCTCTCAACTCCGCGTCTTACCTCCCTGCCCTCCTCATCCTCCCACCTCATCCCCTCCATCTCGACATCCGCGCCCTCAGTGTCAAAGTCCTCAATATCCATATCCTCACTATCCGCGCCCCCAATCTCCTCCTCATCATACCCCAAAAAATCAAACCCAAAATGCAACTCTACAACCCCCCTCCACGCCTCCCTCTCCTCCCGCATCTCCTCCCTCATCAACAACTCCCCAAAGGCCCAGAACCTCTCTTGATCACGCTCGGAGCCGAAGGTCGGCGTATCCATCTGAAGCTGCCAAGCACGGATGAACGTCTGTAGCAGGGCAATGCCTTCGCGGTGGCGGGACAGAGAGGGGGTGTAGAAGTGCGCGCCGATGGGGCGGAGGGTCGATGTGGGTGGGAGTGGGCGGCCGATGTCGAGGCCGGGTTGGTGGATCGAGATTGCGTAGCGGTGTAGGGTGTGCGAGTATTGGAGTACGAAGGCTTGGTATTGAGATAGGAGTTCTGTGCGGTCGATGGGTGAGGGTGGTGGTGATTGTCGGGTATCTTCTTCTTCTTCTTCTTCTTCTTCGAGGGTAGAAGAAGAATATTCGGAAGTGGTGTCTGAGTAAGGAGAGTCGGGGAAGGTTAGAGATGAACGGCCATAGAAGCTCGGGGGCTGTGGGTCAAGTTCTTGTCGTGGGAGAGGGGTTCTAGTTGGTGATGTTGTCAAGTAGTTCTCAAATGAAGACGGTGCTTCGATGGAATCAAGAGAATATCGGCGGCGATCTGGTAGTTGCAAAGGAGGTAAATTGGCAATGGCCCCTCTACGTGCCTCACTGAACATCGTCGAAAGTCCTGTAGCACCTGTGGGTGGTTGTGCCGCAGAATATGAACTGGGTTCTGGATTATCCCAAGTAGTCGGAAATCTTGTATCTGCAAATGAGTCCTCTGTTGTTTGTGCTCGAGTCTCTGGAAGTTCTCGAAATATGGGCCAACTGCGATCAAACTCCTCGTCACCATCGCTTAAAACGAATCCAGCAGCTGCCAATGTATCTTCTCTTGCTTGTTGTCGTACGACTTGTTGAAGTGTCGACATCAAGGGAGGATTGAAAGCTGGCACAGGCTCCTGTTGCGTTTGTGATGCCTCGAAGTGATTGTTGGCTTCTCTGAAAGGTGTTATGGGTGGGAAAAGTCTTTCTCCTTGTTCGAATTCTCGGATATGTTGTTGCAAATGCGTGATAAGGAACTCCGAGTTTTCTTGATCCTGGTTTCTTCTATTTGTATTAGTCGACCTTTGCTGCTCTTGTCGGGGTGGTACTTCGAAACGCTCGCCAGCAAGAGGGATTGTGAATCTGTGCCGTTGAGCTGATTGCTGTTGTCGATCTGCAACCTCTCTCCTACGGGTGCCCGGTGCATCATAAGAGATCGGTCGTCCAGCAGTAACTCGTGGCCGGTTAGCCGTAAACATTGCCTCTGCTGCACCTTCAAGTCTGTGTCGTCGAGGTCTGACAGGTTCAAGCGGGTTCTCGAGAGGTCTTCGAGGAGTTGCCAATACATGTGCATGTCTCGGCTCTGAATATATGACTTGTCCCGCAGTAGCTACGCGACCCCTATTGGCTTCCCTTGACCGTTGGGCATATTGCTCTGCTACGGCTACTGCTTCGAGTCTCGCTCGCTCCAAGTTTGCAAGCGCTCGCTCGCAACGTTCTCTCTGAGCTTCTAGACTGGCCCGAGATGCTTGAGCTCTTTCATTAAGTTGTGCTATCTCAGATCGCGTTGCTGCTGCATTTCGATCAAACGTCCGTCTTTCTTCCTCGAGTTGCTCCTCTGAGGGTTGCCCCAGGCCTGGAAACGCTCGTGACGGCGATGTAAGCAAGCTGTTAAATTGGTGAGCGTTTGATGTAGTAGCTGTCGCGGTGCTTAGTGTGGTTCGTTGGCTCCTTGCTGATGTTTGGCGTCTGATTTCTGCTCTTTGTTCAAATCGCTGCTGGCGACGTTCCGTATCTTCTCTAGCGAAACGACGCTCTTCCTCTTCTCGCCAATCCATTGTCTGGACTTGACTTTCTGAACGCTCGTTGACGTCCTGCGGCTCGTTTTGCCGGATTGACAAAGGGAAAGTTGGTCTCCGCGGCGACGACATCTTGAAGTTTCAATCTGCTGAGATCTTTGCTGTGGGTGCAGATTGTATCTGAAGCGAGAAAGTTTCCAATGTGAAAAGCTATTCTCAAATTCGTCGGGTAGGTAAGGTCTTCGGAATAACTTTACAGTGAAGAGTGATCTGAAGCGAGAAGTATGATCGAGAAAGTCTTTCAATGTGAAAAGATGTACTCAAATTCGTCGGGTAGGTAAGGTCTTCGAATAACTTTACAGTGATGAGTGAAAAGTGAGAAGCGAAACAAATGAAAAAAATTCAAAGTTCAGAAACGAAGAAAAGCGCAGTCGAAATTAAAATGTGTGTCACTTGCAAGCTCACATTGCCATTGGCCACTTGGCCATTCCAAAATTCACATTGTGCGGCTTCATGATGCGGCGGTGCCATACTTTCACGATGAGATGAGTCGTCGGGTGAAAGAAAAACATGGTAGAAGACGGGAGCTTCTCTTAAGAAAGAATAGGAGAGACTTTAAAGCTACGCGGACCATTAAACCTACGCGAACCAATCACATCCGGCTTGAATCCAGTTAGTATCCTGGTCCGTGCGCCATCTTATCGCGATTAAAAAAATAATCGATTGTTCACCAAAAGGAAATCTGCCCCACCATCGAAGAACATCTCCGCTGCTCTCCCTATTCTTCATTCTCACAACCATGAATAATACAGCAACAATGGCGTCGCTAGAAGTCCGAATCCACGCAATTGCAGAATTCAAACCATCCGCCTTCCCCGACCGAGCATGGGTCTCAGTCCCGAATCCAAACAACATACCCCTCATCGCGACCGCCACGGCGGAGAAATCTGTGCGCGTATACTCGCTCAAGAACTTCACATTACATTCTAAGATGGAAGGAGGACATAATCGGTCTGTGCGATCTGTGGCGTGGAAACCTGTCACCAAGAATACGGGGGTGTTGACTGTTGCGAGTGGGAGTTTTGATTCTACTATGGCGATTTGGAGGAGGAGGGAAGATGGTTCTTCTGCAGACTTGAATGGTAGAGAAGAGGAAGAAATATTCATAGAGAACAATGTCGAGGAAGAAGAGGAGTTAGAGATTGAGATTGGCAGTGACGGGAAACCAAAGCCAAGACCGCGATTAATAACCCGGACCACGGACTCGGACGACGAGAACGAAGACTGGGCCTTCGAGATCGTACTCGAGGGCCACGATTCCGAGATCAAGGACGTGGCATACTCGCCTAGCGGACAATGGCTCGCGAGTTGTTCGCGGGATAAGAGTATCTGGATCTGGGAAGAGATAGGAGAGGAAGGGGAAGATGATTTCGAGACTATCGCCGTGCTACAAGAACACACCGCGGACGTGAAATGTGTTTCCTGGCGAAAAGACGACGGAAATGGTGAGGTGGTGGCGAGCGGGAGTTACGACGACACGATCCGATTCTGGAAAGGCGACGATGAGGGCGAATGGAGCTGTATTTCCGTGCTAGAAGGCCACGAGGGCACGGTGTGGAAACTGGAATGGGAGCCCGAAGTGAGCATGAAGAGATTCTCACCAGAGGAGGAGGCCAAAGAAGATGATCATGAGCCCAAGATACCAAGACTTCTGTCCGCATCAGCAGACTGCACGATTCGCGTCTGGAGCAGAGCACCCACGCCACCACCTCCGAACAAGCCGTCATATTTCAACTCCGGCATCCCGTCGACGATGCGTCCTCCGCCTGCGAACGAGACGTGGGAATGCACAGCCACGCTCCCTAAGGTCCATGATCTGCCCATCTACTCCGTATCCTGGTCTCCCAAGACGGGGAGGGTGGTTTCTGCTGGCGGGGATAGCAAGATTGTGATTTACGAGGAGAGAACGAAGGGGCGGACAGCTGTTGGCGGGAAGATTGAGACGGAATGGGTTGTGATGGGCGTATTGGAGAGCGGCCATGGGCCGTGGGAAATTAATCATGTGGTGTGGTGTAAGAGGTTTGATGCGGGGAGGAAGAGCGAGGATGAAGAGATGATTATCTCGACTGGAGATGACGGGGCCGTGAGAGCGTGGGCAATTGAAGAATTCGTTGCGCCGGCTGAGAATGGAGTTACTGTGCCTGTTGTGGCGGAAGGAACTCCGGGCACTAAAGTTGCATCTTCGTCGTGATTCTTGCTCGGTTGGAGTTGATATCATATTTTCTTCATATGCCAGTACAAATCAGGCGGATGAAAAACTGTAGGATATGAAAAACTTGCATAGCGAGGCGCTTTGGTAGCATAGAGGACATAGCAATGATCATGAATGGCATATATGAATGGAAAATAAGCTAATTCCTCAAATCTTCATGACCACCATCCGTGCTTCAACTCAAGAATATCTAAACTCCACTTCCACCCAACATCAACTTAACAACAGAAATAGACAAGTTCTGCAACTTTGAACTAACAAACAATCCACCGACCGCATAACCTAATCATGGTTTGAATAATAACCACTTCTCCCCCCTTTCTCACTCATCCTCTCACCCACTCACCCATCCTCCCCACCAGCCTTCCTCCATCTATCTTCCCCATCCATCCATACCCCCAAATCACCACAACCAAACCCACCAATCCAACAAACATCCACCGCCCACACCCCTCCCCCCAACTCAATCCATATCCATACCCCTTCCACACGACTGATTTCCTTCCTTACTTGCTTGCTATTATGCTATAAAAGGCGCGAGTGGCAACGTACTTAGGTACAGACTTATACACATATATAGAAATGGGAATACCTACCTTTCTTCGTTATTGAGACGGAAATGGAGAACCAAAATCGGGAAATAGATAGATAGATGAGTGAGGGAAGATGGAAGATGAAAAGAGGGGCATTAGTTAGTCTGAGAAGGATTGATTGATTAGTTGAAGTTTGCTGAGGGGGGTAGGAGAGTAGGGTAGGAGGGTATTTAGGTATGTTGGATAGAATAAATAAGTAAGTGATTTTGTTAAAGACAGCTAGAAGGAGTAGGGGTTTGTCTGTCTTGGGGCTTGGGGGGAATCGAGGACTTGAATCCCTTCCAGGGTGGTTGTGAGAACGATATGTTGTGAGAGCTCTAACATAGGGCCGAGGCATTATCAAAAAGTGTCTGACTTCAAAGACTGGGCAACTTAGTCCGAATCTATTCTACGAAGTCTTTCCTTGAAGAATGCCGGCCGCGGTTCTACGTACGTTCACTGAATTTCACTTTCCCATCGCAATCAGGATCCACAATCACAAGACAAGAACAAGCAGATCGGTAGGTAGGTACTAATAATATTATATTCTCATCCCATCCCAACCCTCCTACTCCTACCCTTCCACTTTCCCATCCAACCATGCACCCTACCCATCGACAATCATATAAACAAAAAGTCCCGCCCTTCCCCGAAAAATGCACAACAACGCCTTCAAATGATAGATAGATAGCACCATAACGAGTTGAGTATCAACCAAACACCGAACTGAAAACAGAGAGAAAAAAACAGCAATAAACCTCCCACCAACCAAGCAACCAATTTTAAATCCATTTTGCCATTTCATGATTGTTGCGTTGTTGTCGTGTTGTAAATATACACACAAGCCGATCAGCTAGTCGTGAGACGAGAGCCGCATGCATGCATGCAAAAAGATTTCCCTTTCCTTCGATGATGATGATGATTCAATGACACCCGATGATCCCTATGCCTCTTTAAGAAGAAAAAGATGATGATATCCAACGCCTCAAACAATGCTGCAAAAACGCTCAATTTTGGTGTGTGTGCTTCAAATCATATTTTCGTTCACAGGGCTGTTGTCCTCGGGTGACATGGAGATATTCACGTCATCCGCCGATCCACGTCGGCTGGAAAGGTTCAGCACTCTGTAGAGCAAGCTCTTCCGCTTGCCGTCTGCTCGCTTGTACTGAAGTTCGTGGACGTTTCGTAACCGGGGCCCAGCCGTCCTGCCTCCACTTGGTAGTCGGCGAGCGAGTTCGCGTTCCCATGCTGCGTGACTTTCGATGCTGGTTTTGCGGTCAAGTTCCTCTTCCCAGCCGTAAATGTCAGCGCTGGTAGTCGTGGAAGCGGATTGGATGCTGCCGACGGAGGACATCATACTAGCTGCGGAACTCGCTACGCTAGTGTCGAGAGTCAAAGCCGCACTGCTCATTCGATCCTCGATGAGAGTGCTTGCTCCAGTTGTAGTTGTGGAAAGACTCGTCCTTGATTCGTGACCTATTGGTTGTGCTGATATCCAAGTTCCGTTTTCCTCTTCGAAATGGAAATCCATTGCCGTTGATTCCACAGAACTGTCGATGTCGACATCAAGAGCCATCTTGTCATCCGCAGATATTGGCACGTGAATCGTGGTTACCTCTTCCTGTTCTGGAACTTTGGCAGGAATGAAGAACGCTGATGGGCCCGGTAGTCTCCTCTTCGAAATTTTCAATACATCTCCTCCATCCGTCCTGCTTGGTAGGCAGTGTGTCCCTTTTGCGGCCACGCCGTCCTTCCTGATTGCCTCTTCTTTTTTCGCCATATTCTTCTTCTCGAATTTCGAGATTTCCTCATCGGTCCCATGATAGAGACGCTGCAATGTCATTGATGTTGTACGAGACGGTCGGGGGCCAGTTAAATCAACTGGGGAACCAGGGTGGGCTTCGAGAACCGGTGACTCGCTGCCTTCACTTAGCCTCAAGCTGGTTCCACCGTGCACCAATGCTGTTGTCTTTTTGCGAGCGTCTCGGTTTGATGAAAATCCAGCCACGGGATGTTCCATAGGAGCGATTACTGGAATGGGAGCTATAGAAAAGAAATCATTAGGTGACGACGTGACCTGCCGCCTTCATGGTCCACTCCCACTTTCATCGCTTGCTTTTCGAGTCATGGGATATCGTGAACTGCTCGTGCTGGAGCCTGAACCGTGACCCGACCGACTTTTTTTCCACCCTAATTTAGCACCCATCTTCTTCCAACTGCTGCCTTCCCGACCAGTGTGTGGGCTAGTTCCGGGAGAGGCGTCAGCGAATTCCGTGTGGGATGTAGGAGGTGTGTTCGGGGGCGTCATTGGTTCCAGAGCAGATCCTGATGGCGAAGGCGAATCGGTGCTGTCGTCTGTCATGCTCTCAGGAGCTTCCGTTGAAGATCCAGAAAGGTGTGTCGATAGACGTGCTGCTCCTCGACTCAAGGCAGCGGTAAGATGAGATGAATGAGACAGTCGAGGCGATGGACCAGTGAGGGATTGAGAGACGACATCCATTCCAAGGTCACCAACAGGAGGACTGACATCCCGTGTGCGCATTCTGGAAAGTGACCGCTCGTCCAAGGAAGCCGTCATATATGCATCAGGCATTGATTCGTTTGAAGTCCAAGGACTTGATTGGAATTCTTGTCCACGTGATGGCGCAATAGAATTCAGAAAAGGTACCAGTACTGATTCGTCCATAAGCTCATATATGATTTTGACAGCCGGGTCCAATTCAGCAGGGTCTGGTGGAGAGTATGCAGATGGCAACGACATTAGGTGGTCCCGTACATCAGAGGGGAGATTTACTTCTCTGGGACCATTTGGCGCAATGTAAGCGTCTAATAATTTCTGCCATAACATCCGTACATAGTCGCACCCTGGTGTATTTGGAGAGAGTGGGCTATGGGGGTCATGACTGACAAGCTCTTGATAGTGCTTGCTGTATACCTGGGCATCCATGGTAAATTCCAAAGTTTCCAAGCAATGATTTTGTGAAAGGTATGCCATAAAGGCAGTGAGCGTCCATGGCTGGGGTGCGATGTTGGCCAATACCTCATGTAAGGTTGGGCGCCGGGGACAGTACGGCCCTGACGGTATCGTCAAACTCAATGGCCGCGAAGGCGCCAAATCCCCTGACGACATGAATCCTTCGTCGTCCGCGTCCCAGTCCGATAGGACGGACGAGCAACGAGGCGATGTTTCTCTCGATATGTTTTTGATGTAAAGTGACTGAGGTTTGCGGTATTTCGACCTTCGCATTGCGCTTCGTAGATATTTCATGGGCACAGCAGGATAGGTTTCCTCTGTTTCTTCCGCCTTCAACGGACAATTGCAAACGACTCCCAATGGTATCCCGGTTCCGTTCCAGGCGAACCCTTGTGTGCAAACCGGTCGAAGAGAAGAAATTGATTGCTACCGTGTCGAAATCATTTGTCGAGAACCCAGCTGCTTATACACACACCAAGTCGGAACCTAGATCCACCGGTTTTCTTTGATGTTCTTGCCCCGCTGTTGACGCGTGTAGAATTAAAAAAGGTTGCAACGTCGTGGTCTGCAAGTACCCGTTCGATGCCGACTCGTCCCAGGTAATGTTCCAATGGAGGTGGTCAGTGGCCGAGCACAACGCGGTTGGACGCAGATGGTGATGTCGGTTGAAATACTTCTGGAACTGGTGCACCCGAATTACAGGAACGTGGACCAGAAGGAAAGGAAGGTCACAGTGGCGGAAGGCTGAGTGACTCGGCAAGGCCTGCTGTGTCTTGAAAATAGCAGCGAAATCGGTGTATCTTTCTATCGAAACAGGAGGCTGTCAAGGACGGGATGAAGTCTGGCGACAGATCTTCGGGTATCTCGAAGAAAGGAAAGCTGTAATTAATCTAAAGTGAAGAAGACCCAAGAATGCTGGATTACTCGGCAGGTATAATTACTAACGCAGGCGGGCGAAGATGGTGCAAGTCGTGGTCGTGAGGGGGAAGTCGAATTGGTCAACAGACGTCAGAATTTGGTTGATTGCGGGAAGGCAGTGCAGTCTTGGTGCAAAGCTTGAGACAGGTGATAGTTGTGAGGCCAATGTTGACGTTGATGAAACTCCAAATTCCAATGGGTGAGTCGTGTCAGTTGAGGAGCGAGTCGAGGAAAGGATGTTGGAGAGTCTGGGTCGTTGGTGGTCGTCTCGTGAGTGGCTTTTTGGGACGTTCGTTTTTAGGAGAAGAGGATAAAGGAAGTTTCAACGGACGACGAGACAGCACGGTGTGGCAGCCACAGTCTGGTGGGAATCGGCGTAAGATGTTGGAATTAGCTCTGGAGCAGAAGTAGTAGGAGCAGCAGCAGTAGCAGCAGCAGTAGTACGGAGTGGCAGTAGTCGTCGAGGGTGCAGCAGGAAAGATGTGGATCTGACGATTGGCATGATGGAAGGAAAGAACAACGGAGCGGAGCCTTCTTCTTCGCCTTCAAGCAACGACCTGGCGCGGAGCGGTGCCCATACCATGACCCACTATCCACCCTATGCACACACGTCTACTGGACTGGACTAGCACGAAGTATGCTTGCTACAGCTACAAGGAGACCGGCGCTGGATCGTAAGAGGCAGTAGTCAGGCTGGTGCTGGTGCTGGTGCTGGTGCTGGTCTGGTGCTGGTCTGGTAAGGATGTGGTGGGAGTAGTCGTCAATGTAGTCAGACTCCTAGCAAATAATAATAATAATCATACGCAGGAAGTTCAGGAGCTGCGGAGAGAGGCGAATAATGGGCGAGGGAAGCAAGACAAGACGTGTGATGGCGTATGGCTGGCGTATGTGTGTGTCTCGTGTATGGAATGGATTCAAGTAGGGGAAAAGATGTTGTTGAAGCAGCGAAAGCTAAAGGAGCACAAGAGTCAAGAGGCAAAGGCAGAGAGAGGAAGAGACAGCGGCGACCCGAGACCCGTCGACGACTCAACTACATCCAGCTAGAGAGGGAAAGAAGCGTACAGTACAGTCGAAGCAGACACGGCGGCGACGAGGATGATCGATGGGAAGGACCAAGAGCCAGGACCAGGGGGGCAGGAGGCTTGTCTAGTGTCGACTGTACTGTGTTCTCGCTGTTTCGCTGGTGGAAGGCCGACCGACGATGATGATGGCGAAAAGAAAAGCAGCGAATGGCAGAGGCGCGGAAGGCCACTTTCTGCAGTGGGAAAGGAGATCCAGTCCCCGTGAGGACTAGGCCACGCCTAGCGAGACACTGTAGCAGCGGCATCGACGAAATGCAACTCCACTAAGGGCCACTCACCACCATTCGACCCCACCAAATAAAATTCTGAGACGGGAAACCGCACTAGAAGCAACAGAAGGGCGGCGAAGACAGTGGGGCAAGGGTGGGCCTGGGAGGAGAATGGAAGAGAAGGGCGCTAGAAGCCCGACCACACTGGAAAGGGGGCGAATCACCAGGCACGAGCGATGTACTTTCGAAGTAATCTGCGCCACCGTTGACCAATCATCGCCTGAGATCTCAGGAGACAAGAGGAGCCAAGAGGAGACACGTCCAGATCATGCCATTTCGGGTCTAGCACCGAAGCAGTGGATTCTTCTCTCGCAGGGATGACGCTGAAGGGCGAGAGACACGATGACCACGACCACGATGCCTTTGCCTTCCCCTTCCCTTCGTGTCCCCTGCTGGTGACAAAGGCGGCGCTCACTAGTGACTTCCAGCCAGCCTGCCTAGCCCCGGCGGAGCCACGGCTTTCCCATACCAAACAGACTTGGCGCTGCTTGGCCTTCTTATGAAGCTTCCTCTTTCACGCCCCTCCACACATGCAGTCCGGGATAATTTATGGCCGATCGTGGCCGCATGCCTGTCATTGTGACTCCATCCAGCTTAGTCGGCGCCAGCTGGAGGAGCTGGATCAGCAATCGTAAAATGGGCGTGAAAATGGCGTACCGAGGGTGACACGAAAGCGGCGATGCTTCAGCAGAGGGGGGAGACGAGATGGAAGGGAGAACATTCGAAGAAGGACGCTGGAAAAAGCAGCGATGCATTATCATCACCGCACAGCAGACGGAGAACAACACCAACATCATCATAACATAATCATCATCATCATCGTCTCCTTCTCCTCTTCTCCTCATCTCCTCATGCGAACCACATTTTTGCGTTTTAGCTCGACCTTGCAGTGCGTTCGTACTCCGTACTGCAACTCCGTTCGGCTACTTTTGAGCAAAAGCGTAAGACTGCTGAGATAAGTTGTCGATAAAACCCCCCGTTAGTCTTAGAGTTGCAGCTCTCCTCTTGCTGTGCCATGCACCATGACTGCATAAAATGTCCGTCCGTTGTCGCGAATCTGAAGGAGTTTGAGCTGCTGCAGCTCTGCTTGTGCTTCAATGCCTTCGCATAGATGCCATAGGTAATAATAAAACATCAGACATAACAGCCGCATCGCCCACTCAGATCCTCCGCTCCACCCCACTCCATATCACCGAAGACGCGCTATGTATCTTCGTTGACGACTTATTGATTGACATCCTCACGATCTCTACTCTGGTACCTGGCCTGCGCTGTACGGCTTAGCGGGGCCCTGGCTGACCGGTCGAACTAATATATCGTCCCATATTGCGATCAATCTCAAGAATGCTGCTCTCGAACCAGTCGGCTCTCTCAATTGGCCTCGTACGAATTAGTTCTTATCACGGCAGAGCACGAGCTGTCGATGATGGATGATCAACTGAGTAATTCGGGAGAATCTTCCAAAAAGTTTATCTCGGCCCTCGAGGATCTTCGACTTTAGCACCACCGAACCCAAACCCCCCTTAAGGCCCATCTGCCGTCGCCACCTTCTCGCTGTCAAACTCAAGTGCCGAGGGACAGAGGTATCAAAGGCCTCAGTTTGCGACTTGAGTGCATAATTCCGTTGCCACACAAGTGAATGTACATGCTAAGCTGTACCATCTAGAGTCGAGTCTCTCGCCTGCTGTTGCAGAGAAACATGAGACCAGCATATGGGGTAACTCGGCACTCAGTCGATAGTACGGCAGCAGAAGTGAGTCGTGGCATCATATCGCAGCTCTTCATATAGACCACATTGGCCGATCCCCTCATGCGCGACATTCATCCACTGCGTCTGATTTGGCTCTCTTTCTTTTCTTGTCTCTCCGTGATATGCATCTTCCCCAAAATGCCTGCTATCCGCCCAAAACTACACCTTTGTAAGAAGGTGCCGTTTCCGGATATACAGCTGTAGATCAGCCTAATGCATCACTCGACCCATGTGGTGTTGCTGGTTCCAAAGAGCATTCGACGTCTTCCCAGCAGCTCAATCTTCCGTCTGCACCCCTGGTGAGAATAATATACCCCGATGACAAACCCCAAAAACCGTTGACTACTTGTCAGCCATGAAGCTTGTCATTCGCACATGTTGATAGGAAGATGATGGATATTAGCTCCCAGACGGGCGTCATCAATCTGCTGCCATGCGATGCTGGCCGTGGATGATATGTCCAGACGGGGTTTGACAGCCCAGAAGGTTAGAGTCGGGCAAGCAGAAATGCGTACCCTCATCTTCATGGTGGTCGCACACGATCGCACTTTTTGCCTGCACCGTTTGCATCATTTACCCGAAACAGGCCAGAAGAGCCAATGAGGACGATGAACGTCAGCCAAAACGTGGTGCGGTCTCCAATAACCATAATCTCAGATCAGCACGCCAATAATAATCTCCGGAGAGACGAATTCAATTCCGATCCGAGTGTGTCGCCGCCTTTAGGGGCGCTGGCCTCCAGGCGTGAGAGTGAGAGAGGAAGAGAGAGAGAACGGAGAGTCTTTGACAGGTCACGAGAGCCTGCGACACCGTGCAGACCCCAACAGCTTTTCCTGAGCTGGACGAATCAGCGGGGGGAGATTGTGGGCGGCCGAGGTTGTATCGAGCCGCTGTCCTGTCCTGTCCTGTCCTGTCCTGTCCTTGCTCTCGCTTCCTGGGCCTAGTCCATCAGATTATTGACGAGATAAGGGTTTCAGCAGCACCGAGAAATCCGTATCGTCCGTTCAGTGCTCACGCTCACGCTCACGCTTCCTTCGACCACTCTCTCTACAGCTTGACACATGAGGGAACCCGAGAATCCTACAGCCTTGCGCATGATTCTACAATTGGAGAGCGTCGAGAGGGTCATCATTTAGCGGGACAGCCTGTGCCGCTGGGGAAGAACACTTCCATACGGGGCATCTGACCGGTGAGACGAGATCTTGACCATAGGCGTTCGTCGTGTTGGGTGCTGGTGCTTGGACAGTGTTATTGATGATTATTCTGGTCCCTCGTTTGCGCGCGGCTCCCCAAGTCCCTTTGTCTCACGCTCTGGAGGTGGTTTCGCATGTCTGCAGCTTCCGAACTGCATGCGACCAAGATCGCCGCAACGACCTCGTGAGAATCATGAAAGCCAAAAAGTCACCGATAGACAATTTCAGCCTTGGCACACGCGACCACGGAAGCATCGTCGAACATTCCACTGCTTCTTCCAGAATGATCGTTCCACATTCCATACCTCTTCCATTCCTCTTCCATCCTCTGCCTCCTCCTTCCTTACCTCATCGTGCTTCACCGCCCGGGATGCTCTTCCATATTAATGAATTGATCACAATGTTTATTTTTCCCGCCGCTCGTGGTCCTTCCGAAGGAGCAGGGGAGACGATCCCGCCATGCCAAGACCACGCTTCTGGGTTGAGCCAGTCAGCAAGGAGTCATGCAGTCAGACCCGCTTGACCCCGAATGGAAAATGCGTGGAAGCACTCTAGAAGGATGGAAGGATGCAAGGAGGAAGGAATTGGTCGACGTGGCGTCTTTCTAGAACATTTCCCAATCTGCTGGGTGGCGCGGGAAGTGGATCCTTGCCCCATCCAGCGCCCAACCCAGGAACAACCCATGAATCGATAAGTAAGTGAGGTGCATCGTGAAGTGACACCAGCGTCCGCGATTCGACCATAAAGTATCTAGGTAGTATCCAGCCCGACTCAAACAGGACAAACCGGAATCGCCGCCGTCAAAGCATCCTGCTCTCCTCTCCTCTTCCCTCTCGGAATCTCATCCCCAGAATGCGACTTTCCTTCCTGAGTCGGATCTCACCAGAACCGAAATCGGACGGTGTGTCAAAGCAAAAGAAATACAATATTGGGAAAAACTATCCGAAACACCAAACGCGCCGATGCGAAGCTCAAGATATCTTGCCTATCTTAGCATCGCTGGCCCGGCCGGCCTGGCCGTTGACCGCACGTGCTTGTGAGGAAAAGGAAGGAGACGGGGTTGTCGATGACACATAAGATGAACGCGGTGCAGTGCTTTTTTGTTCTTTCTTACGTGCGTGATAGGGAGGCTCGCTCCAATTCTCCTATTGTCGGAATTCCATGATCTCTGCTCCTTTTTTTTTTCTCAACGGGCTTGCGTCTCCGTTACGAGATAAGTATCAAATTTTTCTCTTGAGCAGACGGAAATGCCGATAAAAGCCGTAGCATGGCATTTCCTTTTCTCATCAGATGTTCGCCTCAAGTCAAGACTGGAATCGATGGGTCTTGTTTGATTGTCAGTGACATTTGGCGGACTCTCAGGGGCAAAGACTCGGGAGGCTCCATGAAAATCTGCTTCGACCTTCTTCTTTCGGCCGAGGACAAATAACGCCTCTTTTCGAATTCTATGATGTATCAGTCTGGCAAAAGTTGAATTGCGTCGTGATAGCCAGAGAGAAAAACAAACCTCATCGGTCTGTTCATCAAGATCTCATTACTGATCTTGAGTTTCCGTTCGTTCAACTCGATTTAAAATGCAAAGACCATGTCAAGAATGACCTAAATAATACATGCTGGGATTGTCGTATCCGTGACTCTCGACGAGCAAAGTCTTCGAGACGTGATCCATTTTCATTCGAGGAGCCTGGCAACGACGCCATAGCTGTGAGTCCAAGGCGACGATGATGGCTTGTTTGAAAATGTAGCCAGCGCAAGTGGTTTGCGTCTCTTCCAGTCAATTGAAGTGCGATCATAAAGAGAAGTTGGTGTTGTGTGAAGAGAATGTTATGACGGGGAGTGCGTTCTTGGTTTGTGAGGATGTTCAAACTCGGAGGTCGCTCTTTCCCTTCTCGTGGAGAATGCACCTTCTCCTCGCATAGGTAGGTAAGCTGCATTTTGTCTGTTCTTCCACTGTTTGCCCTTTTCCAGCTCCAGAGCTGCATTTTCAAGATGATGTGATGCCTCCGAACCTCGCACGTGGCGTTCAAAATCATATTTTAGAATGACAACCTTCACAATGAAGAATTCTTCTTGTACTTTCAATGCTTCTGCGAGCTGCTGCATCAGTCGGAATCCCCCATCCCCAGATGGCGAGCCTTCCCGACCAGCGCCTGCTACTGCGAGGCCTAAGCCTGGCATTCGAATGTTGTCAAAAGATCATATCCCGACTTGGAAAACGATCCAGCCTTCGGAGCTGCGAGCAATCTTCGAGGAGGAAGCTTCAAACGGAGCAGAGCAGATGCAGGGCGTTCGTCACAAAGGGACCGCTGTGTTCCGGGAAATGCTGGCGCTTGAAGATGACTCGGAATCAGATAAGGATTCTGTCAAGGTCAAACCTAAGAAGAGCTCCAATACTTTGATAGCTGTTACTCGAAAGCTCAAGAAACACTTATCACGGGAGTCTGCACTCAACAAGCGTCATTCAAGATCTAGTATTGGAACGAGTGAGGAAGAAGTCGAACGCAGAGCAGAGCTAAGACGGATCAGACAGAAGAGAATTCAGGAAGAACTGAGCCACGAGGGACACTTTGATGACGATGCGAAGTCGATCTCGTCTGAAGCTATCTTTGTCGCTCCCACACCACCACCTACAGCAAAGAAGAGCCATTCTCCATGGACTCCTGGCACATTCGTTCCACTGCCGCTCTTAACGCCTCCTGCATTGCCCTTGCCCAGGCTATCTTTTCCACACCTCTCACCACTTGAAATGTAAGTCCCTGTGATTTGCACTTGGCCCAACACTGACATGGACAAGGCGCAGCGATCCATTCCATGAAGCATATCTTACTGAAGGCTCTACTACAACCTTCACTCCAAGAAGATGGTCAAATCCTGAGTCGAGTATCACAAGAGTCAATTCAAACACATCAGGCAGAACCCTTTCCAGAAGGTACAGCTCGCCATACTTTGCGGAGTGGGAAGTCAAGAACACTGAGTTGCAAATTTACGTTCCGTCTCGCAAAAGCAGTTGCATTCCGCCGATGCCACCACAGCCAACAATACAACCTACTCGACTACCAAGTATTGCACTTCCTGCTCGATCGTCTTGGAGGCTCTCATTTGCAACAGACAACCGTGGTGACAATCTTCGCAAACTTAGCCTAGGCCACATTATTCCTGTCACACTAGACCCCGCTCAATTGAGACCCAGTTCTCCTCCTGGTCGAAGCCTCCACAGTCCTGGATTGAGACTGTCTTCTCAAGTGATCATAAGTTCAGATGAGACGGGTATTCCAGACTCCCTAGGATCGCGTTCTGAGACTTACTCTGAACAAGACTTTGGGGGTGTCGATGGTGGAGGTGATGGCTCTGCAACCATACACCTTCATGAAATGGGGATCTCACAAAGACTGGCATCAAGAGGTCTTCAGAATTCCACTTCCTCTCCTCAACTACCAAGCAATGGTTCACGTCAACGTTACACTTCTAACCGTAGTGAGTCGACGCAAATTCACACGGAACGTTCTCGTTTTATGCGCAATACGACTGATTCAGCACCGTTGAGTGAGCGTATTCCTCAATCTTGGGGCCAAGTCGTAAGCTGCGAAGGATCGTCCGTCTATCCTTCAGGTGATAATAGCCCTCAGGCTTCACGACAAAGCTCCCGCTTTAACCTCTTCTCCCTGCTGTCGGGAAGCAAGAATAAGATTGGAGCAGCTGAGTACCAAGGTGAGGGACCACCTCCTGAAATTGAGCAAGCAGTGGCTGACAGAATGTTGATAGAATTAGTTTCCTTGGAGTCACATCTTAATTTGCTTACAACACCTACAGCCAATCTTTCTTCAACCAGTCTTACAATCCCTTTGATGAGATTTCCTCACCGCTCCAATGTCGACGATAGCTCGCTCCTTGCATCTGAGACGTCGTCTTTTCGTGAACGAGAAGCTGAGCTCAGTGTAGTGCAGACTAGATTCGCGTCAGTGGAAGCTCGACGAGCGTCGAGTACACCAGTATCAAGCAAGTTTCGAGAAGAATTCAGCAGCGAGACAGGAGAAAGTTCAACACCTCAACATCGCAGATCTTCAACTGTTTCCAAACTTACAAAACTCGCTATCAGAACTTATGATGGCGCCAAACTGGAGGAACTTTTGGACATTCCCGTACCGAAATTCGATCCTCATCAATTGAAAACTCCTACTCCTCAAACAGCCGCTCTTCTGAGTCCTTTTAGTCCTCTTATGGACGATGAAGCTGTCAATGTATGGGGCAACGTATTGAAAAAGACAGCAGATGAGAAAGCCCATGAGGTTGGAAATAACTTGCAGCTGCCTAGAAAAAGGAGCAGCAATGCATCTAGAAAGAAAAGTACCATCGAGGACGAATTGCCGAGAAGCGTCTTTGGTAACTTCACGCAATTAGGAAAAAGTAAGAAAAAACAAGTTCAAGTCAATCATCACAAGAGTGCTGCTGAAGAGTACAATGAACGATTCCAGGAACGGATAGCGGTGAAAGAGTTGGTCATGGACTCTTGGGAAGAGGAAATGGCTGCTACTGCTGCAAGAGCACAAGCCAAAAGCAGAAATATCGTTCACAAGACTAAACCCGCAGGTCCCGACAAGAGATATCCTGCAACATGGTCACGATATCCAAGTCATACTCGCAGCGAACGAAGTATTAGTGCTGGGGCTACCCATAAGGTTGAAGTAAAAGACTTTGCCGTTCTAGGCCACGAGGAGGATGGAGAAATAGTCTGGTGCCTCGAGCATGACGATGAAGGCCACCATTCCGTTATTGATGACCCTAATCTGAAAGGGCTCAGACACAAGGTCAAAGAACGAGTTCGACACAAAGCATATAAAGTTGACACATCTCAACGCCAAGCTTACCATACCAGTGGAAGGAGAGGTAGCTTGACTATTGCAAACCAGTTGGAGTATCCGGAATTGGAAATTTTGCCAATTACATTACTAACAGCTGAGGAGATGAATGCACGTCACAAGGAAGAAGAGATGGTAGCTCATGAAAAGGCCAAAGACGAAGAGTTGGACGATCTGATGATGATGTTTGGTAGAGGAGATGGTACCTCCGAAATGAGTGGGTATGGGACATTTGTTGAAAGTCCAGGAGCATCTACAGGTAGTATTGCTAATCCAATGTCCTACAAAGACAGCATTACCCATCCCGAGACTGCACATCAGAAGTGGAAAGAAGCTACTCAAATGAAGAGCAGCGGGAAAGGGAAAAGCAAGAAAGATAATTTCAGAACTTGGAACGGGAGAGACTTCGATGGACACAAGTCTAATAACAGGAAGAGGAAGAGTTTTGGTTCAATGATTCTGCGAAAGAGTACCGATGACCATGTTTCGGAGGTGGAGAAGGTGAAAGTCTTGAAAGCCGTTGAGGATGCATGGGAAGTTAATTGATAACTGACGTATCAATATGTGGTATGGTTATCGACTGGCTTACAGGGTCGGAGTACGTTCGTGGTGGACGCTGGAGTTTGGACAACCAATTCTCGATTATGGAATATAGATATGCCTCCTAGACGGAGAAAGGTTTTCTGTTAGTGAAGGGTAGACTTCCATCCTTATTAGATTAAATAACCATGGACCTGCTTTTTCTACCAACGTAATAATGCAGCTTCCTTAGACATTCATCACCAAGAACAGTAGTTCAAGAAAACGTAATAATTTCTAATGCGGAAGGGAGATGTAAATTAAGCCAATATACTGGCCTTCACATAGAAGACAAATCATGTTTTGAGAGTATCCAATTCCGCAAGACTAGGAATCTTAGCTTGGCCAGCGAGGACTTTCGTCATAAAAGCCATGGATCCCTCGATGGCAACTTTTTGTAGAAAGTTGCACGAGTGCTGATTTTAGAGAGTCTTAACTCTGTCCAGTTGGGAAGCTATCTTTTGAATTACTAGGACATCAGACAACTTTGAGGTTTCCGGACTTGATGGGGAGAGAATCGTTTATTTGGGTTTACATCGAATTATGAGGCTTTTTACGAGGATATACTCTTCTAAACATCATGCTCCTCACAAAACAACACCTACCCAATCACTCACCATCCAAATACAACCCCTCCCCCAAAACCCACTCCCTAACCCCCACCGTAACCAACCGCCCCAACTCCTCCCTCCTTCCCCCCCTAACAGCCCCCCTAACCCTCGTACTACTAACCCCATCTCCCTCTCCCTCTCCCTCCCCATCCCCAATTCCATGAACCAACACAATCCTCCCCTCCTCCACCCACTCCCTCTTCCCACCCTCGTCCTCCCTCCCCCCATCCCCCAGCGTCTTCAAATACGCATCCTGCACCCCTCTCTCCCCGCCCCGATACGTAACCCGTAATCTATGCTTCGCCAAAAACGGCTCTAGCACAGACAGACTGTGCTCCGGGGGGTAGTATTTCGTATCCAGCAACCGGATCAAGGTATCGTAGCCCAGGAGGTGGATTTGCGTTGTTTCTGGCGGGTAGACGCCGGATTCTTCGATGGAAGCGGATTTGGAGTGGAAGTAGGGGAGTTTGGTGATGCCGATGTCGATGGCGATTTGTTGCTCGTTTGAGGTAGAGGTTTGGGGTTTAGGGAGGGTGAAGAGGAGATCTCGGGCGAAGAGCTCCATCATGACGAGGCGGTGTTCGAAGGATGCGGGTTTGGGGGCTTTGTCGGCGTTTTGGGTGGAGAGGAGGAGGAGGACGCGTTTGGGAGGCGTGACGGGTTGGGGGGAAGGGAGGAGGGCGCTGGTTAAAAGGTGGAGGTGTGCGAGGGTTGGGGGGTCTGGGGATGGGAATGGATTAGTTTGTGGTTTTGATAGAGACTTGTGCGTGAGTGGCTCTCGGAAAGGGGGGATTTACATACTGAAGGAGGAATCTAGGATATACAGGGTCTTTGGTGGAGGTGGAGGAGGAGTAGCGGAGATAGTTTTGAGGAGTTGGAAGGTTGAAGTAGAGGACGCGAAGTGATGCAGGGTCGTGGTTAGAGCTGGCAGGGTGGCGCGGAGGGCTTGCATTGTTGGTTTTGGATCCAGAGGGCTGTTCATTGTTTGGTTGAGGGATATTGATTGTCGCCAGGATAATCGAGTATCCGGGATTGTTGGTATGTTGATGGGAGATGGAAACGCGAGGCTGACAGAAGTGGAGGGGTTTCATGCAAGGCTGACGGAAGGCTTGCGGGAATCGGCGTTTCGATGTTTTAGACTTTGAGGTGACGACATTGAAGCTATTTCTCCAGCCACGTTTGCAAGACAATTGTTTCTCGTTCTGCGAGTGTAAATTCAGATATTACGAATCAAATCATGGCGATTGTTCAAGATTGGTTGCCTCCTTCGAAGGATAATTGGGAGTTGGTGGTTTGGGGATTCCAATTCTTTCCCATGGTGTGTATTTCTAGTGAAAGAGGAGACGTGAGCTGATAAATGTAGCTTGCGGCTCTGCAATGGGGAATTTCTTGGTATGGCGCAGGAAAGACGTCGGGGAAGAGTGTTTTCAATATTCCTGGCAAGATTGCGTGGTTGACCATGGAGATTCCGGGCTTCCTTACGATGCTCTACGTTATGAATACGCTGCCGGGTCAAGCTGGTCTTTCGGCTCTGCCGTGGGAGAATAAGGCTATGGGTGGGATGTTTGTGAGTTCTCATCTTGTTACGAACATTTTGATGGAGCTGATACCCAAGGACAGGTCATACATTATCTCTACCGCGCCATTCTCTGTCCCATCCTCAATCCATCAATGTCCCCAATCCACATACTCGTCTGGCTTTTTGCCATCGCATTCCAAGTCACGAACGGCCTTTCAATCGGTGGCTGGTTAGGTGGCTATGGTCCCACGACTCGAAAGGATTGGACAAACCACCAAATGAACTTCAAAGCAGGCGGCAGAATGGAATTAGGATTAATGATCTGGGCTCTGGGCTTCGCGGCCAACATTTTCCACGACGACGAGCTCCGAGAAATCCGTCGATCAGCAGCGAGAAAGCAGAAACAGAGAGCTCAAGAGGCTGAACAAAGTACTGGAAAGGGTAAAGGAAAGGATAAGGGCGTGGATAAGGTATACATGATTCCTCAGAATGGGTTATTCTGGTGGATTCTCTACCCGCATTATCTTTGCGAGTGGATTGAGTGGGGTGGATTCTGGCTCATGGCTGGAAGTGGCTGTGTGCCTGCACGGAACTTTCTGTTGAATGAGATTGCTACGATGTTGCCGAGGGCTGTCTCGGGGAAGAAGTGGTACATTGAGAGATTTGGCAAGGAAAAGGTTGCGGGAAGGAAGGCGATCATTCCGGGTATCTTGTGAGTGAGACTTAATATGGTTGCTAAGACCTGGCTTCATGGGTTACGATGATCATGCATTGGTTTGGAGCGGTTACAGTTGCTTGTCTCACATCAAGGTTTGCGTGTGGAAAGGTTGATATCTTGCTTTCGTATTGCTTGTCAAGAGCGAGGCATATAGCAAAATCATAACACATAACACATAATTCAACTCCCGACATACCTGCTGATTAAGCTCCAAGTCAAAGAAACGACCATTATCATAATACGTGGAATCATAAACGTAGATCTGTCATCAAAACCCTCAGTCAGGTGCTTCTCCTCCTATATGTCCGTGAAACCCATCTATTCTTTCCGATATTAGTGGGAGTGTCTGCTCAAAGGACGACCTCCTCGTCTAGTCTCTCTTCTCTGCATGACCTCCGCACGCTTCTCCATGTTCTTCGTGGGGTCATTCCCCGCGTCTCCATCTTGACCTGGGTTTGCCATCTCGTACTCAAGCATTTTGATAAACTTGTAGAAGAATACAGCGATGAATGTGCCGACGATTGGACCAACCCCTGATACATGTTAGTACGATATAAGACGGCAGGAATAGAGAGGACTTACAGTAGATCCAATGATCGTGGTCAAAGACGCCTGTCACAACACAAGGTCCAAAACTTCGTGCAGGATTGAGCGAACCGCCGGTATAGTACACACCCACCATCTCAGCGATGAACAGTGCTAGGCCAATGCCAACTGGAGCAATGAAGGTAGCCTTGTGCTTCTCCTTCGCCAACATGAAGATGGTGAAGACCAATTCTGCTGTTAGGATAGCTTCAATGAAGACACCTTGTACCAGACTAGCACCACCAGCCAGTGTAGTTCTGACATTAAGCGGAGTTGGGAATAGTCCCAATACCATAGCTGAAGCTGCAATGCCGCCAGCAATCTGAGCGAAGAAAAGACACAGTGCTCTGATGATGGGTAGTGCTCCAACCAATACCATTCCCAGGGTGACGGCAGGATTGAACAGTCCTCCCGAGATACGGAAGAAAATCCAAACATTGACCATGAGTGAGAAACCGAAGATAATGGAGATGTACAGGTAGACAGAGACGTTGAAACCTGTTGCACCTCCGGATGTTGAACCGCTGGTAGAAGAAGAGTCGTTAGAAGCAGTTGATTGAATATTGGCTACTTGAGTACCAGCAAAGGCGAAGAATAGGAACATTGTCGTGCCGACAAATTCTCCAATGGTAGCTACGAAATCTGATCCATATTAATTGTGTACAATACCAAATGCTCAAGACTAACAAGAGACTTACGATTCTTAAAGTTGCTGTTCATCCATTGCGTCCATGGAAGTCTCAACACTTCCGCTTTCTCCTGAGGACTGAGATTCTTGAAGTCAATCGTCGCCCGGCCTGAACCTTTCTGTTGGTCGTAGTTATATCCATCGATGCTGTCGTCGTCACTGATTCTCTTTCTTTCCGAACTCCATTCTCCTCTTTCCAAATCTCGGTCCGTCCTGGACTCTTCGAAGTATGGTTTTGATGCTGAGCCCGGAGCTCTGTCATAGGTGTCGACATTACGGTAGGAACGTGGTGGCCTTGACCGTTCATATGAATCTGGATGGCCATCGTAGTTATCTCGTCTGTATCCACGATCATCTTCTCGGTAGTATCCATCATCGCGAGATCTCAGAGGTCGTCTTGAGCCACTATCCCCAGTGAAACTTAGACGCTCTCTGTCGTACTCCCCTTGAGACTGACTTCGTCCTGGGACTGCACCACTTGGTCTTCGTCTCAATCCTGCTCCTCGAAAACTGTCTGGATCGGCTGTGGTATACTGGTCGTTGATGGGTGTACGTTCTGGGGAGTAGGCGAGACGTGGTTGATATGCCCGACTGGGTGACTGAGGTATTATCGGAGAATTTGGTCGCCTTACGAGCTCTCCGTCTGCGGTCTTGCTGCCATAGTGCTGAGACAGCTCGCTTGCACCTTCTCCCGGCATCATGACTTGGAAATGCGGAAGCAAAAGTGGTGGTGGAATCCAAGTATTGGATGGACGGCGGCGTAGAGCGTGCTCCGTGGTGATAGGGTCCTTCGTAGGACTCGTCGTTGTTGCGGCTGAACAGAAATTTGTGTGAGATGTATTATGTTAAGACGGTGAAATGTATAGATGGGATGTGTCGAAAGTAATATAGCCGTTTCACCACTGCTCTCCTTTCCTCTTCCACCCTCTGTCATCTCAAGATTAATATCTCCCAGCCATGACTGAGCCCCGCTTCCCTGGTATCGAAGGTACTGTCCAGCCACATACGTATTCCAGGCCTCATCCATTTCAGATATTCTGGGTTCGCTTGTCTAAGCTGAGGAACGTATAATTTGCATGATAAAGGAAAAAGCAAACTATCAGCAATCGATTGCGAATGGCGGGCGAGATGGATACCGACAACGAAGAATGCGAGGGACTACCCCGGCGCAAATCAATGCAAGGCAACGTGTATCATGGATACACGATGTACCTAATGGTCCAGCCCGACATCTAGAAGATCACGAAAAATGGCACGGACATGCGAACTCCAGAAATAAGCAGAATTATGACGTCGAACCAAATGTCAAATCCGAAAGATGGGTGAGACAGTATGCGAACGGAATGGTGAAACGAGGTTGAGGTTGTTCTCAGGGGTAGTGAGCCTAATATACGAGAACTTCACTGGGATATACCCTCGATGAGGCTCACTCGAAAACCCTCGCCAACGCAAACAAGTGGTCTATCACCAGCCGCGCCGCGACAGCATCTGGGATGATATTTTGAGAATCCTGTTCTTGGAACATGATCGAGAGGGCAAGTTCGGGATGTTGTCGCGCTGTAGAGATCGGAAGTCGTGGTTCGACTACTGGGTGCATCTTTCGCCCCAGGAAATTGATGGTCCCTCGCTCTCTGACAGATTGCCGAACGTTTCGGCGTGTCAATGCATGCCACGAGTTTGCGCAAGCATAAGCAATAACTTGACTCGGTGTTGGGTAGAAATAATCCTAATTCCGCCGTCTGGTTGAGAGTGAAGGTAGGATGTGAAGCACCGCCATTTCGCCCCGAGGATTTTCAAACGCCGGGTGTCGGCATTTAGTCATCACGTGCTTCTGACCGACTTCAATCAACTGGATTGTTCCTAGTAGCAGAGGTAGGAAACATAAGTATATTGGGTCGGAAAGTATTGACTGCGCGGTGTGCTCATGACTCGAGATTCTGAAGAGGTTGAGGTTTGAGAGGGTAATCCACTTGTGTTGCCAGCCACTGGAGATCTTAGCGAGATAGAAAGGGGTCCGTCAGAGCCGCCACATGCGCTTGACTTTGGCAGGCATCTCTAAGGACTCAAGACAATCTCTCTTCTTGTCAATGTAATTACAATTATTGTCAACTTAATTACTGTACGCCAATACTCATTCGACAACAGAGACGAATGCAGACAGTCTACTTACAAGCGCGATCTCCGTCCATGAACATGAGCAATCAAAAACCGAGTGCGGCCGGCTACCTCTTAATCCAAGAAAATAACCCGCAATCTATATGCATCTATAGAGTGGAGAGAGGTTTTCTTATGAGTCTTTATGAGACGCCCATGAGCTTTATGAGGATTTTTCAATATGTTCAGGCTTTTTGATATAATCCTCAAAGGCTCTTATATCGAACCACGAGATCGAGACTAGACACAGCATAAATCTAGTCTTCATATTCGTTTGTGCTCTGTACAACCCAAACTCCGCCGAGTATCATTTTAATTGTAATGATTACAATAATCAAGGTAGGTGTTGCAAGTCTTGGTTGAGGTATGATTGTGGGATGCTTGGGGACGACGGTGGAGTGCTTGGGACAACAGACGCCGTAGACTCTGCAGCTTACACCTCTTCACGCCACTGGCTGACTTCTGAGGATCTATAAAGGAAAGCACACTTTAATGTCATTGTTAGTGAAAGTACTTATAAATATATCCAACTACGAGGCGAGGGTATTGGTGCTCGCTTAGCCAAAACCCCAACTTTCCGGAGGTACTTTGCTGTGACTTTAAGATTTCAGATAATAAAAGAAGAAAAAGAACCTAGCCACACAAGACCAGTTATCTTGAGCTTTAAGCTATACTCATATCAATCTGCCCAGGTCACAATAACATACCTGAAATTTCAAGTGTTCTCAACGCTTCATCCTCAACCTCGCTTAAAATGGGCACCAAAAAATCAATACAAAAGATTTTCGTAGAAAATTTAAGCAAAACGCTCGCGCACATCCCGGGCTTTTCTTATCCCGTGTGCGTAATAGTGCAGCTTCTAACGGGTTACCCTCTGAGTGTGCGGAGCGCCCAATCGCGCGAGATTGTCCGATCGTACAGGGGCGGGTTTCCCCGAGCCCTGTGTTGGTGTGCGTATGCGGTAGTGCTAGAATGATGTTAGAATTGAATTGAAAATTGAATTAGAAGTAGAGGGGACTTACGCGGCTTGTGCTGGCGGTTGTCGATGGTGGGGTTTTGCTTATTTGAATTTATGTAGAGGTTAGGGAAGGCGCTAAGGGTTAGCGGTAGGGGAAGAGAGGTGAATGTACGGCATGGAGAGATGGAAGCGATGTAAAGTAATCTTGTATTTATGAAAAAGGAATTCGCGTCATAACATCTGGTTCTGGCGAACAGCCCAATGCTTCTTGGTTTATGAGGCATTGTGTTTTGCGACCTCAATTTTTCTGTACTTGTATATCACGTCACTTTTCACAATTTGGTATATCTCTCCTTTTTGACCTGCTGAACAAACACCATGGAACATTTCTTCATCAGTTCATTTGCTGAATTCGCCTCTTAGCATGCCGTAATATATCACAACGAATATATTTGTCAATTTGATTCAGGGATGTGGTAGGTCCCTGCTTTGATCCATTCATGTCGGAGTATATCCGACACTCTGATCTGGACAGCAAGATTTCACAATGTTTTCGAATACTCTATCTAGAGTATTGCAAGAGATACTGACGTGTAGGGCAACATAGAAGCGCCAGCTCTTGAATTATCCGAAGCCATAGAGTCACTTAGGGCTGATCAAGAGTTTTACCCAGCTCCGGTAAACGTGGAATAAAAGGAGCGAGAAGCTTTGCCATAACTTGAAGTTTAGCGTGGCCTGCATGCAACAAAAGTTGCCTACCCAGGATTCAATTTCTGACATCCTGACCTTGACACTTACAGCTACATCCACGACAAGTCTGCATCAAGAACGGGCGGTAGGTATTCTGACACCGTCTCACATACCCATACATATCGCTTTATCGGTATTGCCCCTTTACATTTTCGCATATCTAAATAGATTTGACGTGACATTATATTCTGCGAATGAAATATCGGAAGTTCGGCACCAAACAGAACATCTAGCCCATTGGCTTACATGGCAGGTGCCGTTCACGAAGTACAGAAGATCTCAAGTTCTCGGAATTCACTTTCAACTTTACAAAAAGGTCTCAACATTAGCGAGTCTCTGTATTTCCTCTCCCCTCTCAGCGAATATCAAAGATAACACAGCAACACAAATGGCACTAAGATTATTCAAAATCCTTGAAATTGATGACAAGACTCTTTCCTGAGCACATGACGAGTGAGTAGTGAATAAAGTCCCAACAGAATAGACTTCCAAACAAGCATAAATGCAACCTTGGAACCAATCCACAACTACTTGTGTTCAATTGACCTTCTGGCGAGAGGCAATTACAACCACAATATCAAAGTCATACAGTCAGTGCGTTGCTTGTTGTGACACTTCTGTTCCCAATGCGTCTTTTGAGTGCAAGTTTTCTGAGTAGTATGGGGCGCATTTTGCGCGATGTGCGCGGTTTGCGCAATTTGCGCGTTGCCCGCAACATGACTTCCTCAACAACTTATTCACTTGGCTCTAGATAACTTGAATAGCTGAACCATCCTCTCACGCATTCTCTCGTCTTCCTCTACTACTTTCGCGGTCGATACCGGGGCCAAACTTCAAGCATCTGTAGAATGACAATCCAACTCACGTGCAATATAACCCAAATGCACGATCTTGTACCCATTCCAGCTCACCAAACCAATATCATGAACAGTAATATGAAGACATACATCATCTAGTCTAGAACAAAGCAGCAAACATATCCAACGCGAAGAAATGCCTCTTCCCCGTCCTAAAACTGGTCACAAAGTACGTCTCAAGCACCTCACTTTCACATCTACAATTTAAGGTTTTAAGGTTATTTTTAGCTCTGAAGCTAAAAATTTTTGTTGCACATCGCAAAATGAGATGTTTCTCAAAACTCAACGATGCTCTTTTCCAATTTTTCCAAAAGTTAAGCAGAGAGCAAATTTCGGCGCTAAGAGGTGTTTGGCCAATCATATTGCAGGATTTATTTTGTATGGGGTTGTTGTTGAGGAGGTCTCTGAGCTGCTTGGAATAAGAGAGGAAAAAGGTTTGGCCGGCGCTAACAGCCTTGGGGTGGATTGGTGTAGAGGCTCTCATTAGAGGTAAAGAAAAGGTAGAGAGACATGATCCACGCAACAACAGGGCGAGGACCGCTTACTTCTTGGTGTGAGTGTCTCTGACAAGTCAGGATAATGAGTTGTACGTTCTAATTGGTCTGTTTACTCTATGTGACATTCATCATTCTTAGACTTCTCGCAACGAGAAACTCACTTATATCGTGACATGTGTACCGTAACTTAGCATCTTCAACACTTTTCCAGCATCGTCAGGAACGGGTAAGAGGCGAGAGATGGATGAATAACGAAACGGTGATGTGTGAGACACCATAAGATCAACAGATGCAGTCTCCGCTTATATTGGGTAGATGGTATGTAGCTGAATACCCGGAGGTACAATGTAGTCGAGACGAGAAGAGGACAAGAGATATGGATATATGAATCACACAACAGGCGAAAGATGGATCAGGAGGTTCTTACAGCTAGTAAGATGGGTTACCAAACTTCATCCAACGACACAAACGGGTACCAGTTTGTATTTACATCCAAGGTGAAATATCGAGGGGATGAAGTATGTTCGTGAGAGCATAAATCCGGAAACAACAGAAGGACTACTAACCGGAAAGGAAAGTTCAAGAGCGTGTTTTCAAGGGCACAAAAAAAGAAGCATTGTATTGGAGAAGCTAAAAACGAGTGGAAGGCATGCAAGGGGTCTTGTTGATGCTATTCTGACTTGGTTTATATTCATTTGCAGGACAAGCTGTACACTAGCGGCGGGGTATCTCATTTCTGGGAATCCAAAAATAGAGTTTAAAGTGTCAGAAACATTGGTGCAGTATGCATCAACTTAACATCCTGCACCTAAAAGGCGTACCAGATCTTGAAAAGAGTTGACACGTGACCTAGTATACCCTACAAACTGGTGAGGTGGCTGCAAGATGAGTGATCGTGAAGGTAGCTTAGAAATAATATCAGAGGGAGGAGAAATGAGGGTGGAATAGATCAAAGTAGTCGTGATTAATGATCTGGTGACCTTATGGAGGGAAAATTGCTGATGATCTTGAGAGTTCAAACGAAACTTTTACATCACCCAACAAATAAATGGAACATCTCTGCAGCGGCCTTTTCCCGAGCAAGATTTTACATACAAAACAAACGTCTTGCCACTCTTAACGACTCTTCCAGTCTTCATCACGACGCTTGATCTTATCCTGTCGCGCTGGCTCGGAATTTGCATAAACCGACCTTGGAGCCTTCTCGTTGGAAGCGTCCAGAACCAGCAATTTTTGCTTCAAAAATCTTCAACGTCCGCAGCACAGTAAACCAGACCTGGTACGGGACGAGGATCATCGGAAATGCTATGGGGGTTTCGAAACCGCGGGACAACTTTAACGTTGCCCCCTTCCAGGATTGCGGACATTAATCAACTTGGCCTCAGCATTTTGTGTTAATGCGAAACGCTGATGGTGGCCATGTCCTGGTTACAAGCGACGGTCGACCTGGGAGAGACGAGTGAAGGCGGCAAGTTTTGATATTAGGAGGGGCTCTGCAATATCGAGAGATGAGATAGATGGGTTGGGTTCGTTATCAGCTTCTGGAATGGGTGCGAAGGATTCCGTCCCCTCTCACCCACCGTTTCTGTGGAATCGGGACGGAAAGTTCCCGGTTGCAAAGTCATGTCAAGCGTTGCTGTGCAGTGCTGTGACGAGACTCTTGCTGGCATCATCATCATCATCCTCAAGGCCAGCTGGCCATGCGACTTCCCGAGGGCTGGAGAAGCGTGGTCTTTGTTGCTCCCAGAGAAACGGCCTTCGATAAACGCCTTCCGACCTTCTCAGGGGTTCACAAAGCTTGGCTTGGAGCGCTGAGCTTTGAGCCAATGAAGGATGTTTCTCTCCTTGCAGGAAACGGTGTTTCAACTTATCCACTCTGTGGGCGGTCCCCGACGCACTCTCAGATCATGAGCTTCGGCAGAAGAGTTGTGCGAGAGACATTTGAGAAGAGACCCATCACATCTTTCAAGCTTCGGTCCTTCGACCATCTTTATCTTCAGAGTTTCTTGGCATCAGGAATTTCATGACCGACCGAGGAGGAACCCGAAGGACCATCCACCATCCACCATCCCCAGCTCCCCGTGTCAAATCTTTTCAGGGGAGATCTTTTTCGGGACCTAATCGCAGCGCTTGACTGTCTCTTGCCTAGTTGTGCTCTCCTTATGCACCACGATACCAGTTTTTGCCTATCCAGACACAACCTACAGGGTCCATTAACGGCACTCGGGTGCGGCGTTGGACCAACAGACCAACAGACCAAAGATATCTGCTGGTCCCCCATCATCTCCGCGTCGTCACCTCGCAGTCGTGGTGCAGTGGGGGCTGATCTTAATGAAATTGAGTCTTACGAATTATTCACCACGACTGTACTTTACTGTCATCTCTCGGAAAAAGAAATCCTACGCAGCAGGAAGTTGCCATGACGAGGACGCTGTGCACTCGGTACCTTGCGTTGAGCGAGTTCTCCTTATGCACGGCGGTGCGTCGCACAAGTCGATTTTGTTTGGATGCAGAGTTCATCCCATCGCGTTTCACCACTCGAGAGGCGTAGCTGAGCCAACCACAGGCCTGAAAACATCTCGTACCTGACGATCTCGCGCATCGACGCCGGGCCACGACGGGGATCCAACGCCAATCAACACGCAAAACTGCGCCCCCAGATCCCCTTGTCCCTGAAATATCTCTCAAGCGAGCCCCCTAATCAATCTTAGTTTGCGCAGAGAACCCAGTGAGCCTAGTTGCCCTCACGGCCCCTCTGCTCACAGCCTCTCGCCGTCCCCTCAACACATCGGATGGCCAAGCATGGCGAGATCAAAGGCCCTCTTTTAGACAAGCATCATGGACGTAGCCCTGCTTTGTGAGAACGAATCCTGTTCTAGTCTCTGGTATCCTTGCCAGTGCAATCCGCGCTTCCCTTTTGTCCTCCCCTTCCCGCTCCTGACTGCTTCCTCTCCTCTCTTCTCTCTACCAAGATTTGTCTTGACCACTACAGTCCTTACGGTCGTTCATTGCAAGAGATTTACTTTCATTTTCAAACTTCAGTCATTCTTTACGAGAGATATCATTGCGGAATCGACTTTCGCTCATTATACCCAACTGTCCAAATCTGCTCACTCGCTTCACGAACCAGTCTTTACGACCCCTACACGAACGGAAATATCATTGTTAGAGAAGCATTGACTGCTGAGGAAACTTAAGGAAGAACCTGCTCGTCCCAATACATATCAAAATGCAGTTCACTGTTGCATCTGTGGCCCTCTTCGCGGCTTTGGCCTCCGCCCATCAGCATGTCCCTCAACATTTCCACCACCGCCGCCAATACAACACCACGGCTCCTCAAACTACTTTGACCGTTTTCGCTACCTCTGTCCACACGATTACCTCTTGCGCTGCCTCCATTACTGATTGCCCAGCTCGCGCATCGGAGTCTACCAGCGAGATGGTTGTCACTGACACTATTGAGGTCTTCACTGTAAGCTTTATATATTAATACTGCCAAGACTGAACTAATTTTATATATAGACTGTCTGCCCTGTTGCCGAGGCCGAATCAGCCAGCTCCTCCATCCTCTCCTCATACTCATCAGCCGTTGCTGCTTCAAGCACAGCTGCTGGTGTTGCATCAACAACCTCTTCGTCTGCTCCTTTTGGAACTGGTGCCGTTGGTGCACAAAGCTCTGCCCTCGGAGTTGCTTCATCAACTGCCGCTGCTGTTACCTCTCCATCCGTTCCCATAGGAACTGGTGCTTCGGGATCTCAAGCTACTGGTTCAAACAGCGGATCCGAGAGCGTGGTCTTGACCTACACTCTTGGCTCAGGAACCAGCACAACAGTCGTTACCACCACCATTAAGCACACCCAGACCGCTACTGTCTACGCCACTCTTCCTGCATCTGGTGCTGCTGGTGCTTCCGTTAGCGCAGTTGAGGGTGAGGCTGGTACTTCAACCGATGTCACCACTACCCTCACTGGTACATCTACCTCTACCCGCTACGTGACTGTTGTCCCAGCTTCAGCCTCAGGAGCCGCTGGTGCTTCAGGAACAGCTGCTCTTGGAGCTGCTTCCGGAGCCGCCGGTGCCTCAGGCTGTGTCCCCGTCACCGTCACAGTCGCTATGTCCACTGTCACAGTCGTAAGTACCCCTTTCCACCGAACCACCAAACAACCTCTAACGTAATTCCAGACCGAGACCGCAGCGGCCGCAGCAGGTACCGGATCCGGCTCATCAGGAGCCATCAGCTCCGCCGAAGGAAACAACCTCGCCGCCTCCTCCTCTGCCAGCGAAGTCACCATTCTCTCCACCGCGACCGTCCTCCCCGTCCTCTCGACCTCCGCTCCCTACGGAAACGGCACCGCGGCCACCAGCACCAAGAAGAAGTGCTCCAGCGTCTTGCCCTCCTCGGGTTTCATTTCCAAGGCCAAGGCTACGGGCACTGCGCCCATTGCTAGCGCGACCGGGTACGCTGACAAGAGATGGTATCTGTAAATCTTAGGCGGAGTCGGGTGGTCAGAGCTCACATAACTTTTATTTCTTATTCTTTAGACTTATTTTCTTGTGGAATTACTTTACCCTTTTGAGGGGATGGAAGGGAGGGAAGGATAGGGATGGTGTATCTAGCTTCCCCATTTCTATGTTTACCTTTCTTCATTCTTCGAATATTTTGTGTGGAAGAATCAGCGATTTTGAATGCATCATGACCAGCTGGATTGGGACAATCATATACTGGCGTTCAAAGACAAAAACAGCCTCGAGGGGTCTGTGGGATGGGTTAGATGGGATTCTTTTTGTACAAGTCAAATGGAAAATTCTATCTGTACTTACCTACTCGTCGTACACGACTCCTGATGGCTATGAAAGCTATGTAGTTATGAGATGCTGCTGAGTTTTGGTTTCTTGGATTTGGACGTGAAGTGTGCATATTGTAGGTGAACGGTCATGCAGCTAGTGCTGTCAGGTTGGAATGACTTGCATATGCAAGGCATGTGAGGTTTGATCAGACTGCCTGGTGGAATGATATATAAAGATACATGTTTAAATATATACGGATGAAGAGTACGAATATGATTGAAATGTCATGAGTAGAGTGGAACTTTCATATCGACTATAGACTTGGAATTCATATAAGCACCAGAAGGAAGCAGAGCAAGCATTCTATGAACACCTGGAAACAATAGAGTCGAAAAGGTTTATATATATGAGTAAAGTCTGGACTGTGTCTTCCTACTTACTGAATGCTACCTTTTTGGGTGAGACATGAATCAACTCGACTGAATGTTCGAAGAAGCTTGGATCTTCGGCATATTACAATTCAACGATTCTAACTCCCAAACTACAATTTGACCAAAGAAACCCGAATGGACGCTCTGAATAGGAAATATGTTGAATAAACAAGTACTCAAGTGCTGTCTCGCATATTCCCCGTGATTTCTCCCCAAATCTATTTCGAGGCTGTCACGGTTCGGAAACTTCACCCTTTCTAGTCATGATCTCCTTGCGATGACGCTGGGTGCAGTTGGTGGACAGAATCACACGCAAAGGGAAGGCGGTCAAGCCATCAAAACAATCGGCTCTCCCGTCCAGCCTCCTTCAACGCAAGACACGCCAGAAACACATTGGTATCACATGTCGAGTTTCAAGACTCGAATCACGGATATCCGTCACGTACGGGGCGTTTGATACTCAGCTGACTGAGTAAGGGAAGCATAGGAGAAAATAAGAAGCAAATATAAAATGATTCTGGCTGCTTCTTTTTTGCCTTATGCTGCTGTGTCATCTCTTGTAAGGTTAAACGAAACCGGCTAGACTCAACTGTCCCGCAACCAGCTCTTGATCCTGCCGCAAGCTTGACCTTGACTCGAACTTCTTACGACATCCTTCACTCCAACACCAACCTCCTCCATTTCTGCCTTTGACTTCTTGTCGCATTCCTTTCTGTACAGAGTCGAGGGTATTTGCTTGCCTTCTTGCAAACTTCATTGACTGTTCTTCGACCCCATTTTGCAATCCGCAACAGACGGACCTACATTCATTACAACCTCACAACATCCAAACACTAGATAGCGTCATTGTCCGACTACCGCAAGTAGAATACAAACAACACTTCTTACCAACACATATTCTATTCTTCCTCCCCCTTTCGTGCCTCATAACATTCATGATGCGACGCGCTTCAGACGACCTCAGCGACCCGGATCGCAACCTGGCCGAGTCAACAGGTCATCCAGCGCCAGACATCCCCGAAGATGGCGACTTGGACTTGATTACAGAAGAATCGAACGACCTTCGAATACACACTCCCCCTCCTCGAATCGCAGCGCGCTTCTACCGTCCCTCGACAAACCGCCGCAAGTCTTCCGCCGCGTCCTCCCGCCGCAATTCAATCTCGTCAGCACATTCGCATCAGTCGCATAACTCGGCCCGCCCTGGCGGGGTACAGAGTAATTATATCGCACAGCACCTGCGTCGTGCTTCTATTATCGAAGACCGGAAAGCGAGGTTGGCGGATCGAGCAGCACATGCGGAGAAGGTCAGACTGAGGGCTGCTCTTGCGAAGGCGGCCCCGAGAAGCACTACAAACAGTGAAGAGCGGGCATTGGCTGCGCAACAGGCTCGAGAGAAGAACCTTGCGGAAATCGTGGCAGCATGTGCCGAAGAAGTAAAGAGAGCGAAGGGGATTGCGGAGAGCATGAAGGAGAAGAGAGAGGCTGATGGGAAGAAGCTCCGGAGAGAAATGGAAGAGAAGCTTGCTGAGGCCGAGCGAAGAAGAGAAGAAATCTTACAGAGGAATAACAAGAGAGGACGGTCCTTGAGTCAGCCTAGGAAGAGCAGTTCGCCGATGCCAGCCATTCGTGAAACCATCAGCGAGGCGACTGCCGCTTCTCGTATTCAGCAGAAGTGGAGGATACACCAAAAGTGGAAGGCTTTGAAGGATTTTGCTGCGCTGGGTCTCACAATTGACAGCGTCCGTGAAATCTCGTTCGAGGCCGTGGTTGATCTACTGGCTCAAGAAAGAGTCCTAGTGTCTACCGCCCAAATTCTCCGAATCTGCGGTCTGAAAGAGGGGGAGACTGGCTCGGTCAATGAGATGACAGCTGTCCGGACTTTCCTCAGTGCATTTCTTATTCTTGGACACCCGACCCAAGTCCTCAGTAGTAAAGGGGACAATGGGGAGCAGCAGCAGGTGGGAGCGTTGCCAATGAGACGAGATGATCTAGCTAATCCTCAATTACAGGACCTTGTAGCCAAGGCCCGGGATTTGCTCATTTCTTTTGAGAATGTCTTGTCAAGGTTGAATGCCGCGAACAATTATACTCCTCCTCCGGGACAGCTTTCCAGCCTGTCAGAAGTATACGCTGCTTTCTTCAACGCGTTTATTGCATGGAAAGCTCGAGACTCGAGCACTCTCATCGATATGATGGTGCTACAGTTTGTTGAGCTAGACTCAATATGGCAGTCTGTCAAGGACAGTACTGAGGAGGCCGTCACCGATTCATACCGCGATGGCATTCGAGAGAACCAGCTTAAGCTCATGGTCAGGATCAAACGACTTGCCGGTGCACAAGAAGGGAAGAAGTTGATCACAAATGCAATTCGAGAAGCCCGAAAGGCGAGAGTCATAAAGAAGCCTACTGGAGATTCTCGTCCTCGAGCAGCCGGTTCACCACCGACTGATGCACCAGCTCTCGTGGATCTTACCGCAACCAAGCAAACCGTCACATCTCATCTGCAGACATTAACGCCACCAGCTACACCACGCAAATCGCAACATTCTCATGCCGACGAGCTTCGCATTGCTAGACCTTTACTACCACCAAACAGAATCGTCACCCATGAAATCGCCATCAATCGCGAGTATCGTATTGAGGAAGAGGCACTTGAGGAGAAAAGTGCTATCATGCAAACTGTGTTCAACAGCATGCGCCAAGATGTGGCTGCAGGGAATAGCGATCCCTGGATTCTTGCTATGGCCGAAAACATCAGATCTCGCTTACAGCAGCTCTTGAAAGAAGGCAACTCGATGCATACACTGATTGGTGAAGCTTTGGACAACGACGTAGTGGCTCGTGAGCTTCAAGGTGGCTCTTTTTCTTATGAGAAGTTCTTCTCCTTCATGGCTGGTCTCCTGCCTCGCCTATGTGCCCCTTTCAGAGACGAAGAGATCAAAGATATCGTGGAGAATAAGATGCAAACTGGTGATGTGGTCGACCGGCTACAAGCCTTGATGCACGGAATTGAGCTCATGCAACTCGATTATGCCAACTTTATGCTTCAACAAGCATCATCTACACTCGTCAAGAATGCTGTAGGATACGAAACAGCTTCGTTTGGGCAGTTCTTGGAAGAGACGTCGAGCGAACTGTTAGCAACTGAGATCGCATGGCGAGAAGCCAGAACGAAAGTTCTGGCTGAAGCAGCAAGACGAGATCCGGAGAATGTCAATCTGGTGAGAAGCAGACCAACACCGGAAAAGATCTACACACAAATGCTGGTAGACGTCTTCACATCCCTCGACACAACTATTGCGATTCCGGAAACTTTGCTGCTCGATTCCAAGCGCATCACTCGAATTAGAACAGATCTTCTCCGTATTGTCACCGCCGGCGCCATCTTGCTTCAATGCAAGAACCTCCTCAAGCGCGATGTCCGTAGCCAGTGGAAGGTGGAAGCGAACCGAGTCATCACCGTCCTGGAAAATTCCAAGAGTCCAGAGCAAGCGGGTCAGGGCATCCAGGCCGCTCTTGAGTCCTCACGGTCCATGCCTGCGGCAACCAAGAATCACATTAGAGAGCTCGTATCTCGTATTGTAACAGCTTCTGCTTCGATTTCCACTGGCACAACAGAATTACGGGATCCGGTCATGAGACTTCTGATGACTAGACTTCGTGGACATATCTTTGCACGCCTGGCAGCGACTACGGAGAAAGAGAAGGTCAAGAGCGCAAGTACAGCCAGCGAAGACCTTGCTGGAAAGGGATTACCTGAATTTGTGCACAAAGTCGGAGCAATCGTGGAGGAGGTTTCCAAAGTTGGAAGTCTGGATCGCGAGAGTCATGGCGTTTGGTACGAAGTCGTCGCTAAGAAAGTCGAGGAGAATGAGACGAGCGCAAGTGTCTAAATGAGTGCGTGGTACGATATGGGTATTTCATATTCTTGAATGTCCTCTGATGGCTTGGGACTTTGGCTTCGGCATTCTTTTACTGGGCATGGCGTTTAGGGTTGGGTAGAGGCCGCATTGGGATGGCGTCTGGTTTGCATTTCATTGAGGGAATGGTATGATATGTGTGCCACGATAGGGGACCCTTGGTATGAGTGGAGAGGATGGTCTCTTGGGATTTCGGCAGGCAGGGCAGGACAGTACACTGAAACGACTGATAATGATTCCCCTTTACGCGAATATGGGTTTGGGAAGGGGACAGCGTTGCATTTCGATTGCATTAGCATTTGTATCTCTTGAGAGGTTACATGAAGATTCGACACTTCGTGTCAGCGTTATGTCTGAACTTGATCTTCTATTTGCCTGGTGAAGTGAAGTCTAAATGAATTCTGTTGTAAGTGTTTTTTATGGCATAGACTTCTTGAGAGTTTCTGCATCCTGAGACTGACTGACGTGGTGTGTCTCCTTACATCACATTTTAGGACGCACATCTGGCCTGGAAGGAAGATACGCATTAAAGTTGGGATTCGATCACATATGCTATGTACATTTTCCCAACCCTTCACCTATCGTACATCCCGAACACTAGCTTTTCATCCACCCCTCTATAGTATTACGGCTCAAGGCTCAAATATACTCATACATCCCTCCGTCCGTGAGAGTTATAAAATTCGTTGACGCATCACCGGCCACAAAACTTCAATACCCCCCTCATCCTACCCCATCCATCACCCAAAGCCCTCCTAGCTAAACACTTCTATCCTCCTCTTTTCCCCCCTTCCCAAACGCATAAGTAACCCCACCTCCCACCAAATTCGCCCCAGCAAGCACCATAGCCGCACCCCTCGTCAGTCCCCTCGCCCCATACTTGCTCCCCAACCTCGCAGTGAACGTCTTTCCCATATACCCCGTTCTCCTGCGCGCCATCAAGAGGTAGAGACCGGACCAGGCAGCCGTGATGCCGGCAGAGTCAACGACGTAGGATGAGAGGTTAAGGTAGGTGCTGAAGAGCAGGACGCTGGGGAAGAGCATGGGGAGTGGTTGGAAGGGGCGTGCGTGCAGGGCGGTTATCAGGGTTGCGAGGAGGGTTGGGGGGAGGGGTGATTCTAGGGGAGTTTGGTTAGTTTGCATGTTCGGTATGGGAAGAATAGGAAAGCTCTTGGAGGAAAGCTTGTATTGAAAACGGATATAGGAGGGAGGAAAACTTACTGCCCCAATCTGTAGCGTACGAAATTGCTGTCCTCTTAGCATCTTGAGCTGCTTTATCTGTAGACGACATTTTTATAAAAGCATCAGCGTCAATTGGTTTTGCAACACATCCTCAAATTGTGCAAGCCCAAAATCGTCATTGACGCCAGCAGCACGTGACGCTCGAGCTTATCACCCGCATTGGTCTAAGAAGCATTATCTGGCCTACAAAAACACCAAAATACAACGACCACGCTGCGAACCCGCGAGAGCATCGCTCCATCCCATCCCAAGCTCCATCGACAGCTGCTGCTCCCACACCACCACGATCATGCCCGCAGCGACGGCGTCCGGGTCTGATGCGAAGCCCAACGGGGCCGCGAAATCGCGGGACCACAACCAGGGAAATCAGGATAGGAGCTACACGCCGGAGCAGAAAAGCGAGGTCTTAAGGATACGGCGGTGCCAGCCGACGGCCTTCTACGATATCTTGAACCTGGAAGCGGTCAAGACGACGGTGACGGATACGGAGATCAAGAAGGCGTACCGGAAGATCAGTCTGTTGACGCACCCGGATAAGAATGGGCACGAGCATGCGGACGAGGCGTTCAAGATGGTCAGCCGCGCGTTTGGCATCCTGGGGGATAAGGAGAAGCGGTCGAAGTATGATCGCTTTGGGGGGGATCCGGATAGTAGGTTTGGCGGTGGTGCGCCGCAGTCCAGTCCGTTTTCTGGGTTTGCGGGACGGCCTGCGAGTTCGAGGGCTGCGGGAGGTGGTGGAGGGTCGATGTGGGAGGAGGAAATTAGTCCAGAGGAGATGTTTAATAGATTCTTTGGTGGGGGTGGGTTTGGAGGATTTGGTGGTGGTATGTATAGAATGCTGGCTTCAAAGAATTTCATTAATCATATTACAGGTGGAGGACTCTTTGATAACGGACAGCAATTCGTGTTCAATATGGGAGGAGGTCCCGGTATCAGGGTACATCAATTTGGTGGTGGGAGACCTCGACGAAGGCCGAGAGATCCCAATGCGCCTCCAGAACCGCCTGCGTCCCTCCAGACAACACTTATGGGACTACTACCGCTATTGTTCATCCTGATTCTGCCTATACTGTCTTCACTCTTTTCTGGTTCCAGCTCATCGACCCCGGGACCATCGATGCGATTCGATTCCGCGGTGCCACCACACACACTCCATCGCCTTACTACCAGGATGAAAGTGGACTATTTCGTAAATCCGGTTGATGTGGAACATTATACGCCTTCGCAGCTTTCGAGACTAGATCAGAGAGCAGAGGCAGCTTACGTTTCGAGACTTAACGTGGAATGTCAAGAAGAGGAGCTCGCACGACAGGATTTAGTAAACCAAGCTCAGGGGTGGTTCTATCAGGTAACCTCATCCTCAGTTGAAAGCCTTGTGAATTCCAGTACTAACTAGCGAAAATAGGATCCTGAAAAGATGCGATTAGCAAGAGAGCTGCCCATGAAGAGCTGCAGGAGGTTAGATAGCATGGGCGTGGGCCGTGGTGGTTACTAGAGACACGATCGTTCAATTCTCTGTACAAGTTGGGGACTCTCATTGGGGCAGGGCAGCATGGCGTTCGGGACACTGCAGCATTCTTGGGCGAAGGGGCATGCCTCTGGATTTTTCATGGTACCCAATAATAGATAAAGCATTCATCTCAGGGTCGAGTTTGACTCGGAAGCGATCATTCTTCGGGTACACATCGTCCTTTTGAGGTTGTGAAAATGTTAGAGGAGTGGTCATTCAATGTAGTGGCTATACTCGCTGTTCGAGCCGTCAACCTTAAGTTATTGGATTGTAGGTTTCCAGGACAGGACTTATCAGAAGCAGAAGTACTCTGTTAAGCGGGACAATGAGAAAAATGAGTACTGTTAAGCAGAATCCTGAAGAGCAACTACTAGTAAGTGAAGCTTGCCTCATCGGCTGAGCCGAGAGAGACTAAGATTCTCGAGATGATCAAGTCTTTCGAATAAGAGGGAAGTTTGGATTATACTAATGGCTATCTGGATACTCGGATCTTGACTTCTACTAAATGCTTAAGCTATTTATGTTGTTTTATAAGCTTGAGGACAATGTTAGCTGGGTTCCAAATTTGTACGGTATGTTGAATTTCTAAGATGATAGAACGTTGTAGACTTTATTGGCTAAAAGAGAAGAGACTAAGATTCTCGAGAGAATCAAGTCCTTCGAAATGAAAGGGAAACTATACCGGAAGCTATTTGGATCCTCAAATATTAACCCTGTTTATGTTGTCTCATAAGATTGAGGACAATATTATCTGAGTTGCCAATTTATATGGCGTATTGAATTTGTAAGACAACAGAATGCTGTAGACAGCAAGTGGCAAGTAAATCTTCTACTTTGACATGGCCGAATTTCGGGGTCTTGTAGAAGTTACTTGACGTGCTAAATCGTACGATAATGCAGCCATGTGGAACACTAGATGTAACTTTGTGCCTTAACAATTCACGTTTCACGTATTTGTCTTGCACTGTACAAAAATTGGAAGCTTCTCGACTACTGCCTTATCGCGCTTATCGGTCTCCCGACTAGCCACCGAGCGTCATATTTCCAAAGTTCCAGAGACAACCTCCCCACCTACTTTCCCGAAATCTGCTTTTGCGCATAACGGAGCTCTAGACATCATGGATAATGATCCTCAAGCCCCCCCGGCCCCTCCCGAGGCCCCTGACAAGGAGAAGATGGATCAGGTATATTCTTAAATGTCACTTTCTAAGACCTTCATGTAGCTAACAGTGTATTAGATTCGAAGACGACGTCTCGAGAAGCTGGCAGGGCCATCAACTCCAAAGACAGAGAGCAGCGCATCCTCGACACCCCCGAATCCTACTCCAGCTGCGGTACCAGTTGAGAAAGTAGAACCTGCGCCAGCTCCGAAAACAAAGATCAATATCACCAAAGCCTCGAGCCCAGCCTCGGAGAATCCATTCACGCAGATCGGTGCTCGCTCCTCGAATGGCACAAATACTCCCACCGTAAGAAGTCAAAATGCAGCAGGTACATTAAAGCGACCACGAGCTGAATCAGACGGACAGAATACTCCCAAAAGCACCCCGCGTGCGCCCCCAGCCAGCGAGTCGCCCGAGGATTACGAGAACAGAACACTGAGCATTATATTCCGTATTACCCTTGATCCGAACCATAAATTCGACGGGGCAAATCACCGATTAATATACTTGCCGAATCTCAGACAGGAGCTTGAGGAGGACAATGTACCAATCATGTTGACGAAGGAGAGACTCGATTACGCTATAGTCGAAGCGGCTTCAACCATCCCACATAATAAATCTATTCTGGACTACTTACTTCCTTGCTGGAAGAGAGTAGTTAAGGCGCTGAAAGGTCTGAAAGGCTATGCGAATTTCAGGGACGAGATTCTGAAAGAGGCGAGGAGAATGTGCATGAGCAACTGCATATTTGCTTCCGAGGTACCCGAGCTTTTTGGGTACGTTAGATCGCCTTGGATGAGAGTATGCTGGCAGAATCACTAACAAGGCGTAGGCGTGAACCAAATGCCTCGACCGATTCTCTCATGCCCTACTTGTTACTAGATGGTACTGATGACAAAGGCATCTGTCCTGATTTCTTGACTGAGATAGTGTCAAGAATTGATGAAGACGATACAATTAAGCCTATGCTAACGAAGGCTGTCGTACGGTTAAGCGAAGCTCTTTCAAAGATGACTATGAATGACAACTACAAGCCACATATCAATGTATGTTCTTACTCAACATCTGCCCTGTGCTCTTCTAACTCGTTCTCCAGGCGCTCAAGACGCTCTGCCAGTTCCCCAAGATCCTGGACGCAATTGCTCAAGACCCTTTGTTTCAGATGGCCACTTCAGCACCCGCAATTGAAAAGCTCACAATTCTTGGTCCTTTCTTCAGGATATCCCCTCTTCAAGCCGAGGTTACCAAGGAATACTTTACCGGACCAAAGACTATGGACAAGAGACGCATTCACACCTCTCAAGAAGCCCTACGGTTGACGTTGCAGGCTCATCAAAGAGACTTACTTGACATCGTCAATTCCTTCGTTCGTGCGAGCCCTACCACACGCAACAAGATTCTGGACTGGTTTGCGTATATCGTCAATTCCAATCACAAGCGACGAGCATTACGGCCAGATCCTGCAACGTTGTCCACGGATGGGTTTTTGATGAATGTAACCGTAGTTCTTGATGGACTCTGCGAGCCTTTCATGGATACCATGTTCTCGAAGGTCGATCGTATAGATATCAATTATCTTAGACGTCGTCCTCGAGTTGATATCAAGGATGAAACTAAGCTCAATGCTGATCAGAATGCGTCCGATGAATACTATGAGATCGAGATTCCTGGGACTTCAAACTTTATTTCCGAAGTCTTCTTTCTGAACCTAGCTGCTCATCACTATGGCAGTGAGGCAACCAACAGCATGCTGAAGACTCTTGACAAGGATATCAAGTATCTTGGTGAGAAGATTGCGCAACTAGAGGCAGAACGCCCAAAGTTTATGAATGTAAGTAACTCTCTAAATTCTGTGACGCACCACTAACGAGTAAAGTCTCCCGTGAATATGGCTCGATTTGAGGAACAACTCAAGAGATTCAACGAAGTATTGGACAAGTCTATGTCACTCAAATTTGCTGTTGAGGGCGTTCTCTTCGATAAAGTCATGCAAGCAAAATCCTTGATGTTTATGAGAGTTGTAACCGTATGGCTTCTGAGGATTGGTACAAACTCGGACTATACCCCTGAGAAGACCGTCAAGTATGTCATCTGCAGATGATGAAAAGTTCTCGGCTAACTACTTTCCAGGTTGCCACTTTCGGATGAACAGCCTGCAGCATTCAAATTCCTGCCTGAATACGTGCTAGAAGATATCGTGGGCAACTTTAACTTCATCTTCCGGTAATTATCCTGAGGTACAGCTATGGCTTCCTGAATACTGACGAGGTTACAGCTATGTACCCGAGGTCATGATATCCGCCGTTGGTGACGAGGTCATCGCGTTATGTATCACTTTCCTAACCAATTCCGAGTACATCAAGAACCCGTACTTGAAGGCCAAGCTGGTCTCTCTTCTGTTCCATGGAACATGGCCTATATACCATCGAACCAAGGGCGTCCTTGGGGATGCGTTGACTGGAACCAAGTTCGCAAATGACCATCTTCTTCATGCTCTAATGAAGTTCTACATTGGTACGTTAATAAGCCCGGTTTTTGTTCTTCATTCGCTGACGTCTAGTCAGAGGTCGAGTCCACGGGTGCGCACACGCAGTTCTACGACAAATTCAACATCAGATACGAGATCTTCCAGGTAGAACTTCCTCCCTTGAGATCACGGTTACATTTGAAGTTCTTACTAATATGTGTCAGGTTATCAAATGTATATGGACGAACGATGTCTATAAGCAGCGTTTAACACAGGAGAGCAAGTAAGTTTGGTCCATATTCACTCTAATGGGCAGGCACTAATACTATTACAGGACAAACACGGATTTCTTCCTTCGATTCGTCAATCTATTACTTAATGATGCAACTTATGTCTTAGATGAGGCATTGACAAAGTTCCCTAAGATTCATGATCTCCAGGCTGAGTTAAGGCAAACGCCTAGCTCGCTAACACCTGAAGAACGAACCACCAAGGAGGAAGAACTCGCAACTGCCGAAGGTCAAGCACAATCGTATATGCAGTAAGTGATTGTCACCACTTCTATTTATTTTCGCTTTTGTGAAGCCATGCTGCTTGTTGTGGACGATTACCAGTTTCGATTGCACATGCTAACTTTGATAGGCTAACCAACGAAACGGTCTCAATGATGAAGTTGTTCACCAAGACTCTGAGCGGCTCCTTCACGATGCCAGAAATTGTGGACCGAGTTGCTGCCATGGTCGACTATACACTGGATACTCTTGTCGGCCCGAAGTCAACCAACTTGAAGGTTGAGGATCCCAAGAAGTATCAATTTGATCCGAAGACTCTCCTTAGCGAATTCGTCGACATCTACCTCAATCTAGGAGTATCGGAAACCTTCATCGAAGCTGTCGCCCGTGATGGACGTTCATACAAACCCGCAAACTTCGACAGTGCTTCACGAATCCTCACACGCTTCAGCCTCAAGGCACCAGAAGAAGTTGCTGCCTGGGAAGCATTAAAGGCCCGATTCCATGCCGTGAAGGAACTAGATGACCAAGACGAGGAAGATCTCGGCGACATTCCAGACGAGTACACAGATCCTCTACTAGCTACCATAATGACCGACCCCGTCATCCTCCCTATGAGCAGACAGGTTCTCGACCGAAGCACCATCCGCGGCCATCTCCTCAGCGACCCCACCGACCCCTTCAATCGCTCGCCGCTGAAGATCGAAGACGTGATTCCGGACACGGAGTTGAAGGCCAAGATCGACGCTTGGAGAGCCGAGATGAGACAGAAGGCAAAGGCCGCAAGGGCGGAGAAGATGGATACGACGGAGGGGTAATTCTTTTCATGCATCGGGCAGCGTGGGCTGGGATTGGCGTTGTGTGAAATCATTGCATGGGCTCTTGGCGAGAGCAATTGCTAGGTTTTTAGCATTGGTGCATAGATAGGATTAAACCTGTTTTCCTATCCAAACTTGTATTCCTTCGTGATTTGTGTGTCCCTGGTATAGGTTCTGATGTTGATGCTTGAGCTTCAGACTTGCCTAGCTAGTGCTTCGTAGTCTAATCACTTCACTCGACAGGCACATACGAACTTGGCAAGGAGTGGATAGGGCTTCGATGCTCTAGCAGTCTCTCAAAGTTGCCATTTGAAGGAATGGCGATTTAACATTGTCAATAGCGCATCTGGATGTTGCTTCCACAACTTACCAAAAAGTCATAACACCAGAGGACGCAATCTCATATACCCGTACATTTATTACTATCTAAGATCTTACATCTATTCGGGCCAGTCCTGTGACATACTTACCTCTCCGAGAGTAGGCATTTTCTTACAATTACTTCCATACAGCGTCCTTATTACCAAAGACTAGGCTTCTTAAATAATCTAACAGTTTTGTACATAGTGCGTCTTGGAAACCACATCTTACATGCCCTACTTATGTGATTCGATACGAAGAACCCCAAGAAGAAAATCAATCATCATTCAAAGCTGCTGCTGCGGCAATGAAGGGCGCCAATTTCTTCTCCAGACGATTCAACTTAGCTTGAAGTCCGTCGTTCTTTGTCATCTCACGCCCACAAAGCCTATAATATTTAGCACGGTCTTCCCAGGCTTCCTCTTCGCGTGCTTTGGCAGAAGCGATTTCTGTAGACTTAGAAATAATGAGTTGGGATTGCCTCTCGAGCTCGTCCTGGGATTTCTTAAGTGATTGCTTCAGTTCTTCAACTTCATCGTGTCCACATTCGGTAAGGCCTTTCTTGAGCTCAATAATCTTGTCGACATGTTCTTCGTTAAGCTGAGATAGTGACTGGATCTCCTTTTTGTCGATAACGACTTGTTGCTTAAGCTTCTCGATCTCTGCACTCAACGGAGCGCTAGCCTCACGAACGGCTCGCTTGATATTGTCTGCCTCAATCCGTTGATTGGTCTTGGCAACTTGGAGCAATTGCCTCTGATCTTCGCATGTCTTGGTAAGTTTGTCCACATTCTGAACAGCTGCCTTCTGAGTTTCGAGTTGTACTTTCAGAGCGGTATTCTCCTTCTCGGAAAGCTGTAGAGCTTCAAGAGTCGCATCATTGTCCAGCTTGAGAATCTCGTGGGCTTGCTGTTCCGCTTCAAGTGCGGTGTTCTTGGCTTTGAATTTGTCGTGCAGCTTCTGCATCTTGCCAGTACACAGCTCCTTGATCCTGTCTATCTCCTTCCGTGCTTTCTCCAATTCAGCTCCGAGGTTATCGGCGTCCGACTTGGCTTTGTTAGCTGCAGCCTTGAGCTCTTCTTCACGCTTGTGACTAGATCGTCCAGCTGCTTCAATCTCCCTCTGCTTGTCTGCTAGAGTCTTGTCTTTAGCAGCTATCTTTTTCTGCCAGACCGTTGTCTGCTCTTCTTCGCACTTCTGCTTTATTGCTCCTTGCTCGGCTCGAAGATTGTCCAGTCTTACCAACAGCGAGTCAAAGGCTTTCCCCTTCTCTTCAAGACTTACTCGCACGGAGTGCAACTGTCTGTGTGTCTTCAGATAGAGTGTTCTTACCATGTCAATTAACTGTTCGGCAGAATAGAGTAATGGTGACTTTCCATCCATTTCGATTTCGGGAAATGTCTTGAAAAGATGAATCGAAACTTCATAGAGGGCCGAGTAGGCTGGGTCCTCGTTCCCAAGGCCCTCAGCTTCGTAAGTGGGGACATCTCCTTTCTTCGACGCAGACTTCTCACCCTTTTTCGAACCTTGCTCTGGGGATCCTTCTGGCTTCTCTTTTGCTAAATCTTGCAGAGTTTTGGGTCGTGGTAAGGATTGATGGGCCGCGATGAAATCGCGCGTTTGAGCGCTGGCTTTCTGCCCTCCTCTCTCAACTTCTCTTTGGGCTCTCTCGAGAGCAATGGCTCTGCTGAAAAAGATATCCTCTGCGTATTGCTCGACCTGGGTGGGGTCCATCTTTTGAAGCTTGAGTCTGAATTTCTTTGGGTCGTCGAGATAGCAGGCGTAATCCTTATTTCGATCTCTCTTAAAATCCAAACAATGCGAGCCATCGTAGTTGTTGCGGGAGTACATTGCCATCCAGCCATCGAACGCCTTGGCTGCTGGTTGGGTTTCATAAAGTGTGATTCGATGCCTAACAAAATGAAAGGTCCGGATTTCATCCAAGGGGAGAGTGAGGCACGCATGAGCGTTAGAGGCATCTTTGACTTTAGAAAGTATTAGATCGAAGCACTGTTCATCCTCAAGACGGGTCCTTGGGGGGGCCTCCAGGTTCCGACACATGCACTCAAAGAGTTTGACTTCGTTGTAATCGAGCGTGAGGTCCTCATTCAGGCCCACAAACCTCATATTGAGTGCATGACTCGATTTCTCTAGCTCGCGTTGGCTGGAGAATTCTAATGTTAAAGGTATCATTCTCATAGTCTCTCTGAACTGTAGATCATTGTTAGACACGAGAAATAGCAATAGAAGAGAAAGAACTTGCGAGGGGCATTGCTATGAACTCGATATGATCTGTAGGCCCTAACTCCTCTTGTCTTCGTGTCCAGCTGCGACAGACCGATGAACAGCACTTGACATCTTCGAGTGTCAATACTAGACCGGCGTTTCTTTGGGAGTAGAACTGGGCTTTCTTTAGAAGGTCCGTGAACTGGAGTACAATATTGGTTTGGTCCATCTCAGCGGCTATCATGGTATCAGGCTCTTGGAGACCCAAGCATAGATACCAGAAGAGTCCTGCGTCTTGAGAGCCTAGATCCACGCCAGCATCTTTCTCTCGACTCTTGCTCAATGTGGTGGTCAAGAGGACTAAACAGTTCCGCAATCTTGGTGTCAAATCCTCCATGAGCTTGATCATGTCACCGAGGTAGTTCCATGCCGCTCCATCCTACGAGCATTATTAGTAAAGAAGCGCACGTATTGGGGCAGGACTTGTTTACCTCTGGACTTGAGTAATTCCTTCCTATCGCATCCATGCCGTCCATGATGAAGTGCACAGAAAGCTCAGAAGTCTCAATGGCTGTTCACATTCGAATGCCGCGCAATTGTGCTATCGAATCCTTGTCCAGGGCGCCTTGGAGGCAAGGGTCGTATTCGCGCAGCAAACACTATGCAAATATGATGTTATTAGAGAGCCAATGGCTGACCACAAAGGTGCGTGCGTGGAGTGTCGAAGTTGCGCTCAAGTGTTGAGGAAGAACGAAGCTACCTTACCGAAGGTGATTTGATTGCATGCGCTAGTTCAATGTAAATAAAGAAGAATTCACGTGAACTAATCTGTGCTATCGAGACAAAGAGCTAAAGGTTGTCGGACATTCGAGTACAAGATATAGTGAAGACTTTCCTGCTAAGCATGACAGACATTGGCTCCGCAATGCTACTATACAAGCTCCCACTTGCAGACAATTTAAACCACGATGACCACAAATACTTACGATCTTGAAAGATAGTGAAGGACCGAGATATGACTTGATAAATGGTGAATTGAAGACATGATTCTCTCAAGATGGAGCAGTTGCCAGCCTCGCTGGGAAATTCGGAAGCTCTTCATGGAGGCCCCGCTGTTTGACAAGCTCGCAATAGAAGTTCTTCCGATGCTGAACAAGCGATTCTAATTTGATTTGAGATCTTCCTTGTCTTACCAGAAGAAGAGAATATGCATCGAGTATTGCTTAAAGCTAGACTCTTGGTCACAACCCTCAAATTTTCTAGGAATCATTGAGCATCGATCTTCTAGACGTCAGTAAAGTTCATTTGCGAATATTGGAACACCACTTTCTTTGGTGAAGAATACACAAGCTCTAGTACTGTGGCATATGTCCCAGAAAGCAAGTCCCGGCCATCTCAGTCCATGTTCTCTCAGCTGTGGCAATGATGAGCACTCCAAACCGCGCCAAGACGGTCTCGTGTTCCTGGCTCTCTAGTTTGTTTGTCCTCACTTTGGCTGCTTTGCGGTTCTCCATTCCAATCACTGCGAGTGATTTGCTCCTTCTGCTCTTCAATTCGTGAGACAATGATTCGATATTGTCCAAGTCGAAGCTCCAGATCCACTCTCATCGAAGGCTGGGAAAATCTTGACTTTGGCACAACATATTCATCGAGTCTTTTCAGTTTCTAACTCACTCGCGGAGTCTCGCTTCTCCTGGTATTTTTGTTCTCAATATGGTAGGAGCTTAGGTGTCACTTTGAGGTTATCTTACAGGTGGAAGGCTCGATGCAAGACCCAGATACACTTGGAACGAGCAATGGGAGAGTAAAAAGTGGACAAATTTTCCACTAGCACCGGAGTCATGCTGTCGCTTCAAATTGACTTAGAGCAGTGAAGTATGCTCGTTGATATATCCACGCTGGTGAATGCTGGTGACTGACAGGTGTTCTTCATGGCGAAAAATCTGCCAGTCGATGATTATTCGCATTTCCGAAGTCAAGATAAAATAATCTTCAAATGGTAGAGCAGAGTTGATTCTTATATGAAAGCCGTATGCCAAAACATTATCATGATGTTGGACTTCGAAGCGAATGCAGGGATCATCAAGAGACTAGCCTTGGTGGGTTTTCTTCACATGACTTCCAACCTCACCTCGTGCTCCACCGGTGTTTTCCCAGCTTCACGAAGATACACCTGACAACCCTGTGTTCCACTGTATTCGATCGCAGCCTTTCTTCAGTGGTATCAATACCAGAAAGCCTATCGCTCTGACTCATGGCTTCATTTCCGAATAATTATACACATCGAAAGGTCGCAGATACAGCCGCCAAGGCTTGCGAAATATGTTACAAACCGAGCACCAGCGTTCTAGTGACACCCGAAAATAAGGTAGGTTAAGGGAGGATCTCAAGAATCGCCCAGAAGCTTACCACGTTTCAGGATTTCTTTTATGTCTGTCCTGCTCATTTGAAAGACAAAGGATTTTGTAATCCCATTATTGATGAAGCTGCCGTAGCGGCCAAAAAGAAGAGGGAGATGGAGGCAGAAGTGCAAAGGGTGAAACAGGAGTTCGAGGAGAAGCAAAAGAAGAAGAAAGAGAAAGAAAAGGGCGCCAAAGACAAGAACAAGGACAAGGATAAGGATGCCGAAGGCGAGAAGAGTGAAACCAAGGATGAGAAAAAATCCGATGAGAAGGTGAGGCCTGTTCTAAGTCAACCTGTTACTCCCAATTGATTAGGTCTTAGAAACTTGAGAAGGCGACGAGCCCTTCACCGGAGGAAGAGCCTAGGGTTTTCAGTCTACAGAAGGCGTTCTATCAACTGAGAATCGACAAGAAACGGAATGCGGAAGTTGCCAAACGGAACCGGGAACGTCTCCAAAACCCAAATCTCTTCCCTCAAGTGCCGAAAGGATTCCCTTAAATCCAATAGCGGGACGTCGAAACCCTCACGGCCACAAGACAAGGTATATCGCATTCGGCCATTCGGCGCCTGCTACCCTGTCCACGATCACGTGCTCCCATTGAGTATCCCTTTCCGCTCACGGCTTCAAAGCCTCAAACTTTTCACCAGCGCTAAGCAGCCTTCTTCCCCAGTTTCTCGGCCACACCGAACATGGCTTTTGAGACAACCTTGTCAGAATACAGTCAGCGCCGACTGGCTACCGCTTTCGCTTCTCTTGGACCATGGACCGAGAACTTAACGCATGAAATGCCGTTTACAGCTTCCAATCCCGCTCGAATTGGAGCTGTGAGACACGTCATGATTCTGAGGAGAGAAGGAAGGTGAGATGCGTGCTCACGGGGCCGTGGTGTTCGATGATGGACCCTTGTGTGATCGACCCGTCGACTCGGCCGTTTACCATGTGTCTTGATTTCGACATGGATGTATTGGCTTCGGCCAGGTGTTTATCGAGCACCCTGTTCTTATCCTGGTAATCTAATGTGATCACCGATCAACTCACACGGCAGTCACTCGGCTGAATCGCCAAGGCGCCTTGCCGAGGCGGCCGACGTGAATGAACTGCTATAACGAGCCACTTTCTGCGCTCCTTAAGACATCTTGAGACGTTATTATCCCTTCCCTCTACACATGCAGTCAGTGTATCTGTGGAAACATATCCTATCAGGCAGCAACAAAGTCTGACAGGTTTCTGTCCAGCCCTGTAGGTGTGGGGTCACTCCGAACCTTCGCTTCGAGTGCGTATGCTAGTGCTTACTCTTCAGCCTTCAAGTCCCTTGACATCAGCCACTTTACCTTTGAGTCAAGATTCGTTTTGACCCCTCTTTTTGTGCGAACAGGAGACACCCCACCTGTCAGCCTTCGCTTGGAATACCTTGGTTGATCATTATCCGTCCTCCAGTCGGCAGCAACGGCACACTTCACTGTGTGATCTGAACAGGGCATTATCCCGTCAGTTTCAAGGTATCTCGTTTCTCACCGGAAGATGACAAGGCTCACAGACAGGTGTCTGCAATACAGACCCACTGTGTCACAGTGGATTGATTGTAGGGTAGCATGAGGAGAATATGAGTACAGCGATCTTCCTTTTATGCAGATTCTTCGAGATATTTTCATTCCTTCCGTTTTCCGATCATCAACTGCGTATTGGTGGACTTTGTTACGAGCCTGATGAGATCACTAGCACTCTCTCTAATCATATATTTTGGCGGCACTCCATCTCCGCCTGGAGCATAATAGAGTGCTCGACCAAAAAATTCCGTCTCACTGCTCTTGCTGACACGAGCATCATTATGGCAGTTTATGATTCATATCATTGGGCTAATCCTCCTGGAATTTCTGCCTCAGTGCCGGAGATTTAAGAACGACACTAAATGCTTATGACAGGAGAAGAATTGGGAAGTTACTGCGAGCGAAGGTGCATCATTGACTCTGGATACCGCACCGTTTCTCCACCACTTAAGGACTATGTCTTACTGCACCGCTACCGAGATATGCAAGCTGCGCTGGTCATACTTGCAGTAAGAATGAACCCCTATCATGTCATTCGAAGACGCTGTCAAGAGATACGTGATAATTCGGTGACATGTTTGTATTGGCAGCTGTGATCGATACCGAGAGACAGCGGCGCGTTCTGGTCGAACATGCTGACCTGCTTGCATACCCCAATCATAAGCGGCTGTGCCGCGAACCAGCAACTCTAGCTCGCAGTAACAAACCATTCCGAATTCCTCAGGCCATGTCCACGCACTTGCTCACCTCCTCTAGTTCTTACAGGTTTTGCTTTCCTCCTCTCATTGCCGGGGGAAGTCTGATTCCTATACCGCGCCCGGTATCCATGTTATCAGATCCCGAAGCCTTTGTTCCACCACTGCCCTGCCCTGGTCGGCCCTCCCCCCTTTTCACTATCTCATCTACACGTCCCTTTTGGAGACTGAAGGCTGGGCATACCCAAACACCACAACTACATTTCATACCCTGCCATGCATATCGTCCTATCTGCGCATTGCATTTGGGGTTCGGGCACTCGAGTCGTCCGTCTAACAAGCCTTGCTCAAGTGTTGGACGCATCCATGAGAGAGGGTGCAGGAAGTGATGTGTACATGCATTGTGTAAAGGTGCTGGAGGTAGTGATTCCGTGAGTGAGGATATCGGTTCTGTCATGGGATCGATTTGGGTTTTGGGAGGCGTGGGAAGATGCGTGACGAGATAGGGAGTGGTGGCTAATGTGCGGCTGTTTCGAGCTGAAGTCAGTAAAGGTACATAAGATGTCTTCAAAAAGTTTTTCCAACTTGGATATCCTCAAGGATGGAGGTCCGAAAATATGTGGCACTCCAAGGTCTCTTGAGATTCTGTGTCTATGTGACGAGTAAAAGTTTGCAACGTACCGGCATTTCCTACATCTGAGTTCAATTTCTTTGTCGCCGTTTTGTCTCTCGTCTTGGGCCTCTTCATCCTCGAATCGAACTCTTTCTGGTGCCATACCTGCCGCAAGCGCCAACTCTACCTCTCTCTGATAGAGCCATCTTTGGTATTTGGGATGAGCATCGATGTCACGAGGACAGCCCATGTCTTTGTACAATTCCAATTGAGCCATGAACCCATCGTTCGGTTCTGCCATGGGCCGAGATTCTCGAACTAAGGCGAGTGCTAAAGAAACAGTATAGTGAGGATACTGCCGAAGAAGATATGCGATCACGATGGTTACTGATCGTGACTTTCCCATAGCACTGAAGTGGAGGTTAGGATTTGATGGCAATGCATTGCAGGAGCGTAAGTTCGCAAATATCTAATCAAACAACATGCAACATAGTAGGAAATGAAGTGATAACACTAAAGCCGAAGTTCTTGAAGAAGAAGTAAAGCATGGTACATTCTTGCTTGGAAAAACGAGGACAGTAAACTTAGAGCATGCATGATACTGCTAAGATGCAATAGCGAAAACTTTCGGTTGCCTTGATCATCGCTGGAACATTATATAACAGAAAAAGTCATGCAAACGATAGATTTAACATACCAATGAACGAGAACTCCTCCTTTCTTTCCGTCTTTCTCACTCTTCAACGCATCCTCGATGAATTTTCCACTCTTTTCAAATTCCCCAAGAAGATTTTCATCCTCGACGTCATCAACTTCAATGCTCAGATGCCCATACTTATCCCAGTCCTCGAAGTCTTTGAAGTCATACTTCAAGACAGAGACTATATGCGTGATCCCGGTGTTCTCGAGAGCACTTCTACGTCGTAGTGTGAAGATCCTATAGATATGTTCAGTTGATGGTCGCTGAAGAAGAACATGAAGGAGTGCAGTTGTGCACTAGGAGGATGAAAGACGCTAAATGAAAGATAGGCAAGTCCAATTTTCGTGGAAAGGCAAGTCAAGTAAGAAGAGGCAGAGACGATAGTTGCAATAGATATCAAACTTGACATGATGAAGATGGACTTACCCTCCAACATAAAGATTCTCATCTCCAGGCACGCGCGAGAGCGCCATGTTCGAAGAAGGTGGTCTGTAATCCAGCTTGACTATCTAGATCACTTTGCGCGTATACTTGTTTTTGCCACGGGTGGTTATCTTGTGGGGTCTCCTCTTGAAGCTATTGCACTGAATCCGCCTCTGCCAGTATTGATCCTCGCTAAGAGCAATAAAGGGGGGAGAATCGTGGTCAGGTGATGTGTAGCAGGTTGTGAGAGTCTTCTTCTGGATTGGGTTGTCTCCTGTCTCAATTGCAAGGGTCATAGTCAATCGAGAGAATTGACGCCTCGGCGTCGGATAAACCTTTCGCCGTTCGGCTTTATTTACATCTCGGACGGACTCGACCTCGAACCTCTGAAACACATTGATCTTCAATCTACCGCAATGCTCGTCCATGCTCCAAGATATTCGAGTATCCACCTCCCTAAAAGCGCCTGGTACTCCGATGGAAGAGTGCTTCCACCATTCTTCTCTTCAAGCAACCTGCAACCTCGCAATCCCCCCAAAGCTGCACTCCGGTGCAGTATCCGTTGCAGTGGGTGGATAATTCCCGAAGTTTCCGGGGAAAGCAGAGCAGTTTCGTAATGCTGATTCAGTGATGGCATGTTACGTTGCTCGAAAGTGGATATCAAGAAAAAGATACACCGAAGATACTTCGAAGACCGTCAGGCCTCTCAGACACTATGCCAATCAATACCGCCATTATCACTGCCGTACCAAGTTTCGACCTTGAAGAAGAGGCTAGCATCATGCCCATTTGCCTGGTCGAGAAATTTTTCAATGGGACGCGTCAACTTTGCCTGACTTGTTCACGAATGTCAAGAAGAAGATAGGGGGTGGCTATCGAATCGCTTCATTTGTGGCGTCCACAATGTCCAGAAAACAAAGTTTGTGTCACGCATGGCCAAGTCCACATTGAAAACTTGACTTGCATATTACTTTCCTTGATCAACGGCTCGCATTCTGCTGGGAACATCCAATGGGTGCTGCAACTGGTCATGCGACAAAGCTGTTTGTTCACTATTCCTTGGCTCCCTGACTCTTGCACTGCAGCTCTTCAGCCTCTGACGTCCTGCCTTCATTAATGGGTTACCGACACTGGTTCTCACTCAGCCCAACGCCGGATGTTCTTACTTAGTCGGGATACGGGCCGTGGCAAGGCACGTCCATCGGAACTGAGATGGCTGTTCGGAGCACGAAATTTCATATGCAGGTGGGACGGCAGCCTCAATCATCATGGCCTCGCAGATTTTTCTTCCTTCAAAACGTGGGTGTATTTATGGCCCGACTGGGCCGAGGGTGAGATTGATGTCGCCTCTTTGTCGGTGTGCAGCCGTCAAACCACCCACGGCACGTTGGAGACATATGACCAGTTCGACCAGGTCTGTGAAACTCTCCCTATGATGGGAGTTGGACATGTCATTCGTTTGCCGATTGTGAGGCATGTGGGGACGAACTCGTTTCCGTATTACGCCTCGACTAGGCTTTGGTTCGATATGGTTGAGCCTGGCACTATTCAGATTGAGATCCCAGACATACGCCGGTCCTTTTTACCTAGATCTGGTTACGTTTTAACGCCCGATAAGCAGATCTTCCAAGGCTTCTAAGATCATTCGGGATCCAGCGGGACGAGCGGGGCTCTCATGTTCCTCGGCACTTTCTTCTCTGGCCACGCCTTAAGACGCCTTATAAGGCAAAGAACCTTAACCCCTTGCACTACTCGCGCGTAGAATGTTCCGTGGAACAATTCTAATTTCCGCCCCCATGGTGCGCCAGCTGTTGTCCGTCATTCTGGCGAAAGGACGGTGTGAGCACGTAGCCAATAGCAGCTAGATTTGCGAATTTTGAGGCTTGACAGCACGTAAGAAGTCGGAGGTGTGGCACGAGTAATCCAATCTGATAGGGTTCGTCGTGTGGTCAAGTCAGGTCAACTCCCCAGTCGCATTCAGAGTCAAGCTCTCACCGACTTTGATTGCCCTGAGTCGTGAAGGATTCTGACGGCATGATGTACCAAGAATCTCATATTATGAAAGCATGAGACGTCGAGAGGCCAGTTCAGTCAGGCATTTGGAATAGGTAATCTGGCTCTGTCGGTCGCGCAGCCACGTTGCGCTGTTTACATACCTTCTTCATTGGCTCTGGGGTCTAGGTTTGAGGTTGAAAGATTCTGCATTGTTCTGCAGAATGCGCACCATCCGGCACAGCCCGCCAGTTTTATTGCGTATGCATTGCGTCGTTGGTCTGGGTCTCGATTCGACCGCTCGAAAAAGACTTGCGCCCTCGAGTCTAGAGGCCTGCCACCACGCTCGCTAAATGTGAGAGCTGACTTTCCAGCTCTGGAGGTCATGCATATGCATTATTAGCTGGAGTTCTCCATTTCTCTCGTATCCGTCAGGGCGGTAACTGATTAGATCTCTTCTGGGTCTGCTAGTCATGTAATTGACTTTGGGGGCTGATGGCGAAGCCTCCAGTGCGACTCTTACTGAGGAAGCATGGCGCCTCACGAACAAAGGAGGGGTACAAGATCGAGCTGAAAGGGCGACATTGTGATTGGAGAGGCCGGCATCGCTCAAGGCTGCACCATATCCTTGAATACATGCCTTGTGCAGTAGTGTTTCCAACCTCATTGAGGTCGTCATTCTGATTGGGCCTAGCCAACTGCTTGGTAAGGCAAATGCTGAACACAGGCTCTACATCTGCGACTCTGCATAGCAGATAGCGCGCGGTACAACAAGAACATGACCGCGAAAATGTTTCAGCTCGAGATTACAGATATGTCTTAAAAAAGATTCTAACTTGCTTTTCGCAACCCAAGGGCCATTTCGAGCCAAAGGTTTTATTGCCACGTACGCATTGGGATCAGCCGCCCCTTTATGGACAGGGTAACCGCAACCTCGGCCAGGACTTTCAATAAGGCTGAGACAACGACCCTTTTTCTGGATAACACTGTCAATCTTCTTAGCCTGGAGGCTGGGACCTGAAAATTATCACGCAGGTCAGTCTTCAGGCTTCGACTCTGGTTGGTCCCATCTAAACGACATCTCGGATTGGAACGGGATGGCGTATCGACCTCACTTCACTGGACCAGCAGATCCGAGTTTGGCTATTGACGGTATGCGAGGCGCTGAATGAGGTCCCGCGACGAAATCGAATTTGGCAAGTCCTCAGGATTGATACTTTGTCCACTATAGATCATGGTTGAATCTATTATTCGGTCCAGACTCTCATTGGGCCGGTAGGGCTACATGATTTCGGATTTCCATTAGACACAGCCTGGAAAGCCACAGCCGTTTTCCCATGCATCTAGAAGAATTCGACTCTGCCGAAGTGGGGCAGCAAAGTCAACGAATCTAAGTCGTTACCGTCCACAGTTCATGGCCAGCAACTTTTATTGTTTGAGTCGCAGTCCTTGCGTCCTTTGGTGAAGTTACGGACAAACAACTCGTCTCGAATACGTAGTCAGGATGTCACTCACTCTGATCTTTCCAGAATGCAGAAAGGGTTGCTTTAGTGTGTCTGTCAAGGCGGCTGCATTATTGACTTGGTTGGACGCTTACTTGAAAGAAAACTACCTGCGGACGATCAATTGACTTGATTTCCTTGGTTGCAACATCTCAGAGCCGCTCGAATGATATGCTTTGTTCTGCAATCTGAGTACTAAAATTATCCACCGGACTTTTAAGGGTCTCATATCAAGATAAACTGGTTGCCGGCAGAAGATACCGTGGACTTCATTTCCTCGGCGGCTTTTCATACTTTCCGACTCCATGACTGGCCCGATGTCGACGAAGAATCAACCAAGGAACGACTCAGAAACCAGAATTGAGAAACTTTGGCGATCCTCACGCACTGAGACTTGTACTGTATGTAAGAAAACTTGTTGCTGACGAGTATCTCTACGAGTATTTTTCGAAACTGGTCACGGTTTCGCAGGTATTTTTTTCAACGAGGGAAAGGAAGACCAAACTTTCAAGCAGAGATGACTTAAGAGACTTGGAGACAGTATCATTAGGAGGAATTCCAGCTTTTGTTCACTGTCTGGACTTTCCAAATTCCTCTGCCGAACACTTTTAGAAGTAAAACTGTCCTAAAAGTTCAGCACCAACGAGATATCTTGACCAGGGCATGTCCAAGACTTGCTTCAAGTGCCACCTTTGTGGCAAACTAATGAGGAGCTCAAGAAGTACTGTACTGCATTGGCTACCTTGCAGGTGACGGGATATTGTCCACGGCAAGCGATCTCGAGTCGTCACTAGTCTTAGGCGAAATGGCGAATCAGGGCGAGCAAGATTTTGCCTTTCGGATCGATTCGTAACACGGATCCGATATTTCTACATATCTAGGTTTCGGATGGTGGCGCAGCAGAAGATCGAAGGTCGCGGCATGCAGCCAATTTGGACCTCTATCGGTGATTGGCAGACAGGGACTGTCGTAATATACCCAATGATGGTGGGTTTCAAACCACACCGTTGATGGAAGTCAAATGGTTGAGCGACTCGAACTTCTTCCTCTAACTCCGGCATGCGGATGCGGCACGACCACGGCTGTTCTGGGTGAAACTTCTTTTTGGACAATCTTCCTTCTTCTGCGGATGGGTGATTGAACAATATGTTGCAAGGGTGAGGGTGAAAAGGCTCCTCAATGACACGGGCTGGAAACTCCCTACGTAGTTGGGGAGCGGTGTCTGGCGACGCATATCGACATGGAGGGCGAGGCCCTGCAAGACGCACACAAAGACACTCGACAATTAATTAAACAGGTACTGGAATCTTCAGCTCGTCCAGATGCAAAAAGAAAGGGACGATCATGTTTCTGCGAACCAGTCATTCCAGATCCCATAGTTCGCACCGTATTTGTCTGCCCACTCAAGCGCAGGTCTGAAGTGAGCGAAAGACTACTGGTGCAGAGAGCGAGAGCGCGAACCGTGAGTACTAAGTAGAGGATGGATGCTTGTTGCCTCTGTACCACTACTCGACCGCCAAGGTGGGACGGAAGGATAGGGCTGAATTGTCGATTGCAGCAAGCAACCGAAACGTCGTGGGCGGAGAGACCCTGTGGACTAAAATAATGTGCAGCGCACAACCGCTTTGACCCTCATTTCACTTACTTCACTTACTCCGTCCAGTTACTGTACTCACCTCACCCATCGCTCTCACTAAGATCCACGACGATGTCTATCTCATCCCACTCTGCTATGCTTCCAAGCGAGCAAGGGAGGGACTCCAGCGACCCCAGTCCCTGCGGCCGCTCTGCGTCCCCTGTCGAGAAATAGAAACCCCGCTGTCTCGAAAAGCCCTCGACGATTTTGACTCCCTCGGTCCGCATCCTTGCTCGTGCATGCATCCTCTGCGAACTCGAGTTGCGGTGATGAAATGAACCGAAGTGCACCACTGCGCGGCGTGGGCATCAGAGTCTTCCGGGCTATTGTAAAGTCTTCCACATAGCCTCCCAGTTTCGCAACGCACATCATTGTATCTGCTTTGAGGGCTTCCTATTAAATAAGTCGAAGTCCGACGGCTTTTGGTCCAATTGCATAAGTGAAAAGGACATAGTTGTCGTTACCTTGTGAGCAAGTCTACTGTAGTAAGCATGAAAGGTGTCACAAAGCCATTCATGTCATCTCTACTGCACTTCCAACAGCTGCCGTTCAATCGTGATCCACCATAAGACCCTCTCGTTATCCAGAGCAAGGACAGCCATTCCGTCGTCTCATTTACGCCCTGGCTCTATGAAAAGCTTATTAAAGTTTTTTGTCCACGAGGTAGAGCCGCAAGAGTCTGTTGAGGTGAAGGTGGCCAGGCGCAGGCAGGGAGCAAGTGTAAGAAAGACATGATACAACAGAGAATGGGCTGAGATGGGAGTGATGCCACATTCGAGAAGGCTTCACCGAAGGAGATGAATCGGCAAGAGGTCGAGGCGGATCTTAATAGATGAAAACATGCCATGGGCATCTGGCCCATCTCACGTATCTGATCCGACTCATCGAGACTGCTGGGCCGAAGACAGACATCACGATTCATCAGGCCATCCGCGAAGGTCGAGCCACTGCAGTGCGTGCTCTTTGGCTGAGCCCTACAGAGACAGAAGAGAGGAACAGGATCCTGCCCTACCGAGGTTACTAACTATGTCGAGTTAGATGGGGAGTGTGTCTGACAATTACTCAATTCACGACGGTCCCTCATGGGTTCAGCCTTTCTCCCGTACACCGTATTCCCGAACTGCGAACTCGACAGAGAGAAAAGCATTACATACTCGCTCTCGCTGCTCACGCTGCTCACTGCTTGCTGACTTAATAGCTGGTCTTCTGGTGCAGCTAAGCAGCAACTCAGAGCCGTCGCCAAATAAAGCATCCAACTGGCAGAGAACGAGGGAGAGGGATAGAAGGAGGAGCAATTGCAGAGGGAGACTTCATTAATTATCCAACTTTCTATTGTCCCTTGTTACACTACCTTCCTCTTTCTCGAGTCACCTCATGCACCACCAAACGTTGCCTTACTTTGCCTTACCTTGCCCTGCCTGGAATCAGTCCCGAAGATCTGCTCGAGGCTGCCACCATCAGTGTCCGGCTCCCCACGACAGCTTCACTGTACTTTGTACCAGGCTTCAGGTTACAGGCTAGAAGCTGCCGACTGACTAAATAATCAAATATTTCGTACTTCTTTCCCTCCGAACGAACACCGCACTACCACCAGCGACCACGCTACCACACACTACGTGCTACGACCACGCTCCCGAGCCCTGCCCTGCGCCTGCCCTGCGCCTGCCCTGCCACCACGCCAACACCAACCCAGTCCACCCGCCAAACCCGCCAATCCAACCCGCCATCCCTAAATCAGCCCTGTTCCGGATGCCCCTCCGCTCCTCCTCGAACACTACTCTACAACAGTAGTAGCACTCTTCTCAGACTCTCCCTGTCCCTACCAACCCTACAGCACCCTTTTTGTGAGAGCGCGCGCGAAATTCCCCACCGTCTCCCGGCCTTTCTTAGACGTAGTCTCCTTCATGTACCGCACTGCCCTACATAATAATTTACTACTACTACCACCACCAGACTCCCAATCACTCCGACCCTCCTCCACTTCTCAAACCTCAGGCTAAGCCCTTCTCCCTAGCACAGCTGGACCCAGTCTCCAGTCCTAGTCCAAGGTCTCTCGCCTGTCAGCCGCCCTGCTCGCTCGCAGGCATCTTATCCCCGAATCCTGGATCAATGCTCACGCCTCGTCGTTCACCTATTCACTCACCTACTCACTCACTCAACTCTCGACGCCGCCCAGTCTTACTCCTCCAGTCCCAGAAAGTCACGTCTGCGACTGCCATCTCTTCTAATCTTCCGATGACATAACACTCTTCGTTCCATTGCCCAGGAGGACTTCTCTCTCTTTTTGTTGTATATTGTATTGCAGTAGACATTCATGTTTTTGCCTCCGTTTCTTTCTCCCAGTCGGCTCTACCGAGAACCATCGCCACCTTCCACCAACTGAGACTTCTCTAGAAGAGGTTACGCGGTACCTCAAGATTCGTTCTTTCAGCTGTGGCAATCTCAAAGTTCAGCATGGATATTCCCCATCGTGCTGCGAGGCCGGCCATGGCCCTACCGACTCCAGAGATTTATGTACAAGACCCCTCAGACCGATTTCGAACATCAAGCAGGTCGAATTCCTACGGTTCGATCCTCTCCCCGAAAACCTCCTCGATACCAATGTCAATACCGAACTCGAGGGAACCTGGTCCTCCTCCGCCGCTCCCACCACCGAGACATTTGCAGGATATAGTGGACAGTGGAAAGAGCGGCCCTGATCTTGCGTGGAAATTTGGCAATTCGCACGAATACAACAGCGACTGGGGCGGATCAGTATCATCATCAGTGGCACCTGGGTCGAGTCTATACGGAAGTTTCATGGGAAGACGGGGGGACGAACGATCAGAACGCCGTGGAAGTTCTATCTCTACGATCAAATCCACCGATTTCAAAGAGAACTCATACCCCAGATTAGACGAAGGTTATGTTAGTCAATCTGGAACCAGCATCGGATCAAATTTGTTAGTTGAATCCCCCTCATAATCCTTTGAATTCCGAAGGAATATACGCCGTAAGCAGGCCAGTCGCCTTATTACTGCGGGTCCCAGAAATATCGCAATGGCATATTTTGTATAACTTCAGCTATTCTAAGCCCATTGAATTGTGCTGACACTATCTTTACTCAGTTCGAAGTACCAAGACTCAATCTCTCCAGCCGCAGGCTTCCAAAGCTCAGTTCACGACAAATACAGAAGCAACAATGCTCAAGCATACGACAAGTCCTTGCTGCAGAAATTGGACGCTAGAAGAGGCACAGACAACTCAACCCCTCCCGGCTACAACAAATCAATATTCAGTTCCTCAGCGAACGATACTTCGCCCACGTCGCGAATAGCCCTAGAGCACCGACACCCAAGTCAACTAAAACCACTGTCGCTGCCAATTATCACGAGCAGGCCAGGTCTGGTGGAAAGTCCGTTGAGTCGATGGGCCGCGGATACTCCCCTCTCGGGGATATCTCCGGGTGGGAATTCATACTATAAATTCGGAGGTCAGGGCCAATTCGATCACCGGTCCCCAAGCGACACAGCAGAATCTGATAGATCTCCTCTTCCATACATTAAGCGCTCTGGTAGCGGCTCTGTGCCAGACGATGCTTCTAGTGTCACAAGCAGGTCGCGAGAGAGCTACGATCATAGGGTATCTCCTGACCACGATGCGGAATTTCACATGGAAGAGACTGGTTTCACACGTCTGCAGATTGACGATTACTCGAACCGATCTGATGGGTACTCGCCTGGCGCAACGGTCGGCCAAAAGAGACGTGCTTCCTCCCCTCCAGGAGACGATGGTCCATCTTTGCATACTGTGGGCAGCGCAAGTGACCTTTTCAGGAGGCGCGAATCCGGCTCTCGTACCTCCCCGTCTCCTCGTTTTCACTCGACTTCTGGATCTGTATCATCCACTGCTTCTGGCCCGAGGAACAATTCATATGCCTCCTCCTTGTCGGTTGCTGCAAGCAGTATTACAAGTATGGGCTCATATGGGAAATTGTCTCCTGGCAATGTCTCACCAGGAGGTATGGACCTGGACTCACCATACATTACATCAAATCCCAGTCCCCGCTCCTCCATCTCTAGGGCACATCACCAGCGCAATGTCTCAGAAACTAGACCTCTTCTGACATCTCGAAAACTATCGGACAGTGCTCCCCACTCCAAGCACAATAATGCTCCCTCTAAATTACAAGGCGTGTTTATGTGCGAGTGCTGTCCCAAAAAGCCCAAAAAGTTTGACTCCCAGGAAGAATTGAAGTATTTCACCCAATGGTTATTTTTGGTGGTCGATACTAATTGCATCGCAGTGTCCACGAACAGGAAAAGCAGTACCAATGTGCATATTGCTGTAATCGTTTCAAGAACAAAAACGAAGCAGAACGACACCAGAACTCTCTGCATCTACGGCGTCATTCGTGGTCTTGTGCAGCCCTCTCCGGCTATGCAGCAGCGTTTCACAACTCGCCCACTCGACCCAACGAAGCCGACACCTGTGGTTACTGCGGCGAAGATTTTCCCCGCTCCGGGATCTCCTCCCCTGCAGTGTCCGGCCCTCCCGTTTCGGTCGCCACAGATCAAGACTGGGAGGTGCGGATTGGCCACTTGCAGGAGATGCACAAATTCGGGGAATGCAACCATGCGAAGAAATTCTTTAGAGCAGACCATTTCAGGCAGCATTTGAAACACAGCCATGCAGGCACGAGCGGGAAATGGACAAACATGCTCGAGAACGCGTGCATGAAAGACGAGCCGCTGCCAGAGCCCATACGGGGCCCCGAAAGAGTGAGTCCTGGCGGCGTAAGGGTTGGACGAATTAGCGAAGAGGAGGAAATGGAGATCCTTTGAGTAAAGAGAAAGGAATAGTACACAAATATTCTCGAGATGAGTGCCGAAGAAGAAGAAAGCCACGAAACCAACTACTATACTTTCCGGGAGAACAGGACGTGTGATGAGGGATTACAAAAAGAAAAAGAAGATTTAACGGCCGTATACAAGATACCCGGTTCAGTGTTTCTATGCATTGCTTGCATACTTGTTTTCTGTTCACCAATCATCATAACGGGGCGGGCGGCGGCGGCGGATCGATCAAAGTGACGACGCATATATTTATATGTCTTCTCTTTTTCCGACTTCAGCATTTACCTTCCTAACCAAACGAAGGAAACACAATTGCATCCATCCATCCAGCACAATTGGCGTCGGGGGCATTTATTCGATCGATCTATATTTTGTTTGCGGATTGGAAATAGGTATGGGTGAGATGCACGGGACGTGCTCTCTTCTGGGTTTCTGGGAAGGGAACGGGATGGGAATTGCTGGGTTGCTTGTTTGCTTGCGCCTAGCTGACCGGTTTGATATAAGGCTAGCTAGCAAAGCAAAGTTCTTACAAAAAAATTACGAGATATGATAAGAAGGAAATGATTCCAAAGAAAATAAACTCAAATCGAAGCTGTGCCCTTGACTGTGCCTTTTGGATCTTCCTTCGTTTCAAGTGTCAAATACGAGCCTCCTTCCTATGCCGTCTTTGGAGAGACGAGCGAGCTTGTGCCGCGAACCTTGTTTTAGGCTTGAAATATGGGCCGGTAGTTGATTTGTACCATATACGAGATCTGTAAAACGAATCCTCCATACATACTACCAGTAGAAAGAAAGACTAGATAAGCAAGGGTAGCTACCTACGTACTCGTAGATCCGCGCCCAAAAACATAGGGTCATTTCGTACAGTAGCATGCATGTTCGTGGCTAAGCTTCATTATCTAGCCTCACTGGCCTATCTTCTGCCCTCGAATGCTACCTAAGAGACGTAGCTAAATCAAAAGCTTATCAGACAGTTCCGCCCCCAAATGTGCAGTGCAACGACGATCCGAGATTCCTTGCGCCCCCGCAAAGAGGGGGATCCGGTGATTAGGGTTCCATATCAGGCTTTACTGCGAAGATGAGTGACGGTAAGGCTGAGGCTTGTTGGGGGCGGGGTTGCAATGCATGTCTTGGTGGGGAAGAGTGTATAGTATTTGCTGCCGGTTGAACGAAGATCTAAATTGCAGTGCGGTTCTGGTTGCCTTGGATGGAGGTTTGTAAGGTTTGGTGGGAAATTCGGGTTCTTTGTTGGAGGTTGAGATCAAATTGTCCGGTGTTAGTGTTGGCTGTGAGGAATACGACGTTTTGGGAATGCTGGTGTTAGTATTAAATGGAGAAAATCGAAGTGTTTGGAACCCCACTTTTGATGCTCGAACCGAGCCCCTTTTTTGGCGAGAAGGTGCTGTTAGGAGTGAACTTCGCAATTAGCACTTTAGAGTCAATTCTAGATTAAAGAAGAGATTTGGAGTATTGTTCCAAATTTCAATGGATTCGTGCTTTTGGTGCTATATGAATTTATTATGTCGTTGGTTGCAAGTATTTGTCATTCCTAGAGAAATGGAAATATCCCATACACGACGGAGAGATCACTTGATGAACAAAAACCTTTCACTATACAAAAACAGTATGTGAAAGAGCGTTTTACATACTATTGACGTATTTCTAGAAGACTTGTGTCTTTCTCAAATAATTTGGTTTAATACGCGAAAAATAATCGAAGTATTGGGAGGGATTTTTGCTGCACAGTTCACACTCGCCTTGAATGGGATATCTATCATCTACTAACACGATCTATTTCTTGACGATATTTTCTAGAGCTTAATATGTATTCGGATGCCGCTTACTCGTTATCCCAGTACCTGCATAGACAGCTCAATAGCAAAAGGTAGAATAATAATTATTGAGCTATTCGCGGTGCTGCCTGGTGGCAGTGAGATGCCTCCCGCAGCCGAATTGGCACCAAGCATGAACAAGAGACATCTAACGACTACTCGCGTGTCTCAATGACGAGGATAGCTAAGAAGAGAAAGATGGGGAAAGAAGTATTGTTGGGTAAGGTTCGTCTCAGTCTACAGCTTCTACAATGTAGTAATCAAAGCACAAAGCCTTGGCTCATTGAACTCTTTACGTCTGTGTTACGTCTTAGAATTGCAATATCCTTGTCTCGATGGATAAAAGAGTGATCTTCCTAGTAAGCCTATTTTCGATTTGTGTCAATACCCTTGGAGGAAAGCAAATACTTCCACCGTTGCAATTCTGGCTTTCCAGACATCCAAACCTTACATACGAGGCAAGATGATATGATGGAAGAGAGGATGATCACTGGTAGAATCTTTTTGAGTTATCAGATGGACTTCGCCTTCTCATTCTCGGAGCCCAGCGCCATCTCTGGCAATTTCCCATATCTTTTCAGATAGGCTTCGCACTTCTCCTGTCAAGAATTGATTCAGATATCATGGTGGATGTCGTTAATTGCAGTCCGCACCGATCATTATCCTATCAGCACATCTAACTGGCAGTAGAGATCTCTTCAAGCTCAAATATTTAGAGCAGAACATCCGATTGTGACATTGATAGCCTCGCGGGAAAGCACAAGAAGGACAGAATATGTCTCCATCAACGTTGAAAAGCTGTTACATATAGTGAGGAGTTAGAATTGGTGTCTTTCTCGCTTGGAATAAAGACACTAGATAATAGAGGACTGATATGATCACCCATAATGCGATAAGAGGTATAATGAGAGCGTCAAGGAAATCTTTGCTCGTAACATTAACCTTGAGGACAGACAGCGGTCATAAAACCCAGGTCATTCCTTTTCCTAGCTGCGAGAAAGGCAGCTGCAAGCCACCAGAAGAGCGGAGGGAGTACTGACAGGATGATAGCAATAGTGCCTGGCAACTTGAAGCTTCAGCTTCAGGCTGCTGGGTTCGAGCTGGAATTCAAATGGAGGAGAAGTATCGTTAAGCCAGCAAAAGAGCCAAGAATATCATCCACCATGATATCCGCTAGTCCACATTCTAACAAAAGCTTCAAAAAGACCCAGCCTTCTTGTCAAAAGAACGGCGCGTGTTCGAACGGCGAAAATAAGAAATATGTCCATGTCAATGTGGTTTTGGTTGAGAGGGATAAGCCGACGCCTGCGTGTAATTGGATCACTGTGGACTATGATCGTTGTTCCGAAAAGGCGCAAACCTTACTGGCGCATGGTGATGGTCTCTAGGAACATATAGCAAAACCCCTCTTACCAAAACAAGGAGATTGCTTGTACTCATGTGGGAGCTCCCGAACGTCCTCTGGTGCTTATGGTAATCTTCTGCATGATTTTGTTCCAAAACTTATTAGCGTGCGGAACCAACCAGGTAGATATTACTATGCCTAAGAGTAAGGCGGAACAGATCCAACTTCAGTAGCAATCCAGTTTTTTCCGTTCTCCTTCGCCATTCAGACATCCAGAGATAAAATGGTCGCTTTAGAGCACAGGTTGGAGGAAGAGGTTGCCGCCGAAATGTGGTCGAGCTGGAATACGAAGATATACTAGAAAAGAACAAAAACCTGAAGGCAGAGCTAACCAAATTGGCTGGATGAAAAGACAAACCCTAGAAGTTGTTTTCTAAAGAAATAGTCTAGAACAAAAGACTAGGCTTCATAAAACATAGTCTCCTCAAGCCCCTCCTAAGTGAAAACCTCGTATAAAATATGCTAGCCTCCCTAGTTTTCATTTCACTTTTTTTCATTTTTTTCTTCTTTAATCAATAAAACTACTATCGTTCAAAAAAATAATAGAACCGTGTGATTGCCTTCGAGGATCATTGGGTAGACTGGGAGGGTAAATCCTCGACTCTCTTTGTTGGCGGAGAGGGTACCAGGATTGTTGGTGAAAGAGGAGAACTAGAGTCCACTTTCTTCCTTGCCAATCACCCCGATGCTTCGACAGTAAACTGCTTGCAGTAGAAAGATATGCGTTACGTGTTCCTTTCTACCGGGTTTGATTATTTGGACACTGGTACTAACTTCTCATAGATTATCCCGGACAAATCAGCAAGTCGAGAAGGACAATATCAAGAGAGCTGTTCGGGAGCCATTGCACTATTAAGTGCAGAAATCGATAAGTCAAAGCAGCAGGCCGATATCGACAAGATGGGGATCCAGTAACATATAAGGGATGATGTCCTTCTCCTGTATTTTACTTGTCTGTGTATATTGTGGGACAATTACAGCTTTGCTATCTTGTCGGACTGAGATTCAGATCTTAAGGTCTGATAAATCATAGACAGCAATAAAAGAACTAAAGCAAAGTCTGAACCTTTCCCCGTCTTTTTAAGTCACAAAAGTCAGGTCCAAGAACTTTTGACCTGTAAATTTTGCTTGACACAAATTTAAACAGCCATGACGATGAGAGCAAGTAAGACAAGTTACAGGGATATCATATCTATTGACAAAGCAACTTTTGAGACTTCTCACTTCTTTAGAGGCTCACCGTTTTCCGCTATTAAAGATTCCTCCGTTCGGATAGGCCCCTCTCCCACAGAAGTCAAAATGACTCTGCTTACCCCCTCCTTGAGCACCTGTACCGCCTTCGCATCCACCCCCTCCGTATCTTGAACCTTGATATCTCGTCCTTGCCATCCGTCCAAACTACCCAATGCAGATTTCAACACACCAGCAACTTGCTCAACGTTCTCTTCCTCAAAGTAAATTACAGCATTTGGTCCCGCATCAAAGGTATACGCTGCAACGATCTTTCCAGCTTTCTTATTGATATCTTCCACCACCCTGATCGCCGAACGAGAAACATCGTTCAGGTAGAAAATCGGCGGGAACGTATCAAGACAAACGCTATGGAAAGAGTTCGAATCCATCATCGTAACCTTTGCAAAAGTCTCAAAGTCCTTCTCCTTGATCGCCTTCTCCATCATCTCCATATGCTGCGGAACCACGACCTCGGCTCTGTGCTTAAACAGCTTCGATGTCGCAACTGTGATCTGCATCCCAGACGTGCTGCTCACGCCTTTCTTCTCGGCGGATACTACCAAGATGAGAGCCCGCATGGTGGGCCAGTGCGAGGCGGGTGCTACTTCCACGGCGACGCTGTCAGAGCCGTCTGCTTTGCTGCCCATCTGCCATGCTACATAGCCACCGAACAGCGATCGACAAGCACTGCCGCTCCCTTGTCGTGCGATCCGTGAGAGATCTGTAGGTGAAGAAGGGAGCTCGTAGAGGTTTGCAATAGCGCGAACCAGGGCTGCGAATCCGGCAGCGGAAGATGCGAGACCGGCGGCTGTGGGGAAATTGTTCTCGGAGACGATGCGGAGGGGGAGGGTAGAGAGTTTGGGGAGCGAAGAGTCGGAGGCTTCGAGGGAGGAGCGGAGAGCGCGTAGTTCGCGGAAGCAGGCTTGGGTTCGGGCGCCTGTTACGTCTTGGGGGGAGGAGTTCAGGAGGAGGGTGTCTTCGTTTCCGAAGGAGGATGAGCAGGCGGCTGTGGTGTGGGTTCGGAGGTCGGCTTGGGAGAGGGTGACTGAGACGGAGGAATTGGTTGGGAGGTTGAGTTTGGGATCTCGTTTTCCCCAATATCTGGAGCGTTCTGTCAGTAAGAATAGGAGTGCGGGGGAGGGGTACTGACTTGACGACTGCGATGTTGACTGGAGCAGTCGTACTTGCTTGGTAAATCTTCTTGTCCGCCATATTTTATGTACTTATTGCTGTCAGATGGACGGACGATCTGATGACAGCAATAGATACTCAATTGTCGAGAAAGAGTATTGCGACTTTGTTTTGAGGTCTCGAACAATAAATTAGGAGGCGGTCAACCAAAATCCAATCGGCGTTGACCAACCAGAGAACAGACATTTTCAGGGCCCAAAATATTTATTGCAGGGGTATTCGACATCGACTCCAAAGCTTAAATTATAACTTCTCTCAACTCACCACAACTACAATGGCGAAAGACACGGAAGCACCTGCAGAAGCATGTCCAGTTGACCATGCTACTCGAGCAGCATGGCTCAAATCGAATGCATCCAAACCTGCCGTCTTCCCTGGCACCACCAAAGAAGCTGCTCAGGCAAGTCAAGGAAACAGCTGCGATTCCAGCACTGTAGACCAATCGCCACCTCCTCCCAAGGGTCTCTTCGCCAGATTTACTAGTCCTGCTGCTGCTTCAGGTACACCGAAATCATTGGCTTTGGATCGAGAAGTTTCTTCTATCCCAAGAGCGTCTGCGGTAAACAACGATGCGGGAGCCAAACCTGCGAATAGCGAGAAGGAAAGCGGTGTTAGTGCGAGCGGGAATTGGATATACCCGTCTGAGAAGATGTTTTTCGAGGCGATGAGGAGGAAAGGATATAGCAGTGATGCGAAGGATATGAAGACTATTGTGCCGATACATAATGCTGTGAATGAGAGGGCTTGGAAGGAAATCAAGGAATGGGAGAGGCCTTATGGAAGTGAGCAGAAGTACGTTAACATGGGAAATAACAAGTGTTCCAAGATCACTAGCTAACAAGTCTTAGATGTGGTGGTCCTAAACTCCATTCATTCCTCGGACTTTCAACGACACTTAGTCCCAAAGCGAGATTCAATACCTTGATGGGATATACTGCTCCTTTCGATAGGCACGATTGGGTTGTGGATAGATGTGGAACAAGAGTGGAATACGTTATTGACTTCTATGCTGGAAGAGATGAAGGCAAAGGAAACGGGAAACTGAATTTCTTCTTGGATGTAAGACCCAAGTTGAATACGTGGGAGGGATGGAAAATGAGAGGAGCCAAATGGATTGGCATTGTATGAATTCGTGTATATTGGAGAGCATTTGGCGTTGGATGGAATTGGGAAAGGGGAAGCATAGCTGCTTTGATTCATGGATGTGGGTGTTAGTGTACGACTATGTCCTGTATGATATGTGGTGCATATAGATGATGTTAGGCCGATACGATGTATCCCCTCGGCGGTTCTGTCGGTAGTAGAACTAATACCACTCCCATTATGATCACGGTGTAATGTACTCATGAGCACCAATGGTTAACACTTTGGACACCACAACTTGCGACAACAATCTTTAGCTTGAATAATGCAGTAAAAGTAGACAGTTAAATGGCAATAGTCTAAAGTATCTTAATACCTGAAACCTTGAGGATGAGCGGGTCTCTTGATCCTTGTACCTGATTGTGTCTCCAACGCAGATGTTTTGGTATCCCAGCCAACCCTTTCCAAGTGACCTAGAATCCCTCTATCAATTCCACGGATCTTCTCCAGAGTCCGCTTAAGAGCATCTAACAACACCTCGTCTTTTTCTTTACCATGCTTAGCAAAGTACAAGGCAAAGAGCCCTATTGTTCACAAACTCAGAGTTAGTATGCCACTTTTGAAAAGTTCTCGGGGTCTGAAGGTGCAAAAGAGTACTTCAGAAGTTTCCGCCAGACGCAGATAGACAAGAAAGCACCAAGAAGCCCAGGAAATTGGAGACCAGGAAGACAATTTGGGCGGTTAAAACTTACATGCAGAAAGTTCCGCTTCAGGACTCGCATCCTTCCCCAACACAACCAAGAACATTTTGTTCGGCTCATCAAACCAAATGATGTATGGAACGTCATTGAATATAGTCAGTAATCGTCCAAAGTCAGGAGCGTCTGTGTAGCTCCCTGTAGTTTCATCCTTCCTATTGAAGCAGCTCAGTAAAGTCCCGAGGTCGACTCCTACTTTGCAATGTCCAAGGGCTTCGCCATTCCATCTCAAAACACCATCTTCTTCGAACACACGCTCTCGACGGCGTATATCGTTCGGAGTTGGGCCGAGTAACGTATCGAGGGCTATGAGGCCTCTCCAGAGATTGTTATTATCGGCGTGTTTTTCAACATGATCCAGTGCAGTGGAAAATGCTAGGTTGGCTCGTTGTCTGTTAAGTGTCCGCATGCAGACTGCACGGACTGCTAGATAGTTCGTGCCTAGATGGATTGCTAATAAGAAGATCATGGCTGTCCAGGTAGCCAGTTTTGTGGAGATCCGGGAGACAACCAAACTCCCAGCGAGCATACCCAGAAGGGAGATGATGGTTTCCTGACTAGAGTCTTTCTGCTGCCCCTTAGCAAACCTCTATCCAGTCGGATGGGGTCACGAACCGCATTCAACTCCCCAAGATTGCCCTGGGTAGCAAAATGAGCACTCAACGATGCTTTCGAGCTTCCGGCTGCCACACCGCACAAAGCTCGAAGCACACTTGAAAGACTCAACAACATGACTCTTGATGCCTTTGGAAGAGCCGGAGACAGACAATCGAGTATCATGGCAGCATCATTGAAAATATCAGCCGCTAATCGATACATCTTGCATTCAGGTTCGAGCGAAGTGCCGAGTCTATGGGCGAAGAGAATCGTGGCGATTCGGCCCATGCTTTCTTGTAGGACGGAGAGGAGAAGTGCTGCGGTTGGTGATGCGCCTGAGTCTCCGACACCGATTCCTGTGAAGATTGAACATCTGACTGAGTGACAAAATATAAGAGGGCTTACCTTCTAATACTGCTCTTGAAGATAGCATGCCCGCAATTGAGCTTGAAAATGCTTGCAGTGAGTCCTATTCAGTCTCAGCACGAGAACCAGATTATGATCTCATACCAAAGACACGTTTCAAGGACCTTACATAGATTTGATACCTGAAAGGACTATTAGCTTGATATATTCAGACGAAGTCCAAGCTACTCACTCCAGATAATCACTCGTGACGCTATGTGGGTAGCCCGCAGGCAAAAACGCATTCAGAATACTTCTCGCATAGTTAGTCGAGTCTCGAGGTATCTGTTCTCATTATTAGTCTATACTCTATACACTGGATTTAAAAGTTCCTTACGATAATATCGACTCGTCTGCCTTTCTCTCCTGAAGGGCTTGTGATATAGGTTGCTACGAGGTTGTTTGCTTGGTCCGTCTCCTCGATCTCGATATGAGAGTCTGAGATGGGTTTCTGAGCCATGCTGAGAGGCCGGTGTGATAACTTTCACATATTCTCATCAATCAGTAATGGATTGTGGAAAACCTGTCTTTTCGTTAAGATTGATTCAACGGAGGAAGTGGTGTGTGGAGGCTACGTTTCGTTTTAAGAGATGAAGCGGGGAATAGGTCTTATCTTGTCTTTCATTAATATTACTATTCAATCAAGAAAGAGGATCTTCTAAGTTGACTACAGAATTAATTTGATTTTGCAAAGCATGAAATACAATGCATCACGAGCATTTTCTTCTTTCGACCTGAGAGCTGAAGTTATGTGGTCACGTGTTCACAATAGAGGATAGAACGATAGGTTAAGTCCTTTGTAATTTTGATATTGCTTGGAATCAATACTCCGGATTGAAGCCTCCATATTCAAAACGAAAGCCATATATACAGTTCAGCCCCAAACCCTGATGCTAAACAAAGTAACTGTTCCCGACCCATTTTCCCCCCACCCAACTCGTGTCGATATCGTGCTCTTCATGAAAGCATTGGGAGCTTTTATTGAATTTCCTTCATCATACAAGCTTTTGGGAGCAAGTTCTCAGCATCCTTTAACAGCAGCAAAGCAATTCTCGTTCTCCTGGGGTATCCTTGCTTTTCCCTCTATAATTTGTACAGATTTCCTCGATCAAAGCTTTTGCCAACTCAGCAGACGAGTGTAGCACCTCCAGTCTCAATGGCATCGATTTCCGAGAGGTCAATGGGCTGCCGTCTGAATCTTGCAGGCAGCTCATTGCGATCGAAGTATTCGCCCTTGACCGGAGCAACGGAACCCAGAGAGTGCCCCGAAACAGAGCCTAGGCTACCATCTGCGCTTGCGTTTGCACGTCCAAGAGGACCATGCTGTTGTGCCTTTTGTCTGTAAGACGAGAATGACGCGGAGGACTTTTGAGAGAAATCGGAAGGAAGTTCGTGGCTGGGAGAAGCTGGGTGGGCGTGTGGTGTGTGGTCCACAGAAGCTTAGAAATTTGTTAGAATGTAACTCTTAGCATCAGAGAGATTGGTATCGTACATGGAAGCGACCGCTTGCCAATGAACTTGATCATTGGTACTCGCTCTGCGTGAGCTGCCCGGAGAACCTTGGTTGCGGCAAACATTGTGACGGTGAAGTTTAACGAAGGATGGATCACGGTGAAGCTGGCGACAAGGAAGGACTGCTGGATAGGACGAATATGAGGGCGAGAACAGAGCTTGTTGTTGCGCAATGATCCGGTGTTGAGGGAGTGGGATAGATATCGTCAAAGCAGTTGCACGCACTAGCTTATTTATTAAACGGGGACAGCTTCTACTGTAGTCCGGTTGATCGCCGAATCCGCAGCAAAGGCAGCACAGAAAAAGAAAAAGTGAGCTGGCAATGCGAAAATCGGACGATGCCCGCAAATTTACTTCTCAACCTCCTCTTCTTGCGAAGCTACACAAAATATGATAGGGTGAATCAAGTGGTGAGACAACAGGATTTCGCAGATTTTCGGTCATTTTCCATCTGGGCAAGAGAAAGCGATACCACATGGAACTCGGCGCTGCATGCAGGCCGCAAAAATCGCACGATTCGGGGCATCCCGCCCTGGAGAACAGGAGAAAAACACTGCGGAAAAGAGCGGAAAAGCGGGCGACAGAAAATTTCTGGGGTTTCGATGTTCACCAGCAGCAGTGATTGGTCTCCAGAGCTGCATCCCCATCCGTTCATGCATGTGAAAACTCGAGAACACATGTGAAGCACGGCATAGCTTCCCTTTCTTGCGAAAAGCTTTCCTTCCATCCATATCATCCCACTTTCTGCAAGTACTTGGGCGCAATAAACGTGGGGAAGAGTTTTACCCCTCGACTTGACGTTGGATGTCTCGAGGCAATTGGAAGAGGTTTTGCCCTCAAATCCCTCGTCTCAGCTTGTCTGAAAAAATTTGGATGATCATTTTGTTCACGGATTGTTTCATGCTGCTTTCTATTCTTGTTGACTCAGCTTGCTCTATGTCACACATACGTGTTTCTGTTTCGATACATTTCAATTCGAATACCTTGATAAACTACACCAATTGAAGGAGCGTCTCTGGAGCACACATTTCGGAGGCCTCGGGTTTCCGAGAGATATTGTTAAGATTGGGAAATAAGATAATATTGTTCCATAGTTTGTGGAACAATATAAGTAGCCTCAGTGCTCAAAATTCAAGGATGGAGTGCTGTCAGAATGACATCGACTGCCTTCTACCTTGAATCTCGTAAAGTCTACTTTTCCTACTTATGTTATCCCAGAAGTTCTAGAACAATATTACCTTATATTCTCTTTAATGGGTCTACAAAATCAGCTTTCTACAAGACTATATATTAGAGAGTCACATTCATGTTTGCATACTTGCACATTCATCTTAGGTGTATTTATGTGTCACCAAACAATTTGTATCATTGTTCCAGTACGGCGTGGACTATGCAAAACAAATATCCCCACCCCTTCTCCAACCCCACAACATCCTGTCTCCAATGACAAGCTGCAATGTGTGCATAATGTTTGAAATAAACGTGGAAGCCTTTGCTAGCACCTTCCCCAGTAAATTCAACTCAGCACGTCATGACACAGCAGCCCTGTCTCACAAGTACCGCCTTTAATTGGCAAAGTCATCAATGGCACCCTGGAAGTCCGAATCAATAGTTGCCTTCTGTGCCGTAGCCTGATCTTTGCTATCAGCAGAAGCAATAGCGATCAGAGCATCAGCAAAAGCGTCTGTATCGCTTTTGAGCGTCGCGAGATCATTCTGGACGATAGAGGTAAGTCCATCAGCGGCGAAATTGGCTTTCTTGTTCTCGACAGCCGTCAAGGAAGCGGCGATGTCGGGCGTCAGGTTATTGATAGCAGCGAGGATGGATTTGGAGTCGGCGGAAGAAAGTTGAGAGGTTGCCTGAGCATCGCTTGTCCCTTGGTTTATGGATTTGTCGAGAGTGGACTCCGCGCTTGTGATGGGAATGGCTGCAAGGACGCCACCGTTGTAGTTGTTTGCGGCGGTGGTGAGGGCCTTGACGTTGGAGTCGATGGTGGAGATATCGCTGAGGATGGTGTTGACATCTCGCTTGCCAAGGGTGAGAGCTGTGGCGGCTGTGACGAGGAGGAGGACGTTCTTGATGATGACCATGTTGGAGAGTTTAATTATGAGAATATATATTGGAGGAGGAGAACAGCTCTTGAATCTTGAAGAGGCGGTTCAGTATAATGGATATCGTGAGAGTGCGAAGTATGGCAGCTGGTGATGGGAATCGAAAGCACCATCTGTGCTTATATGGACTTCAAGAAAGGACTACGGATACGGCTAGGTAGTGGCAACACGGACTTGTGAATGATGCCAAGGAAACATATGGGAGCCGCGGTATTGATTTGAGAATCTCATGGCAGTCATCTTGGTGTATCTTGCTGGAAGAAATAGAGTCTTCCAGAAAGCCAGTACAGAGCAAGGAAAGTGCATGGAAGCTAGAAAAGAGCATCTCGGGCATTATCACAAGCCTGCTTGTGATCCTCTCTCAACCCCGCATCAATATATAGAACTTACATTTCTCCACACCTTGAGACGAAAACTATTTATAATAAAAACTGGAACTGATGTATCGCTAGAACAGAAACGTGCCTCCGGTGAGACTCAGTCGAGGGCAAGCAGGGTACCACGTACTCCAATTTGTCTTAGACAATCTGCAGCTACCGGCAACTACCAAACTTCCAGGGGAAGGGATCTGTGAGCAGTGTGGGGTAGACCCAGAGTAAGTAGGCTAGAAGTAACTTTATACTCACTTGCCTCGGAGTCTCTTTCAGAGTTGGGGACCTTCACTCTATATGACTTCAAAAAGAACGAACCAACATGCTCTTGAAAAGAAGACTTGAAATTCTAAACTTTGTCGACATTTTAAGAAGACCTTTGGAGAGGAGAAAGCAAGTCCTTGTGCCAGCTTCAACATACCACTTCCGAAGCGAACCCACTGCCGAGGCTTGTGGTGCCCGTCTGAAACTAACCAATCTGCCGATACTGTAAAGGAGGCCGATGTATTGAGGCAGCAGTGTGGAGAAGGACTAAAGAGTGAGTACCTTATATTAGTTGAAGTCTCTGCCGAAATCGTGGGGAGTGGTAGGGCCTCTTGGCTGAAAACTACCTAGGCTGTCGTAACAAATTTGTCTTCTGATCGAGGCATCTCGTGAATTATTCTGTGTGAGTGAATGTCAACATTCTACTTGATATAATCTGAATATCCCTGATGATGTAGCTTCTTTGCTGCGAGGATTGTTGAAATGTCCGTGAAGTGATTGATGTTTGTGTAGCTCCGTTCCGTTCCATGGTAAGGAAAGTAGAAGTCGATCTGATTGGCCGAAACTCTTCGCTTTCCTCTCAACGTCAAGTATTGTCATCTCAACCACAGCGTTGTGGTCCAAACTTGCTTCCGACAGCATGAATAAATTTTGGGTACGATGAGAAGTGAATTGATTTTTTATTTATGTCCATTTAAGTCATTTTCACATCAGGCTAGTACACTCAATATTTCACGAATTGGTCTACCCTGAAGGCTTGTCTATCCACCTCAATATTGAAGCGACCGGTTCGACATATCTTCATTCGAATTAACGATTGGATTTACCTGTAAGAATGACAACATCCTATATGACTGAATTATCTATTGCGCTCAACCAAGCTAACATACACAGGGCGCAACCATGCATGAACTCTTCCTCACCACGCACGTTGGCAATGATGACCTCCAACGAGCTCTTCGCATCCTTCAGGGATATTGTGCCATGAGTCCAGGAAATATCGTGCGCCGTCGTTTGACTTTCGAGGGTCCACGTACCAGAACGCCTAAGGGCATAGACCCTGGCTTCATCACGAAGCAACCTCAACCCAAGATCCTTCAATGGAGAGGTCTTTCTGAACAGTTGGCTCGTCAGTCATATGTCCTGACCTTGGTTTATGATGTCGATCGGGAGCAATTTGGGCAGCCTTCGACTCAGCCAGATGAGTCCAGTTCACTCGGCGGAGATCAGTATGTTTTATTGCCCTTTCTAGCCAGAACCAAGTAAAAGTTTGATGCTAACATATTCTTCAGAGTGTCTGACTATGACCAGATCCCCGGCATTCTACGATGGAATGACCTTCCTGATCCAGCCAGCTCACGTCCTGTCAATAGCCGCTTAATTGTAAGCATTGAAAATGAGAAAGGCTTATTGTCAGTAATGAAGTCTATGAACCACAGGTAAGCCTACATTGATCTGCTTTATTCATTGCAGTGCGTCTCCATACATCTACGAGGGTGTGTTTCCATGGTCCCAATTTCAGCGAGCCATATGGGATGTAGTTAGTCTAACTCTAATTGTCTACTAGATTTTCCAGAGAGGTTATTCAGGAGTGCAATAGATTCGTGTATGGGAATGTCGTCTTCGAGCTTAATCGCTACCTACAACTGCCACCAAATGACTCGCCTTTGGGGTTCAGCCCTGAACTACCTTCTTTTGAGTCTCTGGTACCTTTTGATGGCGACAACAAGTGGATTTTGACTGCCAGCGCGTTGGTTTTGGACGGGAACAACCCGGAGCAGATGCAGAAAGGCATTGATGAGTTGGTGGCAGTGAAGCTGGACTTTGAGGGTTGTTTTGAGTTCCAAGCTATGGATAGGCACATTTTTGATCCTAGGATCAAGTTCCGAGGTAGCTAATGAGAAATGTGTTTAGGGCTCATCATGGGAGGATAAAGTATGCGAGGAGGCAGCATAACTGTCTGAGATACTCAAAGACTATCGGAAAGAAGACGTCTCCACCAAGCTGGCTTCAGCTTAGAGAGTTCAGAATCCAAGTAGTACCCACGAACCTCAAGAAATTTTGTGATCACTTCCCAGAAATCTATCCTGGGTTTTGCCATTGTGCCAAATACTGTGAGACTTCTCCGTACAGCCATGCCCCAACTTTCATGTATCCTTGAGGTCGTGCTCACTTCTTGAATGCTTCAGATTGTAGCAATTTGTAAATCACAGATTGTAGCAGAGGTGAATTCGGATTTCCGGGAGACGATAGAATTTCAATTCTGTCCCATGGTACCCCTGCGACTTCTATAACCATACACTCGTCCCATTGCTGTACATCCCTTCCTCTATTGATTCTTGTATGTCTGCCAAACAGCGACGCCGAAAGGTGCACCTGCCACGAACATAAGTCACTGTCATAACATCATACGTTTGGAGACCCACCGAATCCAACAGCCATGAATGTCCAGTATCTCAATGCAAACCACTTCGTCAAGGGATTGAACGGAATGTTGCTACGTGGGCCTTCTGGGTAATGGTATGGAGAACTGAGCTGAGCTCTGGTGGAGTGGAAGCCTCGACGGGCGACCATTGAGGTCGTGGATGAGGCGCGGAGTGCTGTTCGGGATAGCATCTGGTCGACGTCAACTTCAAACCTATCGGAGGGTAGACGAGAGGCTGGGGGTAGCTGGAGAAGCCATTACCTTGAGGAATTGATGATCTAGTGAGTCTCAATTCGTGTGTATTGAAGTTTGAGGAATTCGTTATCGTACGAGAAGCTCTCCTAGTGCTCCGAGAGAAAGCACAAAAGTCGACTAACTCTATGAGGTTAGCGAGTGCGACAGGGAAGTCCCGCAGCTATCCAAAAATTATTTATCGACCAAATCCGATCTGAATCTCAAAATAGCTTCCTGACTTCGTAATGTTTTGATCTTCATAAATACCACGCATAATGGACGATCTATTCGGAGTGTTCGAGGAGAGCTCACAGCAAAGTGCGCCCGCCAAAAAACCTAAGAAGTCGAAGAAGGAGAAGCTCGACAAGAGCAAGAAGAGAAACGCAAATGGCGAAGTCAAGAAAGCCTTGGACGACCAAGATGGCGATGCGGACATGGTAGATGCGGATATACAGGACGAGGAAGATAATGCGCTTGTCGAGAAAAAGGATACGAAAAGGAGGCGCCGAGAAGAAGAAGCAGAACCAGTCGTCACAGATTCCTTCCAGACCGAGCAGTCCAGAGAAGTTGTAGCTGCGGCAGGACTACAAGCCAAAGACGATGGTGCATTGGTTCTTCAACATAACATTCAGCATCAAGTTTCCCTGCCTCCAAACTACAACTACGTCCCGATCTCACAACATGTACCACCTGCGGTTCCGGCTCGCAAGTGGCCCTTCGAGTTGGATCCCTTCCAGAAAGTAGCTATCGCCTCGATTGAACGGTCAGAGAGTGTACTGGTGTCGGCGCATACGAGTGCTGGAAAGACTGTGGTTGCAGAATACGCTATCGCCCAATGCTTGAAGAACAACCAGAGGGTCATCTATACCAGTCCCATCAAAGCATTGAGCAACCAGAAATATCGAGAATTCACAGCAGAGTTCGGCGATGTCGGTTTGATGACTGGCGATGTGACGATCAATCCCACAGCCACCTGTCTTGTTATGACAACAGAAATTCTACGATCTATGCTGTACCGTGGTTCAGAGATCATGCGAGAGGTTGCTTGGGTCATCTTCGACGAGATTCACTACATGCGAGATAAGACAAGAGGTGTGGTCTGGGAAGAGACGATCATTCTATTGCCGGACAAAGTCAGATACGTCTTTCTGTCAGCTACTATCCCAAATGCTATGCAATTCGCCGAGTGGATCACCAAGACACACCAACAGCCGTGCCATATTGTCTATACAGATTTCAGACCGACGCCGCTTCAGCATTATTTCTTTCCCGCTGGAGCTGACGGTATTCATCTGATTGTCGATGAGAAGGGCAACTTCCGAGAGGAGAATTTTCAGAAGGCCATGGCTGCCATTGAAGAAAAGAAAGGAGCAGATCCAGCAGATATCAATGCTAAGCGAAAAGGTCACGGCAAGGACAAAAAGACAAACAAGGGAGCTCCCAATGAGAATAACGACATCTACAAAATTGTCCGCATGATCATGGTTAAGCACTACAATCCTGTCATCGTTTTCAGTTTCAGCAAAAGAGAATGCGAGGCATATGCGTTACAGATGTCTTCGATGGCTTTCAACGACGAATCAGAGAAGGCAATGGTCACCAAGGTTTTCGAAAGTGCCATCGAGTCCCTCTCAGATGAGGACAAGACCCTCCCACAAATTCAACACATCTTGCCGCTCCTTCGCCGCGGAATTGGAGTTCATCATTCTGGGCTGCTACCAATTTTGAAGGAGACAATTGAGATCCTGTTCCAAGAGAACTTGATCAAAGTACTCTTTGCTACGGAAACTTTCTCCATTGGCTTGAATATGCCAGCAAAGACTGTAGTTTTCACGAGCGTTGAGAAGTTCGATGGTACCAAAACCCGATACTTGACTCCGTCAGAATTCGTACAAATGTCTGGACGTGCTGGTCGAAGAGGTCTTGATGATAGAGGCATTGTTATCATGATGATCAACGGCAAAATGGAGCCTCAAACCGCCAAGGAGATTGTTCGAGGAGAGCAAGACAAGCTTAATTCCGCGTTCTACCTTGGGTATAACATGATCCTCAACCTGATGCGAGTGGATGGCATCTCTCCCGAGTTTATGCTAGAGCATTGCTTCTATCAATTCCAAAACACCTCGAGCGTGTCGGGATTGGAGAAGGAACTTCAACAACTTCAGACACAACGAGACAGCATTGTCATTCCTGATGAAGCTACTATGAAGGAGTACTATGAACTACGAGAGCAGATTGCATCTTACACCAAGAATATGCGCGATGTCATCAATCATCCCAATTACTGCTTGCAATTCATGCAACCCGGACGTGTTGTTCATATCAAGTATCGGGACGTGGATTTTGGCTGGGGAGCTGTCGTCAAGTTTGCTCCTGTTCGCCCTGGTCAAGGAGGAGAAGAGATCTTGCCCCAAGAGTCATATGTTCTTGACATCTTGCTACCGGTATCAGACGGTTCATCGGTCGGAGTGCATAGCCAAAATGGTATACCTCCTGGAATTAGACCACCTGCTAAAGGTGAAAAAGGAAGGATGGAAGTCGTACCAGTTCTCTTGTCATGCGTAGAGGCGATCGGCCATGTTCGGATATTCTTGCCGCAAGATCTTCATCCGGCAGACCAAAGAACCAACGTCCGGAAATCCCTCGACGAAGTTAAGCGTCGATTCCCTGATGGCATTGCGATCCTTGATCCTATCGAAAACATGGGCATCACAGATGAGTCTTTCAAGAGGCTCCTTCGTAAGATCGAAGTCCTTGAGTCAAAATTGCTTTCTAATCCTCTGCACGGTTCGCCACGCTTACCGGACTTGTACGATCAATATGCAGAGAAGATTGACATTGGTCGCAAGATCAAGGAGAAGAAGAAGGCTGTTACTGCCGCCTTGAGCATTATGCAGCTCGATGAGCTTAAGTCTCGCAAGCGTGTATTGCGACGTCTTGGATTTATCAACGACCAAGAAGTTGTAGAGTTGAAGGCCCGTGTTGCGTGCGAGATATCTTCGACAGGTGATGGCCACGAGCTTCTTCTGTCTGAGCTTCTCTTCAATCGCTTCTTCAATGAGCTCAGCCCTGAAGTGTGTGCAGCAGTACTCTCGTGCTTCATCTTCGAGGAGAAGAGTCAAGCTCCCGAGCCCTTGAAGGAAGAATTGTCGAAGCATTTCCGAGAGATTCAGGCTCAAGCTAGGGTTATCGCGAAGGTTAGCCAGGAGAGCAAGATTGAACTCAACGAGAAGGAATATGTCGACAGCTTCAAGTGGGAGCTCATGGACGTTGTCTTGGCTTGGGCACAGGGTAAATCTTTCGCTGAAATCTGGTATGTACCCAAACACCAATAAGTATCAATAGATCATGATTAACAACTATGCAGTAAGATGACAGATGTCTACGAAGGATCTCTTATTCGCCTTTTCCGTCGACTTGAAGAACTGCTTCGACAGATGGCACAGGCTGGCAAGGTCATGGGCTCCGACGAGCTAGCAGGGAAATTCGAAGAATCTCTTGCCAAGATCAGGAGGGATATCGTCGCGGCTCAGAGTTTGTACTTGTAAGTCGAGGATATACTCCCTCTCTTGAGTTACTTATTAGGATCTGCCGGCTCAAACGTCGGGGGATATCAATGCATGGTATGTGGTTTGTTTCTGTGGGAAAGGAGTTGGGCATACCTTTGGCTTATGTAAAAGGCTCTCTAAGATAGGCTGGCGTTGAAGTTTGTTTTTTTCCTGGACAATCGGCCCTCTTTTAGAATGGTCTCCCTGGTCTCCCTCCTGATAGTATTACATGTCTACCTATAGTTTCTCCCTATTAGATCAAGGATAGTGCCTCGAGGTAATGAGATTGGGTTGCGGCTACTGCTAGATCCGATCTCTGGTCAGCACAGATGTCCCAATCGGAGTGAAGCTTCCTGTTCTTTTTTCCACTACCATGGTATGACTTTGTTGAACCTTGCTCAAAGTCGGTACGGCATGTCGCACCAGATCTCACAGGGAACGGCAATCTTGATGACTGCGTGAGCCCCTTGTTTGTACCTTGATCCTCGTTCTGCTCATGCACGTAATATATTTTTCTTACGACATGGTTCCTCTGTTGGTTTAATTTGCAATGTCTGCTACGAGATGGATCGCTTTTCCGATTGTAGTTAGTGAGGGTTGATTTGAGCTTTGAGATGTATTGTACCACCGTGGGTTGGAGAGGGCGTCCGGAAGTGGCCTCGAAGCGTGCCAACAAAAGCAACCCGAGGATAAATGGAAAAAATAGGAGAGCGGAACGGAAAGGGTAGCTGATTGACGGAACATAAGTTCTATATTTTGTGCAGATATGCCACATGGAGCCCCATGTTTAAGGATATGTACTAAGAATGGCTTGCGTACTGCTTCACATAACGCAGGAGACAAAGCAAACAATGATGTCTTGCTCGGAGGTCGTTTGCTGCAATGTCTTGAGCTCCAATGACGTGCCTCGATGTCCGTCTCGGTTTCCATTGTGGACCGTGACACAGCCCCTGAGGTACCTCCCCGCACGAGCAGCCGTGTATATTCCTTTTCCGACCTTATAGAGAAATATTTTCCTTATGCAGCTAACCGTAAACGGCCGCCTGTGTTGGACTTTGGAGCGGAATGGTCTCTGTGAAACACACCTCTATTCCTGACTTGTCCTGGTTTGGGCTGAAGGATAAGACGATTGCTGTTGGCATCCGCAGGGCCACGCAGAAGACGATCTCTGATTTGTCTCTCGAAATTCAACACGCTGTGGCTAAAGCGCTGGCTAAAGCTCTGGTCCTGCCGATTTGAGGCCATTGCAGCTGTTGGCCGCACACCACACCATGCGTGAAGAAGATATTGCGGCGCGTTATCACTGACTGATGGGATTTGGAAATTGCTGTGAGTTGTGCCTTGCCAGCGTAGCATCAACCCATTCAGCCCAAAACTCTCTCTCTCCCCTTTTTGACGGTCCAGATCAGCATTCTGCCAACATTCGAGATGAGAGGGGTTGCTGCCGCCACTTGTCTTAGCCCGAGATAAAGAAGACGAGAAGCAGCAGAAGGCCGCGGGCACTGATTGATACATGAATTCCCCTCATTGCAATTGACGTTCCGGGACCGACGTCCAAATCTTCCCTCCGGCCGCAGAAAATAGGTATATTTTTATACGGGGTAGTATTGACGGTTCTCTCGCCCGCACAGCTAGGAAGCATCTAACCTTAATCGTACGCGTATCATTCGCGACAATTTTCGTGCACAATACTAAGGGGAAATACCCAGACTCAGTCCACATTCCAAGACACTCACTCGACCGACCGGGACGACCTTGCTCTCGAATTCGAGGTATCGTCTGTCCTTGCTATATCGAGCTGAGTCGAAATTCTGCTGAGCTGTTTGCTCCGCTGCTGCTCTTGTCCGGGGATCGAGATCGACGAGACCCTTCACAGTCCGGCACACCACCACGAGCCAGAAAGTCCCCACAGTCTATCTGCCAGTCGTAAAGATACGACGAACGTTCGCTAGCTTGACCTTGACCCTGAATTGACGCACTCAGACATTGCGCTCTCCTGTCACTCGCAATATCTTCATTCCGCACACCGTACATTCACCTCCACCTCCACCTCCACCAGAGGAGATTTCTCGTCTACCCTCTCACCGAGTGAGTGCTTGCATGACAAGCTTTTCGATGTCACCCTAGGGGTCAACACCTCTTCGACACACGGCAGATCTGCCAGTTGCTTTATACCACAATCTGCTCCATGCCATGGACTCCAACTCGGCTCCTCTAGCGGACTACTTTTGGATCGCGGGGATAGATTCAGTCTCCTACAGTGATCCGGTCTTTGGGCCCTCAAATCCCAGAGACACAGGCATCAATGGCGCTGGCCCACCCTCGCCGTCGGTCGAAACAACGATAGAAGAAGGTAGCGAAGGCGAAGCACCTACTCAACCACCCCCAAGCGGGACGCCACGAGCCACAGCTCGGCACTCCCGCAACAACTCGTGGAACAGATTGAGCAAGACTCCAAACGATACGCGGAACTCGATCCAGACCCTCGACGACCTCGAGCCCACACGGAGTAATAGGAGCAGTATCACGATAAAGGGCCCCACTACAAATGGAGGGGCAGGAGCTTTGGGAGACTTCAATTTTGATGAAGCTCTGGTGAAATTTGCCAATGAGAGGGAGAATTTCCTGGACGATCTGAGCTTCAGTGCTGGGGCACCGGTGCAGAAGCCACCGCCCATGACCAATCACAGAACAGAGAGGATACGTATAGAAGAGGGGGATAGCAATGCTGGAGGGCTTGCGAAGAGGAGCCCTCTGCGAAGTGTTGGAGGAAGCATAAGGCGGCGGATCAGTTTCAGAGACATGAGCAGTGTGAAGAGACAGGTCTCTAGCGTTCAAAGAACCAGTAAGTGAGGGATGATCAGAAGAATCTTTGACTTTTGTTTTGCTGTTATACCCAGCCAACAATGACCTGACAAATGCTCGGATTAATACAGAAATATGCTAACTTTCTTCTTTCCAGCTTCCGTGCGAACTTCGAAACGAATGAGCAATTACAATTCCGTCATTCCACCACCGGAACCCTTAAATGCTGATCCGGAGATGCATCCATTGAAGCGACGCTTTGAACCTGTTCTTCTAGACAGATACCCAGCTAAAGGTGCAACGGACGAGGTCAAGAGAAGAGGAAGATTCCCTGATTACGTACCAATGTTCGCTTTTCCAAACGACGTAAATATAGTCTCTGCGGATGCGAGGCCTCGATCGACCTGGCACGGCTTTGCAATGACTTCGGATGATAACTCGAAAATATATGGAATTACTGTGATAGTCTGGCTGCCATTGAACCAAGATGCGGCTGCCAATGTGGAACGACGATGCGAGCAGTGGAGGCAGAGTCATATGTCGAACGAAGAGCGAGAATTGGCTGCTAGTCTGGGCGAAAGACTTGCTATAGAGCGTGCCAATCTCTCACGGCTGCTCTCGGACCTTCCCAAGGCTGTTTCTGGATCACCTGCTAGAGAGGCCCTGGAGGAGCAAATCAACGCTTTGGAAGAGAAGATTGGTCTGATGGCGGATATGCTACGTCCTGTTCGTCACGGAGCAGCTGCTAAAATCGATGGACTTACTGATGGCGAGACCGGCCTCTGGATACCACGAGCGTATGGAATACTTGGCCGAGATCCCAGTATGGCCAGCTTCTGGAAGGAGTGGTTGAGATCCATTGTTGTTCCCATGCTAGATTCCTCAATTTTCAGGATTCCCCCATCGTCTCCAAAGCTTAAGTGGCAACCATTAGAACGATATGTGGTCAATCTATGCTCCGAAGCATTCAGCCCGATATCTTCAAAAACCCAAGTTGAACTTGCTGTCAGAGAGCTCAGGCTCTTTGCGCGCAAAGAAGCTGCAAATGAGATCCCAGGGTCCCGAAGTACCGACTTGTATGCATTATTCCGGTCTCTCAGCATCCAGAATATAGTGGCTCTCTTTGAGTTCGCACTGTCTGAATCACGGATCATTCTGCTCTCCTCACATACTGCGATGTTGCACCTCGCAAGCAAAGCATTAGCTAGCTTGCTATATCCCCTGAAATGGGCAAGCATTTTCATTCCTGTCTTGCCTGCCCGGTTACTTTCTGCACTTGAAGCACCGTGCCCATATATTGTTGGTGTCGAAAGGAGATACGAGAACCTGGAGTTGCCAGACGATGACTATGTTTTGGTGGACCTGGATCAGGATATTGTAGAGGCTGCAGCAGCAGCGCTCCCTGTGCAATTGCCTCGACAGCAACGGCGGAAACTTGTTTCCCTACTTCAGCTTGCGGCTCCACATCACAACAGATTTGGTGTACACACTGGTCCTCCACCTTACGCTGTAGAAGCTTTCCCTTACCAAGCGTTTTCCTCCGAAAATGAGGCCATCTATACGCAGAACGGTCCGAAGAGCTTACTCGCCAAATATGTAAGCCAGAATTCAGCGACCTTCGGGGAGACGGATTTGGCCTCTGTCAAAACAATTCCAGTTTTCAACGCATTCCTGCAATCGAAAGCCGACCACGCGAGAACTGACAGACCCTCTACAGCCCGATCCAACAAGACTAGCCCTCCAAATTCTGTATCTCCAATATCGGGTAATTTCCCCCCTCTACCTACCACACCTATCTCCCGTAATGATTCTGGGTTTGCCCTCACAGCAACATTAAAGGAAAAGAGATCGGGCCACTTCGACACGTATTCCAGACGCAGTGCTTCCTTCGGCGTAGATCGACAGACTACGCTTCGACGACCAAGCATCCCATTCAGCAATGGCCATTCTGCGAGTCTCTCCACGTCAGCACTCTCGATAGATTCAAAGTCTATATACGGTGGATATGCTCCATCAACCTATGCCGCATCCACACTTGCTGCTTCCACTATCATGCCTAACATGCTCATGGAACCTGTCCGCAACACAGACAATATGGTTTGGGTAGAAGGGCATTGCTTCATACTACACCGTGAAGACACGACTTCTATCTGCTCAATATGTGACGACAAACCTAACGATGACACCATTTACAAATGCACCAGCTGTCCCACAATAGCACACAGTAGATGTCTGCCAACGTGCGCACTTGTGTGTCCTGCGGCATTTCATGCTGATAAAGTCCGTGCTGCATTTGTGCGTTGCTTCGCTAGCCTGTTCTACACATATCGAAAGTATCTGGTGCGGCCTACGAAGGAGCAGAAGAACAGTGGGCAGATTTATGGATTTGACATGAATGGATTCTTGAAGAGTTTGCCACATGAACAGCAAGAGCACGCGGCTATGCTCAAGCAGACTCAAGGTACGTTGTTTTCGAAACGATTCTTGATATGTTCGCTAACAGACCTCTGTAGCCTTTAATGAATTCATCCATGAGCGTGAGACGACACCTGCAGATTCTCCGGCCATCCAGCTTTTTGACAGTATCATTCTTGCCAAGAAGTCACGCGGGCGAGCCTCTTTCTTCGCTTCCAAAGGCTCGAAAGCAGCGTCCTTCTTGGAGGATACGTCAGATCATCTATGGAGGAATGCAGCAGTTCCTGCGCCTCACAGCGCCAAAATTGCACCTGGCGAATATCGGAATGTCGTGTCGAGAATACCCGCACAGCTCGACATTGGTCTGATGAGGGAACCACGGACGATACAAGGCGTTCCTAGAATGGATTTGCCTGGGAAAAGAGTAGGGAGGAAAGCCGTACCGAGTCTACTCAGCGGTAACGCTAACAGAAGGGTCTCGTAAAGCGAGAACACAAATACAAGAATATTTTTAAAACAAGGATAAGAACAAGATGGAGAGAGACCATGAAGTCCACGAAGCAATGTTGTAAGATATCATATCAGCGTCTCATAATCAAAAGCATTCAAGGCAAGGTGTCGGATGGAGTACATAGGTGTTTTTTGGGACGGCAAACACACTGCATAGATAACGGGGCATTTAGGGGTTTGGTAGGCAGCGAGTGTTTTAATTCTGGTAAATCATCATCATCAGTAGATTGCACAAATGAGGAGATGGAATTGAATGATCGGGTATCTTTGCAAGTTTGAGTTCTTGTTTCATTGTTGTAACTGGGGGTAAGGGATTAAGTGAGGTTAAGGCTACTTACTACGCGCTGTTGGCTGTGCTCGAATATTTGTCAATGCTCACAGAGAAGGGAAAGGCATATGAAGCTAATCTATGCCTTGAGTCCCACGACGTATGCTCTATTATACCAGTGACACAAGTTCTCAAGTAAAACACAACATAACCGTCCGCAAAATGAAAGTGAATCCAACTTCACTTTCACCCACAGCCCTCTCCCTCCCCCTCCCCCTCCCCCTTAACTAAACCCTCCTAAGATAACCCCAAATAATCAAAAACCCTCTCATAGCTGATACCCTCCTTCCCTTCCCGTCGCCAAAAACGTGGGGCAAGTCGCACAATTGATACTGCCAAAACTCCCCTCATCTTCCTGACGAATAGGTTTTTACAAAGGCATCTATTGTGATGTGCCCGTAGGTCTTGGCTGCTTGTGGGGAGTTATGAGGGCTGGCCTGGAGGTTAGGGGGTTTGTAAGCGAGGGGAGGGGTAGCAGAGAGAGCAAAAGATGAAAAGACCATTTGAAGTGTGGTATACCTGCTGGATTTTATGATTTACTGGGAGAAAGTAGTCATAGGTAGGTAGGCATTGATGGGTATCATTGATAATCACTCTCTTACACAAATTTTGTACAATACAGATCCCTCCTGCTATCCGTATGGAGCGCTTCCCATACATAGGCTGATACCTACAAAAGAAAGTCCAGATGGCCAAAATGCCGGAGATGAACATTGCTCTATGATGGGGCTAAGCCGTGCATGTTGGGGTCCTGCTGAGTCTGTTGATGCAGGTGTGGGCCAAGGTTGAGAAGTGGAAGATTCTCAGAGTCCAAGAAAGACCTGGAGAAGAGTAATTACCCAGCCTCGATGTCGTGAGAGCCGGCCCAAACTGCCGAGGAATGAGATGTCCATAGAGATTAGGGACACTCATGTAAATTTGGTATGGATGATATCTGGATTCTCATGCCAGTCATCAACGCTCACCCACATCTAGACCATGTTAGCTTTTGTACTCCAAACACAAAACATTAGAGGTATACCTTTCTGAAAGTGCTCAATCCCGCCAGAATACTGCCTCCAATCCAAGTCGAGTACTTCCGCTCTGGTGGTGCAAAGATCTTGATCCTCATATCCTTGACAGCTAATCTTTGGACTTCGTGAAGTAACCTGTCTCCAAAGCCTTTCGTTAATGTGCTGCCTCCAGATAGAACGATGTTGCCAAAGAGCGATTTCCGCAAGTCAAGATCTGTTCTGTTGATGGCATCCACGACGATTTGGTGAATGCCCGGATATTCGAAACCGATGATCTCAGGGTCGAAAAGAATTTCAGGAGCGCGGAAACGTTCTGCACCAATCTGTATTTCGTCAGTACCAAATTCGTTAGGAGTTAATCAAAATTCTCACCTTGATTTTGTTCCCATCTGGTAAAGAATATTCCACCACTTTGCCGTCCATCTTTCCTGCTGATCCAGCCCATTCTTTTTCTTCTTTCTTGGGATCCGACGCCACATAGCTGACTTTCTCCTTGATCATTCTTACTACCTCTTTCTCGGCACTTGTGTGAAAGACGTAGCCTGATTTCCGTAGCAGTAGTTGCATGTATTCTGTGACATCTCGTCCAGCAACGTCTATCCTTCGTATTGAGCTTGGCATAGCGAATCCTTCATAGACTGGCACGGCATGCGAAACTCCATCTCCTGCATCAAGAACGATTCCTGTCGTCCGGCCAGAAGCGTATAACGAGAGCACGGCTTGGATGGATGTGTAGATTGCCGGGACATTGAACGTTTCGAAGAGGATTTGGGCGGCTGTGTCGCGGTTACTTCGTGGGTTGAGAGGTGGCTCTGTTAATAAGACCGGATGCTACAAATGAATGTTAGGTTCCTGTTCTCTTTCATCTCAACTCTTACCAGAGCCCACAACAATAGCTCATCCATGAAGTGAAGAACCAACTTACGTCCTCACTCAACGTCTTGAGCCCCTCTCCATACACCCACTCCCAGATCCTCTCCATATCATCCCAATCTGTCACAATGCCATGTTCCAGCGGATATCTAATCTTCAACAGTCCTCTCAACTCCTGTGCCCTCTGCCCAATAAACACGTCGCCTTCTAATGCGCCAGCCAGCACTCGCAGATGCTTCGGCCGTCCCACAAACGAAGGAAAATAGCATTTCGGTAGATCATCTCCTGCAAACCCTGCGCGTATGGTGCCCGACCCGTTGTCAAGGACTATGGGGGCGTTGTGTAGCGTGTCGGCCATAGTGAATAGAGAGGAAGCCCCTGAAAGAGCTCAGGCGCGTTGGAGGGGAATGGCGGACGGAGAAGCCAGATTTTGTAGAAGGATCTGATGAGGATGGGTGAAGGAAGGCTGATTAGAAATTAGGTGGTCGGATAGGAGTGTGTGTTGTCGTTGAGGTTTCTAGGTTTTGGGAGATGTTCGTTCGCGTCTCCAGAAAAGCTACGCGTACAGGGGTAGCTCGTAGGCGAAACTCTCTCCCTCCTTACCTACCTACCTATGCCTATGTTCACATATGATGCTTTCTTTCATCTACCAGATTCTTCCTTAGCTTTCCAGTATTAAGTGATACTCTGCCCTTGCTACTCAAATGTTGTATACTGCTCGAGAGTCCTATCATTAGAATAGATATTGTATTGTGTGTCTAAATACGAATTCGAAGGATCAAACATAATAGTTCAAGTATCCCACCAAATGCAAGCAAACCATAGCCCGGGTATTTCTGATCTTCAAACAAATAGCAAGACGATTTTCCGTACCAGCGAACGCCAAAGAAAATTCTGTATGCCTCCCGCCTCTGTGAGGAGATTTAAAGACTGTTTCCTCTACTTCTCCGATGTGATCATGATGGGCAGACTGTCGAAGACGACCTCATTCTTCACGTAGTGTTCAACAAAGCCGCCGCCGAGAACTCTTCTCATGGCCTGTAGTCTATGCAACTTCCACCATTTGTCTATTTTCATGCTTCCGGTCTTGTGAATGCGAACGGTCATTCGGGATCCATATCTTCTACCTGTCTCTTTATCGATAGCTTTCTGATATCTCGGTCCTCTTGATGGATGTTCGATTGTGTTTAGGATATCAGCAAAGTTGGTATGTAGAGCTTTGCGATCCTTTTTGGCAATTCGTTTCGAAGATTCGTTAGCGAGCTCTGAAAGCTTGTGCTCGAGTTGGTTCTTCTGTCGATAGACTTCATAGCGTTTAACCATGCTATTGTCGATAGTATATCCTTCCTCGTCCTCCTCATCGCTAGCAGGTCCGTCGTTTGCTTCTCTTGGCGTAAAGCTCTTCTCGTACAGCAAGGCAATATTCTCTCCAGCCGCAACTTGAACGGAAGTATCACTACTGTCTAACTGTTCAACAAAAGCGTCCATGGCTGCTTCTGTCTTGTCTTGTATGTCATCTATCGTTGTTGCAAGGAACCCCCAGGCTTCGCAAGCGGCTGCAACAACTTCTCCACTGTCTCCAGCACCAACTGATTCACCATCTGATTCAACGATTTCAAGAAGGTCGTCCATGATCTCTTCGATTTCGGCATCGGAGGCGCCACCGTATATTGCTGCTGCACTGAGAGTATGAATTGCTACAGCTTTGACGCTGTGGGACTCTGATTCGGTGTATGTGTGTTTGAGCACTTGAAATATCGCATCGTAGACAGTTTCAGAGGGCGCAGTGATGAGTGTGAGTGCAACAGCTGTTCAAAGTTAGTATGATCATCTAGTGGTACCAGTAGAGTTAACCAACCTCTCAACGCCAGGGACGTCTCCTTGTCACTGCTCTCAGATTTGACACTCTTCATCAAAGCAGGGAACAGCTCTGATGTTTTGCCATCAATTTCCTCATATGCATAGTGGCTCATAAGCATATGACTATATTGCGCCAAGCTCAGTTCTCGGCCCTGATTACTGCTTCTCTTCCTGTCTACAATCTCCTCTATGCGATCGCCGAGATCTTGCTTCCATGCTTCTGAGGTATCTTCAGCCACATCTGCGGACAGCATATCATCGATGGAGTTGACACTAAAGGCACCTATTAGTATTCGCCACCTTGAGATTCCAGGGAAGGTATATACCTCCAGTTTGTCGAGTCGCTCAGGTTGCCTTCCTCATCATCAGATGGATTTCTTGAGGCGGTGCGAGAATGGGATCGTGAGTTTGCCGCTGAAGATGTTCGAGACGACGTCGAGAGACGCGACTGTGCTTTCTTCGAAACGGTCTTATGGCTTTCCAAAGCCTGACGACGTAGATCGTGCATTTTGGCTACAGCTGTTTTGCACAGCAATGATGGGACAAAGAAAGTTGAGTTGAGGTGCGAGCGGGGTATTCTTTGATTGCCAGACGGATTTTGTTATTATCGCAAAGGTGGATTGTAAACGATTTGTGGTATTGAAGACAGAAAATCCATGTGTAAATGAGTCATGGGAATATACGTGCTGTTCATACGAGGAGTCCAGATTCGAATTTGTAAGGCGGACGAGAATAGGCAAACAAGTGATAAAGTGGTAAGTTTAAATCAGATTATTTTACGGAGTGAATCTGACCTGGCCTTTGGTCGTCCTCGGATGATCTGCAAAAAGCGGAGTCGGGCCAGAGGCTTAATTCCGAAGCAACGAGCATAATTACGAGTTAATTAGTGTATTTCAACACACGAAAGTCCCAAAAGAGCAGAGTATGAAAATATATCATGCACTCATGTAATAATAATAATAATAATAATAATAATAAGGCTTTCTACAAGTAGAATAATATGAGTCAGTGAATTCGCACAAGTTGGGCTCTAGCACCGGTAGTCCTCGCCCTGCCAAATCGGCGCTAAAACCGCGATAAGAATTAGTGGGACCAGCTGCTGCCTTCCTACATACCCCCTCTTCAACTCTCTCCTTCTAACCAACATCAACACCACTTCGACAAACATCGCAAACTGAAGTTCCCCTCTGCGTGAGCTGTCACGAAGCTCCTCGAGTATCTTCGAGTTTGTCGAGGCCTCGAAGCCAACCTTCGACATCCCCATCGTGTTTCATCGCTCGTATCGCACGTTCACCTTCGATTAACCCTACCCCACCTCGACGACATCGAACTGCATATTTGGCTGGACCAACGCGCAACATCATCCGGCTTCTCGAGAAATCACTTTCGAAGAGTAAAAGATCAACATGGCTACTCAAGGTACGTCTTTTCTCTATCTTGTCTCGAGTTCTTTGAGTAAGGCTGCCAGACCTGGTGATGGCAGCCTGACATCATGACCCGTTGGAACGGGGCGCAAACCCTCGCAGTCATGGATTCGAGGAACACTATCGCAACTGTCCCAACTTCTGCAGAAGTCTCTGTCTCTGTTTCCCTGATTTGTTGTAGCAGGCTGTCCTCTATTTCAACATGCTAACTTGACACAGCCAAGATCACTCTTACTTGCCAGAACGGCAATGTCACCCCCGCCGAGCGTACCCTCATCCTTGAATCCGGCTCTCCTATTGCACCGATCGGAAGAGCTTCCAAAAGCATCAGCAAAGGATTATTCAGTTCTTATGACAATGCGTGGTTCGACAGCCCTGTCATGTCTCGCGACCATGCACAGCTCACAATGAACTCGGAGGATAAGGTAGGTTCTACGGAAGCTCCTGGAATACGATGTGCTAATAATTTCCAGACAATCAACATTCGAGACATTGGCTCTATGCACGGAACATACGTGAACGGTGTTGAACTTGCACGTCATGTGCCATTAACTCTGAACAATGGCGATATTGTCGTCTTTGGTGCTGAGGTCAGACGTGGACCCGAGACTTTCCCTGCATGCAGCTTTCGCATCGCTATCGAGTTTTCTGACAGAATGTAAGTGCCCTACTGCTTATTCTATCGCCTTTAACGCAGGATCTAATATTTGTCATTGTAGGACTACCAACACCTTCTCTGTCCCCGAATCTTCCGACATCGAAGACGCTGATGACGATGCAGAGGACGATGAAGTTAGTGAGGATGACCATGCTCGTAGACAACAGCAATCCAGTAGTGATGGTTGTTCTATCGAGCCTGCGTCTCCACAAGCTCAGAAAATCAACAATGCTATTGATCTGACTCGAGACTCTCCTGAGCCTACATCCAACAGAATCGACCTCACAGGAGAAACACCATCGGAGAAAAACACAGTCGCACAGTCGGCGGCTCGTGCAACTGATACTAATGGACGTGTCAATCTTGTTGGCATTGGTATGTACACTGGATTTGCACCTATCCTTGTCGAGAGTGAGGATGAGCAATTCGAAACTGGATTCACCGAATCTGCAGAGCATTCCGAAGACGGCTCTAGTGATTCCGACGGCTCGGAGGACTCCAACATCTGTATTGACGAGGAAGTTTACAATTCGTCTGGCGATTCAGAAGCCGAGTCGGAAGACATCGTGATGGATGGGCAAAATGACATGGAAAGTGTACATGGCTTCTCCGATATGGACGAAGATGAGGACATTAGTATTGGCAATTTCGCACGCCGCCATACTCGACCTGCACATGACAACCCTACCATCTTGTTGTCAGATATCCGAACTCGAACTCAATTTCCCGAGAGTGTTGCGGATGATGAAGATGAGGACAACGAAAGCGAGTTCGGCCTTTCCGAAGCAGGTGAGGCAGGCCTCAGAGCTCTGATCGATGGTGGTCTCCTGAATGCCCCCACCAACGCTGTATCCGAGCATGACCACGAATCTGAATCCGAAAAGGAGTCTGAAAATGAGTCCGAGGACGAGGAAGAGCCTGCACCCCAACCCGAGCCTGAGACTAGGGCAGAAGTGGTTGTCATACCTTCTGTGAAGGAAAGCGTGCGAGTTCACGCGCCCATATCAACTCCTGAGAGCCTTCCTCCTTTGCAGTTCGCCCGTGAGCATCGATACAGAACTCTGCAGAATTTTACTGGGGACAAGCTCGGTATCTCATATCCCAGCATTCGACAACCTAGTCCATCAGATGCTGCTATGGTAAAGAGCGCCGCTCCTCCACAACAAAGCAAACCACTGTCAGGCGTTTGCGAAATCGGAACTTTTGCCCAAATGTTGGGAGACAAAACGGGGAAGGTTGCCTTTTTCGAAGCCCGAGAGATCAACAAGGCGAAGTTTAATGACGAAACAAAGCCAGTCAGGAGTGGTTTTGCGTCCTTCAAGATATCGCGGAACTCAGGATTCGGCCAATCGTCATCTCTAGCTCCCTCCTTGCCCTCCGAGACTCCTTCTATTCGTCATACGGGCTTTAAATGCGGCACCAACTTGAGCAGAACTTTTGAAGTCGGTCCCAATGCAGAACCTGCTTTCCCAATACGAGAGCCTTGCTCATTCCTAGATGAGCCTGACAAATTTGCAATTCCTGCTCGCACACCTAGCCCGCAGCTCGACATGACAAGTGCGTACAACTTCCATCTTAGCAAGGCTGCTACGACGACCCCTTCACCCTTAAATACCAATCCTCGTGGTATCAAAATTAACGACATCATAGATACATCGGCAACACCTCAACGCTCTTATAGACTCAAGCGCAAAGCTGATGATATATCTGATGTTACCGACGAGGAAATTAGAATTTGGGCCAGAGCTTCTTCCGGATCGAGCGTCACAAAGATCAAGCTTGACAGCATCGTCAAGGAAACTCCTCTAATCGACGAGGCAGCCAATGGTGTGCCACCTCTTGCACCTATTGCAACTCATGTTGTTTCTGAGCCGCGGCCAGCCAAGAGGATGAAGAAGTTTCTTGAGAATGTTGGTTACGCCGCTCTTGGTGGAGTCGCTGTAGGAGCGGGTCTGTTCACGGTTCTCGTTGCAACAGCACCGGACTTCCTGTGATCCCCGATATGATGCCTCAGCTGTTGTCCACCTGGCGCAATTACTTCTTTCGTTTCGGGACTTCATCGGAATACATGTTACGGTTATGGTTGAGGAATCGGAGGTCGTTATGGGGATCGGCGTTTAGGACTAAGGTACTTTGTCAGGCTGGTCATCATTTTTCTCTTCTTGCATTTCGGCGCTTTCAAAGAATGGCGCTAGGGCTAACTGTGTAACTTGGTTGAACGGCCCTGATCTCTGCTGGCTTCCATAGGCTTTTAGTCGCAGCAATAAATACTTTCCTAGATTGTGTCAGTGGTCCCCTGTCTCAAAATCGTACGATCAAAGTAATGGAGACAACCTTGCTGCAACACTGATGTAGCAATCCTCTAGGCTTGCCTAACAAATGTATGGCGGCAGCCCATCTCCTGCAAGGCGGACTGGGGGCAACAGCTGAGGTCTCAACGGTTCCTCCAAAAGGAATCTTCATCACAGCTCGGACTCGTGGCACCAGTTGAACTGACATCGCCCTTCTTCAAAGAGCAAGCAGTCTTGCCGAGTTCCACGGATGGCTGCAGATACATTCAAAAAGATATCCGGTCATATTTCTTCAGCTCCGATGTTATCATTTAAAGTTGTAAGGGGAATCCCCCGAGTTGATGTTGTTACCAGCAGGCACGTGGATATGGGGCTATAATAGTGTCGCCTGTCACTTGCTCACCTGGGCCAAGCGGTTACCTTGCCCGTTACCGGCAAGGAATAAATGGTCTGGCAATTGCCGGGGCGACAAGTGAGACATCAAGCTCGCTGAGGCTCTCTTGTTCTGCATGTTTACGGCTACTTCGGATGTCCCTACAGCTTGACGTTTGATATATCACTTTTACCCCTCGGGAGTGGAGATAATGCACAGGAGCAGTGCTGCACGAGTGTGCGACCTGAGCAGACGCTAGAAGACGCCTCGAACGTGGAACGCCTCAGCGTTGCTTTGCTAAGCCTTGTATGTGCTTTTGTAACACTCGTTCCGAGTTGACTCTCTTGTACTGAGGCTATTTTCAATGTTCAATCACCATACCGAATGGACACAAGCGGTTCTGTGCCCTCAGCTTTGCAGGCGGTGCATCATCGCCGTGGGAGGATTGTCCAGCAAGTTCTCGTGTACTCGGTCTTTTTACTGTCACGCTCGGGGCAAATGTGCCTGGTCTGACGATCAGTGCAGAATGAACTAATTCTTCCTCAAATGGAAAGTCTTCGTTTTAAGTTTGTGAACAACGCATCTCTCAATGAAGGTGTGTCTCCGTTCGCTACTTTTCCATGAAAAGAGTGTACAACATCACTCGCTAAATCTGTACGACTTCATGTCAGCGCCCAACCACTTTGCCTCGACGTTGTCCATACATATGGCTTCCATTCACGGCATCATGCATGTGGCTTGAGACCTCTACCATTCTATTGGCACCTCAAATGGACGTAATGGCGTCCATCCATACAGCTTCAGGATGGTAAGCGGCAGTTCATCTTCGATCGTAGATAGCGTCCCATTACAATCAGACTATGGTACCGATGAATATTCGTATCATCGCGCGGGCAAGAAGGTAAGCCTCTCTTCCCGTCTCTGGACCCCTTCCGTGAACTGACCAATACGGCCGTTTGACGCGCTGCGAATAGTCCTTGAGGAACATGCAGCCGGCTTGCAGTGACGCACGTTCGGCCACTACCGCGCCTTATCTCACCCATATTATCGACTTTGGGACAATGGATCTACGGATTATCTTGCTTTCCGCTCCCTCGGGAATTTAGGTGTCCATAACAGCGGGATGCGGTGGTCCCATCCACAGCTCGACTGTCATATCACCAGACCACTCCAATATCGCTCCTGCATTCGAGCAGCGGGCAGTCCAATCGTACACAATGTCCTTCTTAGGATCCGAGGCGGTGTGAGACCTTTCGCGGACTTTGTTCAGCTCTTGAGCTTGGCTGCCCAATAATGAGGTTAACGATAGTTCGTTGTCGAGTCTGTCCAGGGTGCAAGATTAGGTGCTCCGAGTGAGTGTGGGAGGGTTATGGAGAAGTATAAAGGCAACCGCTTTTCTCGTGGATAAAGAGCGCGTCAGAGAGTTTCATCAGAATTAGAATATCTATCTTCTCAAGTCTCAAGTCAAATCTTACCTTTATATATCTTGTTATTCTTCTCACCACTTCTACGTGAAGGCACAACTCCACATTCAAAGCAAGCACTCTCCACTTTGGCTGCCCATATTTCACGTTTCACATCATATCACCATGAGTTATATGTCAAACTGCGAATGCCTCCAGCATGCATTGTATACAACCTGTGAATATTGTGGTGGCAACCCTCGAAGGTAAGTCTTCGCGAAGAAGCACTTGAAACCTTAATTTCCATGTCCTGTCTATCCAAATGGCTAACATGTGTCTGCAGCGTTGAAACTTGTGGACCATGTCGAGGCTCCGGCTTGATGGGCGTTCCTTGCCCTAACAAGCCCGTTGCTCCCAGAGCCTTTAGTGGTCCTTCATACGGAGGGGGCAACGACAACTCGAGCAGCAAGCATAGCCACGGTAAACATGGGCACGGTAAACATGGTCACGGCTCCAAGGCCAAGAACTAGGGGAACACAAACATATCCACTAGCCACATTGAGATGTTGTTTGAGTAGTCAAGGAGTTTGGGGTAGAAGAGCGGAGTCGTGTAGCGGGGAGTTTCGATACCAGTGTTGGGAGGCATTCTTTCTTTCATTCCTTGATTTACTTGGCTTTTTCTTGAGTTTTGCTTCACTCTAAATTCTCACGTGTTTTTCAAAACAAGCTTATTAGAGCATCATGATCTCGGGATCTTTGGACATTGGGCAGCATCAGAATTTCAGGGGAACAGGTTATCACGAGATCTGTCAGACTGTTGGCAGCCATGGGCAGTTCTATTCTCGTCAATCGCTTCTTTTCTACCTTTCTAGGGTTTTGGTAACACGCAAAGTTCAGTACCTATCTATCAAGCAAGCAACAATATATTCTTATCTCCACACACTTAACAGGCACAGATTACCAATCTCATACACTCGAATATGCATCATGCACCGAACAATCCCATGTTCTTCTTCTCGGGCCCCTGTTTTTGTCTGCGTCTCCACTTCCCTGCTTTTGAGACTTGCATCCCATCTCTCCTTTTATTCGGCGACACACAAGACATGCACGTGCATCTCCTTCCGCGCTGCTCTCCGCACTGCAGATTCTTAGACACCAGCATGGCGACCCCGTAACACAGAGTTACAACGCTGACGCTGGATTGAAATTCCCGTCTGCAGCTAGATGGTGTTTCCTTCACACTACCACCCTAGCGGGACTGAAAACCCTTTCCTTCCCCTGGTGTTGCCGCGACTGCCTTATCACGTATGATATGATATCACACACTCCCTTCCCTCCCCCTCCCAGCGGAAGTTCTCTATCAGTCTCATTGCCCGCCTGACACCTCTTTCACGGCTTCTGATTCGTTTCCACGGGCCTGAAGGTATCACAACGTCCGTTTTCAACAACGGTACCGAGGAGAACGCATTTGCTGGCGTGAAGATCACTTTTCTTTCAGCGGTGTCATTGGATAGGTATTATCTTCACGACGGGTTGACTTTCTATGTTTTCTCTGCTATGAGCTGTTGTGGTACGTAGCACATTGCTATTTTCCCTGATGAGATTCGGCACGTCTGAATATCCCTCTTTTTTCTTTTCTTTCTCCGCGAGATGGCAGGAAACGTGAAGATGACCGATCGAGGACCCAGTACGGGATATTTACTAAGATGTTGTGGAACGGTGGTGGGCGGTCACTGACGAGTTTCTTGCAGCTTCAGCGTCCGGGGTCGACGACTATCGTGACCTCTTTGCTAAGTGGGGGTGCAGACGAGAGAGGAATATGGACTTGGGACTCGGTATAAAGAAGGTGACACGGCGACAAAGCCGATTAGAAGCGTTCTTGAAATAGTGGTTGCTTTACGTTTGCTGATCACCGACGAGGAGAAGGGAGATTACGGAATGTAACGGTACCGCTTTGGATTCACGTCAAACAGTACACGTGCTTCCATTATCGGCAAGCCGAGATCTATTGCGTGCTCGGAAGAGCAAAGAGCGAGGAATTGGCGAGAGAACAAGCGGTTAATCGTTCCATGCAATAGGGGGACTGATCAACTTCGAGCTCGCTCACCGCAACAGCGGAAGGGATATCTCCAACATCGTGCATTGCTTCAATGGAATAGAACCTAGATTCTTGACTGTGTCATGACAGCTTCCAACCCACGATAACGAGGATCGCCCCGAGCCGTATTTCACATGAGACACCATTCCGATTCAGACCTGGACCATGCCGCTTGACAAGGCTCTCTCCTTCCATGTTCCAACTCTTCAGCCGTCCATGGAGAAGTAGGAAATCTGTGGAAAGTCGTTCCTTCTCGTATCACACTGACAAGAATGAGGTATTCAGCGAAGATGGTTCCGCTTCCTTCTCGTTCGATGGAGACCAAAGCAGCTCTAGACCCGTCGAATAGCCACGTTGGCTCTGCTTGACGTGGGGGTACTCTGTTTTTTATCAGCATGGGATCCGGGCTATCCGAACGCTCAAATAGATCGAGTGATCATTATCGTGGGATTGGGCATCAAAACAGGATGAGATGTTTTGTTTATTGCATCGTGTCGAGTCAAGTGACTCTGAGAACGACTCTGGAATAATCAAAAGCAATCTTCCGTTTTCAAACAGAAATGTTTTGATATTTTGAGCAGGAATGAACGGCTTACTCAATAACGAGAGCCAAGTTGGCTCTCGAGTGAAGCTCCAAACCTTCCCAAGGAGGGTTGCTTCTGACCGGGCTTTTCTTAATGTAGTATTTGTTCCCATCCAGAAGGAACTGGACAACCGCCGCGGTGATCTTGTTCAGAAGGGGCGTGATGGTAAAACAAGAATACGCTGGAAGTTTGATGCGAAATCCTTCATCGGTGACAGTTCCTCTTTCATTCATTCGTATCCCAACCTTCTGGCACGGGAGGAGCGATGAAGGAGCCCATCGATATCCCTTCTGTCGGAGTCGGGATCCAGGTACGAACAGGATCGAGATTGGCATTTGGTCTTTGTGTAATTTCCAGAAGATCTTCATCCGGTCAGGAATTGGAGCCTAAGTCGTTGTCAGCTTTGACCAAGAATATTTTTCAATTTGCCACTTTTGTTCAGCCGCTTTGTGCGTGAATGTTCGCTATACGAGGTTGAACAAGAGCTCAGCCGCTGCAAGGACAGACGACTGTTATGGCAGGTGGGGAATGGGCATACCTCCATTAATGCCTTCATGTCGAAATTCATCAGAATGGCTCCGCAGATCGGCTCGTCAGACTCCACCGTTACAGCACGATCGCTGATCAACAGTTTCCACAGGTAATCAATCAAGTCGACGCCTTGCATATTACCATACAGATGGAACGTCGTATCGCAGTCCCAGCCCACGGTATTGAAGTAATTCAAACCAAGGTCGTTCCTTCGTGCCATCCAATTCAGCGACGAAGTCTCGAGCATGCGGCAACGCTCTTTGAATTGGAAGATCAACCTTTTTCCTAAAACGGCTTCTTGGAGCGTCCAGAGACGGCGGATCCAGCGTGAGCAGCGGATCCGCATGTTGAGCTCTTCGTACGTTGCTTCGGCTATGGCGGCCATGAGTTCGGCGTCGAAGACCAGGACTCTTTCTGCGTTTGCGTAGACGTCGCGCATTTGAAGTACTGTGGATTCTCAGTTTGATTCGATGTCTTCAAACGCGAAGAAAGTATGAAGAGGCCGATTGTTGTGTATTAGGTACGATTTACTTACTTGCTCTAGCGTAGATATGTACTGGACTACGAGGCACGCAAAGTGTGTCCATCCAGAAAAATACTCGATTGTCATTCTTTGCATATCTATACCACTTGACGTTCTCAGGATCGGGAAATTTCAGCTTAAAGTCTGGCATTTCGTAGCTGGCTGCAATGGAAGCAACGAGCTTTTGCACACGACAAAGTGGCAGAGAGTTCTAGCAGGAGAGATCAGCTAAGTATCCTCTTCCTCTGCAAGCCTTTGATCAAGTATCCTCTCTCGTTTTAATCGTCGAGGAATATGAATGGTTCTCGTTCGAAGAATAACTCACCGAGTCAGGATTACCCCACCCATCAGTCCATCTACACGGTACTTTAGCAAGAGAAGACTATACGGTATGTCGAAATGCTGCTTACACATGAGACATGGCTGTATACTCCAACCCTGGCTCAGACGATGATGAGATGACATCTAAAGTAGGGACTCCGTTTTCTTCCACCTGGCCACATTAGTATCTTGATTCCAATGCCGTCCGCCACAACTCAATGCTATGCAACGGGCTATACAAAGTGTTCAAAACGGAGTGAGAAGTCAAAGGTCTACGTACTAATCGCAAGATAGGTATTTCATGTTCATTAATAATGGCATGCAGTTTTGTGTGATCCACAGTCAAAATTTGGCATTGGCAATTTTCTGTCTCATGGCCGAGCTTCAACGACCTAAGTTGTGCAATACCCTGACAGTCCTTATCATCTTTGCTACAACAACTATGGTCCAACTTTCTCAACGGAGGACCAAGCAAGCTGGCGTAATACTGGCCAACGACATTGCTGTGAGAACGAATCTGCTCAATAACAATGGGGCACCAGCCTTGCTTGACCATACGATCAGTAAGGAAAGGACTACGTGTGATCCGGAAGTGCAAGCCTCTCTCCCACGGTATATCATTTCTATACGCAAGCTGGCCCGCCGATTTACTCATCAATAGCTGAGTTACGCCTACTTGCAAAGTGATTGCAAGGAATTGAATGCTCAATGAGACTTCTGGCGGTAGAGGATTGGCAGGTAGTCTAGACAATTGCTCCCAGACATGATATTCAAGACTGAGACAATCAGCAACCCTCTGATTTCGTTTCTTGATAAATTCCGCAGTGTAGTAAGGAAGCGCCTTTTCAATCTCGATTTGCTGGCGAACAAGATACAGGAGGCCAGGAAGCTTCTGCGCCGTGATCCACTCTCGCCCTGCATCATCAGTGCGTACAAAGTCTCCCCTCTGTATTTCTATACCGAGCAACTCGTGCATGAATCCAAAGTACAACCAATCTTGAAGGAAAGATGCAACTGCTTCGGTCGAGCGGCCTTGAAGATCGCCTTGGAGCAAGCGATCAAGGTCGAAACCTCTTCGGGTAGGATAAGAAGCAAATTCCAGTCCGTCATACTCGGTCTCTCCAATGAACGGGACAGAGATGGGTTCGTATGCCTTTGTGACTGGTGGTAGGTGTTCCATCTCTAGCACTGCGAGTATCAAGTGATTCTGAGCCAGTCAATAAAGCTCAGCTACTAAGCTGATCGCTTGTGACGGATGATCAGTACTAGTATATCCTCAATAGGGACAATAAATCGACGCTCAACGTCCAACTGAGCCTTGGCTGAAAGCACGACGTACCGATACCGGTACGCGCCGAAGAAGCGAATCTGCAAGGCGGTCTGGGACCAATGAGAAGGAACCACGAGGGGATGCGAGGTTACGCAGCCGCTGCTGCCAGACGAGAACGTTCCTCCATCTCCTTCTCGTGTCTGTACAACTTTGTATCAGGGCTTCATATTTAAAGTCGGAGATGCCGACGGTTATCCACGTTGAGATGTTTCAGAGGAATGTGTGATTGTTACTGCGACTCTCGGCATGGGAAGGACGCAATTGTCACTTGAAAGCACAGTGAGTGGCTTTGCACGAGGGCGAAGCCACTCTTGTCTTTGTCAATTCTTTCCCATGACTCTCTCTAGCAACGAATATCGCTTTGTTAACTTGCGACACCGCCGCTTCACAGTCTGGCTTCAGCTTTGTCTTTGCGTCGACGCTGTGTCTCCTGTGACCAAGTTCCAAGGTTCCTCGAATAGGTAAGTGTGAGCGAAGAATCGAAGGACTTCCTCATCCGCTCTTCAGCCTTCATCTCGCTCAATCAGCCGCTTCTTGTACGACAACCTCATGACCTTACAGTACTACTCGATTAGAGCGAGCGGAAGGACGGCATCGAAAAGGGTCGCTCACCGCCGATGCGCGACATCGAACTTGACTTTAGAGACCTCGTTGCTGAATGCGGGGAAGCTCTTGGCCGATCGAAGGGCGTTGACACTTTTACCTCAAGCCTCTCTGGCCCTCGGCCAAGAAGATGCATGCAGCACGACTCAAAGCATCATCGAAGATCTGAATCTCATCAACTCGACCGATTGGCAATGAACAGAGCGCAGTACCAATATCCACGTCACGATGAATTTTCCGGATATTGAAAAACTCAAGACAGAAAAAGAAAAACCTGCCGAAATCTCTTCAGCGCTTCATGCTTGCTGGTGGGCTGGGCAAAGCACCATAGCACCAACAAACCCGCCGAGCTTCCCCAGAAAATTACATCATGCTAAAAGCTTGCTAGCTTGTTCCACGGATACAGGCGGATGTTCCAGAACAAGCAAAAGTCAGCTGGTACCTGAAAATCAAAAACTATTTTTAAGCCGCGAAGACTTTTCACTGGTTTGTGGGCCGAAAGATGGAGAAGAGGCGAGGCGAGACAGGGAGAGCACCGAGTACCGACCACGATTCAGTGCCGGGAATGCATGACAGACAGCAACATGGTTCTGGTTTTGGGATGTGTAAAGATCCAATGTCCCTGAGAAAGAATCTGAGATCCAACTGGGCGCCTCCTGACGTGATGCGAATCTCGACATCTGCAGGCCAGATGAGGTTTTGGGCCATTTGTTGGAGCACGTTCGCCCCCTTGGAACCCGGATGTTTCAATGAGTAATGCCATGGAATGGAGTATCCTGACCAGCACGAAAAGTTCTCACCGCAAGGACCGCCAGGAATCACGAACATGCCAGAAGCGCTGACGAAAGCCCGAAACGACCACTGGCACATCCAGTCATCAATTTCCTGGGGGTAATGGATTCAAGCCTACCACTACTCGTGACCGAGCTGTGACTAATGGTAATCCAATCACAGCACCCCCTACTCGGCACGACCACCGTTAGTGCCTGGGTGCTACGAGGCTGTTCCTCTAACTGCAAAGTCTCTCACGAAGTGTTGTGCAAAGACTTTCTCCTGATGACACGATTAAGAGGGGAAGGCAAACAAGGTATAAGAAATGAGCCTTCCACCAAAACTTGCTATTCTCCATCACATACTACTCATCATCAAGCAATAACATCACAGCTTTCTTCTCTCCGTCACAGACCTTTCTTGCTACTTTGTCATACCTCTTATCCGCAATATCAAAGTCAACTCCCTCGCTAAAATGCCATCTCAATACCAAGTCACCGAGCCTCACCCAACCGTCTCAGGATGGACTCACTCTGGACGAGGAGGAATGGGCAACACTTTCAAGGCCCCCAAGACCTCTAACGGCAGCACTGCTAAAGGCCCAGCATCTCTCTTCGAGCACGGCCTCCCAGCATCTTCTTCATCCAAGTTCAGCTCCGGACGGGGCGGTGCTGGTAACATCCACGCACCAAGTGAGCGAGCCATCTTCTCCTTCGACGAAGAGCTCGAGCGTGAAACCACCCGCGAGCAAAGAGCAAAGCAAGGATCCGCATGGCACGTCGGACGAGGAGGAGCTGGAAACTGGGCTTCTGAGCGACCATCCTCAGGTCGCAAGGACTCGACCAGCTCGGGCGACAGCAACGGCAGTGTAAGACCTGGCTTCTTTGGCCGTCTCAGCTCTACTTTCGAACGACACTAAACTCTTGGATAGCCTCGTCATTGAACGGCTCTCTCGAGACACACACACATCTTCTTTATTGTCATCGGCTCAGTAATTCACGGCGTTCCACGGCGTTCCACGGCGGCGGCGGTATCATTGAGCGGATATGGTGCATCTTATCTCATCTCATGAACACGGCCTATTATTCATTCCTCTTTCCATCATCACGGCGGCGCAACTCGAAACTCATAAAAAAGCGGCTGGCATGCATGCATTCAACGGCGTTTCAATCCCTCCTCGGTGGAGATCTTGATTTTTACTTCATTATTGTTATCCTGCAACGGGGAGGATTTATTAGGAAACAGGTGGTGGAAGGGAAAAAAGTTTGGGACCTCAGGATGCACGTCTCTCTGGCTGGTAGATTCTGGAGATCTGAACTCGTCTTGGTGATTTTTTATTTATGATGCTCTTGAGAGGCTTTGTCTTAGCGACACAGCAGCGAGCGATGGATGTATACCCAACTACTACTACCCTTTTTTGAGAATATATATACCCGGCGACTTTGTGGTCTTGGTCTTGTATGCATTGATTGTACTGTATTGGTATAGCGATAGCTAGCTAGGTATCTACTTAATATGAGAATTCATATCATATCAGATCTACAATATTGATTTCTAGATGACTGGTGAAATGATTTACGTTGCTTTGCAGCCATCAAGGTTATCCATCGCGGTCGCTTTTTAACGAAAAGCAAGACTCACATCGATGAATTCGCAGAGACCGCAACTTCAGACTCCGAGGAAAAGGACTCCTTCTTGCGACGTGCAACAGGAGGTGCTTTGTACGACGGTGTGGTGTATTGAGTGGTGGAAAGGAGGGTGGCTGGAGAGAGGTGAGGCACTATGTCGTAAGAGAAATTGGGAGGTGTGCGGGGTTGGGTTGGGTGATGGGAATCGAGACAAGAGGAAGGAAATAAGGAAAAGAGAGAGAAGGAAAAGGGGGGGTATTATGGAGGGAAATGAAGGACTGGAGGGGTGGGTATTGAAGAAAAGAAAGAAAGAAAGACTGGAGGTAGGGAATTTGATGAGGTGAGTGAGAGGGTTGATGGATGAGGTGGTAGGTGGTGTGAGGTTGGAAAGAAGAGGAGGGCTTTAGTGCTGTTTTTGAAGCACAAAATGAATTGAGTAATTTCTTTCTGGTTTGGGTTATTGGTGTATAGGAAGAAAAAGAAGCAGGATTGACGTGGTCAAGATTGGATATTTGGATTCCTTCCCGGGGAGAATGGAGGCTCGTCTGCTGGTTTTGCGTAGAGTGGATTTGCGAAAGTGAGATGATTGAGAGACAGGAGGTTGATTTCGAGATACGAGTGAAGTATGATGAGAACGATACCTTGGTAAGTTCTTAGAGGACGAAATTTGCTTTGCACTGGACAAACACTTTTCTTTGAAGAATGTGGAAGTGAAAGCAAGACTTGATAGCCGGAACCTCTTTTGCTCTTTGTGACCAAAAGGAGCAGAGGAGGAGGATCGGCTATTATTGCTGAGTTCTATTTATCTTCTCCTCTTTTTGACTGGGTGGGCCAAGATTGGTCTTGTAGTATCTATTCTTCGCCAGTTTACTGGCGTTTGGATAGCTGTGAAACGGGGAGGGGGAAGGGGGGAGAAGAGGATGAGGATGATGAGTATGAGAATGATTGTGAGGATGAAGAGGGGAGAAGAAGAGGAGGAGGATGAGGAGGAGGACTGAAGGGTGCGATGTGCAACAAATCTTTTTTTCAATGACTGGACTTGTACTAGACATTATAGGATGATGGTAAGGATAAGGACGAGGATGAGGAGGAGGAGGGCAAAAAGGTGCTTGCGATATGCAACAAAAGAAATCCCAATGTCTGGACTTGTACCAGACATTCTAGGATGAGGATAAGGAGGAGGACGAATAAAAAAAATTGCGATGTGCAACAAAAGAAACCCCAATGTCTGGATTTATACTAGATATTCCAAAATGAGGATAAGGATGAAGATGAGCAGGAAAATGAAAGGTTGCGATGTGCAACCAAAAAAATCTCAATGTTTGGACTTGGACTAGATATTCTAAGATGATGGTAAGGATGAGGAGGAGGAGGAGAAAATTTAAAGGGTGCGATGTGCAACAAAAAAATCTTAATGTCCGGCCATTCATAGGATATTTGCAGGATGTTTGTAGAAATATATATTTCCCACGATCCAACACGCATTGAAAGTAAACCCTCAAGTCCCACAGAATTGCAAGTCTAAAGTAGCAGTCATATTGCATACATTCATCATCCTACATATATACAATCCCCTTTCCTGAACGCCACGCAAATGCTGCCTACCATCTACTCCATCCCTGAAACAATCAATCACATCAACAACCAAGCAACACTAACAACACAAACCCCTACAACAAAGAAACTCCTCCCCACAACCTCATTCAAACTCGTCCCCGCACTCGTCACTAACCCACAACACTGTCTATTATACTGCATCAAAAGCCCATCATTAGCCTTTTTCCCATGCCTCATTCCCCAACAGGAGCCGATAAGAACTTACAGTAACATTATTCATCCTGGCCTGAACCTCAAACACCGTCCCATTACCCACATTATAGTAATCCACATTCAAAAACTTAGGCGGGTAATCCCACGTGTTGTTGCAGGAGTCGGCGTTCAGGCCTAGGGACCCGAATTGGATGGTGCTGGCGTTGTTGGTTACGTTTAGGAGCGGGCGGTTGGGGACCAGGAGGGAGTTGCCTAGCAGGGAGATTTCGTAGTTGAGGTTGTGGTTTGTCATATATACTTTTTGGGGGGGGGTTTTGTTAGTTTGAGTTTTGAAGATTTTGGGGGAGTCGAGTCCCAGTGGGAAGGGGATAGGGGACTTACGTCGATCTTTTGCGTCTGCGGTAGATAGATCGGGTGGGCGTTGAGCATCACATGGAAACGACCGGTTCGTGGGATCAAAAGGCGTCTCCCACATCTGGGAGAACTCATCTAGGATCCAGGGAACGGCTGTTTGGTTCGCTTGGTAGTCCATGAAGATTACGACTCGTTTGCCGGTTAGGATCATGGATGCGAGGGTGGGCCAATCGTTGATACCCATGGGGATCTTGGGCGGGACGTAAGCGTAGTTTTGGATGCCGGACATTTCGATGTAGGGCGTGTAGAGTTCGACGTTGGAGTAGTTGCCGTTTCCGAGGAGGATGGTGACCACGTCGTAGGGGTGCGATTCTACCCAGGTTGTGACGGTGGTCAGGTAGTCTTGGATGGGACCGGCGTCGAGGACGTCGCAGGAGGTGTGGCAGAAATGGGGAGTGTTGTTCGCCCATTGCATCTGTGCTTGAAGTAATCGGATGCCGTCGTTTAGTTGTGTGGTTACGGGTAGTTCTTGGTTGGCGGCTGCATTGTCGACTTTCACGAAGGGAGAGTTGTGTGCTGAGACTTCGGTTATGTTGCCGTACTTTCGCTCACAGAATTCGGGATAGTTGTTGCAAGGTGTGGTGTTGGTGGGTTCGACGGAGGAGGACGTAGATGATGCGGTTGAGTTGGATGTTCCATTGAGGGAGGTTGTGGAACTTGGTCGGCCTGAAAGGAGGATTTGTGAGTTGGTGGAAGTGGATTGAGTTCCTGAGGTGTTGCTGGCCATTAATGATGCAAATTCAAATAATGTTGTTGATCCTAATTCCTCGAGTTAGTATGTTTTGTTCAACTAAGCCAGTACAATATCCTAAGAATAATAAAAGTGCAAGACATATCCCACTGACCTAAAGTAGTCGTCCTAGTTGATCCTCCGCTTGTTACTTTGCTAACAACAGCTTCTGTACTGATAGCAGAAGAACTCCGCGAGGAAGAGGCAGTAGACTCGGTCAACGTTGAGCTATAACTGATATAATCTCCAGTTGGAGTAGCCGCCTCTGACACACCAGACAATACTGTCACATCCCCATTCACATCGGAACTGGAACTAGAACTCGAGCTCGATTGCGCATTTGCCGCAAGAGCAAAGAAGCAGCCATAAGGAAGAACCCGTGAGAATAGCATAATTGCGGATGGTGCCCCTATTCCTCCAACAACCCGCGATTGTTTAAATGAACGTCTTCAAAGTCGATGCCCAAAAGGTTCCTCGAGATACAGAGGGGAATGGCTCAACAATAATATCTCCCGAGTCTCCACATGCTTGGTCGACGTCAACTCCAGCTAGACCTTAGCTTAAGATGTTTTGTTGTATTATTTTCGTCGTCACAGAAGAAAAGTGGAAATATTGCACAATGACGTCTTGAGTGTGTATGCCGGGAGACTCGGCAGCACCACGAATCAATGCACCAGCGGCACTAAACTTTGTCTCCCCGAGATCTAGATCGTGGAAACGGTTCCGTCTACCCAGAATGGTGGTACTGTGAATGAAAGTAGAGAGGGGTCTAGAAAGGACGGGAGAAGAGTTTTAGAGATGGAATCAAAAATGTCTTCAGATGCCAATGCTTGAGAGCACAAGGGACAAGCTCTTAGAAGCTCAGACCCCGTCATCAAGGAGGCTGAGTCGAGTCTTTGCCCTGGAAACAAGAGCCGGGACAGCTGAGAGGCGCTGTAAATGGACAAACTTCTGCCCAAGGAACGTCCAGTCTCCACTTGTAGCGCTGGCAAAGAAGACTCGTGTGCATCCGTCTCATGGATGTTTCAACACATGTTTGTAGGGCCTTTGCTGTTCTCCCCTCGAAACAAACAGTTCAGGGGTTCGGATCCCCACAAGGTTTAGACGGGACTTCCAAATTAAAAAGATTGTCCAGCTTGTCAAGGTATTCCATAGGGGCACAGTCTGTTTCTCTCGGAGTGATTCAGCGAATAGTGGTGTCTAAAGACAGCCATCTGAGGCTTCGCCGTTGAACAGCGTCAAGCCACCCGAAGTATTTCTCGCTAGAAATCAGTAATTTTCTCTCTTGGATGACGTTTTTGTAGTATGGAAGGCTCGAAAATCCTCGTACAGGCAATCGATAGCGTTGAACAGTGTTGGCACTGAGTCCAGAACCCGCTGGCAGACACTGCGAGTGGAACACCACGCATCAGTGGCTTTCCTTCCGGCGCTATCATTGCTCGTATCAGATGCCGTCCACAGGGTCGAGACGCGCAACTGCAGAGCCGCCATCCCTGGTCTCTTGCTCTTGATGATGTCGTTGGACACTAAACGAATTTCTGCTTGATATACACTACTGACCTCCTCTTCCCAAATGCTCGTCGTCGTTGTTCTACCACACCCATCGCCGTCGTCTTCCCTTCCTGGATCTGAGGCCAATTGATCATGGCTCTTCCAACCTTCCGCTCGCTCGCTGCTAGACGGCAGAATAAGAAGCAGGAGGAACAAACTGGAGCTGCCAATGGAGGAGTAGTAAGAGACGAGAACTCAGAACGAACCCTCACACCAACCTATACCCCCGGCGTAGACGTCAAACTCGCAACCAAGACCCGAAAGACCTGGATCTATGCCTCGTGTCTATTCTTCTTCATCTCCGTCATCTTCTTGATCCTCGTAAGACCTTCCCTTCAATCTACTCGCCAACAAAGACTAATAGGAAACTCCGCAGACCCTCATCGGAAACATCAACAACAAGCCCGTCATCCGCTCAACCTTCTTCTACAAACTCAACCTCGCAGACATCATCCCCGCCTCCTCGCCCTCCGACATAATCTTCACCAACTCCCTCGCCCGCTCCCTCGGCCTGCACGACTTCTACCAAGTCGGCCTCTGGAACTTCTGCGAGGGCTACAACAACGAAGGAATCACCCATTGCTCCAAACCCACCACTCTCTACTGGTTCAACCCCGTTGAGACGCTTCTCAATGAATTATTATCTGGGGCTACGATCGCACTGCCGGCGGAGATCAATAATATCCTGAAGTTGATCAAGATTGCTTCCCATGTCATGTTTGGATTCTTCCTCACGGGAATATGCATGAATTTCGTCTCTATATTCCTCGCTCCCATCACGCTGTACTCAAGATGGTGGTCCCTCCCCTTCGCGATCTGGACGTTCATCGCGGCGCTGCTCACGACGGCCGCCTCGGTCATCGGGACGGTGATGTCGGTCATCTTCCGCAACGTGGCGACGTCGCAGTCGGGGCTGAATATCGGGGCCGAGATTGGGACGGATATGTTCGCGTTTATGTGGGTGGCGAGCGCGTTTAGCATCTTTGGGTGGTTGATCCATCTTTGTCTCATGTGCTGTTGTACGAGTCGGAGGGATGTGAGGACGGGGAGGAGGAAGGGCAGGAGGAGCGCGTATGGGGATGTGGGGAGTGATGAGAAGAAGAGGGCTACGGCGGGGGGGAGGAGGTGGGCGCAGATGCCGAAGTTTGGGAGGAAGAAGAGTGAGGGGGAGGTGGTGTAATGGGATGTGGATAGATAGGGGTGGGTAAGGTGCATATTGTGTATGGCGTTGGTGGGACTGAGCGTTGGTTTTGGTGCTTTTTTAGCAAATCATGATGATGAATATAGAACAGTCAAAATGTTAATCGTATTCTAAAATCCAGAACGAAAATCAGTGAAAGAAACCCCTCCTACGACGGGCAGAAGCACTACTCTTCTTCAGTCGACTCATATCAAGCCTCTCTGTTTTCATCCACTCTGAAATCTTAGGTTGGATTCCACATTAGTTTCTCATCCGACCTTGGACTCGCTAGTTTTCTTCTTAAGCATGCTTCTAATACTGTTGTATATCTTGATCATATGTTGTGCTTCTACATTTACCCCAAGACTCAACCAAGACCACTCCGTCCAGATTCGACTTCCTTCCGAAATATCGGTAACTTGCCCTTTATAATCGTCTCCTCATTCCCTTCCACATTGTTCAATATCTTGATACGAATGTAAGAATATGAGATTTGAAGATTATCACTTCGAGAGGCGCAGCGACGTGCTGAGGAAGAAGACGGAAAATGCACGGCATCTTGAAAAGTGCAGCTTCTACTCAGTATGAGGGGGGTGTTATACAAGTTGTAAACGTATACAATGTCATGAAACTTTTGGCTTCTGTTCTTGGATTATTGTTAATAAAATGATCTGCAACTTAAAATTCTCAGAAGTCTGTACTTGTTTTGTTTTATAGTACTTGGAATTCAGGTGGCCGCAGAACTGAAGCCATTCTAGGACAAGTCCACAGTGAGAAATTGTGGTTATGACTTGTTAGAATTCTCAATCAAATGTACAGATAGATTGTTTAACGTATACAGGGCAGATATCGTGGGAAGGCTGAAGGTGCCTGATGCTGGTCTAGGAAGTGTCCAGCATATTACGACGAGGCTGAAAAATAACTCGGCATAATGAGCACAATAACTAGGATCATCCTCGAGGCTCAAAAGTAGTAGACACCAATCATGTTCTTAGGTTTGAGGATTATTGATGTCTCAGTGCCGGGTCAGCTGCCAGTGCCTGAAAATGAAGCTGGGCGTCGAGAAAAGAAAGCCTTGCATAACAGGGCTTAGCCGTCTTGTGCAAACGGATTGTGAAAACTTGCACAATATCGATACATCCATTCCATGCTCGCTTTGCATCTCCAAACCTCGTTGCTGATCTCAATATCCTGTGAGTAGATCGATCTCCTCTGTCTTACGATGATATCACTGAAGAACCATCAAACGGCGACCCGGGCTCTGTGTTCAAGATACAAGTATACTAGATTTGCCCCTCAAAATAGTAGATCTCCTGGACAACGCCCCACCAGCCAAGGGAAGACAAACTCAGAGAAGACTAGATGCCGTCGGCAAGCCCCTGTCAGCGTTTCCCATGAAAAAGCTTCAAACGGGGATTCAAGCTCCACCACTTTCCAGGCCTCGATCACCCCAGCGTCGAAACGAAACAACATCTGTGAATTTGCTGTCTGTTTGTTTGTGCTGGAACGTGGGACATCGAGTACGAGTAAACGACTCGACGACGTCCTCGATGAGATGATATGAGATGATATGATGTTTGCGGAGATCACAGCTTCGGACTCAAACACTGCCTAGCTGCAGCGAGCCGAGTAGGGAAGCTGAGGAGCCCATTGGCGGATACTCAACGGACGCCCAACGAATTAGACACTGCCACAACAGGACTTCTGTAGGAACATCTGGAGGAGCTGATGAATGCGCAACCCACGGGTCAGATCTCGCAAGACGCTCTGAAAGCGTTTGCACTCATGAGAGCGCTGGCTTGTCTGGTAAACGATACCGTAGCTTGAGTTACTATTATTCTGCCCAGAAAAAGAAAAGGCCATTCTCGGCTAATTGGGGGGTGTCGCTCCGTGGAGGCCCCGTCCAAGCTTCCAATCAAAATATCGCACGGCCTGTATTTACCTTCTCCAGCCATTTCCAACTTCCCATACCATACCATATCACAATAACACCTCTGTTATTATTGCATTCGACAGAGTGCCCACTGGCTCTTTTCAGACCAGAGTCCACCACCTCTACCTGGTCACTCAGGTCCTCCTCTTTGTACCACCCGTCGCCTCTGCGCAGCCTGTTGGCCCCATCCAATACAATAACCCGGTTGTACTCAGCTGCGGTTCGTCGATCGACTCTCCAGCCTCCGCGATTTCGAACCACCACTCGACAACTCGGCAGCAAACTTCTGATGTATTTCCCTTGACTGCGCGCCTGACCTCTGAGTTGCGAGGATGGGAGCCGACTACAAACTACCCCAGGCCACCGATACCTTGACGACGCAGTCGACCGATGGCAACAATACAGAGCTAGAGTCCAAGACTCAAAAGTCTGAATACTCACTTCCGCCGGGCGAGGATGTGGTGATTGCCACCCGGAGGAAGCATCGCGATAAGGACGGCCACACTGGACTCAATTCCAATAATAAATCGCAGACATCATTGTTGATTGAGTACTTCGAGGGTGGAAAAGGCAGCCAGGCTGAATCTCGACGTCCTTCGTAAGTTGCTTCTTTTCACACTAATGCATCCCGTCCAGTATTGCTTCTCGACTTCTCGGGCCATGAGCTAACTTCAATTACAGTGTGAGAGTGAAAGTTACTCCATCTAGCAAGGGCAGGAGCAGGTCCTCGAACGATCATATACAAATTACAGAACGAAAAGGTACCCGCAAGGCATCGTACACCCATCGAATTCCACTTTCCGATAGACACGAGAAATCACCAGAGATTGAAGGAGATGATAATAGCCTTAATTCATACCGTTCAGCTACAGAAGAGTCCAATGTTACATCGAGAGGCGGTGGTCCTATAGAGGTCGAAATCATGCCTAAACGCCATGGCAGCCCTCTGATCCCAAGTACAGAGGTCAGCTCCAGATATGTACAACAACCCTCCGACATCTCCTCGATGCCTGCGGATAGTTTCCTCGATGGCAAGACACGATCACCCGAACGGAAAGACCCTCGGGGCATGTCTCGAAGTGATATTGTAATGGCAGGCGCAGCTACGGCTGCGGCAGCAGCACTGGCGGCCGATAGACTCAAAACTCCATCACGACGACGCAGTCGAAGTCTGAGTCGAGAACGAATCGTTGCCCAGAAAGCTGTTGAGAAAGTGCGGGGTGACAAGTCCGAACGGCGTCGAAAACACAGAAGCAGAAGTCGCAGCATAAGCGGGGAACACTCTCTGGAATCTATTACATCTCCACGGCGGCGATCGAGTCGAAGCCATCATGTGGATTCTCAGGTTTCTGGTGTTGAGTCGAGTCTACTTAATTCTAATTCCCATGTCAGTGGCAAATCTGGTGATGCCTACTCTTTCAGATCGGGCACTTCTAAATCTTCCATCAACAATCCCAAACTTTTGGAAACCGTCGAGGACGCTATTCGCAGGTTGATCTTGCCGGAGCTGACGGCATTGAAGAGAGAACAAAGCAAACACCAACAGCGTGACCGCGATCGAGATCGTCGAGGATCTGTTACTTCAGGTAGCGGTCTGTCTAGAGATTCTCGAGAAGAATATTCAAGTGCTAGACGACTGTCTGACCGTGGAAGTGGCACAGATAGCTCTGGAAAACCGAAAGTGGGTTTGAACGACTCGGAAGGTCTCTCTGGCAACACGGTTAAAGGACGCAAAGACAAGAATATCGACCGTGTGAAGCTTGAGGATTCTCCAGGTAGCTTTGAGAGAGAGACTTCCGAGGAAACGGTAGTGCAGGGTGGTAAGCTGCGGAAGAAGCATAGCAGCGATCGACATCATGGCCTCGAAGCAGCAGCTATTGGTGCTGGTATGGGAGCTTTAGCAGCTGGTATGCTTCACAAGCATCAATCCCAGGACTCGATTGAATCAGAGAGAAAGGAACGTCGACGACGAAGAACTAAGAGCCATAGCAGGAGTGACAGTCTCGTCGAAAGCTACGAGGAACGAGAGCATGAAGCTTTACCACCTATGCCCTTGATGAGCGACATCAATGCATCGGAAATCACGAGGAGCTCCATATTATCCGCAGATACCGACAGACCTCAGTCTGCAAGTCAAGAGCGAGTGACACCTATTCGAGAGGTTCCGCGAGGCATGGCTTCCCCTGCATCACGAACTCCAACAAGAACGCCAGTAGCTTTACAGCATGGCCTTGGAACACAGCATTCGAATTACTCACGTGGCAACTTGAGTCTGCAAAGTCCGACTGAAGAACAGCATATGCTGGAAGAGTACGAGATTGACGAACATGGTCGCAAAGTACCAATGCACGACTCACCTGAGCACGACCAGGAAGATTCGTATGTCGAAGAAGAACAACACCATGGTCACAGCGGTGCGATTGCAGCTGGTCTAGCAGGAGCCGCCGCTGGCGCTGGTCTAGGGGCCATGCATCACCTCCATGATCATCACGATCCTGAACTTATCCAAGAGGACCAAGCAATACACCACGATTACTACCATCAAGAAGTGCCTCCACCTCTTCGATATGTTCCGTATGCTCAAGAACGACGTGGTCTGAGTCCTATCCAAAGCGTCTCTGGCTACACTGAAGGCGAACCAGATTCGGCACAAAGAGATTCGAGGTTGACGCATAGCACTGGATCGTACTCTTCCTTAAACCGATCGGTCCTTCAAGGTCAATCGGGCAGATCTCTAAAGTCTGTCGACTCATTAGGAAACGTTCTCGCCAACCGCCATGACTTCAAAGAAGTTCGACAAGGAGAGCTCGCCGATTCCGAGATCACACAAGATGGCGAATACTGGGAGGAACAACACCGAGAGAATGATCGTCAACGTCATCTGGACAATGACAATGAGAGCTATCGCAGTTCTGATCCGATTGACTACAAGCACATGACCAATTATACCGATGACAGTATGGATGGCCACGTCCTGGACGGCCAAAACGTTAGAGGCGTCGGTGCGAATCCCGATTTTGTTCACACACCGGTTGGTGTTGAATCTGCTGTCGCCTCATTGGTAAACGCCTCTGAGCTTACAGGCGAATCTGGATACTCTGGAAACCGCGAGCCTGAGGATCGTAGAGAGTCTTATGGATCATACGAGGACGGCTCTGAAAGACAGTTCACAAGCAGGAAGAGTAGTCCTACCAAGCATGATGGCTCCCGAGATGTCGAATATGAGGGCTCTGAGCGAGATATCCATAGTCAAAGGAACTCCCCCTCAAAGTACGCAGACGAGTACGAGCTGGACGAGCACGGAAGGAAAGTTGCCATGCCCAAGTACAAGAACTCTCATGCAACTGAAGCAGCCATTGCTGCAGGTGCTGCTGGAGCTGCTGCTGCTCTCATTGGAGCACGCAACCGAAAGTCCGCAGCTGATCAAATCCAATACCCTGGAAGACAAGAGGACACCGGAGCTCCTTTGCACAAATCATTCAAGGACAGAGCTCAGGAATTTCAAAGCCAGATGTTGTCACCTCGCCACAGTATCGACGCTCCTCTCAGCGAGACTGCAAGTCATGAGCGCCTAGCAAGAGACTCCCTAGCAATGGGAGCCAGCGGGCTTCCAGACCCACATAATCCTATGCCCGAGATCGGCTTCGGTGGTGCAGATTCTGATGTCGAAACAAACCCATCTGTTATCCAAGGTCCTATTGCTGGCACGCAGGAAGGGACCAAGGATCACTGGCCCGGGAAAGCAACGCCTCCTCAAGCAGAGTTTGATAGTCACTCTGTGACCCGTGAGCAAAAGTCGGATGCAAACCTCAAAGCAACTGAAGCTGCTCTGACCGGTGCTGCAATTGGTGGTGTAGCTGGTCTTGCCAGCCACAGTCGGGATAATAGCCACGATCAAGACCACGATGAAGAATGGCACAGGACTTCGGGAGAGCGAAAGCGTGATACTCTCATCACCAACCCCTACGAAGGCACAAGCCCAATTGCCGCCATTGGTGCCCTTGATCGTGATCTCCTTGGCCAAGGCTTGGGCAATGATTTTGTTCCCACCAAGCTTAACTTTAATGGACGGACTCCTGCTTCGCCTAAAGACGAGGGCTACATATCGTCCGCGCCCAATAACGCTCGTTCCCCTGGAGCCATGACACCGGAGCAGAGAGCAGATGGCGTTAGATTTATGGATCAAGAATTTGATGGTCTAGTCGAGGGTATGGATGGTGGAGATCCATTTTATACTCCACAGCATTCCCGTCATCTGAGTGGAATGTCACATGGCATGGGGTCACCGATCTACGATAGTGCTACTGGTCAAGGTATGGATCGTATCCAATCTAAGGATATCGTTGCATTGATGGATCATGTAAGTTTATCAATTCGTGACGATAGGACATTGCTAACCAGTGCTAGCTTACTGTTCGAGATGCTCAACGAAGTGCGCGTGATACAGAAATCCTCGTCACCCTGGTTCGAGCAGCTGCGGAGATGCGCAATTCTTTCGAGGACATGAAACGTCTTCTTGCTGATACCGAGGATGTTATCATCACTGAAGTCCAAGGCAATACCGAGAAGTCTGTCCAAAAGATAATCAACGGCCCTAGACCTCAACCGCAAAGTGCTGCACGATCTTTGCGAGGAGGATCTCAGGATGAGATGTATGATGATCTTCGAGCGAAGAAGAGGAACGTGTTCCGAAGAGCCCTGAAAGGTCTTAGCATGAAGAGCACGAATGATCTTGGAAAGATCGAAGATATGCTGGTGCAATTACTTGGTGATGTAGAAGGTCTCAAAGTCGCTCAAGGACTCAAGCCAGGCAGTCATCCTGGTGAATCCTACGATGATCTTGGTCAAGAAGGCAACTACGAGCACGACCGAGGCTACGAGCCTGAAGGCAATGCAGGTACATCTACTGCTAGCCATGCAAGCCAGTCTGGTCATCTATCAATTCCTCGTGGAGCCAGCGCCTCGAGACCTTTCGAGAGCCGCAAATTCTCGGACCACCGCATCAGTACTGTGCCTGAAGGTGATGAGGAAGAAGCTGAGCATCATGAGCCAGCTGCCTTGGAAAGCCAGTTTGATATAGACGACAGGCTACTTACTCCCACTCGAGAAATTCCTCGTGGTGGATCTGCTCCTCTTGGAACACCGCCACAACAATATGTTCCTCAGGCTTCGCTTAGCAATGAGAATACTCCCAAGACAGATAAGAAGAAGAAGCATGCATCAAGCAGTTCTTCTGGATGGATTCCAAAGGTCTTAGGTTCTCGTTGGTCGGAGACCACTGCATCGACAGTCTTCCGTGGATTCCGAAACAGTGGACGTAGCAGTGGGCGCAAGACAGAAGACCAATATCAAGAGCCACCTTCGAGGTCAGGCTCTGAGCTTGGGAATTATGCGGAGCAGGACCAAGATACCTATGGTGACGACAAGCTCAATACTACTAACTTCTCCCACGAGCAAGTGCAGCACTTCGATGAGAATGAGCCTCCACTTCCACCGGAGGATCCCAAGTACAAAGCTCATCGAAACTCGTTGAATCTACAACATCCTCAACCAAGGCCTGGCCCTACCCACCGATACCAGACAGCACTGGAATCACAAGCTGTGAACTTCGATTCTCCGATGTCACCAAAGTTCTCCGACTGGGGTTCTCAAACTAGCTTGAATCGCCTTCCACAACAGCAGACCAATCGATACAGCAATGGTACTAGCAATCCTGGAAACATGTCTCCCATCTCTGATGGTGGATATTCCAATGGCTCAGCTGCTGGCCAACAACCTCCTCAACGACCACCCAAAGAGCCTCTTGCTCCAGAGCGGCCTCCAAAGATCCGATCTAGTAAGCTTACCAAGCCCAGTCCATTAAGCAACGAGCACGTAGCAATGGATGACTACGAGCCTGGCGGATCACCAAGATCAGCAGCACGAAAGCTTTCCGGGTCATTACCCGTACCAACTAGAAAACCCACCGGCCCAAGAAGCATGAGCTCCACCAAGAGCGGAGAGCTGAATCGGGACGACGGAACCGTCATCAGACGAAACAGAAATAGAGGTAAGCTCCCAACATTTGACTTCCCTAATGTCCGATACTAACATAAACACCAGATACCTTTGGCACAATAGCCAGTAATCACAGCGGCGAGTCCGAGACCTTCTGAAAATAGACTTCGTTCTGCATTACCTATCTCACGATACCTACCGCTTTTCATTTTCCTTGCAACGCTCGGGTGTACCGGATACCATCTTGCTTGCATTGGGGAAAAGGGAAGATTACATACAATAGTTGAAAATAGCGGGGATTTGTTTTTTTCCTTTTTCTCTTGTGTCTATTTGAGGCATATAGAAAGGGATGTGTTTGTTTGTGTTTGTAAGGAAGGAGGAGCGGAGATTTGATGACTTTACGATGAGACATGACTCTTTTTGCGTTTTTCTTTCTTTTTCGTTCTGCGAAGGCTGGGTGGATGGAGGCTTTGCAGATACTCAAAAAAGTGCATATAAGCTTTAATTGACGGTGTTCATCTCTCTACATGATAATCTTCATCTGGATGTGTGATTGTGACTGTGACTTTTAGTTGAGGACCGACATGTTGTTTGACAGGCTCAAGTTTGTGCGAGTTTGATCTGATCTTTTAAGAGGGGTTATATTTATCAAATGAATTCATAACACCAGATAGAGCATCTCATCTTAACATTGGGACGACAATAGGTTTCAAGGTCTGCAAGTTCAACTGAATGGAAGTCCTGTTCTTGTTAACACTCGCTGGAGTCCTGAGCTGACCGGAGGGATATTACGCCCATTGGACAAACCGTCGAACTCAACCACCTACGCAAGTGGCGCCAAGCTGAAGTGGCGACACATTCAACGTCACCATCAACGTGACAACTTCTCTAGGCCGCTGCTTCCACGTGACCAACCCTCTCACCTTTAAACCAAACAAACAAACCTTCCCACCATCCAAAACCAACTCTGTTTCCCCACCTCCGCTCGCCGAACAAACATCTCTCGCATAACACGAAAAGACGATCGTCCCGCCAAGCCGTCACACATCCGTCTCTCAATCAATCGCTAGTGTCTCGGCTCCCTGAAGCTCGCTTCGCACGGACCATCCATCTCTTGGTTGTCTTCTGCTCCAGCCAAGGGAGGTACAAAACCTTTCGACGTACAACGCAACACCAAATTTTTTTGGTGTCACGCGGAAATTGGAAATTTCTTCTTCTTCTTTTGTTCTTCTTTTATTCTTGAAGGTGTAAGGAGAGTAAGGAAGGAAGGAAAGAAGGAAAGACAAGATGGCGCTCGAGAAGTCAACACGTCTGATGATCATCATCGCCATCTCGTTCTCGTTTTTCGTGGGCGAGATTTCGGGTACGTGATATTCTTGATCTTGAAAAAAAAGAAAGTGATGGACAGAACTGATATCGAGGGTGCATAGTGGGGTTTTACACGCATTCGTTGGCACTGGTTGCTGATGCTTTTCATTATGTATGTCCCTAATTCCTTTCCCTCCCTTACCTGCCAGGGTATTGCTCGATGCTGATTGGATGGATGCCCAGATGAATGATCTGGTCGGGTTTATTGTTGCGCTTGTTGCTACGCAGGTTTGTCTCCCTCCTCCTCCTTCCTCTCTTTGACTTGAGAAGGGGCTGATGAAAGAGGGATAGATATCCAAGAGAGAGAATTCGCCCAAGGAACTCTCGTTTGGGTGGCAAAGGGCACAGTTATTGGGTGCGTTCTTTAATGGTGTGTTCTTGCTCGCGCTGGGCGTTAGTATCTTCTTGCAGAGCGTTGAGCGGTTCATTTCGTTGCAGAGTAAGTTTGGTGTCTCTTTCGCTGGGGGAACAGGGCTGATGAAGTGGGATAGAGGTCGAGAATCCGATGTTGGTGTTGATTATGGGGTGTGTGGGGTTGACGTTGAATATCATCAGTGCTGCGTTTCTTCACGGTAAGCAAAACAACTCCCTGTCTCTCTCTTTCCCTGGAGGATCTAGCTAACTGATATCAATAAAGAACATGATCACGGCCCCAAAGTCTCCTCAACAGGCACCATCTCAGACGACAGTAACATGGAACTCTCAGACGTACCTCCCCCTTCTCCCCTCCCCTTCCCTCCCAACCTACCTATCTATCTAACACCACCCCCCTCAGACCAACCACCCACACAAAGACCACCGCCACATAAACAGCACCCAAACTCCACCAGGCCGCGACCTCGGCCTCCTCGGCGTCATGATCCACGTCATCAGCGACGCGATCAACAACCTCGGCGTCATCCTCTCCTCGGCCATAATCTGGAAACTCCGCTCCCCATCCCGCTACTACGCGGACCCCTCCTGCGCGCTCTTCATCGCGCTCATGATCCTCCTCTCGTCCCTCCCGCTCGTCTCCTCCTCCGGCCGCATCCTGCTCGAGTCGGTGCCCCTCGGCGTCTCGCTCGACGACATCAAACACGATCTGGAGAAAGTGTCGGGGGTGCTGTCGATTCATGAGTTGCATGCGTGGCGGCTCAGTCAGCATAAGGCGTTGGCGTCAGCGCATGTTCTGGTAGGGAGTGAGAGTTTGAGCGATTTCATGAGGATGGCGGGCGAGATTAATGAGTGTTTGCATGCGTATGGGATTCATTCGACGACGTTGCAGCCCGAGTTGGTGTTGACGCCGCAGACGAGTCCGGAGGTTAGGGCGATGAGGGGTGGGAGTGCGAGTGCGAGTAAGAGGGTTAGGGAGAGGGTTGGGGCTGGGGCTGGGAGGAGGGGGAGGGGACGGGGGTGTAGGGTTAATTGTGGGATGGAGTGTGAGGAGTTGAGTTGTTGTGGTTGAGGGGGGTGAATAGTGTGAAATAAATTGGTATGGGGGCGTCGCGGAATATGAAAATGGCTGGCGAGATTCGAAGATGCTATGGTAGAACGGCTTTCTTTAGAGGATTGTAAAATGTCTAGATAGGATTTCTGTAATGAGTAATGCGATCTCATATCGAGAAACTTGGTCTGCCACGGTATGATGATGTCTGGTCTGCTATAAGCACTTTAAAGGCTACGTAGACCTCGTTCGAATGCTATTTCGACAATGAGCTCATGACATACGAATGTTGATCTCGTGTAAGACATTGGATCAGCTTTAAGTACGAAGATAAATTCAGCAATCGTTACCTGGTAGGATATGAAGTTCGCAGCTATTCTACTCGCTTAGTAACTTCGAGATTGAGAAACCTCAAGGGGGTGTTTATTGAAGAAGAATAGTACTCTTTCGAAGATGCAAGCCTAAATACTTAACTTGACTAACTATCCTTGGAGACAACCAAGCCTTATACACCGTCTATAGAGGTCATCATCCACAGAGCCTAGATCTGATATGAACCTACTTATTCGCGTTTTACTTGCCCTTTGAATTTGTAAAGCAAAGTGATTGCATTATACAACCTCAACCATATCGGTTTTCATACACGAGTTTATTCTCCATTCTTCACCGCTCTCTTTACATTCACAATTCACACAACAAAGCACACACACAAACAACCAAGATCTTGAGTCTAAAGCTGAAACGCACTTTCAACTATCCATTCATTCTTGTAACCTACTCGCTCTCCTCTAACTCAAGCTAAACACTAAAGCGTAAGCTTAAAATCTAAAAATAAAAAGAGCTGTAACCAACACCAAAGCAACAAAAAACAAACTACATACAAGCCTTCCATCCCTATCCCAACTGTAAAATCTCTTTAAGCGCCAGACCCGAAAAGAAAACAAAGAAGAGACTGGCACGACAAACGCAACCCCTCGCTATTTTTTTCCAAAAATGATGCAGCCGGCACGCCACGCCCCTTGAACGAGAACGAGAATGTTGAAGTTGGTTGAATGAGCTGGTCGAAGCTCTCGCTGCTGCTGAAAATCTATATTACAATTGGACTTGGAAACTTGATAGCTCGACGGGGTATCGCAGGAAAAGAAATGCTTCGACATAACACCGGGGAAAATGCAGATGCTGATTGATGACACAAAGGAAATTCCCTTCAAGAGGGCCGTGAGTGAGTGACTCAATGATTAGAGCTTGTGCTTCCCCATATTCGACTATGGCCTCTAGTAAAGCCTCTATGTTCACCGCCACCGATCGAAGGTAGACAACCTTGCTCCGAAGAATACTGTTCTGTCCAGATCAATGTCTGGTAACAATATCTTATTCGACTCTTGGCTCGACTTGCTGGAATGCATTGCTACAATGTAGTTGGACCTTGGAACAGGTTTCTCAATGCATAGCTTGATTGGTCTCATCGTCAGGATCAACGAGGTAAGCTAATGGTGCCCAGACTCTCCAGTGCAGAATTCCGATATGTGCGATTCGTGTGGCAACCTCAGAAATCTCTTCTTTCAGGCTGTTGGTCTGCGGAACCACTGTAGAGGGTCCATTTCTGGGGGTAGTAGCAGTCTCGAAAATTTGAAGGCTTGTCAAAGGTGTGTATGTCTCGATGAGTCGCTGAAGGACTGGGTACACCTGAGACAGAACATGCTGTTCAGCTTGTTGGTAGAACGATGATCTAGGATTCGAGAGATGAAATGCTAGATGAGATTCGAATTGAGGCAGACGGGTCAATGGTGTCGTTGTGGAACGGAGGATTTGAAGAGCCAGTGAGGAGGAGAGTGATGCCCACTTATCACTTGTGGATGATGAGGAGAGAATGGCCAGAAGAGATGATCGCACTTGGAAAGCCGAGTCTGAGGCAGGCATGGAGAGATACAGAGGTGTTGGTGGCAATGTATCTGGCGTTGATGCAGTGGACGAAGGCGAAGAGCGTGGGCTTGATGTTGCAGAGACATTCAGCCCATCCTCGACCTTCGGAACCCATATTTGCTTGCCCGAAGGATGTCTGATGAAATGGCCTCGCTCTTGAGCAAGATTTTGCTTGGCGAAATGGTGAGGTAACGGAACAGTTGGCGATGAAAGCATGGTGCTGTCTGCTGGCGATGCTGGTCGATTATAAGGAGATGTTACAAAGGATCCAGTTGGCGTGTCGTCGAATGTTGGATACCGCGGTTCTGGATTTCTGCTTGGTACGTCCAGATCTCGATAGAGTTTCATGCATATTTCGAGGTTGATCAAGTCTAGCATGTCAGAACGAAGCTTAGTCAGGCGTTCCTCATCGAACAAGAAAGTGTGGGGGAACAATTCCGACTTCGATGGCAGAGTGAGGTTCACGAGCGCCTTGATAAAGTCCCACGTATTGCCTTGAGAATGGGTCGAAGGGTCCAGATTTGGAATGTCTGGCAAGGCGCTCGCTCTTTTGAACCACGCGTGTGCTCCAGCAATATCGACTCTGCCCATAGCGATCTTCTTCATGAAGAATTTCTGTTCAAAATGAACGGTATCCTCAATGAGAAGCGGCCGCAAACAGCGAATTTGGTGATTTGCCACATCCTTCGTCACAGTTAGCATCCAGACAAGAGATCTCCAAACACACATTTAAATACTGACCAGTTTCATCGCTTCCAAGACACCAAGCAAATTCTTCATGCCGGCTACCAGCAGAGTCACGTCGCCGTTGCGGTCACCGTTGCTCAGCTGCGTGACCATCTCGTCCACCCAATTATCTCTCATGGGAGCACAATGGCATTTCAGGAGTTGCGACAACCACAAAGCCAATTTTACTAAATCTGCAACTCCTTTTCGAAATTGTTGCATAAGTAAATCGACATTGAAGGTCTCCTCGACAGAGGCACGATCTCGCTGGGGAACCAATGTTTCCAAGATTCCTCGAATGGCATTCAGAGTCGCGGGCAAGCACCATTCCGTATCGTCAACCTCTCTTTCGAATTGTTCTCGGTTCGTCATGTACTCTCGAAGCTGCGTTTGCATCGTGTCCCAGAAATTGTTGGCTTTCTCGGTCTTCCTTTTCCCTTTTTCGCCATCCAGGTTCGGTCTGAAGTGCAGATCTGGATCGAAGTTGATATCGTGACGCAGCTTTGGATTATTTACAATCTTGTTCACGTCGAGTTCGCTCAACGTCGCCTTGGTCACTGGAGGTTCCATTGCAGGACTTGGATTTCTCGTGTTTGGTCGGGGAGGTCGCTCCACGCTCGAGCCATAATGTCGATTTCTCGGCGACGGATTTCCTGCACTTGACTTGTTTTTTTGAGCTTCAATATCGTACCCTGCTTCCTCGATGTGGATGTCTATGGAATTCTGGGACCTGGATTCCCCGACCTGTGAAGTCGACATGGAACCATCGTTATTTGCGGGCGGGTTAGGATGTCCATTCGTTGCAGCAACACTATTCCCGCGCTCTCTCTTTCCCGCATCGGACTCCATTATTATTATATCCTCCCAGCCCAGCTGCGGACCTCGTCTAACCCCGAACTTTTTTTGCGATCAGGTGCTTTTCGTATCAGTCTGGGTACAATATCCTGAAATCGATGCCGCGGACGGTGAATGGGGCGGCGAAGATTGAGTGTTTCTGTGAGCCATTCATATCAGTATAGATCTCCATGGCAAACAAGGAACGAAGACTCTGTGTAAGCAGCAAGAGTCCTCGTGGGTCAGGAGCCGGATAGCTGCATGTCGCACCACCGACGTCCTTCGGTGGGCGAGTAGATGTCTCGAGGGCGGACGGGTAGTCGCCAGGTGAGAAAGAAAATAGTTTGTTTGTGTGTTGCAGAACGGGCGCATGCGACATACCTCTTCTTTCTGTGTCTCGCGAGAGAGCTTGTCTACCAGCCAAAAACCCGACTTTTCGTTTTTTGCCTACGTTCTACAACAGACCAATTGAGGGTACAGGAAAGGACTGGAATGGGGTCGAAGTCGCCCACGAAGGAAGTGTTTCGAAAGGAGCGTACTGCAATGACAAAGAACCTCCCAGATCAGGAAATGAAGGAGAAGGGACGGAAACAGATTAATGGGACAAGGAAGGAGAGAGGGAGGGAGGGAAGGAAGGAAGGAGGCGGAACTGGGATTGATTTTCCCCAAAAGTCGAAGAGGTGGTAGTGAAGGTGGTGGTAGTAGTAGTGAGGTAAGTAAGGTCGGTGAGGAAGGTGAGGTGAGGTGAGGTGAGGTGAGCTGCGGTGCGGTGCGGTGCGGTGTACAGTACGGGAGGAAGTAGTTGCTATGTGGTCTGGTATGCTGCTATGCTGCTATGCTGGTATGTACAAAGTGTCGATGCGTACCGGGAGAGCGTGAGACAGGAATGGAAGGAGCAGGGGGGGATGCCCTGAACCAATTTCAATACGCCGGCGGTGATATGACCAGTATCAGTATTCCTGCTCCAGAATCCAGAATCCAGAATCGAAATTATTGATGTGCCAAAAGGGAGTGCGGACGGCGGACGGGGGTCTCGAATCTTTAATAGCAATGCGACAAGCAACACACGGCCACTGAGTGATCTACAGACAGGACACAACCCAAAAGCAAGGCGGACTGGTGGAGATAGGGGTTGTGCTGTGGGTGCCCAGTTGCAAAACAAAGCAAGCACTGGAGGAGGAGGAGGAGGAGAGGAGGAGCAGCAACAGTCGTTGTCGGTCTGGAAGACAGGAGCCAGCTGTTTCCGTCTGTCTGTAAGTACCGTTCGGTGGAGTGGGCGAGGGTCGTTGAACGCTGAGGTAGGTAGGTAGGTGTCAGTCAGTTACCGGCAAGTGCAGGCTGGGCGCAGAAGTGGACGACGAGTCGAGTCGAGTGTACGCAACGCAGCAGGTAAGCGTGTGAGCAAGCGTAGAATAAAATATATTTATTATATTGACGAATGTCACATCACATCATATCACATATATACATCCTTCCGTCTCCAGCGCGGCGGGAGACCCGGTCGAGCTAAATAAGAGTGCAGTGGACTGGACTTTGCCGCTTCCTGGTCTTCCTGGTCTTCCTGGTCTTCCTGGTCTTCCTACCCTATGGATTTGTTCTGGAAGTCTGGCGCAGTGGCAGTGGGCAGTGGGCAGTCTAGTCTGGCTGGCACTTTCTGCACTTCTGCCCCCGTAATGATGATAATAATAATAAGAATACTCGTCGGCCTCTGAGTGGGAGTGTCGGTCATCGAAGTCGGTCGGGGCTTTCTCTTTCCTTACTCGTCATGGCCCATCTCATCTCGCTCGCCTCACTTTCTTCACTCTCGCTCGCTCACTCACACACTCTTTATTTGCCTCCCACGCCGATGACCTCGACCAAATTATAAACCACCGAACGCTCACCTCATCAAACTTTTCGTAAAAAGCAATACACACACACACACACACATGCAGGCTGCAGCCACCATGAGCCACGCTCGTAATCGCTCGCTCGTCTTGGACCTGCCCTCTCAGGCACCCAATATGCCAATGTATTGCATGAGGTCGCTTTATGCTCGGGCAAACCGGGAACAACAACGGAGCGTTCCACGCTGAAGCTGAACGCAGCCAGCATCATCACATTTAACTTCGGATCAAGTCAGAGAGAGAGTCAGTCAGGGAGGGAATCAGAGAGTCAGAGAGTCAGTCAACGTTGCAGACCCAATTCATCCGTCGCCCAGCGTCAAGCGAGCAACAACGGTGCTGCTCCTTCCAGAGAGAGTTTCATGGGTCTATGCCTGCGAAGCAACAGGTCTCAAGATTTATCATAAGTATAATTTACTGTACAGTATATCCCACCATCCTTGATCCTCGGCGACGGCGTGCATGCGAGCCTCCTGAGCGCAAAGTGCTGTGCTGCAAGCCTGCAAGACCGAAGGGAGGACGGCTGCTGCACACCCCCAAGGAACCCAACCCAGCCCAGCCCAGGCCCACTGAGCGCATCCCAGCCAGGAGGCCCCATCGCTACCGAGAAGGACCCTTGCGGCTGCATGATGCCCCTGGAAAGCGTTTCTGGATCCAGCTTGGCAGTGATTGCCCACTCGAGTTGCCTCACCTCACAGCCACTCACGCAACCCACGAAAATCCCCGTCAACGATCAAACACGATGTGGCAATTCGTCGGTACTCACTCTTTTGCGGACCACCAGGGACCCACAACTCCAGCCTCATCCAGCGACAGTGGTGTGTTTATATAAAGAGATATCAACGTCCTTCCTTGATTCCTCCAGCTCTTCTTGACATGTAACCATACACCATCTCGCGCCTTGGGAGCAGATCAGATCAGATCAGATCACCCTCCAAGCAGGATCGACTGGACTTCGCCCACCGGCTCACGAAAGAGAGAGGGAACGGAGTCGGTCACCTTTCGAGACGGGTGCGTACTGCAACTTCACGCTTGCAATAATGCAAGATCCCTTGGAATGCATGATTACGAGACTCGACACAGCTTCTGAGTCTGGACACACTCATGTTGGTCGGGCGTAAGTCCCAGCGTTTTTGCTTGATGAGATTCCTTCTCGAGATTACATCCGCATCCACAAGGTCACTTTCGGGGTTGTTTGTCCAAGATTACTGTCACTGGCGTTACGGGGTTCCGTGGGATATTTCAGCCACCTCGAAGGCCGTGACGGCATGAGCAACGTCGATTCGTCTTGACATTATGATATCGCCTATCTAGATCTTTGATCCGGGAGTGCTGAATCCAAGGATCGAGAGGCTCCCGTTCCATCCGTCTCTTGTCCTCGCTCTCCTCGGAGGACGCAACATAAGTCAGCAGCATTTTCGGGATTTCTGTCTCACTGCAGTTTATCAAACAAACCCCTCATTTCTTACAGGCTTCTCATACCCTCGAAACGGTCCACGGCATCCACAGACGCCCGACTTGTGTTTCCTATGTACACGGTTCCCGTCCGTGAAAGGGAGCAGGAGACTCTAGAGCCGCAAACGGATCACATCTCACAGTCCAATCGGCGACCAAAATCCGAAAAATGATCCTGGAACATCGAATTGACATTGTTGAAGAATGATAGACTATCTGTATTGGCCGTGCCGTCGATCTGTTCCAATCCAATATTTGGCACTGAGACCGAGACCATTGACGCTCTAGTGAGCCCAAGTGCAACGTTTAATGCGTGGATGCATATCGTTTCGGAAAACGAGGCGGACGAGATTAACCTTGCACGTGACACAAATGTGTGCGTGGGGTAGGGATAGGGATAGGAGCAAACTTGCAAAGAAATTCCTCGAGCGAATCGATGTTGCAGATCAGAAAACTTCTCAGCCTCATAGGGGAAGACTTAAAGTATGTTTGCGCCGTCCTGGCACAAGCAAAGAATATGTCTGAACTTCATAGTGAACGTTTAGCGAGGTCGCCTATCCCTGGACCCTGGACATGACTCCAGTCCAGCTCACTTCAGACTCTCAAACTTATGATCTGGCGATCCGTCGACAATTGTCGATAGGTCGTCGTCAGCAGTCCATTTCATCGTCACTTCTAGACTTTTCATGTTTCACATACACTGACTTCTCAATCAACCATTTTTTCCTGTACCCTGACTGTCTTTTTCCCCACTGAGTTGTCGTTCGTCTACTCGGTGTTCAACATCAAGGATGTACCCCGACGATGCAAAGATCAACAACTCAATCCCAGTGCGGGCGGAACTCTAGGATGAGGCTGCTCGGATAAGTCTACGAATTCGATTTCTTTCGGCATCTTATCCCGTCAAAGCTTGGACTTCCACACTCGCAGCATAGCGAGCATTCGGCAAGGGATTTGCTGGTCAACTATATCCACATTAAGATCACGAGTCGAGAAAGCTCTTGCAGTGATGCAACATTATTTTAAAGCCCCTCTAGCAATTTGCCGTGCTCATATGCAAGCATGAGTCAAGCCTTGCTGTCGTCCAGAATATACTGCCAGCAACGTTGCTATCCAGCCAAAGAAGCACCTCTCCAAGGCTAATCTCCATTTATCCTTTCTTCAGATTGAATTGAGGCTTACCAGTGAGATAGACTGTGCATATCTCAGTTGCATTAGTTGCCCCAAAGTCAAAGTGGACGATAACTTGTCACCTATGAAAGGGTTCGCTGGTTGCAACCATCCTCTGGGCAAACACTTTGCCATTATTTCAAGTCATCGAAGACCTATAGCTACCATGAGGCTTCACAAGGTCAATACATATCTGTGCATATACGGCAACGAGCTGCAGAACGACGACGGCTTTGCCCCTCCGACATGCAACCAAATCTTAGGCGAAACCCTCTTGCCTCTTCACAGCGAGCGCTAGACCTATGATTTCCCAAGGCTTAGAGTCGAAAGACATATCTGCACTCTCGAACCTACATGAGCTGACTTTAGAGGCGACTCTGCTCCTCTCTTGCAGCAGCCAGCTCGCCTCTTGACGTCTCTCCGCTTCGCGGAGCTTCCATTCCAATGACTCGGTACCAACCAGCACTGACTCAGAACGCACATCTCCAACTACGAGAAATGAGTGGCAAAGCGGCGACTAAATGCATAATGCGGCTTCAATCACATTTTACGAAAATTGTTTGTGTCCAGTTACTGCAGGGTTTTTTTTCTGCGTTGCCTCAATGGTCTCCAACTAGTGATGGCGCAGCTTTTGGGTGGGCGTAATCCGATTCGTTGGTTCTGTATGCAGGCGAATGGCATCTCATTCGTTCGTGAGATGCAAGTGGCAGCTGAAGCTCAACAAAATATTTTGAGCGCGACTTTGGCATGTGTGAAGGACATGGAATTTAGATGATGTTGGGAGAATGTCAATCTATGTTTTGGGGGAAGGAAGTCTTTCTTCTCGGAGCAGAGTCTTTGAGTTCGTTTGGTTGGCGCTTTTCCATCCTGCGTTCGTGTATATTGTAAAGTTTGGGATACAAGATTTATTCCAGAGTTTGTGGGATATTCTAAGTAGGGTAGTTCGCAAGTGCGAACTCATACTTCAAGGATAAAGTGGTGAAAGAAAGATCTAAAAGTTCTTTCCTATCTCGAAACATCTTCTCCTCTCGGAATTCCTGTTTCCATGACCCTGCATTTCAAGATCATATTTTATATCCCAATTTTTATAATATCTCATATGGTGTATGTTGCGGTTTAAGCTTGCTTCTTATTTACTATGCCTCTTAAAAGATTAAATGGATTAATCAAGAAAATTGGAAGTACTGCAAGATAGGCGGAAGAGATCAGGAATGTATTTTCACATGTTCAAATAGAGAACCACCTGTTACTGTTATCTGCATTCAATTTCCTCCCAACCACTCTCAGAACCCATGCCTGAGATGCTGTGCAGATTCTCAACATTGTGTAGAAATTTATGCCCATGTCTACGCCCAGCTGCTGAGAGGCATTCATGACGGAGTCATTTCCACTCACGAGCTCAAGAAAAAGAATCTACAGCAAGAATAAAATCAAGCTTGGTCGCAACAGCATCCGAATTAGATACATGGGGGCACTTTTCAGTACAATCAAGAACCTCTTTACCTCTAGCCTATAGATGGTATGCAATTTCTATATCCAATACCGGCACGCCAACCGAAACAATCCAAACACCTCTCCTATATCCATGTCTTAACCGCCATGCAAATATACCGCAATTACCATCCCATGATAGCAACTCTTCTACTGCAGAAAAATCACTCTCCTTTGCAAGCGAACCGTGGGAATCACAAAATCGCTCACCTCGACCCCACGACCCCCTCAGCCTCGTCTCGACGAAGAAGTCCCTCACCAGCACCAACTTCTTCACCTTCCTCTCCAAGCCCATCCTCCCCACTCAAAAGCCGCATCTCCTCCTCATCCTCATCCCCTTCCTGCCGTCCCCGTCCCCGTCCCCGACCCAAAACACCCATCTCCTCTTCCTCGTCAACCACCACCCTCCCCCTCTGCCCCTGATCTCCCCCCTGCCGCCCAACCGCAACAAAAACCGCACTCCCGAGAATCAAGCCACTCCCGCATAAACTCCACCATCCCGGCACGACGCCGAATACGAGTCTATCGAGTCCCAGCGCAAACAGCATATTCGTATAAATCATATTCGTCGCCCTGCTCCCTCCGCCCGCATCATCGGCCAGGCCTTTCGTGAGGAGATACTGCATGACGAAACCGCAGACGCCGAGGAAGAGCAGCATGGACCATTGGCGGGTGTCTGCTGGGAGGGCGAAGTGGAGGGTGGGGGATATGCCCAAGGGAGAGGAGAGGGAGAGGGCTAGGGTGGAGATTAGGGTGCAGTAGAGGGAGAAGCTGTGGGGAGGTTAGTGCGTGGTTTTATTGGGGGGGGGAAGGGAGTGAGGATTGGATCTTTGGTAGTGGGATAAAATTTGTGAGGAGGCATAGGTGAGAGGAAGCGAAGAGAGGAGGCCAAGAGAGGGGTGATTACTAGTTTACTGATAGTAGGGGGTGGGCCCGCGTGCCGATCCAGCGGATGCTGTGGGTTGGTTGTTAGTGTGGGTTTTGATGAGTGGGAGGAGGGAGGAGTGGAGGAGTGGCGCGTAGGGCTGATAGGACGAAATGGGTTTAAGAAGGTAGAAAGAAGGAGACGTACGAAGTAAAAGCTCCTGCGGAGCCGAGGACGCCAATCATCGCTACCACGACGGCTGATAATCGTTGGCCTGAGGTTGGGGTCGGAAATCCTGATTCTTCCACGGACGAAGTGGTGGTGTTTGCCGGTACAGTGACATCAGGTGAGGCAGAGGAAGAAGAAGTGAAGAACGAGGTTGGACGAGCAATCATCACGACGCCCAGGAGCGAGATCAGACTTGCGTACTGGGCGGAGCGGGGGAAGGGTTCGTGGAGGAAGAGGTAGCAGCCGTAACTCGCTACCGAGGGAGCGAGGAAGGTGATTACCACTGCGTCTGCTACGGGGAGGTATTGTAGGGAATCTGTTGTGTGTTAGCATTTATCTGCTATCCATTCCGAACTTGAAGGGAATAGAAAGGGAAGGGAAAGGAGAGAAGAGAAAGAAAAAAGACATACAATACATCCCAAATATCCCAAAGAACCCCGTGACACTCCTCGCAACCAACAACGCCCTCACGCCCCTCTTCCCCAGCGGAAAATCCGGAACCCGCGTCCACCACATCCACGCCGTACAAAACAGGACCGTCAACCCCTGTCTCGCGAACAGCACCTGGAACGGATGCATACCCTCTCCTTCCAGCTCCAGCAGTCTTGTCGTGACGTTCATCAGCGCGCCGAAGAGTTGCGAGAACGTTACTAGGAATAAACCCTGGTTCTGCTGCCATATTTGGTGGAGTGCGGATTTCCACGTTCGTGGACCCTGGAGAGAGGAGGGATGGGGATGAGGATGGGGTGGGTAGGGAGATACGGAGCGGGGGCGAGCGAGCGAGGAGATGGTGCTGATTGAGAGGCGGCGGAAGGCGTCTGGGTCTAGGAGGGAGGAGGCATATGTTGCTTGTTTTGGCGAGAGGAAGGAGGAGGTTGTGGTGGTGGTTCCTCCGTTGCCGTTGAGAGCGAGGTCAAAGTGCGAGGGGAGGGAGTGGGAGTGGTCTTCATCGTCGAGGAGGATTTTGGTCGTTGATGAGGTCTGGGGGAGCTGGGTGTATTGTGACATAATCACTTGGATTCATTGCAGTGTGCAGTAGCGGCAATTTATATAATCTGACTTGACTGGCTCTTGTGTGTGTCTAGTAGAAAACGAAAGAAGAGGGTCTAGAGAACTATGCTGCTTAGTAGCGATAGACGCAAGAATTGAAAGAAAGTAATTCAATGTAAAGCTAAGTTCCAGCCTCGAGTCTGATGTGCTGTGCAAAGAAAGTGAGGTGCGGCGGGCGTCTGGGGTGTAAAATAGAAAATGGGGGATAAGAACATTAGCAAATGGTGAAGCGGGTAGTGTGGGGCATTGGGAGCTGGACTTGGACATTGTTGGAATAGGTCCGGCCAGCTAACACAATTGGCCGGTCGGTACTGCATCATGAAAAAGTCGAGCAAGTAGAGTAGAGAAAATTGTTAAGAGATTGCTCAATGGGCATTGTGATCCACTTGGAATTGCAAAGACTGAGTAATGGTTAAAGGATGGAATTGATGAACTCATGAACATGGAACGTTTGAATAGAGAAGAAACATGAATTGAAGGATCGGATGTCAGTCAGCGTTCGAGACTTTTAGACGGCTCATGCAGGCAACTTACAGAGGAGGGGTTGATATGGGTGGGGATTGGTTGATATCACATGCATGATTGGCACAATGGATGCCGGAACGGGCGAATTGACTCCGAAGTCGCTGTTGCCGCTGTCGCGTGCCTCAATATTGCACGTCCCGAAAGGTATAAGAAGTTGTTGTCAGTGCTCGATGGTAATCTGCAATGCTGGGGGAATTAGTAGGAAGGCGGGGTAAGTATTGCTGTGCCACAATTCGTCAGTTCACAAAAAATCAGAGTGGGGAAGAAGTTGTTGAAATCATTGATTGTCTTTCAAATGCAGAAAAACATGAGAAGAAGTCTTCGGGTATCAGCGCTTCTGAGATGCACCAGTTCCATAAACTCCTCCATAATGCTTCCGGACCTCAAGACGCCATTGAAATGCAAATATCATCGCTGTAATGTAGAAACCATTTTCGTAGAATGTGAGAGCGATAAAGAACGGCTGTTGCCCAAAGTCGTCTCCAAACAGTGTGAACTGGAGGAAATGTCTGGCAGAGGTCAAAACCTGGTGGTGTCGAGCGTTAAAGGATCTTAATAGTTGGGGGTATGGTCGATTGTTGAAGAACGAAAGGGAAATCGTAACAGTCGTAAAGCGTCCGTGGCCAACAATCACTTGCCAGCACCAGTACCTGTGCTCTTTCCGCCAATGGTCCTCGCATCAAGCTCCATGTCATCATCAGCATCTCCAAGAGGTTCCTCCTCGAGAGCCTTCACGTTGGACTTTGTAATCTTATCATCGTTCTGATCAAGTAGCTTCCGAGCAGCCTCGATTTGAGTCTTCTTGTCCATCGTCTCCTCGATCTTGCCCAGGTAATTTGGATTCTTACGGCAGGCGAATTTGATATCGTCGAGTTTGATCTTTTGGCGGCCAGCAAGTTGGGCGGAACGTTGTGCTTCGAAGCAGAGTTCGGTAATGAAGTCGGTCATGAGCTCGTCGAAAACCTTCTTTGTATCTTCCAGAGAGTTTGGTACATCGCCATGGGCGAACAGGAAGTGTTGGACTGGAGAGAATTAGATAGGGCATTATATCATAGATCTGATAGACTTACGTTCTTGGTCAGAGAAATTCTGCTGGCCACGGTTTCGACCGACTCGAGCGCGAGGTTCCATAGCTACCTTCTTCGCCTTGGTCTCCTTCTTGTTGGTCTGATTGTTGTTGACTGTTGCCTCCTTGTTCTTCTTGCTGATGGTAACCTTTGCGCCTTTCTTGGTCTTCTTGACAACAGGATTGCGACGCTTACTGTAGATCGAATTTCAAAAGTCAGTGTTGTGATTCAAAGATCTTTGGAAGACTTGTTGGTGAGGAGTTTGGAGCTTTGAACCTACGGAGCGGCCGCGTCGTCCCGGGATTTAGCCGAGTCGGTCATCGGAGCGGCGGAAGTAATATCCGACATGATTGCTGATTTAGTGGACAACAACGTTGATTCTCGAGATCTCGCGACAGTTGAGAAAGAAGTTCGAAGATGGTGAGTTGCGAAATTTTAATGAGGACCTGGTGAATTCAAGAATCTCGCTAGCATATCCACTAACTCAGCTTCGCAGACTGCTCTCTTCAATTTCCAGTCCGCACTCCTTGTGCTCCTCCTCCTCGTCTGCACATGCGCCTACTGTCATCAACTCTTCCCAGCCCTTATGGATAGGAAGAAAGAATCGTATGTTCTACAGTCTATTCTTGGCAGAGTTGCGCATTTTACTGATTCTGCTCTAGGCCGCTATGGGGACCACTATGGAAGTGCGCTCGAGTGGGAGAACGATTAAGTCCATATGTTAGCATATGTTGTGTCATCTTTGCGGTATGTTACATCTATCTAAGCCGTGATGTACCTGCTCATCAGTCCAGGTCCGTCTCTTCATCGGTGCATAAGAAATCCGGGGAACTGGCGTTTGGGGTACGGGTACGGGGAAGATATTAGGCACTCGTCAACGAATGAACATACTTGGAGGAGTAATTGAATTACAGACACGAAGTTTTACTGCTTCCATAAAATATCAACCAAGACACCTTGAGCCTCGACCGTCCTATTCCATGCAACGCCATCGCTATGTTGTTCCCAAAGTCCATCCAAATCATTCATGATAACTCGTCCTAGCACTCGCAGTTTCATTCTCACCCCAAATATCCCGACTCTCCTGCTCCACAGCCTTCATAGCCTTAGCAACCTCCTCCAACTTAGCAACCACATCCAACACCCCCTCATTAACCCTCTGAAAATACCTATCATTAGCTTCCCTCCTCTTCCTCGCCAATAAAATATCCGCCTCCGTCTCCTCCTCCAACTGCGTCCCCACAGCCTCCGTCCCCGACACCGCAGCATTCCCACTACTCCCGGGCCTCCCACTCCCACTCGGAACCGTACTCGCCCCCGTAGCATCAAGTACACTCCTCCCCTCACTCCCCAGAGCACCAACACCTCTACTCCCACTCAGCCCCTTACTCTCCCGATCCGCATTCTCCACCACATCATCCGCCTCACTCCTTGCCCACGCCTGCGCCAGCTCAATTTGCGCTGCCCGCAGCCCCTCGAGCGCCCTCGCATGTTCCTGCCCAAAAACATGCGTCCCGCTCACAGCGCTCAGCTCGACCTCCTCCAACGTGCTCTGCATCTCGGCCCAGAGCGCATCCGTCCTATCAGCCTGTTTCTTGCCTTCCGCGTCGTGCAGTTGTCGTGGGAGCGCAGCTGCTCGGGTGACGTTTACGGACGCGGAGTCAGATGTTGGCCCGTCCATTGCGCGGGATGGGAGTTGAGGGCCCAGTTGCGAGCGTTGCCGGATGAGGGGTGCTCTGGAGGGGATGAGCGAGGTGTTTGGTGCTGCGGCGGGGACGACGCCTGGGAGGGAGACGTGGGAGGCATTTTGAGAGGGGGGACCGAGGAAGAGGGAGGGAGGAGGTTCGCGGAGTTGTTTTGGTTTCGATTTCGGTGAAGACATGGTGTACTACATTATTATTTGAATCTGCAGTCCATGATCGTTCAATTCGTATATCTTTTAGTCTTGGAGCTTGTACCAGCCGGAAGAACGTAAGTCCGATTGGCTTGCGAGTGGGGTGGCATGACAAACTCGACTTAGCGTGCGCACCAAAGTAATTCAAAAATTGAACCCACGAATTTGCACCTCACGACGACAACGACAACCCTTCCAACCAAACACCCCATATCGCCATAAACCGGTACTTCTTCCCCTCCCCAACCTCCTCTCACGAACCTCAAATTCAAATTCTAACCCACCTGCCTGTATAGCAATCATGGGTAAAGGAAAGCCCCGTGGTCTCAACGCCGCCCGCAAGCTGCAAAATCACCGCCGCGAGCAACGCTGGGCCGATCTCTCGTACAAGAAGCGCGCGCTGGGAACGGCATTCAAGTCCTCGCCCTTCGGAGGCTCCTCGCACGCCAAGGGAATCGTTCTCGAGAAGGTTGGTGTCGAGGCCAAGCAGCCCAACTCTGCTATTCGGAAGTGTGTCAGGGTGCAATTGATTAAGAACGGAAAGAAGGTTACTGCTTTCGGTATGTCTGCGACTTCATATTCTACTGGATGGAAGGGATGGAAGAGAGAGATGAGGAAGGGATACAGATGTGGCGAAAAGTGATGGAAGACATGGAACAATGGCTAATGTAAAACTACCACAGTACCCAACGATGGTTGTCTCAACTTCGTAGACGAGAACGACGAAGTGCTCCTCGCCGGATTCGGTCGCAAGGGCAAAGCCAAAGGAGATATCCCCGGTGTGCGATTCAAGGTCGTCAAGGTCTCTGGTGTCGGTCTGTCTGCGCTCTGGAAGGAGAAGAAGGAGAAGCCTAGATCGTAGAGAGAGGGGTGTTTCTGGTGTTATTTACATTTGCAAAGGATGCATTGGGCTCTTTGAAGATTTGAGCTTTGCATTCATGGTCATGGAATAAAAAATACTTGATCACCAACACCACAAATCGAGGACTTTGAGAACAAATTGTGCTGTTGTGTGATATCCGAGTGCAATGAGAATTATGCCTGGATCAAGGTGTTCGTCTATTCCTGCAACAAAGTGGTCGATTATGCCTGGAATTACATACATGTCTATTCTTAAACCAAGTTGGTACAATGAATGTCATGCCTAAAAGCTACACATCTCTCTATCCCCCAACAAACCGATACAACGAAGACCACCCCCTCGCAACATATCTCCTATCTTTACAGCACATTGCCAAATTCCTTGATATGAACCTCCACCGGACCTAAACCTCCGGATCGGATCCTCCAGTCCTATATCCCCTTTTGGCAAACCCATACCTGCTTTGCTTTAAATGAGCACATTAAGCTTAAATTTCCCAGGTTCTAGGTACATATCAAAACTCCTCGCAAACCCTTGAATGGACTGTCGATGTTGCGAAGAGATGTATCATGGTAGCTGACTCTGCCATAGTCGAGATTCTCGTAGATAGAGCCCGTACACTATTCCGGTATGAGGTTCCGGATGGGAGAGAGAGCTTTTCCTGGAATAAATGAACCTTGATTTCTGAAGCGGTACTGCTTATTCTCTCGATCATGGTGTTCGTGTTCAGACATTTCAGCCATAGCCTTTCTTTCTCTAAAATATGTACGGTATAATTAGATCTACAGATTACCTATCGATCCAGCCAGCCATCAAGAATTATAATCATCTCTCCTTTCACCAAACCACCAAACCACCACTCTCCTTCACAAAGGGTATAATAAAAGAACGACACGAAGAGTAAATAAACATCCACCACACCACATCTAATTCCCACCACCGCCTTGAACAAGCTGTTCCTTAGCCACCCCCGGCCCCCTCCCCAAAACCGCCTTCGGACTCAACACAGCCATGACCCTCTGTCCACTGCCCACCGCCTCGACGGGATACCCGTAGCTCCCCAACTCGACACCAATCAAGCTCTCGTAATCCCTCACTATGGTCGAGTTCACAGCTTCCACACTCCTGTAATAGAGTTCCGTGTCCGCAACGCCGTTGCTGACATCAATGCCCTTGAAGCTGAAATCTTGACTCGTACTTCCGAAGCCGGTTGCTAGACCGATGTTCGGGTCTGCGAAGTAGGACGCTGAGCCATTTTGCGTGGTGCTGAGTGAGGTTCCCGAGAAGCCTGATACGAGCGGTGCGCTCTTTGGTAGTTGTGCGAAAGGTTGTAGACCGGTTGGGAAGACGGGTGTGCCTTGGATATCTAGATCTAGACCTCTCACAATAGTTGCGCCAATGGTGTAATTTCCGCTCGGATAGACGAAGTAGCTTGTGTTGGCATAGAGAGGGTAGGAGTAGGAGGACTTGTAGTACGTTCCACCTGATGATTCGTCGAGTCCTGTTGTGGTTTGGTCGTTAACTTGAATGGCGCCAAAGTCGGTGTATTGTCCGTAGTTTGTGACTGCGAGGTTTTGCGTCCAAGTCACGGTCTGAGTTCCGTTTTGAGTCGTGATCGAGGAAGAGACTGAGAATGTTCGCTTGACGTCTGTCGTGTATGTAAGAGTCTCGTTCGCGCCCGTGGCATTCTGCGTGAGAGACTGTGAGAGCGTAATCACAGGCTCTGGCTGAACAAGGGTAGGCGCATCCCCAGTGGTTATGGAGCTCTCATCGTCATCAAGCCAGACGAATACCTTTCCTGTAACATACCATGAAGCACCGACAGTCTTGGTAAGTGTGCCACTGGTCTTGCCATCATCATCAATGCCAGCAACTCGTATTTCGAAAGTATGTTGAGCTCCATCGCAGAGAATAGGTAACCAGGGTGTAATGTCAATTTCATGCTCCCGCAGGTCAAAAGCGTCAATCCCAACAATCGGTCGCCACAACCCTGGAACTACACCTCCTGTAAAGATGACTGGGAAGGGCCACTGTACGCCAGCAAGTTGCCCATCGATCAATACCTGAACTTCACGGAAGGGCGAATAGCCGTAAAGTGTGCCGTCGTAGGGGACAAAAGTATTGACATCAGATTGCAGGACATTTGACCACCAGAACTCTTCCGTTGCTTGTCCGCAGGCTGACACAGAGAATACCGCTCGGTTGACGTTTCGTGGAAAGCTTATTGTATTCGTGGCGTTGTCAGACGGTAAGGTGAAAAGACTAGCTTGGTTGGCGGCTCCCTGTCTAGCGGAAATGGGGACAATTAAGTCTGCTGGTTCTACCGTTTCTTGACTAGTGAAGAAGGTTGCTGTCAGTGTCGTGTTGTAATAGCCAGTATAGGTCGAGTCTATCAAATTCCCGAGGTCGAAAATAAGCTTTTGAGGCGTGTTCCAGAAGTACATAAACTCAGACATGTCCTTGATGTACTCCCATCTGATACCGTTCACAGTGGGCTCTGCGGTAGATGTCCGCCACACCTCGGTATCGTTGAAGTACATAAGGGCAAGCCTGTCAAACTGACGACCTTGCGATGTAACCGTGAAATTCATGCTGACTCGGTTGAAGTCGCAACTTGGCGGCGTATACTCTCCTGCATCATGTTAAACTTGCGCCATTCAAAGTCTTCGCTACTTACCAACAAAGGGTATCCCGTAGCTGTATCCGAAAGAATGAACCATCAAAGTAACCTGGCAGCTACCTGTGGTTCCAGACTGGGCGATGGTTGTTGTATTCTCGGCTCCATCGTCTGAAGTGGTTTCGTCTGTTGCCCCTGAAGGTGTGAGTACAGGCTGGTAGACCTGAAAGTCTTCAAGCACTGCAGAAGAGGATGGTGTTGCGGAAGGAGCTGCAACTGCATACTTCACAAGGTCGAAAGATGCTGAAGAGATCTCGTCAACCGGCCACTGCTCGACTGTCGCTGGTAAACACGTTCCAAGGAGGAAAGTCAAAGCTACACATGCACCGAGGATTGCGAGAAGTAGGCTCTTTAGCCCAGTTGAGCTACGTCTAGGGTTGGAGTTCGACAGAATTGTCTGACCAAGTAATGCTTCCTTCTCCGTCCTGCTTTCGATGATTGGGGACTCCTTGGCGTGTGCCGTCGCTATGCTATCTGATTTCATGTCGAGTATATCTCTGTTGGCATTTGGTGGCATCGTGATGGACTGCTGGAGGTACTTGAGCTTCTTTGAAAGAAAAGCTTTTAGTGAAAGTAGGGCTCAACGTGTTCCACAGACCAGTTAGACTTAGAATGTCGATTATCTGCGGGATGACCGAGCTTAGTTATCGTTCGAGAGGTAGAGGTGGTCCCAGTAACGCTTTCTTGCGTCTGTTGCTAGTTGTTGTCCAGCGAAACGGCCTTGGAAATAGTTGAAGACAGCGAATTCGTCTCTTGTCATCACATATGATGTTGGTTGCGCTTCGATCTTTCTCCAGATATCCGCTATTGCAGTCTCGAGAATATGCACCACAGTCGGGTCTTGCGCGCTTTCTGCACTGTCTCTAGCAGCCTCGAGAGCCTGAATCACAGAAGTGATGGCTGGGCCGGACGGCGACTGTCCTGTACCCCCATAGTTATTACCACCCATACTCATTAACGATAAGAATGAGACAGCGGGGCTTGGGAGGATAAGGGTAATGTTGATGTTGATAAATGTCAAGGGGAGTGAAACAGGAAGGTGTGAGTTCGGCTTGAAAAACATTGCGGGGGAGTAGCGTTTAAGGAGGCGACCACAGCATATAAAGCCTCAAGTTAAGCATAAGAAGATGCAAATTGCAGTGGGAGGGATGTGGAAGGGGACACGGATATCGGCCGTGTCAGGCAGGAAGAAAGACTGGTTGTGTGACCTTGAAAGAAGCTGAGGCGAATCTGACTGGGTGGCCAAGAGCAACTCGCCAGGCATAGGAAGCGCCTCTTATTTGTTTCTTTTGCAAGTAAAGGATCAGATCACCCATGGGTCACACACGAGCAAGGAAGTGAAGAGGTGACAACTCACTAAAAGCGGTATGCAGCCGGCTCGAAACTGCCCTCGTAAGGCGAAAGGGCAGCTTCTGGCCCTATGAGATGGAGTAACCCTTGTTTCGAAAGGGAGCCACGTCCGGGACAGTAGCTTGAGGCTTCGGGAATAGCGTGTAAGACGCACAGGCTTTTTCAAGCTGTGGATACAGACAGACGCGGACGACTCGGTTCGGGTTGTCTTGGTATGGTTTCCTTGAGCTCAGAGGAATCTGTGGAGGCTTGACGCCGTTGAGTGGTCAACACGCTTAGGTCGGGACACAGGCGAGAAAGGGGGAATACCTCGGGCTCGGTGATAAGTTGGAGAGGAGGGACGAGGAGGGTCAGACAGGCAATTGACAATGAAAAGAAAAATGGGCGTGGGTGGTAACACTGGATTGAGTAATGGCTGCTTGTGGATATGCTCTCCCCTCAAGATTGCTGCGGCAATGCGATCCCGATCTGAGCCTGGAAGATGGGTGGGTTGGTGGACTGGTGGGCTGGTGGGCTGGTATTGGGGCAGACGTGGGCCTGTGGCCTCAGATGCGTGCGAGCGAGGAGTAGGACGATGTCCGTTACGGCCCCCCCTCGATCTCGGCACGTAATCAACCTGAGTAATGCACGAGGGTCAATGAGAAACGGCTGACTTGTCCGTACCGGTAGCAGGCCGGACTATCTGATAAGTTTTGTGCAGCTCAGGAATCCTTGGGACGAGGTGCCGTTGACAATCTAGAGACGCAGCTCTGCCTGATGCATCTAACAATAGCCGCCTGATATTGACTCAAGGCTGAGCTGTGTGAAGTTGAGGTGAGGTGAGGTGACCCGAGAAAACAGAACGACGTTGATGTTGTTCAGGCTCAAGTCGGTTGCGCTCCGACTGGCTTAGCACGTCCGCTACGTATGCCAGAGCCCGAGTACGCTATTTGAATCTGCTGCAATTAACTGCAATTCCTGCAGTTATATCCAATTATTTCCAATAATCGCCCAGCGTCCAGGGCTCTTCCCAGTTAACTCGTCAATTCGGTCGGCGAGGGGGCGAACCCGCACTGGGACGCTTCCCTACGGTTGGCCCCAGCCCACTAAACTTTACCAGCAAACCGTTCAGACGAGTCGACGACAGACGACAAAAATCATCCACTACGCCTGAATTCTCCCCACTGCGGCAAACCTTCCGCGGTGTCGTGGCAAAAAGTTTGGCTCTCGGAGAATGGAGGCTCAAAATCAAACTTTGATAGCGGCTACGTCGCTGTCTCCTCATGAATCCGAGTGATTTCTTTTTCCAGCACCAGCACCAGAAGCATTACCACCACCACCACCACCACCACCACCACCACGAGCTGACCTATGACCGATGCGAGAATGCGAGCAACGAGCTGCCCATGATCATAATGTGCCGAAGATCCGTCGTTGTAGGGATGTGCTGGTCTTTGAGAATATTTCTTCTCACGGAACGACCACCATTCGACAACGTTTCGAAACTTACCATGGAAATTCCAATTTCACGCACACCCGAATCCATGCCACCCACTAGTCCGCCCTGCTGTCTTGGAGGGGGGGGGGGCAACAATCTCTCTGATCCCGCCGAGATCTTGATTTCTCGGATCGCTTGTTGAGCAAAGATCTGTGAAATTTTGAGTAATATTCGTCATGATAGACATCAAAAATGGGTTGGAGGTGAAGCCCATCAGTTACGCCACTGACTGTGGAGACAGCCCCTCACTTGTGTCTTTCCTGTGGAGTAAGTACCTAGGTATCCCAGGAGCAGTGAGCACTCGTGGTTCGCAAGGTTTGCAAGGAAGACGTTGAGAACGTTGTGCGGCTGCAGAATTTTGTGAGAAGTTGATAATGCCCATTCCAGGTTGACTCGCCATGGGGATGCTAGCCGTGGTCCATGCCATGATCGCAAAGATGAACCGAAACTATTCCAAGACCGTATTCGCTATCCAGCGTAGTTTCTTGGCGGAACCCAGCCGTCCTGAGCAATCATGACCTCTAGAACAGGACAAGCATCAGGACCATGATCTGATGTGCGCGTCTCGCACGCAGGGATCGAGGATGGCAACGTTCTTTTGCTGGAATTCTCCGACGCCCCGCCCTCTGCACGGCCACCAAGAGCTGTTCGATACGCCACAGCTAGCCGAATATGTATATATGTCCGGCCCCAAGCTCCTCAAGTAACGAGAAGTTTGTTTGAGGGACGTGATGGCTTTGTGCTGAGTCGAACATCTTTCACAGGACCGTCTCAGATCGTCGCCGATGAAATCATGACCCAATGCACAAAGGCCTCATCGTCGTTCCATAGAGAAATGGAGTACGTCAGCAACAGCCAAAGGCATCTCGATAGCGAGATAGCATAAGTTAATCGTCCGATCTCATCATGCGGGTGGGATCCTTCCGATGATCAGGAGAGCTTCTTGGAAAGGCTAACGATGCTCAGGAGGGATTTGATAATCGGGACGGAGTGCGGATTACCGCATCGGAACATGCAGCGCGTGCGGTTCTGAGATGAAATACCTATCGATGTTCATGCCTTTCCATGTGGCTTGGGGACGGCCAAGCAACTGCAACCGCGGACGGGCCCGAATCATTACCATTCTTCAGTGGCTGCGGAAGCCTTTCTTCCAGCCGACCAGCATGTACTGTAAGGAACGAAAGTCAAAAGGCCAGCACTGGTCTGAGTGCTGGCAACACGAGGGACGGGACTCCCACTGCAGATGCAAGTCATCTAGCCAACGCAAGGTGGCTGGCTGGCTGGCTACCGTCGGGACCCGCCAGGAAACATCAGAGCGCGGGTGATGGCGTTTCGTTTCGTGTTTGTCAACTTCTGGAATGGCCGCATTGTTATTCTTGTTCTTCTGCATGTTCGAGCGCGCGCGTGGTTGAAATGTTTAAATGCCTGACTCGAGTCTGTCAAGAGCTGTCGAGTGTAAGAGTTTGTAGCGGCAGTTTCGACTTAAGGTTGTTCGTCGGTGCTCGTTAGTCGACGTCTCTAGTGCAAACCTTAAAAATAGCGGTCTCCTGTCTTGAAAGTCTCACACACAGGTCCAGCGCCACCGACACGGACAGAGCTGTTGATCGTTGCAAATCTGCCAGCCGTTATGTGATGCTCGGAAGCATGCATCCATTGAAGTGAAGAATTCCTTAGCAGAGGAGAAGCTCATTGAGACGCCTCACCCGCCTAGTCACGTGTATCCAAAGATATGACGACCATTGGAGGAAACTTTGCGAGCTCTCCTCCACTCATGGGAGATGGCAATGATAAACGAGATAAGTACAGTATACTCTTTCCTGCTAAGACCTATCACCCCAAGCACCCTCTTGCTTGTAACAGGTATCCTCCATGATGCCAGGTCACTTCCCTGCTTGGAGCCCTATACACTGATCTATTTCCTATCAAGATGCTGGCAACGATGGAATTATCTCCTCAAATTATGATCCAGCTTGTCTGCAAGGCAGAGAAAGACCTAGCAGGGAGTCAAGGCAATATCTCGATTTACGTACTACATGGTCTGTGCATTTTAGAGTTCACAACCTCATTCAGCTCTTCTTCACCTCACCCCTTTATTCTCACCTACCAATATACGGCCTTCATCTCGTTGCCTGCAGCCATCGGGCATGGACATGTAGCTCACCTTCAAGCAAGGAAAAAGCCGACTTTCATATCCTGGGTAAATAGTCTGAGGAAGTCTCTCTTCCTTCCAACGACTAAGAGAGAACTCCTTCACTAAGCGGCAACAGATTTAACGCTTGTCGCTATGTTTCCAATACTCAACACTAGCGTTTGCCATAGCTACAGTATAGATCTCAAATCATGTTTGCTGTCTTGTTATCTTCTGGTCCATCGTACTTCTACGCCAGTCCGAACCCTGAAGTTGGGTTCGGGTAGGGTTGAGTTAATTTCAAAATCTGGTACCCTAAGTACCCTAAGCTGTATAAGGACTAGAAAATTGCCCACATCATACACAAAGCACATTCTATATACATGTCCACTCCTGAAAGTGTTCCTTTCATATGGAATGATTGATGCGGATAAGGACTAGTAAAATGTTGGACCAGAGTGCCAGAGGTAGTCTCTCGAGTCATGCCACCAAATGTGCTTGCATCAAAAATGCTCACTTCTGATGGGAGTTCCCAGTTGTCTGGTACTTTAGCTGTTAGCACTTCACTAGGTGAAGGCCCGGCCCCTAAGTTTCGTCCCAGTCCAGATCATAATATTTTGAACGCGGTTGAACTTCTTCGCACAATCATTTCTCTCTTGTTCTGTAAGTATACATCTTTCCAAGATATACACACACTCAACTCTCGTCAATATCACATAACAAATCCTTCTTCTACAAGCTGTAGCAACCACTTATACTTCCAGCACAATATCTTTACCGTTTTATCTACTTCGACACACTCATCATGCGTTACCGCAAATTCTTACTTGGGGCTGCCAGTGCTTTGCTCTGTGGTGCTAAACTTGTTCTTGCTGGCCCAGGTGGTTACCTCCAGCTTGTCAATCTCAGTCCATATAACTGGCAATTGACATACCAGCACTCATACCACATGGACTGGATTCCAGGAGATCTCATTCCTGCTGGTGGAAGACACGAACAATATGTCGAATGGTGGTATCACTGGGGCGACAACGGAGACTGCGGAGCAGAGGCAACTTATCAACTAGTCGGCACCGACCTCTCCTTCACCATCCAAGCTCGACAGACAGGCGGCAAGAAGCTCTTGATCGAATACAGCGACGCACTCGCCGCACTGACCATGACCAAGGAAAAGGTCATCGACCTCGGCTTCGACCACGACGGCAGCGTCCTCTTCGTCATGTCCGGAAACGGCATCGAGCCATACGTGACATCCCAACCCCCCAAGAACTGGACGCAACACCAACTCCCCCTCATCAGCACCAAAGAACTACGCGAAATCTCCATGCCCCGCTCCCACAACGCCGGCATGAACTACGTGAGCTACGCCTACCTAGGCAACGCACACAACACCCAATGCCAAACCTACCAAATCTACCACCAACTCCAATTCGGCTCTCGCTGGCTGGACCTCCGCCCCGCCCTCGCCCACGGCAAATGGCTCACCTCCCACGTCAGCAAGATGTCGACCGGAACCTACGCCGGAGCCACGGGCGCCGACTTCGTCGACATGATCGCCGACATAAACCGCTTCAACACCGAAACCCCCGGCGAGCTCCTCATCCTAGAACTCAGCCACGAAGTCGACGGCGCCGACTCGGGCGCCACGCATCCGCTCCGCGACGGCCTGCCCCCGAACCGCTGGCAGGAACTCTACACGCTCCTCGAAGGCATCGCCGATCTCTGGAGACCGACTAACCCCGACCTCCCCCTCCCCGAGGATCTGTCCACGATGCCCATATCAACCTTCATCCGCCCCGGCTCCAAATCCGCCGTTCTGATCCGGCTGCCTCCCTGGGCGCCCGCTCCCGATTCGGGCCACCCGGCCTTCGTGCACGAATCCCGGCTTCCCTGGGTAGGAGAATGGATCCAAACCTCCGACCCGGCGATCCTCGACTCCTCCCTAACCACCTTCCTACTCAGCTCCCGCACCACCCCCAAATCCCCCCTCTTCCGCCTCGCCTACACGATTTCCCCGCGCGTCAAAGACCTCATTGATGTCGCGAACAGTTTCCATTCTATCATCGGGGAGTCGATGTGGGTGGAACACAAGCTGTTCCAGACGATATGGGAGAAGTTGAGTCCGAGCACGTATCCGAATTTGATTGAGATGGATAATATACATAATGGGCAGGTGGCGGCGGTGGCGATGGTGATCAATCAGCGGTATGTGAGTGCGGGGGCGTGGAAGAGGGGGTTGAGGTGGGGGGTTAGAAGGGATGAGGTGGTGGAGATGGGGGGTAGTGGGAGTCGGAGTGGGTTTTTGACGGGGAGGGTTGAGGAGGATTCTTGAGTATTCGGCTAACTCAAAGTCTGACTTAGACTTAGACTTGGAGACCGAACATCCCAAAGCCTCCCAACTCAAATTCCTCTTCCCCCAGGAACCAGCCACCAGCACCTCCCAACAACTTAACAACTTCACCATAGCGACAGGCGACGATTTATACAGCATAGCGAAGGCGTTCAGCATCCGATATACCCCCTATGTCTATTCCCAATCCATACATAGGTCTCAGTCCCGTTTCTTCGCATTCTTCACCAGCGTAGTTTTTATTTATACCCAGAAAATAAACCAAACCAAGTTCTGAGCTCCATATGGAATGATGTTGTGGCGATACAAACAAGTGATAGTGGAAGTTTTGACAATTTCAAGATCTGCATTTGTAGGGGAGAAGGGCGTTAAGGCACTATGTTTGAACATTCCTTCCTTACCAGCAGGAACCACACTTCAGTCACTAAAGAGAGGTATAGATCTACGCTGCCACTTATCATCAGACTTTCATCTGATCTGACAAATATCAAAGTCATCACACATCATGATCTCACCTTGGGAAAAGAGTTACAGCTAAACTTTACATTATCATAAACACCATATTTATCGTCGATTATGTTCCATGATCCTCAAGTTCCGGTACAGTGAAGGTAAGCCCGCAGCCAAAGAAAGCCGCAGTAACAATCCCCCTCATCTCCTTCCCTCTCCCATACTGTCGTCACCCACGCCATTGTCCTTCATTCACACCATAATCCCACAATGATTGCTACCCCTTGAAATTGGGTGCTTTGTCCAGAAAAAAGCAACGCGTTGTCCATCCCAACGCCACAAGAAATGCACTTGATGAGTTCCAAACGCCAACGCCAGCCAGATGTACATACAAAAACAACGTCAAGGACGCTTATCGCTAAAAGGCAGAAAGATGGTGGATCGGAAGTCAGGGTTTAGTTGTTGGGCCTGCTGTTGTACACGTTGGAGCCATTGCCGTTACTACCAAAGTAGTTTCTCGAGAACGAGGTGTTGGGTACAGACGGAGTCGCAGGACTGATGACCGAAGACGGATGCATCGTACCATCGCTCATGCCGCTGCTGTTGCCATTATAGTTCACAAAGCCGGAATTGCCCTGATAATGAGTAGTTCTGAGACCATTCGAATAGCCGTCTGTCGAACGCGCAGTCACAGGTGTAGCCGAGCCATCATTCTCGCGCATGAAAGCGGAAGCTGCCGTCATGGTTCCGTTCCGAGAGCTGACGCTTGAATCAGTCATGGATGTGAAAGTACCTGCCCGGTCGTAACCATTGCCAGAATATGATCCACCGAACGTCGCGCTTTGGGGAGTTGAAGGTACAGTTGCTTGTACGGCGGGACCAAGAGCAGCGCTTTGAGGTGTCATAGGAAGAGGGACTTGCGGTACGAGCGAGTTGACAGCGTAAGGTGCGGTCTTCGAATTCGGGTAGTTATCGCCCGGGGCCCACGGTGATAGATGGATCAAATGGAGTACTCGCTTGAACGCTTTTTGGATAACGGACAACTTGTTGATAACTTCGAAGGGCATCAAAGTCGAGGTTTGCTTGGCACTCCGAGTCCCTTGCATCAAGTCTACCACGCCCTTCAGACGGTTAGCATTGTTGATACTATATAAAATTCTAGAATGACCTACCCCAATGAATCGGTAAGAAGTGCGCCAGAACTCATTGTTCCTAGGAGGAGGATCTTTCAACTTGATCTGAGAAAGGCGTTGCTTCAACCATGCGGCATCGATCAATGCATTCTCACACTGATTGATCATAATTTGCCAAGTTTCGTTGGTCATGTCTGGATTTTGACTCTTGCTGTTGAGTTTCAGTGCAATCACGAGGCGATCTCTCATGTCTGGCATCAGCTGTTCAATCATTTTGGTAAGATCACGCAGCGTCAGATAGATCTTTTCGAACATTTGATCGTGGTCCGTGAACGATCCGCCCATGGTTCTGATGTCAGAGCTGTTCGAGGTAAACGATTCTTCGGAACGTGGAGTAGAGTTCAAAAGAGCCGAGCGAAGCTGAACAGCAAATTGAGGGTCTGAACTTGTCTCCATTCGAAGCTGTCCTAGGTACTCGGCGTCCGGCAATTTGGCCTTGGGATTCATATAAAGTCCAGGTCGTTCGTGCAGAGGTACAGGTGTGACAGACCTATCCCTGGTTTGTACTGTTGGGATCTGGTCTGTTGACAATTGGATAGGAGCTCTTCCCCTCTCGTCGATAGATAGGTTGCGCATGCTTTCGTCCAGAGAGGTCTTTGCTTTGTCTTCGGGAGCTTTGAGAGCGATACTTCGAGCGGAGGATGACTGCGAACTCGTCATCTGGCTGGAATTCTGAGCGCGAGCCCTGTCTTCACGAGCGCTTTCCTTGCTCATCGACTGGCCCATGGCTTGATTTTGAGAGATTTCGGAGTTCGCTGTCGTGTTTTCAATTCTTCTAAAACTTCGAGAGGGCGCGGGAAAATTTAGTGTAGCGTTGCGAATTTCGATTATGCTACCCCAAAGGTTCACCAAGAAGCTGCGAATTTCGGGAGAGTTTGGGGTGGCCGCGATGGTTTGCGCGTTGCTCTGAAGAAGAGTGCAAACATGCATGTACGCAGTCAGACACGCTACGCAAGCTCTGTGAACGTGCTCGTTCGATCGCGGAGCTATCTCTTCATCTTCTTCGGTATATCGGCACCATGCCTTAATCTGCTTATCCAATTCTGCAATCTGTGCGTTAGCGCTATAAAAGACCATCTTCAGACTACTCCTTCGCTTATCCGGTCCCTCTCCAGCAACGCCTAAAAAGTCATGAATGAACGGGTGGATCTGCATCAAAGCATACAATATCGATTTCGCCCCTTCAATGATAGGATCACTTGAGTTCGATTCTCGCTGCCGTTCTGGCAAGCTTGACAAGCGTTTGACCCATATCGATCTCTGAGAAGCAGAATCTGCAGGGCTTGCAGGACTTCTGGTACTTCCATTGGTGCCAATAGTCATCGCAGATCCATGGCTAAGGCCGCGATAGTGGCTGTGGCGATTTGATCTCGTCTCATCAACAGTTTCCAGTTCCAGCTCTTGAGCTCTCCTTGAGACGATACCCATTCTTCTCGAGCGTTCCGCAGCACGATCCTTTGAATCTCGCGAAGCTATGCCGAACCCTTCCTTACTAGCACTGTTGCTGCGAATACGCTCATTGCCATTGCCGATAGTGAGTGGAACCGCCCCAGGGCGTCTAAGAGCAGCATTCTGCTGAGACAAGCCTCTGTAGTGCGAGCGAGATGGTATTGGCGGTGGTAGTCGAGGCCCGGAGAAGGCAGGCGATCTCAAGTCAGGCATCTCAGTCCCGTTGACTTTGACGGGAAATCTACCACCCGGAAGTCGTTTGACCATTGGCCCTGTTGGTCCTCTGGGAGTTTCTGCACCCTCACTCGACTCCTCTCCACCTGACTCTGTCTCGGAACGATCATTCGTGGATTTCCTCTCGCTGGTAGCCTTTTGCTCGCTCTTTTGTTTCAAGTACCTCTTTACTCGTGTTGTAATGATCAGATCCTCCTCGTCATTCGGTTCAACGTCCATTCCAGTGCCATCGGGAGACATGTTTGAATAGTATAGCAAATCTTGGGGTGGAAACTTTAAGGGATTACCGTGCAACTTTAGCTTTTGAAGCGAAGGCATGTCTGCCAGGCAGAGAGGAAGTCCTTCAAGTCTGTTCTTCTGCACAGAGAAGACCTTGAGTGAAGTCATCTTGGCAATCTCATCAGGGATAACTATGAGTTTATTTCGGCTAATGTCCAGAATTTCGAGAGATTTCAGCTCGAGGATCTGTATTGTCATCAGTACAAATAGTAGCTTGGTTTCGTATACACATACCGGTCGGGGAAATTCTCGGATTCCGTTGTCGCGGACATTGAGATAACGGAGAAGAAAGCACTCATTGAGCCTCAGTGGGAATACCTTGATATGACAGTGGGACAACGCCAATCTAACAGCTAAGTTAGCTGCAACAAGTGCAAATTCAGAGTAGTTCAACCTTTCAAGCTCTTCCTTGATTATGTCAATAACCTCGTCAGGAAAGTCCATAATACCCTTGTGACTAAAGTCGATAGTCACCCCAGATATCATCATCCCAGCTGCCTTCGCAGCTTGAGTATCCGTCTTCTGGTGATCCTCGCGAGCTTTATCCATTGCTTTCTGAAAGAGGGATATGGTTTGTTGCCCTGCTATCGGAGTCGGCTCCGGCTTCGACTTGAGGGAGGAGCTCGAGGCTTCATGTCGTACATTGTTGGGAACTCGTCGACCTGTGGTGTTAGGGGGAGCTGGTCGAGGGGCTCCATTCTCTACCATCGGACGACTGGACTGAGTCGCAGCACCTAGTGGTCCTGACGGGCGGTCCATGGTACTAATGTCTTCCTCTAGCTCTTATAGCGGACTCGACCTTCTCCTTGATTCTTGGAGCAATCAATGTTTCAACTGGTGTGAGTGAGAGGAGGGACTTGACGCGGTGTTGCTACTCCAAAAGCGCGACTGAGAAGTTCGCAGGTTATGCAACGGAATCTGCGATGCAGAGACTGCATGCAAATCCGGATCGTGGAGGTTGCGCAGACGTTGAGGGCATTCTCGGGGGTGTCGATCTGATATGGAGGTTGAAGTCGCGGATATCCCTGAGCGGGCTAAAGTCAAAGGTAACAGACGGAAGGTGCCGTCACCACCGGGCCTGCAAGGTACGGCGAAGCGGACCAATGAGCGTTGAGACCACTACCCCACCACGACCAACTGTTCCTGAATTTCACTTGGCCTGGGATTCACGCTTTTGGGGTCTGCAGCTGTCATCTATACCGAGGGCAAGCTGCTGACAGGGTGTTCGAATTGTTATGCACGGGAATAGTATATCTACTCCGTAGATGTTGGGCTGTACTTCTTCCAACATTCTATTTCTTTCACGAACGGCAGTTTTCAATTTGCATGTATCGTTGTATCTACGGAATCACTCATGCATGTGATGCTAACGCTGGCACTGCTCGCTCTGCTGACCTCATGACAGAATATGCAGTGTTACGGGGTCATTTCCTTGTCTAGTATGAGCCTCAAGCACTGGTCCAAAAACGAACAGGGAGAGTTTTTGAGACCAAAAGCAGAGTTCAACAGACTCGGTATCCTGGCCGTCGGCTATGTCAAGAATAAATTCAAATACGAACAGAAAAGGGATTTTCTGATCAAGAGCAGAGTGTCAATGGACTTAAATTGTTGTTTGTCATGATACTCCAAGACACCAAAGGAGACCCTCTCAGTGAGATCAAGGTTCGGCAGAATTTACAGGTAATCTTAGAATGGTAACAATGTATTCCAAATTCCCCTATGTTCGGAATTCTCAAACGGGTGACCTATTCTTGACTGCTGCTGTATCACATTGCTAGACGTCTTATCGTGTTATCGTCAATCATGTGGTATCACAAAGGAGCTGTCAGTACGACTAGTGTATGGTCAACGACTAGGCCGATACCGGACAAGACCTGTAGCAAGAAATCGATTCTATCAGAGGATGTCACAAGTACCTAGGTAGTATTCAGTCGTAACCACGATAGATGCATAGCTCTCAAGAAGCTATCATACAATTTACCTACTATCCTACCAGGTAAAGATTCAACTTAAATATTTCCACAAATTGTACCTTCCTAAGGCGAACCTTCTACAACTTGTAGACTAATCCTTGGTTCGGTCCTACTTCACCTCTACAAAGAGCCTCCCATCCTTTCTTTACATCATCCATCCCACTGCCCCATATCAAACCAAGTCCTTTGACTCCCCCTTGCGCCTTAAAAGCCTCCCATTCTTTCAAGAATTCTTCAAAATACTTCTTCTCGCCCACAATTGCCATTGCTTGAGACCTCAGAGCCGATGCATTGATAATCAGAGGTCCACCCATTCGAGCCATGAATTTTTCCGTGGTCTTCTCTGGGCTGTCCGGTACGACTTCTCCTCCAATGTCTAGTTGCACCAGCGAGCTGTAAGATGGCTTTAACTTAGCTGCCCATCTCGCAGGCGCATTTCCTCTTGCACCAAAGTCGCATACAATGATTTTCGAATCAGCCTGAAGGCCTAACTCCAAAGACAAGTCACCCGAATCGGCCTCGTAGATCAGCACTTTGTCGTACAGACCAGTGCCTTCGGAGAATGCTTGCGAAGCCGAAGATCCCACACCAATGATGGCATGAGGTAGTTTGCCTACCGGTCGACTATGCTTGAGCTGGTGAGCAAAAGCGAGAGCCGTCTTTCCACTGGGTGAAAAGATCACCACAGTAGTTTTGGGTCCAATATCAGCTTTTTCGAGAGTCCAGCCATCGTTGGGATCTCCAGACGGATGCACAAGCTCAGCCGATTCCGAGGCGAATACAAACCGATTCATCATGTAGCTTGTTTCAAACAGTACTTGCCTAATTCAGAAGCTTGAGTGTAAGCGAAGTTCTTTGGTACAAGGTTCGGAGAATGTCCTGGTGTTCAAAGGGGTTCGCTTGGTCTGAGTTTTGGGAGTTCCAAGAACTAGAGCAGTATGGAAAGCAGTAGAAAAATCACTACAACACGAAGATTACTTACATCAACGAATCGTAGCCTTTACTGTGTTGCTCTTGAGTCGTTCCCTCAGAAGTATTCGCAGGTGGAAAAGCCAAATAGCGGTTGTAGATAGGGAGCACGTGCTGCCTGTGCTTGCTGGTAACCACTATCTGATTGGGAACTTGGGTGTCGATTTGGATTTCGACATCGACAGGCAATGTGCCGATTGGAAGGTAGCCATAGAGTTGAGTTCCTACTTGGATTTCTGAGACGTTGCTCTCAAGGACAATACCGTAGCCCCAGCCTGAAATCCGTCCGAACTTCTTTGGGTCTGCGTACTCTGCAGGTATCGATTCCGGTAGAAGATGGATGTCCCACCACCCAAGCAAATGGCCGATTCTAGCGTAGGAGAAGTTGTTGGTTGTCAGAGAAAGAATTGAAGTCTTGATGCGAAGGGAAGACGGAGGTAATGTGGGAAGCGAGCTCGACTCTGGCAACGCTACAATGTGTTGGTCTTCATAATTGTTCCTCGAAAGGACTTGAATGACGGGAACGGAAGATGCCATGTTGATCGAGAAAGTGTTCTGTCTTTTTGGCACTTGCAAGAGAGTAGCTTGCTTAAAAGGAGAGTAGTAAAAACTGGATACTTATTAGGTGATCCCACCCCTCTACCCTGCCGTCAGCACTAGCTCAATACGTCCGTATGAGCATTGGCATTGCGTGGCGCGAAATCCTGCGAGCTTTCATTCACGAATCGAGATGTTCCTTCGACAGCTCTTAAATGCAACATATTCGTAGCTGACTCTAGCAGTACCATTGCTCTTTGACGAAATGTGTGTCTGGTGTATGCTAAGGCAAATGATAGCGTGGCTCGAAAGCTGTAATGTATGTGAGCCTTATTAGCTCTCGAAGAAGGTAGTCAAATATGTCTTTGGCTGTTTGATATCAGGAGACCCACGAAATTCTCAAAAGCCATGTGTAGGACAGTGGAAATGATGGCCCTCAACACTAGCTGAGAATGCTGCGAAAACGCGACGACAGACAGAAAAGTACGACTTCACTGAGGACAAGCTGACGGCTCATTCACTTCAATAACATTCTCCGCCTCTACGCATCGAGTCCAGTGATAAATTGCGTTCAAATTGCTTCGTGAGGAAGGTCGTCATCTGAAGTGCCATTTCCAGATTAGGCGAAGTGGACCTTCATTTTCCAGTCGCGGTTCGCGTTTCCTCCATCAACATCATCGCAAGCTCAGTCGCAAAATACTTCACAACCTGAACAGCACCTAAGAACTCTTGAGCAAGAGACTTGGATCGAATATCGAGAATGGAACGTCACTGTCCTCGATCTTCCAAAAGAACGCCAACTTGAACGGACGCACCATATCAATCACGTGGTCTCACTCATTTTCACAATGCCTGCTCTCACGAAGACTAACTCATGTGTCGATATCGACTTTACGCTGAGGAGAAAGTTCAAGAGGACTACTTTCAGGTAGGTTCAGTCCGAACAATTTGACAATGTTGATAGCTGACATGGAATGCAGGGGCCAACAACGTGAGGTTATCGTTGATGCACTCGACAAGAAAGATGTGTTCGTGCAAGCAGCTACAGGGTTTGGCAAAAGCTTATGCTTTCAATTACCAGCTGTTATAGATCATGGAAGTAAGAATCATCCATTATGAGTTGACGAAGAAAGTCTGACATCAATTAGTCACCGTGGTGATTTGTCCATTACTTTCCTTGATGGTAGGCTTCATAAATCTCCTTCCCAGCCAACTGAACTTTTCCTATCTTAACCATCGTTGAGTGGAAGAGCCTTAGTTCCCCATTATTCCTCCCATTTCCTCAAACGAAAGTTGATCTGACCCTTACAGACTGATCAGGTTAACGCACTGCGTGCTGCCGATATTGACGCTGGCATGATAAACGGAAATACCACGTACACCGAGAGGCAACGCTTATTACGCGATCTCGCAACAGGTCATCCCCGTACTCGTCTGCTGTATGTGACCCCAGAGCAATGTGCTACAGAGTCCTTCCGTAAACATTTGAGGGTCGTGTACGAACAGCGAGAGTTAGCTCGCGTAGCCGTAGACGAAGCACATTGTATTTCGGAATGGGGCCATGACTTCCGAAAGTCTTTCCAAGACCTGCGTTGGTTTCGAGAGAATTTTCCAGATGTCCCTATCATATGTCTTACTGCAACGGCAACGGCCAAAGTTCGGGACGATATTATCAACATGCTTGGCTTGGATGAGGCCAACATCAAGGTGTACACCATGACCACAGACCGAAAGAACCTGCATTACGAAGTAAGGTTCAAGTGTGACGAAGAACCTCATTACAATGGTATGTAATTTTTGCCCTGTTTCGAAGATTCCCAATCCCTCCTTTCCTGTGGTGCTTCTTTTCCTTCCTTAGAACTGAAACCCCACTGATACTGTTTCTTAGACTTCCTGGGTTGGCTGAGAAGAGTTCACAAGTACCGTGCCGAAAACGTGGAGCGTCGTAGGGAACTCGAACGCAAGGGCGAACGGATAGATAACGTTTCTGGCATCATATATGCCCTCTTCCGTAACGAATGCGAGGAGATTGCAGCTAAACTCCGCTCAGATGGTATTGGAGCAAAACCTTATCATGCAGGACTGCACAAAGATGAAAAAGATGAAACCCTGCAGCGGTGGGTCAATAACGACAAAGGCTACGATGTCATCGTAGCAACCACGGCGTTTGGCATGGGAATTGATAAAGAAGACGTACGATTCGTGGTTCATTGGCAGTTACCAAAGTCGTTTGAGGGCTACTACCAGGAGGCCGGTCGCGCTGGTAGAGACGGGAAAGCTAGTGTATGCATCATGTACTACAGCCGAGAAGACCGGGATCGAGCTTTCAACAGAATGAGCAGGGACAAATTAGAGATGAAAAACTTCGAAGCTCGAGCAAAGAGCCTTCAGGCAGTAGTAGACTACTGCGAGAACGTTGAAACATGTCGGCATCGGCTGATATGCAAATACTTCGGGGAAGAAGCTGTCCCGGAGTGCGATTATGCCTGTGATTGGCATAAAGATGCCAAAGGTTTGGAGAGGGCAAAGAAAAATGGCCTTGCAAGTGAGGAATTTGTCAGCACTCAAAGAGAGCTGGGAGCTTATATTGGCTATGATGGTTACGACTCAACATAAGATGGTAGGCCGTCATTTGCTTATTATGAGTAAGGTGGAAGAGAAAGTAAGAAACCCAGAAAAATGTAATCAATCGGCTACTTGCATGCATAGCAAACGCAGCTGCCTTTCAGTGTGTCGGGATGGTTCTTCTAGGCACCCTTCCTATGTGCATGTACTGTCTATGTACGACTTCAATCTCTTTTGCCAGGCTGAATGGCATGCAACGGCTTTCCACTAAACTTCTTTGCTGTGCTGGGAGTGGTTATTCACTCAGGGTAGTAATGGAGCTTTACATCTAGCGACCAGGGCAGTCGACTCTCCAAAGAATTTGCATCAACACACAGAAGCGGAGGCTGTAGCTTGAAATTTTCATTGCTTGTATGAAAGCATGCATACAGTAAAGGATTGTATAACTCCAGTTCCTCTGTGCAGATGCGCGAGATTTCGTCGGAAAGACACTTACAAAACAGTGCAAACAAGCTGGGATCTTTCTTTCGTGGCAATGAACGTCCGTTTCTTTCGCTAGCAGGTTGATTCATCTTTCAGAGAGTGAGTCCTGATGGGAATTTCTAAGCTTTCAGAATCTATATTAACAGTCCCTCTCTCCCTCTTCATTGGCATCATCAGCATTCAGATCATCCTTCAGCTTTCTGAAGAACACTCTCTCGATATCGAATCGGAAACAGCCTCCATATACTTCTCTCACTTCGATCACATCAAACAATCAATCATCCCAACCATGGCATCCATGTCGACCATGTCCCTCCCCATGCCTTTCTCTGGCGAGCCTTTCCCCTGCCGTATCGGTCTTACCCGCAAGGACGGTGACAACATCCAGAACGGTGCCAACGAGATCTTCATGATCAGCCCCGCCGCTCTCGATACCCGCCGTGGCCTAGTCGACCAGGTCAAAACCCACTTCCACTCGCTCGAGAAGCGACCTCAAAGTGACCGCGTCAACGTCCCTGATCGCTGCTTCTGGGGTGCCGACTACGATGCCGAGCGCGTCAAGGTTACTTGGGACCCCGTCAACACCTACGGCGCCTCTAGCTGGGCTCCTGGTACCTCCATGAACGAGACTGAGATCACCGACGCCAATCTCAAGACCATGCTCCATGCTCTCAAGTTGTCCCCTCCTAGCACGTGTGTCATGTCTCTTCTCATCACCCACTCGGTTCCCCTGGACCTTGTTTCTCGTGGCCACGCCAATCACGGCTACTAACTTGACGTGGATGAGGTTGTTGTTGGATATTGGACAAGGATTGGGAATGGCAGCTTTGGGAATTCCTGACATCTGACCCCTCTTCACTGGCGGTAGAATTGGTTCTGGATTGAACTAAAGGAAGTCTTGTAAGCTTTGATCAAGGAGGAGATCATACACACTCATTTGCATCTCATGTACCATTAGATAGAACCCAGTCTCAATGGCAACTCTTGTCATTGCCTGGATTTATGACTTGTGAATTGCTTTATTTTGATAAGCTACTGACGATTGGTTACACTTCGTGTGTCTCTCATTGTTCCGCCAGTAACAGTGCTCAGTATTCTCATAGAAGTGAAACATGACAAAGAAGGAGATCTGTAAAGTCGTATGTGCGTCCTCAGGTGACCGCCACTCCTCCACCGTCATTGTTCGTCACTGTGAGATAGACTCCCCGCAAGGAAATGTAGTCCAACAAGAGACAAAAGAAAAGGTAGTCCAACACCATACGCAATGCCTCAAATGAACGCCCCGGCCATCCACTTTACCAACGCGGTCCACGCCCAATGTACGCCAGTCCGACCACCATCTAATCAGTCTCCGAAGGACCATTAGTGTTCGTATGCTCATTCTCGTTTTCACCCTTGCCAAATCGCCAATCGAAGTGATCCTCCAATGTACGGTGAACAATCTCTCTCATCTTAGCAATCTTCGCATTCTTCTTAGCCAACTTGTATGCCGAGCCGTGAATCTTCTTCTCCCATGCCTTCTTGACCAAATTCTCCCAGATGTGATGCTTCGGCTTCGTCTTGCAGAGTGTAACAACCTTGGCAACCCAATCATCAGACCAATCGAACTGCTCGGGGAACTTGATACCACGGAAGACCTTGCCTTTCAGGTTCTTGAATTCATCGTCGAGGTCGATCAACATGGTTGCGATACAATCGTGAGACTTTCCTTTGCCGCAGAGATACAGGACCAAGGCTTGAACTGGTCGGTAAGAAGGTGCAGCCACGATTTGGTTCTCATCTTTGTCCTCGTTCACTTCCAAGTCTCCCAAGTTCAAGGATCGAATTTCGACTCGCTCAACAGCCGTGTTGTCGGTTTCGTCGCTGCTCAGAGATTGCTTAACGACTGGATCCTCCAAATTGCCTACAGTAACTTTCTTCGTGTTTCGTGGCTCGATTAGGTGGATCTTGTAATAATCAGAGAGGTTTAGGTCGGCTTCGAACGAGTTGATATTGTCCGCTGCGAGGTGGATAGAGACGTGGCAAGCCTCGCCGAGGTAGTTGAGGAGGTCTTTACGCTTAGCAATTTGTGTCTCGTTGAGATTTTGCTCGGTGTCTTCGTTAGCGTCCAAAGACAGACCAGGGACATCGCTCATAGCATCAGCATCCGTGGCGCCGACTAGAGGAGTATTTGGCGGTCCGCAATAGTGCTTCGCGAGCTCGATCTTATCAATCCGGCCCCCTTCAAGGCTGAGGAGCTCACGTGTAGTGAGCGAGTGGATACCGTCGTTCTGAGGAGACAGTGGGTTGCTCTCCGAAATAGTGTCCTCGGCCCATTTGTGAATCTCACTGACTTGATCGGAAGTCAGGTTTGCTTCCATATCAGGGACAGCGGGGCGCTGCTCGAGAAGAGGAGTCATATCTCTTTCGTCTCTTGGTCTCGCAAAATAGCTAGAAACCCGATTCACAGCATTCTCGCCGATCTCTCGCAACGACAGACTGGGAGGGCTTGGCCGAATTCTCCGTTGATCCATCATTGGAATTGCGCAGTTAAGGCCGCCGCCGTAGATACGAGGAGGGTGGTATACAATACGTGGATTGTGCTCGACTGGTGTGGTATCTTCGTCAGCGGGTACGTGCGTGAAGCTGAATTTCTCGTGGGTCTTCTCGATGAAGGTGTTAAGGTGTTGCGCCGAGTCCAACATAAGATTGACTATCTTTTCCCGTCTTCTTAGTCTTGGTTGAAGAGTTTGTGATCGAGACGGGGGGCGGACAGAGGGGCCAGATGGGAAACTGCCAGGTTCCGGGTTAGCAGTGACATCGATGTCGTTGACGTAGACACGGATTTCAGTTCTGCCGTCGCACCCTATACCCCAGATTATCACAGTTAGCATTCTGTTCCTTTCCAGGTGCTTGGTCAAAAAGGTGTATTGCACTTTAGCGACTCGACGTCGAACCAAGGGAATATGTATTGCAACGGAGTAGAACTTACAGAAAGCAGACGTTGGGGCATAAACACCAGTGAAGATCGATACATCCGATACTTCCTCGTCTGGACCAGGCATGGAATCGCGGGGGATATCCAAGAGTGCGAATAGATGCTCCAACCTACGTCTACCCTCTTCATCACGCTCGATCTGAACCGAGACTTCAGTCGAACGGTTGATCTCCAGCTTTGCAGGAGGTGGTGGGCGCTTGCGCGAACGCATGAATGAAGGCATTGTAGAGAACCTTCAAGGGGGAGGAGGGTGAGGATGGTTGTTGTTTTGGGAGAGTAATATCAAGCGATCGTGAAGCGAAAGCAACCGTTTGTGCCCTCTATCTCTGAAGCTAAGGAAGAGACGGAACGGAATTACTAGCTAACCCGTAGCACAAGGCTGTAACTTGCAGGCGAACGGATTAAAGTACTATCCGAATGAGAAGCTCTTTACCGAGTCTGTAATGTAGAGTGCCTACATCACAAGATGCGGGAAACGCCAAAGAAGAAAAGCCATCACCACAGATTTGAGAAGAACTCGCTGTTCTCTGATCATATCATGGTACCCTGTATCAACCATTGCCCATAACCTCAAAAGGTCATTGCAATAGACCGCAGTAAGAATAAGCAGCTTTACATTGAGGAAGAAGGAGCCACATAGAGATCAGCTCTGGATCGAGAACATTGCTCCATCTACTTTGACCGCATATCTTGAATAGACAACAAAGCATTGCATAGCCGTATTCGAGATAAGCTGGAATTACTCGGCTTCCAGAAATTGGCCAGGAGACCATGTATGAAAGCCTAAGCATTCTCTGGCTGGAAGCATAAGCTCCTTCGCCCCATACATGAAAGCCAAACATTAAACGGACAAGCGAGACGGAAAAATGAAAAGACGATCCAGAGCTACCGAAAAGATCCCAAGCACAACATTCCAAAAATAAGCAACGCAAAAGACAGAAACACTGAGTCGGTAACGCCATCTATTCACACGAAAGGCAATGCCATCAAGCATGCACTATTTACTTCAACGTAACCAGTTCTTCGGCGCTTGTGGGGTGGATTGCCACACAGCTGTCGAAGTCGGCCTTTGTAGCACCCATCTTGACAGCTACACCAAAACCCTGCAACATCTCTCCACTTCCCAGACCCAAGATGTGGAGACCAACGACCTTCTCATTTGGTCCTTGACAAACAAGTTTGTACTTTGTGGGTCCCTTGTCGTCTGGCTCCATCATTGAGTAGTACATGGCGGTGAAGCTGGTGTTGTACACCTTGATGTTCTCCTTGCCGTACTTCTCAATCGCTTGTGGTTCTGTCAGACCAATACTGCCAACCTCTGGGTGAGCAAAGACAACAGATGGAATCAAATTGTAGTCCAGCTTTGATTCCTTGAACTTTTCGGGTCCGAAAAGTCTATCACTGAGCTTTCGACCTGCTGCAATGGCGACAGGGGTGAGCTCGACCTTGCCAACCACGTCACCAAGAGAATAGATGTTCTCAACATTGGTGTTTTGATATTCGTCCGCAATGATTTGACCTTTGTCGTTTTGTTTGACTCCGGCCTTGTCTAGTCCGAGATCTTCGACTTCTGGTGAACGTCCGATGGCCCAAATCAGATCGTCAACATCTTCAAGCTTGCCTTCTCCTGTCGAATCCTTATAGTGTATCGTCAGCTTTCCTGTCTTCTCGTCTTTCTCGACCTTGCTTTGACTCGAGTTCTTGTGTAAATGAACGCCTAGTCTTTCATATTCCGTGGTGATCGCATCTTGGACCATGGGATCGAAACTTCTCAAGAACTTATCGTGTCGAATAAAGAGATGTGTCTCCGTTCCAAGAGCATTGAACATGCCTGCAAACTCCACAGCAATATATCCGGCACCCACTAACGCAACTTTCTTTGGTTGCCTATCGATGTCGAAGAAGCCATCACTGTTGACACCGTATTCTGATCCTGGAATGCCTTGTGGAATAGTTGGGTGTCCTCCAACTGCTAGTAGAATTTTCTTTGCCTTTACGATCTGTTTCGTGCCGTCGTCCAGGACAATCTCTGCTTCATTCTTGCCGGTCAAATGTGCTCGTCCGTGAATATATTCCACCTTGTCATTTCCCAAATTCTTCTCGTAGATTCCGTTGAGGCGCTTGATAAATGCATCTCTCTTGTTCTTGAAATAGCCCCAGTCGAATGGAGCTGTATGTTCGACATGAAATCCGTAAGCCTTAGCTTCTTTTATAGTTTCTGCAATCAAGGCTGCGTTGAATGTGACCTTCTTAGGTACACATCTACATGCTCTGTTAGCCCTGTCCTCTTCAAATATTTTGATTTTCATACCCCACATTGACACAGGTTCCTCCTAGTCGCTTGCTTTCTACCGCAATTGTCTTTGCCCCATAGTAGCCACTGGCCCTCCTTGCAGATGCCAAACCACCACTGCCACCACCAATGACAAGGTAATCACACTCTTTGGGAACTGGCGCCATTATGGACGAGGAAGCAGAGAACTGTCTAGAGAGAGATGAAAGCCTGAAGCTTGCCGTTCTGGAAGCTGCGACCGAGGTTGCTCGAGTGAAGGTTGTGAACTGTTGCATGAGCGGAGGAAGGTTATGAGAGAAACAAAGGGAAGGGTAGAAGTAGTGGGGACCTGTGACGTGCTGCTGCTGAGGTATGATGCATGCACTCGGATGGTTTGAGCTTCTTAGTGTTAGATCGGTGGTGACCAGCTGTCGGGGTCTAGATTCCCTAGATTCCTGTGGTATTTGAGATAGCAATCTGGAACCAAAGAAGCTCTAAGCATGCGCCTTCGGTCCAGGGACTGAGAGCTGCGTTGGAGGGGTATGGGACGATTGAGGGTTTGTCGCAATTTGTAAGCTGGCTTTGGGATTTTCTGGAAGCTCAGGCACTTTTTAATCGCTCTTATCGGGGTGGGTCGGCGAGCGGGCGATCGGCCGCCGGAGCTTCTTTTCAACAATTTTATCGATAACAGCCTAGTACATTATTACATCTAAGGTCAATCACAAAGCTATGGATCAGAAGGCTTGTTCTATATGATTCAGACTGTATATGCAATAGTGTGGGAGTGAAAGTTAACGATAGGATTTCACCAGACTTTACATGTCTTGCATATTGAGACATGAAAGATTACAAGTGACCACCTCTGTTCTGCTTTGTTCCAATCTATCTTACCAGTATCGATATCCACCCCTAGATCTTCTAACTTTGTCCTCTGATATTGCCAAAAGTAAGTGCTCCCATCACATTGCCCTCGTACATGTGAAGATTACTTAGCTAAATACTATCTCTGCGACCACCATGACAAGTAAATATACAGTACAAAGTGAGTGCTTACATGATTAGAGTGACTGCTTGCATCGGATGGATCAGTTGCCTTGTGCTACACTCTCCACATAACGCAACTTAATTGCTTTCCTGGTTTATGTGGGACTTCGCACTGTAACCAAGACTTCATTTATGCAGCGGCTATATTAATAGCATATATCTTTACAACTAGCAACAACATCAATACTTGCTCAATGAAGGCCGAGGGTTAAGTTTTGGGTAGTTGACCAAGTCGTTGCATTTGGTTCAACAAGCCAAAAAGTTATTGGTCCACTCATATCTTTTGCAAGACTAGTAGAAATGAGTGGTTGATGATAAAAAGAGAAGTGACTATTAATGACAACCAAAGAACTACGAATTACTGAAAGTTGAAGGCAGACTGACAAAGAAGTCCGAGTTAGATTCTTGCTAATAAACAAGCTAGTATGGGCCAAGCCGTCTCTGCATTCGGACCCCAATACTTTTCAAAGTAATTGTTTTAAAGCTCGAGAATGCAGTGCTATTAAGTATCCTTAATTGAAAAAATAGCTTGTACTTGGATAGATAATCTGTGTACCAAATTTCCTAAAGTCACATAACGCCGGCTAGTAACAAAAGCCGGATAGACATTCTTGAGGATTTGTCTTCCTTGTTGGCATAATCCCTGCCACCTCAATGGTGGCAATGTTGGTGACACCTTTGTACAGTGGTCGATTTCTAGAGCTGCTTGCGAAAGACGTTTCTTGGAAATAAGTATTGCTGGAATCCACTAAAGACTCTTGGCCAGAATTCAAGTAGAGAGCACAAGAGAACAGAATCTTTGGCACGCAGTCGTCTCAAATGGATATATTCGCAAAGCCACGCAGTCTAAACACCTCATACCACGCGAACCCATGCCCCCCATGCTCTTGTAAGTGTAGTTCGCAACCGAAAACTCCGTCATAGGCAATATGCACCTTCGTATCGCATGAAGTGTTCGTTTGCTACATCTCGTCTCTTACTTCTTGCCAGCGGCTTCAGCGGCCTTCTTTGCGTCGGCTTGAAGAACATTAGTATGTGTTGAATAAGTCGTTGTTATTTGTGCCAGAGCTTACCTGCGGCTTGCTTCTCTCTCATCTTTGCTGCGACTTTCTCCTTCTCGCGTTGCATCTCCGATCCAGACATAGTGTTGCCTTTCTTCTGCAAATAGGATGTGCGGTCAGCACAGGCAACACAAAAATGCCGCTGGCGCAAAGAACGAACGTACCTGATCAGCAAGCTTCTTCTGATTAGCCTCACGAGCCTTGTCCCTTTGATTCCCTCTGGCCATCTTGAGATTGAGATGTGTCAAGTGTCCGCTATTCTAAGAGATTATTGTGGTAGAGTTGGCCTGCTTGGCTGTAATATTCTCGGAAGTCCAGAGCGAGACCCGCGCGGCTGAGAGAATGAATATTTTTAGGTTCGCTCCGCCGCATTCGCCGCCGCTTCGACCATTCGGGAAAGACCGAGGTAGTCACATGATGCCTCTACAAACCTTGGAAGACCTCGACTCCTCGTGATTCCGCGAACAGCCCGTGAACAGTTGGTCTTGGGCCCAGCTTCATGTTCAGGTCTCTCGAAGAGGAGATTTTGCCGCCAGAGAGTTCATGTTCGAAGTATGTTCATGATCGGAGCGTTTCTTAGATTATACCGCAATGTACCTTGTCATAGTTCGCATGTGGTAGAGATGGACTTGAAACATTCAGTTAAGCGCGTTCATCCAATTATTTTGATGCGACAACAGGAGGCCGAAACATCGACTCCATGCTTATTGCATGATCATATCCACCTTAGCAGCTATGCAAGCGCCAGTTACAGGTCCTATTGGGCAAAAATAGCAGATCAGAGTCTGGGGTGATCGCTGTCAGCCAGCCGTTTGTCACATCCAGACCTCCGTGTACAGGTCGTGCGACGCTACAAACACAGGTATGAGCCTTGTTTTGAGGCTCCTCAAGTTCCAGCGGCAGAATCATCCATCAAACGTGGGTCGTTTATCCAGTTATTTGTTCCGAAACTCGAAATCTACCTTCGCGCCTGAAGACTCCCACTTGGTCGACGAAGAACCGTCCTTTGACACGAACACTACTCGTTCATAGGTTCTTGGAACAAAGGTGTCTGATCCCCACAATGATTTTATCCTAAGGGGTCACTATTCTGGTCTCAAAGACGAGACTTTCTTATTGTCTGTGATTCACTCATATACTCGTTAGGTTCCTTGTTCTTGCTATTGTCACTCGCGAATTTCTTCCCATTGTGCTCCCGACAATGAATGGGCTCCCTCCTCAATAGTTATCGTTATTTTACTTAATATTCCTGCTACTCTCGCACAGAAGATTTCTTTCTTTTCTTAATCATAAAATTTCCTTCGATCTTTCCAAACTCTCTCAACGAATCTTCTACTGCAGGCAGTAAAAATCTACCATATCTACAATCTTTCCAAGACTGTATGTGTTTCTCTTTGTGCTCCAGATCTCTTGCGACTCTACTGACAATCTGCAGAAACCCAATTCCAATAATCCAACTACAAAATGTTCTCCGAATCCAAGTTGGCCGGCCCAGGCTACATCACGTTGAATGTCATCCGAGTCCTTAACGTTATCTCACTCCTTCTGGTCGCGATAGGAAGTTGGATCATGCTTGTCATGACCGTCAAGACTTCTAACGTACGCTCCTTATACTCTTGTAGACCTGGTATAAATGCTAATCGTTATGATAGTTCTACTTCTTCGATGGAGTCTCCCACTTCATTACGAGCGTCATTGCCATATTCCTCATCGTCTCAGAGCTCAACATCTTCCGTTCATACTTTGCCCGTAACTGGCCATTGCTCAGCCCTGAACATGGCTTCGTCTTTCTTGGCACATCCATGATCATACTTGGCTTCAATATCTTGGGCAACCTGAATAAGCCTGCCACGAGCATTGCCAACCTTGGTCTTCCGCTATGGAGAGTTGTGATCTCTGGAGGCATCCTCACAGCTGTTATGGGATTCTTCAACATCATTGCTGTATGTTGTCCCCTCACCTCTAAATTGAATTCTGCTAACGTGTTTCTAGACTTATGTCTTCTGCGACGCCAAACTTGGTATCACCGGACGTCAAGTACGCAGCGACGGTGCAGCAATCCCTCAAGAATCCACAAAGGCCTTCAGCATGTCGAGTGGTTCGATTCGCCGCCCCGAGTCTCCTCTTCCAAGCTACAACGTTACCGAAGAACGACGCAAATCGCGCTTCCCATTCAGACTTCCTATTCGCATGTCGAAGACTGTCTCCATCTCGAAGCCAGTCATGCAAGACCCGGAACAATTCTCGAAGTGGGAATCACGAAGCTCTCCAGTTGCGCCTGAGATCCAACGTCCACCAACTGCTCTCCACCCCGCTTACACAAACCACGGAATCGCTCACGACTACCCAGCCCCACCACCAATGCCAGCCAGTACTGCTACTCGGTATAGTGTGACCAGTCAATACACTCATCCGTTTGCTGATGCAGACAGAATCTGAATGGGGAGGGGTAGCATGTAATTTGTTTAGAAGAGTACAATTGCGACAGGCGCTTTGGAGTTTGCTATCAAAATACCCACTCCTTACGAGGCTTACAACAGAGGGAGTTCCGGCGTCAGAAGGGGAGTTGCACTTGTGGATATTTTGTCTCTAGCTTACTGGGAACTACAATCAAAAAATTAATTTCAAATTCATGCTTGAAGAAATATGTGAATCAAACATCGAGGCGGTCACGATAAGGTGTCGATAAAGCTAGATTGCTCCACAAAAACTTTGTCTAAACCATCCACAACTCACACTCCTTTCACTTCCCACATGCTTCTTCCTCGACTTGCGCGAACATCTTATATTCTTCCTCGGATCTCAGCATTTATTCCATATCATCGCGCATACACAATGGCACCAGGTATACCCAAAACCACCCTACACTTCCCACCGCCCCTCCATGCCTCCGACTATACTCCCCAAAGCCATACAATAACTAACACTCCCTCAGTCCCTTCAGACCTCCGCCCAGTCGTGATCTCCGGCCCCTCAGGCGTAGGAAAAGGCACACTCTATAAACTCCTCCTCGAACGCCACCCCTCCCTCTTCGCAACCTCCGTCTCGCACACGACGCGGTCCCCGCGTCCCGGAGAGAAAGAAGGTGTAGACTACTACTACATCTCCATGGCCGAATTCGAGAAGATGATCGCCGACAACGCGTTTGTGGAGAACGCCAAGTTTGGGGACAATAGATATGGGACCAGCAAGATGACCATTGAGAACCTGACCAAGAGCGGCAGAGTCGTAGTTTTGGATATTGAGATGGAGGTTTGCTTTCCCTTCTTTGATTTGAAAGTCTAGAATCACTAATAGTCGTATGACAGGGCGTCAAACAAATCAAGAAATCCTCCATCGAAGCACGCTTCGTATTCATCTCCCCACCATCAATGAGCATCCTCGAATCCAGACTTCGTGGCCGAGGAACAGAGAAGGAAGAATCGATCCAGAAACGTTTGGCACAGGCTGAGAATGAGATGGCGTATTCGAAGACACCTAATGCACACGATTTGATCATTGTGAATGATGATTTAGAGAAGGCGTATCAAGATCTGGAGAGCTTCATATTTAAGAAGCGGACACAAGATCAAGAAGCAGGTGATGCGAGTTCGGCGGGAGTTAGTGTACAGGATTGAGTTGTCAGCATGTAGCTGTCGTACTTTAAGTTGGAGTGCATGGGGTACAAAAAGTTTAGCATTGCAGATAGAGTGTCAAGAGACATGGCATGGTTCAGTCACTGCACATACATAGAAGCATAGAAGACACACGAGAGTCTAGAGTTCGAAGCTTGATGCTCTAAATCTACATTCCCACCCACCGCCATAGCACAAAAGGAGACTTGGTGACTTTACTACTATTGAAATGAATTCTCATCGTTAGAGAAGGCTAATTAAGCAAAGGAGAAATATGTGGAGAAGTCGAAGAGACAAAGTAAAGCCCACCTCAAGCGGCCATTAACGCTCTCCTCGGCCTGCTCGAGAAAATTCCGAAAGTCGCTTTTGCACAGATATCGCCCTGCTATCATAAACAACCTTCCTCGAAATCGCAGCGTCCCCTGACTCCACGTTCCTACACCGCCTAGTAACCGTTCATGCCGCCCCGTTGAGAGCTTCTGCTCAATTCTCGATCTGCTGCAGGGCTGATTGGTCTGCTGTTGGGATGTCCAGCAGCACTGCTCTCCTTCAGGGCCAACAACTGCTTAGCACGGAAAGTCTCGTAGTGGATTTGAGAAGTGGTTTCGATCAAATCTTGGAGATGGGTACGGGTGAGGAAATTTCTGAGGTAGACGAATTCGCAGTGGTTCTCGTCCTCAACGTTGATGACACCCCATCTGTTTTGACGACCGCGGACTTGCTTGCCTCCTACAATGATCGACTTCTCGGATCCAACGACGGCGAATGGGATAATGTTCTAGATATCATGTTAGCGACTAGTACACCGCCTTGCATAATAACACCAACCTTGATCTGAGCATTCAATGCACGCTCCTCCTCATCGAACTCATCGTTGTCGTATGGGTACATCTTCAAGTTGTGGAAGGTGAACTCCTCCTTTATGCGCTCCTTGAAAGCACTTCGCTCCTCCAGAGTCAAGGAATCAGACTTGGCAATGACTGGTACGACATTGACGACATCTGAGAGCTTCTTCAAGACCACGATATCGATTGGCTTCAAAGCATGGCCTGAAGGTTGGATGAAGAACAGGCAGCAGTGAATGCGGGTATCCTGAATATATCTCTCACGTTGAGCGGTGAGTTCTTTTCGGAGGTATGCCGAGTGCTGGTCCTTAATGTACTTGACAATTGGATCCCAACATCTATCGTTGTTAACCTGATCGCCGTAACCTGGGGTATCGACAATGTTGAGTCTCAGACGAACACCATTCTCCTCGATGATATGCGAAACGGTTTGGATTTCGGTGGTAGATCGTACGGGCTCATCAGGTGAAAGTCTTCCTTTCGAATCGATCAAGTGTGACGCAAAGATTGTGTTAATCAACGTAGATTTGCCCAATCCAGTTTGGCCTGGAGAATTGAGTCAGTTCATGCGCTGTTCATTTTGAGGCAGGAAAAAGTTGAGGAGAGCTGTACATACCAACACAGATGACATTGAACTGGAAACCGCGCTTCAACAGCTTGCGCTCAATTTGTGATGTGATACTGTCGAAACCGACGTGGCTACGGGGGTACACCGACTGCTGGGGAGCGTGTCTATCCATGGGAAGGGTTGACATTGTGTGCGAAGTGATCGAAAAATCCAAGAATTGATCTTTCGGAACCTTGGAGGTGAAGATGGGAAGGTGACGGCAGTTGGTCGAGGAAAATGAGAAGGGGATACTTTCCTCCACAAAATTGGTGTCGCGTTCGTCGAAAAGGAGAAGGGGCCACTGCAGGAGCTAAGCTTATTTGGGATTAGAGATCTGTACCCCTGCAGAAATATGGAAAGCTTCAAAATTGCCCAAGCCGTATCGCGTGAGAAGAAACATTTGTCCGACAGAGCAGATTGAATTGAAAGATCAAGTCAAGATTCACCATTCGCAAATATGGCTGTGCCTCACATAACAACCTCTTCGATCCTATCCTCCTTCCTCCCACGACTATCCGCCCCAGCAATCTCCAATGCCTCAAGATTCACAACACTATTTTCCCGACAGCTCTCACATCCTCTTCTACCATCTCTATCGATAGGGATCCCCTCAGCAATACAATTGAACGTGCCTGGATTCATTGAAGGATTATGGGAATCAATTTTGAAGGCTGTACCTAAGAAGAAGACTTCACACTCGAAGAAGCGATCCCGGATGTTGGCTGGAAAGGCAATGAAGGATGTGACAGCATTGAACAGATGCTCTGCCTGCGGACATGTCAAGAGGGCTCACGTATTATGTCCATACTGTGTGAAGGGTCAGTTCCTCATATCCCCCTACAGACGCAATTGCTCATCCCGTGGCAGAAATCCAGAACATGTTCAAGGGCAAAGTTGAAAAGACGACATCAGAGAAGCCAGAAGACTCATAGTACCGAACCATACGAGGGGACAGCTTTTGGGATGTAAGGATATTGGAATGCATTAGCAAGAGGCGTTTTCTGGCTGGGACGGGTGGACCTGCTTTGTCTCATATGTGAGGATGTAGAGTGTATATCAAATGAAGATAAATGTGTGCTACTAAAAGAATATATTAATTCTTTTTACCTTTTTTTCGTGTGTCTGAATCCAGTGGTTTGGTTGCTATTGCGCTACTTTGATCGACCCCGCCAAAACTTTCAATAATTATTTACACCACCACCGGACAATCTGCGAAAGACTTTGACATGTACCTCATGAACCGGTGACAATGGTATTGAACATCCTCGAACTGGCGCGAAGATGACTAACAGCATTTTAGTCGAAACAATACCTGACGACACACACGGTCGACGATGGTATGTCTCCAGCTGCCCCTCCAAGGCCAACCCAGCTCTAACATCGCAACGTGCAGCTCATGTCACCGATATTTTCTCGCTCGCAGTGACTCCCACCCAGGTTCTTTCTGCTTCCGGTGCTTCCTCCATCAAAATCTATTCCACGACGTCCCCAGACATGCCTCTAGAGCAGACCTTGACCGGAGCACATAAGCTCGGTTGCCACCACATTGTGACTTCACGCAACGGACATGTCGCCGCGAGCGCAGGCTTCGGAGGTGAAGTTAAGATATGGAGAATCTCTGAAGCAGGGGAGTGGGCGGAAGATGGCAAGATCGTGGATGGAAACAATGCTGGGGAAATATGGGCAATTGCTCTGAGTGAGGACGGACAGTTTCTTGCCAGCACAACCTATGATGGCAGAATCAACGTCTGGGACGTGGTCGACGGAAGGAAGAAGATCAGAGAATATGAGACGAAGGGAAGCTTTGGCATGTGTATCGACATGAGCAGGGATGGAAGATTCACAGCAAGTGGGCATGAGAATGGCGGAGTGTATGTGTTCAACAACGACACAGGCAGGATGCTCTACTCATTACCCGGTAAGTTGGCCAAAATGCTTCTTAAATGTCTTTTTCTGATAGAGAAAAGGCCTTGTGATGCCGGTCCGGACGGTAGCATTCTCTCCCGCAGGTACACGACTTGCTGCCGCTGGAGACGCCCGTGTTATTGCATTATATGATGTCCAACATGGCGAGCAAGTTGCAAACCTTACCGGTCACTCTGCATGGATCTTCTCGGTTGACTGGAGTGATACCGGAGAGTATCTCCTCAGTGGGGCTTTCGATGGAAAGGTCAAAGTCTGGTCTATTGATCAAAGAACTTGTGTGGCTACACATAGTGAGACAGAGAAGACCCTCTGGTCTGTCAAATGGCTACCGAAGACAGGAAGAAGTGAAGCATTTGCTACGGCCGGAGCCAACAGGAGTATTTCGTTCTACAGAGAAGCAACTGGAGGTTAGGAGTCTTTCGCCTAGCAATACGTGGAAGATGACTTTCAACCCTTGGCAAGAGACCATATGTTTCTGCACAGCACAGAGAGTTGCTGGCAGAGTTAGCTAGATGCTCAACGACATACTGGCCATAATAAGGACCGAACGAACGGACATCACATATCAAACTGCTTTTCGAGGATACACATGTGATATAAAATCAAATTTAAAGTTGCTTGCAGGGATAAGCTCTTGGTACCTGACTAGGCCGTATTCAGTAGCCAAGAGCCAAGGAGAACAATGAAGGAGCGCGTTCTGCTCTGTATCAACGACATTTGACTTCACTGCATTTCGTCGTCGAACATTCTCTTTGCTTTTCTTCAGTCATTCATTAGACACCACATTCTTTTTATACCCCACCGTCCGTCGACATCCCTCCCTCGAATACCCCCCGCGTGTTTAAGCTTAAATCGCTCCCCTCGATACCCCAGTTTTTAGTGCACTATGTACGCCTCCTCGACCTTTGTCTTCACGGCCATCTTAGCCCTGGCAAAAATTGCCGTTGCTACTCCTCCTGCGTGTCTAATTGCTGCTATAGGGTATGTTCTGTGAATCTTATTGGAAAAGCACAGCTCTAACCGCTCAGTGCCCAAGCAAACCCCGGCGACCTGAAATCTCTCTGCGGATCTCTCGAATCACAAGTGGTTGGAAACATCACAGAGAAATGCTCTGGAAGTGCTGAGTCTGCTGCTATAAGTGTTTACTCTGCTACTTGCCTTGCCTCTGCTTCTGTTACAATATGTAAGAGCGTACCACTTTCCTCGGGATAAGCATTCCTGACGGTGCTTTAGCTATTCCCTCTTCATCTTCGACCTCTGCATTTGCTACAGGGACTGGAAAGACCTCAGCTACTGGTAAGGCGTCTGGATCTACAACGTAAGTCTTCTCTCCCTTGAAATGAGCTTGCAGGAATACTCATGTTAGTAGTGCCACTACCGGATCTGCAACTGCAAAGGTTACTGGGACCGGAAGTTCTTCTACAGGAACAGCGACAGGCACTGCTGCTAGCTCCACTACCACAAAAGCGAGTAGCGCAGGATTCAACTCTCCTCAACTTGTTCTCGCCTTCCTAGCAGTCGGCTTCACTGGCCAATATCTCCTTTAAGAATGTATAGCAGGCGGATAGTTGTGCGGCGTATAGTTGGACGATATGGTCTTTAGCAGATATGAGATTGAGACTGCATTTGAGTTTAGACCAGCAATATACCAGGCGGATCGAGCATTTGGAATAATTAGATTTTACTTCATACCCAACATTGGTTATTTGTATAGCGCATAATGATGCTCTGGTCTAACCCAAAGTCTTGCACTCCATTCGGACATTGTCATAGAGCTCTACTCTGTGATTTGGTGGGACATCGAAACCACTTTCTCGAACTCTACTCTTCCAGTAGAGCCTCAACTCCATGCTTCAAAGCAATCCTCTTGTTCTCTTCCCATTGAACCCAAGCCATAACTTGCAACAGACAATCCGCCAAGTCGTCCAACTTTCCCATCTTCTCCTGACTGCTCTCCCCAACCTCTTTCCTCTTCCCCTTCACCCTGCCCGGTAACCTCTTCCATTTCTCACCATACGCTTTAGCCATATCCTGCACACTCTCACTCCCCAACACAACCACATCACCACTCTCCAACCACCTCCTCACCAAATCAACCTTCGCTCCTTTATTATGAGTCTTCGCAAGCAAGCTCGACCTCTTCTTCCCCACCCCAGCTTCAGCCTTCCACTCATCGACCCAAAACGGACCAACTTTTCCCGGCTGTATAGCTTTTACTTCTCCTTTCCACAGCCCTTCAGCTTCCAATGTACAGAGTACCGCATATATGATCGCCTCAAACATGTTTACTCTTATAGTCCACTCAAGGATGTGGCTTGAGCCACCAGAGCGGAATCGCTGTCGCTCAATTAAGACTTGCGTTGGTTGTTCGAGGAGCATACGTTCTCGCAGAAGCTTATAAGCAATGGAAGACAGGGTCGCGGGATCGAAAGCTTCTTTCTCGAGCGGGGTGTCTGTGTCTGCAGATTGCCTGGGCGCTGACGAGACTGCGAGGCGATGCCATTCCAGAATTGAAGGTAGACTTTTCTTACTCGCTGTCTTCGTCCTAGATGTTGGCGGTACATCTAAGACGCAATAAGCAAGGTTCCGGATCCCCATATCAACGCTGAGGATTCGTGTGTGAGGAGAGGCATTTCGGGGAGTCGAGGTAATTTCATCGATTAGTCGCTGAATGAGAATCGGCTTTGTGCCGGAGGTTGAGATGCCGCATTTGAAGGCAATGTGCTTCAATTGGGCAAGTTTGTAGGTAAGAGGAATCTGGAGTGCCATTCATGGTGCTGTTGCTGTAGTGAGTTGTGCTTTGTTGGGTGTTGGTTTCCGTCTGGACGCGTTTCGCGTTGCGAGGCTGAGGCAAGGCTGACAAGGCTCAGAAAACTATTTTAGTGTCACAACTCAATATCTCACGGCCGAGTTGAAAATTTTGGCTGAGCTACAGTAACAAGGAGAAGTTCTAATTATTGCTAGAATTTGTGTAGATCAAGACGAATCTTTTAGTACTTCTTTTCCATCAACTTTGGTTCACGTGAGACAACTTCAAGGTAACAATATGAAAGCCTCCTGAAGTAGCAGCAAGAATATATTGCTCAAGCATTGATGGGAGTGACGTTTGAGTAAGCTCTCATACTTTGATGGAGTTCAGTATCCATCATACTGTAACAGAAGATGCTCTCCTATTTAAGCGAGGACCCCATGACTTGTTCTTGCATGACTTCTGAAGCAAAGAGACCACAGTGAAGACTCGAAGTCTATAGACTGGAGAACTCAAAAGCAAGATAACCATAAACTTAATCCCAACCAAGCTGATTCTGCTACAAGGCTTATGCTCGAAGCCAAGTCACTCAAGATGGAGTTCAAACAACTGCTGAGCTGTCTTGTTTGACAAGCCGAAATAGAAACATGGGATGGACCTAGATATAACGGGTGTATGGCATGAGTAATCTACGCCGAAATCCGAGGAGATCGTGGCTGTGTATCTCGCGACCGTTGTGAAGGGTCACGACCGTTTCCCTTCATAACGGGTCACAAGTTCTTCAGCATATCGCATGAACTAAGGGTTTGATCTACATATCCGGGGACCCGTGCAACAGACCGGGAAAGTGGCAAATCTAATCATCCAAAATCTCATCTTTCGATCACTGCAGATTTCAAGTCACATCTGAAGCAAGTGAAAGTTCAGATTGTTCTCAAAGTAAGAGTAAACATTGAATGGGTAGTTTGATCTGTCTATAAATTTCGAACCACAAATAAGAATATAAAGGAAACTATTTCTCAACGCCAGAACGGAATGCAATAAAGGTATCCATTCATCGGACTATTAAAGGTGCAATCCTCGCCATACGAGCCTGTCATATATACCACCAGTGAAACTCCGCATCAAGCCTCTCAACGGCGACGCTGGACCTTGCTTCTAACTCTCTCCGTGAATGGAATGCCGCTTTTTGCTGACTTATGATGTGGAAACGGAAACTTCCAAAGCAGACATTGGCATAGCTCCTAGTGTTGCTGTTAGACATCACTCGTAACAATGAAGAAGATAACTAACCAGACATGCCACCGAATCCACCGATACCTTGAACAGCGGCGGGGAAAGCAGCGGTACCGCAAAGGCAAGAGCAGTCACATGCACCATTGGAGTTGAGGGTTCCAGATCCGGAAGTTAGGCCAGAGCTGCCAGCGCTTGCAGACTGAACGGCAGCGGCAGAAGCGGTGGCGGAAGCGATGGAAACTGGTGCAGCAGAAGAAGCCCCAGTTCCACCAGCAATGACGGCAGTGCTACCAGTACCGTTCTGTGAAATGGCCAACTGTTGGAATGCAGCTTGGGTCTTGTTGCCGTTTTGACCGTTCTGGGGGTTGATAGAGAAAGTCATTCCCTTTCCACAATGTCCAGTTTGTCTGCAGTAGAACCCTACTGCCGTCAGATCTGAGGTGGAAGTGCAGGAGAATTATCTACTTACAGATTGGAGTGGCAACAGTGACTTGCATAGCCATTTGAGGTGCTGGGTTGACAGACCCGTTGATGTTTGGCATGAAGCCCGAATCCATACCGCCGGTAAGCTTCTCACAGGGAGTGGCGAAAGCTGATTGGGTTGCAGTGTGGTTTTGGGACAAGAAGGTGAACACGACCATATCGCCAACGTTGGCAAGGACGTTATCCGGGCTGTACACGAGGCCGGCAGTTCCACCGACGGTGACCTAGAACGTTGTTAGAATTGAACTCCCGAGACATTGAATCAGTCTACTCACTTGATGTGTTGCAGCGGAAACCGTCGAGCTGCCAATTACTGTCTGTGTTGTGGTGACAGTCTGAGTTGCGGCTCCACCTCCATTGTTGACCCAGATGATGACGACCTCTGTTGACGACACGGCTCCAGATTCTTGGACAACGATCGAATTACCGCTGTTTGCGTTTGCGTTTGCCTTCGCTCCCTTCTCTGCGTTGACAGCCCCTCGAGCAACCAGGTCTGCTTGAAGGCTAGAAGCCAATGCCAATGGCGCGGCGCACAATGCTGCAACTGCTGAGAATCTCATGATGATATATTATAATAGTCGAATAGATATGCGTGTAGAGGAATTGCAAAGGAGGAAAGCCGCACTGCGGAATAGCTAACTATCAAAGTTGTCTTGGCTGTAGAGATCGTGAGTGAAGACTGATATAGAAGCCAGATGGCGAGGCCCTGCTCGTGATGATGGAAGCTGATGAAATGAACTAAAGGGAGTGAATGAGTGTGTTCACGGCAAAGACGAATGGAGAAAAACAGATGGGAAGAAATGCGGTCCTGGGAATCGAAAGGTATTAAATCAAGCATGAAATTGGCCGCAACTATGGCTGGCAATCTTCTTTGGACCTACCGCAGGTGATCCTTGGCACGAAACAGTGCAGGCTCTGGACGGAGACCTCCTCGTCCGGTCCTGTTGCCAGTCCAAACGGCATTAAGCTTGGGATGATTTTGCGTTATCTTAGATCCTGGGGACCAGGAAGCCCAAGGACCGGCACGGGCAACGTTGTGGTGGAAGCTTCGAAGAGACGAGAGCTCTCGGACGTGCAGCGTTTTAAAGTTCGTCCCAGATTCGTCTCACAACCAGATGGAGGCAACTCCGACAAGGGGGTTTTGACGGTGCCGTGTCTCGGGACAGGGAATAATTATCAAAATCATCAGATTATGATGATTTTAAGGTTAGACTGTGTTCCGGAAGATCAGATTCCTACCTGCCATCTCATTGATGGGATCGTGAGGCGCTGGTGCGTAAAACCTATTTTTGTTGTTGCGCTGTGGGCGCTGGCGCAGAACGAGTGCACTGAGAAACCACGAAAGAAAAATTGTTATTTTTTGGCTTGCGGTCGGCGTACGAATGGCCCGCATCGATCCAGTTAACCTTGATTGATTGATGCTTAAATCCAGGACCCAGAGCCAAATTTCTTGCTGGTCGTGGAGAGGTCCACCGTCCAAAGGGTCAACCGCAGCGTGCCAGGGCCCCTGATAGGGTTTGGGTAAGTGAAAACATCAGACAAGGGCGCCTAACCACGTAATCCACCTTGATCTGAACTTGAAACGGCGCATGCTCAGACCAAAAGGGATGCTCTCTCTGTTTCTCTTCAACAACGCCGAACCTATCCCATGTCGTTGACAGATGTCAAGTGCAAACGATCGCTCGGACGCCCGCGGGACGGAGGCACTATCAGATGGTCCAAACTGTCACTGTCACAGATGGTCGGTTCAAGGGTGGAGGTTCCATCTCATGCTTCATGCTTGGCACTCGTGCTTGTCTTTGACTCTTGCCGACCCTCATACAACCCTGTATAGTAACCGGCGTAGTACCACGACATCAAAAGATTCTTCAGGCCTTCATCATGGACTGCATTATCGGATCCACATCAGTAAAGCTCATTGAAATCTCCTCGCCGGATGTTTGTCTCACCTTGACCGATTAGATGTTGGGGCAGCGCTGGCGATCTGGATGATGCTTGTTCCGGGACCGAGAGACTCTCTTCTCTTGCCTGCAAGAAGATAAGATTAGTAAAGATCGTACAGAAGATGCCAAGAGATCTGATTTGGTCCCGAAGATGCATACTTGAACGTGCTCCTCGACTGACTTTGTGTCATGATGACCTGTTTGTTCGGAAATATTCTTCTTGGCAAGAGGATCATTGACCAGAGGCTCGTCGACTTCCCCGTCCTCATAAGCCAACTCCTCGCCCCTAGAATTTGATGAGCTTTGCGTGAACTTCTGGAACGAGCGACAGACCTTGCAGTGTTTGGCTGTTGCGCCTCGTTGAGGATTTTATCAACGTTTTCCCCTCGAGCGTTGATGCTGTGATATTTCTAGGCACGGTCAATTCGACTTCGACCGGCATCGCAGCGGATTATTCTTACTTTGTACTCTTCCAGAGCATCGTTCCAGGAATCAACGAGTGCGGAATCATCCCAGATTTCTGCTTGCGATATGGAATCCTTGGGTGCCATATTTTCTGTGTTGTGATGTTGATTTTGTGAAAGTTTGCAAAGAAGTGGAAATGGAAACGACAAAAGATGAGGACGCGGCTAGCGAACGGTCCTTGGATTCCAACATTCATGCCACCAACTTCCAACACTTGTCACAAATATTTACTAGGTCCTCAAGGCCATTATTCTATCAGTTGCTCTCAACTTGCTATTTGTTGTTTGCGACCAAGAGCGAGTATGCGAATAACGAAGATACCTCAGAATTTACTGTCACGTGGTTGCCGTACTCATTTACTGTCACTAAGTAGAACTTTCAAAGACGATCAAAAGAAGCAGAATGGATGGGCAAGAGTATCAAAGGTCTCTGTGATTTTAGTGTAGGTTGTGATTCTCAGATACTCCATTCCTTCAGCTGCGTCTCTGTCCAATCCCATAATTCTTGTGCCAGCTTGGGATCCTTCGACTTCTTCGTTCTCTTACCAACGATTCCTACCGGTTCATAATATTGCGCACTCGATACTTGCTGGCTAGTAGCCGCCCAAAGCTGATTCCAGGACCCTTGGTCAGGCGTTCTGAGATCTCCACCAGCCATCAATTGTCTCATGATAGCTGTGCTTTTAATCCAATTTGGAGTTAGTGGAGTGTCCACGACTGCATATGCATTAGCAAAAGTCCATCATATTTGAAAGCACAGCAGTAGGTTGGACATCTCCCTGGCTATCTTGGTCTCCTCAATGAGGAAACTATCATTCAGAAAATACTTACTGCCGGGGTGAACAGCAACAAACTTAATTGCTGGGTATCGATGTGCGAGCTCGACGGTGTATACAATGTTGGCCAACTTTGACTGAAAATATCGAAGCCATCCTCCAAGCCTTCCCATAAAGTTCAAGTTCTCCTGCGTGCTTCGGAGGCCCTTGAACACGATACCTTCCGAGGCATGGAATCGATAACCGTCAGACGAGGTGGTCACCACTCTTACATCAGATGGCAGCACAGCTGTTGCGAGAAGATTCGGCATGAGAAGTTTCAAAAGAAGGGCATGGCCAAGATGGTTGACACCAAAATGTACTTCATATCCATCTTTGGTTAAGCCAGGAGGAGCGCCCAGGATTCCAGCATTGCAGAAAACGAGGTCAAGTCTTTGAGTGGCAGCTGTTACATGCTTGGCAGCTTGCTGTATAGAAGCCAATGATGCAAGGTCACACTCTATGAAACTGATTGTTGTGTTCGGAGCAAGCTTCTGGGCTTCAGCAATAGTAGCTTCCGATGTCTGCTGATTACGTGCTAAAATGTAGATGCAAGCTGGATGGTGCCTGGCCAAGGCTAAGCATGTTGCTCTTCCTATCCCAGCATTTCCTAGACCTGTCAATTGGGACAACCTTTCGACATAGATATAAACTAACCGCCAGTTATGAGAACGACCTTCCCAGGTATGTCGGGTATGTCCAAGCTGGGATCGAATGTGTTTCTGGCGGAGGTGCTCATATTTTCTCGAGCTGGGAAAGAATCAAGAGATAGAATAGCTCGAAGCTATAGCATATACTTACGAGTTCTTCATAATCTCCTTAAGTACTTACTTTCAGGCCACACGTGATGCTATAAGCTCCTCCAGATTTGAATTCCGAGATTCCGCTTGATGCGGACCTCGTGTGACTTGGCCAATTAGACTAAGCTTTCAGCCCGCCAAGGAAATAAATGACCATCAACGAGGCCATCTTTGTCACTTACGAGGGACAGATAAGTGACAAGAAATCTGATCTCAGTAGAGAACTGCTCGAAATCAAGACCAGCTGAGAACGTAAGTGCCTGTATACCTGTGACTTTTACTACCTTCCTCCGAAACTTCCCGGCGGCTTGAAGCGTCAAGTATCACATCTCCAAAGAATATTTGAGAGGAAATTCGTCTCTGTCAAGGAGAATATGAATAATGTTGTGAGATGTTATGGAGGAGAGCAAATACTAGTCTAAAAGAAGCCCACCGCTTTGGGCAGAATAAAAAGTGTCTCTGGAAAAAAAGTTCCCGCTCTCGAAATTTTTGACAATATCAACGCCATTGAGAATTAATTCACGATGGCAAAGGATACACAAATGAAGAAGCGCAAAGGCGAGTAGCTCCTGGATATTCTATATGTTTACAAGGCTTGATCCATATGCTAACTTTTCATCCGCAGCCTCTGTTCCGGAGGTTGACGCTGAGAAGACCAAGATCAAGAAGGTTAAGAACGCAAGTGCATCCACTGAAGCCGTGAAAGCCCCAGCAAAGAAGCGCAAAGGTATACATGCGACTAAACATTCATCGTCTGTACTTGACTGATACATCAATCTCTAGCTACTGAGGATGCTGCTCCAGTAAAGGTCAAGAAGACGAAGACGCCCAAGCCTATCGATGAGCCAGTCGAGCCCGAAGCCGCAAACGAGGAGAGCGAGGCCCCGACTATCAAGAAATTGAACGGTGCAAAAGTTTCCGCAAAGTCAAAGAAGGCCGTTAAGGACGTTGCGACCGCAGCAAAGAGCAAATCTACCGCCAAAGCTCCCAAAACAGTCAAGGTTGAATCTGCAAAGCCCAATAGGAAGCCCGACACAGTTGTTGAGTCAGACGATGATAATGAAGAGGAAGACTCCGACATTGATGACCAAACAGAGGCTCTGTTGAAGGGTTTCGAGAGCGATGGAGACGAGGACGATGCACTCAACGAAGAAGGCTTGCTAGAAGGCGAGTCTGTACCCGAGCGAAAGCAACTTAGCAAATCCGAGGAGAAGAAGTTGGAGAAGATCGCCGAGTCTGGAGCCTCTGACAAACCTGGTGTCATCTACGTTGGTCGCATTCCACATGGTTTCTTCGAGCACGAAATGAGAGCCTACTTCAACCAATTCGGCAACATTATCAAGCTACGCATTTCCCGAAACAAGAAGACTGGCAACAGCAAACACTACGGATGGATTCAATTTGAGTCGACAACTGTTGCAGATATCGTTGCTAGGACTATGGACAACTATCTCATGTTCGGTCATCTGCTGAAGGTCAAGCTGATTCCGGACGAACAAGTTCCTGCAAATCTATTCAAGGGCGCCAACAAGCGTTTCAAGAAGGTGCCATGGAACAAGATGGAAGGGAGAAAGATTGGCCAAGGAGCTTCTGAGGAGGTTTGGGATGAGCGAATTGAGAGGGAGGAGCAGAGACGCGACGAGAAGGCCAAAAAGCTCCAGGCTATCGGCTATGAATTCGAAGCTACCAAAGTCAAATCTGCTAAGGGCGTCTCCAAGAATAAGGTTGCAGTCATCGAGCCCAACATCGAAGCTGCATCAGTTGGTGAGGAACCCAGCAAGACCAAGAAGAAGAAGAAGTCTAAGAAAGCTGCGAAGTCTGACATTGAGCCAAAGAAGGTGGCTGAGGAGATTGAGATTCCGGTAGCAGAGGATGCTGCTGAACTTATTGTCGAGACGAAAACGAAGGTTAAGAAGAGCAAAAAGAGTAAGACAGAGAAGTCTACTACTTGATTTGTTTGCCAGGCAATTGCGAATGTATGTCCAGATCAGCATAGCATAGCTACTTCGTACATTGCAATGAATGATGAGTAAAGTCTAGCCAGAAGGGATTTTTCCTTTGCCAAAAAAGAAAACATGAAACATTTTATCTGTCATTGAGTGATTATAAGTCATCTCATATCATACTAATCGGTGCGCCAACTCGCCTCCTCCTAACATGTGCCCCTTCATCATCCCTTCCTACCAGCGTCATCTTCTCCTCACTAACATGTCTCTCCTGCAGCCAAATTTCTACCTCACCATCTCGCATTGTATTGGTTGCTTGCAATACTGGCATCACGTCTCTGGACTGGAGTTGAGCTAATGTATGCCAACTCTCTCCAATAAATGAAAACTTCGTGAAAGATAAGAATATGCTTGAAACAACCGTTACAATGAGCAGGTGCACTGCTATAGCTGCCGTTACTGTGATTAGACCGGTTCGATGAACGGGCTGCAACTGCTGCTCGATTAGAGTTGTGGATGAGTTCCCCACGATATCTGCTTGTTGGAGACTTTGAAAATAATCAGCTGTGATGGCGAACAGGATGGTGAAGAGGATCATACCGAGTATAATACTGAACCATATTCATAACAGTGAGGACCGCACTTAAAGCGTTTGCAGTACTGCCACTCTGCTGCAACGATGATTGAAAGATTGATGATAAGGCTCCACTAATACCGGTGGTGTTCGTATCCCCCACACTCTCTTTTCCAATAGCGCAGTAAGTGCATAGTGCCCAGGTTGTCTGTACTGGACTCAAGAAGTTCGACTGATATACCATTCCAAGACCATAAGTGCCACCTAGTATCTGTGTCACGGAACTGTTGATCGAAGTATCATATTGGGAGCCTAGGGTAAGGCCGGTCCAGTTAGAATAGTTCAGAGCAAGAACTCCACGCTCTTCTAGCGTTAAATTCGTCCCGCTCGCATTCAGCTGCCGTAGCACTTCATCAGCGTTGAGATTGGTGCCAGAGGAAAGGCCTTGAAGTTCAGGTTCTGTCCTGTTTGTTGTGCTACTGACTGAGATGTTGGTATCGATTGAGCCAAAGTTTGTGAAGCAGTAAGTGAGCGAGATAGATTCCAGTTCCGATGTAAAATTATTGACGTTTTGCAACGTGGTCCAAGAACTATCCGACGAAGAAACATCAGTCCAATTTGTATATAGCTTCCTTCCATAAGACGCAGGAGCAGCGCCTGTATAGTTGACCAGGATATATGAAAGGGGATCCATCAGGATGTCATCTTTGAGAAAAGTAGTAGCTTGTAGTCCTAAGGTTGGTGATCGTGTCGTTCCTTCGCCGCCGCCGCCTCCAATCGTCTCGTTCCCAAAATAATTGCCTGCAACACACATTGATATTGGGTATTCCGTGCCGTTGATGTGGTGGTTCATAAGTTTTGCCAAGCTGCATGTGAAACTGATAAATGATGTAGGCGTAGCGGGAAAAGCGGTATCGCTAGATGAATAATTGTAAAAATTTAGTCCTGAAGGTATTGTGCTGCCTACTGAGACGTATCCACGGACATATAGAGGGTCAGTCTGGGAAACACCGCCTCCAGTGACAAGTGTAAAATTCTCCAGTGTCGGTTTCATGCACACCACGTGGCTGTTGAGGAGAGTACCTTGGCCGGTATAATTGCTGAGGGCTTCGCGTGTTGTTGCAGAAGAGATAGGAAGAATGGCTCGCATGACACGCCCAGTATCGTCAATTCCTTGAATATTGCTGGCAGGCTCTGAATATTCTGCGAAAGCTGGATAGGTGGACGGGGTATATATGCTGAAGTCCGGCTCGTAGTCTCTGAGAACAAGAGCCTTGGTGAAGTTGGTTGAATAAGCGTTAGTACCCGCAACTGGGTTCCCAATTATTGGTGCTATACCAAGGTCGGCAACGAGACCAGTAGAAAGAAAGTACGATGCAATCGTCGTGGAAGACAAGAGTATTGTAATGGTAAGAAGGTACCATGTTCGACGATCGAATATGCCGGATTGTAGAAGAAGTACGGGAAGGCCACCATTGTACCTTTTTATCGATATCGAAGCTGCATGCAGTAGATTAAAACCATTTGAGAGCTCCATCAAGGATGCCGCAATCATCGATGTACATAGACTTGCTTGAAAGGTAATAATGGTGCGGAGAACAGCTGATGACAATGTCACTGCTCTTTGCAGGAAGCCATTGAGGACCAACCATCTCCAAAAGGGATTGTGCTCATTGCTAGTCCACTATACATATTATTAGCATAAGTTTGAACGATTAGAGCCGTAGCAGGCTGCGGAAATGACGCCGACATGAGTAACTTGGATCACGCCGTCAAGAGCTATTGAAACATACCAGAAACCACAAAAAAGACAATACACCAAACATAATCACGCTTCCAATGAAAATGATTATTGAGTTCCATGTGCCGACCTTCTCCAAGACAGTAGTCTTTCGAGCCTTGTGTTGATCGCGAGACGAAGGCCGCGGCACAAGTGATACTGCACTCACGCCGTGGAGAGGGACTTTCTGATATTGTGGTAGGCCATCCATGGTTAGGATAGGTATCCTGGCAGATGACTAGCTGAAAGAGATAGGCAGCTCGTAGACACACATCTATCTACCGAAACAAATTGCAACAAAGTGAAAATCCGGAATCAGCTCAAAAGCTTTTGATTCCACTTGGGTTGAGCATCGATGCCACTGCTTTAACTGCAAATCAGTAAGCTCGAGAAAGCAGGCAACCGCCCCCAACTAATCGTAAATAGATATAGAAGGTCATAATGCAGGGTAAGCTCACTATGTCCGGTATGCGACCCAGCAATTCTGGCGGCAATGGTCGCACATCGTAGCCGCTGGCCAATTGCGGGTCGTGACCCGGACTCTCGACGTCTCAGATTCGCCACAGCGACACAGCCTCAGAATTGTAAGAAGTGAAAACCACCTTAAGCTTACATAGACCACTGCTGTGTGTACTCAGAAGGTTCTCTGCCATTGAGGAAATAATGCACGTGCTTGTCAGACAAGTGGTTATACTACCAGTAGACGTGTCAAGAGAACAGAGTGATGCAAGTCAACAGGGAATTCAGCTCTGCAAAGCAGACTCCTCGATTTAAGCGCTACTAGTATGGGAATAACCATTTGTTTCATGATCGGTAGTTGAATCATTCGTCAAGAGAGCAGCCGCGGTTCTTGAAACTGGCGAGATGTGAGGTCGCAGATGCAAGTTGGTGGTAACATTTGAGGTGAGTAGTGCTATTCACACACCTCATAATCGGTCGATTTCTTCACTTGAAGTAACCATTTTCGGGCATTTGGCTGGCTATATTCACTTTCTTACTTAACTCCAATTGATTAACTTGAGACCAATCCAAACCTCGATATAATTCTGGCTCAGCCAACATCACTCTTTCCAACTTCAATTTCATATCTTAGCCGAGACTCTTACTCCTATTGCGCTCAACACTTCATCTGCTGCGCGCTCCCCAGATCTCACTGCGCCTTCCATGTAACCTCTCCAAATATTAGAAGTCTCAGTACCTGCAAAATGCAGATTACCAACAGACTCTTCAAGAGCACTGGCAAGGTCCAAAATTCCATTCGGTCCAGGAGGAAGTGCTGGGCAAGGACAGCCTTGACTCCATTCATCCGCAGTCCAATCGTGGTAGTATATTTCTGCGGGATTGCGAGCGATGCTCATGACTTCATCCAACGTGGTGGGGTTAGTACTTTTCACTGCACATGCTGGACCGAACATCTTCGCTATCTGCTCTACCACACTGCTTTTTCGAGCTTCCTTGTTCAGCTTGATCCAACGTTTACCAGGTTCTGAGGATACGAAACAGGTCAATGAGTATTGGCCGTCTGGGTCGACACTGGTATCTCGACAGACCGAGATGGGTCCGGCTGAGGATTGAGCAAAACCGCAAAGCCCATAATCTCTCCACCACGGCATCGAATAGACGACGATTGCCTTGACGTTGTGTCCAAAGTTGACCCGCTCACTGAGAAGCTGTTTCGCCTCTGGGAGCGGAGGCTCAAAGGAAATCCATCTGTAAGAAGGCGTCGGAACTGATATAATGACCCGCTTGCAGGCAATCTCAAGTCCATTTCCAGCTTCAACGGTGACACTGTTGCCAATTTGTTTGATCTTCTTCACTGGTGTGTTCAATCGGACTGTGCCAAGCTTCAATCCTGCCGCAAGATGCTTGGAGAAAGATTGCGTTCCTTGAAATGATTAGCATTCAACTTGGATCATAAAAGGGAATTCCTACCATCTCTCATCCTCAAGTATTGTCCTCCATGCTTCTTCTCCCCTCGGGTGACAAGGAGTCCTCCAGCTGATCTAACATACCACAGAAAGTATAGGGCACTCAATTCTGATGCCTCTAGTGCGAACATGACACGACACCAGACTGCCACAGCTGCTTGAGCTGCTTTGCCAAATCCTTCTCTTTTGACGAACTCTTCAACTGTCTCGCTGTCATATTGTTTTGTCCGTACTGCGTCCCCATTTGTTGGAGTTTCGATCTCAAGTTCCAGTGATAGCTTATCCAGATAATCCCTCAGAGTTGCAACTTCTTCTTGCCCACCATCTGGAAACTATGTCTTGTCAACGTCTCATATATAATCTTGTCCCGAAAAACTCACTGGTGCTGTTTCACCATTTGGAAACCTATGAGCTGTTTCCTCTTCATAGAGAATACAATCGCCAACCGTATTCTGCTTCACAGTTTCCAGACCATACTTCTGAGCCATTGCCCACATTCGGCTCTGGTTCGAATCGTTGATCCAAGCTGCTCCCACATCCACTTTGCTTCTACCATCAGTGTTTTGACTCCAAGTCTTCCCTCCAACTCTATCCCGAGCTTCCAAAACCAGCACTGATAGCCCTGCAGCTTGAATGTTTCGAGCTGCTTCAAGACCACTCAATCCAGCTCCGACAACAACGACATCTACGCTCGTATCCTGGACCTGGGCAGGCATTGCCGAAGCAACAGCCACAGCCTCGATCTCGAACTTGTACTCTGGCTTCGCTAGAGCAGGCACAGGTGCAAGAGTTGTACATGGTCGATGGCCATTCAAGAACTTCAGCAAGTGTTTGTAATGTGATTGGGATTTCAGAGTTGGATCATAGTCGACGATATAATATCGAAGATGGACAATGTCTTCGATCTTTGCGCCTGCTGTTTCGAGACACTTTCTCAGGCACTCCAATGCAAGTGGTATCTGGTCTTCGTAGGCTGGTGGGACGTAGCCGTGGCTATCGGCACCAACCTGTCCCGCTGTGTAGACCATACCATTCGCTCGGACAACTTGGGACATCAGAGGTGCGCCATTGAAGAGGCCCAACGGGTCGAATTTCTGGATGGTCGACATGTCGAAGGTAATAATGCAAGATTCTTGATTTGACTACTCCAGAAAAATAAAAGATATAGACCACTCTTGCAAGTGAAGGGTCCGCGATGCTAGGGAATAATCAAGCTGTTATGCAGGGCTCTGGAGCTTCTCCACTACCGGCCTTCCACGAGTTACTGCATCAATACTCACCCCGCATCATGCATCATTATAAGTATTCAAGGGATACAGCTTCCAAAAACGTTCCAATTGAACATTTTGCGTCTCCTCAATTCAGAACAGGAAACTTTCCGCGAAGAGACCTCATCCCACTTTCGACATTTCACTAGCTTATCACGAACTACAATTGGGAGCACGCCACTATTGGCTCTTCAAAGACGTAGTCGATAGTGGGAAGCATGTTAGGAATGTCGTGCAACGCCCTCTGCAGGTTCAAAGGGCGCGTTATCTTGATGTTAGTTGACTTCGACGGAAGATAAGCCGAGAGGATCAACGGTCTCAAGCGCCTCACTAACACATATACTTCGAGAGTCTGATTGACAACTTCTTTTTATATATATTCTATGATTTCAATTGAGATTGATCTAAAGTTGTTCAATAGAGTTTCTATAGACCTCATATCAAGATGGCGAACCGAGCCGCTGCCCTCGACAAGAACATCTACACGATCAGAGACTTGAAAGAAGCAGCTACGAAAAAGCTTCCAAAGATGTATGCTGGTACGTAATCAGACGACATGTCCACGACGGAGATCACGCTCGCTCAAACTTTCCAGAATATTTCAACGAGGGAGCAATGGACCTAATAACGTGACTCCCCTTTCCATCCCAAGCTCGGCTATCCCTCCTCGCTAACCCACATCCTCTCCAGCCTCCACGACAACGAAGAAGCCTTCAACCGCTACAAGATCCGTCCCCGGATCTTGATCAATGTATCCAATATCGACACCAGCACCACCATTTTTGGGACTAAAGTCTCCTTCCCGCTCGGATTCGCACCAGCAGCCATGCATTGTCTCGCTCATCCAGATGGAGAGATAGCCACTTCTCGAGCAGCGGCCAAGAATGGTATTGCTATGGGATTGTCGAGTTGGAGTACGTGTTCGATGGAAGATGTTGTCAAGGAGGGATTGGGGAATCCTTATGCGTTTCAGGTCACGTTGCTGAAGGATAGGGAGATTGCTATAAGGATGTTGAAGAGGGCTGAAAGTATGCTGTTCATCTCCTTCGTCCTTTCTTGCCCTTCTCTATCCCCTATGGAGATAAACTTGCCAGTAAAGTATCAGATATTGATGATCCATAGGAAACGGATACAAAGCCATCCTCCTCACTGTAGACGGGGTCGTCCTCGGCCGCCGTCTCAACGAATTTCGCAACTCCTTCTCGCTCCCATCTGGGATCACCTACCCAAACATAGAATCAGAAGCCGATCCCAGTGCTTTAGCAGGAGCAGACGATAGCTTGAACTATGGTTCGAAGACCTCTCCCGATCAAAAAGCTAGATTGTTCACTGAGCTGATGATGGAGAAAAAAGATGCTGATGTAGACTGGGCAAGTGTTATTCCCTGGTTGAAGAAGAACACTAGCTTGCCGATCTGGGTCAAAGGCTGTAAGTCTGTTTTTGAGAGCAATAACTGAAGACTTGACTAATGATGAGTGCAGTGTACACAGCCGAAGATGTTTCGCTAGCCATTCAATATGGACTTGATGGTATCATCATCTCGAACCATGGTGGAAGACAGCTGGACACTGCACCAGCGACTCTTGATGCGTTGAGAGAATGTGCTCCTGTTGCTGCAGGGAAGATTCCAATTGCAATCGATGGAGGAATCAGACGAGGAACAGACATCTTCAAGGCCATTGCTCTTGGTGCTTGCTTTTGTTTCGTTGGACGTGTCCCAATTTGGGGTCTGGCTGTAAGTGTGGAGGTCCTTAATTAATTTGGGCCTGCTAATCGAAATGTAGTACAATGGTGAAGCAGGGGTAGATTTGGCCATTAAGCTTTTGATGAATGAATTCGAGACGACAATGGCACTTGCTGGGTAAGCCATGCCGTGGTAGAGAAACTGGACAATCTGCTGACTTGAAACAGATGCAAGAATGTCAAGGAAATTTCTAGAGCTCATCTATCAATTCTCAGACCTGATGGAGTATTGGCGAAGCTATAGACTTTATGTTTGAAGATCCTATGTCTAGTAGAAAGCAATGCTTATGGTGTAGTCTACAAAACTGCTTGTGATTGATCCTGATTATCGACCTGAAAACATCACTTTAGCTTTGGAGAGTCAATCCCAATTCACAGATCAGGGTATCTTCCGGGGGTGTAAGTGGAAAGGATGGTACGAGGTATGAATCAAGGAGACCTTTGTCCTGCTTCGTTTTCTGCTGCATGACCTTCAAAATCACATATGCCACTTTCAGGAACGGTGCTGCAACTCCAAGTCTTTCAGCTTTTCTAAGTGGCTCACCCACGATGTTCTCGAACTCGATGAAGTTTCCCTAAATTTGATTAGGAATATGAAAGAATGCCGCCCCGGACAATATTCACCTTTTCAATGTCCTGCTGTATACTGGGCTTGAACATGGTATTGATCGGACCGCCTTTGATCAGCTGCTCAATACAATCGTCGGGCAATTTATGTCCAGCTTCCTTGGCAATGGCCAGGATTTCTTGCATCAGTGGCCTGACTAGAAGGTCTAGAGGAAACTGGCACAATCTCATTTGACCAGGATTCATCCGAGTAATAGCACACGTTGAGTTATAGCAAGCGTTGTAGACGAGTTTTCTCCATCTGACAAACCCCACGTCTTGGTCGTAGTAACATTGGACCTTATTCGAAGCCTTGTACAGCTCCTCAAATTTCCTAGCTGCCAGAACGCTCTTCTCCTAGGAAACATTGGGGTGCTCAAATTCACCGATGATGATAAGATCGGGATGATCGTGAAGGACGTGGCCTGGTTGAGTTTCCTGTGCACCGATCAAAGAAACACCTGATATGATTGTATTGTTTGGAAACTCGGCAATGAGTGGTTTCTCAATGTTGAGTCCATTCTGGACGAGGATGATTGAGGTGTGATTGTCGGTAACAGCGAGAGATATTATCTGAGCCAATGTTGGATGAATATCAGGGACGTTTTTGGTGGTTACCACAATGAAGTCGAATGGAGCTACACCTGTCTCAGCTCGTGGGACTGCGTTGACAACTAGCAGTGTCAGTATTTTATATGGTCAGTGATGGTACTAATGTACCTTTTGTTGGTTTCTATCCATTAATAAAGCTATGCTCGATGGAAGTGATGGTGAAGCCGTGCTTCTTGACAACATCGTAGTTTGATCTCAGCACAACAGTGACTGTTGCTTTTCCTCCTGTCTCAAGATTGTAAGCAACCATTGTTCCAACACTGCCGCCTCCTATAAGAAGAACATTTGCTTTTGCAGGCATCTTGTAAGACACTGTAGAATTTATGAGCGCGCAGTGAAGTGTTGAATTAAAGTTGGAAGTCGTGTATGCTGCTTGAATTCTCAATACCCGGGACTTATTCGGAGCAAGATACTTGAATCTGCTACAATCAGGGACAGAAGCGAGATCGGACTCAACCCCTTTCGAATGCTGTGAGAGGAAGATGCCGAAGTGAATCTGCTCTCATCTGATCTGAGCTAGCGAGGCCGGAGGTGCTTATTTGATCTGAATGAGGAAGTTGAGATGTCGAGCACATCCGTTGAGCGCACTTCTACTAATGCCCTTTTTCCAGAAGGCGCATGTTGAGTTAGTGCTCCCATCACCTCTTTACGGGTATTCTTCTATATCAAATTTCCTGGAACTTGTTTCTAAAACTATTTCGGATACAAAATTCAAACCCAATTGTTTTAAATTTATTACATAGATATTGCTCTTTATGCTGAAGTGTTTAGGTTGAGTGCACACTTGCTAACTCCCCAGGACCTTGCGCCGAATCGAGATATGAAATTCCCTTTGAATGATCTCTCACCGAGGGAGCCTGTACTCGTATAGGATTTGAAAAGTTTTGGTGGCTGTTCAATTGTCATCTGATATGACTCTGTGTCTCCAACGCAGTACGTGACATTTTGCAATCCCAGGCGTTCCCATTGTTACTCATTCCACTCGAAGACCTCGGTGATAGGATTCATGGCAATGCTTCATGATTCTAGACCTGCAAAAGACTGAGTACAGAAGCATTGACATGATTCCCAACAATGGCAAAACAACAAAGAATATCATCGTGACTCGAAAGCAGATGCAAATGATTCAAGCCAAAGGCGCCTTTGTCTAAACGCAAAAGACTCTCAACATCAAAGAACACAAGTCGCACCACACCCTGGACCTCCACCATCCAACCCATATTTTATGTTTGTGTTGCTCAGCCTCATTTCCAAATAATGATGAAGCTCGACATCCCTCGACCACACTTGGTAGGCGACACAGGACAATTTATCCACAGTTCCCCTTGTGGCCGCTACCAAATATGGCGCGCAGTAATACCCACCTTCCCGGCGGAAGCCATCGTAAATGCGACAAACCGACAGATGATTCTCAACACGAGCATTGTTCCTGGTGGCGAATTCCAAATAATTCGAGCTGCAGGTAATGGTCTAAAAGAGTACCTCTATGAAACGTATGGCTCTGGATCTGGCCTCCCAGTTGGAGAAGCAATCACTACACCTAGTTTCGAAATGGCGAATTGTTGGTTCCTAATTCATGTCAATGGACCAAATTACAGGATGAGAACTAGAAGGACACTGCCTCTGTTGAAGCAACAGTTGGCTGATTGTTATAGACGGTGTCTAGAGGAGGCAGATAAACATGGAATAAAAAGCATTGCATTTCCATGCTTAAGTACTGGAGCGACGCTTGGATGGCCAAGAGCAGTGGCTGCGAGAATCGGTATCGATACCATGAGACGGTGGTTCAATCACCCGATTTTCGGACAACGGAGAAGAGAAAGGATACCAGGGCCCATATTCTTTCTTGCTGATCCGGTAGGACCGTATAGCCATCAAGAGGAAGCGTGGTTGGCCGCTTTCAAGTAGGTATCCTTGTTGTGATGTGTTGATAAGCGAGTCCTAACATGTAGCAGTGAGTTCTTTCCCGCAAGTGAATCACCACCTCCACCGAAAGCTGAAGACCCATGGGCACCGAATTCAAGTGATCGTTCGGATAGATCCTTAAGACGGAGAGCTGTTTCTCACAGAGGACGAAGTAGAAAAGCCAGAGATTTACCAATATTGAAGTGGGAAGATGCTACTTTGGACGCTAGTTTGAGTACTGAAATCGCAGTCTCTAGTCGATCTTCGAGACGAAAACGGACAATTAGTGATAGGGAATTGCGAGACTTGTATGATAGCCACAACGGATCTAAGGACCCGCTGGAAACCCCAAAGAAACGTTCAAGAAGACCGCCTAGACGGTTCGGACAAGAAGTAATGGTGTATTGTACATAAGCTTAATGAAGCAATGCGTACTCTCCAATCAATTGGTGAATAATGAAGCAGAAAACATCAAGAAGACGATTAAGACCGAGGAAGCAGTAGTGTACTTGCCACTTGGCGAGATGGTAAGCTTTTTGCAGAACAGGGACACGAGTGAGAGGTTGCTTATGGATAATCGCAAGATCGTATTGCCAAGTATATACTAGTAGGTATTGAAACAGGCACTTATAGTAAGACCTTCGTAGCCACACTCAGTAGCCAAGCAGCATCTTGCCAACCCCCTGCTTCATCGTCTCTGAGAGGCGGTGGAACATCTCCCGGGAGAGGGTCGGTGGCACCATCGAGTGTTTTCCTTGATGTTGACGAGATCTCAGACTCTTCCCCTTTCTCATCTATCATTTCCGTTTCATCTTCCCCATCCTCGTCGACAGCGAAAAGACTCCAACCAAGCATTTTCTCAACCCATCCTCCTAGCCCAATATTGCTCGCTCTTGCAAGCTTCTTGATCACGGCTTCGTCATTCTTGTCGTCTTCTTCCTCGTTATTTAAAGCTTCCTCGTCGACATCCACAAAATCAGGTTCCGTAATGTACTCCTCACGGGGGAAGTCTCGCTGGTCAAAATATCCATCTCGTTCTCCAATCAGCGGTGTAAACAGTTGTGCTCGACTACCGCGCCGGCTATTTCCCCTGCTTCCAAAGCCGCTCACAGGTCTACTTCCATGTCCGGTAGCAGGACCAAAGCTTAAGCTCCGCCTTGTTGTGACAGGTGAGAACTCGTCGTCGGCATCAAAGGCCCCTATAGCACTTCCCCTCCTACTGGCTCGTTTACTATTGTGTTCCCTCTCCCTTGCAAGTGTCCGCTCTAGCTCCTCTTCGTCCTCGTCCCTTTGACCTGTAAGACTTGTAGAACTCGCCCTCGACACTAGCCACGATTGACCCTTTGATTCTCTAGTCGACGATGATATCGCAGCTCCAGCCCGCAGAAGCCAATCCGAGTCGTTTCTATCCTGAGCAGATAGAGTACTTAGATAGAGCTCGTCTTTCGTTATGCTTTTCTTCAGTTTTGTGCCACCTGGTGTCGTCGGTCCAGACCGAGGCTGTTTTCGAGAGGCAAGTAGGTGAGTGCTCGATTTCGATTTGGGTATCGAGAGATTCATAGGTTTGCGCAAGGATACTCGAGACGAAGAACGCGATAGAATTGAAGGTGTCGTTGGTGCTGAGCGGCCTTCAATGTATGATACATGATAGGCAGATTCTGGAAGAGCGTCGGGATCTGAGAGGGGCAGTCGAGTCGTCAATGGCGCAAGAGTTAGGTGATTGAGATTCGTATGTGATCGACTGTTGTGCCTCGAGTAAGGTGAGTGGTGATTGTAAGCCACGTCCATTATGGAGTACTCTTGACGATGTGTAGAGGTTAGGAAGAGGGATATGTGTGAAGGAGGAAATTATCGTATCGTATGCAAGTTGGACTTAGAGCTCGAGCGTGATAATCCGGGGGAAGTGGGTCGCGTTCGCCTAAAATTTATCCTGTGATTTGACATGGGTCACAATTCTCATGCTCATCAACTCCAAAAAGATGATCTTAAAAGAAATCAGGGATTCTGAGAAACAACAATGCGCAATCTCAGAAACACTCGATTTGATCGGTGGAATGCCCCAGCGCAATTTTCAGGACGACCGTTGACAGCAACGACTTGGGATCTCGCCAATGACTCTGTTCTATGCGCTTTTGGTCCAACCGAGAATGATCCTCTTATAGAACTCGTGAGAGTCAATATAGGCTCAGATACTTCGTATGTTCCCTCAAAAGTCGGTTCCAGCCTTTTCTCACAAATGTATAGTGAACATTCAATCATCACATCTTGGGATGCGCCTTGTCCAAATCCAGAACTTGCCTGTGATGAGATCTTGAGTCTTCATTATTTTGGAGATAGCTTGACAGCATGCCTCGTCTTAGCCGGTGGCGATATTGTTGTCGTCAGAGAGGAGCCTCGCGCTGGAGAGGACCGTATTGAGATTGTTGGTTCGGTTGATGCCGGCATCACTGCAGCAAGATGGTCACCCGATGAAGAACTTCTTGCTATTACCACTAGAGCAGATACGGTTGTGTTTATGAGTAGAAGCTTTGAGGGCGTCACAGATGTGACTATGACTCCAGAAGATCTCAAGGCATCCAACCATGTATCTGTGGGGTGGGGCAAGAAGGAAACTCAATTCCAAGGACGAGGAGCCAAGGCCCTAAAGGACCCAACCATGCCAGAGAAAATCGACGAAGGCGTCCTAAGCTCGAATGATGATCACAGAGTATCGATAAGCTGGAGAGGGGATGGTGCTTACCTGGCTGTGTCCACAATTGAAGGCGGAGCCCGACGAATTCTGCGAGTATATTCGAGAGAAGGAGTGTTGGACAGTGTCAGTGAACCAGTTGACGGTTTGGAAAGTGCTTTGAGCTGGAGACCAGCTGGAAATCTCATTTCTGGTGTTCAACGATTTAAAGATCGAGTCGATGTAGTATTCTTTGAAAGAAATGGTTTGAGACATGGCCAATTCAGTCTTCGACTTACCTCTGAGCAGCTTCAATCACCTGATCAGAACATCAAGTTGATTTGGAACTCAGACTCGACGGTCTTGGCCGTAATAATGGCTGACTGTATCCAGCTATGGACCATGGGAAATTATCATTGGTACCTAAAGCATGAAGTGGCTATTGGTGGATTGCAGCCAGTCTGTCCCGTCGTATGGCACTCCGAAAAGCCGTTACGGTTTACAATCGGAGCTTCAGGTATTATCCCTTGGATGATAATATTGAATCAGTTGCTGATGATTTCTAGACGGATTTACTTTGATCGAATATATCTTCACAACGGCTCGAGGACCCATATCACCACCTGAAGACTATGGACCAATTGCCGTCATCGATGGCAAAATCATCAAGGTTACTCCCTTTCGAGCGGCCAATATTCCACCTCCAATGGCCTTGCATGAAGTTGAAGTGCAATCAAACGCACTTGATGTAGCGTTCAATGCCGACACGTCTTTGGTCGCATCCTTACATAGCCAAGGCATTTCACTTTTTGAATGGAAGGCTGCCACTGTGCCATCTGTATCGCCAAATCTCACTGGACGAGTCACATTCGCTCAGATAGACCGACAACAATCTGTTTATCAGCAGATATGTTTCGGTAGAACGAACGAGTTGCTAGTTCTGAAGCGTTGCGACTCGGAGTCTAACTCTGTGGTTGACCGATATGGCTTCGATGATGTTACTGGCAGGATCGAGTTGATATCTTCGGAGACAGAAGGTGTCTCTTATACACTTTTAAGCTCATTCCAAGGCGACACTGCGTATCCATTCGTACAAAGCAGATCAGGAGACTTGCACAGTCTTACTACTGCTGACCGATCAACATGGCATTGTTCCTTTCCCCACTATCTTCCTTGGGTGGATGTCCTACTCGGAATTAAAGCCATTGCCTTTGGCATGTCAGAAAATGGTCATTTGTACGCAAATTCACGCCTACTACTGAAGAATTGCACATCCTTCCTGGTGACGCCAGCTCATCTCATTCTCACTACAACCACTCATCTACTTAAATTTGTACATATAACCAATGTTGACGGCGGGTATTCCATTTCCTGAGTCATTCCTTGAAGCTAACTGAAGCCAGATCTCGAAGTTCCCCCAGATGATCCAGAGAAGGATGAACGATGTCGCAGCATCGAGCGCGGAGCACGGCTTGTAACAGCTATGCCTACTTCTCTCAGTCTTGTGCTGCAAATGCCTCGCGGCAACCTGGAAACGATCTTCCCTCGCGCAATGGTGTTAGCAGGAATTAGAAAGCTGATCGACGAAAAGAACTACAAGAAAGCTTTCACTCATTGTAGAACGCAAAGAGTAGACATGAACCTGCTCTACGATCACGCGCCAGCGCAATTCTTGGCGAATGTACCTCTCTTTATCGACCAAGTCAAGAAGATCACTTACCTTGACCTCTTCTTATCTTCGCTTAGGTAAAGTGTGTCTCTTTTCTCAGACTGATTGTGCTAATGAATGACTATAGGGAAGAAGATGTCACACAGAGTATGTATAAAGAGACTAGAGCCATGTCAACACAGGAGAATGGCATACCAGAAGTTAATGGTATCAATGGAGTCAGCCATCCTGAACCGAGCTCTGGAAAGACTTCAAAGGTCAACAAAGTTTGTGATGCCTTCCTCGAAATTATGAAGGCCAGGACATCCACAAATCTACAGAATATCATCACCGCCAATGTGTGCAAATCACCTCCTGCTCTGGACGATGGCTTGCTCGTAGTCGCTCAGCTCATGACTGAGGATTCGCAGATGGCGGACAAGGCAGTAGAGCACATTTGCTTCCTTGCTGATGTGAACAAGCTCTACGACAATGCCTTGGGTCTTTACAATCTGGACCTGGCATTACTTGTTGCCCAACAATCTCAAAAGGATCCTCGAGAATATTTACCGTTCATGCAAAACTTGCAAGAGATTCCTGAACTTCGACGTCGCTTCAGTATCGATGACCACCTCGGGAGACATAACAAAGCTCTAGAACATTTACATTCTCTAGATGCCTTCTTAGAAGTCCAAACATATACCCAAAAGCATGCACTGTACCAACAGGCTCTCTCACTCTACCGCTACAACCCCTCCCAACACTCAACGCTCACGAACCTCTACGCTCAATATCTCGAATCAAAATCATCTTTCAAGGAAGCCGCCTTAGCCTACGAATCCCTCAACAACTACGAAAAAGCCACATCTTGCTACCTCTCCTCCGGCCCCTCCAGCTGGCGAGAATCCCTATATTGCGCTCTCTCCCAAACACCGCCCATCTCCGGCCCTGCTCTCACAGATCTAGCCACAACCCTCTACGACGCCCTGATCGAAAGCAAAGACTACTTCGCCGCCGCCACCATTCAACTGGACTACCTATCCTCCATCCCCAACGCCTGCAGAGCATTCTGCAAAGGCTATTTCTTCGCCGACGCCTTACACCTCATCGCCATGAAACGGACAACCGAACTCTTAGAACAAGTAATCGACCCCTGTCTCGGCGACGCCCTCGCATCATCCACCGAGCTCCTCTCAGACTGCAAAGCTCAGCTCCTCGCCCAGATCCCCCGTATCCTGGAACTCCGCGAGAAAGCTCTCTTGGACCCACTAGCGTTCTACGAAGGCGAGCGAGGTGGGGGAGCAGATGGAGATTTGCCGGATGATGTGAGTGTGGCGGCTAGTTCGAGATTGAGTACGAATCGGAGTCTGTTTACGAGGTATACGGGGAAGGGGGGTAGTGTGGGGACGGCGGGGACGGGGGTTAGTAGGGCGACGAGTAAGAATCGGAGGAGGGAGGAGAGGAAGAGGGCTAGGGGGAAGAAGGGGAGTGTTTATGAGGAGGAATATTTGGTTAATAGCGTGAGGAGACTTATTGAGAGGGTGGAGAGTGTTAGAGGTGAGGTGGGACGGTTGGTTGAGGGGTTGGTTAGGAGGGGGATGTGGGAGAGGGCGAGAGCTGTGGAGGTTGCGTTGGCGGAAGTGATTGAGATGTGCAGGGGCTGTGTGCCGGAAGTCTTTGGGACAGGCGAGAGCGTGAAAGTGGAGGGTGAGGTGGGAGCTGATGGAGAGGTGTATAGAGCTGTTGGTGGGGATGCGGTTTTGCAGGAGAGTCTTGAGGCTGCTGGCAAGAAGAAGGAGCCTCCACTCATTGCTGCATTTCAAAAGCTTGCTTTGCTTGGAACATAGAGATAGACCTGATAATCGATGATTACTTTGACGATGTTTTTGTTTCATGACACGGAAGCTTTTGAGTCACCAAGGTGAGGCCTTAACCACTTGTTGCTAGTCGCTCATCTTCCTGTTAAAGTACTTCAGCCCACTTGACTTTTCATTGACTGGACCGACATCCAATCAATATCATTCTCCTATCCGGTCACAGACAATGACTGGCAAAATAGTGTCACTTATGGCACAATTGACGGATCATTGTGTAATATACAGCTTTTCCTACCAAGCAGAGATAGTCTATATGCCTCTCTACCATGCAGCATTTACAACGCCGCCAATGCCCAAGTGCTATACAGACATTTTCCCCATACATATCATACACATCACGCCGCCAACGGCAGAGCCTCTTTCGGCGCCCCAACAACACCCATGGTCAGTCCCCTCTTCTTTGCAATGATATGTCCAATCCTCTCCAACATTTCTGTCGAGAGCTTGCCCTTGCCCTTCGCTTTCCTCAACTTCCTCTCCCGTCGATTAATCTCCTTCAGTGGCGTACGCATTTCTGCCGCCTGTTTTTTCTTCTCCTCTACTGCTCGATCCTCGGCGAGCTTGGCTTCGATATATTCGGGATCATGCCTCGTTCTGAATTTCGAGAATTTGTTCCGTAGCTCATCGATCACGCTTCCGGGCATGGGAGGTCGTAAGAGACTAGGGACGTATGTCTGCTGCTCGACATCTATCCTCAGAGTGTCGTTTGGCCCATCCTTGTGTTCTTTTGGTGGTGTCTTGGGCCAGGGGATCACAATGTTTAGTCCCGGCACAATGCGGGACCATTTCGTTTTATTCAGATGCCGGTCGTGGAATATGGGGCCGTTTTTCAGTTTCTTGATGATTACATCTCGTGTGACACCCGTTTCTGGGTCGGAAAGGGGGTAGACGAGTCGGACGGATGCAAGAGGGACGGGTTTCTCGATGGTGCGAATAGGGCGTTGATCAGGATCTTCTGCGCTGATCATGTATGAAGGGACAGCAACATCAATCTGTGAAATTTTCCTATCAGCAGACGCTCAAACTTTTCAATTGTAAAGAAGCAGGACGTACCAGATTAAGTCCTTCGACGGTGCATTCCGCTCGAGCTTTGTCGACTGCTGTAATCTTCCCAATCTTGCCCTTGTCTCTTCCTTCGAGTAACACCACCCTGTCATTCTTGACTATGTTCAAGTATCTTCCTCCCACGGGTTGGAAGGCTTCCGCTCTATCCTTGTGGTGGAGCAGCGTGCCTCTCATCCGCTGAGTATGAATAGTACCATAGGTATCTTTCGACTTTCCCACATCCCTCTTCGGTGCCAAAGATCCCAATTCCCAGTCTTCCCTTCTATTGAGCCTGGCTTGCTTGAGCTGATCGATTGCTTCGCGACGAAGATGTCGATCCTGCTCTCTGTTCGATTTGGCCCATTCTCTCGTCGCCGTCTCCTTTCGTTTCGCATGTCTTCGTGCAGCCTGCTTCTCAGCCAGCACAGAGCGTCGAATGACCTTCTGCATGACTACAGTGAGGTGAGGCGGGTAGGGCGTGGAGGCACTTTGGAGACTGAGTTGTAACTTTTTTGATTCTAGAGCATCAATATTTGGTCTTGGCACGCTAGCCATTTACAGGGGTATGCTCACGTGATGATTGTTTTTTGAGTTTTCTGGGACAAGAATTTTGATAAATGCTATTTGTTGAGTCCAGGAAGGCCAATTCACTGAAGATCATTTACGAGGATGGTGCATGCACAATAATTCCATAGGGCTGAGTGTTGCACAGTTGGTTGAAGGATTGAGTTCCGACCTGTGGAAGCTTGGCGGCTATGATCTCGCCACCCCTATCCGCGCGTAATTATTTATTGCCGAACAAAAAGCAGTCCTCAATATTTGCTGCAGGGAGCCGCAGCCTCAAGAGAACTAGCCATTTCCAGATGTATTCGTTGTCATCGTGGCTTCATAGTTCGACCTTGGCAAGAGACAAAAGACCTTTGGGAGTCCCGAAGAATGTCCAGACCTTGTAGGGGACCTTCATTGCGAGCGAATAGTTGACATAAAACTCTAAAAAGTCCTGAAGTCCTGCATTTCAAGGGCCGGCTAAGCTTCGCCTCACACTCTGAGCATGAGCCGGGGAAGCCGTCGCGATTGGCCTGGTTTCTCCCGACTGGCCTTGGAGTGCAGCACGGTGCAGGACGGAGCAGTACAGTGCAGAACATGTCATTCATTTCAGCTGTGCAAGGACTTTGGCTCGCGTTGAATTGGTGGCTCGGAGCTCGTCGTTGCAGCCGGTAGATCATGCCAATGCGAGCCGTACTCGTCGAAAAAGACGAGACCGAATGACATTTAAGGCGAGCAGCGACCGACGAATTGGTAGGCAAATGCAGAACCAGCAGATGTTGCGGATTCCGGTGATATTTCTATTGCGGGCCAGAAGCAAAGATTGTTTGTTGACTTACGACACGCCAGCCCGCGACGTCGTGAAATACAGGAACCCGTAAAGTGTTTCCAATATAAAAGTGGCTTTGGCGTAGGCGTATTCTCGATGTGAATGTTCGAAACACACTTGAAAAAAGATTGGGATGATTCACAGCGGCCTGCCTAGAAATTGTCTGGGCTATATATAAACACTGGTATAGATGAGGAAGCTGCAAGAATAGACAAGAACACAACACAACACAACACCATTCCAATTCAAACTCAAACTCACATGCAGCAATACCAAGCACGTTCTCACTCCGACTCGTCCAAGTACGAGATCTGACCGGACTTTTCTCGATCATTGTTGTATCAGCCGCTTGGCCTGCTTGCTGTCTGAATCCCAACTAAGGTCCTGCCTAACCAGCCCTGGAAACTAAGGCAACGCAACCCGCGCTAGCGTCCTCTTCTCCAAGGCGTCTCGGCGAGCATTCGAACCTCAACCAACTTCACGAAATTCCATCTACGACGCCTTCAGAAACCCACCACCCAACTCACAGCACAATATCTAGAAGATGGCTGAGATCAGAAGAAAGCTCGTTATCGTAGGAGATGGCGCGTTAGTAGCTCCATCCCCTCGTCCTTGACCGTCACTGACAAATAGGTACAGCTGCGGAAAGACCTGCCTCCTGATGTAAGATATCGTCCTCTATACCTATTGGGCCAACTGACACGTAACCAGCGTCTTCTCCAAGGGCACATTCCCAGAGGTAAGCAATCCGCGTGTCCTCGTCGAATTCGAGCTTCTGCAGCATTGCGCGGCCTCGCAATCTCTACCTCCAGCCTCATACACTCTCCCTACACCGATAGCAGACACAACATATTCTTGGAACATGAAACTGATAGCATGGTTTGCAGGTCTACGTCCCAACTGTCTTCGAGAACTACGTTGCCGATGTCGAGGTTGATGGAAAGCATGTCGAGTTAGCTCTATGGGATACGGCTGGCCAAGAAGATTACGATCGTCTCCGACCTCTCTCATACCCAGATTCGCATGTCATCCTGATCTGCTTTGCTGTTGACTCACCGGACTCCCTCGACAACGTTCAAGAGAAGGTACGATCTCCGCAAAGCCCACCGCCCCCGAACTTGTTGATAAGAATACGCTGACACGTGCTCATCAACAGTGGATCTCCGAAGTGTTGCATTTCTGCAGTGGCCTCCCAATCATCCTCGTCGGCTGCAAGAAGGATTTGCGTTACGACCAAAAGACCATTGAGGAGCTACACAAGACAAGCCAAAAGCCCGTTACTCCAGAGCAGGTAAGCACATCTCGGCCCGAATCCTCCCATACAGAGTCATCCTTCAGGCAAAGATTAGGATTTTGAGACTGATAACTACGCGTAGGGAGAGGAAGTCCGCAAGAAGATTGGCGCCTACAAGTACCTTGAGTGTTCAGCAAAGACGAACGAGGGAGTCCGTGAGGTTTTCGAACATGCCACCCGTGCCGCTCTCTTGACCAAGAAGAAGAAGGAGAAGAAGTGCATTGTTCTGTAAAGCTACCAATATCGACTTTTCTTTTTCTAATGCGATCGGATTCTCTACGGTTCCTCTACTGGGTGATTTGAGGGTGCTCCAGGATGGGACTTTGTGCTTGCAGATATTGTGCATTGCTCTCCTCTTTCGGCATTGATTATATCCCCAAATGATATACGCGGAATACCTCTCGATCCTCGCTGAAGATTCATCTCCCAACAACGCTCTCCTCGTCATACGCTACACTTTGCCGACCTCACCTCCTCGTTCGTCTCTTGGTTCCCGGGTACATCTTGGCATGGGGGAATTTTTCTTCTCACTATGCCTGCACTATTTCTTCTCTGTCTCTCTGATCGCGGTTTTGCAAGATCTTTGTGTGTCCATTGCGTTTCTCCTTTCTCCCCTGCTGCAACACTCGGAGTGGGTTCTATAGCATTTCAGGCTGCTGTGGTTCCTGGTGTTTCTACATGTCGTCTTTGGTTCGTTGTGCTGGAGGGCGGGCAGGGAGACTGGATGCGCATTTTTGTAAGGTGTGATAGCAATAGGCGTAGTCTATCAAGAGATTTCTCGAGATCTTTTTTTCCAGTGCTTGTGTTACTTTGAACCTCTTTATGTGATATTTGTGAAATATAGTACCTGTCCATTAAAGCTTGATGGGCCTCGAATCCTTTCAAGGTTGATATGAAAACCAGCTTAACATGTCTCTTTTCTGGGGCAACGACACCTATGACCTCCCTTTCTCTACCTAATTTCACGTCTCTAGCCCCCAAACTCATATCCTCCTCCCTTCTCACACACTTCCTCTCAACACAACTCTACTCTGCTCTGCTCTACTCCTCCCCTTTCATCCGTACCTATAACCCACAAAGCTGACCAGAAAAGAAACATCCCCGAGACGACAACACTACGACGACGAGTAAAAGCCCAAATGCAGAAGTCAAAGCCCGTCGGAGCCAAAGAGTACTCGCAGCCACAAGCATGAGATAATTGTCTTCTACCAGTAAAGACAGCACGTCTAAGCTACATGTTCAACTAATAAAAGTCTGCCATAGGTGCTGAGATTGCCTAGGGGCCATGGCGTGAGTAATTACAATCCTAGCCTGCGTGAACATGACCTGGATTGAATTGAATTGAATTGAATTGAATTGAATCAGGATACACCTGTAACTTACTCTGTGAGAGAGTTATACTAGCACCTTTCACATGTGTCCTGGTAGGTAATGGAGCTTCGGCTATGTAGGGCGTGAGGCGGTGGTGGAGTGGTTCTGTTGAGGGGGGTGATGGAGGGCATGAGATGGGGTAGGGTGGAGGTGGTAAGTAGGCTGGTGGGAAGGAGGCCTTCGGTTTGGTGGAGATTTTGGGTTTGTTAGGAGGAGGAGGAAATGGAAGGGCGGCGCTAAGGGGGCGATTATCCTGTAGTCAAGAAGATTGGAGTTTTTTTCAGATTTGAAGGAGGGTTTGAAGTGAGGGATTAGGATTGGGAGGGCGTGTTGTAGGATTGGTGCATGAACATTAAGGGAATGTTGATACTTTCAGTAGTCATGCGGCTTTAGAATCGGGATTGTGGAGATTGTGGGTTATGAGTGATCGATGTTCATGAATGGCCATCGACTCGTGCATTCTGTTCTGTTAAGATGAAGGCATCGTCAATCCCACAACCATTAAAAAGCCTGCGCCCTCACTGTCTTGCCCTGGTATTGGAACAGTCCAAAAGTCGGGGGTTGGGGTTGGGGGAATAAGTATCAATCCATTCAATGAATGTTTCCGATCGAGTACCTTTCTAGAGCATTTTCCAAGCCTCTACTTCTTACATTGATCTGTTAACCTACAGTAAGTTAACGTCTGACCAAAAAGAAAATAGGAAAAAAGAAGAAAAAAACCCACCCACGCAGCGGGTATATTCAATGGATTCTGAGGTTGATGATTGGATACCAAATGGAAAGTGTCAAATATGCTACTCCATGGATGTTACATTTGATTTGAAGCCATATCGTACAGCTACAATCGGGTGTTAATCAGATACACTGTGTTTATCTCGAAATTCCTTATAATCTTTTCAATGTTCAGCATTGGTGCTGGTAGTAGCTGTTACAGCAAGAAATGAAAAGCTGTTTGCTTAGACAGTGAAACCTATCCTGCTGAACTCATATTGAGTATGGCAGCCCAGAAAATAATGCCACAAATGTAATCGAAAGGCTCTGTGCTGTACCAATGCTACATAACGCACAGTGCCCATCTACAAAATCGTTGCAGCTCGTGGACTAGCAAATGATACATGCTTCATCCTGATGGCTACTAGACGAGGGAGAGATCGATTGGCGAATGCCAGAATACTGGTATAGCTAGTGAAGTGCTCATATGATATCCACACCTCGCTCGTCTTACAAACGAGAAGTAAAGAGGGGTGTTCCCGAGATACTATGGTCGAGCAAGCAAGTCTCAAATATTTCGAGCTAGATGTCCTCTCAATCTCCGGTAAATAATGCGTAGGATGAATAGAACAGTGCTTGAAAGCTCATCTTCAAGATAGAGGTCCTGACTCATTCAGCTCGATGTATAGTATTTGTGGCCATAAGGCCGATCCAAACAGCCGTGGTCGTCGAGATAGTACATTGGGGGATGCTACTTAGAACTCAACGCAGAGGCAGTAACACCCTGACACCGCGGACTGTCAACATGATTGCGGTATGACAAGTGACAAGCTCTAGTCTCATCGTTGCATATCATGGTATATCGGTTGAATACCAACACCTGACGTCTAACGTCATGGCACTATTAAATGCTTGCTCACACGTGTATGTGAATTGCAGAAGAGTTGGGTCATACAAAGTACTTGAAACAGTATTGCATATCCAACTCAAGATTGCAGGTGCTTCGCTTGTAAACCACTACTACAAAGTTGTCTTAGACAGTTACCCGTTACCAAACTCTGAAAAGTGGACGGCATCCCCAAACTTGGAGAAGAAGGAAACATTAACAGGAGATCTACTGAAAATCCAAGATAACGATACCAAGGATTTAACTCTGATATCCTAGAATGCTTGAACTCCTAATTTCCCCACACGTGATGCTTGGGGGATGCAAGGTCTGGAACTATCACATGTACCCTAAGGTTTGAAACAATGAATTGCGATCAGCAGTGAAAGATGTTGGAATAAGTGCAGCCACTGTGGCAGTGGCTGCCCCTTGAAAAGAAAGTTCAAGGCATCTGAGTCCCCGGTACGGCATGCCCAAAAAAAAGATAGACTTTCTGCAGACCGGAAAATGCCAGAAACTGCTTCCTCGAGGTACACCAGCACCAAGCCCCTCACTTTCTTCACTAGGAACAAACGCAACGTTCTTTCTGTGCAACCTCGATGCCGTCGGTTGAAACATCTCTCTCAGGGACAAACAGATATGCAGCAGGCCGTATACAACCCCAGCCGCCGTGTCCGTCGACCAGAAAGGATCAATCTAAATCCCAGCTCGTGCAGCAGACAAGGGACATCTCGGCCACGCTTACCGATGTGTACGAGGCCTCTCTCTTTTTCCTCGACTCTTCCACAATCCCAGATGAATCTTCAAACTCTTTTCAAAATCACTTGGATCGAACGAGTGTTGATCACAATTCTCGGCAGCTGGTGGTTTCGTAATGCGCCAGAAATCAGGGACGACGGACGCCGGTGCTGAAAAGAGTGCGAAAAAAGAAGAAGAGCAGCTTGGCACACCAGAAGCACCAGAGGGATATCCGGCTGCCAGACCAGATTTGATAGGGGCTGCTGACCGACTCTTGCAATTGTGGAGGTGCAGTGGCGCTTCACAGACCAAGAGCACCCAGGGGCAATTTCGTTCTTCTTATCACAGTGTCTTACCAACAGACGGTGATTGGAGTTGGAATTGGAGTGTGGAGAGATGCTGGCGGCTGAACTGAGCTCCCTGAAGGCCCCGAAGCGAGCAGCGATATGCGAGCAGCAGATTGACCAATAACCGGCCCAACACAGGGACCTCGAGGACTTTAAGCTTCTGATGCTCTTAGTCGGCTGATATTAATATTAATGTTAATTCATGCTGTTAAACATCATCTTTTTTGGGATTAGCATGACGGCATCGCTTGCTGCATGCAGACTGAAACGACAGAGGGCTTGAGAGAGAAGACTGGAGGACACTGGGGAAAGATGGCCAGGGGACGAGGTCGAACGGCGGCCCCTGCATTTTAGAGTTGCATTGTGATAGGAGAACGACCCAGTGAGGGCAAGCGTCGAAATGATCGACCAGCATCCATGGAAAAGACGAATTGCCCATCCATCCCGCATTGAACCTGGTCGTCTTTTGCACGACTCCTGCAGCTTGCCTCAGTCCATTGTGTCTCCCGTCTTCCTCCTCCTCCTCCTCCTCTGCTCAACCTCCTCTCCTTCCTCCCTCACCTCCGCCAACTGATCTCTCCATCCTCCTCCGGCTGCATACTTAATTGCAGTGTTCGTATGTGCCTTTCTTTTTGACGATAATAGGAACTGATTGCTCCTTTGTCTTCCTTGGCTGTGTGCATCTCGTATCGACACCAGGAACTCCCGGAACAGCTCCACATCACCAACATACTGTAATTGAGCAACGTTGACGGCTTCACTGTCTTCGACTTGCTTGTACGATACGACTAATCTCTATGTTTCCCCAGAAATAATTCTAATATCTCGTCCATCACGGGTCTGGTACTCGGCTGCATTTGTCTCAAAACGCCTCCGACGTATATCACCAGCTTACCGGCCATAAGACAGTTCCACTCCATTGAAAAGCACGTCGATTCTTCTATCCAGCCCATGAGCACTTGCTCTGACGTACGATTGGGTTCTGCGAGGGGTGTTTGTGGTGGCTTCCCTAATAGGTCGCTTTGCGCTTGAGGACTTTCGTCGACTACCCCACATAAACTTTCGCAAACCACGGCTCACTCTCGATCATCTTCGAAAAGCACGTCTACTCAACATAAAAATACGCAGAGCGTCAATCTTGCATCCTTCACATTCATCCACACTGGTGTGTTGCTCGTATTTCCAATAATTACTGCCTCTTGCGACGAGTGCGAAACTCTAAGAACTTCGAGCGATTGCCTTTTGCCTGTACCCTCGATCTACAAGAACCCTTCCTATCAGAGCTCTACACCGTGTAGCTTTACGAATCTTCGATCTTCGCCCCAAGCAAAACCAGAGACAATTAAAATTGCATTAGAGCACCATGCGGGCTTTCACTATCCTCCTGGGCTTGATTGCACTGGCAACCACCGCTTCAGCGTTCTACCCTTGGTACCCGGACTATCGCTGCGCAGAAACCCATAATTGTGTTGAGGCTAAGGATTCTGACGAAGGCCAAATTGTGGGACGTGGTAATGGATTGACTTTGAAGATTGCTCAGAGACTTCCAGAGGTATGTCAAAGTTTCTACAAGTAAAGCTTATAAGACTGACCAGGTGATTACACAGACCGATGAAGCTTCCGTCAACCGAATTCGACATCTAGGAGAGCAATTGAAGAGAAAGTATAACCGTGGTAGTCCAGTCAAGAACGAAAATGCCCCAGTCCGCATTGCGAAGAGAACCAACACATATTCAATCATGCCAGCTGCTACTCCAACTCAAGCAAGCAGCGCTGGTATCGACCAAGATGGTACCGACTACTCGTACTTCGCACAAGTACAATTGGGTTCGACCAACACACCAGTCTACTTGCTTCTGGACACGGGTGCGGATTCAAGCTGGGTGATGGGTTCAACTTGCAACTCAGGTCCATGCACCATCCATGATCTCTACAATCCGACAACCTCTAGCACGTACAAGGCTCTTGGTGAATCCTTTGCCGTTCAGGTATGTATTCCAAAGAGCCCCCCCAAAAACACAACTAATTTTATGTAGTATGGATCCGGCTCTGTAAGTGGTACAACAGGAACAGACGATCTTACGTTAGCTGGACTGAAGCTCCCCATTACTCTCGGTGTTGTCAATATGACTTCAAATGACTTCAATAACTTCCCAATGGACGGCATCCTAGGTTTGTCATTGGGCAAGTCTGACAATCCAAGCTATATAGACAGTCTTATCGCCTCCAAAGCCCTCAAGTCAAACATCTTCGGAATGAGCTTGAATAGAGCATCGGATGGTCCCAATACGGGAGAGATCAACTTTGGGGCAGTTGATACCACAAGATTTACCGGAGATTTGAGCTACACAGCTGTGTCTTCCATTGGTGGAGGATTCTGGTCGATCCCAATGGCAAACGCAGGATTTGGAACCACAGAAGCTGGCATTACTACCAAGTTGGCCTATATCGATACTGGAACTTCGTTCATCTTTTGCAGCCCAGACGATGCTGCGATATTCCATGCAGTCATCCCTGGCGCCACGACCACTGACAATGTTACTTGGCATGTACCTTGCACGACTACTACCAGTGTCACATTTACGTTTGGATCGACTGCGTTCCCTGTTTCTTCAAAGGATTGGGTTTCTCCACCGTCCAGTGGAGTGTGTACCAGCAATATATACGGTCATGATATTGTAAGCGGAAATTGGCTGCTGGGAGATACTTTCTTGAAGAATGTGTATGCGGTGTTTGATGCGGACCAGAGCAGAGTTGGTGAGCAAAGTCCACGGTAAATTGGGTGTACATGTATTGACTTTACATAGGCTTCGCCCAGAAGACAGCAGCTGCTACTGCCAGTACCACCACATCGGCGGCGACAATCGCTTCCACTGGTATGCCAAGCTCAACTGCTGGAACTCTAAGCACTACGGATTCTAACGGGCCTCTTCCAGGAACTGTGGCCACTGGCACCTCCGCTACCTTTACTGGCTCGACACTGGTCTCAGCTACTTCCGGTGGCACGACTCCAACTTCGAGCGCAGCTTCTCCAGGTCTTAACGGCCAGGAAACCTCCAATTCGGGCACTGCTGTGGCTCAAACCACTGCTGCCGCTTCACCGACTGCGACAAAGAATTCTGGTCTGAGAGTTCGTTCCAGTCTATATGCCGCTTGTCTCGGTCTTCTCCTTGCCCTGATTACCTGAATGCCACTAGGCGTTTCCCCGAATCCTTCTCATCAAAAACGCACCTCCGTGCCTAATTACGACCTCTCTTTACATCTGTTTCGATACCCATGCGCTTTCAGAAATGAAAGCATCGCTCTCGCTTTTGCAAGTCCATCACTACGTCGTCGACTGGATAAGAAGTGTACCATATTGCATATTGTAAAAATAAAAAAGCATACGGCTGGAGTTGAATTGTACTTAGCGAATTGCATCTGCATTGCGTGGGAGGCTCTTCAAAAAGGTCAAGTCCATGGCCATAATTTCAACAAAAGGCATTAAGCCGTCCTGTACATAGAGGTCACGTACAAAAGAATAATTGACCGCCAATTGACTGTGCAAATGTGCTGTTCCATTGCATTATAATATTTCTCGTTCTTGACGTTTTTTATTGTTTTCAGAGTAAGTACATATTGTGCAGAAAATTTGAGCTATGATAATGCCCATTAATGCTCCATGATCTGCCTTCGTATATTGCGCCATGGGACGTTCCCCAGATTTCCACGTAGGAAATAGAGTGCATCTCAAAAGCAATATAGAGGACCCTGAAAACCGATGTCCAGAAATAGCGCTCAGCCTCCGTTCTTACTGTAAGCGAGCTTGCATGGATCCTCTCTCGGAACAAGACCACATCTAAGCTTTCAATCTCACCTCGCCCTGCACAACACCATGCTTCCGCGATAATTCAATGGCCAAGGGCAGAACAACCACCGCCCACAAGGATGGCGAGCCTCCTGGTCATCCCGCAAACGAAGAAGACCGCGGTCTCCTCTCTAGAGCTGATTCCTCCTCAGACGATGAGGGCGAGGAAGACCTCGTCGTCCACCCCGGTCCAAGCTCTCCTCCCGTCCCCGAACCTCGAACCCCACGAACGCCCAACAGAGTCCGGTTCGACCTCCCGCCAGCCCTCGAAACTGGAGAAGACGACGATGATGCTCCTCCGCCCTACGTCGATTCGCCGCGCTCCGGCCGTCGCGATCAGAGACCGCAGACTGTGCCCCTCCTGACGGGCATCGAGGCTCCTTCCGTAACGGTGGCTAATAGTCCCTGGGGAGACGAAGATGTGCACGAGTGGGCGGAACGCGAGCGCTCGCGGCCGAAATCTGGTCTGCGGTCTGCGTTTATGAATATGGCGAACTCGATCATCGGGGCGGGCATTATTGGACAGCCGTATGCCTTTAGGCAGGCGGGGTTGCTGACGGGGATCATACTGCTGCTCGTCTTGACCGTGACGGTAGACTGGACGATCCGGCTTATTGTCGTTAATAGCAAGTTGAGTGGGCGGGATAGTTTTCAGGGGACGGTCGAGCATTGTTTTGGGCGGACGGGGCTGATTGCTATTAGTGTTGCGCAGTGGGCGTTTGCGTTTGGGGGGATGGTGGCTTTTGGGATTATTGTGGGGGATACGATTCCGCATGTCATGTCTGCTATATGGCCTGGGCTAGAGGATATACCGGTGTTGGGTCTGTTGGCAAATAGAAAGGCTGTTATTGTGGTTTTTATTCTGGGTATAAGCTATCCTTTAAGCTTGTACAGAGATATTGCAAAGGTATGCTTGGTTTATAAGTTTGAGATTTTGGCTGACTCGACTTAGCTGGCTAAAGCAAGTACGCTGGCATTGATCAGTATGATGATTATTCTTTTTACTGTTGTAACGCAAGGGTTCTTCGTGGCCAAGGAGGATCGAGGCGATTTCACCACACCTCTGTTGACAATAAATAATGGCGTCTTCCAAGCCATTGGCGTCATATCATTTGGTACTTTCCTCCTAAGTTTAACTTGTGATCTATAACTAACTGTCTCTAGCCTTCGTGTGTCACCATAATTCACTCCTCATCTACGGTTCACTCCAAACTCCCACCATTGACCGTTTCTCCAGAGTAACCCACTGGAGTACTGGAATCTCCATGCTAGCATGTCTCCTGATGGCTCTTGCCGGCTTCCTAACCTTCGGCTCCCTTACCCAAGGCAACGTCCTAAACAACTTCCCCACCGACAACACAATGGTCAACATCGCCCGTCTCTGTTTCGGCCTCAACATGCTTACCACCCTGCCCCTCGAAGCCTTCGTCTGTCGCGAAGTAATGTTCAACTACTGGTTCCCCAACGAACCCTTCAACATGAATCTCCATCTCATCTTCTCCACCTCCCTAGTCGTCAGTGCGATGACGCTCAGTCTCGTGACGTGCGATCTTGGCGCTGTGTTTGAGCTCATTGGCGCTACCAGTGCTTGTGCTTTGGCTTACATCTTACCTCCTCTTTGCTATCTGAAACTTAGTACCAAGAGTTGGAAGACGATACCAGCCATCACTTGTGTGGTGTTTGGAGTCCTGGTTATGGGCATCAGTTTGGTGCAGGCGGTGGCGAAAATTATCAGTAATGAAGGGACGGTCTCGCAGTGCAGGTAGACGGTAAAAGTCTAGAAAATTGCATTTAGAATGTAGGATACAAAGGTCATGATTCATTGCTTCGTGCTCTGCTCTGCTTTGTCTCGTTCTGTGATTTTGTTGCCCTTGCCCAACTTCTCATTTCTCCTGCCTTGTTCTCTCTCAAGTCGTCTAAGAAATTAAGACTCCATATCAACGTCCTCCAAAACTCTAGCAAGTTCCGAACCATCATCCACCTCCTCAACCTTGATCTTCGGAACCTTTACGTTCTCCTTTCTTCCATACTCAGACCATTCCTCATCATACTCATCCTCATCCTCCTCCCTCTTGCCCTTCACATCCTTCGCTACCGCCCTCTTGCCAACCTGCAAATCGACACCCTATCCCCCAAACATTAGCCAGTGCCCCCAAACCTCCCTCAAAAGACTAAGAGAGAAAAACATACACTCAAATGCCTCCAACTCCCCCCTTCCCTCCCCCCATCCCACCCACGCCCCATCCCACACCCATGCCTCCACCCCTCCCTCAACCTCCCATCCCAGCATCTTGCCCGCTCATCCACACCCCTCAGCTCCGCGAACGCGACGATGCGCTCCTTTCTCTTCGCCTGTCCGTTGTCGAAATGGTAGAGTTCCTGCGTGGTGCCCGGACAGTGGGTTGGAGAGGCGCAGCCGAGGGGGCCGTGGGTGAGGGATGTTGTGGGGGTGGTTTGTACGTAGCGGGTGGTAAGGGAGGGGCAGGGGGTGGTGGTGAGTTGGCGGTGGGTGAGGGATATGTCTGAGAGAGTTAGTGGGGAGGGAAAGAGGGGAAGAGGGGAGGAGGGAAGGGAGGGGAGGAGAGAGGAGACGAACGGGATTCGCAGATGTTGTGGCGGTGGATGGTGCAGTGGCAGGTTGTGAAGGTTTGGATTGTTTCGACGCACATGGTCGGCTGTTTTTTGCTTGTGGTGGGGAAGAGAATGGGTGTTTGGATAGATGGATGAAGAGGGTTTTTTGGGTATGTAGTTGGGAAGAGCGCAAGGCTGTGCTAACTTCCTTTTAGAAAAAGTCTTGAGAAGAGAGACGGGTTGTATTTGAGAAGTGCGTAAGGCTGTACGTGCGAGCTTGCGCTTGAAGAGGTCTTGCGATGTGTACGTGTAGAAGAAACGCGTTGTTGAAAGAAGAAGAAAATGCTCTTAGCGTCGCGTGTTATGGGCTACATCACTTTCAAAGTCCGAGTTCAAGACAGGCACTCAAATGTTGTAAGTCATGGGATGAATTTCGACATTGATATTTGAAATTCCACCTCGCTCCTCAGTTTGAGGCTGCTACTATTATGTACAATGACAGAGAGACCCGACTGTCCTACCACGGCTTAATCAATCATCTCCTCATCCGAAAGAGGTTCCTCCTTAATCTTGACGTCCTTCGACTTGCGATTGACCGGGCTTCCATCAGAACTTCTGTCAGAACGTTGTTTATCAGAACCTTGCGGAATATCATCATCTAGCTCAAGGTCGAGCAGATTATTGAGTGACCTAGATCTATATTGTAGTGTTAGCAAAGAAAGCGCAACTTGATCCTCCCAATCACCAAAATCTAGAATCTTACCTAGAAAGACGTCCAGAGCCCACATCCACCTCGCCATCGCCATCGCTAAATCGACCTCTCTTTCTGCTCCCAGTCAGCAAAGTCACAGAACCATAACAAGAGGAGGAAAACTAACTGCTTCTTAGCAGGCTTCTGGGGAGTAACCCTCGCCTCCTCCTGATCCATAAACCTCGGCTTCTCAGGTGAGTCCGGCTTGCTCCACTTCCCATTCCTGTCATCGGCCTCAAAAGTCCAGTGGTGATTGCCGTCGTTCTCCAGCGCCAAGTTACGGCGAATGCATCTCTTGCCGTTGACCTTGCATTCGCAGCGTTTGTTGGGATAGCGCTCGAACTTTTGGACGAGGTTGGGACAGGGTTGACAATCGAGTTGGCGGTGCGTGTGGTCGATGACTAGGGAGAAGGAATTAGTGATGTTGAAGGTGTAGAAGGGGGGAGACGTACAGAAGGTGCAGATGCGGTGGCGGATTTCGACTTTGGTGCAGTAGTCATAGGTGAAGATGGTGTCGATACACATCTTGAGCTGGGTGGCGCAACAATTGTTGCGATCTTGTTTGGTGGAATCGACGTGAAGGATGGAGAAGTCGAGGAGTTGGATGGGTTGTAAGTTCGAGAGGTGCTAGCCGAGATGGAAGTACTTGGTGGAGTATAAATTCAACATTAGAATTTAATTTTAGAAGAAGTTATGTCATAGGAAACGGATTTCCAACTGAAGTAAGAATCAATCTGGTGAATTTATGAAACAGCACTCTGAACACTTTGTAAACAGGCAGATTCGGGAACGTGGCTAAGGCTTAATGGACTTAAGTCGCAGCCTGACTGCAGAACAGGAGAGCATCTCGGTTGGCTCTGTCAAAGCCTTCACTAGCCAGTGAACATCGGCTCTACGCTCTTAGGACTTTACAATAATGGCACATAATCTTCAAGGCATACGTATAAGCAACGAAACTTTATTCTTCTTGAACCTTTCGTTCTGTCTTAACTTCTCCTCCCCTCGAAATCTAAAACTTGACTTGTCGTTACAGCAATACGTTATGAAAAGGGCACACTGATATTAAAGCAAGCGAGCTTCTCAACACTCCTTACTTCTAGAAAGCAAGGACGACGTTTCAATTTGCATTGAAGATATTCCTTTAATATGTTTATTCATAACCAAAAGCTGCGGTAGCGCCTTTCATCAGATTCACGTTGCTGAGCTCACCCGATAGTCTAGAGAAGTGACATCGTAAAGCAACTTGGAGCATGTGAAGTGCTAGAAAACAGCTGGACATAAATTTAAAGTTTGCACTTCTTGTCCGGGACTCTGGTACTGAAAGTGGCTCACTATTTCCCCCACGATGCTTACCTATTCTCCTGCCGTCTATGACCTTTGAAAAACAGCAGAGTAGCAATAATTTTCGTAGCAAAAGAGTAGCAAGGCTGAAGAACTTTGTCAATAACCAGGTTTAAGCTATAGACAATAGGATAGTGAAGAGAGATTGCGATACAACTAAGCTAGCTATCCTTATTGACATAGCTAAGCGACCAGAAAAAGTGCAGGTCTCATAACTGGCTTTGAACCAATTACTTTGCAAGAAACGGTTTTGTTGCACGTCGCAAAAGTGCGTTAAACCCCAATCAGGCCTAGCAAAGAGCAAAGTGCTTGACGGTATTGTTTCGTTGCATGTCGCGAAGTTGCGTTATTTCCAAATTAGGACTAGTAAAGAGTTTAAGTGAAGAGCGTAGGTTAAGATATTGGAATAGCTATTGAAGTAACCCAACAACATGTAATCCTTATAGCATTAAGCCAAAATAGCGATACTTATAGGTTTGCTTATATGTATAATTATCAGAATAGTGGAAGGACTGCAACGTGCAAGTAACTTCTTTAGTTTGAAGCCAACTTAACTATACTTACGAGTATACTTATAGCTACAGCAATCAGAACAGCTATCAAACCGCTAAATAGACTTGGCGAGAGTGATAATTCTAAACAGAACTGAGGAATTGCAAATACGCTAACGATAAAGCAAGGAAGGGGGCAAAGGGCGTTTGTGGTATATTGACAGGTCTAGCTTCTATCTATCTATGCACGCTTTCCAACAAATATATACAATTCTCACAACCTCATCCTCAACCCACGACATCATGCCAGCCTCTCTTGACGGCCAACCAGAACTCGAATGCCTCAAGCTTGACTTCCACCCTGAAGAATCCCCACCAAGCTCCAAGCAATCCTATGATGTTCCTCGGCCATAAAAGACTGCCTCTCTTCTTCAGCTCTTCAACTTGTTCTTCGAATACCGTCCTGGAGCAATATCTCGCTAAGATCAGGAATGTTCTCACTGGTCCTTGTCTTGTTTGCAGGTTCTCGTCAAGACTCCGCGTTAAGTCATTAGTCTTCAAAATCAATAGTATGATCCTAGGAACTTGGCCTAGCAGTTGCACTAATTGTTGCAACATGCCTTCTCCTAATGCTTGATTGATATTCTTCTTTTCTTCCATGGATCGAGCCATCGAGACGTCTTTCGTCAAGACAGAGTAGTCTCTTCCTGTGATCGCTGAGGCAAAGAGAGGGAATTGCTCATCGTTAATACCAGCGACTTCTTTTGCATATTTCCGCATTCGAGCTTCATCGGCGTCAATGACTGCTAGCCACATCTTAGCATAAGACCTTCGAAGGTCCATAGGAATATCGCGGTACAAGCCGTGATCGTATAGTACAACGTCGAAGTTGCAGCCCCGTCTTTGTGTGTTCTTCCGAATGGCAATATTGCCTCCATGAGGATCACAATGTAGTGGGGCATCTGTGCCGAAGATCATTTCATTGAAGATTCGTGCCAGTGCTGCTGAGACCTCGTCTCGATCAATGCCATTTGCATCAAGGAACTCGAGGTCGTCTGGTCTGTGACCTGAAACATTTTCCATGACCAGAATTCGTTTCTTGGCCCATATGACATCTGGAATCACCAGAGGTAGTTCTGGTATGTGTGAAAAGTATTCTTTCGCTCTCAAGGCATTTTCTCCCTCCAAAACGAAATCCAACTCTTGTGGTAATGAGTATTCCATTTCCTTGGACAGCCATTCCAGATCATATTCCGGGAAGAATCTCTTCAATGTTGAGAATGTGAAGCGTGTCAAGGCTAGATCCAAAGTTGCCCATTCTTGCAATGATGGATGTTGAACCTTCACAGCCACTCGTTGTCCTGTTTCCTTGACAGTTGCAAGATGTACTTGTGCAAGCGAAGCGGCACCTATTGGTTCGGGCTCGAATTCTGAGAAGTAGTTTGATATCTCCTCTCCCGTATCCTGCTTGAACATGGCTTCTATTGATTCGATCGAGGAGACGGGGCATCTATCTTGTAAGGGGATGAAGGTCGTTGTCCATTCGACAGGTAAAAGGTAGTTCATGGCACTCTATTCTCGTCAGTATTTGTAAAGTTTCTCAACATTTTCACCACTTACTAGATGTTGTCCCAGTTTTATAAAGATACCACCATTGTACTCCAGCACTTTCAAAGTCCTCTCGGCACACCTCTTATGACATGCTTTGATAGCTGTGTCTTGTTCTCCTTCACCTTCAGTCTTCTCATTTTGATTTAATGTAACTCGATAACTGCTCGCAATCAGCTCATGCTCAACACCTCTCCGAAGCCACTCACTCATTGATCGAGATAGCCAACGTACTAACCACCGCTCCAGCCCTCTGAATAGACTCATAAGTGTGTTTAATATCGTCTGGAAAAGCTAACACCGTAGCTCCCAATCCCGTTCCAGCAGCAGCCATCAGAACTCTTCCTCTCGGCCTTCCCTTCGACTTTGTCTGCCCTTTTCCATAGCTATAACGCCTGCTCGCAAATCCCCTCACTTGCCTCGTTTCTCTCACGCTCTGCGACTGCACCAAACACCTCCTACAAGTCCAATCCCTCGATCCAGTCGCCGGTCTCGAAAGCGTCCTCGCAGGGGCAATAGCCACATTAAAACCAAAGCTCTTCATCATTGCAATCAAAGACTACCCAGAGATTATTCTGGGTACATCTATAATACAATCATCTCTCTGTCTCTCATTTCTGGTTGAAAAGTGAATGTTGGGTGGAGCCGGACAATTTCCTCAAGAAAAATGTCGATCCCTCAGACCGATGATGTCGGCTCACAGGTAAAGATCCCTGTTTCTAGCCCCCGAATCCGAGCTTGACTTTCAGCCTCGAAACATCAAGCTTCGGAGCTTGCTGAGCTTCCCCTCAATTTTGGATTCTGGTGCTTGATTATGTAGCACTCTACAAAATGCCTCCGAAATTCAATATCAATGCAAAGGTACGTTGACTCTCCAATCCAAGCAATCTATCTTGCTGCCCCTCAATGTATGCATAAAGCTGATGCTGAGACAAACAGACAATTGTAGCTCCCGTAGCCGCATTCACAATGGCTACGCTGCTGTTCGTGTATTCTCGAACCTCGATTCAAGCTGCAAAGCGTAATGCGCAGAGACATCGAGAAGCAGATGGCGGGCAGATCAATTGGCATAATGAGAGTCTGAGACGGCATGGCGTGTTGGAGAGTCCTGTGAAGGAAGGCACGGTTGGAGAGTTAGTGGGAACCTTACAGGCTGGTAGAGAAGAGAGGAGGAAAGGGAAGGGCGAGGAGAGTAAGGTGATTGAGGAGACAGACGCAGAGAGAGTGTTGAGAGAGCGGACAGGCAAGGGTAGAGGATGATGGAAAAGCGGGATCAAGACTTGCATTGGGTTGGCGTTTGACAAAGTTCAAAATCTTGAACGTATACGGGCAAAATAGCCACGAGTGGAATAGCTTGGAGTCAAAACCGTATTGGCACATCTCCATTCTATAACTACAACATCACCTCCCCTCCCAGACCAAGGTGACGACGATCAGGTATATCCCACACTGCTATCCATGATGCTATCTCCCCTCAAAGAAACGCGGGATCCCGGACCTGATGAGACTCTACCTAGAGTCCATAACAAACGCCGAAAAGCAATATGCAGTTGTTCCCCATTGTTATCAACCCCTAAAACATTGCTTGAAGAGATCTATACATATCATCAACAGCACCTCGCTTTCTCGTGTTCTCAAGTTAGGAGATCCGATTTCCGTCTTCCCTCTTCCCTCCCATGATTCAACTGCTTCATCACAAATTCGTACGTTAGAATTGTCGTAGTCGCAGCTGGGACTGCACGCATCATGTTGGTGCCCATCCCAGCATAGAACGCCCTCCACCCTTCTTCCCTCAGGATCGTCTTAAACGTCGTAACAACACCTTTATACCTTGGTAACACCGACTTGCTCTTAGCAATGATATTCGCCGGGTTGTGAACTGTAGATCCTTCAATGCCTCCTCGAAAGGTTGCATACTCTGACGTTGATGATGGCATCGCGGTTCTTTGTTGGGTTTGTAATCTTGTCCTGATTACTTCATGGGGATATGTCGCAGAGCTGGCCATCACCTTGCTGAGAACACTCGCCGAAAATACTCCGATCCAATGGGTACTATCATCCCCCGCTTTCGACTTGCCCATGCCTTGTCCAGTGAACTTTGTCTTCAGGAACTCATATGTTGGAAACTGTACAGCGACATGAGTCAAGCCAAGAAGTGCGGGCGTAAGCCCTGAATAGAAAGATAGAAGTCCCTCCGTTCGATACATCTTCCTAGCAGCATCCAGTGTGGATTTGTAGTGCCATGGTGGTCTTCCGCCTGGCAAAGTTGACTTTCTGCTCACTTGTGACATCAAACGGGTCTTGATCACCCAGATTGGGTTCGTGATCATGGTCGAACATGCTCCTCCTATAATCGAAGACCAGAAATTGACGAGATTCTTATTTTCTGCAAAAGATTAATGGGAATTCGTAGTGGGGGAATGTGCTGCCCAAACATACCAAATCGTTTTCCAAAAAAGACTTTCGACTTCCCGTACACAGTGAAATATACTGCCCAGGTAGGCAGATATCCTAATATGATGGGACCGAGCCCACGATACATCCCACGAAGACCCTCTTCACGCCATATGATTCTCGCTGTCCCCACCATTCCTGAGTATACGGGGTGCGCCAAAGGGGCGCTCGTCTGAGCTCTGAATCCTCCCTGAGCCTGCAACTTCGTCTTAATTACGTCCAAAGGGCAAGTGACGATTCCTGATGTGAACCCAGCTGTAGCCCCAGCCAATGCTGCGAAGCTATCGTCCGACCTCCCCCTACACCAGTTCTCAAAAGGTGTAATCGGTCCATTGCTATTTCTCTGGAAGCTCATCGGCTTCCTCGTGAAAGGTTGAGCTGACGTCGGCGAGGAAGCGAATTCCTGAGATCCGGGAGAAGTTGGCGTGCTGCGTTCATGCGACATTGTATAAGTATTCGGCGTGAAAGGATGCTAGCTTTTTCGGCCACGGCAGTAGAGAAACGCTGCTTCCGGAGGCCGTTCTGCGAAGGGTAATGCGAGTAAGCAGACAAGCTCTTGGGTCACTATCGCCGGTCTCTTGTTCCCAATCTCGTGTCCCGGTGTGCGGGGAAGATTCCCACGCAGCACGCCAGTGACACTGCTAACGATTATCCAAGGCCATTGACGACTGACCTGGAGCACACGATGAAGTTGAGGTTGAAAGAAGAGCGGATGTGAAGGGGATGTTGAGGTTTTCCGGATCCGGTGGTTATGATAGAGAGTGGGTATTCGGGAAGTAGCTCTGCTCTCTCACAAGCCTGGTAATCGCTTGCGACGGGGGCGCACAAAAATCTCACTAACTAGACCGAAGCTGGAAAAAGAAACTGGACGAAAGGACCCTGATGTGACTTGATTGAGTTAGAGTTTAGATGCGAGCTGCAAAAAACAGAGTTTAGAAGCCGTCATGTGCTCCTCTAAGGCTTATGGGTGTATGGGTGTTTCTGGGTGTACGGAATCAAAGTTCATGGAAACTTGATGGGAGCATCAGAGTGGGGGAACGCCTCATTGTTGAAGCAATTACAAGGATCTTGTTTGGCGCTTCTCTCTTTTCCACCCGCCTTTCCTTTCCTCTTGCATCGCCGAACCTTCCAAGGTTCTTCAGAGTAAGGGCACGTGAATTTACATAAGCTGCCAAAAATCGGGCTATCAAGAGTGAGCTCGACGACGATTTCGTTCCGGAGCACATCTGAGAGCTTCATTCAAGTCCACCTCACGACAGCAACATGTCTCAACCATCTCTCGTGAACTACATCGTCAAACGACCATGGCTGAGTAGGTTCATGAAGCCATTGGCCAGCTGGTACGCCAATGCTGCAGGATACAGGAAGTTGGGACTGAGGTAGGGACTCCTGGAAGTCCGCGAGAGGCATTGCCAACTCAATTGGCTCCTGCGACGGACATGGACTGGAAAAATACATTTGCTAATTTATTATGGTGTACAGAGCCGATGATTTGATCCCTGAAGAGTCCGAGACTGTCCTCCTTGCTCTCAAGCGTCTTCCCCCGAAGGAAGCTTACGATCGGGTCTTCCGTCTGCGAAGAGCTTTCCAGGTATAGACCGAAGCATAGTGAAGGCAAAAGTATAGACTGATCGCTCTGCAGGCCTCTCTCGCTCACCAACTGCTGCCTAAGGAGCAACAGACCAAGCCAGAGGAGGTAATTATCAGACCACAACTCTTACCGGGACACCCGCTCACTATGAATTATTAGGATGTCGAATACCTATCACCCATTATCAGAGAAATTGAGGCTGAGGCAAAGGAGCGTGATGATTTGGAGTCGTTGTCGCTCAACAAGCGAAAGGCATAGACAATAGTAGGGGGGAAATGTACAATGAAGCAAGGGTTCGAGGGGCACTTTAGAGGCATCGTTGATGTCAAGGCTGTATGTATATGAGGACGAATCGAATTAACAACTCACAAAACCGAGATTATGATTTCATCACGAGTGATTTGCTCTATTGGATCGTCTTAAGACTCAACCAATCGCTGGAGAGTCAAAGCCATCTCATCTATTAGATACTCTAATAAGTGTGCCTGCAGATCTAGTCTGGCTTTATACACTGATAGGACCGCCCACCTTTTTCACGAACGAGTTGGAAGTGGAATTCAGGTGGGATATGTCACAACTGCTGTGGCTCAAATATTCCCTTGTCAAGACCTATGTCCCCCGATGTACTTTCCTGGTTAGTTATTTCAGAAATTAAGTAAGCAACAAGTCCTAGTTGGGATACGTAAATTGATTACTGAGCTTGAATCTAAATACCTTTTCCACGCAAAAGTTGTAGGTCTATTTGTATATTTTATCAGTATGATCCAAGAGCAAAATGTTACTTGCTTGAGGAAGCAACGATTTACACCAGACAAGCTTCATTTCACATTGAAATTTTAGATGACCATATGCTTCATATTACTTCCCGAACCTATCCATACACAGCGCTCACTCCCATAGCCGTGAGCATTTCCCACCCCATTATCATGAGCAGCAAAGAAGAACGGAAAAGAAAATCATTCTATACAGTTCGCCTCGAATCAGCCACTGGTGGTTGGCCTTTACAAACAAACGTGATCCGGCCACCAGATCAACGTCTCAAACCCCATCTCTCTCTCCCTGCTGAAAAGATGCAGTAGTAGTAGGCCCAAAATTGGAAAACCCTCAACTCCCGTCCCCCGCCTCAAACACAAGAAAGACAAAGACAGAACACACGCCCCCACGCAGATTTGGCTTTCCATCAGAAGAGGTAGAGAGTAAGAGAATCGAAGATCATGGTCCAAGGCTGTGTGCGGTGCTTCAGTCGTGATGTTGCTGTCTTGACTGTCGCTTTTCTCTTTCTTCATATGTATGTCTCAACATACTTCCAATTCCAAACCAAATGGAAGGGCTTGAGCGCTGTCTCACTGAACTCCGTATATGCGTAAAAACATGGTCGAGGACCTCTCTTCTCTGACTGCGTGTACAATGTATCATCCTCATTACGCATTGCCTGGCTTCTCCTCTGTGTCTATGTGCCATACAACGTAATTCGGTAGGCCAATTACTTCATATCCTGCTCGCTTTGCCATCTTGGCAAACCCTTCGGTTTCTGCTTGGTTCTCAAAGGCATAGCATGGGAAGTTGATGCCTATGAATGTTAGCCCGGCTGGATGATTTTTGAGTTTATTAACATACCAGATCTGTGCACATCCCCTTTAACAACGATGTTTACTCCCCCAATACCATCGAGGTTGATTTCCTCGTCCTTATTCTGGCGCCAATCTCCCATCTTTGCCATATATGTTCGGCCAGTATCATATTCCTTGTAGCCTGTAGGCCTGTTAGAAAAAGCTCTGCATGGTATCTCCAATTTCCATACCTTCAACGATAATATCGTCCTTCTTGAGAGTAGACGCCAATCGAAGAGCCTTGTCAGATTCAATCCACGAATTGTAGTCAACTATAGCATAATTAGCACATTTCGGATACAACACTGAAGTTCTACCCACATCTGCCTTCAATGTCCTTCCCATCCTTGTATCGGTGGAACCAAACATCTGCCAAAATCAGTAAAGACTGTCAAGTCCGACATTGTGTAACCTACTAGGAACAATTATATCTCGATCATGGGCAACAAAATCCTCGAGGATCTTCTTGGGACTGTCCACGATATCCACATCTCTCCAATACACCCAGGAATGTTCAGGCTTCAAGGCAGAAGTAAGGAGATAGTTTCGGGCTCTAGCCATATTCTTTCTTCTTGGCGCTTGTGCCTTGAAGCCATGTCGTTCCTCAACATTTTGGGCAGTGACGATACCGAAGTCTTTCTCGATAATCAAAGCACTGTTGAAAGGCTCGCTCAGTGTATCTGTGGTCTTTTGTATCCTTGCCAATTCTGCCGAGAGTACAGCAAGAGTATCATCGGTGCAATCGCCAACCAAAAAGCCAAGGTCAATCAGATGATGAGGATATGTCAATTCGGAGAGTAAGTCGAAATACTTTGGTAGGTAGGGAGCGGCATCTCGTAAGGGTGTAAGGATAAGTACACGTTCTTCGTTTGATACAGCCTTAGGTGTCGAGAGTATAGGGTTGAGGTCGACACGCTTAATCGAGGATTCATTTATCACCAAAGGCTCATGGTGGCTATAGACAAATCAGAAGACAATTTTGACAGAGATGCCAAAGCTGAGGAGCTCATCGGAGGAGTTGAAACACATCTTCTTCGATAATTGGCTCCCGAAGATTGTCTCAAAGAGCTCGGCTCCCAACACAATGGCAGAATTGAACGTACTTGAATATGACGGGTGTTTGCAAATGCGCGTTCCAATCTACTGCCTCGTTCGCTGTCATCTGCATCGGGGGTTTCGAAGGTCCCCAGCAATAGAATCTGCAAGCTGGTGTAAGTAATCAGCAGTCGAGATAGATACTTCGCAGAAGTATCACGAAAAGGAGTTCTGACCTTTGCATTTCGGATGCTGATGTGCTCACCCCTCTCCATAGTAATAAAACTATGCCCGCTAGGGCTACACATAATAGAAACCGTGTCCGTGTGAGGAATACCCATATCGCTCTCGTTGGTGGGAGAGAAGCCTTCGCTGATTTCCACGTAACTCCACCTTTAGGGAGAAGCATCGTTACGACGGAACCCCCGTGGCCTCAACACCACCAGATGAAGGTATGCTATCAATTCGACCTGTGAAGCTAGGTGCGCGGCCGAGGATCGTTGTCGAGAGATGTGCTGGCTTGTGTCGCGAGTTGCAGCTGGGACGTGATGATTGAAGAAGTGAGATCGCGAGTAGGGTGCTATTTTCGTCGCCGCTGGACGCTCATGCCAAAAACGCCAAGCCTCTCATTAGCGAGGCTGATAGTTCTTGGAGCTCGACTCGACTTTCCAATCACATTGTTTCTAGAGCTGCACTCCATACAAAGCAATTACAGTCGTAGTTTTCCGAGCTCACTTAAGACTACGCTTGGGTTCCTGTCAAGTTGTACCAAAAGGCTCGGCATAAAGCGTCAACCGTCTACAAGCCGTTTCAGGTCAGTTGAAGCTTCCCAGTCAAAAGGGGTCTCGCACGTGATGTACTACTAAGCAGTCATCACGTCTATCCTGCTTTCAAATTCACCAATTACCGTGATCCCTCTTCAATGAACATTATTCTTGGGTTTCATAGCTTTTTCGAATAGTTAAGCTAAACCCTTTTCTCAGACGTTGGATTCGTCCATAACAGCAACGGCTTCCATCAGCTCCTTGACTTTTAGGCTGCAGCGGTACTTGTCATTCAGAAAGAACTCTGCCATCATTCCTTCACTCCCGTCAGTCCTATCACATACATACACAATGTCGTCTCGACGGTCAGCTCGTCTGAGCGCAGTATCTTCGGCTATCAAAGAGGATCCCAAACCCTCAGAAAACGGGTCTACGCCACCCAAGGTGGCGAATATCAGCAAGAAAAGAAAGGTTGCTCCAGAAATCACAGAACCAAAGACCAATGGCAGTCCATCAACGCCAAAAAGAAAGAAGGCTTCAAAACCAATTCCGCCCATCACTCCAACTCCAACAGCTATTGGTTTGATGTCAATGCCCTACAGTTCAGGAGATATTGATAACACTACTCCGCCTCCCATTAACCGACTTGCTGTTCCCAACGGTACTAATGCCGCCCTGGTAACACCAGAGACTCATCGACTGGTAGCAAGTAAGCCAGTCGATCAGATATCACCTTCCAAGAAAGCTAGTGTTCAGACTACTGGCAAGATTCTTGACGAGGCAATAGCCCATCTCCTCAAGGCGGATCCAAAGTTGAAGCCTGTAATCGAGCAGGAGCATTGTCATGTCTTCTCACCAGAGGGACTAGCTGAGGAGATTGACCCTTTCAGAAGTTTAGCAAGTGGGATTATCTCTCAGCAGGTGGGTCCTCTGGCGACATTCATGTCTTGATGCACTGACATCTGTTCTAGGTCTCTGGAGCGGCAGCAAGGAGCATCAGAGCCAAGTTCGTTGCTCTATTTAACACAGATAAGTCAGATGCCTCGCAGCACGTCTTCCCAACACCTTCCCAGGTGTGTGGTAGTACCATTGAGGTCCTACGAACTGCTGGACTTTCTCAACGCAAAGCAGAATATATCCTTGGTCTTGCAGAGAAGTTCCACTCTAACGAGCTGACAACTGAGATGTTGTTCAATGCTTCATACGAAGAAGTTCTAGAGGCTTTGATCAAGGTCAGAGGACTTGGAAAGTGGAGCGTGGAAATGTTCGCTTGCTTTGGACTCAAGAGGATGGATGTCTTCTCAACTGGGGACTTGGGTGTTCAAAGAGGTATGGCTGCATTCATGGGAAGAGATGTCAATAAGTTGAAGGGAAAGGGAGGCAAGTGGAAGTACATGAGTGAGAAAGAAATGGAAGAGATCGCAGAGAAGTTCAGGCCTTACAGGTAGGAGGGACAACATATCCAAGTGAGTTGAACTAATTGCGATTTATAGAAGTTTATTCATGTGGTTGATGTGGCGAGTTGAAGATGTCGACATCAGCACTCTTCAAGGCTAGGCCAGACTGTCCATCGCACTTGTGCACAAGCATGGATTGATACATGTAGGAATTTCGGATTACAATCTAAGAAATGAAAGAATATTGCGGGTAGTGGACTGTAAACTCTACCATTTTCTGGGTTGGTTTCTTATGAAAAGCATTCCTGTTCGAGTAACATCCCAACCTCGCTCTGCAATGCATTGTGCTTAGTTACCGCGATGTAAGTAAGGGACGTGTATTGAACTCGTTCCTTCAGTTGCCAAAGCGTACCGACACTTAATGTCTTGCCCTGAAATTTCTCGAGTCCTCAAATTTGGGATGTTCTCGTATGAAATTTGAGATCTGTTATTTACTCCTGTGACGCGTAGTCCTCTTCAATGGTATTAACTTGTACACAGTGGTTTTTATTTTTAGTTTCCATTGATGCCTCAACCATACAAATGCAAACATACAAATCTAAATACTAGCGATTATCATACCACCACCCCCACCTCTCCTAAACACAATCCTCAAAAGCCCTCCAAAGTCGAAGAAGTCCTAGCAGCAGTATGCTTCCGACACTCCTCCCTCAACTTCCTCAACTCCCCCTCCAACCTCTCACTCCTCTCCTCTTCCCTCTCCAACAAATCCTTCATCTTCTGCAACTCCTCCGCATACTTCGCCCCAACATCCGCCTCCAACTTAACCTTCAACTCCTCCAAAATCCGTCTATTCTCCTCCTCTAAATCCAGCTTGGCCTCATGTCGCATCTCCTCTTTCTCCTTCTTCGTCCATCTCTTATAGAACTTCTTCTCTTCTTCGCCGATGAACGATTTCCTGATGTCGTTGTACATTTCTTGCTGCATGTCTTGGAGTCCGAGGAAGGCTGAACTGTGGTTTTCGTCGCCTTCCATGTAGTCCAGAGGGTACTCGGGCTGTGTGATTGGTTGGTTAGTGGTTTGGTGCGGGAAGGGAGGGTTGGACGTACGTCGGATCTGCCTCTGAAGCCGATTCCTGAGCTGGCGGTAGGTTTGCGCTTCTTGGGGTTGGACATCTTGGGATTTCACTACTGTTGTTTGCGCGAAGTGTCGAATTTTGTGTTGAGAAGATCGCAAGGAAGGTCGAAGGTCAGGAGATGTTGAAAAGTGAATCCCTTGCTTTGATGGCTCGCTTTTGAAGACCCGATCAAGAGATGGGCAACAAAAAAGACAAGTGTCAGATCTTAATGTCAGGAAAACAGTCGGGCACTCAGCTGGATACCCATGAGATTAGTATGCAACAAATTCTGAATCCAGGTGGGACATTTTTTGAGCACCAGCTTTACGCAACTCTTCCGCAAGTGTTCAAGAGCATTGACTATCTGATTCCAAGGAAATTTACTGAGATATTTACACACCGGATTAATTCAACTATAAGTCTTTACCTGCTCCTCGTGTTTCAGTGTCTCGCCCACCTGGCATTGTTGATTTAGTGCCTAGTAAGCGTGCCTCTCCTGCCATGAATGTCTCTGGACAACACTCGGTGAATGAAACTTGTTGTCTTAAGGATCTCGTTCTAGCAAACATAGCGATGTATTTTTTCTCCCTTTGTTATCATATGCTAGGGCAGAGTACAATGTGGTAGGACAAGGACGCAGTGCCAAGTCAAGTCACTATTCATTCCTTATCATTGGAAAAGTACTGATCGCCTATCCAAACGCCTTTCTCCCTCTTAAATTTCAACAACAGCTGTCCGGGTGCTTTCCCGAAAAGGTTCGCTCTTGCTAAGGATCTGACTTCTTCGAAGATAAACAACTGCCTATCGCAATTGTACCTTGCATATACAAGAAGCTTCTTCGCAAACGCATGATACAACCTGAAAAGACTTCTCGCTCTTGCGTTGCGTTCCCGCTCTTGTTGAGTAAGTTTTTCCACGAGTCCACCATTCATTATCTCCAGCATAATCATACCACTTACCGGTGGTTGGGACAGAGCAAATGAATACATCCCGTCTGCCTTTCTTTCGTAGCTCGCCGCATCGAGGATTCTCCTATTGATACGTATCTTCGCACTCTTCTCTTCTTGATCTATTAGTGAACTTTGATGTGAGCCTATGGTATACGCTATAGCCTTCATGTCTTTTCTGTTGTCCATCATCTGCTTCATAGCTTCTTGCGCGAGTTCCGCCCCAAAGCTATATATCGTGCAGTCCTCCACTGTGATCTTATACAACCTCTCATCCAACCACAGTAAGTGATTATCGATCATTTGCTTCACTTGAGACATCAACAGTCTCTCCAATTGCCTGCTTGTGTTCAACGGCCACTCAAAAAAGGGTAGTTCTTTTGGATCCAGCCAAGAACCTGCATCTATCTCGGTCCAACGTGGAACGGTTTCCAAAGATTGCTCCGAGGCGTGTTTGGAGGCCAAGCTAGAAAATTCGTGGACCAGTGACGCAACCTGCTCTGCCAGAGGTTTAGGAACGGAGTTGTTAGGGTCTGAGGAGCGTACCGATGGATCTTTATCTGAAATCTTCGCGAAGTTTTTATTGGTGCGCTTATTCTTTGTCTTCGATGGATTCTTGAAGCGACGTGTGACTGATTTCATCTCTGGGTGAGAAAAGTTGAGATTCTTCGGGAGACCCTGGAATTCAGAGCGAAAGTTCGACGCATCCTCCAGTGGCAACCGGTCACTGATAGGGTCATATTTGAGCTCTGGTTGCTCTTCATGACGATTTGGGGATTCTCCTCTTCGGTCCTTTGGAATATGGCTGGTGCGTGCATCTGGACCTTCGGGACTGGGTCGTTTATGGATAAGTCTATCCGGGGGAGAGGGCGTATGGCTATGAATATATTCTGTTGAACAGTTGGGATGAGCACCTTGTATTAAGTCCTCGTCTTTGATGTCCTCCACGGACGCACTATAATTATTCCCAGATCCTTCCACTGCTTCTTTTTCTGTAGGCTGTATTGTTTGAGAAGTAAGGCTGTTGCTGGGCAAGTCATCCTGTACTATTCCTACATCCGTTTGAATGTCATTTAAGTGGATATTCGGACCATCGTAGCTAGAAGTAGATTGAGAAGAAGAGTCGCTGTCATACTCTTGCTCTTCTGTGTCGAGGACGTCGTCCTGGTTTGAGTTTTCTTGTGTCGTCAACTTGACCTCTTGCTGGGATACTTCTGCATCGGAATCATTGTCCTCGATAGCAGATGCTGTCGCTTCGGAAGTGTCGTCAGAGCTAGGATCAAGGGCATCGAAATCGGTATGTTCGAAAGACACCGTTGATGGTTCTTCGGCGCTCAGTTCAGCGCTCTCACTCTCAACAGTAGTCTGTGACTCAGGATAAAGCGTCTCGTCCAAGAGCCCTCTCGTTCCTAGCTCTAGAATGTACTGCTTTATGATGTCCTTATGTCTTCCCAGCGAACGACTTGAAAACCCTTCTTGGACCAATTCTCTTCTAAAAGCTTTCCAAACAAGCTTGTCGTCCTCTGAGTAAGAAGTGAGTATTGATTTCTCCTCGTGGCTTTCGCTAGCCTGCATCTTTGCCGTAATCCAGTTCAGAGAGCGCTTGAGCTCCATTGTATCCTTCCCCTGGGTGTCCATGAACTTCTCCACCTTTCCTTGTGACCCAACGGTCAACATATTCAGAAACAGCGTAATAGCTTGTGTATACGTCGCCAACTCAGACCTTATCTTCCCCAAATCCTGCATCTCCCCATTCCCAAACCTGACTCGTTGCCATAACTTAGTCACACTTCTCTTCTCATCAGACAACGCGTTATATTTCTCAAGAATCTGCGACAAAACTCTCAGGACATGTCGACAGTCCTGAGCCAATGTAGCTAACTCATCTCTTCGACTGTCTTCTTCGCTGCTCAACAGCGAGTTGGGCTTGGAGACCTAATGCTGGAGCCTGTTGAGGACGATGTGCAAACTATTGACTTCTCTGGTCAAATTGTCGTGAGCGCCGCATGCTTTACGAGTATTTTGTACGATATCGAGTGCTATGCCAGCCAAGGTGGCGAAGTCGCCGATGGCATAGCCGAAGGACATAGCTATTGTGAGCCGGCTGGTGACGAGGCTGTGGATGCGCTCATGCCTATGTTCGAGATGCTGGTTGAACCGTAGCGATATGTGTAGAGGTATGAGATTCTTGTTAGAGTGGGACGTCCTTTGGTAGCTGTCAGTCTGAGAAAATAAATGAACAATGAAGAAAAGTCGACAAGCTTGGAGGTGAGGTATGAAGGTCACGCCCCGCTATCGTGGGGTTGATCACTATCCCGGCACTTGCATGTTGTGGCTTGCGAGGCAGACCAAGAACAGGAAAGAGCATTCTGCCAATTCCAATATTCAAATTGAGCTCAGAACGGAATTTAATTAGAAGTTGGGTTTCTGTGCCCTTTTGGAGGCACAGCGAAAGTACGAATTCGATGTGCGTAGCTTGCTACCTTCTGATGCGAAACCTGTGTACTGAGTTCTACATTCTCGCCGGCTAGGGCAGTGAGATTCCAGCCCACTTGAGAGGCATCCCAAGGCGATGTCTGACTCGGTAAATCAAGCCGGGTTAATATCATTGCATGAGCTAATGAATCAGTGCAGCCTCGCACATAAATGTCTGCTCACCAATATCAAGTTCTTCCTCTTGGGCAACACTACAAACCAGGGATCGTAATTAAGACACGGAATCTCTGATTCCTATAATTCCTATATTAGCAGCATGGGCAGAATTAAAAGATGATCCACTTGCGACATAACAAGCTTCTGACTTAGCTTAAAATCTTTGCAAAATACAATTCTCTAAAGTGAGAATCAGTGTAAGAGTGAGCCCAACTTAGCTTTGCAGATGATTTGCTCAGAAATCCCAAAAAAAATGAAAACAAAACACTCGTACGAAAGTGCTGTGCAAACTGGACTACTTGGCATTTTGACATGCAATCCATTCTAATATGTACAACTCGCGAACCTATCTCTCCACCCTCTATTGAAACGTCCGACACGGGTATCTACAATCACGTTAGTCACCACTCTAACTCTTTACCATCAAAGAACCAAGAGTACTTACTGCTCAGGATACGCATTCTCTGCCGTCAAATGATACTTATCCGCCCCAGCCTTCAAACTCGCACCTGAAGGCAACGGCGGTAACCCATCGGTGCCCAACGCAGCCAACGTGCCCTCTTTCCCCACCTTTCCAAAATAACTCGCCAGCCCCATCTCTCCCTCTTCCTTGACAGCAACCAACTCCTTCGTTCCGGCCTCCCCGATCAATTCCTTCTTAGGGTGACTTTGGGATCCTAAGCTCAACAGTCCAACAGCATCTCCTTGTGTAACGGTAGATAATCGAGGGTACGAGCGACGAGCATCGCGTTTCCAGTATGGGTTCTCGGCGATATCGCCAGCCGGGATGGTGACGGGGTCGATGAACGAGAAGGGGTCGTTGGAGCCTGGGGGTGGGTTGCGGAATTGAGGGTTGAGTGGCACGCCATTGCTGCGAGTAGGGTCGACGGCTAGAAGGCGGCGAATTCGTTCCCAGATACCGGTGGATTGGACTGTGTATTTCTGCAGCTGCTGTCAGAGGGAGTGGTGAGGTGAGGTGGGTTGAAGGAGCTTACTTTGTTGACTGCGACGACGCGGTTGACGGCTTGTGCAGCTTTTGCTGCTGTGTGAGAGGACATGGTGAGCTTCGGGGCGACCAGAGGTCAATTGACTGGTTGTGGCAGAGGAAGCTTGAGGGAGATGTCGGTTTGGTGGTGCTCGTCGTTCGTTGAAGCAGTTCTGAAAGTCGCCGAGGTTTAACCGCAATCAGCGCTAGTATTTGAGGCTCAAGGGTGGAAATGCAGACAAGACCAGGTATCGCACGAAAACTTTCAGCTGAATGTTGTTCGAAGGTCAAAGATGTAAGTCATGTCTGATAGCTTGTGAAGAAACCGAAGTGTTGTTCACAGACTGTAAGAGTACCAGCAGTCGACCTTGTACAGTCTAGTATCCATCTCTCCAATACGGTTACAATCACATTCATGAGATGAACAGCAGATTAGACAAAGTATGTAATTTGTGTACACGCTTTCCTGATTGCATCGCCCCATAATTTGCTTCACTATTAAGAACAGCGGAGAAAAAAGAGCCAACAACCATAAAAACCCAGATTCAGTTCCAACGCTTTTCCATTCTCCATGTCCCATTTTTGCTCAAGTAACATGGAAAGTAGAAAAACCCACACGCATATTGAGCACTGGTCCGATTGTCGTTAAGCTACGACAGGCTTGGCATCGTTGCTATCAAGCTTCTCGGCAGTGTCAGCAACTTCAGCAGCAACTTCGGCCTTATCGGTATCCTCCTTGGTAAGACCGTTCGTGCCGTTGACACCATTGGTTGTCTCGGTCTTTGGCTCTTCGACAGCCTCAGTAACTGGTGCTGCGGTAGTGGCTTCTCCTCCTTCAACGAGCTTCTTGACAACTTCAACAGTTCCTGAGTGAACGAGTCAGTGAGAGATTCAATGCAAGATTGTGCCAGCAGCAATAAACGGTTAAAAACAATCCAATGAGTTGCTTTGAACAAACGCTACAACCTCTGACAGACCTAGACGAACATTGGAGAAGAGAAATAAAATAAAGTGCTTACCGGCTGGAGAACCTGGTTCAGCAGCAAGAACCTTTCCTGACTTATCAATGACAAATACACCTCTTGTGGTATTAGCAGGAGCCTTCTTCAAGCCAATTGCAGAGATGAGGGTAGCGCTAGTATCGCAGAGCAGAGGATATGGCAGATTCTGCTTTGTCTTGAAGGTAGTATTGGCCTTGGGAGAGTCTTTGGACAATCCATAGATGGAAAATCCGGTAGCAGTGAGGGGAGTATATTGGTCACGGAACATGCATGCTTGGTTCGTGCCTGCAATTAAAACGTATTAGTACATTGGAATCCACATCTTGAAGCTTGTCTACATTTGTGTTGGCCGGAAAGTACTGCAAGGGAGAAGCAGACAACGCCACCATGCAGAAGCGATGAACATGAGCAGTTACGTGCAATGTATGGCCATTTTGAGGACTTCAAAAAGAAGTTTGAATGAAAACTGTGCGATCGTAACAACAAAGGGAGATACTTACAGCCTGGTGTGCTCGCCTTGGGATAGGTGAACAAAACAACCCCACTCTGGCTCTCATCCACCAATTTCTTCAATGTTGTCTTAACACCATCATTGGTCTCGATCTCACCCCCAAAGCCTTCAAGATCGATCGTCTCTCCAACAGCGACCTTCTGGCTTGCATCTCCATTGGTCTTAGCTGCAGCAGTCTTGGTGGTCTTTGGCGCGATAACTTCCTTGACTTTTGCGACGGCCTTTGCGACAGGACCCTTCTTTTTGGCAGGAGGAGCTGCAGCAGGTTCAGCAGCAGGCGCCTTGCGCTTTCGTAACTCGGGAGGCATCTTGCGATGTAATTCGGGGGATTGTGAGGTGTGTAGTCGGGTGGACGAATTGGGCGCAACGATTGGCGCGTTGGAGATAAACGGCAGTTACTCGAAGCCGGAGGCTTGTGTCGCGATATGGAGGTTGATTTCAAGTCTACGCGACGCGACAGATAATTTTGTCAAGATTTGACGCGTTGAGAAGCTGTGGAAGGATTGGATATTCACAGGAGGGAGGATGGAAATGATGGAACGACGTTGAACTATAAGCTGAGCAATCTCCTCATACTCACAGCTACGCAAAGCTTGGTAGCTCTCAGGGGGCAGGATGGTGCTGCCGCATGTCTGAACCGCCCATTGAGCCCATGCAGTACAGCTAAAATACCAGCAAATCAGAGGGTTATCAGCCGGCACGAATAGCAGGTTTGTGCACCCGAAACACGAGCAGACAAGCGAGCAATCAAGAAACTGGGGAAGAAATGGGGCAGCTCTGGACGCTGAGGCAATTTATAGAGGGACCATGATTGGTTGACGCTCACTTCTTTTGACTGGCACTTTTCGTTGAAGGTGTTACGGGTTTCAAGCCGATGACAATGGCTATGTCATGGCATGAGATGAGATGGATGGATGCAGACTGTTCCAGAGCCTGCATTGCAGATCTTGAGAATCTCGATCCCGCAGAGAGGTGGCGAAGTTGGACAAGCGGATAGCACTTTTTCCATAACGTATCACGTGAATCGAATAGACACTGTTTCCATAAAAGCTCTTAGTCACTCAATAACATTAGAAGGTAATATAGACATATATTCGAAGATGGCTCTTCTACTATTTTAAAGTTAAACAAACCTTGCCTCCTGACTTGTGGCCTCAGGAGGCAAGGGCAAGCTGAAGTGAATGCCCCTGAACTTAGCTCTCCATTAAGCGAAAGCTAAAATATTACTCCGAACCGAAACCTCAACTCCTTCCAACTCAAAGACACCTTCCCTCTACAAATCAATACCGTCGACAACGCACCAATACCATTATGCTACGACCTGAACATCTATCACAGCCGCATCCTTTCGTATGCCGACACTCGGCTCATTATGCTTGCCATGTTCGTTTCCGCAGGCAGCAAGTGAAAAGACTCGCCAAGCTTCCATCATACTCTTCCTGAACTTGTCGTGCGAGATGTGCTCTTCGATCCTCTTCCGGAGATAGCATCCACGCCCCTTCATACCAGAGTCCAGGAAAGCCTCAACTAAACCAGCCAAGGCAGTTATTGAATTCTCGAAGCGATACTCCTCTGGATAGTATGTCGAGGCTTCGACATTCAGAGAGTTCGCGATTACTGTCGGCACGCCGCTCAAACTCGCTTCAAGGGGCGTAATCCCCAGGGTCTCGTATCGCGAAGTGCAAACAAAGACGCCTTTATCGGCAACTTGGTCGAACAGCGAATAAAGGCAATCTTTCGAAAGCTTCGGTATCACCATGAATTCTGAGCGAATACCAGACGGTACTCGATCAGTAAGTTCCTGACGTCGAGAATTATCAGCTTCATCGTCTCCAGCGATCAAAACCCTCACTGCACGACCTCGCCCAACAAGCTCGACGCTAGCATCCACAAAAAGCTCGATATTCTTGAAGAAATCGATGCGTGCCACTGCGGTAAAGAGGAGAAGCGATGGTTTAGCGTGCATGAATTCCACGATTTTGGGGTGGGTGGAGGCCAAAGGCAATCGAGGCAAACTCTCGATGTTGATCGGAGGACTCAATTTCTGGATTCGACTTGCTTCGACATTATGCCTCAAGAGATAATTTCGCTGTACCGACGAGTGTTGTAAGACGAACATATTCTTGGCCGATCGAAGATGCCTAAGGCCAATGCGCTGAAATGTTTTCAAATGTTGCGCCTTTTCGCAGCTACCGAAGGCGATAGCAGCCTCTTCCGTGGAGAAGTGGTTGGCAAAATCATCACAGAACGGGCCGTGATGAGTAACGCAGCTCGGCAGCCATTCTGGATTGTAGGCCAGCAAAGTATCCGTTTGATGGTACAATATGGCTTTGATTTTGGTACCATAGGAAGCAAAAGTCAGACTTTCCGTTGCCTCATTCAGCGCATCTCGAATACTCATCCAATCCATGAGGAAGTTGAAAAATAGGGTGACGCATGGAATGGACGATTTCATATGCGTCAAGAGGCGTGGGGTAGTGATACTCTCATCTCTCTTGTACAGAATCATCCCCGCAAACAGTCGTGCCTCCTGCAGCACACTCATTGCCGAAAATGCAAAGGATGTCGCCCCAACCTTCGCGGCAGAGAATTCCGAGTCTGGGAAATAGCGTTGATTCAAGATGATGATTCCTGGAAGCAAAGGGGCGCACGATGATGGCAATGCTTTGGCGATCGATCTCCGTGGACCTCTGCTTGAATTGACCTTCCTGCGACGTTTTGGAGCGCAAGTCACAGTAGGATTAAGATGACGTATAAGACGCGGAGAAGACTTTCGGCCAAGCAGGTCTTTCAGCAAGGCTTCGCCGCCTGCAATTTCACTCCTAATCCATATTCAGCGAATCTTCTCAACACAGCGGGCCTGTTTTTACCAATGCTCAGGATCACTTACATTGCTATGTCAACAGCCGCCATATCTGTCCCGAATTCCTGGATGATACTTGAGAGTGTAGTACCATTCAATGTATCTCTGCCGACAACGCTCTCTGGAGTAATTGGCATAAGGGGGCAGGGCCAGGCAACATTTCAACCTTTTCGTCAGAAGCCATGCTTCAGAGGCCAACACCCGGCACTACCTGTTCACAGATCTACTGAGACCGTGGAATCACGGCATATTTCTAATTTAGTCCTACAAGCTCGCCTGTGCAGAGCTTGAGTGCGTACAGCAGAAACGTGTGGAGCCCGACATAGTAGTCCTGTAGGGTCTCAAGATCGAGTACAGAGAAACACCAGTGACAACACATCTCAACGGGTTCTTGCGGAATGCCTCTTTCCGCAGTGATCTACGAGTTTGGCGTCATGATTCTTTCACAAATATGGCACATGCGCAATAAGATGATTGAGGCGCGAAGCAAGGCTAGGCGATCAACGTTGAGATTATTTGAATAACTTCAGACTGTATACGGAAGCGGTTTCCTATTTCGTCTCCGAGGACCAATGATCTGACGCTGGGGTGCCCATACCACCTACAACTCACGGGACTGATCAATGCGCAAGCTCCATGTGTATTTTACGCTGCTGAATCGTTCTTCTCCCCTGATTATAAATTAAGTTTGAACACTCAACGCCATCGCTCTATTCCCCTGCGTTGATTTGGTGGTTGCTCACCGGAAACGTGGTCATTGTTACACTCGATCTTTCTGGAATCAATCTACTATGTTGCACACATGGCTACCTGCAGTCAAGTTCTCAATGTCGTGATCCGTGCACGCAATTCACTTCAACCTCAAAACAGTCATTACAGAGTGGTACTTCTGACAACGAATCTCTGCTAAGTACCTAGCATCTATCATTTCTGATCGATTATGATATGTCGCTCAAACCAAGGAAAAGGCAATACAATTCGTCATAAGTTTGATAGCTGTTGCTAATGTGCGGCCAGCTTTGTATTCCGCTGTGACCCGTGTGTCAATTTTGAGATTACTCGAGGCATTTTGGCGGGGACTTAAGCAGCATTCCAAATAGCTGACATGCTTGGTCATTTGAAGACCATCTAGATTCGTGTCAGACAATAGAGATTGCGTCCACTTGATAGTTCATGCTTTTCGGACGGAGACAAAAGCAGACCTGAGGTGTCGTCCACGAGTTAGACTTGTGCGCAGTTCACAACTTTACTGTTAGCTACGTTGCCAGCCGAGTCTCGTGTGCGAGTGCGCATTTAAAAATAATCATTCATACTTGAAGAAGTCGAAGGCGTGAAAGTCCCTTGACCATGCTCACTACAAACAGCAGTGGTTGGCTGCTGTAGGCGACAGCTACCAAGCTAGAAAGCCAATCTAATACATATTTTGAGCACGTCAAAATCGGGTTTGTTGGGCAAGACGAGGCTTTTGCGTGCATGTCACACAATAACTTCGTCCTTCGGCAAGCTGTCGGAAGCAGCGAGTAGCGAGTAGCACAAAGACTCCGAGTCAGGTCTGATATGCAGCCCTGACTTCCGCAGAAGTCATAAGCTCTCCTGCTGGCCGACCTCTTTCGGTTCGGCTGAAGTGCGCAATTCACGGGATACGGGTCACTGCATATCTGAAGAACGCTTCAACAGTGTATTCAATGCAGCCTCGACAAGGCTATCGGTTTACAAAACGTCTCAATAGTGAGGCGTTTTGGATTCTTGAAGAATAATACATTAAGAGCATTTCTTCTGCTTCACTTGTCTTGCCCATACACATCAGTGCAAAATCTTCTCTTGATAAGTGCAAAGTTGTGTTAAATGAGGTGAAATTTAGCGAGAAAACTCAATTTGGAGCAAATAACTCGAGTATTTATAAACGAGTGGCCATAGTAAACAAACACTTTAAAATGAAAGATCATCCTCCTCTCCACTACTATCCTCCTTCAATGTATGTATGCACGCTCGGATGAGCACAACAACTGTAACTGTGACCGCCTCAAATGTTCATATCTTAGTAAGGATTTGGAAAATACTGGAGCTAAATGGCGTGAAGGCAGCCTACCAAGATAGCTATTCATATATATATATATCAGCTCTGCAGTCTCATTCATCCACCGCTGTAACTTCACGTTACCGCCAGCGCTGTAAACACGGTTATCAACGCCTCAGTAGGCATCTATCCACAGCTGGTAGGAATGGTGTCATCGCAGTAGTCAGCCGCAGTCGCATCTTGTACAGAGGTAGAGATGCAGGCATGGACTCTGGGGGCCGAAGTTGTGTTAGGATGACATAGAGTGAAGTGACTCTTCTATTGAGATCAATTCAGTATTTACTATACCTAACCAATTCGCAACGCCATTCTAAAGTGAAATAGAATTCTGTCTCCTCCAGGGTGCGAACAGTCACAATCCCCTCAACAAAGTCGAGTTCAAGCAATTTCGCCACAATTCGATCGAATAAAAATTCGCAGTTGGACGACATAAGCGCGTTGGACACTGTTGGATATAAGGCTGTTCATAGAAAAGGGGCTTCAAGCGAGTCGCTCCATGCGAGCGGTATTACTCGATGAATATCATCATTACATTCTTTTACAACTTCCAGTTCACCGAAATATGGATAGAATTTGATCGTTACTTTAACGTTCGAAGGTATACAGTCTTGTCTCATCTGTTGTATGTTATACAAGCACTTTTCTTCTTTTCTTTTGTCTTCTCGATACGAGTGACTGGGCTGAAGGAGATGATCAAGAGTCGTAGGCTACTATATACTTGATAGTAGTAGCGTAATGCTCTGTAAGACAATTGAAATGAAACTCTTTACTGCTTACATGTAGACTTAGGCACTGATGAGCTTGCTCGTTGTGATGTTCAATGGCGCATGTGCTGCTGTTGACTTGATGGACACACGGAGCATACTTTGGAGAGTTCGGTCCAATCCGACGACTGTAGGGCTAATTAGAGCACCAGATCTAACGTTGTCCCTCTATGGACTGTCATCTGAATTGAGCCCAGGACTGTAGATTTTGTGAACGCTACTAATAGGAAAAACAAGGGAATTATTGATAGTTGCAAGATGTTGCTCATCCTTGTTTTCATCACGACATACCACCGGGCGCTTGGATGCTCTCGCTCAAGCTTGCTATGTGAAGTAGTATAGCACGGGGGTTCAACCATGGAGAAAATTGGAACAATATTCCGAGCAAAATGTCTATGATGGACTCGTCACGACCTGACGAGTGTATGAAAACAGACAAGACATTAAATCGATTCATTCTATTTCAATGGAATCTTCATAACATATGTGCTTTACAGCCCGAAAGCTACCTTCTGCTTCAGTCGAAGAGGCAGAGAAGGGAATCAGGCCTGAGTCACGTGATTATCACATGCCGTGAAACAAGGACTCCAGCAGGTCATCGAAAGAAGCTTCCACAACGTGAATAAGCCAATAGCAACAAAATCCTCTCGATTACTAGATCAGAGGGCGTCTGCAACAGTACAATAAGCAAGGCAAGGCAAGCAAGTATCGGCGACCGACCAGAAATAAACCGAACGCAGGCCGGGAACTCGGAAAAGAGAGGAGGAACATAATAAAAGTATGGTATCCTCCTCGGCGTGACAAGGAGTGCGAGGTGTGGTTACTCTCAGATTCCACGATAAACAAACTTCACTTATCTCCTCGATCCCGCGTACCCCGTGTGATGCAACACTGCAGGTCATTCGCAAATCCGAGGTTTCTCATTCATTCATCCATCAAATCCCCATTCCGAAGATCGAGCCCTCCATCCTTCCGAGTGGCCGAGGAGAAAGAGAACCCCCAACTTTTTTTCTTCCTTGGTCAGAGCGTCATGCGCTAGTGAGAATCTGGATTTGGGAGGCGAGAGAATTTTAGCTGCTTTCCGATCCGCATCTTTATCTTGCAGCTGCGACCCCGGAAAAGAAAAGTGAAGGAAAACCCTCTCACAAAGACAAAAAGGATATATTCGCCCATTATCGCACACAACAACTCGTTTCACGATCAATCTCACCACCGACACGATAGAAGAAATTGAGGATTACGACAGATTGAAGGGAGGACGCACGCGACGGGCTCCATAAAAAGATTTTGAGGACCGAGCTAGGACTGCAAAACACACACGAGCAACACGTTCAAAGATGAAGGTCTTTTCCAACGATGAGGTGTTTGACTACTCCTGGGAGGAAGTCTCGACTGCGAATTGGAGGAAATACTGTCCTTGGAACGACAAGAGCACACATGTCATAGCCGTCGATACATTATCGCGGAGCGTGGATCCTGAGTCAGGAATTGTACGTCCCCTACCCATCACCCACTTCCGAAACATAGAAGAGACTAACAAAATGAATAGTTGAGAACGGAAAGATTGATTACATGCAAGCAAAGCGCGCCGAAATGGCTTGCATCGCTCATGGGCGGAAACGAAACCTCACACGTCTTCGAAACCTCCTACGTGGATCCGGTATCGAAGAAAGTTACAATGATATCCTCGAATCTGACTTTTGCCAATATCATCTCGGTGCAGGAATCCGTGGTGTATCAGCCCCTTTCTGCAACCAAGACGCAATTCGTGCAGAACGCAAAGATCACAGCGCTTTGTGGTGGGTGGCAGAAGGTCAAGAATGCCGTGGAAGATGCGACTGTTACGCGATTTGGCGAGAATGCCAGAAAAGGGAAAGAGGGCTTCGAAGCTGTGCTGGAGATGAGTAGGAGGGTGTTTAGAGAAGAAAAGGAGAAGGCGAGGATGGAGGTTGAGGTCCAAGAGAAGATGGCAGCATGAGGACGATACATTCACGACTTTCCGACGATTCGAATTTTTGCTTCATAGCGTGCGAATACCAGCGTCCTTTTCGAGTAAGCAGCATGAGATTTGGGGTACATAAAAAGTCTACTTCGGAGTTTGGGGTTCGGCATATATACAGTGGTTGGGAACGGAGTTCCGGCATATACTACTCGCTTTGGAGAATTTAGATAAGAGAAAGAGAGAGAGAGACAGAGCATCGGTGGTGTACGATGGTATTGTAATCCTACTTGCTTAATCGGCAAAGATAGACCTTAGACGGCGATGGATTGAGAGGAGCAAAAGAAGAGAGGTTTAGACAGAGAAGAAGGGTGTACGAGAAGCTAGATCAATCTACAGCCTCCACTCGAGACTTTCCAAACTCGAATACTTTCTGATAATTATTGCTCGAAGTGATTTCGGTGATTCAGAGAACCTTTTCCTGGGCAAGTATTAGCAAAAGGTATCCTTAACTTTACAGTACAACCCAACCTTCTTCGTTCGTCGTACCCATTGCCCACTCCCAAACTAACCTCACTCTCCCTCCAATGTACTTCAACTCCAGGGTATCATATTCACTTCATCCCACTACTTTCTCCCCAAGCTCCCAACCTTCCCCTCACACTTCCCCCTATACCTCCCCAGCACCCCCCTAATCTCCACCCCCAACTCCCCCTCCAACGCCCTCTCCACCACCCCCAACGCCTCCTCATACCGCCTCAAAAAATACAACTCCTCCACCGCATGTAGAATCACCTGAGACTCCGGTTTCGTTGGCCTGTTTATCGGGAGTTTGAGGGTTTTGTATAGCTTTGTATTTTAGTCAGATGTTCGTTTCTATATTTTTGTGGGGATATGGGGAAGGGAAGGGAAGGGGATTTACATCTCCCGTTTCAACCTTGGGTTTCCATGTCTTGAGAATAGCCTGGAAATCGGCTTCGGATTGGAAATCTCGGGGAAGTTTTGGAGAGGTGGGGGATGTGTCTGAGTCGGAGGAGGAGAGGGTGATGGAGAATAGGCCGCCGTTTAGATCTTCTTCTTCTATTTCTGCTTCGTTGTCCATTTCTAGGTCCGTCCTACTGATTTCTTTTGTGAGGTTTGGTTGTTTGGTCTGGGGTTCAAGTCTTATCGTTGATAAGATATCACGGCACGGCGGGGTCGGAACGACCCCACATTTTGACTTTCGTTGAGGATATTGTTTGGGCATATAAAACTTGGGGATTGAGTGTTTGAAGTTTGAAATATGGAGGGACAAATTAAGGAACTGGTTGACAAGATATGGAGTAAGTCCTTTACTTCATCCTTTTAACTTATACTTCTGCATGAAACACAAGAGAGCACAGCTAACCCGTCCTCTCAGCAAAATTCCAAACCCTTCCCCCAAATGAACGTCTCCTAATAGCAATATCCGGCATCCCCGGCTCAGGTACCACCCATCCCTCCCCTATCCCCATTCTCTCCTCCCTCACTCACATCTCCCCAGGAAAAACAACCCTAGCCCACCTCCTAACCACCAACCTCAACGCCCTCCACCCCTCTCCCACCCCAATAGCAACCACCATCCCGATGGACGGCTACCACCTCACGCGGTCCCAGCTGTCCGCCCTCCCCAACGCCCCCGAAGCCATCTTCCGCCGCGGCGCCGCCTTCACCTTCGACTCCGCGTCCTACCTGTCTCTGATCCGATCCCTGCGCCTCCCACTCACGCCCTCTAGTGAAAGAACCATTTACGCCCCGAGCTTTTCCCACGCGTTGAAAGACCCGGTTGAGAATGATATAGCGATCTTATCTTCCTCGCGGATATTGGTTATAGAAGGTCTTTATTTATCTCTTTCTTCTTCGAGCTCGGGCTCAACTTCCTCGGATGGGGGGAGCTTTAAGCCAGATCCGCCGCAGGCGGAGGATTGGGTGAAGGCGGGGGATTTGATGGATATGCATGTTTTTGTCGAAGTGGGGTTTGAGAGGGCGGCGGAGAGGTTGGTGAAGAGACATGTGGAGAGTGGGATTTGTGAGAGTGTAGAGGTGGCGAGGGAGAGGGCGTGGGAGAGCGATTTGAGGAATGGGAGGGAGATTGTGGAGGGGAGGAGGAAGTTTAGGGAGGGTGTTGATGTGGTGGTTAAGAGTTGGGAGGATGAGGGGTGGAGGTGAGAGGGTTGATGGTTGGCATGGGATGACTAGTAGTCGGTTGGTTTGTCTGAGAAGTGGTGCCGAAATTCTGGACATTATGAAGAAGAACACACGACCGTATTGACCGTTATAGTTTAGGGTGTTGAGAGGTATCAAACTACTTTTATGACTCTATCGACAATACCGCTTCTAAGCTTAGCATACCATACCTGCCAACGCTCCTGAATACTCAAATAATGATCAAACCTTACTGATGCATCTCTTTTTAGTCTGTACCCTCTTTAACGATGCTCGGGGTCACCACGTATGGCTCATCATCAATGTTCGAGAGTACAGAGTCATCCGAGTTCTCACTCTGCTCAATTTCCTCTCCTTCGTCATCTACCTCTTCCTCCTGCTCATCGGTCTGTTCTTGTTCTTCTTCGTCCTCCAAGAAGACGTTCTTCGGTGTAGCAATCTTGCCACTGAATTCGTCAGGGACGTGGTCTCTACCCCATTGGAGCCAATACGTCATTGGATCCTTCCTGGTAAATTGTTTAGTCTTACTACGGTCCAAAAATTGTGGCACGGGTAGCCATTCCGTAGAGGAGTTGGGCCAGTACTTACTCATATCCATATTTGAGAAGTGTCTCCCACGCAGCTTCATTCTTTTCCTCAAGTTCTGTATCGTCAGATCCACCTGTATCGAGGCCGTCTTCTTCGCAGAATGCTTGGTCATCCCCGAGGCGAAGCAAGTCGTGAGTTATCGGCACCACAACGCCATATACAACAGCCACGTCGCAAGTGAAGCGTCTATCGAACAACAGTATCAAATCTTGTTTCATGTTGGTCTTTGCTTCAAAGTCTTGGTCTCTGTAATACGGATGTATCGCAAGACAGCGGAATGTCTCTAAGCGTTCTTGAATCCTGCTTTCGCGAAGGATACTTGCTAATGGCGCAATCTGAACGAGGTTGTGAGTTGTCAGAGTTTTGAAACGTGAGGAACATGATTACTGACTGGGTCAGACTTCTGAGGTTTAGAGATCATAATGAAATCAGGGAGATCCAGACTTGAAAGAAACTCGATGTCAGAATCGAGGTCCTCAGTATATGGGTAGCAATTATATTTGACGGCAAGAAAGCGACGTATGACCTTTTTGGCCATATTGACGTAGGTGCTCTCAGAATAGGGCACCTGGAAAGTTAGTGGTTTGTCCTAGAAGAGGTTGTGTACATACTTGAACTATCTCGTCTTCCCCGTCCTTATTGACACGGACTTCGACCCGCCTCCTATTGACTAATACACACTTCTCCCAAATCTGCTCCATGTCGAAGTACGGTTTGAAGGTGCTCGGAAGAGCCATCTTCAGAATAGCACTAGACGGCGTACAAAACGTTTCCCGCCTGCGGATTCGGAGGCTGGGCATGGGCAAAGAATCCGTCTTGTCATTATTTTCTTCCTTGATTGACATGTCTTCAAACGACTGGAATGCATTCATGACCGTTGGGGAAGTATCCGACGAGTCTTCGTCTTCGTCTTCCAATCCAGCGAATCTCAATTTTTTCTATTCCAATTAGTCGATGTAGGATGAATAGATGTGAAATAGTCCTACTTGAATTGGCAACTGCAGGCCGCTGATATCTCGTCTTTTCGTTGGTGACGAAGGTCGCGAGGACACTGCGGGTGGAGACGACATTTCTACATGCTCTCTTTCTCTGGCATCGACCACGGCTGTTGATGTGCCACTTTCGCTGGCGTCTTCAGAGAATTGTGCCGGCGCTGAATTAATGTCCTCAATGTGCTCAAACCTTACGACTTTCTAGTGGACAACGTCAGAAAGGGCTAGGTGATCAATACGAAAGAACTCACAAGCTTGACTGGAGAGGACTGAGCCGAGACAAGACCCGCAATCTTCTTTGATATTAGGCCCTGCATTTGTCCTGCCGTAGGACTTCGTTCTAGGATTGGAGACCTAGATAGAGTATAGTTAGAGATCTATAGTGGATTGTTTTGGGCGAAGAATGATATGTTGTAAAGCGAGAAAGTGAGAAAGACTCATCCGCCAAGAGCTTACATCTTGCCCTACACTCCCAGACGTTCTTGATACTTGTTTATGCTGTTAAAGACGTCTTGGAAATGTGCGCAAGAAATTCTTGAGCATGGAAATTGTGTAATGCATGGAAATGGTAGACTACGCATCACGAAACTAATATATCTGGAAGGAGCGGTCCACATATTTGCTCGAAATGGTCTCAACTATGCACCATCCATCATCATCGTAAGTTTTACTGCCCTAGCAATTCATTCTTCACTTTCTCTGCCTCGCGCAAAAGTCGAAGAACATCAGACACCAAGTACAGGCTGCCTGCAATGACCAGTGGCCCATCTCCGGCAACTGTGGTTGCCCAGCGCAGAGCAGTAGAGATATCACCAGTGCCGTGCAGATGGGTAGGATCCACTCCCGAAGCAGCGGCAGCAGAAATAATGTCGTGGGTTTCCATAGCTTGGACCCAAGGCATGCCGTCGACAGGACCAAACTTCACAGCAGCCACACAATCGCCTTGATGGAGCAGTGACTTCAGAATACCCTCGAGTTCTTTTCCTTGCGAAGCAGCAAGAACCCAGGTCACTTTTCTCCCATCTGTACGTAGTTTTTTATCCACATATGTGCCCAATACTTCTGCCGATTGCACATTATGGGCACCATCAAGGAGAACAGGTTGAGACCTTCCTGTAACACTTCTGATGTCCAAAGTCTGCAAGCGTCCGGGCCAGGTGACGTTTTGAACCGCAGGCAGTAAGCGATGTAAAGGAGACTCCAGTTTAGTATAGGCCAAGTGGAACGCAGTATATGCGCAGGCAAGATTCTGCCATTGATGAGGCTCGAAGTCCTCTTTAGACAATTCGTCTAAGAAGGACGACTCTGTAGAGCTGAGAACTACTTCTGTTCCAATCTCCTTTGCATAATCTTCCACAACTTTGCGCACAGATGCGGGATTGCTCTTGTCCAATACACAAGGAATTCCAGATCTCATGATACCAGATTTTTGGTAAGTAATCTCTTCGATGGTGTTTCCCAGGAATGACTGATGGTCAAGGCCGATTTTAGAGATGACTGTGACGGCTTTGTTTTCCATAACATTGGTTGCATCCAATCGTCCACCGAGTCCAACTTCGACAACACCCATCTCTATTTTCTCCCTTGCAAATACCTCAAAGGCAGTTGCGGTCAGCAGCTCAAATTCCGAAGCTTCGATGTTCTCTGCACGATTCCGCCTCAGCACCAGGTTCTCCGCTTCTTTGAACACCGATTCCTTGACGGTTTGCTCGTTGATGGTGATACAGTCCCATCGGTCAATTAAATGTGGAGATGTAAATCGGCCACAACGTACACCACTTGCATGGAGCATAGCAGAGAGGTAGGCGCATATTGTGCCTTTTCCGTTGGTGCCTGCAACATGAATCGCTTTCCATGGTTGTGGTGTATGCCTGAGCAGGCGACTTATTCGGCCCAATCCGAGTTCAATCATGGCGAGGAAGAGTCAAACGTGACTCTAAATGCCGGTTTTTTAGATGACAAACATCGCTGTAGAAAGAATAGAAGTTAGGTACCTTGAGGTGAAAGAAGATAACCTCTCATCCAAAGTAGTCTGATTGTTATTCTCTGTTATTGAGAAAGAATTGGAGAGTGATCCATATCAAAGATTTTATCTAAAGTGAGGTGAGGCTTAAAGGTGAAGTTTCGCCCCTCACCCCCTGCATTTTAAGCGAGAGATCTCCTGCAACGGTACTAAAATCTCCCAGATTCCGAGAGGCTTCGCCAACGAGCAATCGCATCAACAACCCCATTCAGGAGCGCGAAAATATTCAATCTTCCATCGAAAAAACCTCTTTAGTGTTGTCGCGCAACTATACTAGACTCATATCACCCCTTATTTATCCCCATCAACCCCTCAATCAGCGAAAATGGGCCTGCCGTGAGTGAACCAGCCCCCTCCTATCTATGATTTTTATCATCCAGTACTGATCAAAGAGCAGTTTATTCATCACTCCTGTAGAGCCTGAGGTTGCTGCGAAGCCCGAAAAGGCCACAGCAGGTCCGCGATCTTCAATCCGCCGGCAACGTACGATTCGAGGCCCTCACTCGCGCCCGTCAGCAGAGATTCGAAGAAGACGGATGCTTGGTATGCTCGCTGATGCAGAGCCCGAAGATTTTGAACCATCGGAAAACCGACAACGAGTTCCAACTTCTGACCGAACCGGCGAACTTGATGGGCGCTCGATGTTTGAACAAGAGCGCATGAGATTACGTGACACGCTCAGCTTTGAGCGTCAGCATCGGCCCAGCAATGAGATCGATGGCCTATTCATGCCTCCAGTCCCGGAATCGCGTGATTATTCCGGCACTGAAGAAAGGCAGAGAGAGATTCTGCGACTGAGGGCTATACGACAAGATCTGCGGAGAGTAGCCAGGAGACGTCCAGCCCCTACGCCGCCATATACGGACACAGATCTCAACTTCATGGCTCGCAATGGCCCTGGAATCGATTCACCACGTCCCTCTTCACTAACACCTGCTCGATCACCATCCCATCCTTCTGTTGGCGAGGCAGATGTATCACCACCCAGGCGCCCACTCGAGGACTCTGATTTTAGTTTCACTGTGCGAGGTCCTCCATATGCCGAGGTAAGATACTGTATTTTAATAAGACCTGAGGATTGCGGTCTCTCCAGTCGCTGCAAGACTTACTCTTGTTTCTCAATGCCTACTGCAATATTGGCTAACTTTCTTCAAGCGAGCAGCACGATCAACCCTCTCGGAACGAGTACAAGCATTTAATCGAGTGTCCAGCAATATGGAGCGGTCCAGGCGAATTATCCGCCAAGCGCGATTAGATGGACTTGGGGACAGAGATCGAAGCCTTAGCCCTGAGAATGGTGCCGCTTGGGATACCCTCCTTACGAGCATTACACCGGATCCACAACCACCCAGCGCTGGGTCATCATTTGCATCTGCCTCTGCAGCAGCCGCAGCATCTTCATCCGGATCTGGACCAACCTCGGCGAGCACGTCTATGACTAGTGTAGATAGGAGTGGCGATTCGACGGCCCTTCGTGATTGTGATATATCGGACTCTGGGTCGAATACGGATGAGGAAGACGAAGATATCTATGAGCTCCATGATTTCAACCGAATGCGAGGCGATCGTTTTTGGACATATGCAGATGTGGTCACTTCTAGAGCAGACCGCGCTGCACGAAATGGCGGCACAGATACAGAGCATCTTGGTGGCATGCATCGCATCATATCAAGATTGGCTTCTAGAGACGAGATACCAGAGGAATGGTGGGCTTCTGCAGGACTAAGTCGCAACCTACGTCGAGAACCTACGACCTAATTCCATCTGAATAAATAACGACCGCACGGATTTCTTATAGGGGGATGATACCATTTGTACCATACTTGTTTTCACTAGTACTACTTTCAAAAGTCCGGAACTTGCTGGGATACCGACATCTGCACTGGCGTTGGGAATCTGGGAAAGTTTTCTTGCGGTGATTTCGACAAGGACAGCATTTCAATTGAACATATTGCGTGTTTCCCATTCATCAAATAGCTCAGCAGATCTTAAGTGGCTTTTATGATCGATATGGCATTAGTGACAAGATAATGTGAAGAGAATCAGGGGACATTGCTGACGGGAAGGAAACCGCTACGGATGTGGAAACGCGTTGAGAAGCTCTTCTGACAGTGAGACACGCTCGTATAGTTCAAAGTCTACTGATTGGTAGCAGACAATAGAATGAACCAAGAAAACAAACGGTGAAACATAATTGTCGAGATCCTCGGAGGTCCAATGATCTTTCTCGTTTGGCGTTGCGCATCTCAGCCTTACTGCAGGTCGCGAATCCCAGTAACGCTCCACGCTCGTTTGCTACGCTATTTTGTCATTGCCAATTTCTCTTAACAATCCACGAATACTTTTCTCAGGGAACATTGATACCGAAGACTTCAGCATAGGATGTGGCATGCCATCTGTCAATCTAAGCTGCCATCAACGCCCAGGAAGTGATTTGCGCTCCGACTCGCCTGGCACAACCAGACTAGGATCCGCCTTATACGCAACCTTGACCATAACTCACGTAACCCCGCGATACCGCGACTTGAAACCGGGACCTTGTCCACGAACGCGAGCATTCATGGTTGGGATGAGATCCTCCATCTGCCAGAGCATTCGACCTCCTCTCTGCCTCCTTTGAAACCCTTTCCTAGGCCTCGACTTCGGCCATGGTCTCCCATACTCAATCGTCGTCGGACCGGCAAGCGAATGGCAGATCAGGGGCTGGGAACGGACATGGAAAGACGGAGAGGACTCCAGGGACGCCGAGGAAAGATGGCGGAGCGGGGAAGGAGAAAGCAGTGCAAGATCCAGGTCTCAAGGACTACGTAGGTCTTTATGCCGAGGAAGAATAATCAACTTGCTTATACATGGGATAGCGTCTAGGAGAATGCCTTGGAAAAGGTGCTTTTGGGTCCGTCTACAAAGCCTTCAATTGGGGAACAGGAGAGGCTGTTGCTGTGAAGCAGATCAAGCTTGGAGATCTCCCCAAGAGCGAGTTGCGAAATATTGAGGTACGAGAAACCACGAAACATCTAAGCTGTGGCTAACATATTATAACCAGGCCGAAATCGACCTACTAAAGAACCTTAATGTGAGTTCTTCAAGCGAGTGGTGGCATATAAACGGTTCGCTGACATGCATTAGCATGATAATATTGTCAAATACCTGGGTTTCGTTAAGTCGTCAGACTGCCTAAACATAATATTGGAGTAAGCTTTGGCAGAGCCATCCAAATCAGAACCTCTGCTCACACTATTCAGGTACTGTGAGAATGGATCGTTGCATTCGATATGCAAAAGCTATGGCAAATTCCCTGAGAATCTGGTCGGAGTTTACATGGGCCAAATCCTTCTAGGACTGCAGTATCTCCACGATCAAGGTGTCATTCATCGAGACATCAAGGGAGCGAACATTCTCACGACAAAAGATGGCAAAGTCAAGCTTGCAGACTTTGGGGTTTCAACAAGTACGCTGTCTGGGGCTGACAAGGAAGCCCAAGTTGTGGGAACGCCATATTGGATGGCTCCCGAAATTATTCAGTTATCGGGAGCCACACCTGCCTCTGATATCTGGAGTTTGGGATGCACAGTCATCGAGCTCTTGGAAGGAAGGCCGCCATATCATAAACTTGCACCTATGCCAGCACTCTTTGCTATTGTCAATGACGACCATCCCCCATTGCCGGAAGGTGTTTCGCCTGTAAGTTTAAACGAAAACTTCGCATTATTCGAATTTTCACTAATGTTTTGTAGGCTGCTCGTGACTTTCTCATGCAATGCTTTCAGAAAGACCCTAATCTGAGAGTGTCGGCCCGAAAACTACTGAAACATGCTTGGATCGTTGGGTCAAGACGGAGTGATGCTCCCGTGGCGAAACCACCTGCAAATTTTAATGAAGCTGTTGAAGAAGTCAAACAATGGAACGAAGCACTAAAGTCTCCGACAGGAGCGGGATCGTTTCGTGCGTCCACGAGGTCCAATGCCGCAAGCCCTATGCCACCAAGAAGAGATCCACCGCTTCGAGATCCTCATAGTGACCAAAAGCCGACAACACTAATCACTCCTGCCAAAGGACCTCTTCAACTTGCTAAGCCAAAAAATCAAGCAGAAGCATTTCGATCTCCAGAAACCACAGGTATGCGAAATTGGAAGCTTCGAAGGTTATGAATAATATTGACTATCTACAGAAAATGACAATTGGGATGATGACTTTGCATCTTCTATCTCTCCCAGCGCGCTTCACCTTCCTCAGTTCAAGCCTCATGACAACTTTGGGGGCATGCTGTCGTCTGACCGCCTGAAAGCTTTTGCATCGTTTGAAGTACCTAACGATGAAAATGACAATTGGGACAATAACTTCGAGGGTGATTTAGTAACCATCAAAGGACCGCGCAAGAGTATAGAGCCAGACAGTCATGAGCTTGAAACGATTCGACCTTACAAGGTTAAGCCCACCATTGTCACTCAAAACAATAAGCCGGCTGTGGCAGTAAAACCTTCTTCGAGGAAGACATCGAGAAGTGAGCCGCCTAGGCCGAAATCTCCTGTCAAAGCTCAGGTAGGAGCTAAAGCAGGACCTAAATTTGTTTTACCTGCAAGACCAGCAGCGATGTACCGCGAGCAGTCTGTCGAAGATTACTCGGATTTGTTTGTCGACAATGACAGCATTTTCGACAGACGGCTGAGCATTATCAAGGTGAATTCAAACCTGCTACTTTGTATCGCGACTAACTTGAGACAGGATGATGCTCTTTCCCCAAAATTATTCCACCCTTCGGATCTTACAAGCTTGCCACGCTCAGCCCAGTCTCCCGTTGCACTCAATGGTAGCATGAGGAGAAAGACTGTTCCTCAATCTGAAGATAAAGCCATGCGGCGGACAAGATCATCCGTAGAAATTCAACGCTACGCTGAAGATGAGGACGATGAGGACTTTTCTGATATCTTCGGAAAGGACGGTACCATTGTAGAAAAGGACGAAAGCGATCGAGGCTCTGAAGATGGTGTCGGAGCCTTAATGCTGCATTCGAAACTCTCTAACAATTCATGGCTTGGCGATGAAGATGATGAGGACGATCCATTCGCCTCATTGGAGCAGGGTTTTGATGAGATGGATCTGCAAGCCAACATTGCTCGTGACAAGCATGCTAGATTATGTACTTTAGTCGAAGGCTTGGTGAGCTCGTTGAAGGTAACAGAGGAGCATGACCTTATTGAGGATGTCTCTGAGCAACTAGTAAGTTTTCCCCTGCTTTTCATTAAGACTAGTACTAACAAATTGAAGCTCGATGTTCTGTATGAGTCAGAAGATGCGAAGAGTCTCATCATTAGCGCACATGGAATGCTTCCCATCCTTGAGATCCTTGAGCCCTGTACTGTCAAAAGTCGGCAACCAATGATCTTGCGACTCTTGAAGGTAGTCAACACAGTATGTATTTCTTTCTCCTACAGCAAAATATCTGCTGACACTGGTAGATCATTCTCAATGACGTTGAAATCCAAGAGAATTTATGTTTCGTTGGAGGAATTCCAATCATCACGAAGTTTGCGGCAAGGCAGTACTCCAACGACATTCGTCTAGAAGCAGCTGCATTTGTCAGACAGATGTACCAAACATCAACATTGACCCTTCAGATGTTTGTGAGTGCCGGTGGTCTCAATGTCCTTGTCGAATTTCTTGACGAGGACTATGATGAAGCTAGAGACTTGGTTTTGATTGGTGTTAATGGGATCTGGAATGTTTTCGAGCTTCAGGTAATTGCTACCCTTTACCTACTCTATCTCATGAATACTGACAACATCTTAGGGACCAACACCAAAGAATGACTTCTGTCGTATATTCTCTAGAAGCAAGATTCTGTCCCCTCTCGCCCTCGTCTTGGATCGTGTACTTGATGAGGAAGATGAGCTTTCCGAACTCATTGAAGGACGTATTGTAAACATATTCTACCTTTTTTCACAAGCTGAGAATTATGTCAAAGAAGTCGTGGCGGATCGTGTTGTACTCAAACGTACGATTCTCTACTTAAATGCTATATTATATGCTAACCTAATTCAGGTGTCCTCAAAGACCTTCGGCGGATGACTCCAGCACATCAAATCACGATGTTGAAATTCATCAAGAATCTGTCCATGTTGTCGACCACTCTTGATAGCCTACATGCTGCCAATGCCATCGAGCTTCTGATCGATCTCCTTGGATCAAGTATGAAGAAGGACGCCAATCACTTCCGCGAGATTTCCAACCAAGTTCTGAACACCATGTATAATTTGTGCAGGTTGAGCAAAGTACGCCAAGAAGATGCTGCTATCAATGGCATCATACCATTGTTGCAGAAGATCATGAAGACAAAGAGACCTCCAAAGGAATTCGCTTTGCCGATTCTTTGTGATATGGCCCATTCTGGAAAAGTGGGACGAAAGTACTTATGGCAAAATAAGGGACTGCAATTCTACGTCTCACTGTTGGAGGACCAGTACTGGCAGGTCACCGCGTTGGATGCCATATTCATTTGGTAAGCTGGCAAAACTTCATCTTTACTACACGTTACTAATTTCGCTTGTAGGCTTCAGGAGGAGACTGCTAAAGTTGAGAAGTGCTTGTTGGAAGGCAACTTCACCGAAGCCATCGTCAAGTGCTTTAACGCACATAAAGCCAGTGCATTCGATTATAACCTACTCGAACCCCTACAAAAGCTCTTGCGGCTAAGCTCGCCAGTTGCAGCTTCCCTTGCTCGACCTGATCTCTTTTCGGGTATTCTCCAGAAACTCAATCATAAGAAAGCTGTAGTGCGATTGAATCTGCTGCGTATCGTTCGTAGCATATGCGATCCTAGCGACGAAGAAGCTGGTAGCATCCAGTCTCATCCTCTCTTCGACGAAGTTCAACGTCTAGCTGAGAACGACAACGCCGTTCTGGTCAGAAACATGGCAAGTGAGCTCGTGAAAGCCAACTTGGACACCAACTCCGAAACCAGCAGCGGAGGACGATCTCGGCCAGGCCAAGTCAGACGTACCTTCACGCCTCCATCCTTACAACATAGCATGACAGCACCAATGACACCCACACATGCCAACCGAGTCTCGCAGTCTTCGGCATTCATAGATGGCAGCGTTACGCCCCGTCGGCTAGCAGCTGGATCCAATGGAAGTGATATAGTATATAGGCCAAGAAGCAGAGATGGATCGCAAATTCAAATGACACGCAGAACCAGTGGGGAAGTTATTGGTGGCTCATCATTGAGCAAAAGTAGATTACCGCGAACTTCAATGCTCCGGGGATCTAGATCATCACTGGCTGCTATGTCAGTAAGCGATGATTCGACAGCAAGAAGAGAGAACGGTGTAAGGTTAAGAGAGCAGTCGCGATCGGTTGCTGCTTCGCCAGCTCAATCATCAGGAGGTACAGCGCCACAGCTGAACTCGAAACGAAGGACGAGACCGCCGAGTGGGGATATCAAATGGTCGTAGAGATTTACGTGGGCGATGAGATGACAGAGAAAGGATGGACAGCCGCATTTTCCTTGAGTAGTTAACTGCATGCATTGGGCGGAGTCAAAAGTGTGGTTTGTGGGTGCATAGCTCGCTGGCGTTGCATAGGCATTGATATATGTATCGATCTTTGATCGAGGGTGGGTGGGTGTTGGAGAGGAGAAAGTAACAGCATAGGCGTACAATGGAATGATACATTGTGATATTACTTATGTCTCTTCGAATCTCCGTTATGCTGCGTGATCTTGGATGCTGTGCCAGCCCACTGCGATCTGCACCTAGGTACAGTTCAGGTATAGGCACTCACTCAGTTGTTCTGCACGTGATGCTCGATTGTGCGATCCTTTCGGTGCTCTTGCCTAATAGGGTTTATCTGATCGCCATCCAACATATGGAAGACTTCTCCACCTCCTCAATCTCTCAATCAAAATGGCAACGTCAAACATTTCCATCTCACTAGCCACAGAAGATGATGCCCAAGCCCTAGCATCCGTCATGACAGCAGCTTTCGCGGCCAGTGATGCCGCTTACCCACTCATCTGGGGCTCCGCAGAAGAAGGAACGCATGATGCGATCTCAGTGAAAGGATTATTCACCCCTGTCCAGAAAGAAGGCAGGATCACATTCAAAGCCGTGGACGATGTGAGTGGAAAATTAGTGGGCTTCGCGACGTGGAATATGCCGAAAGAAAAACCTGTCGTTCCACCGCAGGCAGCAGAGAAGATGGGTGGACTGCCTCCTTTGCCTGGTGTGAATTTGGAGTTGTGGGGAGCGAAGGTGGCCGGTCCGAGGAAGTTTTATGATAGGGATTTTGATGTTTATCAGGATATTTGTATGTTGCCGTTTCTTTTTGCTTCTGTTTGAAGGGGAGATGATTGTTGATGTGGATGCAAGTGCTGTCTTTTTTCTTCGTGCAACCGGATTATCAGCGTCGAGGTATCGGTTCTAGTCTATTGGAATGGGGGAAGAAGAAAGGTGATGAGGTGCAGGGGAAGATATGGCTTACTAGTACCCCGCAAGCTCGGGTTGCGTATGAGAAGAATGGGTGGAAGGTTGTGGAAAGCCATGAGATTGATTTGAGCAAGTATGGTGGTGAGGGATCCTACGTTCGTTTCTGGATGTTAAAATCACCAGTATAAGTCTGGTTCGTGTTGTAGGTGGGCAATTAGAGAGGAGCTATGCGTGCCCTTTACGGAGTCCAGTCCGAGACGACAGACAATCATCTAATTTGCGGATGATGCGCGAGAACGAGTGACGGTGACATCTTGTGGCGATGTAGAATCTCAATTTCACATTTCTTGATGGGCCTGGAGAGACAAGAAGCACTACTTTATTGAGATAGACAGTGCAATTGTGGACAGTTTTGGTATCATGTGTCTATTCAATTCAAATTCATGCAAACAATCTATCTACGTCCAGTCCATCCTCGGATGTCTATACACCTCCGCTAGCTCAGCGACGTTCTCAGTGACAGCAGTCGAAAGTTCCTGCAACTGGATTGACTCAGCTCGCGCGGCTTGTCTTCTATCAATTTCTGCCCATTCGCCTCTCAAGTACTCCTGGGCTTTCTTGGCATCTTCAGGAGAAATTGCTCTTCTCAATCGAGCGGAACGTTCTGCCTCACGGCGATGAATGATGCTGCGAGTGTACTTGACTCCATGGTAGACAAGCAAGGTGACTACAACAATCAAGGCGACAACAGCGAAAGCGATGCCAGCGTTCTTATGTATGGGAGCTGGTATCTCAGGCTTGGTATGGATTGAAGCTGTTGACGTATTGCTATTGAAGTCTGGCGTCGGAATGGATAGATTTTGACTCAAAAAGGCAATCAGTTGTCCCCGTTCTAAACTCATTTAGCATTCCTCGTATCGTTCATGTAGGTGGGGCGAAAATACCAAAGTTGGGTAGAACAGATTCAAGATGAATAGTGAGCTTGTTCTCTGCGAGACTGAGAGCATCGGAAAGACCCTCGATGCTATTGGGACATTGTTGGACGGCCCACGAAAGTTTATCCTTCGTTGGGAAGGTATCAAGACCACTGGCTTGAGAATGGTAGATGTCATACTTGAGGGTTTGGAAGAAGTCCTTGCATGGCTCTGGGTCGGCATGGATTTGAATTCTTCCTGCGGGAAGAGTGATCGGTGCCATTGTGGTTGACTTTGAATCCGATGATAAGTTTGTGGGGGAATATTCAGTGAGAATGTTTGTTTGAATTGTGGGTGAAGTTGTTTTGGAGAGAGGAAAAGAGAAAGCTTTATGTGCTCTGCTATTTCATTATGGACTGCAGCAAAATTTGGCACGATCAGTCCAGAAGCTAATGAGCGGCCGAATTTAAATCTCGACCACGAGAAATTGGGTCACACCAGCAGAATATATTGAAAGCCGTTGTTATCCGTAGGGTACATCGACTTTGAAAAACGTCCCAAGCTCACCCGAAAGCTGCCCTTTCCTTCACTTGGTACTTCATGCAGCATTGAAGCACGATGGCAGCCCCTTTTATTTTTCGCTTAAGTAGCGCCACGTGATCACAGATGACTTAGAGGACATCAAATTTTGCATGCCATGAGCTTTGCCATGATCTGGTGGTATATTCATGAGCTCTTGACATCTTATTAAGATTCGAGAAACAATCTCCCAATGATCAAGATACGAAGACTTAGTACTCCTTCTTTGGAATAACTTTCAGTCCATTCTCTTTGTGTTCTAGGCTGAGGTATCCGCAGAGCCAAACCACTTCAGAGCTCTTGTTAAAACACTAGCATAGTGACAGAGGTACCTGCGGTTAGAAGGCATTATATACGACGTGCAACATGATTCTTGAATGCCTCTATAGCGGGTAGGTCGCAAGCTATCCGGAGAGCTGCAACCACTACCACTTCATAGCTCCTTCGAAAACGACCGGCATAAGAACGGATGTACCTGCGGCTGAAAGGCATTATGTACGATATGCAACAAGATTCCTGGATGCCTCTATAGAGGTTAGGGCGCAAGTTATCTGTAGAGCCGCAACCACTTCATAGCTCCTTCCAGAACGACTGGCGTGAGGACAGATGTACCCGCGGTTAAAAGGCATCATGTACGATGTGCAACAATATTCATGGATACCTTTATGGAGGTTAGTACCCAAATTCCCAAATTCCCGAAGGATGCCGTGGACTACAAGGGCCTAAGGGGGGGGGGGGGGTCTTGTTGGACCGAAGTGTGTCTTCAGCATATCTGGCTAGGATCGGACGGGACACACGGGTGCAAGTCAATATGGGGGACACCGAGGTAGGAACGAACTACCCACTCGATGTGGGCGAACTCCTAGCAAAAATACCGTGAGAATCAGCTGATTTCCTGCGGGGAGGAAAAAGTACGACATGCAACAGAACTTGACAACAGTAACTCAAGGAAGGCACGGTCTCTCTGTGAGGGAAACATAGCCAGTGTCAGCTGATTTCCTGTGGGGAACAAAAATTGCGAAGAGCAACAAAAGTCAAATTCAAACTCAAATTAGAGGCTAAAAGGAATGGGCAGTGTACACTTACAGAACGAGAAGGAGCCTTACGGCTACCCAACCTCGAACAATGGCATTGCTTTCGTGAGATATTGGATGGATAGGATAGCAAACTGCCACATGCTCTCAGGTCCTCACCCTGTCTTCCGAAGTATATTCACGTGATCTTCTCGGCATCATGAATGCAGTTCCTACGAGCTTCAGAGACTGACGTTTTGCCTTGCGGTTAACATCGGCATAATTTTACGATGTGCAACAAAAGTTCGAAGGGATGGAGAGAGACGTGGTCATAGCAGCTGGCATTGGTAGCGAGAGACTGGTTGAGAAGGCTAGGTACGGCATCCTCTTGAGGTGCTCTTGGCATTACCTGCGACGTGCAACAAGGATACCCAATCCAATATGAGAAAAGTCGTTTCGCTACCCTCGGTATCTTAAAGTAGAGCAACTCCTTCAGAAGCTGAGGCGGCGTTGCAGCTGCAAATGAGATGCATCTCGACGAACTTAGTCTATTGAAAGCTTGCCACTCCTATGAAATTCTGATCAACTAAGACATCGAGGACATCGGACTACTCTTGAATAAGACGAAACCTCTTTGAAATCTAACAGCAGGCCAAAAGGCCTCGAAGCAAGCTTTGAACCAACACGTACAATACATGTAAAATCAACCTATCTCCTCATCTTGCATTACCAGTCAGTCACTTCAGCAATCAAATAATACCAGCGGTCTTAGCCCTTGAACCCCATTGCCCAAGAACTTTGCTGCACGTCGAGCTTTAGGGCAGAGCGTTGTTTACCCTTATGGCTCTTCGCCTATTTCGTCCTCACTTTGCAAGGCTCTTGGAAGCGATATTTGACGAGTAGACGGACTCCTCGGTTATTTTGACGATGTGCAACAAAATATGAATGCTTGGATATACAAAAGTTTGTGCATAGAAGAAATATAATATTGTGTGAGGTATCTCTCAAATTGGACCAGGAGGAAATTTGCGCAATACCCGCAATTCGCGCGAATCGCGCGATTTGGGCAAATTGCGTTGTCCGCGCTGTCCGCGCTATAGGCGCTCGAAGTGTATTTTTTTTGGGATTGTTCGTTTATTCTCTCTATTGAGAGATCAGTCACGAAAAAATAATTAAGGCACAGTACAGCAGAGATATAAGACATCGCGAGCTTTCATATGACAGGCAATAATATATGACTGAGATAGCACAACGTTCAACAGCGTTCCTTGAGTTTGCAGAACACAAGCACAAATCAACACGAGTAGAAGATGAATACAAGAGGCTGGATCTTTATACATAATGTACAATATACCTACAAACATCCCGTCTAGTTCCCATCTACTTAGCTAAGAACTTTTGGAACGCTTTATGATCAATCGTAATGTTTCCCACGGCCTTCAACTTCTTCCTTCCCTCCTTCTGCTTCTCAAGTAGTTTCCTCCTTCGACTGATATCCGAGGCATGTAATTTGGCCAACACATCTTTCCTAAACGGCTTGATCGTTTCTCGTGCAACGATCCGCTTTCCTGCTGCTGCTTGGATGATAACCTCGAACATTTGTCTGTCGACGTGTTCTTTGAACTTCTTGACCCATTGTCTGCCGATACGGTCAACTTGAGATGTATGGACCACTCGAGCTACTGCATCGACTGGTTCTTTGTTGACGAGAAGTTGCATCTTGACGATGCTGCTGCGTCGAAAGCCGGCATCTTCGTAATCGAGACTTGCGTAGCCCTTTGTGGCCCCTTTCAGCTTGCCGAAGAAGTCGTCTACAAGTTGTGCTAGGGGTATATCGTATTTCAGGATGACTTGCGTGGCCGTGAAGAAGTTGAGCTCTTTTTGCTCGCCACGATTAGCTTCGCAGAGCTCGATGACTTTTCCGAGATATTCTTCTGGAAGAGTGATAGTTGCCGAGACATATGGTTCTTGGAGCTCTGCTATTCTTTGACTCAGGACATCTGTGTCGGGGAAGTTTGTAGGAGACTGAATGATCTCTTCTCTTCCGTCAGTCCAGAGCACTCTAAAAGGCACAGTTGGAGGTGTGATGATGATACTGGCTCCGTGTTCTTGTCGCAGCCTGTCCTCAAAGACAGAGCAATGTAACGTTCCAAGAAATCCAAGCCTCCACCCAGCTCCCAATGCTTCTGAAGCCTCTTTCTGAAGTGTTACACTTCTGTCGTTCAGCACAATCTGGTTGATTGAATCTTCCAGGTGTCCAAAATCACTTTGATCAACAGGAAATGCCGATACAAAGACCATCGATTTAGGCTCCTCGAAACCAGGATACGGCTCAACTAAATGCTCAGAGCCAACAGTGGTATACGTGTCTCCGCTCAATGCTTCTTGGCTCTTCTTCATACCAGGATTGAAGTAGATATACCCCACCTGCCCAGCTCTCAAACTACTTTGTGGCGTCTGATCAGGATACATAATCCCAACCTCACCTACGAAGTATTTCAAGCCCGTAGCAAACGACACCACTTGATCTCCTGCTTTTACCGTCCCATCAAATATCCTCACCAACAGAATAACTCCCTTATAATTATCATACCAAGAATCAACCAACAGTAACCTCAACGGCTTATTCAAGTCCCCAACTGGCGCCGGAACCTGTTTTATAACACCCGGAAGAATCTTCTCCACATACAGACCCGTCTTCGCAGAAACCAGCACCGCATTCTCAGGCTTCAACTCAAACGCAGTCTGCATCTGCTCTAACGCCCTCTCACTATCCGCACTGGGTAAATCAATCTTATTCACAACCGGCACCAAAACCAGTCCCTGCGAGAACGCCAAATAGAAATTCGCCACAGTCTGCGCCTGCACACCTTGACTCGCATCAACCAGCAACAGCGCTCCCCCACAACTCGCATAGCTCCTCGACACCTCGGCCCGGAAATCTACATGCCCGGGCGTGTCGACAAGATGCAGCAGGTAATCTTCGCCCTCGTAGTTGTAGAGCATTGAACATGTTTGCGCTTTTACGGTAATGCCGCGTTCGCGCTCCACGTCTAACTTGTCGAGGATCTGCTTGTTGCCTCCGGGTTGGATTGTGCCGGTGAGTTCGAGGAGGCGGTCGCTGAGGGTCGATTTCCCGTGGTCAACGTGGGCTACGATGCAGAAATTGCGGAATCGCTCGATGGGTATGGCTTTGATGCGCCTTTCGAGGTCGGAGACGGGTTTGCTAGGTTGGGCATGGCGAGCTAGGGAGGTTGTGAAGGCTCTGGTTGGGATTGAGGAGAGGAATTGAGAGGCATAGTGGCAGCGTAAGGAGCTAGGGAGCCGGAGGAGGGAGAGGGGACATCGCTGCATAGAGACGAGTCTGCTGGGAATTTCGAAGTGGTGGTCTGCTGCTTCTTCCCTAGCTTCTAGAAATTTGAAGCTTTGAATTTCTGGAGATTTAACCGTAGCCGATTATTGCTCGGTCAACACTAGTAAACAAAGCCGTATCGCATTCTGTCGCGACTTCAAACATTTCGACACAAGAACACTTCAACAGGAATCAAGCAAACAAGATGTCTGTCGAACGAGAGAAAGACAAATCGAAGGTCCATAAGCTACAGCTGAAAGGTACGTTCTCCGCCATGCAATTTTGAGCTTGCCTGACAACTTCACAGGATCATCCAGACTCGTCGCAGAATTCGTACGTCTCACGCTTCCTCTCAAGCAGCATTAATACTAATATCCACAGTTCAATTACTCCATAAACACCATCCTGTACTTGGCCTCCCTCTTTAATTCTCTACCCCACTAACAAACCCACCAGATTCCAACGAGGTGTCTACCCCGCCGAAGACTTCACCGCCGTGAAGAAATATGGCCTCACGATGCTCATCTCCTCCGACGACCAAGTCAAAGCCTACATCAAGAAAATCATGTCCCAGCTCGACAAATGGATGATCGGCGGCAAGATTTCGAAGCTCGTCGTCGTGATCACGAGCAAGGATACAGGAGAACATGTTGAGAGGTGGCAGTTTGACGTGCAGATCTTTAATAAGGGAGGCAAGAAGGGGAGCTCGAAACGGAGCGCTGATAAAGAGAACGCTGCGCCTGAGTATGTATCCTTATTCGAAGGAAGGGGAGGAACGTGTGCTGATGAGATGATAGGGATGCCGCGCCGACGCCGGAGAAGACCGATGCTGAGATTCAATCTGAGATCCAGTCTATCTTTCGACAAATTACGGCTTCGGTTACGTTCCTTCCGCAATTAGAAGGCGATTGTACGTTCAATGTCCTGGTCTACGCGGATGCAGACTCGGACGTGCCGATGGAGTGGTGCGACAGTGATGCGAAGGAGATCAAGAATGGAGAGAAGGTCCAATTGAGGAGTTTTAGTACTACGAATCACAAGGTTGATACACTGGTTAGCTACAGGGTGGTTTCGTAGGATGTCATAACAGGACTGGTTAGTGGGAAGGACTGGAGTTTGGGGTGGATTCTTGTTTATGTATCTGAAGTTTGTGTCAATACTGGAACGGCTTACAAATAGGAGGGCGTTATTGTATAAGTTGAGCTTGACAAGAGCGGATCAATTGTTTCCAACAAGCTGCTGGTATCATATACATACTATTCTTATCCACAAGTACCGAAACGCCTGTGCTATGATACAAGAGTCTCTATACAGTAATATTGTGCTACCGTGTAGCCGCTGCATCTAGTATTACATTGATGTCCAAAATGTCTTCCCAAAATCTTCTACTTTCAGGTCCACGCGAATTGCCTTCGCCGTCAACTCGCTCAGTCTCCAATCTCTATAAGCCCCGCTTTCCCTCCAATTCTTGTCCATGTTCCATGCGATCTGTAAACTTTCCTCAAATGAGTATCGAGGTGTGACTCTGAACTTGGTCATATGCAAATCCACGCTAAATCTCTGCCATAAAGTTTCGTAAAGCTTTTCAAACTCTTCATCTTTCACCTCGTAACCGACCTGCTTGTCTGAGGAGTCGGAATATACGTACGCAAAGGGTTTATAAACAGGGAGTAGATCCGGTGGGGTAGGCAATAGTTCGGATTTAATCAAGGGGAGCTGTAACATCTCTGCAGTATCGATTGAAGCAAGCCGAGGCCTGTTGACAAATTCTGAAATAGCAGGAGTAGGGTTCCAGCCATAATATGACCCAGAGACGACAGTGCCAGCATAGCATTCGAAGCGTAACTTTGGAGTATTGGGCATCCTCCAACCGGCACGCATACTGTGCAGAACATCATATCGCATACCATAAGACGTTTTTCCGGCAATACACGCATATTTCCATACAACTTTGGCCATGTTGTAATGCCGTTCTTGCCATGCCATGCGGAACAGAATGTCGTAGGTATCCTCATCCGGTTCGAGACCCCACTTTGCTGAGAAGTTCTGCAAGAACTCAATTGCACCACCCAGATTGTCAATCTGTTTGCAGTGGTTGAGAATAGTGTTTACGGAATATCCATCAGGTCGAATATACCGCGAATCCATGAGATGCAAAAAGTCCCAACACCGAGATATCAATCCTCTAGCTCCAAGCTCATTGAGAACACGATTGGCGCTGTCCAGACTGAGCCAGTTCCGGCCGTAGCGAGCATCCATATGCGAGACGAAGGTTGCTTGGTCCTGAAATGCGTCTAGTGACAGCTCGACTTCCGGTTTGATAAGTTGTTCACAGACAGCTTTCATCGTAGGCACATGCCGCAAAAGTCCCCCTCGTTTCATCTTAGTCGCAACATGCATTTTCAACTGGAAATCGGGTAGAGTCATCATAAATGCAGTCCAAGTCGCGCCATTGGGTACCAGCCCTCGCCGGAGCATCAAATGAAGGATGAAGTGAAAGTTGTGGAGATCTTCTTGTTTAGCAGCACCACGAAGCATGATATTGAAAGTTTCAGGTGAGAGTGGCATGCCTAGGAGCTCCATACGAACGAATAGCACGCGGACCTGATCAATCCGGTTGAATTTGACAAAGTATTGAAGAGCTTCGTGGCATGCCGCTCCGGTTATCGCAGCTTTGCGAGCCTCGTCTGGATCTCTGAACAGGCCGTGAAGAATAAGTCGAACTTCATCAAAGTACTGTTCCCGTGCCTCTTTTTCTAGCACACTTCTCGGAGGTTCGAAAGTTGTTACAGCCTTGACATAGTCTAAGAACGAATGTTTAGTCCAAACAGGCGGTTTGGGAATCTCTTCCGGCCGTGTTGAGCGGATTTTGCTATTGCTTCGAGGTATTGAAATAACGGGTCGTATGTTTACAGTTTCGAGCACACCAGCGGAACAGGATATTCTTGATTCGTCAAGAGAGACTCGAGGAGTGTCATTTGTGGTGATCTTCGCATCTGGGGCTAAACGAAGGACGTCGGCAAGAGTTCTGCTGATGGCAGATCTCGAACCTGATAAAACGAAAATCCCATCTTCATGCTTAGCACGGTAGCTAGGTCCTAGCTCAATAGAGCATCCATACTTGTCGCCAATAACCCGCATGTCATCGTCCAGGCCACACATGAAGAGTAGCTTTTCGCTTGGAGGTACAATGACTTGAATCTGCCTATCGAACCATTGTCCATGGTGAGGTGTGTTTCGGGTCAAGTCCCGGAGGATTACACGCCAGTCAGGGATCCAGTTGTTTGTGCTGAGCCTCCTATTCTCTTGATATTCTTCTCGTATATGATGAGCTGTTTGCTCTGAAATTCGCTTGCGTTCTGCAGCATGAAGAATGTTGCGAGCTCTGCTTTGAACATCGTCCAGTATCGAAGTAGCGGGTGGGGTGCAGACAGGTTCCTCTTTTGCAAAGCTGAGTTCAGCCAACAGAGCTTCGGATCCAGGGCTCTTCGTAGGATTCGAAAGTTGATTTCTGATAGCCAAAGGCTTATACTGCGCCGAGTCGATATTGGCGCGTTTCTTGACTGCTTTTGTGCGAAATTCGCCGGGAGGAGTTTTGGCAGAAGAACTCGAGTTGAGGGGATCTCTAGCATCGATCAGAGGATCTATCGAGGCGGAGTTTGAAGTGTAGATAGATGACTCTGTCGAATTCTCCGTCGAGGCATCCGTTGGCTTCTTGAAAGCTGCCGCTTGAGAAGCAGTTGATGAGCTTCTGGCCCATTGCGGATAGAGGAATAATAAAGGCTCCCTGGGAGTCGAGACTAGACTTGCAATGATTGCGGCCCTGCCTCGTATCGCGATACGGCTTCCCAGGGACATTCGCTGTGATGTGGCATTATTGTATGGGTGTTGTTTTCATATCGACTTGCATCCGAGAAAATATTTTTGACGTCGCGATCGGGAAGTCGCGACGATAAGGAGGCGTGCACGTGCTGCACGGAAAAGATACCTACCTAGGTAGGTATGAAATTCAATTTTCACTTCTAATAACATTAAGAACTTCATTTAATATGTTTCATATATTAATGCTTTCCGTATACTGAGGCTTATCCAAGTCCCAATTCCCGCTATGCGCCAATGCTGAGGTATCTCCTAAACGCCTTGCTGACATGACATGCTATTCCTTTGCTTTTCCCTTCCCATCATCGGACTTTGGCTCTTTGGCTGTTCCATTACCTTCGTGCTCATCACAATCATCGAGCCCAGCAATCTTGTGGCCCCAGATCTCTTTTGGTCCACTTCCATCAAGTCCAGTCCAACGACTATCCCATCCTTGAGATTCGTCTACTGCACCTTTCGTCTCGCCCTTTTCCGCCATGTCCTTGACATCAGACCAGAATTCTAGACGTTTGACCTCCTCGTCTGCATGTTGTACAGCAGCTTCCAGGTTATCGTATCGTCTCTTGACGGCGGGATCGACGTCCTTCTCCCCTTCGCTGACCTCCTTCTGCTTCTCAGCCGCTTCATTGAAGATCCTCAGCAGATGGGTAAGGAGAGAGCGCCGTGAAGCCTGGAATATGAACATGCGCATGATTTCATGCATGTGGTCTCTCAGATAGTAGAGGTCGTCCCCGCCGTGCGCGATGAAGCTCTCAATAGCTTCAGTCTTCTCTCGATCAATACGAGCCTGCCGAAGAGCTTTCATTAATGCTCCAATGTCAGAAATGTCTTCTGGAACAATATTTTCCTCGGCTTCGTTCCTCGAATAGAAGCTGAGTCTGTGCTGTTCGCTGGTGGGAACGCTGGATCCACGGCTCCTACTTCGTTCCTGGGCAGAATGTATGGTGAAATAATCGGGATTGAGCATGTGTGCGTTGTTCCCCTCATAACCACTATGCTTCTTGACGCGTTTTCGAATCCATGCTCGACGTCTGACAAATGAATTCCACCATTTCGGCCCATGCCATGAGAATTTTTTTGAGAACGCAAAGGAATATTCCCATCCATCACTATCGACATCATTTTCGTGATTGATGGTCCACTCCTTCCAAGCCCATTCCCATGAGGGATCAGGAACTTGAGCATTTGTGATATCCGTGGGACTAGTCTTATGGGCAACATTGGTCCATGGAGACGGATCGAGATTCCCCAGTGCTTTGGAAGAGAACAAGGGCATGCCACAGAGGAATCCACCACGCTGGTTCTCGTATAGGATGTCTATTGCAGACTTCGGTTCTTTGTGGCCTTTGGGTCCTTTTATGCATCGACGTTCAGGTGCCCGACCTCGGGATCCTTCATCATCAGCGTTCCCATTCTCCTCATTGTGGTCTTCTGGATCCGCGTCCGCATCTTCAGCTTGTTCATCATCTGAGACGTTTGCAACGCCGCGATCTTGGTATTTGGCGTATTTTCTTCGTGTCAATTCCTTTCGCAGATGTTGTGGTGTTGCATGTTTCCGTAATGGTACATCGCTGTGCCGTCTAGAAGAGGAGTCGGAGATCTCTGGAGTAAGGTGTGTGCCATTTGGAGACCGACTTCGGGAAAGTCGTTTGAGCGAAGTCGGTTGGGCAGTGTCTTGTTTCGTATGATCGATGAGATTGATTTCATGATCGTAATCTTCATCTTGGAGAGGAGCCGGTCGACGAGTGGAGGAATGTAGCAGAGACATTTCCTACCTGCGTTGAAGCATTGCTGGGTTGGATGGTGTACAGCTCCGCGAAGCTGTGGATGGCTAATGTAAAAAGCAAGCTCAACCCTACACAGCTAATCGCAATCGAGGACGTAGTCAGGAATTATAAATATTATGGATAAGGATTGATTTCTCTCTCTTACACGAACAGAACTCAATGACAGCTTCGCAATTCTTGCGTAGTGTGCAGTTAGTGCGGCTTGTTGCCTAGATGCTTTTTCACAAGATCTCTTCAAAACCCAAGCCTCACTTCGTATGATGACGCGGGGCCAGTGGGACCCGAGATGATCTGCCAACTTTGGAGGAGATCGATCCTGAAGAGGCAAGGTGCAAAAATCAAGCCACAGCTACGGGAAAAACGTGACTGCACGGACCGTACTGCGAGCCTGGCTTTTTCTTCAGGCAATGACGTTGTCGCTAAGAAGCGCTTTCCTTGTTTGGTGTGGGGTTGGGGTGAGCTGCAGGCATGAGCTCTCCATCGCCAATAGAAAAGCCACCTGCTCAATTGCATGACAATCCCGCTCCTTTGTGTCTCCTCATTTCCGCAAAACACAATTCTCTCCTCAAACCTACATCGAACTTCTCTTTAAAGTCTCGAATACCCCACGCACAAGACCACAGCTCCTCAAGCTTACTTCTTCAATCACAATAACATCATGGCTCAACGAAAGTCCAACACTGCTCTCTACCTTGGAGTAGCCGCCGCTGGTGGAGTCGGTTATTATCTGTACACGGCAGGTGGTAGTCCAAAGGTCGCTGAGAAGCAGTTCGAGGGTACGTTACACCTTGAAACAATACATTGTCTTCTTGCTTCGTGATACTTGTGTCTAGCAGTAAGCTAACACAGAACAGCCGATGTTTCTAAGGCCTCAGCCAAGGTCCAAGAGCAGATTCCAGGTCGGACAAACCAGGCACAAAAGGAGGGCGAGAAGTGGGCTTCAGTAGCAGGTGCAAAGGTCGACTCTGCTGTAGGTGGTTCTAATATTCGTCTTATTCCAGAGGCTTCTCATTGTTCTCTATTGTACTACTTTGCATGCACACAAAGTGGCGCCATTCACTTTCTATACCTTGTGTAACATTTCCCATATTACATCTCGAAATGACAACTGCACTCAACCACCTCATCCTAACTAACTTTGAACTTGCAGGTCGAGAAAGGTCGTGCCGAACTCGCAAAAGCCGAAGGAAAGCTCGATCAATACAGAAAGGAGGCAAGCGCAGACACGATGAAGAAGATCGATCAAGCAGACAAGAAGATCGAGGAGAAGGCAGCACAGGCCAAGAGCGGCATCTCTTCATGGTTCGGTGGGAAGTAAATACGACTTTTGAGAAGCGATCAGGCGATATGAAGGACGATTGATGATTACCTACTTCTGCGAGGCTTTCTGACCGGATTGGGTCTGGGAATGGGCTGTATAATACGAATATCGATGAATGCCCCTCTCAGTCTTTCAGCAGAAATGCATCCTGCCGCTGATTGATGTGAGAATATGCTAGTTTGGGTTACAAGACGAGTGTCTTTTGCTACATCAAATGTTGCCACTTCTGTTGCTAGTCTGAATTATGTGACTGGAGCTTTTCAAGTTAGATTCAACAGGCCAAATGTTGCTCTAAGCGATGTTCCAACCCATCCCATATCAAATATTCAATGACCCCTTGTCCTTTCAAAACGAACCTTATTTTTTATCGGATATTCATTTCCATTCCTATATACTCTTGAGCATGTCCCGATCAACTCTCATTTATCATCCTCGCTTATATTTTGGCTCCTATCGCTGACATCTCTCCCATTCCGGTATCAATCGTCGCCAGGATCCTGCTACTTACAGAGAACACTTTCTTGTTTCTTGAATCTGAACAGCTCATCAACATTAGGCTTCCTTTAGGCGGAGTATTTACATGTACTGCTTGACGGCGAAATCTCCAGTTAACATTTAACAGTCAACTATTGTTTTATCAGCTTGTGACAAAAAGAAGGATTGAATAAAACAATTTCCTAGATTTCCTATTTGCTACCAAGTGCGACAAGCATCTACCTTTGACAACCAAAAAAAGAGTATTTACTTTGGAGACGGCTAGATTCGAACCAGCAATCCACAATCTGAATGGTCCGCAGAAGAAGAGGGACGTTAAGCCGTTGTTTTCACCCCTTGCTCACCAGAACTAATTGACTTAGTTTGGTAAGCAAGTTAATCATCCCACTTTCCAATGTTTCTTGCGAGCTTTACCACTAAGCTACGTCCCCGATTTTGGTTTGTTGGCAAGGAATAGCTTATTTAGATTTATGGAGTAGATTTGATGTGAACTTGAAAGGGAGAGCACTCACCTGATTAAGGGGAGGTGAGTTGTGGGCTTGGGCTGTGTGTGCTGGGCTGGTCGGTTGAGATGAATAGACTGGAGATTTTATTGGAGCAGGAGATGCGGACATAGCTTCGTACACCTCGATCCGGAGTTGGAACTACAATTCCTCGCATCATCCTTTGTCCATCTCATTTTGAAGTAAGTCGAGAGTTTGGAATGTTCTGCGGGATTCATTATAACTAACAAACATAAGTGCAGCGATGACTTGAAGATTTTGGAGCAGAATCTACCTATCGCTTTTCCATGTCTCCAGAGCAACTAGCGAAGACTCCTTACGCAAGTCTCTTTAGCAACCAAGACTGTGGCAAAGCACTCTGTTTAGAGCAAGACTAGAGGACGATGAGCGACTGGTACTCGAATTGCTCGATGGCCGATGAAATTACCGAATCTAGGATATTCATACAATTCTCTGTGAGAGGCTTTGTACAATAGGTTGAACGTCTCCTAACACAGAGCTTCCACCTATGCTCGCCATCAGCCTCTTACCAACCTCGTTCGTTGCCAAGTACGTCTCGTGGTCAATACCCAAACAAGCTCTGTCAACCTCCTCGGCTCTGCGAGCACACTTCAAAGCTTTCTCCATCCTTCCCATGCTCTCGTTCAGCCTCGCAGCCTCCAGATACCTTTCCATCATGAACAATTAGCAAAGGGCGCATCTGATCCCATTTTCATACAAATGAGAAGAACAATTTGCGGAAACTTACATGCTGGCCACTTCTCTCCCTGCAACACCCTCACCCTCCAACATCCGCAGAAAGGCCATCAACACCTTCAGTTCCTGCTCACCACACTTCTGTCCACCACTTGAAACACCCTCAGCATACTTCTGAAGCAGATGCTTGATTCCCGCTCTATTTTCCTCTCCTCTCCTTCCCACCTCGGAATCAAGATCACAAGCTTGACATCCACATTCAAATCCGTACCCGCTCCCCAGATCTTGCCCCCTCCTCTCCCTAATAGCTCCAACCTCCCCAAGATAACTCAAAGTAACTTCTTCGCCTCCCTCAATATCCCTCGTCGCATGCACATTAAACCTCTCCATCCCCTGATTCCAATTCCCTTGCGCATTCGGCACACAATCATGATTAATCCTCGAAATCCCCGGAAAAACAGCCTGATAAATCTTCTCCGTCGAAAGATTAAACGCATTACTCCGGAAAATACTCAAGATCCTCACATGTTCCGAGATTGAATTCCTCGGTGAAGCAGGGCGCTGAGGTTCGAAATGGCAGTATCTCGGGAGTAAGAAAGGGAAATTCTTCGAGAAGGATTTCAGGGTGTAGTAAATTGCTTGGTTCCATCTCATGAATCTCAACGAGGTGGTAATGTGAGAAGAGAGGGACAAGAGTTGCGAGCGCTGCGAGGGAGAGAGTAAACGGGAGAGGGTGTAGATGTCTGAGGCGGATTGATTGGGATGCAGGGATATGAGGGGTCGTTCGGAGAATATGCGTGTACCGATAGGTATGAGTGATTTGGCGAAGACACCGAGTCCTTTGGGACCGGCGGGGCGGATTTCGTACATTTGTTGGTAGAGAGAAGGTGTCGTGTGCTTGGGGAGGGATATATCGCGTGCTCGATTTCCTAAAAAGGAGGTGAGGTCGGGGGTTTGAAGAGTGGATTCCGATGTGTGCTAAACATCTTCCGCTAAGCAACTTTAAGCACCTTTCGTCTTCTCAGGTATATCAAAGATTTATACAATCCCTTTCAAAAATATCTATTCGCCTACTTATTTCTGAGATTATGTAAAGGTGATAAGATGGCTAACACGTGACTCTAGTCTAGGCTCCTAGGTATCATTCTTCAATACCTAAGCCTCACCTCTCCAGAAAGCAGTTCAATCCAAGACTTTTACGTACTCTTGCTTCACATTATATTCTGAAGGGTACTGATCTGGCAGTATAGCCACGGGCTTGAGGACTCTGGACGGCACGACTTACATCTCCAATCTCTACCTGAATCGTCACAGCCTTGTGTACAGTGTTTGGCAGGTCTAGCTAGAGATCGGGCATGGCTCCCCTCCGGTTACTCGATGTTAACTCAATGCAATTCGCCGATGGCAGGTATCTTGCAGACAAAGAAAGGCAATCAGGGAAAGTCGTCCCGTATGCCATCTTGTCGCACAGATGGCTAGCAGAGGAGGACGAGGTCCAGTTCGACGATATCAAGTCTGTAGAGGTGGCCGTATCGAAGAAAGGGTTCGCGAAGATCTTCAAGTCTTGTAGGCTTGCTAAAGAGCAGGGTTTGGAGTTTGTGTGGCTTGATACTTGCTGCATTGATGTAAGTTGGATGATGAGTTTTTTTTTCCCATTCTAAACTGTCTCAGGATTCTACTTAAAGACATCGTCTACAGTCCGGAAACAATCTTAAAAGGGCAATGACTAACTCCTCCGCCATCTAGAAAGGCAACCCAGCTGAGCTACAGGAGTCCATCAATAGCATGTATCGCTGGTACCAAGACGCAGCTGTATGCTATGCGTATCTGAAAGATACAGAAGCAACTTTCCCGAGCTCAATGGAAAATGATGAATGGTTTACAAGGTACGTACTCTTGTATGAAGTTCTTCGAATGTCCGGCCAATGGGTGACGTTTGCGGGGGTTGGACACTTCAGGAGCTCATTGCACCACGTCGTGTGGAGTTTTACGACACCAATTGGCAGGCTCTTGGCGACAAACACTTCTTGAAAGATCGTATCAGCGCGGTTACCAAGATCGATAGAGCCATTCTGGAGGGTTCGAAGTCTCTGGAAGATTGCTCGGTTGCAGCACGCCTGTCTTGGGCCTCAATCCGGCAAACCGTCAAGATCGAAGATCGAGCTTATAGCCTTCTCGGCTTGCTCGGAGCCAATATGCCTATGCTGTACGGCGAGGTTGAGAAGTCATTCATGCGCCTTCAAGAAGAGATCATCAAGACCTCTGACGATCATTCAATCTTTGCTTGGAAGGGAAGTCAAAGACGAGTATCCCGGTCTTCTCGCCGACTCCTTAGACAACTTTCAGAACTGTGGATCTGTCAAGTGCACTCATTTCCGTAGGGGAAAGGGTGCTTTCTTCATGACAAACAGAGGCATCTCCATAACTCTCACCCTAATGCCCTGGATTTTGGACACATATTTGGCACGCATCCACTGTGTCGATCTGGCCGACTCAAAGTACAAGAACGCCCAAGGTGGCATGACCGGATTATTCCTCCGCCGCTTGGACGAGGATGATCAGTATGTCAGGATCAAAATCAATGACCAGGAACTAGTTCATGATCTCAGCGCTCCGCTGAACTGGGTAGACGCCACATTCAACCATTATTCCAGAGAAGTACCAATATATGTCCGTCAAGTCAAATTGATAGGACACCAACATACAGAGCAAAGAGCGCTTGGCTTTCGGCTTGGTAGCGGCCTCCTAGAAAACGATGTCAAAATAGAGAAAACGTTCCGTGTTTTCGAATGTTCCGAAGGTTTGGTATGGAATGAGGCGGAGAGAACATTGACCCTTCAATCTGGGGTTTACTATTCCGACATGCTGGCTTACCTGGATATCTCAAAGCTGGGAAAGAAGATAAAGAAAATCAAGCTGTGCTTCGACTTCGACTTCAACCCTATTTTCTCTTTCTTGCGGAATCATCTGCAATCGGCGCGAAGAATCCCTCACTGCTCACCTATTCTACAGGCGAGAAGTTGTATCCAGAAAAGGAGCAGCAGAGATGGCTGTCCTTCGCCGAACGTTTGCCGCACGACTCACACCCGCAAGCGTGAAATACAACCAATCACACCTTCACCGAGAGTAACGCGATCCGCAGTGGGCTGTGGCAATTGCGAGGGGACCGGATAGAGGGTTTAGACGTTTTCTTGTTGGGCACAGAAATAAGTGTGTCCATGAAGAAGATTACCACGGGATTTGGCAGGAAATGTTGGGAGCTTTCTATTGAGGACACGCCAGCGAGTTAGTTGCAAAAGCTATACGCTGAAGCGACTTGACTGTTTTGGGAGGCAAGTCTACACTGAAGTTGTTCAACGGCACTTCCAGGTACAAAGAAAGTATGATTAACATCCAGAAGGCTTGGGTATAGCATATCAGTACTACGACACGAATCACACAGACTTAGGGTTTGGTCATAGTCAAGTGCCCTCAGGCTTACTCATAGGCTGCTCCTGCATGCTCATCGCTTGGCTTAGGCTAACTCGGCCTCAGCCCAAGCTTCAAGCAGAAGTTGCTAACATCCGCAGACTAAACAAAACCAGCGACAGGGTATCCTAGCCCCCAATCTATGAATGCCATGTAGATTGAAATCTATGACAATATTGTTCTAGAGCTTGTAGGACAATACAGGAGAGAAGTAGATTTATTTCGAGATTCCAAAGAGAAGGGAATTTATGTCGTTCTTATACAACTCCATCCTTCGAATCATAGTCTACCGTTGGGACTTAGCCCCTTCTAATGTCCCGCAAACTCTCAAATATATCGTATTATCTCCAAATATCTACGGTATTGAAGTGAACAATTTTACCTGGAGCTTGAGCTCATGTCACGTGAAACGCTCTAGCTTCCGGATTGTTCAAAGAAGACAGTGGCTAGATGAAATTCAATAATACTTCGCAATTCGATTTTCGTATTGGTTCTTCAACCACTTCCTATCTTTCCGTCGTTAACGAGGGACTTTCAGCCTTGTGTGGCCTTGGAACCATTTGATTCGCCAGCCCTCAAACTTTTGCTGACCTCAGCCTTATGACTCAAACCCCACCAAGCCAAAAGCACAAATACTCATCAGCAAACCTCCTCGCAAACAACACAATGGCGACACCGAAAATAATTCTCCCCGAAAAGGGCAAACAAAACGTCTTGATTACATCTGCGTTGCCTTACGTGAACAACGTACCTCATCTCGGAAATATCATTGGCAGCGTGCTCAGCGCCGATGTCTTCTCGAGATACAGCAAATTACGCCAGAGACCGACTCTCTTCATCTGCGGAACAGATGAGTATGGCACAGCTACCGAAACGAAAGCCCTCGAAGATAAGACGACCCCACAAGAGTTGTGTGACAAATATCACAAGCTCCACAAAGAAATCTACGACTGGTTCGAGATTGGCTTCGATTATTTTGGCCGCACGACAACGGAAGAACAGACCAAGATTGCCCAGGATATCTTCTTGAAGCTTCATAAGAATGGGTACTTGGAGGAAAGAACAACTACCCAGCCATACTGCGAAGAAGAGTCACATCAATCGTTCCTAGCGGATCGTTTCGTGGAGGGCACATGTCCGAAGTGTCAATACGATGATGCTCGAGGAGATCAATGTGATAAGTGTGGCAGTCTGCTAGATCCTCTAGAGCTCATCAATCCTCACTGCAAGCTACACAAGGATGCAAAGCCTGTTCCGCGAGAAACAACCCACATCTTTCTGCGTCTAGATAAGGCCCAGCCGGCGATCGAGGAGTGGTTTTCGAAGTCAAGTGAGGAAGGTGGCTGGCCTCAAAATGGAATCAGCATTACAAGATCATGGTTAAAACAGGGTCTGGAAGGTCGCAGTATCACCAGAGATCTGAAATGGGGAACACCAATTCCTCTGCCGGGCTATGAGAAGAAGGTTCTCTATGTTTGGTTCGATGCTTGCATCGGGTATCCCTCGATCACGGCGAATTATACCAAGGATTGGGAACAATGGTGGCGCAATCCAGAAGACGTCAAGCTGTATCAGTTCATGGGCAAGGACAATGTGCCTTTCCACACCATTATTTTCCCAGGTTCGCAGATGGGCACTGGGGACAAATGGACCATGCTCAACCATCTATCCACTACAGAGTACTTGAACTACGAAGACGGCAAATTTTCCAAGTCAAGAGGAGTTGGCGTTTTCGGAGACGGTGCTAAAGAAACTGGAATTCCACCTTCTGTATGGAGATACTACCTTCTCTCTAACAGACCAGAGACCGGCGACACCCAATTCGAATGGGGCAACTTCATTGTAGCCAACAATAGTGAACTCTTGGCCAATCTCGGAAATTTTGTCAACCGTGTCGTCAAATTCGCGAATGCCAAATTAAACAGTACTGTTCCAGAGTTCTCAGCATCCTACGAGGATGATACATTTGATTTCCCCGCCTGGATAAAGCAAGTCAACACACATCTTGCTGAGTACTTGGCAGGCATGGATGCAGTGAAGATCCGAGACAGTCTGAGGAAGATCATGGAGATTTCAAGCTGTGGCAATGATCTTCTACAATACCGTATGGATAATGCTAACCTTGAGAACAATCCGGCACGAACACATGCCACAGTTGGATTCGCATTGAACCTTGCATATCTCCTTGCTTCCATCTGCTCACCATACATGCCATCGACCGCAGACTTAATCGTCAAGCAGTTGAACATCCCTCTCGGGCCCATTCCAGATGAATGGTCTCCAGATACTCTTAAGAGTGGACACAAGATTGGCAAAGCTGCTTATCTGTTCACGAAAATTCCCCCGGAGAAAGAGCAGGAGTGGAAAGAGCGGTTTGGAGGTACTCAAGCTGCTAGACTAGAAGAGGAGGCTGCTAAGGCGAAGAAGGCAGCAGACAAAGCTAGAGACAAGGAGCGTAAGAGATTGAAGGTTTGTGATCCTAACTTCAGACCGTAACCCTAGAAAGAAACTAACTTTACTACAGAAAGAAGCTGCTAAAGCCGCCGCTGCAGAAGTAGAAAAGACAGACAAAGAAACTGATGCTGCACCAAAATCCGAGGGCGCCACTACCGCAGAATTAGAGGAAAAAATCAAGGATACAGAGACAGAAATTCCCCTAAGAGGAAAAGTTGCAGAGGAGCAAGCTCCACCTCCTGCAGCTGCCCCTTGAGCTAATTGGACCTGGAAATGGAGCATGGATGGCGTTTTTGCGGCAAGGTGGTAGATAGCGAATTATCGAAAATCAAGAGCGGTTGCGGTTGGTTTGTTTAGTGTACGAATGGGAAAAGCTCAACGTTTTGTAGCATCGATGGCAGGTGGTTTGTTATACAGTGGATTTCAACACACTCAGAGTATGAATTACAGTCTTTTACAAATTTTCTTGAACATTGTGTTGTCATCAATATTGGTTGATTTGGGTGCTTCGCAAGTGTTGCTCCGCAAGCGTGGTTATCTACTCATCCTCCGAATCTCAGCACATCTCAAAGAGATATCACATCATCCCCTTTCTATTCCAATCATGCTATTTGTCAAACCAGCTTTTCATTCATGCACATATTGAAGCCTATATGCACATCCAACATCTCCATCATCCCCACCTCAGATAGCCATCCTCATCCCCCCATTAGCACAAACAACCTGCCCCGTACACCACTGACTATCACCCGTAGTCAACATCCCTACAATCCCCGCAATCTCATGCACATAGGCCGGTCTCCCCCCCGCATTCTCAGCATCCGCCACCAAATCCCCATCATCGACCTCCTTCCTGATCGCGCTCCCCGGCGTCTGCTCAATAAACGGCTTCAACCTCCGCTTAAACTCCGCCGTGGTCCCCGCCCACATATCCGTCTTGACCGGGCCGGGATTGATCGCATTAACCGTTGCCCGCTCAGCTAATTCCCGCGCCCAGGTCCGCGTCATGGCTTCCAGGGCGGCTTTGGTGCCCCCGTAGACGGTTTGCCCGATGAAGCCCTCGGAGCTGGAGACGGAGCTGAGGTTTACGACGCGGCCGCTGCGGTCGGTGGGGAGGTAGGGGACGACGGCTTGCATGAGGAGAAGGGGGCCCAGGACGTTGATTTTGTATTGCCATTCGTAGTCTTCGATGGTGCATTCTTCGATCCGGAGGTTCTTGGAGACACCGGCGTTGTTGACGAGGATGTCGATCTGGAATTTTCCGGTCTTGGGGTGCGAGAAGTGGTTTTTGGCTGTGGTGACGATGTGTGCTGGGCCGGTGGGAAGGCCCATGTCGGCTTGGATGACGAGGTTGCTGGTTCCGTATTCAGAGGATAGTTGGGTGGAGAGGTCATTGCAGGCGGTGGCTGAAGAGTCAGAGGTGTAGTTTAAGATCAAGTTGCATCCTTTGCTGGCGAGGTTTTGAGCTATTGCTACGCCGATTCCTAGGACTGTGTTATTGTTGGTTCTTTGGAGAATGAGAAAGGAAATCACCTCTTGATGCTCCAGTGATTATTCCGAGTTTTCCTTCCAGTGGTCTGTATCCACCAGTTGCTGCACCCCCAGCTGGAGTTCTCATACTTGTTGGTAATGTAGACTCCATTGTACCAATTCTAATATCCTAATGTCCTAATTTCTGAAAGAAAGGAGTAAGAAACGAAAATAGGAAAGAGTTTTTGGCAAATTCCCTACCAGATATCTCAAAGTGGGATATCTCAGCCCTTTTAATAGCTCTCTAATAATAGGAGTACTTGAGTCAAGACCCAAGAAACTTAACCCCGCCAAACGTGAAGGTGGGGTTAATTCACTCTCCAACCTTTTCCGCCCCCACTTTCGTACTAGCGCTCCAATCCCAGTCGTCACGAACAATTCGTGACTGACGGCAGCTCTGAAGCCTCGTCGCATACACTCGTGAGCTTCGAAACTTCTCTAAGGTAGTTTCCAACCAGAGGAACAGAAAGCTCAAGATGGATATCCGACTCTTGCACCCAAGTGACATCCCCCACGTCCAGCATGCAAACATCACCAACCTGCCAGAGAAGTAAATCCCCTCCCCTCCTCTCCTTGCTCTCTGCACAAGCTAACAAGCCAGCTATTTCATGAAATACTACCTCTACCACGCCCTCTCCTGGCCCCAACTCTCCTACGTCGCAGTCGACGTCTCCCGCCCCAAAAAGACCCTCTACGACTACCCCCGAATCGTGGGCTACGTGCTCGCGAAAATGGAGGAAGACCCTCCCGACGGCGTACAACACGGCCACATCACCAGCTTGAGCGTAATGCGCACGCACCGACGCCTCGGCATCGCAGAAAAACTCATGCGACAATCTCGTACGCCTTCCCTCTCCGTCCCTTTCCTCTATCACTCAAGCTAACAGGACCACCGCAGAAAAAGCAATGGTCGAAACCTTCTCAGCCCAATACGTATCCCTCCACGTCCGCGTCTCGAACACGGCGGCGCTACGTCTATACCGCGACACCCTAGGCTTCAAGAACGAGAAGGTGGAGGCGAAGTACTATGCCGATGGCGAGGATGCGTATAGCATGAAGCTAGATCTGGGGTTCATCCGCGAGCAGATCCAGGATGAGCAGGACGCGGAGGCGGATGAGGGGGAGCCGGTCGGGGAGCTGGGGAGTAAGGAGGGCGCGGGCGATTTGACGGTGAGGAAAAAGGATGAGGGGAAGAAGAGGAAGGTTAGGGTTGGGAGGGGTTTGGGGGTCGGGGACTTGGTGGAGAGGGATGAGAGTCAGAAGGCGTGAGGGAGGCGGGTGTGGATGTTTTCTGCATGCGTGGAGTTTAAAATGGGATTTGGTGGCGGCAACATAGACTATTTTCTGCGGAATGGAGGTATGTGCATCTTCACAGACCAAGGCTTGAGTTATGTTTTGATTGTGTGGGTTGTGAAGAGCCTAATATCTCACTCTATTGCTCGCGGCCTGAAATGCTGAGTAGTCCTCAGACTAAAGAAAGCGAGGCAAATACGATTCTACATTGTTGAAAAGCGTATGTGTTATTTGTCTCCCAAGGTATTGTCTTCATACATTCATAAGTATTGAGGTGATCACGTCCAGACGAATAGTGGAGTCGTTGCATGAATTTCATTCCCTAACTAAATGCCAAGGGCGTGTGACTAGCAAACCACAAAATCACCGCCTGGTAGGAGAGCTGAGTTGATACAGAGGTTGCTAAACCATTTCTAAAGAATCCTTCCCCATTTCCTTATTTCATATCCCTGCGAATGATTTACTCGAAGGGGTTTGTGCGGGTTCCCCACCAGGTGAGGAAGAGAGAAAGACCAACAGTCTCGAAGACTAAACCATATATCAGCATTGCTTAAGGAATTTGATAGGGACAGTCCAAACTTACCACGGGCAACGGCACCAACAGCAACGGTATCAAGGGGACGCTTCTCAGTGAAGATTTGTGCGATGAACTACAGAACGTATTAGTCGTCTTACCAAAGAATTACAGGGATGTTGGGACGTACAGATGGGGCAGAGCTGGCCATGAAGATCAGACCACCGAGGTAAGCAGCACCCTTGTACGACAGAGTTCCGGTAGCATTGATCAAGGCACCAACACCATATGATTGAACGGCGCTACCAACGAGGGAAGTTCCCCATGCTGCGGCAGCAGAGGCGGCCTCCTTTGACTTGACGAACTCCTCCTTTGAGTTGGCGGCTTGAGCACGGTGGTAAGTGTCACCAAAGACGGGACCGAGAACGGCGAGAGAAGCAGCGTGGTTGAAGATCGTGCCGAGAGCAATGGCAGATGGCTTGACAGGTGGGAGATCTAGATGTGAAAGGTCAGTGGAAGTTCAACGGATTTGCAATAGAGTAAAGAGCTTTTGTGAAGCTTTCGACATTGTTCAAGCTCTGATTGCCCCAGAATGAGCTCAAAAATCAACAAATGTCGTCACCGGGCTTCCCGCAGCTTCAAGCAAACAGAACAGAATACATACAGTGGAGAGACATGATTGCGTATGTGTGAGGTTGTTGGAAGATGTTAATAGGAGGTTCTTCAAGTACTTGGATTGATGCCAGTTTGACGTTGTTGATGAGAAGAGAACGGGGAGGAGGAACAGCGTGAGGTTATTATGTATGGGAGGGAAGGTGAAGGAGACAAGCTAGTAGCTAGGGTGGAATTGCCCGGAGCAAAAGTGGCTGGTGAGGGAAGGCACGATTTTCTGGCGAAGGGGATGACGTGGGTTCAGATGCATCCAGCCTTGGAAGGTACGACAGGGGTGATGGAAGCGATTCATGTACGGGGCACTTTCTCTTGTTCTCGATCAAGCCAACGCGGCAAAGGACCTGGGTCCGACAATTCCCATGCTGCAATGCCAAATTTCCCCATTTCATGGCGAATATCAATATGACGTAGTAGAGACCTTCACCCTTGGAGTTTACTTCATTTCACGAGCAGTTTCATGTTGCCTCAAAACCCTCGAATCTCTCAATTGAGTTTAGGGAGTTGGTGGCACTTGTCACGAGCTGAAAAGAATTCGGTGTTTGGGTGTGGGGTAGCTGTCAGGAACCTTAAAAGCATTACATCACTGTGGCTAATCTCTCGACGAATCGGACCAGGGTATGAGTAGGTCAGGTGATGCGATTCATATTGACAGCTTCCATTTGGAACGAAAGTTTGCACTTTGAGTTGCAAGTCGTGATAGCTTCATAATTACTAGAATAGTCTAAAAGCTGAAAAGTTTGAAGGAAGACACTGGAAACTGGACTGAATGATCTGAACTGCCAAGCCACATGCCGATACTGACGCCTCCAATTGGCGAAAAGCTAATCTCGACCACCAAAACATTCAACGGATTATCTTGGACATCGCAACAGCAAGATGGCACCTTGAACATAATATCATATGCCTGAAGCAAGAGAACAATTACTACCTGGAGATCCGATAGACAGAAACAGAAGACCCCGTGGCTTCTGTGGCATCAATCTTCTCATGTGAGAGCATGCTTTCATTTCCCGTCCGAAGGCTCATCAGACTCCTTAGTCCCGTCCTTTTCGTAGCTACGGTTTGCGTTGCATTCTTCGTCATTATGGGTGAAGCACCAAAGCCAGAGGAGGAGTACCTCAAATTCACAACGGTTACGGGATATTTCCAGCAAGATGATCCAGCTACGAATCCCAAAGCATTTGATTATGTGAGTGGATAAAGTTGATTTTAGGAGCTCTGTTACTAATTTTCTCAGGCTACAACCAACTTTGGTCTGATAAATCGTGCATATGACACAGATGCAAATTTCGATCCAGAAGGAACCAAAACTCAATGGCAAAAGTTCGACCATCATGTCACTCAGATAAACCATGAGAGCGACTCAAATACTCAATACAAAGTCTTGTACAGTGCGTATGCCATGTTCAAAGCTAGAGCGCTTACTTATCAAATACAGTGGGACGCCATGGGCAAGGCTATCACAACGCTGCAGAATCTTATTATGGCACCGAAGCGTGGGATGTTCGTGAGATCCAAACTCCATTCTTGGCCCATCTAATAAGTTTAGTGTTACTGGTCCCTACAAGACGGCAACGAAACAAGTACATGGGCCGACGCACTCCTCACAGACATCGGAATCGCAGAAGCAAAAAAGGCCAATAAGTTCTGGCAATCTTTGATCTCAGACCAAAAGATATCAACCCCTCAATCATATTACACAAGTCCACTACTTCGCTGCATGCAAACAGCCGAGCACACCTTCACTGGGCTCACTCTCCCAGCTGATCGGCCCTTCATTCCAATGATCAAGGAACTCGTTCGAGAGGTAATCGGCGTCCATACCTGCGATAGACGAAGTACCAAGACAGTGATACATGGAAAATATCCCAATTGGCCTTTCGAAGAAGGATTCGCTGAAGAAGATGAGCTTTGGAGCGCCACGCTGAGAGAAACTGCCGAAGCGCAAGATCAGAGAACGAAAGTGGTTCTCGATGATATATTCTCGAATGACGAGAATACACATATCAGTATCTCCAGTCATTCAGGCGAGATTTCGTCTATTTTAAGAGGTCAGTAATTATCCTGTCTCGTGAACTCAATGCATGATGCTGATGATAAGCAGTTCTTGGACATCGAGCTTTTGCATTGAGTACTGGACAAATGATTCCAGTGCTGGTGAAGATTGAGAAAGTCAAAGGAACACTGCCCCCTGTGGTGAAGGCGCCGTGGGATAAGCCGAAGACTTGTGAAAAGCCGCCTGCTATGCTGTAGCTTGTTGGATGAGACATCAATAGAGGTTATCGACCATTTCTGGACCGAGTCATCTCGATGCTTTGATACAAGTGATGCTCGAGCCCTGAATCGTAGCTCCCGCAAGTGCACTGCATGATCTTGTTGTCCAAAATCTATGTCGTGTACTTTGTCCGACGTCGTTTTCCACACTAGATATGCAGAAGATTCGGTACTTGTGCGGTTGTGAGACATGAGAGACAGGCGAGGCTGGCACATTTGCATTTCACTCAATGTCTGTGATATTAATGGACTCTTTCCCTGTCTTTGGCTTGAGTGTCGTCAGCTGGGTACTACTTCAGTGGAACATTCGAATGCATAGAAAGTCACGCGAAAAGAGCGTTGAAGTCATAGTTATACTTTTCATTCTGTCTTCCTTTGTTTTTGAAGTAGCAAGCGCTACCACTCAAAATAATTTCAAAGGCAATGCAGCCCATTCAAGAGCTTCTCAAGAATTCGGATCCACCCAACGCCATTTCATGAAACAGTGAACCCAACCCATATATACCAGAATCAAATCTCGATCATCAAATCCTACTTAGGAAACAATCTATCTTCAAATCCCAACCCTGCACAGCCCAACTTCATTTCACGAGAAGACCCAATTGCAAGGCCGCCAGCAGCGCAGCAATCGTCCCCATACTAAAACTCAACAGCGCCACAACAACAAGAGACCACAACGGCACCAACGGCCCAGGTTTCTGCCGCGGTGCCGTCTCCAGAGCATAAGCACCCACCATCTTCTTAATCGGCTTAACGCTCTCCCTCTTCCTCGTCTCAACCCCTCTCTTCAACCCCGGCAACCCATCCATACTCTGCGAATTCTTAAACGCCCAATACCTATCCATATCAGCATCTCTTCCCCTCAACCAATCAAAACAAGAAAAGAAAGAAAAAAACTCACCTCTCAATCCCATCCTTCTTATTCCCACTCACCTCACTCGCAACCCTCTTCTCAAAAAACTCATTCAACGTCGGCCGAAACGCCCTAAAATCATAAAACGGCATACTAAACCCACACGAACTGCCCACCTGATGCACATGCACCAGGATAATCGCTCTCGTGCCCGCTATCGCATCGACTCTATTCTTCTCCACAAACTCATCGAACGGTCGGGTGCCGTACTCTAGCACTTCGCCGTTTCCCCAGAGACGCACGATCTGGGGCGCGCCTTCGAAGGCGTTGAATTGGATGGTGATGCGGCCGTTGCCGGGCTCGTGCAGGTGTGAGATGGATTCGACGCCCGAGCCGGTGAGGTCGATGTACCAGAATGTTTTGTTGTCGAGGAGCCCGAAGTAGGGGCCGCCTTTTGGGGAAATGTTAATGTGGCCGTCCGGGGAGAGGGGTGCGGTGGCTACCCAGAAGACTTTTTGTTGGAGGATCCAGGTGTGGAGGCTTGTGGGGATGGTTTCGTAGAAGGCGCCCATGGTGGAGTTGTTAGTTTAAAATATATTCGGGAAGGTGTTGGTATAGAGGAGAGATGTAGTATGTGAGGATGAGGGATGATTCAAGGTGACTTCGTCGTCGAGGTGGGGTATTGGTGAGAGAGGAGGGATAGGTAATGTGGCAGTGAGGATAATTGACTTGAGACCTTTTATTGTAGAAGGTGTTGGTGGTGAGAAGGATGGTTTGAGGGTAAGATTCAGAGACTCAAGACCCTTCTGTCGTAAGCGATGAGGAAGTTCGATAGTCTACAGAAGCACTCCGAGATCGGTATGTACATGTGCAAGGATGTTGGTCTGCAGGTTCGCTGCACGTGGATGTGTTCTTGCCTCAATCGCCAAAGTCTCGTTGGCTTCATAAGCAGAGTATATAAGAAGAGTATGTTTTTATTGAGAACTCGTTTGTTGTAACTTGAACGAACGAGACGGAGTTGCGGAGGAAGGTGGGGTGAATAAGCGGGGTTTAGCGAGGTTGACAAAATATCGTGAGATGCCCTCGATCAATTGACTTATTCAAATGATATAGATCTTTAGTCGAAGCGCACTTTATGTTCCCGGACCGTTGATCGGAATGATCAGAATCCTACTTTCTTTAGAGTACACCAAAGGCATTTCTCAAGGATGGAAATCGTAGCCTTACATATGGAATGCTTGGATGGGGTACCACCGCAGCCGAAGCGACAGAAGTTTCGTTACAGCCAAGTAATAATGAGGGATAAAAGAAAATAGCTTCATCAAAGCTATGTTAATCTGTGAAAGTTGACAAGAACAGTCGTGTGAAAGAACGGGATGAGGTTAAACTGTTTTCGCTATCGTGATTGGCTCGAGAGCGGTAAATTTCGAGACAGCTGAATAAAAGCGGGGCTTAATTGGCGACGCGATCCAAAGACCCAAAAAAAAGAATTGTAGAAGACCAGCTTCTACTTGTGGCGAAAATCTTGAGGTACCCTGAATCCCTCGGTTTCTATCTACATCATAACGTAAACCTTCGCAAACACGAAGCGGACGTTGTGACCCGGTCCTTTCGGACAGCAATGGGCCCTAAGAGCCACACCAAAGGCAATTGTCCGGGGTTGACTTCGTCTCGTGACTCCGGGATCAGGTAAGACATAGCTTTAAAGCTGTGTAGATTTTTATTATGCGAGCCTACCAAAGCGCCAGTACCATAGGTAGTAGATCAGTATCAAAATTTGGCATAATTAAAACTATATACCATAAAAGCGAACAAGGCTGAGAGCCAAGCGAGCTTTAGCACGCTAGTGCTTTATCGAAATCTCTGGACCTTCCTAGCTAGCAACTACTTTATATTCGTCAAAGTTTCACAAATGCTTCTACTATGCAATGAGCATCATAAGGGAGTCGGACTGAGGGATTGAAATGCAATCATTTGCATTCAATTTGCTATCAACTTCGCCTTCGCATTAACACATACGGAAAGCAATCTCCGCTGTCATTTATCCTCAAGTCATCGCAATGCCGCCCAACACGTTTGACGAAGTTCTGGGTTTGGAAGAGGAGTTTTACGCTACTGGATTTCAGCAAGGACTAACAGACGGACTCAAAGCTGGGAGGATCGAAGGCCGAACATTTGGACTTGAGAAAGGCTTCGAGAAATACGTGGAGAGTGGGAAACTGCACGGCAGATCGCTTATATGGTCAAATCAGGTTCGCTCCTCTAAGTCGACCGCTCAGCAAAAGCGAGTAGTCACAGACACACCGATACCACGCCCCAGCTCGCCCGTGTCTGAGCCTGCCACGTTATCACCAACGTCACTTCCACGTCTTCCCAGCAATCAACGACTGTTGAAACACATCAAAGTTCTACACGCTTTGTCGGAGCCAGAGAGCCTGTCTACTGAGAACGATGAGGAATCTGTGACAGATTTCGATGATCGACTGAAGAGAGCTCAAGGGAAGGCAAAGGTCATCGAGAGAATTGTGGGAGGGGCGAATGGTGACAATATGGGAATTGGTGCAGAGCTCTGAAAAATAGATGTCTGCCCCACCTTGTGTATGATCAATGCTTGACCCATCACTTTAGTGCCTCTTGAATGATTCATTCTGAAAATCCTATTCAGATGTTTGCTCACTCTGTGAGTACTCCATATCTACAGTCTACTTATTCCAAGCACTCTGAACTCCCCGCAAGTCGGCCCCAGATGCTGATATCCCTCCAAAGTGAGCCACATTGTTCTGACTCTACCAACCTGCAATTCTTGTATGTGCGACAATCATTTGCTGAGCGAGTCCCACCACTTAAGCTGACGCTCGAACGTTTCCTTTTGTCCCTTTTCCCCCAATACCCGTTCCACATCCAATCCGAGTACAGCAGTGTAGGAACAAATGCCTAGACAGGTAATATTCTCTCGTGGGATAATCGTGCGGGTCAAGTTTGCGATCCAAAGGCAAAACTTCCGGTCAAATGCCAGAATACAAGCTTCGATCAGCTCTGTGACGTCCCGAGCATGACACTTTTTCGTCCAAGGGTGGGTCTCGAGAGCCCTCAAGACTATCGCGCGCTCGCTCTGGAGAAATTTAAAAGCAATCCGTCGTGCATTTTTGAACTATTTCGTGTCAGCAATGAAATAACTTCTCGTCATAAAAATGATCTAGCCAGATGCTCAAAATCTTTACTTACAAGGACTGGCTTATTCTCTTCATACATTGAGTCAATCTCAAGTACCAGCTTCTTGTCGGACACTGTGAGTCTCTTCTTCCACTTCGGCTCTAGAGCCCGACCAGTCCGCCACGATTGGTACTCTAGTTCCGGAAACCGATCTGAGGTCTGCAAGTAAGAGGCTGCTTGATCCCGGGTTCCATGAGTACGTCGGATGATCTCCTTGGCAAACTTCAGGCATGGAATGTTGCAATAGTTGCCGATTTCATTTATGCCCCAGCCTTCCCCTTCCCCTTGGCTAAGGAACTTGTATCTAGGACCAAATTGATCATTGTACCAGTCAGTAACCAAGCGGTTTATTACAACGGTCATCTCCTGGTGAAGTCTCTTCTTGGTGTCAATGACCTCGTCCGCGTGACCTCGCTTCATTCCCTCTTCGTAGCCTACAGAATATTGATCATAACTTTCAGCGGCCTCGAGTTTCTGCTTCGCCTTCTCAAGTGCTGAAGAAATGGATTTGTTCTTCATCTGGAGATCCGATAGCGCTGCATCCAAACTTTTCACCTTCGAATCTGAGCTGTCATTACTGGCTCGAAGGGTGTTATTCTCTTTCCGAACGGTCTCGAGGTCTGCCGAGGGGGCCTGGAATGTGGTTCGCCAGAATGTGAGCTCATTGCGGACCGATGCTAGCTTCGCGAGCTCTGATGAGTTCTCTTCATTTTCTTGCGCGAGTTGTCTTTCCCGAACTTTGAGACTTTCATAGCGAATTGAGAGCTCATCAAAGTCTGACCGGACTTGGTTCTTCTCGCCGTTCGATGCCACCAAGTCGGACTTTGTTGCTTCTAAGTCGTTTTCCAACTTGAACCTATCCTTCTCCTCCAGGTGCAGCTTCTCCGCGGTACTCTCCAAGTCTTCAAGGATCTGGTTCTTAGCGGCATAGGCGTCGTCGAGTTCAGACTGCGCGGCCTCCTCCAGGCTGTCGTGTTTCTCTCGAGAGGCTTCGAGGTCTTTTTTCAGCTTTTCGACCTCTGTTGAGAGATGATTGACTTGCGCCAAAGCTGCTGTGAGATTATGTTTCTCAGGGCCCGCGGCCTTCACGCTGCCCTCTGCTTCTTCGAGTTTAGTCTGAAGCCTGGCGATCTCAAGCTTTTCCAACTTCAAGGCTCTTTCCTTCCTGTTCAGCTTCGAAAAGAGCGTCGTGATCTCGACGTTCAGCTCCTTACGCTCGCGCTTTAGTTGATCTCTGAAGAATCTTGACTGATCGAGAGCCATCTCCTTGTCGGTCTCGAGGATAGCCATGTTCTCTGTTCCTTGCTTGACTTCTTGGTTCGCTGATAGGAGCTGCTCTTGAATGTCGGTCATAGCGTCTTCGTGACGAGACTCGGTTTCTGCTCTCTCAGCTAACAGACGTTGATATCCGGTCTTGATAGCATCGATTTCCAGCTTAGACGAATTGCGCTGTGCTTCGAATGTCATCAATATCTCGGAGAAACCTTCGACAGCCAGCCCAGCCTTGTCTCTGTTAACGACATGATCCGCGTTCAAGGTATCCAAATGGTCGAAACGGTCGAAGATGGCCAGATCTCTTGCTCTCTTCTGTATGATGTATCAGCAAATGTCCACAGAAGGTCAGAATGTTTTGAAATTGACTTACTGGATCTGGCGCGTCATCATTGACGGCTGCTCGTCTCTTACGAGGTTCTCTTGAGTCTGCCATGTTCCGTGTCGCGATGCGATTTGCAAATGGTTGTGGTTGATGGCGGAAGAAGTAATGGGAAAGGTGGTGGGAAAGTTCGCGAGAAAGAGGTCGAAAGCGAGAAGGTCGGAAGAACCCTCTTGTTGCGTGCAAAGTCAGGACGCTAACCAAATCAGCTCTATCGCCTTTCTCCTTAAGCTTTCTTGATAGTCACCTTCGTCATTTTGGGATCCCGTGATCTTTTAAGCCTTATGATAAGGCCCTTCAACGTACATTTACTATCATTCTCTTTACAATTCCTACAGCCGACACCTATACAGTGCCATACGTGCCTCTATGTACCTAATTGCTACGTTGTTATCTTGTTGCCGAGATAACTCATTACTCAAGTCGTTGCTGAAAGCCTACGTGTCTCAAGCCGTAGTAGCCTTACGAAGGCTATAAGTTACCAAATCAAGGAGAACATGGACGACTTCCATATATTCAACATTCCAGGCGAGTTGATATTGTCTCTGCAAGAACATAGAGCCGAATAGAAGAGGAAAGAGAGTACTTGTATAACATGTAACGCTTAGGCTTCGCCACTGTTTCCAAGGAATTACTAACAAGGTCACACGATATAGAACTTAGACGGCATAATTCAACAATAGTCTTAGCAACGTCAGACGACAATTTTAATATAGGTATAACACTAATTACAGAAGTTTTCAAAGCCATGCCAAGATGCAGAATTACAAAATGCTCGCTGACTCAAAAGCAAAACGCCTTTAATCCTCCATATGTACGCTACGAAATACATATTGAACATCATACATATCTCATAACATCATTCATACCATTTCCATCAATCGTATCCCATAACATCAACATCATTTCCTCGTCAAGAGCTTCAGTCGAAGACCTTCTTGGCAGCAGACCACAAACTGCTTAACGCTCCCTTGGGCTTCTCCTTCTCTTTCTCGGATCTGTGATGGCGACGGTGAAGACGTTCGCGTTCTCGAGGACGATCTCGTTCACGGTCTCCGCCGCTGCGATCCTTGACTCTCTCGGTTTGCTCGGAAAGCTTCTCCAGCTCTTCTCGTTTTCTTCTGCGCTCCTCGCGTCTCATTCGGCGTTCCTCCTCATCCTTCTCTCTTTGTCGTCGGGCTTCTTCAGCAACTTGAGCCCTGGCAATCTCCATCTGTTTGTCCGCCTCTTTTCTCGCTTTCCTAGCTTCTCTCTCCTCTTCAATTCGGTGCTTATCCTTATCTGCTTCAACCCTGTCACTGTCTCTATGACGGTGGGACCTATGTTCCCTACTCCCATGCTCTCTCGTCGAAGTCCGCCTTTCAACAAATTTCGGCCTCTCGTTATCAAACGAGAATCTTGGCCTTTCCATAATCGGTCCCTTCTCTTTGACTGGGGTCTTGACTTTCTCTTCTCTGTAATGTGGTTTATCATCCATCATAAAAGGGCTCTTAACCACACTCTCTCCTTTCAAATCCAACAATTTCTTCGGTTTGTCACTCTCAGAACTACCTTGACTGCCCGTCTTCGCACTACTTTGACGACGAGAAGATCGTCGATGAGGGACGGAAGAGATGGGAATGTCTCCAGCAATATCATCAACGACAGCGCTATCAGACGGAATACTTCTGTTGAACTTCTCATTGTCTTCTAAAGCGCGCTTAGCTGCTCGGCGAGCCTCTTTTCGTGCATCGTGCGCTGCTTGTTCACCAGGGGATCGGTCCTTGCGATGTTTACCATGAGAGCTGGAACTTCCGGCACTCATACCGCTATCGTGACGAACCGGCTTCTTGGGTGTCGATTGGCTGAAGAAAGCTTTGATAGAGCTCTCGCTTTCACGACGTTTCCGATGCGAATCAGGACGTTCGGAACGATGAGAGTCACGTTTTGAATCTCGAGTGCTGGGTGGACTGTCTTTTGGTGGACTGTGGTGAGAAGAGTGTCGAGATGAGCGGTGTCGACGGCGGCTTTCTTTGGAGGACGCGGGAGAGGCATCGACGCCGGGTTCTTCCGCTACTCCTGGGAGGGTCTCGGGTTCTTCGACGATTGTCTTGTCTGTGACGGGTTCGGGATCTTTGGTAAGAATCTCAGCTGCAATTGCTCCTGCTGCGAGGGCTGCACCGCCTGCCAGGATGGCTTCGGCGATTGGAGCGCTTTCACTTGGCTCTTCACTCTTTTCAATTGGAGCTTCAACTTCCTTTTCTTCAACTACGGGAGCTGGGTCCTCTGGCGGAGGTGGTGGAACTTCTGGTTCAGCCTGATAGAAAGTTAGAATGTCAGTTGTCAAATGAGATTTGAAATTACATACGTCCTTGGCATCTTCAACTGTTGGTGCTGGTGGAGCCTCGATTTCAGCCTTGTTTAATGTTAATTCACAACAACCTCGAAGAACTTGGAGAACAAAATAGCTCACCTCCGCAGGTTCTGGGGGGCTTTCAACCGGTTCCGGCTCTTTGGCTACCTCAGCTGGTTCACTTTCCACAGGAGCAACGTCTACAGCTGGTTCTTCAAGCTTGCTTTCTGGCTCAGCCTGATTGATTATTAGTATATTATAGCCTTGAAAATCTCGGGCAATCGCATGACTTACCTCCTCTACAATTGGTGGACTCTCTTCCACTGGTTCTGACTCTTTAACCTCTTCGACTGGCTCACTCTCAATGGGAGCGACCTGAATAGCTGGTTCCTCGGGCTTGCTTTCCTCTTCGACGGCAGCAGCGGACTCTGGCTCTTGAATCTCCTTGGCCTCGTCAGAAATTCCCTCTGGTTCAGCTGGAACCTCGATTTCCTTGTTTTCCTCAGCAATCTCGGGCTCGCCAGCACCCTCAGATGCAGCAGTAGTGTTCTCCTCACCTCCCTCGATAATCGCAGGCTCGGCCGCTTTTTCTTGCTCGACCGGAGGCTCTTCTTTGCTTTCCTCAACCGGCTCGCTCGAAGCAGGCTCTGGCTGAGGATCTTCCGGCTTTTCAGGTTCTTTCTGCTCTTCAACTGGATCCTGGGCTTCGACAATAGCCTCTGGCTCTGCTGGAGCCTCGATCTCAGGCTCTTTGGTTTCCTCCACAGCTGGGGCTTGGCTTTCGATAGCGGGCTCATCCTGCTTGATCTCCTCAACTGGCTCGCTATCTAGAGGTTCCTTCTCTTCCTCTGCAGCAGGGGTTTCAATTTCTTTGCTGATCTCGGCTACTGGAGCTTCTGATTCGACAGGAATGCTTTCAGGCTCGGGGATGGCGTCGTCTTCTTTCGATTCTGGCTCCGGAGCAGTCTCGACGTTTTCTGGCTCAGCTGGGATGGGCTGATCCTCTTTGGCCTCTTCAATGGCGGGGCTTTCGTCCGCAGGTTCGACCGGGCTATCCTCCTTTTCTCCACTAACAGTGTCAGGCTCAATGGGGGTTGAATCTTCTTCTTTGCTTTCGACGACAGGGCTGTCGTCGACTGTTTCAGCAGCTGGCGTTTTCTCTTTCTCGCCACTCTCCGGCTCGATAGAAACTGGTTCCTCTTTGTCCTCGCTAGTAGGATCACTGATTTCTGGTTCAGCAGCAATTGGCTCTTCTGCTTCCCCACTAACAGCTTCCGCAGGACTCGATTCTTCTTTGCTCTCATCGCTGCCAGCTTCAGGTTCAACAGGGCCCGAAACCTCCTCCTTGCTCTCATCATTAGCGGCATCTTGGATTGGCTCTTCAACTTTGCTTTCCTCCTTCTCCTGACTAATAGGCTCAACGGTCTCTGAATCAGGCTGACTTGATTCCTCCTTGATCTCTTCAATAGCAAGGGTATCTTCTTTCTCTTCGCTTACAGGCTCAGAAACTTCAGCGACAGGCGGGACATCCTCAGCGTCCTTATTTTCCGATTGCTCTGCTTCGATCGCTGGGTTCTCAACCGCTTCTTCGACAACGGGGGCAGTCTCTGAAGCTTCTTCGATGGTCTCTAAGCCTTCCTCCTCCTTGCTCTCGTCTGGAATAGCTGGAGAAACAGTTTCGACTTCAGGAATAGCGCTATCATCGCTTGGTTGCTCAGATTCGATTTCCTTGACTTCGCTGGAGTTGTCCTGGACAGGCTCCTCGTTGCTGATTGTCTCTGGCTCCACTGGATCTTCTGTTTCAGCAAGCGGACTTTCCTTGACCTCCTCAATTTCAGGGGTAGACTCTGGCTCTTCAACGCTAGCTGGGCTTTCTCCCTCTTCCTTGCTCTCCGATTCTGGAACAGCTGCCTCAACCGCGGCGGGCTCCTCACTGCTAGCTTCGGGCTCCACGGGTGTGGTATCAGCAGGCTCATCCTTCACCTCAGGCTCAGGGCTAACAGAAATTTCCTCAGGCTCAATAGCCTTCTCTTGAACAAAGATATTAGAATTCTTGCCCTTTTTGCCCTTCTTTTTGTTTTTCTTGCCAGCTTTGTCTTTCTTGGTTTCTACTTCTGAGACGGGGGTTGAGGATTCTGCTTCGATTTCCGAGGGTTGAGGGTCTTCCATGGCTGTGGAGGTATTTTCGGATTCGATGGGAGCTTGCTCGCTTTTCTCCTCAATAACTGGACTTGAATCTTCAACTATCTCCTTGGCTTCTGGCTCTGGGAGGCTCTCCTCGACCAGAGCGCTCGCTATGGGCTCTTCTGAAGCTGGCGGGTTATCGCCAACGGCCGGTGGGCTATCATCAACGGCCTTTGTGTCTTCACTCTCGACTGGCTTGCTTTCCTCCACCTTGTCCTCTTCTACTACAGCGATAGGCGTCTCCTCAATGAATGCAGCTTCTGGCTCTATGGGTGTGGATTCTTCAAGAGGTGCAGCTTCAACCTGGTAAATGTTAGTATATAACATGTGCTTGTCCTTGAGAAAATGAAAGGAAGTATATTGAATGTTTCAGAATGTCAGACATTTGAGGTGCTTTATTGTATCGAGAATACTTTAGGTCTTTTGACAAACTGGAAAATCAAAATAGAAAATAGGTCACGAGATGACTTCCTCGAAATGAGATCATTACTTACAGCTTCTTCATCCGCTTTTGGCTCAGTGCTTTCCTCTTTGGTTGTTTCAGGCTCTGCTGGAGATTCGATGGTCTCAGGCTCGACAGGGCTAGATTCTACTGGAGCTTCCTTTGTTTCCTCGACCTAATAATAATTAACATCGTAAAATTTTGTGTATGATTTTATATGAATGAAAACAGGACTTACCACAGCTTCCGGCTCGGGTTCCGGCTCGGCAGGAGCTAGCTTTTCCTCCTCTGCTGAGACTGGCGGGCTTTCGACAGATTGCTGTTCTTCAGAGGGACTAGTTGACTCTTCCTTTGACTCTGGTTGCTCGACAACTGGTGGGTTTTCTGAAATGGCTTCCTCGACCTGGTCATGATTAGTATAGAATTGATGTATAGATCTAACGTTAAACGTAAAGATATGTCGATACATAAGAGCAGAAAATTGAAAGTTGACAATAAATGCTTACCGGAGATTCCGCGATCTTCTCTTCAGCTACAGGCTCAGAAACCACCTCTGGCTCGGTGACGTTGGCTTCCGCTTCTTTAATTTCCTCAGCCGGTTCGTCTGGCTTTGATTCTTCAACCTGGAACGAAATAAGCATTTTTGTAGTACACTTAGAAACATGAGAACTTACGACTGCCTCAGACTCAGAGGATTTCTCTTCCACAATATCAGTTACAGCAGGCTATAGGACATTATTAGCAATGAACGATGAGGAAGAACAGTCACGTGAATAGACGTACCACGCTCTCTTCGGGCTTGATTACCTCCGTCGGTTCACTACTCTCGATCGGAGGAGGCGTATCCTCAGCTGCGGGCTCAACGACAGCCTCAACAGGAGCTGCTTCAAGCTTTTCTTCGCTGACAAGACTTTCATCACTTGATCTTGTCTCTTCACCAACGGATTTCTCACTTCCCTCCGAACTCTGAGCAGGTTCCTCACTGCTAGCTGTCTCCTCAGCAGGAACTGGCTCCTCAATAGAACCTGACTCCTCTGCTCCTTTGCTTTCGACATCTTTGGCCTCAATCTCAGGCTCCGATGAATGGGTCACGGGTTCGGAGTCTTTATTTGCACCTTCGGCGTTCTCAGATTGAGGCTCGGGATCCGATATTGGTTCTACAAGTTTTTCCTCTTCGCTTGGAGGTGAGTCCTCAACCTATATGTGTTAGTAAAGAACACGGGATGATGCGAGTTGACGTGTCTAAGATCACGTGGGTTACACGTATTCGGAGGTCCTTGGCTACAAGAGTACTTTGGGTGGTGTGGAGATGAGAGATAAGAACTTACTGCTGATTCGGACAGAGGTTCTGATTCGGGGGCTGCGGGTTCTGTGGCTGTTGGTTCTGTGGCCTGAAGAGAGTCAGATATCAGGTCACGTGCGCGATGAGATCTGCTTACGGCTTCCTCCGGTGCTTGGATGGGTACTTCTTCTGCCTGGGTCACATTAGCTCGTGTCAGATCAAGACAATGTGGCTTCGCATACCACTGTCTCTGGAACTTGCTCGGTTGCAGAGGGTGCAGTCTCCTCGACCTGAAACAGTTAACATTGCCATGTGAGTATTTAACAAGCGTAACTATACCACTTCTTTAGAAATTTCCTCTGGTATAGGTTCTGAGGTCACAGGTTCCGAGGGCTCTTCGGCCTATGAATTGTCAGTAAAATTTACCAGCGTGGTGTTGACAGACAACGAAGGTTCATACCGCTGGCTCTGGAGCTTTCTTAACCTCGGGCTCTTGCGACGCAGCTTCCTCGGCTTTGGTTTCTGGTTCAGACGCTTCTTCAACCACTGGAGCAACCTCTTCGACCTGAATGAATGTTAGCAAGATTGATATGTTATCACGTGACCATGCTTGGGTGTCCCAAGCAGAGTCGGACATTTTGGCTCGACAGAAGGGAGATAGAAGGTTGGAGTTTGGGATAAAGGTATCAAACACTCACAGTCTCTACTTGGGGCTCTTCAGCTGCAGGAGCTGGAGTCTCTTCGACCTGAACAAATGTCAATATACCATTATACAACGAAGTGAGTAGTGTCTTACCGCTGGTTCCAATTTCTCTTCAGCAGCAGGTGCAGAAGATTCTTCAGCCTAGTTTTTATTAGTACTTCAAATCAAACCAAACAATAGAAATTGCATACTACAGGCTCTGCAGCCGCTGGAGGTTCTTCAACCTGGTTGATGTTAGCATCAAATCATAACTAATAGTCGAGACTGCGTACCACAGGTTCAGCTGTCTCAATAGGTTCAGGTGCTGGCGCATCATCCGTCTGTATCTAGATTAGAAATAGTCTTCTTGCAGATATCGTGAACATACCGCTGTCGGCTGTTCTTCAACCACAGGGGCTGGACTCTCGTCGATAACAGCAGCTTGCTCAGGCTCGACCGGTGGCGAAGGTTCGCTCTCTACTGACTTCTCCCCGCTCTCAACAACAGCGTCCGATGCATCAGCACCAGGCGCCAACTCTCCTATCTCCTCTTCCTCGGAGACGTTCTTTCCTTTTTTACCCTTTTTCTTATCCGCCTTGTCCTTCTTCTTGTCCCTTTTACCAGCCTTACCCTTTTTTTCTTCTACCTCTGGCTCCGGCGCTGAAGACTCGGGCTCGACGTTCTTGTTTTTGCCGCCCTTCTTCTTTCCTTTGCCTTTTATTGGTTCTGGCCAGTCATCTACTGCCTCCTGTGGCTCGGGCGCTGGTGACTCAGGTTCTGGATTTTTGTTTCCCTTCGCAGCTTTCTTTTTACTTCGTTCCTCCAGTTTCTCTTCCCTCTTGGACTTCTTACCCTTCTTGCCCTTGGTATCTGGGGCGGGAGGGGCTGTACCATCTGCGAAATGTACTTCGTTCGATGACGACGGTGACTCTCCTTCGTCAGCGTCGTCGTTGGAGTCTCGAGTAGGTGGAGGGGAGTCGTCTACGTCTTCAGATTCGGGTTGTTCGATATTAGGTGGCTCGGGTGGTATAGGGACTTCGACTTCCTCTGCTTCTGCTAAACCCCCTGACATTGTGGGCTCCATACTTGGATCTATTGTGCTTTGTGGTGACGGATCTTCGGGGGGCGGTGGGGGATCGTTATATAGCTCCTCGTCCTCCTCCTCTGATTCAACTATTTGTTGTCAGTATTGTTTTGATGACTCGCGTGCTCATCCCGGTCTATATGGAGTCGATGTGGAGTCAAGGACCACACTTGAGTCTTGACCGAACTTTATGTCCCACTTGATCAGGGACATTGTCCAATGATCAAACTTCATATCCGAAAATGGTATTTGACATGATGTCAGGTACCAAAATACCACTTCATCGACATCCCAGGCCAGAGATCTTGGTAACACAACTTGAATGCTACACTCACATATCACCTGATTTTGCAATGAATCTGAGCCCTTGCATTCCCCCAACGGCTCCAGATCTTTCTCGGTCGGATATGGCTCAGGCTTTCCGTATTTCGCGGTCTGAACCTCGAACCGTTGCTGTTGTAATTTGAAGTCGGTCGTCTGGACGTCGGACCAATCATAGTTAACTTTTGCCCTGTACGGACAAAACGAAACGGACTCCATACTGAAAACTCTTCTCGTCTAGAAACCAAAAATCGGGAATTCGAGTGATTGAATTAGGTATGCTTCTTATTATCTGCTCCTCCCATGACAGCAGACTCTCGGCAATATGCGGGTACCCAATGGGCCGAAAAAAAAATTCTCGAGGGGCAGGTAAGGTGAGATTCCGTACTGTACAACAACAGCAAAAAAACGACCCGAAAATAAACGACACAGGATTGGAAAACCGCTCAATTGGGCTTCCAGAAGTTTCTGAAATGACGAGATGATCACACTGTGAGTAATTGTAGAACAGATAATGAGTCTGCCTCTAAGATATGGTCAAGAAGACAATTGGAAAGAAGAGAAAAGTGTTCATTGGCATGAAACGAGCAAAGGTGTGATGGAAAGCCTCATCCTACGTCCCACGTCCGCGGGCGACAACCCACGACAGAATTACTCGACGAGCAAAAGATCAATATCGTGCTCGATATCAATTGGATCACTGGGAATTGTTGGCGCCACGTCGCACTTGAGTGGTCTTTGAGCTGGATCGTAAGTTGATGATGGCCGCGATATCGCAAGTTGGACTGCGGCCCAACGCTGCAGGCCAGCACACAAAGGGTTAACCGGCAGCGAGCGAGTGCAGAAAAAGTCTCCAGTCTCGCTGGCCGACATGCATCAGATGTCTCGAACGAGGTGCGATCCATGAGCGCTGCAGTGGTGCTAAGGAGTGTTTGGCTGGCAAAAGAAGATATAATTCCTACTGGTTCCTGAGTCTATTGAAGGGAAGGGAGTGCAGGAGACTTCCCGTTCCCGCTGGCCGCGGCTTTCGTACATTAGGTCGAAAGGGTGGGAACGGAGAGCGAATGCAACGTGGTTCGCCTTGTTTGCCTCGTCCTGTGATCCCGGGGCCCTCGCCAATAAGAGAGAAAATCTGATATCACTCGTGGGCGGCCGGTGGTACCGTGGGTTGCGGCATGCAGAAAAGCCATGCATCACGAAAAGAATGTTCTAATATTGAGCCGGAAAGGTGGGGATCGGACATGGGCACTCCCAACGTCGCTGTGTTGTCAGGCTTTGAGATTTTCAACTCTCGACGGTGGCAAGGGGTCTCAGGGGCTGGATTAGCGAGAGCTCGTGACTATTGTGAGACTGACATCTCAGCACTTCTAACCTGCGTTGATACATTGGGAGACTTTGGGCATTCACTCTACCGTCACTAACTTCTCAATACGAAACTTGAAAGTGCCATTCCGTCACAGCATTGCACATATCCGACTCATCACTCTAGACTTACTAGGCTCATCACTAGTAGCATATCCCAGGATAATTGGAAGAGACCAAGGAGGACCCTTCCAGATACCCACCGAAAGGAGCTGGTGAGATTGGCGGTCAGTCACACGTGACGTAAACACCGTGATGCATACGATCCTTATAGACAACGATAAGGAGTACATGTGTATCTTGTCGGTGTGGAAAGGAGGTATTTCGGTATAGAGAGATGTACAGCAGATCCTAAAACGCCGGCTCAGAAAGTGGATCAGGAATCTTGACGATACAAAGGAGAATCCCCGAAAGCAGCCAAACCCCTAGCAACATGCAGGTCCCAGACACACAAAGATGTGCCTTGGTAGATCATAAGAGAGCGGTGACCGGTACGCTGTCACACATCACATGGCCATCTCGGCCTGCAGCTTTCGAAGCTCCTCTTCCTCATCTTCCTCCTCAGCAACCGGTTTGCCTTTGACTGGACTCGTATTAGATAGATTTCGAAACAAAGGACTTGTATTGACTTACTCTCACCGTTTCCAACCGCCGGTAGTCTGTGGATCTCATCCGATACAGGAACAGTACCAGTCTTCAACATCTTGTTGTCAAGTTGTTCTTGTTCAAGTTCTGCCAACTCATCGTCCAACTCAGTCTCATCGATAGGCTCGCCGATAGGCGCACTCGTAATAGCTGACGCGATTTCCTCTCCCAAAGCGTGCTGTTCTCGAAGTTTCTCCCTGAAGTAAATGTCAGTACTTGCAATCAACAATTTCTGATGACCCAGAGTAGAACGTACATTGTCTCATCCACCTTATCGATATTGAGCTTGCCATGAATCTGTTGCATGGCCTCACCTGCACGTTCCATGGCAGCAAGAGTTTCTCTGTTGATATTTGCCGCCTCGATCGAGTATATTTGTTGTTCTAATGTCGCTACTTGCGCAGTGGTCTGTTCGAGGGTGTGCTCATGTTGCTTCTTCCGTCGTAAAGCAGCCTTGGCAGCTATTCAAAGTCATCAGTAAAAGGTCAAAGATCATATACGCATCTGCGGAGGTCGTCGAAGATGCTTGCTGGCCGTACAAAGCTGAATAGAGGGTGATCAGAAGCTGGAGCATCTACGTACCATTCTTATTGGTGGATACGTTCTTCCTAGCTATCGCATCTTGTTCGTCCATTTGGTTTTGTAAATGCCTCTCCCGCTTCTGCAGCATCTCCAACTGTGATCTTAATCCGAGGATAGCATTCTTGGGTGTATCCTTTCTCTTCTGGGCGCTTTGCCCTCCAAACCAACCCCACACTCCGGACATCTTGTAGGCTTTGATTCCTAGACTGATAAGAAGGGCAAGGTAGACGTCGTATCAAGCCCAGATATGCTGGAGCTTCCTTCGGTATATTTGTAGTGTCGAAGTCAGGCTCTAGATGAGTCTTCTAGATTTGCGGTTGCTATCGGAAGGCTGGTGATGGTGGGGTCAGGAATTGCGGGACAAAGGGAACTATGAAGGCGCCGAAAGGTTGTGAAGATCTGCCAAGAGGATATGTCGCAGGAAATATCGAGAGCGTGTGTCTCAGGTTCGTGACGCGGACTTCAGATCTCCTTTGCTTGTTGCCTGTAGATGTAAATGACCCAAGTGCCTCGTTCACCGATGACGCGCTAGTCCTTCTAATCATGGACTAGCGACTTTTGAATGGCACGTGATAGTGTGCTCTTTAAATGCAACCGTCCCAGCCTTTGTCCAAGGTTGACTCGAGGATGATTCACATTAATTTCTGCTCAAGTTTTTGATATGATGCATTGAGTCTTGACGCCTTAAGATGCAGAACGGGCCTGTTCCGACGACACTGACTCTACTTTCCGAGCTCGGGAAATTGGCCCCTGGTTCGAAAGTACGCTTCCTAGGATGGTGAGCTTTCTTTTCTTTTGATATTTCCCCTACGTCTTCGAGACCCCTCTTTCTTTGTCGTGGATGCCTCTGTCATACACACAGAACCAGATTGTAGTCCACAATCTTTTCAAAGTGAGCCTTGATGCATCTATCTTGTGTGTGTTTTGTTTCAAGTCGCCATGCCTCTTCTTCTGATTCAGCGATCTTGCTGTCATTGTTCATTTGATTTACGTTCATTGAAAAGATGCTAAGATTAAGAATGGGTAGTGTTACGAACTATTCTACCAAGACCGCCACTCTCACTCTGGAGCACAATCATCCGCCTGGAAACCTTCTTCAAGCACAGGTGGACGTCACTCTTCTTGTAACGACTATGAAGTCAAACGACACCCAGATAGGAGAATGGGTGAATGTCATGGGTTATTTGACGAGTCGAAAAGAGAAGCAAACGCCCAACCGGCCAACGCTGGAAGTGGGCGTTCAAGCTATTGTGCTATGGTCTTCTGGGTCGTTCAATTTGCAAGCATATGAAGAGAGTCTTGATAAGCATACTCCTTGAAAAGGGATGCAGCATTCTTGAAAGTGAGTACTGGAACTAAAGTCTATTGTGACCTACAGAACCTTCAAATCTAACGAACCACCTCAAATAACAATCTGAGAAGCAGCCAGTACGAATCGCTCACTCGACCAATTTGAATCAACGATCAACCGTGATCTGTCTCGCAACAGCGAGCTCCAACCCCCCACAACGACTGTCATCCTTGACACCGAGTGGGAAGACAGTCATCAGCCAATCCAGTCAAAGTCGACCATCTTGTACAAAACCACAATTGACGTACACTCGACCCCAGGTACAGGTCCCGCGCCTTGCCACCAAATCTGATAGGTTCGGTTGTTCTTCTTCAGCTGCTCTTCCGTCTGGCATCCAACGAATTTATTTGCACCATTGGAAGTCAATACGCCGTCTGGGTTGAATTCAAGGAGATCAGTTGAACCTTCTGGATCTCCACTCATCGAATGTGGTCTGGTGAAGCCTACAGGAGCCGTCTTACTTTCGAGGATCCACGGGTGCGTAAACCCTGTAGGGCTTGAATGCCACGAAGTCCATTGAATGCCACCGTCTTCAAAGACTTGGGGGACGAATGGCTCTGAAAACGCGTCGTACTTGATATTGCCGAGCCAAATAGAGCATGTATAGACCATCAGTCGAAGCTCCATATGGACAAGCAGAGATCCTCACCATTTGCGAATGAGACGTAGCGAGTTGAAGGCAGTGCCGTCGCGCTGAGGTCTGGCATCGCAGTGTAATTCCAGGCTACCATGTGTTGTTTGTATGCAGCAAGTCTGCCGAGAAGACCTGCAAGAACAAGCAATCCGTAGGAAAGATACATCTTGACGAGCAAATGATAATATTGACTGTTTCTTGTGGGGGTCTGAGAAGCTAGAATGTGATGGGTTTATTGATGCCGTTCGAAGATGATGTGTTGCAATTGATGGGATGAAGTTGTTTTGGGAAGGATCTATTACATACGTAGGTACTCATGCATCTATGTAAAGGGCAGGAACGTTCGGAGACGACTTTTTCCAGTCTGGGAGCTTGTACCTCCAACTGTCTAATAAGACCTACAAGCAAGGACTTTATCTCGAAACAAGCTCAATTATTATCCTCGATGCAGCAAGGCCAAGAAATTGCAAAACGCACGGACAACCATTGTCCAAAACACAGGCTGGCTACAGACAGATCTACTTCTATGCCAACTCTTCGAGTCGGTCCAGGCTCAGGAACCGAATCCTTGAGAGTCACGATGTCGAGATACAAGTGAAAGAACACGATACATGCACGTAGAGGCTTACCTAGGTAGTTCTATGACCAAGAACTCCCCATTGTCAAGTGGTGACAAGCTATTGGAGACTCGAATACTTGGTCCGGACACTCTTCAAATACCAAAAAGCAACACAACGGAAAGGTCAAACATTTGAGACGTCAATCCTGCAAACCAATTACTTTGTGTCCCCAAACCCCCATGGCGATGAGGCTCCTCGCGGCAGTGGCACATCCACTTCTAACCGGACTTCTCTTTCCGTTGCACGAGAAAGCGTAAATACCGGCGTGGGGTAAGGACGACCTTCCCCTATGTGTTGGGCCGCTTTCCCAAACATCTGCCTTCTCTCCTGCCCAAACTTCTTTATCAACAATCCTTCCATGACATTGCAGAAGACTGGATATGACACGCTGAAGAATGAATATCGAACAATCAGAGCGATATGCTACAACATTCCGGCCTCCTAGGAAAAACCTCGGCGAAGCTTTCCGCCCCCAAGGCAGACTTGCATGATCAGCGACAAGAGTGGGCAACTGCCTATGAGAAACACGAGGTGGGAAGCACTTCGTGATGGCCTCACAATACTGGAGCAGAGGTGAAAATTCAATTCAATAGTGATTATCGACAACGTATGAGCTGAGTTAAATGCTGATAGTAATACCAGGTAAAAATGGAAGGCCACGCTATGCACTGATGCAGGCACCTGAAGCAACAAATTGCCATCCCTCCTTCTCTATGTCATGATCAATCATGTTGGAGATTGATTCCCGTACCTTACTTGACTTGCAAGGGTCATGCGTGAGAATCGAAGGCGCAGACTCCGAACTCCAAACAGCGTCCAATTTGACTCTCTCTTCTGAGGAACTCTGCTTAGTATCCGTTCCTTCCGTCATATCTTCGTTCACCTGAACGGCGACGTCCTGATCCATCACTTCGCTCATCAGAGTGGCGCCGATGTCTTGTGGAGTCCGTCCTCGACGCTCGGGATACTACAATCGGTTGATGAAGGGGTCGCTTGAGTGGCTTATCCGCATCCTTCTTCGACCTAGCAGCTGCCTGCTTTTCCCAGACCTCTTTGGACTTGCGACATATGTCGTCTATCTGCTCCTATGTATCAAGTCAATGCCCTTTCGATTGTGTGGGTCATGTGTTCATGCTCACGTCCGTCAAGCATTCTCCTGGTGTCGTTATCAAGAATCCATCTTCGCCCTGGTTGTCGAATCAGTATGGATGTTGAGGAAGGAAGTCCATGTCTAGCACCTCTCGCGTGTATGGCCGCACGGTCGACTCGGGGCCAAGGTAGTATTGAATCTCCTGGGTGATCACTTTCTTGTTGATGTCGAGATTCGGTATCCAGTACCGGTTTTTCTCCCCGGAAGACATCGAGAGGACGTATGAATCAGCTAAAGATACAAATACATAGGAATAGCAAAGAACGTTCCACCGGGACTTGTTATGATCCAAGCGGCTCAACACATAGTCTCAACAATTTGCAGGCTGGACATATTTATATCCAGATTGGCTGTGGCGTGTGCCAATACAGAGAAGACGGTGAGCGATGGAAACTGCCCAGTCAGATCTAGAAGGATGCAGGTTAATCCGACTGCGAATGTCTCGGACAAGGTCTCAAGACCTCGCATTGCAGAAACGCAACGTGTGCAATTTCTTTAGGCACGGTTCAATCTCGTATGCTCAACTCTGGCAGGCTCAGCAGCAGCAGCCTTGACGAGGCGGACGGCCATCGAAGCACATGATTGGCCATCAGCCTCCATGCCCCGGTTTCAGTGGCCACAGACATGTTCATTGCTAGTCAATTCTAGGCATGCACTTCAAAACCAGCTGTACGTCGTCCAATTCTCTGCTCGTGGTACACATTTATTGGGAGTAAATAGCCACTGTGCTGCAATAAGGTTGGTGTCATGATAACTTCGCAAACCGGCCAGAAACACAATCACGACAAGAGGACCAACGTTTGGAACCCATATTGTAGCGATTGTTTTCCACTATACCTCTGGAAACAGTTCGATCACAGTTTCTGTCGTGCATTTACGCTATCGCCTTGTCGCTGTCAGATGCAGTACCCCTCACTAGTGAATTTGGGTCAATCAGAAGCTATTCCTAAAATTATATAGATAACGGACATCTTTCGATCGGGATCTGCACTGGCACTCTGGACCTGGACCTGGACCTTGAAGTCACCCCGCGGATCGCCTCCGCAATTGCCTCTATTTATTGAGTTCATCAACACCAACTACTAGGAACCAGGTTTCGGACAATTGTCATACTGGAGTTTTCGCGACAGTGTTCATCGAATTGACTGCTATCCATCTGCTCGCCTTAACTTCTCATCAGCAACTGTATTATACAAGTACACGCGGAAGTCCGCTTGTTAATTGTACTATTGCCATTTCTATGAGAGATCTACTACCTCCAAAGGGCAAATCTCACAGGATCGCCCTTTCCAGAACTTGGATCCTTGAACGAAACGTCGCCTCGACGCCAACGCCTTGATTTTGCTCGTAGAAGCACTCGCAACTTCTATCGAGGCGGTCGATAGAATAGGCCTCATCTTGAGTCACATTTGCGCCCATCCGATACCAGAGGATGAACCTCATCAGTAACGTTCCGGAAGCCTCACCGATTGAAAGAAGGCCTTGATCATCTTCTCGGCTCACGAGTGTGTCGTTATGATTCCTAAGAATCCATGTTACGCAAGCCTCAAGGACAATCAATAATCTATTCTCTTGCGCGACATGAAACCTCCTTCTCCACTGTTTCTTGGGCGTCTTTACGGCAGTTACTTGCCGTATTATCATCACAAGAGCTCTTTCAGCAAACTTCTGGCACAAAGGTGGCCCGGAAGGAGCGCAAGGTATTACCCATCTGTCATAGACCGAGTACAGAGGTGGGATGAAGAAGTTTTCAACCTCAATACAACACGTGATGAGGCATTTCACCTCCACAGGGCTGAACCCGGTGGATGTTGGGGGAGGCGTTTCATTTCTTCAATCATTCTTTCTTCAAAAATTTCAATGCCGCATTAAAGCTGGGCGTTGAAGACGCGGCGATGATACTCAAAAGAAACTCATCCGTGGTTCTCCTCGGTACGGCCGGCACGGGACGTTGGGGTCCCGGAGATTATGATTATGACCTCGTGGAAAAGGCTATCGGTACTCCGAGGCTCAAGCGCGGCGATATTTGATGTTTAGACGCCCTGCTCGAATGAGGTATGAGAGCAAGAAAATGGGATGGAAGTTTAGGTGGGTGTTCAAGTTCGGCGAATTTCTAATCGAGATGGAGGTTTGCCAGACAAGACACCTTGTTCAACCAGTTTGTGCTACCGGACTCGAGTCAGCGACTGTGCCATGGGTCGTCTCACTGCAGCATATACAATGTTCCCTTCGTACATCACCAGCACGTCTCAATTTAACAAATCTAAGCGAACGAAACAATGATAGGACGATGCTTACAAACGGGAGGCGCACAGCATGGTGGAACAACTAGACTCGACCACAACAAGAAATATTGCACGCCCAGATCAATGAATAGAACAGGATATCACCTTCCACTTTCCCCGCTCGATTTGCGGGTATCGAGGTCGTGTGTGGGATGAGGTGGATTGCCTCTGCAGCGTTCCTATTTCCCGACATAGCGTAACCCGCACGCCTTACATCAGAGTTGTGTGACAATGGCGAGAGGAAGCAGGTTGTGCTTGCATGGTGGCATGCTGCAAAGCATATGCCTGAAAAGCAAGGTGAGTGGTTTGCTTGAGCATGGACTACTTGACGCCCATTCATTGAATAGGTCTTGGGCGTAGACAGATCTTCGAGAGTCGACATTCAAATGCTACGGCCCAGAAAAAAAGACTGCCATTCTTCGCGAGGTACAGTATTGACACACGTCCAGAAGATTGAAGCAATTCACCCTGGCCCTTCGTTGGCTCACCTCAAACAACTAAGTTGACGCTGATGCTCGATGTAGCCGACCATGATTGAAGACATTAGATGCACCAACCAGAAACCAAGCTGCCTTTCCTACGTCCACTGAGAAGCGATGACTCGACCAGTCACCCAACATCGACATTCAATACAACCGTTGGCATTAGATACCACATCTTGCTCCCCATAAGCCTACGATAAGCACGGCGAATAAAGGTCTGGATATTCATGTCCACGACGCCATCAGCTTGACTGACATCGACAGGATGAACGACATCCAGAGATAGTGAACCGTCCCAAACCGCCTCCCGCAGATGCAAGTCTTCAATGCCAGTCAGCATACCAGAATCCGACTCGACACCAGAATTCGATGGCTTGATGACACTGCTGAACGCAGACTAGCACAGTATTCCAGTTTCCAATAAATGCAGTAATACGATAACAGAAATTCTTTCGACTCTCCAATGAGATGATTCTGTTTGTCACATACAAAACCGGCACACTTGTGCCGAATACATATCATATTCTCAAGGGTATACATATCACGGTAGGAGAGAAAGGACAGGACATGGCCATCCATTCAGAGCAAATACTTTTTGTGTTTTCTATACCTGACATCTAAGGATGCTATCGCAAAAGTCTGTACAAAATACAAAAGCAATTTCAAAACCCAAACAATGAGCATGAACCCACTGCACCAGTTCAGATCATTCAGCCACTATCATTTAGGGCTATGAATGTTTAACGCCGGACCCATGCCCTTGGTAACTCCGTATGCCAAACCTTGGATTTGATGCCGTGTTCCCATGTTCATGTATGCTACCGCAAGCCCAGCCCAGCCCAAGTGAGCAGAAATCCAGACCTAACGCCAAATAGGAACGATTAATGAACAGAATGTGCAAAAGAATCCTATACTGACCTGCCAGCTCGCAATGCTGGCTGGCAGACACGGCATAAGACGATCAGTGTATGCATAGCATACCACAATAAGGTAAAGCAAAGCCCAACGTCTAGATAGCAACACGCTTGACGTTCTCCTGTCCCTCAGTAGCCAAGCCATCAACCTCATCACGCGAACGCTTCCGTCCCACATTTTGTTCCTGTTGTCCATTGACGTTGATGCCCGTATCTTTTTCGCCGATACTCATGGTCACGTCGACATCAGCAGGTCGCTCAACAGGTGTAGGCACAGCAGGAACCTGTGTACTGATTATTGCCTCCGGTACTGAAACAGGAGTTGACGTTGCTGCGCTGGCTCCATTAGGCGAGCTCACGTTGGCGCCTTGAGCCGAAATAGGAGTAGCCGCAGCTGCAGGTGTTGAAGGACCACCACCCGGGATGGTGGCTATTCCTTGACTGACTTTTGGTATTGCTGGGCTGCCGGAATCGGTGCGTTTCGGAACCGTGTGCATTGGTGGCCTTGCAGGGCCAGTGCCGCTCAACACGGGACGAGGAATCGTAGACGAAGGTCGTTGCGCAGCATTACTACCGCCGTTAACAGAAGGTGAAGGCAGAGGTGTTGTAACAGGAGTCCTCACTGGTGTGAAGCTTCGCTGCGGGGGAGGGGCAGTGTACCCTGAACCTTCAATTGAGGCTAGTGAGCTGCGGAGAGTCTCTATGATCATCTTCATCGTTTTGTAGTCCGGCGAATCAGGATCGGGGACAGCCTTATCGCCATCTTTTCTCAGACGTTCAATAGTGGCGTCGACAATCTGACCATTGGCGATTGACCGCAAAGCACAAATTTCTTTGAACTCTCGGAACATCTTGTCAATCTTTTCTTTGACTTCTGCATCGTTTCGTGATGGAGCGGAGGGCGGAGGTGCTTGGTTTTCTTGAGGAGGCTGAGGCGGGGAAGCTTGTTGGATTGCCGGAGGATGAGGTGGGGATGGAATTTGAGATTGAGGGGGGGACGCTTTCTGAATTTCACTCGAATCTTGGCTGGCTGGTTGACTGGGTGCTTGGGCCGGAGGTGGTTGACTTTGAGGTGGTTGGTAAGGAGGTTGATGTTGAGGAGTTTGCTGGGGATTAGGTGGCATGGAATACTGATGAGGTGGAGGAGTTGGTCCGTATTGCATTTGCGGATGTGGGCCATGGGTTTGTGGAGGATACGGATTCTGATATTGAGGTGGATGTGGCGGATGTGGCTGAAGAGTAGCCGTTGCAGGAGGTGATGGCTGATGTGCAGGCTTTTGCTCTGAAGGCTGAGGCTGACCGCTTGGTGGAGCATGAGGCTCGTTATTCGACGGAGGACCATCTGACTCGGCGGCCTTTTGAGCATATGGCGAGCTATATGAATGAGAAGGGGGCGGCGGGGCTAGCGCAGCTGGGATATATGGTGGTACAAAAGGCCCAGGTTGCCAATTTGCTGGCGGTGGTTGAAAGCCATTTTGCTGTGGGTGAGGATATGGAGGACCTGGGTGAGGCATGAATTGCTGAACCATTGGATAAGTGCCATTCGGAGGAGGCGGGTATGGCGGATATCCAAAACCCATGCCAGGATGCTGATGTCCATGCATGTTGTGCGGTGCCTGCTGGATGACCTGGGCATGGCCTTGAAATTGTGGTTCTGGTGGTGCCTTCTTCTTTTTCTCCTTATCAATAGAGGCTCCAGGTTTGAGACTCCACATGTGACCTTTCCCATCCTTCACTCCCTTTTCGAAAACATCAGGATTGCCGGACAGGTTGTGACGAACACTACTTTCCCATCCCTTAGTCTCAGTTTTCACTGCAAAATAGGGATATGCTCTCTTGATCGCATTATAGATTTGAGGAAGACCCATTTCCTTGTGTGGAGATGCTATCATCGCGTTATAGATGATAACAACGTAGTTCTCCGCCGGCTTTATCAATTGCTCCGGTAAAAGATCTTCCTCTTTGAATACCGGTGATGGCGAACGGGGTGGCTTGATAGCCTTTTCCTTCTTGATCTTGGTAGTAGTAGCAGTGCCATCGCCACCAGAAGCAGCTCCTTCGGGATTGCCCTCCTGGTTCTCCTTCGGCTTGCGTTTCGTATATTTTCGCTTTGGTTTGTTCAAGGTTTCAGGGTCTGGTAGAGGGTGTTTTCGAGGTCGGCCGACCTTTCCTTTCTTTGGAGCCTCTGAACCGTCTGTGCCTAGTTTTTCAGCTACAGCAGCCTCCTGTGCTTGCTTCTTCAATTCTCTTTCAGCTCGCTTCGACATGACACCGTTTTTGGGTGGTCGACCAGGCCCCTTTCTACCTTCAAGAGCTACAAGTTTTGCGCCCTTGGTATTTGATCTTGGTGATTCATCATCCTCAATCGACTGTTGCGGCATCTCGCCTTGAATTTCCTCTTCCTCTCCCTCTTCCTCATCTTCCTCATCAAACTCACCTTCCCCTTCTTCGTCTTCCTCTTCGTCGTCTACAGACTGACCTTGTTCCTCATCAAGGTTGACGCCATTCAGAGAGCCTTGGAGAGAGTCACCGTCCTCAGAATCAGTGAAATCACCAGCATCTCTTCGGATCTCCTGTGAATGATCGGTATTCATTTCCTTGCCTCTGGCATCTCTGAACACTGGAGCATCAAGGAATTGCTGTCGGCCATGTTCATCGAAGTACATCGTGTCCTGCAGCCCCGGGGTGCCATCATCCCCGTGACTCGGACCTTCAGTAACATTGTTTGCGGGCAACAAGAAAGTCAGGAAAACCTCTCCAATTTGCAGCCTAGAACCATTGCTGAGAACGTGGGTTGTGCCTCTGGGCTTTAGATCCAGCTCTAGCTCCGAACCGGGAGGCGCAAGGAAGCATCCGTTTCGACCTAGGACATGTAGTTCGAAGGCGGAAATCTCAGAGTTGAAAGCAATCTTAACGTGGCGTCTAGATATGTTCTTATAGGCTTGGAAACATAGACTGTTAGCAGGGTGTATGCCGACCAAAGGACAGGCGTTTGATGGAGGATGAAGTGATGCAGGGTCTACCGGGACAGCTTCAGTATCGGAGCCTGCGCGTTGGGATTGAATTGGGTATACGCCAGGTTGGTAAGGTAGGGAATCTCTTCGGGTGCGCTTCTGACTAGATTGCGAGGACTGTGATTTCTTGCTCTTCTTGCTTCTTCCCTTCTTGCTCCTGCGTTCATCCTTGTCTGGATCATCTTCAGCGACGAGAATTCCAGCGGAATTGCTGGTAACAGGGTTTCCAATGTGTGCATTCGCCTCGACAGATAACCCAGCAGCCAGCAGAGCTTTCTCTCGTCTCAGTGCCTTTTTAGCAGCAACTTGATCGCGTCCAAGATCGACCGAATAGGTATTCATGTAGTACGCTCCATCTGTGAACTCCAGCTTCGCATATGCTTGAACTTGACGCTCCTCGACGGGCTCTGGGTCTAAATCAGCGTACGGTTGCTGAACCATTGCCATTGCCATTGCAGTGATTGCTTCGTACTGATCTGTAGACATTGCAAAAGGGTCAGGGCCGTGGCCGTATGGGTCTTGAGGAACGGGCAAGTTTCGCATAGCAGCAAGGACATTCGCAACAAGATCGGGGGGTAGGACGTCTTGAGAAAGAGCTTGGTCGTTAGGTTGGTCGAGATGATTGTTTTGTAGGTCCTCCCCCATATTGGGTATGGATGCGTCTCCTGCGCCAATAGATGTCTCTCCTTGTTGTTGTTCTGCTTCCACCCCATTTTGTCCGTTTGGTCCAACTGCGTTATTCTCTGTTATATCCGGGAAAATTCTCTGCTGGAGGGTTTCGTTCAATCCTTCATGTTGCGAGCTGGAGTGGTTTGGAGCAGCCTCGACAGGCTCAGCCTGAGCCTCGGCGGTGAGGTTGCCAGCATCGTTCGCATAGTGAGGACTGTCTTCTGTACGTGTCGCGTTGGCTGGCGCGACGTCCAGGGCAGCAACTTGCGGTGATGTCATCGCTGTCGCTTTGCAATAGTGACAGCTCTTTCACCGGGCGGAGTGTCCTTTCGAGGGAGCGTGTATCGTCGTCGTCGTGATGCGCTGGGATTCGGGGCCTCGCTCGATTGCGATGATCTGACTGGCAATATTTTCAGTCCACTAGAGGCACGTGATGAGATGCAGGGATCAGCGCTTGAAGGCTTGAAGTCGGGATCTTCGAGTTCAAGACACGGAGAAGGCAGGAAAAAAAAGTTGGTGGGAGTGTGGGAATGTTAAGAATATATGTGTGCGAGCTACGGTCTGGAAAAGGATAAGTTATTCTCTGTCGTTCTTTCCTTCTACTTTCTGGGACCGATTTTTTCACTGTGAATCATTGTTCTTGCTGCAGTCACAACGTTTGGTAAGAAACGCTCAAAGAGGGTAGTTCCCACCTTTGGGCAGATCCAGACTTCTGCGCTTGCCTGCATAGTTTGATTTGCCTAAGGTTATTCCTTGGTTCACCGGTTCGTCTGACTGTTTCTTTGAGAGCCTCACTGTGCCGGGGTATGAGGATCAGGTATCCTTGTATTCTTTTCACAACCTCCCATCAGGATAAACTTTCTGATATCTCAAACTCTACTGCCAAGGTTTGAAGTTAGTTGAGAGTTTGACAGTTGTGATCGGCTTACACTATGGAGTATTAGCTCTTGAACTAAGTCCGGCTCTTGTCTGTCGTTTCAGGCAATTGCGTCACGAGCATCAAGATCATTGAGTGATGGGCAAGAGCTAGCGCTGGGTGCTATCTTTTTAAATTCAAGCTGTCCCCCAGCCATCCGTAATCTTGGTTCTCCTCAAACTTCGGTCAAGGAGTATACAGTCCGTTCGCTGTTATCTCGAGCTCCTCTATCATACTACCAGGATGTCCGGGCTTCCTATCCCTTGGGTCTGCTTCCAGTGCGGCACGGACCAGAATCCTTGCCATTGCAAAGTCATTGGTCCAACTCTAGGATTTGGGGTTGCAATCGTGCTCGCTGTAAGTCACGCCGTCACTGCCTTCTCTTGAGACCCACCTAACACATCTAGGTAATCTGCTGGCCGGCGTCGCTGTTTTGTGGCTGCTGTGCTACTGAGAGAGGAAAGAAGTTCGTCACACCCTAACCCTAAAATTTATTTTTTAAATTTCATATATCTCTTTGATGTGTGGGAGCTAATCAGAACCATAGAATGCTTGGAGCACCGGTCGAGATTAGCGGGCAAGTCAGTAATGCTATACCTATATGATACTGGTCCAGAGACGACACCCAATATTTTTGAGGAAGAAGCTACACATGATGACGGACACACTTATTATGATGATAAATTGGGTGAGATGTTTATGGTTGTGCGAGGGGAAATGGAGGATGAGATTGGCTTTGATGCTCAAAACTGATGAGTGCTTGAGTCAGCGTTGGGTAGATTGATGGTGCAATTTCTGCTCGGAAAGAACGGTAGATTGCCTGAAAGAAATACGTTCCCCAAAGTTGGTGGTCTTGCTTGAATCTTTCAGCAGCTGTAATATAATATTTGCTCTGTCTTTTTTGTTTGCACTCTCGCCCTTGGAATATCAAATTGACTAGTTGTAATCATCTCTGCAGCTTTCTTGGAATTAATCACATGCCTTAAAATTCGTATATTTCATGTCTGACTCTGCCGGTGAAGGACCACAATTCTCAGTAGAGACAGCTGTTCGTTCAGGACCCTTTGGTAGCCGTTATTTGTAGCACTGAATCATATCTCCGACCCGTCCTTGCTGTTTAATCACATTGCATCTTCAAATGCAAGAGGCCGAAAGGTATAGACAAGGTCTGGGTGATCAATTGAGGACAGTGTCAAATTACAAAAATCTTGTGATGTGATGCGTGGCTTTGACTTCTCTGCTCAGAAAATGTTTGATCTCAAATGCGTCCCTCATAATTTGCAAAAGGATTATTGGGCATGATAATTTAAGATGTCAAAAGGTCTAGATGTCTAGTGAGAAAAGACTGGGGCAGATTGTTTCTTGGTTTGGAAGGTGCTGAAGCACGCTCCCAGATCAAGTAATTCGAAAGGGGCGCGCTCGCTTAACTACATTACGACAGACTACATTCTAGTAAGGTCCCTTTCACAGACCAGCTCCCTAATGTTTCCAACTTGCTCTTATTTTCCACATACAATGTCTACATGACTGTCATAGCAAGTTATGGCCAAAGTCACCTAGGTACTGAAAATTTGACTAGATCTCGTGACGCCCCTTTTATCTCGCTTCGAGAAGTACTCGTTTGAGGAACACTGTTGGTCAGGACGTTATCATCCGCCTTGGTGCTTACTGACACCATTAAGTGTACGATGAAGTCTCAACTAGACTGCACTCCTCGCTTTGTCATGGTCGTTGTGAGAGCTTGCAAACGCACTTAGATTTGAGTCTCACGATCTACGGCATGTCAACTTGACTACTCATCCCTTCGAAAGTCTAGAAGCAGGACCTAAACCCAACAGATATGTAGTTGAAGGCTCTTGATGACACATTATCCACTGTATCAATGTTGGGATTTTCCGTCTAAGATGCAAAATGCATGTATAATTCATTGTAGTCCAGTCTTACAAAGTTGACAATGGCCGTTCTGCATAAAGAGCTTGATGACTTATGAGATATTGAACAGCCTGATGTCACAATCTTCAAGTCTGATTGTCCGCGACTCCTCGAATACGTCAGACATTCTCAATCGTCGGGTTGACGACGAGCTTGCTGGACGACATCATAGCACGGCCTGACGGCCTGATAAAACGACCTGATCAGGACAATGAAGCTAAGCACCCCCGCTAGTCTACCAGCAACATAGCCTTTCTCAGATCGAGATTCCACCTGCGAATTCCCGTCTTTTAGGACTCGTTGACTTTTGATATCATCTCCGTGTCCGACAGCCGCAACGTGTCGAACCTTAGCACGAACAACCAAAGACATACCGCGAACACGATCTCACCAGAATCATGGGAGGCAAGAATATAAACAAGACCAATGAACCAACACCTCCGACGAGGATGTCCCGGAGACTGCTTCACAAAGAGGTACGTGGTTTTCGCTGAAATTGTAATTGCCCCTTTCCGTTGTCAGTCGTTTACCATTTCACAGCCTCTCCCTACATCTCCGGACGCCGACCCGTCTTTCAACTCCTCTCCCAGTCCTTCTCGTCCAAAGTCCGTCTCGAAGACGAAGACGAAGGCGTCGAAAGTGAATGAAAACACACCCTCTCATCTGAACTCGGCAGAAGAGGAGTCGAAGGAGAACGAGAACACGTCTATGGACGATCTTCTAGACATTCAGCGCGGCTATATCAGAGAGAACCAGTACCCAGCTTTCTTCGATGGACAATATATCAATCCGGCTTTGACTTACAATGACCACTCCGAAGCCATTGCTCATGTCAATAACTTGGAGTTTGAGAATGTTGAAATCCCTGAGGAATTCTGGCAAGATTTGGAAGCTATGGGCCCTCTGCCTCCTTTGGATCTTACGGGTCCTCTGCCTCCAATCCAATATGGAATGCCTTCTGGATATCCTCTACAAATGGACTTCTATGACAATCCCGGACAGTTCATTCAGAACGAGTATTTTGCTGACCAGCTTGAAGAAGCACTTGCTGTTCAAGGTAATTTCGTTGAAGAAGATTTTGAAGAGGCAGCTGCTGGCGATGAAGTTTTTAGTGCAGAGATGTTCAACCCCGAGCGCCTCGCACAACTAAAGTCGGATGCCTTTGATGAAATTGAAGAACTGAGGCAATTCGTTGTGGCTGAGGATCCACAGGCATTTGCTAACGTTGTCAATGACAGTCCGGACTCTCCCTTTAGTATCGATGATCACGGCTCTGACGTCGACGACTACGCTTCTGACTTCAACGACCCGGATGTCGCTGTCGACAATAACAGTGGAGCTTTGCTAGATACGGAAGAACAAGAGAACAACCCCAACGCCAAGGAAAGATCTGTTGAGCCAGCCCCAAGTACCAGCGGTGTTCAGATGAGCTCAACCCCTGTTATCGATAACTCTGCTCCTGGCGACCTAGGCCTAAGCTGTAACACCACTGTCGAGAAAGTCAATAAAGAGTTGCAGAATATGGAAGAGCAGGAGAATAACCCCCGAGCTAGAGAGAACTCCGTCGAGTCAGCTCCAAGTATCCAGGGTGCTCAGATGAACTCTACTCTTGGTATCAATGGCTCCGCTGATGTCCGTTCGGGTTTGTCCGATGTCAACAATGTCGAGGATGATATCTCAATGGATCTTGCCTCTGAACTATCTACACCTGCTATCAGCACGCAAATCGGCGAAACATCTGCTCCCTTAATTACAAATGGCAGCCGTGTTCCGATGGATTCGACTACTGGTATCAATGGCTCCGTTCAAGGCGACGTTGGTCTGGGCAACAATACCGATGCCGAGGATGACGTTCCAATGGATCTTGACTCTGAATCATCTACACCCGTCATCAGCACGCAGATGAAAGAGAAATCTACTGGGTTGACTACAAGTGGCAGCCATGTTCTGATGGATTCGACTGTTGGTACCAATGACTCCGCTGAAGGTGAAGTTGGTCTGGGTCACAACACCGATGCCGAGGATGACGTTCCAATGGACCTTGACTCTGAACCTTCCACGCCGCGTATGAATACAGCAGCCAAAGCACCCGTCAAGGATAAGAGGAAGACCATCTCGTTGACGGAGTATAACGCCATGAAAAAGACGAAGACCAATCCTTCCACAGACGATACAGCTAGTCCTACCGTCCAAAAGACCACTGGCCAGACTACCGACGGCATAGTGGGATGGGCCAACAATATTACATCCGCAGTAGCCAGTGCTTTAGGTTCGGGAAAGGCCGGTGGTGTTCAGCAGAAGGAGGGTCAATCATCCAAGAGTTCCGCTCGCGCCGCTCCAACCCCAACGAGCCATCCAGATTGGACTCTGCCCGCTCGTCCATCGATGGTCGTACCAGCCAACTTCAAGCTGAATGCCGACGATTGGCACCCTGACACTACTCCGCTCATCAACCAGGCAGCGATGGTACAGAAGTACGCTCGGGACGCAGACCGGGCTGCGACGCGTCTTGCTCGGGATACGGCGGCCTTGGAGAAATCGAAGAAGGAAGGAAAGTGAGGGGGAGAGGATGGAGATTGCTTTGGTTGGGGTGTTGGTTTGCCGGGAGGGACTTGCTTGGGTGGTTGGTTGTGGGGTGGGAGTGGGGAGAAGGGGAGGAGAGAGTAACTGTGTAGGATACTAGGAATAAGAAACCATTGCAACATACCAGGTGCTTGCTTCGTGATACGTCTTTATTGCTCTGTAAAAGTCCCAAAAGCCGAAGGACAATGAAATCCGAGAATATTTGGTGATTTATCCCACAAATAATCCTACAAGAACTACATGCGAGATTGCAACATCCCAAGCTTTGAGAGGGAAAATAAATATTTTCGAGTCCTTGCATTATTTTTTCAGAGTTGATACCTACAGAACGCCAAGTCTATGCACTCTATGCCAATGTATTCCTTTCATGCATTCATTCATACATTCATTTCTCCTTGAATTCTTGTGAGAAAATCTTCTGCCAAACATCCATCCATTTCTGCTGCTGAGAAGTAAGAGCTTTCCCAGGAGTCTTGAAGGATCGTGTCATGATATCTCGTAAACGTGATCGGAGGGTCTTGATCACAAGCATGGTCTTCCAATCCGAAACTGCAAAGCGAGCGCGATTACCGTCGATAATGAATACTCCCGAGTACATCTGGCTGATATTAGTTGCTGCTTAAACATGTAAAGGAGAAGAACGTACATCGCAACGAACATCTCCACACAGAAGAGCAATTGCGAATTCTTCTGCAGCCGTTGTCTCGTGTGCATTGTAGAACCTGTAAATGTTAGGCATTGTACCCAAAGATTTGGATTTACGCTTACTGTTTCGCCTGCATAATATGGTAGAAGGAGAGCCATTTGAGTTCATGGTGGCCCTTGTTGACTGACGAAGGATGCAAACTGATCGATTGGTTGTTGGCAACGTTTCGGAACCCTTTACCATCGCGCACAAGCAATTTTGGGTAGAAGCTCCATGCAATCACAGAACTTGTGATAACATCATTATCACTGTTAACATTGGCTCGTTGCGGGATGTCAAAGAATTGTCGTCGCCTGCTCGAGTACCGTGATCTAGAATAGTGAGTAAGTTGACATAAAAAGAACCCGGTAAGAGTTACCTATTCAATGAGATGCTCTCAGCCTCAGTGAGGGGCAGGAAGCCGGAATCCACAAGACACAAGACAAGCTGTCCCTTTAGTTCCTCAATGCTCGACAATGTTTGTTGACTTAAGAAATTCTTTTTGCAGAATTGATACTCCGAACCTCCAGTCACACAAACTCGTCTCCAGGCTAGGTATGCATTGTACACAGTCAACAAATCAGAATCACCTGCTAGGTGTCAGCGGAAGTTTCATGATATAATAATCAGGACAAACGAGCCATGAGCCCACGCTTGGTATAGAGAAGTGTGCGAGATGAAGGAGGGGAGCAAAACTGACCTCTACGAAAAGCAAGACGGATTGTGTCTGCTTGTGCTCTCGCTCCAAATGGTGCAGAGAAAGGCGACTTTGAAGACAGCACGGCAGCTATGGTCACTGCAGCATCCAAACATTTGAAGATACTTCCTAAAAGCACCAACTTCCCAAGGAAAACGTCCAACGGCAATCGTGCTAACTGAATCCCAAGTGGTGTCAAATCTTCGCCAGGTGTTAGTGCTCTGACGTCTATGAGTGCGTCAACTGCTCGACGTATATTCTTGGCTGAGGGCGGATCTAATGCTTGACTCAGAGTCTCTTCGATACCACCAAGCTTGCAAATCTTGACTCGAATAGCTAAATCCTGCAAAGATAGGCGAAGTAGCTCAGGTGTTTGCTGGTCAGGCATCTAAGGAATCGTCAATTTTGTTCTTGGCACTCGGTACGAGGGCAGGGAGAGGTACTCACAAGCTCGTCATGCCTGTATTTCGTGAAGAGATGGAAGCAAAGACCCTCTTGGACTCTTCCAGCTCTGCCTCTACGTTGCTTTGCATTCGCCTTACTGATGAAGGTTTCCAAAAGTCTAGATAATTGCCTTCTCTCGTCGAACCTGATAAGTTGTAAGCATTTGTCTTACGAATGTTAGCAGCAGTCTGCAGTTACCTCATTTCTCGGTGCTTGCCAGTATCGACTACGCAAGTCACATCTGGTATCGTGATACCAGTTTCGGCAATGTTGGTGGCAAGAACAATCTTTCGTGTGCCTGGCGGGGGAACCAAGAAAGCAGCTTCTTGATCCTCACTAGCGATTGTCGAATGCAGCGGGTAGACAAACCAATTAGATGAGAAAACCGGGTGGCCAACAAGCATGTCGTTAAGCTGTCGAATCTCTCCAATACCAGGCAAAAATACTAAAATTGCTTGGCTGTACATTTCCAGACGCGAGTCTGTGGCAATCTTAGCAAGAAGTTGTGTGACCAATTCAAATTCGATACGATATTCGTCGATCTGAGCAATTGTATTTCGAGTTTTCGCACTAAACCCCTTTAATGCTTTTGTGTTTTCGGCCTTCGCCGCATCAGAAAGATCTGCATCTGCGGCTTCAGTATCGTCATCGTCAAGATCCTGAAACTTTTCATGTAGACCATTATCGATATTAAATCCAGTAAGCTCGACAGCATCCTCGAGATACCTGACTTCGACTGGGAATGTTCGGCCAGGGACAGAAAGCACTGGAGCACCATCCAAGTACTTCGAGAATCGTTCTGCATCAACTGTTGCAGACATAAGCACCACTTTAAGGTCAGGTCGCCTAGCCATGAGTTTGCGGAGTACAATCAAAAGAAAGTCGCTATCAATTGTGCGCTCATGAACCTCGTCCAGAACAATATGAGTTATATCTCGCAGGTCATTTGAGCCCTCGAGCATTCGCATGACGATGCCAGTCGTAGCGTAGACTAGTCGTGTCTCTTTTGAAGTATTTGATTCAAGTCGAATTGCGTATCCAATAAGGGATCTTGGGGTACCGAGATCATTCTTTCGTTCACCAAGCTCTTCACTCACACGTCGAGCAAGTGAAATGGCAGAAATTCGACGAGGCTCTGTACAATATATTTTACAGGCTTTGCCTTGCGAGAGCTGATGTTCCAAAATGAATGAAGGGACTTGGGTACTCTTTCCGCTACACCATTTCATCAGTATTTTCGCTGATATGCGGACATCAGTCCTTACCATCCAGTCTCTCCGCAGATGATAACCACCTGATGCTTCTCAATAGTGTCCAAAACCTCATCTTTGAAATGCCACATAGGAAGTTGCATTCTCGATTGCTGCATACACATTAGCTACTGTACGGCGAGGGGTGTAACAACAAACTGACGAGCATCATTTGGAAATTAGGTGTGCTACTCTTATCAATCCAAATTTTCTGGTATGCCTCGGGGGAAAGGGTCGATTTGTTGGCCTTGTCAGTGCCAGATTCTTCGCCATTTTCAAGAGGACGGGCTCCATTTCGATTCTTGAACGCGCCCTGAATCAAGACACCGTCTTCCAATTCACGATCTCGTCTCTCGCGAACCATGTCACGGAATCTTCGGATGACATTACGGTCAGCCTCGTCTGCTTTCCCTTTCTTTGTCTCAGCAAATTCTGTCCATAAATCTCTCCACACGGCTGGTAAGCGCAGAAACACTTTATCTTCCTTTCCCGATGAGCTGAAAAGCAGAAATAGTGCGGTGGTTGCAATGAAGGCTTCAGATTGTTTAGGCTCAGGGGCTGATATGGAAGTCATAATGAAGGTTTGGGACTTTGTTGTAGAGCTATAATCAACGCTAGTCGGGGGGGCTGATGGCTGGAGATCCTGCACTTTAGACCAAGAAATCTTTAAAGAGTGACGGTTAGAGTAACTTGAGTCAGATATCAATAACATCTGGATTTTTGCCGAAGAGTCCCTAGTGATTTGTCAGTAAAATAAATAACTTGAAGAGGCAGCAAGCAAATTATACCTAGCACGACAGGCTTCTTCGAGTACTCTCGTCGGGCTCACGCCAGTCCACTTCCCGAAGTCTCGGATTGTTACTTTGACGCCATTACTTCCGTTAACAACAGTGATGCTCTTTCCAGTAACTGGGTCTACTTCATTGACAGGCAGGCTTGCAAATAGATCTGCTAAAGCACTTTCATCGTCGCTATCGTTGCCTTCTAGTAATTCAGCGCCCATCCGAGCGGCTTCTTTGCTGACTTCGTCGTCTACGTCTGAATCAGCCAATGCTGCCAACTCGTCGCTGACATCCGGAGTAGCCTCAACAGCACGTCGATGAGCAGCATCTCTTTCGAGAAGTATGCGTTGAGCTTCCCATCGCTGATTCGCGATGTATTGGTCAAAGAGGACGTCATCTTGGATCTTTTTGATCTTTCTATCCAATTTAGCTCTTGTTAGATCTTGGCCGGTTCCAGATTTTGAAGGCGTCTGTTTCGGCCGAGGATTCGATGCGTTGGTTCCTGGTTTAGATCTTTGTCTTTCCATTTCAAACAACTTAGATTTGCAGTCTAGATATACAGAGAGGAGATCATCCGGATCAATGTCGCTATCATCATCAATAGGCACGATTCTCTTTGCAGGAGATCTCTGCCTCTCGGGATAGGGTAATGGGCCACGCGTAGTACCATGTCCTAAATGTCTCGTATCAGACTCTGCCTGAGGAGTAGAATAACCAGATGGTAAGGGGCTGTCCATAGGGGTTTCTGAAACTTGGAATCAGCACAGCAATAATGTAACAACTTAGGGTCTGTACCTGTCTGGGATTTTGACACCATTGCTCCTCTTCTTTGCCAATTTTCGTAGTCTGGGAGACAATCTCGTGGACATTCCCGAGCAAGCCAGTCCAGAGATTCCTCCATACCCCAGATCGAATCTTTGTTTCCAGAAATGATCTTGTCTGAAATGTCAAGAACATATCGTAGGGCCAAAATGACTTTGTCTTCTCTAAAGCCTGACCCAACCAGAGCTTGCTGCAAAGTCCAGAGACGAACCGTTAACTCTTCCTCTGAGACCTGCTTTGCTGCATGGGCATTTTCGTTCGCCTGCCCCGCAAACCGCCCTTCTGTTTGTACAAGATCTAATATTTCCTCCATAAGCTCCGGGGGTAGCCACCTTCTTGTGATCAGATTGTCTGCTTGCCCTCTGAGGACTCGGCGATCCGTCTCTAGTCTCGTCTTTTGTCGGAGAGCATCTCTCTTGGATTTCTGTGCATGCTTCTCTACCAGAATTTGAAGCTCTGATTCTTCCAGCTGCTTTTCGAAGTCTTCAGCAGATAATATGTTCCCTGAAGCTATTGATGCTTCGGGATTCAAGGCGGAATTTTCTGGAATTCCTTTTTCATTACTCTCGGCATTTCCTTGCGACTCTGTAGGCGCTGGTACTGGGTCGGGTTCAGCGATTTCGACTTTTGGTTTGGAAGCAATAGACGTAGTTGCAAAACCTCTCGCAGGGTTCGAGGCTGGCTTCTTTTTCTTCTTTCCTGGAGCCATGATAGAATTTTGGTGGGTGGTTGTTCAAGTATCAAATTGCGAATATGTGCGGGGTGGTGTTGACATATGACGCTCGAGCTTGACGCGGTGGACGCTCAAGACTTTTTTTTTTCAAGATCGCTAAGACAGCACGACCACCTCTAAACTGCGACCAAGGAGCCCACGAACGCGAAATAAGGCGCCAGGACTGCTTGGTCATGACAATATTCTCGATTCTACAATATGACTGAGGTGGAGGTCAACGGGATAGCGGCGGGCGTGGTGGACCTAGATCTCAAAACATCACTCTCTTCTTCATCAACTTCAAGGCGGATCAATACCCTCGCAATCTTGCAGGAGAGGCTCTCAAAGAATGGTTTGAAACCTCATTCACCCCAATATTCCCAATTGTTTGTCTGCTAACTAATTTTGGAACAGAAATCAGCCCGAAATTATTCCCCCCTCTTCTACAGCTGTTATTTGACACGCATGCATACTATCGCGACCGCCCCTCTCGTCGAGCTGTTGAGCAATGTCTAAGACTTGCTTTTCGCTCAGGCTGTGCTCCTCCAGCATTAGCGGGCTTCATCAAGAATCTAGAGGCCGAGTCTTTGAAGCTAGGGATCGCCCCCAGCAATGCTTTTGTTCTGGTAGAATGGTGTAGCATGCTTCTGCAGGTGCTGACTGGAACCGACTACTGGGATATCTGGGGCTTCCAAGTTCTCGAGAGCCATGCTCGATTGCTGGAATTGTGTGTTGGAGAGTCTCCGCGGGACAACATTAGACAAACCGCACTGCGCGTCACATGGCGAGGACTCCGGGAGGCATTCTCTATACCCGAGAAGAGGCAAAATGTGATGAAAGGAGCTATCCAGAAACTTGCGTCAAAAGGTGCTCAGTCATCTGCGAAGAATGCTATCATGCTTGGAGCTATCGCTGGAACATGTGCGAGGAATTTCCAGAAAGAGTCCACGAAATCGTCAGAGATGAAAGAATGTCTCACGAACAAGAAATCCGAATACTACGCATTCTACATTCGAGAAATCATTGGTTCGCGGACTCTTGTACCAAGCCACATATCGAATGCTTTACATGACTTCTTTGCTTCGTTCGCAACAAAGGAGGACATAGAGAGGGAGATTGTTCCTGCTCTGGAAAAAGCTCTGCTTCGTGCACCGGAGATAGTGCTCAATGATCTCGTTACGCCACTGTTTCGTTCCCTTCCTGATACGATAGATCTTACAAGTATTCTTAAGAACAACCTTCTCAAACCTCTGCTTTCCAATATCAAGTCAAGCAATGCTACTATTCGCTTAGGAGCGCTTTCGGCACTTCGTGCTGCGGCTCCCAAGTGTCACGAGGTGAATGTTATTGCTGAGGTTGCAGAAGAGATTGTTACCCCTCTCAAAGCTGGAAAATTGCCTTCCGCTGATCAGAGAGCTAACCATGCCGAGATGCTTGCTCTACTCCCTGTCACAGAGACAACAGCTACCAAGATTGGTTCAGCTATTACCGCCGTTGTCGGCAAAGAAGCAAACGAGGCAGCGCTTACATCGGAGACATCAGCCCTCCTGCATTATGTAAGTTGGGCAATACAGCATGGAATGGATCTGGATAAGCAAATGACAGATGCTTTCACCAAAGGGATCTCGGATAAAAAGGTACCTTTCAAGAGTCTTTGGACCGGACGACTGGGTGAACTGTTCTGGGCCACGGATGATCATGAGATTTTGCGAGGCAAATTAGCTAAACTCGCTGAATGCACAATCTCACCTCTTATGGATATCTGGCAGGAAGTCACGGCGAACCCTTTGGCTGCAGCACAGTCTGGTCTCGTCGCCAGCGCTTTTGTGCTTACTGCTATTGCCTTTACGAAGCTACCACATGTTTCGAATAGCAAGGTTGATACGGCTCTGAAGAAAGCTCAGATAGGAAGACAAGCCTTGGTTATGGAGCCAAAACCTTCCTTCCTGTTGAACCCACGCATTTATGGGAAGCTTACAAGTGAGGAGGATTTCATCTGGCTTCTTCGAGCTCTTGCATCCACTGCACAAGATGTCGTTACGTCTGATACAGTTTCACCTAGCTCTATTGCCTGGTCTCAAGCCGTAATATTCTGCATATGCTCTTCAACCGTCAAGCCGAGTGTTAGAAAGAATGCTTCCGAAACCTTGACTAAGCTCTACCTCAATTATCCTTTAGCAATTGTCAAAGTTATCGTGTCGGGACTTTGGAGGTGGCGAGACTCCATCGAATCAGGCGACAAGGATAGTGCTGCTGTGTTGTCTAAAACAGAGAACAGCAATATTCACCATGTTATTCGAGCCATCTGTCTATCCCCAGCAGAAGTCACTCAGCTTGGTGGTCAAGTCGAAATGTCTGTCCGGATGGAGCAGATGATTTTACTGTTGGTTCTATCTCGACAGGAATTGTTACCGCGAGTGAGCTGGATCCAGCTGTGTCTCAAAGTTGAGGTAGATCCTGGCAACCTTGCCAGGAAATCTGGAGATGCTCTGGTTCAGCAGATACTTGATTGCACTAGATTTGACGAAAAAGTATGTTCTCATGCATCACTCCCCAGTTCAGATCATTAACTTGACAACAGGCGACCTTCCAAAGATCCGACAATGTCAAGATCGCTGCTTTCCAAGCAGCAGCAGAACTTGCCTTTGTGGCCCCCGATGCAATGACCCCTAGAATTGTAGAGCTTCTTGAAAATGATCTGGACTCAACTCAATTGACTAACATCGGCCCAACAGAGGCGGCTATCTTCAGAACAGAAGAAGGCACGGCTTTTGTCGATGTGCTCGCGTCCAAGTCCCAAAGCTATGTTCCCAACAAAAATACAAAAGATTACGACACTTTGAAGTGGGAAGAAGAGTTACGAGCTCAGCTCGCACAGAAGAAAGGACAACAGAAGAAACTCACTTCCGAAGAAACTGCCAAGGTTAATGCTCAGTTGAAAAAGGAGTCTGCTATTCGTCTGCAGATTCGCCACCTTCAAGCAAAGCTCCTCCGTGGGTTTGGTATCATCAACAGCCTAGCCACAGGACCGCCTACTGAAGCAGGTCTTTGGATGGGGCCGGCTGTCAAGGCATTAGTGGAGGTAATTAAGGCTGGTGCTGGGCTCATCACAGGCAATGCAGCTCCCGATGCGTACATTGCCTGCGCAGAACGACTTCCGAGCCGCGTTGGTGCTCTGAGGCCATTCATAGGTATCGCGACATTGAGAGCTTTAAATGTACCACACCTTCCAGAGCATCTAGAGGAAGAGCCTCTAGGTGCGTTGATTACCAGAGTCCTTTATCGACTTCGCTTCTCTGGAGAACAACGACCTTTCGATACAGTCTCCTTGATCTACATTCTCCCTCTTGTCTTTCTCGTCCTGCGCGAGAAAGGCTTTGGAGAGTCTGATGACGCTGAAGCTCAGATTGTCTTAGCTTTAGAATTCTTATCTTACCATACAGATGCCTGCTCTGACGAGCTGGTACCACGCGAGGAGATCTTGTCTGTGCTAATATCATCGATGCAAAACTATAATCAGCATTACAAGATGATCAAAGATTGTCTGGCAGATCTTTGCCGTTGTATTGCGCCGAACATAACTGAGATCGAGCTGTCAATCCTTGCCCGCGGAGCAATTGTCCCGCAAGTTTCGGTTCGTTCCTCAGTCCTACAATCAATTAGTGCTGAGATCGATATGAGTGATGTAGACTTCTCTGACGAGATATGGCTCGCTTGTCATGACGACGTGGAAGAGAATGTCGAGCTTGGAAAAGAAATTTGGGAAGAGAGCGAATTTACAGTCTCCGAAGATGCTCCCTTCAGGATGCTGCCTTATCTCGAGATTGTGGACAAGCAATTGAGACGAGCGGCGGCAAGATCGTTAGCGGCAGCTGTGAAATTACGGCCATCAACATTTCAAGATGTGTTAGAACGCTTGAAGTCGACATATCAAGAGCTTGCAAAGCCCCGTGTGCCCCAGCTCGACGAATACGGCATGCCCAAAAAGATGGATCTGTCGGATCCCTGGGAGGCTAGAAACGGTATAGCTCTTGCGTTCAAAGAGCTAGCTCCCATTTTCGAGATTAGCCTACTTATTGCATTCTTGCAATTTCTGATTGAAGCTGGTCCTCTTGGCGACAGAAACCCAAATGTGAGAGAAGAAATGGTAGAAGCAGCTACCAGTATTATCGCACTTCACGGCAAAGACAAGGTGGAGGAACTAATGAAAACCTTCGAACAAACTCTTGAAGCTCCAGACAAAGGCTCCGAATTCGCGGATCGAGTCAATGAAGCTGTCATCATCATGTACGGAGCTCTCGCTCGACATTTGAAGGCGGGAGATCCACGAGTTCCTAAGGTAGTGGAGAGGCTGCTAGAGACTCTGAGTACACCTTCTGAAGCAGTGCAATACGCTGTTGCTGAATGCTTGCCGCCACTGGTACGTGCGTCGAAAGAGCAGAATCCAGAGTACATCAGGCATGTTCTCGATCGCTTGTTCAATTCCAAGAAATACGCTGCTCGTCGCGGTGCCGCCTATGGACTTGCAGGTATTGTTCATGGCATTGGTATACTAGCTCTGAGAGAATATCGTATCATGTCAACGTTGAAAGGTGGGATTGAGAACAAGAAGGATGTCAATCATCGTGAGGGTGCATTGTTGGCATATGAATTATTCTCAACGATTCTAGGGCGAAACTTTGAGCCTTACGTTATTTTAATCGTACCCCAGCTCCTTTCCAGCTTTGGAGACGCCAGTGCGGATGTACGTGAGGGTTGCTTAGCAGCCGCAAAGGCCTGTTTTGCAAGTTTGAGCTCATACGGTGTCAAGCGAATATTGCCTACGCTCTTGGAGGGCCTTGATGACCAACAATGGAGAAGTAAGAAGGGAGCATGCGACCTTCTGGGTGCTATGGCCTACCTTGATCCTCAACAATTAGCCCAGAGCTTACCTGAGATCATTCCACCATTGACTGGGGTACTCAACGACAGTCACAAAGAAGTTCGACTTGGCGCAAATCGAAGTCTGAAACGCTTTGGTGAAGTCATCAGCAATCCCGAGATCAAAGGCCTTGTGGACGTACTGCTTAAGGCTCTTAGCGATCCTACAAAGTACACAGACGATGCTTTGGACTCTCTCATAAAGGTACAATTCGTTCACTACCTGGATGCACCATCACTTGCACTTGTAGTTCGCATTCTAGAACGTGGACTAGGGGATCGCTCGGCGACCAAGAGGAAATCATCTCAGGTCATTGGCAGTCTGGCCCATTTGACGGAGCGAAAGGATTTGATCTCGCATCTGCCAATTTTGGTCGCTGGTCTCAAAGTTGCTGTGGTTGATCCTGTGCCCACCACACGTGCAACTGCCTCGAAAGCCCTTGGCTCACTGATCGAGAAGCTTGGCGAAGATGCTCTACCTGATCTTATCCCAGGATTGATGCAAACACTGAAATCAGATACTGGTGCTGGTGACCGACTCGGATCTGCTCAAGCTCTGAGCGAGGTCCTTGCTGGTCTCGGTACCAGTCGCTTGGAAGAAACACTGCCCACAATCTTGCAAAATGTTGCTTCCTCAAAGCCTTCTGTCCGAGAAGGTTTCATGTCACTCTTCATCTTCTTGCCTGTTTGCTTCGGCAACAGCTTCGCAAACTATCTCAGCAAAATCATTCCACCAATTCTAAGTGGTCTGGCTGATGAGATCGAGTCCATTCGTGACACCTCCCTCCGAGCTGGACGTCTTCTTGTCAAGAACTTCGCAACTAGAGCTATCGATCTCTTGTTACCCGAGCTGGAACGAGGTCTTGCTGATGACAGCTACAGAATTCGTCTTAGCTCTGTGGAATTGGTGGGCGATTTGTTGTTCAACCTCACAGGCATCAACGCCGGTACCGAGCAAGATGAGGTAGAAGAAGGTGCCCAGGAAGCAGGAGCCTCGTTACTGGAAGTCCTTGGAGAAGAGAAGAGAAACAAGGTCCTCTCGTCTCTTTACATTTGTCGTTGCGATACGTCTGGCTTGGTTCGTACCGCCGCAGTCAATGTTTGGAAGGCTCTTGTGGCCAGCCCAAGAACTCTTAAGGAGCTTATCCCAACATTGACCCAACTTATCATTCGCAGACTAGGAAGTTCCAATATGGAGCAGAAAGTTATTGCGGGCAACGCACTCGGCGAGTTGATTCGAAAAGCTGGCGACGGAGTCCTATCCAGCTTGCTTCCTACACTAGAGGAAGGTCTGCAAACATCGACAGATACCGATGCCAAGCAAGGTATCTGCATTGCTCTTCGAGAACTAATCTCATCTGCTTCTCCTGAAGCTCTGGAGGATCACGAGAAGACTTTGATATCAGTAGTCCGAACCGCTCTTATCGATTCCGACGAGGAAGTCCGAGAAGCTGCCGCAGAAGCTTTTGACTCTTTGCAGCAGATTCTTGGCAAGAGAGCTGTCGATCAAGTGCTACCCTATCTTCTTAACCTGTTACGCACAGATGAAGACGCAGACAACGCTCTATCTGCCCTCTTAACGCTACTTACCGAGACAACAAGATCAAACATCATCTTGCCTAACTTGATCCCAACCCTCACGACCTCTCCAATTTCGTCTTTCAACGCCAAAGCTTTAGCATCCCTATCCACTGTCGCTGGCTCTGCCATGACCCGAAGATTGCCTACGATATTGAATGCGTTAATGTCCAACATCATCTCCTGCAATGACGAGGGCTTACTCGAAGATCTCAACACATCATTCGACACCGTGATCCTTTCGATTGATGAATTTGATGGTCTGAACACGGCTATGAGTGTATTGCTTGGGCTCTCGAAGCACGATGACCACCGCATAAGAGCAGCTACTGATCATCATCTCGCAAAGTTCTTCGCTGCGGCCACTGTGGACTACTCTCGCTATAACCAAGATATCGTAAGAGCTTTACTTATATCTTTCGATGACCGGGATCCGGACGTAGTTCTAGCCGCCTGGACCGCGTTGAGCGAATTCACTAAACACATAAAGAAAGAAGAGATGGAAGCTCTTGTGTACTCCACACGACAAATCTTACAACATGTTGGAGTTGCTGGATCAAATCTGCCAGGCTTCAATTTGCCTAAGGGCATCAATGCCATCCTACCTATATTTTTACAAGGTCTCATGAATGGCACCGCAGAGCAGAGAACACAAAGTGCTCTTGCCATCTCGGACATTGTAGATCGTACAAGTGGGGATGCTTTGAAGCCATTTGTCACTCAGATAACTGGACCGTTGATCAGAGTGGTATCCGAACGCTCAGTCGACGTAAAAGCAGCGATTCTGTTGACTTTGAACAATCTCCTCGAGAAGATTCCTACATTCTTGAAACCCTTCTTACCTCAACTTCAGAGGACTTTCGCCAAATCCCTGGCAGATACATCAAGTGAAGTTTTGAGAACTCGAGCAGCCAAGGCACTAGGCACGTTGATCACACTCACTCCTCGAATAGATCCACTCATTGCTGAGTTGGTCACTGGATCAAGGACTTCTGATTCAGGTGTTCGTAACGCCATGCTGAAGGCCCTCTACGAAGTCATCAGTAAGGCAGGAGCGAACATGAGTGAGGCATCTCGAAGCGCTGTTCTTACTCTTATCGACACTGACCCAGAGGATAATGATGTTTCTATGGCAATCACAAATGCTAAGTTACTTGGAGCTCTGATTAAGGTTGTCCCCTCGGAGAGTGCTGTTGCCCTCATCAAGAACAGAGTCTTACCAAGTCACTTCACTCAGTCCTCTGTACTGGCTCTGAACGCTGTGCTGCTAGAATCCCCAGCGACTTTAACGGAGACTGCCTTCGCCGATAGCTTACCACAAAGCATCTGTGAAGGCATGCAAAACAAGAACGTGAGTGTAAAATCTTTGCTTATTATAACTTTTGCTAACATAATCAGAACTTCATTTCTGACAACTGCGTCCTCGCGGCCGGAAAATACCTTCTATCCGACTCACGCAGCAGTGACTATGAGACGATCAAGCCAATATTCGAGACACTTGCCACATTGATAGGACCTGGACAGTCGGCTGACACTCGACGTCTAGCTTTGGTGGTGGTGCGAACTGTGTGCAGACATCACATGGAGCTCGCTCGTCCTCATCTTCCACTACTCGCACTTCCCGTCTTTGCTAGTGTTCGAGATACCATCATTCCTATCAAGCTGGCGGCAGAAGCAGCATTTATGGCGCTATTCAATGTCGTAGATGAGGAGAGCAAAGTATTCGACAAGTATCTTGCATCTCAAGATCTAGCTGCCAACCAAAAGCGGAGCATGCAGGATTACTTTAAGCGTGTTGCATTGAGGCTGGGAAATACTGCACGAGAGAGGAAAGAGGCAGAAGGTGGACAGGGCGGCTTGGGACTCTCTCAAGATGAAGTTGATGATGAAAAGGAGATAGCTTCGGTAGGAAGAGTCGACCTTGGAGAGGGAGCTTTTGATGAGTGATGAGTTACGAAAAGGCATGGGAGGTGGTCAAAAAGCGTGCATTGTATTTGGAGGGATCGTTTTTAGACGAATGAATTCTTGCGTAAATACAGTTCAGTTTGTCAATTGATAATTCTGTGCAAATCCTAATTTAGTAACTGCTTGAGACGTTTCATTAGTGCGATATCTTCCTATTTGCCTAGGGAAGAAAGCTCAGGGTACACAAGCAACAGAAAATCTCAACGGAAGAGCTCGGTCATAGTTCCACATTTCTTGTAAGAATGCTCAATTCCGCATTGAACTCCGTACAACAAGGATAGACTCAATCCTCCCGTGTTTTGAGGCGCCGCTCACGTGATAAGGTTATTGACTCGGGCATGACCTGCTGAAAGTGAGCCGACGGTCAGACTTTGGTTGATGAATGCTCCCAGCTTATGCTATAGACTTCTATGAATGGTAGCAGATGTAGTTACTGGGGAAATAGTTGAAGTTGATTTTCAAAGTTGGACATCGGCACGTGGTTTGAGGGCTAGTCCCCACACCACACAAAATTTCGATAATTGCTAACCGAAGTTGACGAGTTCACGACTCCTCTTTTTTGAACCTCGAACACCCAACGACAACCATCTTCGACAACCACAGGAATCCGTCAAGATGTAAGAAAAGCCTGCTCCTTCATGTTCCCGACAGATTCAGCGTCCTTGCGCGATGGCAGACGTTGTATGCGCCGGATCAGCAGATGCGTCATAGACTTCCCCTCTTCAGAAGCCGCCGTCAATACACAGATGCTAACATTATATTCTCACGATAGGGGATCTCTCCGTACCCAAAAACGATTGGCCGCCTCCGTCGTGGGCTGCGGAAAGCGCAAGATTTGGCTCGATCCCAATGAGACCAGCGAGATCTCCAATGCCAACTCCCGCCAAACCATCCGAAAGCTTGTCGCAGATGGCCTCATTATCCGAAAGCCCGTCACCATGCACTCCCGAACTCGCGCCCGTGAGCTCACTGCTGCACGAAGAATTGGTAGACACCGTGGTTTCGGTAAGAGAAAGGGTACCTCCGATGCTCGTATGCCAAGGTACGAATGGTGTCAAGTTCAGATAAGGAGGCATATGCTGATATTTCTACAGCCAAGTCGTCTGGATGCGCCGTCTCCGTGTCCTCCGTCGTCTCCTAGTCAAGTACCGTGCCAGCGGCAAGATCGACAAGCACCTTTATCACGAACTCTACCACCTCAGCAAGGGTAACACCTTCAAGCACAAGCGAGCATTGGTTGAGCACGTAAGTTGTTACGGAAGGACAATTAGTACATGAGCTAATGGGTATATCAGATTCACCGAGCCAAGGCTGAGAAGGCCCGTGAGAGAGTCCTGAAGGAGGAGATGGACGCCAAGCGTGCGAAGACCAAGGCTGCCCGTGAGAGAAAGCAAGAGAGAGTGGTTGCCAAGCAACGTGCACAATTCGGTGAGGAAGAGGAAGCTGAGGAGAAGTAGACTGGGATCGTTTTGTGATGGCAGCATACGGGGTGTATTTGGCAAGGTCTAAAAATACAGGCCGGTTGCTTTGACTCGTTTTTCTTGCACTATTCACGGAAATAGCATCACGATTTCGAACCAAGGTCCTTTCAACAAGAATTTGTGATATATGTAGACTTCATTTGAGTGTGAGGGAGCTGCAGAATGTCATGTTCCGGTACACCCGTCCTTAGTTCAACATTCGAACGCCACCATGGGATTAACAAACAGAGCCTCTATCACAAACATGGGCGGATGGACAATTCCAGTGGTCTCTACTCGTATAATGCTTCGGTGGAATGCTTCTCCATAGACATGAATGACAACCAAATATCGTACAACAGACACTTCAGCTCCGCGCACGCGACACAGGAAACGAGTCGAAAATGTCGGAGTTATCTCCGCAAATGTAGGAATCAACGCCAAAATCATGAATCACCATTTCCACAGACCGACTGATCTCAATCCTTTGCATCCAGCTCAATACCTCATTTCGTGAGTAAGTGAAGTGTTTGAAGATCGCAGAAGTCAACGAGAAACGAGTTTCAAGAAGGATCACAACCAACAGTGACGGATCAGATATATTCACATTGTCCCTCAATTGAGTGGTGAGTGTGAGCCCGAGACATATCAACATCGCCCGCCGGTTAAGGCCAGAGCTGTACCCAGTCGTAAAGGCAATCGATCATTTCCGCTTTAGTTGTGTGAAGAAGAAAGAAAGAGAATTTGGAGAGGCGAAAGTTACGATATCACCCCCGTTCAGCGCTAAGACCAATCCGTTTGGTGGGCACGGCAGGGAAAACAATCTTGGAAGAACGATCGTGAAAGTTCGGCCATTTCTGTCCGGAGTTCGGATTTCCGTCTGTAACCGTGCGAGGATATTTCTCGTCGAGGCGGTAAGTTCAATTGAGTTCTCAATACTTTCTTCATGGTTGTGCTGATCGTCTGGAAGTCGTTATGTCGCTCTTCAAGGGAGCCTCAAGGTCGTTGGCTAGAGCTGCGGTTGGACGAGGGAAGCCAATATGTGGTGCCAGACGAGCTTCGTCCATGACAGCAGAGTCACAACAAAAAGTACGTTGTAATCCTCAGTAACACTCTTATTTTGTTCTAATCATTCTTTAAAGCTTCTCGCAGCAGACCTCGAACATGCAGATCCTCAAATATACAACATCCTCCAAAATGTAATGTCATGACGCCCATGATTTGTGTCAGAGCTTCATATTCATGAATATACAGGAGAAACGAAGGCAAAAGCACTTTATCAACCTCATTCCCTCCGAAAACTTTACATCCCAAGCTGTTCTCGATGCACTCGGAAGTGTTATGCAAAGTACGTTCTTAGAAAGGAAGTGGGTGACTCTTCTCTGACCCTTGGTAGACAAATACTCTGAAGGTTATCCTGGAGCAAGATATTATGGTGGAAATGAATTCATCGACGAGGCAGAGAGATTATGCCAGAGCCGTGCTCTGCAGACCTTTGGGTTGAAAGATTCAGACTGGGGTGTTAATGTTCAGCGTAGGTCAAGGACATCTACTAGCATAACATTGACTGACTATGGAAGCTTTATCTGGATCTCCTGCCAACCTCTACGCATACTCCGCACTCCTAAATACGCACGATCGCATAATGGGTTTGGATTTACCACACGGTGGGCATCTTTCCCATGGATACCAAACACCTACAAAGAAGATTTCTGCCATTTCAAAATATTTCGAGACCTTACCATATCGTTTGGACGAAAGCACAGGTCTCATTGACTATGCCAAATTGGAGGATCTGGCCACGCTATACAGGCCGAAGTTGATTATTGCCGGTACGTCTGCTTACAGCAGACTGATTGAATACGATCGCTTTCGAGAAATCGCCGACAAGGTCGGAGCATACCTTTTAGCTGATATAGCACACATCTCTGGGTTGGTAGCTGCCAAGGTTATCCCAACTCCATTTGAATACGCGGATGTTGTCACCACAACTACACACAAGTCATTAAGAGGACCTCGAGGTGCTATGATCTTCTTCAGGAAGGGAGTACGGAAAGTCAACCCCAAGACTAACGAGCAGGAGATGTGGAATCTTGAAGACCCTATCAATTCTTCAGTCTTCCCAGGACATCAAGGTGGACCTCATAATCATACCATTACAGCACTGGCTGTGGCGCTTAAGCAAGCACAAAGTCCAGAGTTCAGAGCATATCAAGAAGCAGTACTTCAGAATGCACAAGCGTTCGCCAAGCGATTAGGAGATCCTAAAGACAAGGGCGGATTAGGTTACTCTATTGTCTCAGGCGGTACAGACAATCATCTCGTTCTGGTGGACCTCAAACCTCAAGGTGTTGATGGAGCCAGAGTAGAGCGTATCTTAGAATTGGTGGGCGTCGCAAGCAACAAGAATACCGTTCCAGGCGACAAGTCAGCTCTGAAACCAGGTGGACTGAGAATGGGCACGCCAGCCATGACGACTCGAGGTTTCCAACCAGATGATTTCGTTCGGGTGGCGGATGTTGTGAACAGAGCAATTACCATCACCCAAAGACTGAACAAGACAGCCAAGGAGGCTGCTGAAGCGAAGGGCAGGAAGAACCCAGGAAGTGTGAAAGCTTTCATGGAGTACCTCGGAGAGGGTGATAATGAGAGCGAGATTGTGCAGCTGAGAAGTGAGGTCGAGGAGTGGGTTGGAACTTTCTCTTTGCCTTGGGAGTCCAGTACATAGGCATTTTGGTAAGGCGTAATGCAGTAGTGATATCTGAGTAGATTCAACACACGCTACTCAGTAACAATGGTAATGGTTTAAGGCATACACCGCTGTGTCACAGCCTTGGTTTCTGAAAATTGCTTTTTCTTAACTTTCTGCCTGTTCTAAATGTAAAAAAAGGTGTATCCGAAATGTATGTCATCTTCCGCTGTCAAAACTTTCATTGCAGGACAAACTTTTGTACCTCGATCGAGCAAAATTGTGTCAAAATAAATCCACAGACATAAGACAACTTAGTTTCTTCTGCAGCCTCGATCACCCCGCTATCTATACCATGACTCAGATAAGAAAACAAATAGAACCTCTCCTCCAGTGAGGCTCCGCTCTGTCAAGGCTGCCGGGTGCATGAACCGCCCACCTAGAAAGATGTGGAATTCCCACAGCCTGATCCCCTCCATCTTCTCTACATGTCACCAAAATGAAGAGAATTTTCAGGTCTCTCAGTAAGCGTAGTATACGCAAAGAAGAGACCTTTTCTGATAAGAGCGGAGATTTTCGAGGAGAGTCTATTGTTGAGGATGAGGCGTGGTCGTACAAGCGTTTACAAGACGAGGCTGCGGGACAGAGGTTTGCTTGCTTTTTTTCGCCGTTATGTCTGTTATCTGCGAGTTTTGTAGTGACTTGATATCAGTTCTCTACGTTTGCCTCCACGAGTCTCGCCTTCGGGGCTGTCTTTGGACAAGATGAGAGTTCCATCCAATTCGACAGTGACAAACCAGAGCTCAGTGAAGCAATATTTTCGCAGTGGAGAAGAGCAGGAGATACCCAAACCTTGGACACAAGAAATGCCAATATACTCCCCGGCTCCAGTTCAATCTGTATATGAATCCGCAGATGTCTCTGTTTTTGGTTCACCATATAGTTTGGATAGGGCTGGAGAGGCGGATGGAATGGGGTTCTCGAACCATGACGAGATGGTTGAGCAAGTCGCAATGCTCAATTTCTATGAGCATATGATGAGCAATAAATCTTCCAGTAATCAAATTGCCAAAGAAAATATGTGGGGAGAATCTTCAAGTAATGTGGCTAGCAACCCAAGTTTTCAAGGCACGAGAACAGACAACTTAGTATCTGACATGCAGAATGGAGATAAGGAAGTGAGACCTGTTGAAGAGACTTTTGGGTATATAGATGCTGCTCGATTTTGGAGTGATAACATGAATGATACAGATTCTAGGTAAGTACCCCAACACAGCTACACGATCTCAAAGTCTAATATTCTCACAGTCATTCATCACCCAAAGCTAGTACATCCACAGCTTCAATAACGACACTCACACCACAAGAAATACGTTCCGACAACCCTTTCATCAACGCCTCAAGTCCAACACCTATACAAACCAACGTGCCAACCAGCTGCATAATCTGCATCGAAGACTTGACACCCACGCTCTCCCCACCCCCCTTCATCACCCCATCCTGCACCCATCAACCTTCACTCTGCACCTCCTGCCTCTCAAAATGCATCACCACGGGCCTGACCACCAAACCCTGGAACCAACTCACCTGCCCCGAATGCCCCGTCCCGCTCACCTACCCGGACATCCGCCGGCACGCCACGCCCTCAACCTTCGCCCGCTACGAAGAACTGTCCTTCCGCAGCGCCGTCGGCGCTGATGCCGATTTCGTCTGGTGTCCAGCGCCCAACTGCGGGTTTGGACAGCTGCATGCGACGGGGATGGAGCAGCCGATTGTGCGGTGCGAGAAGTGTGGGTTTCGGTCTTGTTTTCGGCATGGCGGGGTGTGGCATGAGAGGTTGAGCTGCGAGGAGTTTGAGGAGATGTTGAGGGATCCGAGGGGGTTTAAGGGGAGGGTTGAGAGGGAGGAGGAGGAGGCTAGGAGGGAGTTGGTTAGGGTTCGAGAGCAGCAGGAGGCGGAGGAGGTGAGGAGGGTGCAGGAAGAGAGGTGGAGGAAAGAGGAGGAGGAGAGGCAGAGGCAGAGAGAGCGGGTTTGGAAAAGGCAGGTTGAAGAGGAGGCTAGTATGTCGACGGTGGAGAAGACGACTAAGAAGTGTCCTGGTTGTTCGTGGCCGATTGAGAAGAATGCTGGGTGTGCGCATATGACTTGTAAGCCGGCTTTTTCTTTGCACTTTTTGAAATGGAACTTTTGGAAGGGGGTCGGCCTTTGCTGTGATGGATTCAGTTCGATCAAGTGACTGACTGGTTCAGGCACGAGATGCTATCATCAATTCTGCTGGGCCTGCCTGGGATTATGGTCAACACATCGTAGTTGCTAAGCACTTAGACTGCCTGCATACATTTCTTCCGTTCCTGAATTCGTCATCAACACTTTTCGCTATGCTGTCACCATAGACACCTACGACAACTGACAATATACAAGATACGAAGTGTTGTGCACAATTCTGCTGGAACTGCTTCGCGGATCACAAAAAGATCGATAGATACGGAAATGACCAGCATGACGTGAACTGCCAATTTCATACAGACAATCTACCGCATTGAGCAGCGAAATGTATCGATATCTAAACTCATATTACCATCATGCAAGCACCGTATTCTCAATCTCCACGTTCAATTGCCATATTTCTAAGTATACCACGGCTTGCTGCGCTTCTTTGCAGCACAAGTCTCGTCCAACCATGCCAGCAAAGTAGACGGATGACCCGGTCTCGTTGTAGGAGGCTGCCATTCTCTCTCGCCCGGTTTCGTAGCCGCTACTAAAATCTTCGGTTTCTTTAGCACCTCTTGGTCTCCGAAACCGTCTGCTTTGACTTTGGTGTAGAAAAGACCAGGGCAAACGTCCATGATATATACATTGTTCGTGGCAGCAGGCGATTTCAAAATTTTGCCTGACAAATTCTGGTATTCGTAAAGAGTCATATCGGCATGTCTGCAGCTAACTGGGTTCAAGCCCGTGAACTCGACCTCGAATCTGTCGACGGATAGTTGGAATCTGTGGGCTAGAGAAGCGGCTGGTTCGATGAGCGATTCTTGGAGGGATTTGCAGACTTCGTCTACGTCGCAATTGGGTAGGAAGACGCTCAGAGAAGCACTTAGGTCAAGTGTCAAATTTCGGAGGGTCTGTTGCTTCAGGGCAGTGTATTCGGGGCGATTGGCAAGAGCGAGAAGTGTTTCGCTGCGCCATGTTCGTATGGTTGCGAAACCTGTAAGAAATCATTAGTCAATGTGGCAAGACGAGGTGAAATTTGAGCTGTCTCCTAGACTTACTTCGACGAGGCTCGAGTTTGTGCATACTCCTCTCAATATGTTCCAAGAACAACATCGCGTCAGGTTCCATACACCAGAAGTCCAATCTGAATATCCGTCTGTACAGAAAGTTCATGATAGATTCTATCAAGATATTTTCAGCGGTCTTCGGTATACCGAAAGCGCTTCGTCCTTGTGGAGATACCAATGACACGAATTGTTCCACGCTTTCTATGGTAATGTCATCCACATGCATGCCCTTTTCTAACCCATCGCCGAGATTGTCTTGCACCCAGTCTTCTACCTTCATGCAAAGCGTTTTATAGTCTTCGAGAGCTTGAGTCGGCGTGATGACATGTGTTGCTGGTTGTAGGTTGAAGATAAAACTATGTGCATCATCTAATTCCTTTTGCAATTTCTTGACTTGAGAAGCTAGAGATTGGGAGGTCGAAGACGCTGCTTCGAGCTCCTGTCTTGTCTTTTCGAGCACCTGATTTCTTTCGAGGACCTGGTTCAAGAGGAATTCGGTCTGCTCTGGGGGCCGGAACGTTGATAATTCATCAGATTGAGTCAAGGTCATGGCAGAATGTCCATTGCCAGGCTCCAAGACGGTGGAATCGGGGCGTCCCACCACTATTGAAGATCGAGAAGAGCCAGAGGTAGGAAACATTTTCGTCGACTCGCTGATAGAGATTAGCTGCACTTCATTCCTTGATGCTGATTTCTTTGGTTAAATACCTTGATTTGGCGGGACTAGCTTCTTCATAGATGTCAGTATATAGAACTGGACATTCTCACAATGAGTGTCTTACTCCGTGGTTCCTCTGGAGAAATTCCTGCTCCCTCATGCTCATCCCCTTCGTCGTCTGAGTCTTCGCAATCAGAATCAATTGAATAATCAATCTCCTTGGTGCCTTTCGGAAGTAATGTCGTCGAGGCTTGCAGTGCAGCCAGACTTGTTATATCTGACTCTGAAGTTATTTTTGACTCGTCAATGTTCTCCGAAATGCGTGTGGGTGATCGACTCGATCTTTCCGCCTCGTTGTCCATGTTCCCAGCCTGGTGTGAGCTCCCACGGTCAGGAATTATAGGAGGCCTACTCCGAAGCGCCCGTCGTTGTATTGTGCTCGTCATTCCAGATAGAACAGAGGCATCCGACACAAGCATCAAAATTGTAGTTGTGATAGACCAATCTCACGACGTAATGACTATTTCATAGGATCCAAAATCAAAATTGTGAAATTCCAAAATCGAGCTTTTGGCGGGGTAGAGCTGAACCTCTCCCGCGAGATATGCATCAATGATGGGCACGAGGCTCTGACCGAAATCCTTGTCGAAATAATGTGACTGCGGACACGTATCCTGGCGCTTTTCGTGCTTCTGGACCCTTGAAATGGTGTGTAGCAAAGGAAGCCTATTCGAGGCTGAGGTTTGGGGGCTGCAGGTGTCCTTGGGAAGGTAACCAAGAATAGTATTATCATGCACGCGCCGAGCAACGGCTGAGCCAAAAGCAATGAAACGTGCAGCAAGCCACCAAAATGCCCGAATATTGCTTCACCCGGATCAGGGTAAGGGGTGGGTGAGGCTCCGAGACTCTGCTCCTCTTCTACTCGCTGCACTGCCCTGCTCGTCGATGGTGATCAATCCAGCCTCGTCTGTCGACCTCTCTGTTTCCCATCCGAAAATACCTACATACCTTTGAGTCAGAAGTCTAATGCTGTAGATGACTATTGATTGTAAATAACTGAACCTTTGAGTCGTAAAACCATTGCTATCGAAGATGGACGACGCATTTGCCGGAATGTCGTTAGGCAGCGGACAGCAGCGGAAGCTGATCATCGGAATTGATTTTGGTACGATAAAGCTCAAATTGCGTCGAAATGGCCGTTGCGATAGTCACTGATGATCCGCCGTAGGTACCACATACTCCGGAATTGCATGGGCGGAAACTCGAAGGGTAGGAAGAATACATCCCATATTGAAGACCTCAAAGCTAAACGATCCTAGCCTGAGCAGCAAACTGTGGTCAACAATTGGCCTTCAAGCTTGGAGAGCAAGGAAGGAAAGATAATGGATAAAGTACCAACTGAGCTGCGATATACAGCCGAAGGCAAAGAATGGGGATTCCAGATCCCCGCACTAGAAGATAGACACCGTTTGTTCAAGCTGTAAGCAAGTCTGGGGCGAGCCTCATTGTTATACATGATCTGACATTGACAAGCGGACTTGTTGGAGGACGACTGGTCGATCCTGGACACGAAACGTCGCCAGAATCGTTGGCAACCGATTATCTAACCGCCTTGCGAGATCATCTGATGTATACTTTAGAGCAAAAGCTGGGAACATCGATTCTTCGTACGATCCCGATCGAATACTGCTTGACGGTGCCGGCCATCTGGTCTGAGGTGGCCAAAGAGAAGACCCTTGAAGCCGCCAGTCGGGCGGGTCTGAACGGATTGGGGAAGATATTGTTGGTCTCGGAACCGGTAGGTCGTGAAAGCCCAAAGTGGTGTTGGAAGCTTATGATGCATAGGAAGCTGCTGCCATCTATACCCTCAACAGTCTCGACACACACGACTTGAAGATCGATGATAGCTTTGTCTTGTGTGATGCAGGTGGTGGAACAGTTGATCTTATTTCCTACACCATCACCCAACTCCAGCCAAAATTGAACATCAGAGAGGCATCACCAGGATCCGGAGGTATGTGTGGTTCGACGTATCTCAATCGGAGGTTTGCTAGATTCTTGACAACGAAGATTGGACAAGAGGAAGGTTGGGATGCTGAACTGTTGGCTGAGGCAATGGAACGATTTGACTTGGTCGTAAGTAACAACTTTGTTGATGTGCACTCTTTCGATTAAAGCACTCTCTAAACTCTTAAAACAGATCAAGAAGCAATACTCCGACTTATCATCATACACAATCCCCGTTCCAGGTCTTGCCAATAACGAAGGCCTTGGCATCAAGCGTGGAAGACTCTTAATCACGCGTGCAGAGATGCGAGCAGTTTTCGAGCCAGTCGTATCTCAAGTTATAAGCCTCGTTGAGCAACAGATTGTGTCTTCAAGCAAGAAAATCAGGGCAGTGTTCCTGGTTGGGGGTTTCGGAGAAAACAGCTATCTGAAAGAACGATTGCGAGCCGCGCTCGGAACATCGATCGAAGTCATCCAGCCACCGTAAGTTGAACAAATCTTTGAAATTGCCTGAATGCCTTCCCTCAGGACCAAAGACTAACACTCTCTTTTAGCAACGCTTGGACCGCCGTTACCCGTGGAGCTGTACTGATGGGATTGGGCCACACGAATGAAGACCTAGCAGCAGTCGGTGTGACATCAAGAGCAGCAAGAAAGCATTACGGAATCCGACTTCATGTGAAGTTTGACCCCGAAAGACACGACGCCAGCAAGAAGTAAGAACCAACATCAACATCAATCATGAACATGTAGGCTGACGCAAAAACATAGGTTCTTCGACGAAGTCGATCAGACAGACAGAGTTGCTGAAATGCAATGGTTCATCAAAAGAGGCGATCCCGTGGAAGAACGCAAAACCAAGCGGATTCTCTTCCAGCAGAATTTCTTGGCAGAGATTGGCCCACCCACCGAGACTTCAATGGATGTGATGTGCGACGAGATCAGCACAATTGCACCAGTGCATCCCAACGAGAACTGCCGCACTCTGGTCACTTTGCGCGCTGACCTTCGATCGATCTCGAGCGAAGATATGGAATCCACTCTGACGAAGAACGCGGATGGGAAATGGTACTATCTGATCAAGGGCGACGTGGAAGCAGAGTATCTGTCGGCTTCGACGAAGTACATGCTTCTGTGCTTGGGAAAAAGATATGATACCATAACTGCAGAGTACGCATAAAATGTCAAGTAACGTTGGAGTTTCGGAGAATTTGGACAACAGGAATGGTGGATATAGTACGCCCAGAGGACTGGAATCTTCATGGTATCAGTCTTGAATGCTTCTTGTTGTATGCTTTTTGGGTTTGAATAGAAAATATGTTTTATAAATAATGTTGGTTTTAGGCAGAGGTTTTGAGTTTTTGATGATGTGTTGTTGCCACTCGGATGACGTTAGCTGCAGACTCATACCTCGCAGTACTGATGTCTTCGAAATTAGAGCAACTGATAGATTTTTGAAATTATCAACGTGTCCTGGCTGTCCAACTCGGATTCGCCAGAGTTTGGGAGAGCAAAGAAGTGATTGCGATGCGTAGAAGCCCCTATCCTCCTAAGGTTTTAAAGACCTTTAGGAGCGAGGAGTCGGTTTGTAGGGATCGGAGCATACTCATTACTCATAGAAGTGTTTCGATTCAATGTCTTGGGTGTCGTGGTGTTTAACATGGGGATTGATTGCTGTCATTCCAGCCAAAGTATATACCGAAGTATGATATTCGGCACAGGTGCTAATGTTCCAAGCACGGTCGTTAATCCAGCTCGCTTTCATCCCGAGGCAATATCTTGCCTCACCTGAAACACAATAAAGACCATAAATGCATAAACATCTTTCATGCCAAAATCCGAACTTTCATCCCTCTCTATCAACTAACTACCCCACCTGCCTAAACGGGTAATCTTCTCTCCAAGCTTCACTTCGTCCCCAGCCCTACAACCAACAAGCATCCCACCTCAAAAATGCCAGAGGAAGACAAACCAACAGACGCACGCGCACGTCTCCTTTCCCACTTCTCCGCGGCCCAAGGAACCACCGAACACGGCCAGAAATGGAATGAGCTCTGGCAGCAAAATTTCCTCCCTTGGGATAAAGGCTTCCCTTCTCCTGCTCTCGTTGACTTGCTTTCGTCTCCTCCGTCCTCTAATTCGTCAAAGCATCCCGTTCTTCTCCCAATTCGTTCGGCCAAGGATCAAAAGAGGAGGCTAAAGGCTCTCGTTCCAGGTTGTGGGAGGGGATACGATGTCTTGTTACTAGCAGCCCATGGATACGACGCCTACGGCTTAGAGATCTCGGAGAAAGCTTTAGAAGAAGCGAAGAAAGTCGAGAAAGAGAAAGGAGGTGATAAAATCTATTCTACGAAACCTGGTGTGGAGAGGGGAACTGTCACTTGGCTGTCAGGGGATTTCTTTCACGATGGATTTTTGAAAGACGTGGAGGGTGAGGGGAAGTTTGATTTGATTTATGATTATACGGTATGTTGGTCACTTAGTGAGAGAGATGGGAGAGTGAGGGTTGATAAGGTGTTAGTTTCTATCTGCACTACCGCCTGTGATGAGACCAGCGTGGTCGAAGCGCTTCAATGAGCTTCTTGCTCCTGAGGGACGAGTAATTTGTCTCGAGTTCCCAACGTATAAGCCTGCTTCCACTGGCGGTCCTCCGTGGGCTCTACCACCGAAGGTTTATTTGGCACATCTGCCACGACCTGGAGAGGATTTGACGTATGGTGAGGATGGTGAGTTGTTGGAGGAGAAATTAGGCCCGCCGAGTAAGAGTGGGTTGGTTCGGATTGCGCATTTCCAGCCGGAGAGAACGCATGAGATTGGGTATAACGCTGAGGGCAAAGTGACGGATTGGATCTCGGTATGGGCTCATCCATAGGCATTTCGATTCGGTAGTGTTGTCCTTCCCATTCAAGGAGCCTTCCTCAAGGAATTGTAATGCTCTCCCAATCCAAAACCATGCCTGTAATATGCCAACCAGATCTTCTCCTTCTCCTCCTCTCCTTTCTTGTTCTCGTCTCCCGGCTCGATGGCTTGCATAGGCCCATCCTGCAAAACACAAATCTCCACCCCATAAACCCTACTCAAAGCCAACAACTCCAGATGCCCACCCCATTCCGCGGTGTCTCTAATCTTCTTAACATGTTCTTGCAAAGGCTCTTCACAAAACCCCTCAAAGTCATCCGCATGCCTCTGCATATACCCCGCGGCCTTGCCCCTAACCACCTTATACTTTTCTCCCTCCCCCTCTTCCTCACCGACCGATATACCAACCTGCTGCAGCTGATCCGCCACCGCAGAGAACAAACAATGACCATCCGGTCTAATCAACCTCTCAACCAACCCATTAGCCTCTATTTGCTCCGAGATCTTCTTTCGCTCGAGCTCCTTAACATCAGGTTGAGACTGCGCTTCTAATTTCGCAGCTTCGACCGCTGCAGCCGTCTCCGCCGCTCGTCGAGCAAGTCGTTCCTTCGCTCGATTCCTCTTCTTATGTCCTCCCTGTCCCTGCTCCGAATCTCCATTCTCCGATTCAGCTGGTGTGGATATGCTACTCTCTGCCAGAGCATCCGCCACTCCATCCACAGGCTCCTCATCTGCAGGTTCGTCGATTTCGGGAGGCTCGAGGGGTTCGCCGTTGAGAGTTGCGAGCTCTTGTGCTTGTCGCTCTTTGAGTTGATGTTCGAGTTCTTCGCATTCGGTGTTGACGCCTTTGCGTGTCTTTTTAGAGGCGTTTTTCTTCTTTTGGGTTACGCGTGATTGTAGGTCTTTCTGCTCTTTGCGATGGCGAGCTTGCATTTCCTCGAGGGTCTCCATGCTGGTGTTGGAGGTGGTTGTAATTCGGGATTGTGGTAGGTTGTAAAATGGGAACTAGCAGAAGCGTTCGCGTTGTATGCAAAGAATAAGCGACCTATAAATGAGCGTAATGAAGACGACGATTGACTCCGCAAAAATTCAACTCAAAGTCTTGAACACCCAACTCTCATCAATATCGACCTCTCATTCCCGCATCAACAATTTTCCCCTCCAAAACCTTTTCGGCTCTTCCCGCACCTCGCATCATCATACCAATCACATCCCAGCCAACCCCCCTTTCCCGATCCAGTCTCGCGTCTCTGCACAAGCGAGGCAAACTAATCTGTGCCGAGATCCCGACTTCACGGCCAACACTTTTATTCCCGTGCCTCTTTTCCTTCTCCAACAATGGGAACATGGACGCCACAGTGAGTAAGTAAGTCCTTGGGTCTTGGCTCACATTGGACCGGTGAGATATCAGGCGGTCAGTATTACCATCAGATTGTCTGTCCGGGGAGGGAGGATGGGAGAAGAGGGGTCTTGGTGGGATTGAGATCCCACAGCCGGCATAGGTTACCCGTAAAGAGGAAAAGAGACAGGGGGAAGATAGAGTGAAATGGTGTAAGGCTAGACCGCTAAATTCTTAGTGTGATGCTTGTCTGAGGTTTATGGCGTAGAGTTAGGCCTTGACGATCATTTATTATTTACATCTTCTCGTTCTCGCTTCTTTCTTCTCATTACCGCTCTCCACTTTCTCACAACGCAGCTTTGCTTCAAGGCATTGCTACCAAGTGACGCTCTTAGCGTAGTCTCTTTCACTTGTGCTCGCTTGTCCCCTTACGTATTTTCTCTGGCAAGAGAGAAGACCCCAGCTTCTTCTCCACCCCACTATCGCGGTCAGCAAGCCAAACCCGATACCGCACTGTGCCTTTTGTGCCCTTCCATCTCACTCGCACTTGCACCAACCCATACAAGCAACCACCCCTCTCTCAATCAACTGAAGCTCGGCCTTCGAAGTTCATCTCACACCAACCAACTTCGTCTTAATCCAACCCACAATGCTCGACCCCGAGAAGGAAGACTTGTCTCGCACACAACAAGTGCCTCAAGACATAGATGCACCCATCGAACACCCCGGTGTCTCAACAACCAAAGACGAGGAAGGGGATTCGAAGATGCCCAACTCAACTCTCGACAAAGAGCTGGGCGACAACAAGCGTTCAGGTTCTGCTTCAGGAACGGACTCCTCTTCAATACACTCTCACTCCTCCAACGACACCATTGAAGTCGTTCCCGAAGACCCAACCATGACCACTACTGTGCAACGCACCAGATCCCGCTCTTCGTCGTTCTCGCCTGAGCCTGTCGTTGTACCGAGATCGAAGAGAAGAGGTTTGTTGGCGAGGTTCACTTTGATTCCTGAGGTGGAGGAACCGTATGACTATAAACGAAGCACGAAGTGGTTCATTACGTTCCAAGTCGCCATTGCTGCCGCAGCTGCGCCGATGGGGAGTGCCATTCTGTTGCGTAAGCCTTCTTCCTCACTCTCTTGCCCATACTCCTCCCCCTTCTGAACAAGTCAGCTGACTCAAATACAGCTGCTCTCCCACAACTGGCTTCAGACCTCCACAGTACGCCAACAATCACCAATTTGTCGGTGGCCCTCTACATGCTAAGCATGTCCATCTTCCCGCTATGGTGGTCGTCCTTCAGTGAAACCCTTGGTCGCCGCTCCATCTATTTGGTCTCATTCGCCCTCTTTACACTCTGGAACATCATCTCCGGTATCTCGACGTCCATGGGCATGCTCATCGTGATGCGAATGCTCGGCGGCGGCGCCTCAGCATCTGTTCAAGCAGTGGGAGCCGGTACCATTGCTGATATATGGGAGGTAAAGGAGCGTGGTAGGGCAATGGGTATCTTCTATCTCGGACCATTGTTGGGACCTCTGCTTGCACCAATTATCGGTGGGGCTTTGAGTCAGAAATGGGGATGGAGAAGCACGCAGTGGTTCCAGGTGATCTATGGCGGGATCCTGTGTGTCTTGCTCGCCTTTTGTCTCCCCGAGACGCTTGCTAGGAAGACGCCTCCGGTTCCAGATATTCAGGCTGGAGACGAGAAGTCTGACGCCCGTTCTCAATTGACCCGGATCTCGACGAGACAATCAGTCCATCTCAAAACCAAAAAGGCCGCGGCAATCTTCAAGCGCTGTATTATCGACCCTTTGAGTGTGTTGGCTTTCCTCCGATTCCCGGCTGTTCTCATCACCGTCTATCTGGCCTCCGTAACCTTCGGCTCCCTCTACATCCTGAACATTTCCATCCAACAAACATTCTCTTCTGCTCCATACAACTTCTCAGTCATTATCCTCGGACTTCTCTACATCCCCAACTCGCTAGGCTACATTTTCGCCTCCATCATTGGAGGTAGATGGGTAGACCACATCATGCATCGCGAAGCCCGAGCCGCTGGCCGCTACGACGAGCACGGGAAGTTGATCTTCAGACCAGAAGACAGAATGAGAGAGAATGCGTGGATAGCAGCCGTCATGTTTCCGCTTGCATTGATCTGGTACGGATGGAGTGCCGAGAAAGGAGTCCATTGGATCGTGCCTATGATTGCCAACTTCTTCTTCGGTCTCGGAAGCATGATCATATTCGGGGTCGCAACCACGATGCTGACGGAGTTCATGCCGAAGAGAAGCAGTAGTGGTGTTGCAGTCAATAACTTCGTGAGGAATATCTTCAGTTGCGTGGGAGGTATCATTGCACAACCCATTATTTCGGCGATTGGGGATGGGTGGTTGTTCACCATTGTGGGGATTATTTGCTTGATCAGTGCCACTTCCGTAGTATGGGCCATGAGAAGATTTGGTCCGAAATGGAGACTGGTGATGGACGAAAAACTATCGAAGTTGTGAGATAGGTTAGAAGAAGTTGGAGTCTTGTACGATTATCTCAACGTCTTTCATAGTGACAGACTGTGACGTTGCTCGGATTGAGGGTCCCGATCTCGAAAATGGAGGTTGGACCTCTGGCTCGAGGACGTCTATATCCATCGATGAAGTGGGATTCGCGGCCACAGAGGCTTGGAGCATCCACGATCTGGACTGCGTCTTGCTAAAGCGCGCATGTCGAAATGCTTCCTTCGCCAATTGTTCTGGTGTCCCACTGTGGTACTCCAATCTATGCTTCAAAGAGAGTGCTGACTCTTTGGACCATTCAACGGTGCCACTCGCTTCATCACCAATGAGGCTCTTCCAAACTTGAATGACGTTGAAGTCAGACTTCGCTTGCTTCAGGAGGCCTCTGACAACAAGTGATCTCGACCATCGTGGAACGTTATTTGGCTGCTTCTCATAGTGGTCTGCAAGATGGAGCATCCGACCTATATAACCGGTCAGCTTTATCTCAAGAAAAGAATCGGTATAGCAAATGCCTCGAGCTCATAGAATCTGATGTGATGACTTCATCACAACAAGACAGATTATACCGGCATCGATCAGTAGATAACCTATAGCAAGCACAATAAGCAATGCAAGCAGATCAAACAAAAATTTTCAATATTTGATGCGTTAATGACAACTGAATTATGATGTGATGGAAAAGTATTGAATATGGTCATGTGTTTCGCATTCGCTGATCTCATGCACATCTGTATGCTGTGTTGCGTATCATTGCATGTTAAAGACAGAAACAACAAGTATTCTTCCAGCCAACTTAGCAAATCAAGGGCCAGAATATTGCCAGCTGATCACAACTATGCGACCAGCAACCTACGGCATGCCCTCCGGCTAACTTGTCTAGCTCTGTTACTGTATCAGGACTTCAGCGCGAAGGCGATCCATCGGAAAAAGCGTTTTCAAGATCAGATTGAGTGGCACATGGGAATCAAACCAACAAAGAGCTCGCAGATTGGACGACCGAAAGGGAGAAGGGCATAAAGAAGCTTGCGCAAAGGACTTACCTTCCCATGAAAAGAAGCACGCCCCACAATACCCACAACCCCAAGCGAACTTTTTCCTTGCGGGTTGATGCCATGATTCCCAGAGTACAGCGCTCTCTGAAAGAGCATGTACTTGCTGCAAGTGTTGCTTCAACTTGTCCTTTCTTGAGAACATAGGTTTCTTGTTGGCGCATCTGAAAACTCTGTGATCCTCCATGAGATGCTGCTTCATTTCGTCGTGATTCCTCGTTAATGCTTCACAGAATGCGCATTTCCATTGAGACCTTGAGTGTTGCAGTGTTTCGCCAAGCATGCAAGTCCAGAGCGTAGGAGGATCATGGCCTTCTTCATGTCGTTTCCAGTCCCCTTTTCGAATGAAACAGCTGTCACAGGCTGTACACTTGTAGTTCGCTTCGCTGCGCGCTGCTTCTGAAGACGATCGCTTGGGTGTTACAGTGGAAGTCGAGGGATCCTGTATGTCTGAGTGTAGGTGTAAACTTGAGAGGGTCTGATATTGTTGATCCTCTTTGATAGACGCAAGGCGGGAAGATTTGGGTGGTGGCGGAGGTACGAAGCGAACAAGTGCTGCTGAACTGATGAGAGGCTCCTCTTCTAGCTCATATTCGCAGTCTTTGAGGTCGTCGACGCAACCTTTGAGGTCATCGAGAGTAGGATCATAGGTAGACACGAGTGTTGACGCCGTATTCCAGGTTTGTATTGATGAATCGTAAGAAGACCTATCAGACAGGCTGAAGAGTATGGATGGCGGAGAGAGTAAAGGGCTCAGGTCAGAAATAGATGACATCGTCGACCGCGCGAAGGACCCTTGTGAGAAGGACCCTTGGGAAGCCATGACTGGTGACCAGAGAGACGACTTGTCGGGCTCATCCAGCATGGACTGGAGAGCGTCTGGTGTACTATTATTCTGAAATTCGTTGATAGGTGACCAGCTCTGAAGCTCTGGAGCGCCAGGCGACAAGAAGTCTAGACCAAAAGAGTCGAAGTTCAAGTCATTGTAAGAAAGTTCACGCTGACGCGTTTCATTTGTAGCTTGTCGGTCAACCATGTCCATCTCGGTGTCTTGTAGGAAATCTTGTAGTGGTGCGTTCAAGTTCGAATCGTCGGGTAAATGAGTTAGCTCCTGAACATTCTCTATTGGGCCGTTAGCACTTGCAGTAGGACAAATTGAAGGCTTCACTGACTTCTGGGGTCATATTCATTAACAAAATTTTCGAACCACTGATCGATTTGGTCTTTGCTAAGTCCTGTCTCAGCTTGCAAAAAGGCTTTTGCTCTTTTCCCAGGGCGCTTCCCACAAGAATCGACCCAGCGACGCAACGTCGACTCTTGCTCTTCTGTAATTGGATTCGCCTGCATGATGATAGATTGATATCGTGATTACGTATGCCTGGTTGTTGCAAATTCAGATTCGGACGAAAATGAACGATGCACTAATGCTGTGACATGGAAATGGACATAGAGAGCTGAACGAGCGTGATTTCTTTCTCTACACTACAAACATCATCACGAGCAAACCTGCGGATCATTCCACCCTCCGAGTATAAGTAGATCCATCCTGTTATCTTTTGAGGCTCTGAAGGGCGAACTCAAAGGGCAGAAGCTGACAGGGTTCACCATAAAGTACTTTCGCCCTCATGAGCCACCCTCGTATGAAGTGATCTGACATGCAGGGAAGAGCATGCATTCTCGAGCTGGGATGAGGAGAAATGTCCGAATCATGAATGTCAATCGGTCCTCCCGCTTGTTTCCTTCTGCATGGCGGAAACTTGAAACGCGCTTTGGCCCACCAGGCTGCCCAAATGCCCTTTTTTGAATCATCTGGAGAAGTCCGATTGGCTTCTTTAATAAACGAGACGGACAATTGGGTGCCACGATATGTCGGCTCTAGTCAGCAGCTGATATCGTGGCAGTCTGCTTGAGTTGAAGCTCCCTGGGCGGAACGATGCAGGGAATGTGGATTTTCGTACCCGTTGTACAACAGCCAACATCGCCAAGCCACATGGTTGCAAGAACATTTACCAGCAAGTGTTCAGATCCAACGAACCCAAGCAAGTAGCCTCGTACATACAACTTGGTATAATTAATTCGAAGGAATCGAATGTTCGACCTTGTCATATGTGTGTTGACTGAGTTTAGATTGAAGCAACGCTAGTGGCTGGATCCTTCCCATGGTTGTAGGTTGCAGATTTGATAGAAACATAGAAGCGGAGAGAAAGTAAGAGGGAAAAAATTGGAGGCTGGGAAGGCTTGAAGACGGCAGGCACGCTTAGCACGCTTTCCCAATTTGCCCACGTTTCACACATCCCACACATCCAGCTTGGCAAGAAGTACACCGAGCTTCAAAAATATAAGGCTCAAGAATCGGGATGATTTCCCAGCGACAGGGTCCAGCACATGTCTGAATCAATACGTCACTGTCTGAGGAGAACTGCCAACTGATACGGTAAACGGGTCAAGAGTCGAGACGAAGCCAATCGTTACGGTATTCAAGCTCAAGAAATGCACTTTAAACTCTTCCTTGAGTAAATGCCCGCTGTGCCGAAATAGTTCTCAAGGCAGATTCTCAGGTTGCTTATCAGGAAACACAAATTATAGATACACGTTCGGAAGTGTGAAGTGCCAGCAAGCATGCTGATTCGTGCACGGTGAGTACAAAGCAGTGCTGAAACATGGTAGGTCATGTTTGAACAGTGGAAGCAGCTTCACCGTCCGATAGCTCGCATTGGTGACACCAACTATTTTCCGACCTGAAGGACTTCAAGCTCCGAGGTATAATCGTATAATTACTTCTGTCATCAACTAGAAGACTGTTGTTAATGGGGACATTCCGGCCAGCCAACAATGCACTATGTAACAGGCCTCATGATATTACAAAGGAGACAATACACACTGACAAAAAGACAGAACAAACAGACTTATGTAGTTTTCCACCTCTTGACGTGATGCACGTGAATCAGGCAAAGAATCAGCAGGAACTTCTCCAACACAATGACAGCTATGGTGAAATGATCAAAGTGAATGCAGACAAGCACGGCTTCTATACTTACAGAGAATATCATAAAATTCCAACAGAACCTGAATAAAAATGATTCATGAGACATTCTTCAACAAAGGTTTGATACCAGAACCCATTTATATTCTTACCCCGGCAGCCGCTAACCATTTTAGGATACTTTCTCTGTGCCTCGGCTTCTTCCAAGAAGCTTATTACTGATATCGCACTACCCCGGATATCAAGGTAATATCTAACATTCGAGTCCTTTTGTACATTCCCTTCTCGATATCATTTGTATTTTATTTCAATTCTCTAATTCTGTCACAATGGATGTCTCCAACCTCTTCAACGTCAAGGTATATACCTCACTTGTTTAGGAAAACCATCAATGTGCTAATTCAGATCCTGCAGGACAAAGTTGTCCTAGTTACTGGCGGAGCCAAAGGTATTGGACGCATGATATCAGAAGGATTTGTCACCAATGGAGCGAAAGTCTACATCTCATCTCGAGATGCCAAAGCCTGCGAGCAGGCTTGCAAAGAGCTCAATGCCTTAGGTACCTCTCCTAATCTCTTCTTTCCTATTGCAACAACTTACACCTTGCAGGCAAAGGCAGTGCACATTCTATCCCCGCCGACTTCTACAAAGTCGAAGACTGCAAACGAATGGTCGAAGAACTCAAGAAACGGGAAACGAAACTCCACGTCCTGGTCAACAATTCGGGGTCGAATTGGGGAGCACCATATGACGAGTTCCCAGATAGTGCTTGGACACGAGTCCTTACGCTGAATCTGACCAGAGTCTTCACACTCACGCAAGCCCTTACGCCTCTCCTCGAAGCTGCCTGCACACCCGAAGACCCGTCGCGCATTATAAATATTGGCTCTGTGGATGGAATCAGGGTTCCTTCTCTTGAGACCTTCTCATATTCTGCCTCGAAGGCGGGGCTACATCAATTGTCGAGAGTACTGGCAAGTCATTTGGGCAAGAGGAATATCACAAGCAATGTGCTTGCCTGCGGACCATTCGAGAGCAAGATGATGGCTGCTACATTGAAGGACTTTGGGGAGGTCATTAAAAGTGGAATACCTCTCGGAAGGATTGGAACACCTCAGGATGTTGCGGGCGCATGTTTGTTCTTGAGCGGAAGGGCAGGGAGCTATGTCAATGGTGCTGTTATTGCTCTTGATGGTGGAACTTTGGTTGGGAGCAAATTGTAAGCTCGAGATCCAAAGATGAATTTCCATTCATCGTCTGAAATACTACGCCATCACTCATGAGACCCTGTTCACAAACCTCGAGTCCCATTTTCCCTGAGACATACCGCCATGATCTAACGCACAGCGGTACTACACAAATCAAAATTCATCAACCCAAGACTAGCCTTCGCGTCGCTCGATTGATCCACAGAAGAAAGTCCACTCTCGCCCTTAAACAACCTGCTAAACTCCCACTGCGGAACCAAATTACTTCCAGGAAGCACAGCAGCAACAACGACCTCATTATCCTCCAACCCAAACTCCACTGCTTTATAGTGAAAAGCTGGTTCACGGTTGTATTTCTTTTTGTATTCGTTGGTCCAGTATTCTGAGAGTTCGAGTTTGTATTGATGAGGAGATTCGGGCATGAGAGAGGTGGGGAATTTGGGGTGGATCTTGCGGACTTCTCGACCGGGGACGAGGAGCAGATGGGTGGTGCCGATGTAGAGTGTGTATGGGATGTCTGGTCTAGGGCTGCTGCACTAATACTCGACTCCTTCGACTGCGATGCTGTCAATCTGAGCAAATTTATGCGTGGATGATGGACTTACATGTCACAGTCATTGTTGCAGATATTCTTTCGGATACTGGGCAGGAAGTGTCGTAGAGTTTCCTTGAAAGCAGGTTCAGGTATCATCACAAGTCTTTTTCACTAATGGGAATAAGATGATTATATAGACTAAGAGTCCTTTTCGGGATGTAGGTGCATAATTAAGAAAGGTATGTAAGTCGATAAAGGCTGGGATGTCCCTTGCAAAATTTACCACACGCCGCTCTTTCATCAGATCAATAGAGAGGGTCGCTGCAGCCTAATCATCTTAGGTGTGAGTGCAAATGAGTCTTTACGATCCAATTGACCTTGGAATCGGGAGTCTGCAGTTCGATTGGGATGTTCAACCTAAGATATGTTTTGCCTTGTGTGGGTGTGGCTTTTCTTTTCATGTAGAGTCATCGATGGGGCATGCAATACTATCAAATCATGCACTCAATAGATTTCGACTTGATATCGTGAATGCGACATGATATATGATAGCAATTGCAAGTACCCCGCTTAGGGTGTCAAAAGAGCACGGAGACAAATGCACATCTCCCAATGCAAGCCGCAAAGCACAATTCAAACCAGATCAAATTTCTGGGTCATAAGAGTTCCGTAATATATGTAATCTGTATGCTTAAAGTTTTTTTTCTATATAGAAGCTTCTCAACTCGGATATCGGCAAAGCTACGAATCCGTAATAGGAAACGCTCTTCCGAGCTGAGAAGGCGCAGCATTTGCGCATATTTCTTACTCTCTTCTTGAAGATACAAAGTCTTTTTTCACTTTTATCTATCACACTGGACTCAAAACTAGCTCTTGAAACAGAAGCTCTGTTGAACAACACCCTCGGTCGCTTGAGCCCCTATTCCACTTGAGCCAGTGACCTCACGTCACGAGCCAAAGTCCACTTCACCTCAAGGTACTCTTCAAACTTTACCCACCATGTCGAACTTCGAAAATCCACGAATGCAGGCCCTAGTCGGCCTCTCAGTAACAAGCTTCTGCACCCTCGCCTTCCACGCCTGTGCCAAATCCCTCACCACCTCTGAGTCGGTTACAGCCCCACCTCCCGCCTGGCCTTCAACCCAAAACTCCCACCTCGAGGACTCACAGTTCAATACGCTTGTGATAACACTAGAAACCCTCGCTCGATCAATCGCGCAGGTAAACTCGTCCATTCATTCACGCATCGACCATGAATTCTCGCTCCTGCAAAAACAGGCATCTTGCCAAAAAACCCCGCCACCAAGTATGGGTCCCAATGATGGTATTTATATACTGATGAGTTTCATCGGTATGGCTTGGTTTTTTGGGATGTGTGTTAGCTGTAATGGGATGTATAACATCTCAGAGAAATTTATGCTGAAGGTGTTGTTCACGGCGGTTTGGTGCGCGAATTTGGGGTTGCTAGTTGTGGTGTTCTTTGCCGAGGGGATGAAGTGTTATGTCTTCATCTTGGCGGCGGTTTGGCCGGTTCAGGTGGTGATGGGATTGAGAGTTTGGTTGGTTTCGGAGAGTGAGGTTGGGAAAATGGTTGGGAAGGTTGGCGAGAAGGAGAAGGAGAAGCTGTTGATGCTGGAGGAGTTGGAAAAGCTGGAGAAGCTGAAGAAGATGAAGACTGTGAACTCGTGAGCTACGGATTGGTGTGCTGGATGAAACTTTAAATTCATTGGAGGAGACTGAAGGTAAATCTGGCAACTCCCAATGGGTCTTGGTTTATTTCAGTGCTGATTCTTCGGATAGACAAGTCGAAAGTCTCTAGCTCAGAGGATCTGGGTACCCACGAGTGGCGTCTCATGCTAAATTTCTTGCCGTAAGCCTGGAGGGCACAGAAAGATTGTCAGGGAAGAGCACTTTACAAGGCGAAGAGCTCTAGTGTTATGATAAATTGTCTACAAAGAGTGAAGAGTTCATAATCAAAAGCTGAACAAGGCGTCACTTCACTCGGAGTCGTTGTTCCATACGCCCTGGACACGTCAGCAGAGGGCGACGCAAGTTTCGATTGGCCGAGAGCCCAGCAGGGCAACTTAGATTTTAGCCAGAGCGAACACTTCGGGTAAAGTTTTTTTTTTTTAGACTGACACTTGTAGGGCGTTCAGCGATAAAAGTCGACCAGACGAGCCACCACCAATGCGTTGTGAATTGCCTTCCTGCAAAAAGGAGACATTCTTCACCAAAGAGCACTTTATTCAGCACCTGCACCGCCATCGTGATGAGGCGAGAGACAACCTCGTCGTTCCAGGTTCATGCCAGTGGCCTGGCTGTCGATCTAGAAAGTCCGGGGTCACAATCCAATCCAAGGTCGACTTCGACCGCCATATCAAGCGTCATATGAAGTCCCATTGGTGCGATGTCCCTGGTTGCAAGTACGGGGAAGGTTTTGCGAGAAAGGTTGATCTCAAGCGTCACTTGGAAACCCATTCGAAGGATCGTGCATTCGAATGCCCTGATTCTAGCTGCACCAGTCGTTTTCTCAGATTTCGCGGAAAGATAAACTTGACGATCACATCAAAACTTGGCATCCTCATTTCATGAATATTATCTTGTCCAAACGATGCGATGTTCATGGATGCACGGTCAAGAAACCTTTCAATTCTATTGAAGATCGTCAGGCACACTTCACAACCACGCACAAGATTCATCGCCCAAATCACTGCCCAATCGAGGAGTGCACCCGACACAGCAATGGATTTACCACTCTGGGAAAACTTGTCGAACACATCAAAGTTGAACATGATCCTCCAAAATGCACATTTGACCATTGCGACTTTCGATCCTTAGGAAATGTTATGGTCGGACACGTTCAGCGAATGCATCGTCAAGGCAACGGCTGGGAATGCAAGCTTCCAGGATGTGAAGGATCAAAGTCTGGATTTACTTACGACCGATTCAGATCGCACGTCTTCTCTCATGGCATTGGCAATTGGTCTTACAGCCAGTTGTGGGCTGTGGACCGAGGTGATAAAAGTTTTATACTTGACGGAACGTTTGTGACGTGCAAGCATTGTTCTGAGAGCAGGGCTCCATCCGGTCAAAACGAAGCGTCAAAAGATGGGACCGCATGATGACCACACTTTGAAGTCTCAAACTGTTCCGATGGAGGGTTGGGCTTCGTTATGGGGCAAGATAGGCCTCCTAAGGGAAACTTTCATTTCATATCCTATCGACTTACAATTTGTTTTCGCGTTTCCAAGATTTCATCGACTACTATCTCTACGCTCATTAATGGAAGATGTCAAGTTAGGAAGGACAAATAGGAAGGGCAAAACTAGGTATATCACTCGGAAAGTACGTTAGCTACTTGTCTATCGCAATCAATGATTAAATCTACTTCAAATCACAAGAAAACTTTCCAGGGCGTCTGAAACCCTTAAGCTTGAACATACTACGCTCTATTGTCTTGACTAGTACTTTTGACTGGTGGGCCTAATCAACCTCTCGTAGTGTCCCCTCCAACAATTCATCACCCTAACCCTTCCATAGGAAGTGCGATTCTTACAATCAACGCGAAAGTAGAATTTGATACATGAAATCATATTTCCTCATCGGGTTGAACTACATCCTACCAGCCTCAAAGTAAGTACGAATCTTCTCTTCTTAGCCTTAGTAGTGAGACTTGAGCATGCAACTTTTTTTCAGCTCTTCGGTCCACTTCCCTTTCGTTCTTGGGACCAGACTACATAGGTCATGACATTATCGAAATGAAAACTTGGAAGAATATTTTGCTTCTATTGAGTAGACCCCGTATCGAGACTTGAGCGTACAATTTTTTGCCCCTCGCTTAATCTGGGAATACCTTCAAATGAGGAAGGAGCCGCCTTCCTCTCATCCCACACTCCCTAATATATTCAAATAAGCAGTTTTTAACTCACAAAAACCCAAATGGTCTCGCAGTCACAATTTCCACTTACCCTCAAGTGTCAAACTAACAGCCAACAGAACCACACAAACCCCTTCCGTCGCGTCTCCATTGAGACAGACATCAAATCCACCTTCCTTAATGTTATTCAATATTACATTCTGCAGGTTCTCCTGTTCCCAGCATGGCAGCTTCCGGTTCTAGGATTTGGAGTCTGCCTACGACGTGGGATAAGAGTCCTCGGACTCTGACGCCCACACATAATAAGCTCAGGTCCCTTGGTGGCTTTGCCATCGAGGGATCAAACACATGAACGAATGAACAACAGGTTGCCGGGATTGAGAGGACTGGGTCCTCTCCTTAGATCCTCTCCTTAAATAAACAAAAAGTAAGTAGTTTCTTCTCTACTCTGACTGCGAGATCATTTGAGCAAAAAAAAAACTTTTTTCGCTTTAGATAGGTGAGAGACATGGATGATGGGGTTTGTGAGCTTGTGGAACGCAAGGTCAAATCTTGTGTTCGCAGCTTGAGAATTTGAATAAATTGAGTAAGACATGGCAAAGAGTATTGCAAGCATCTATTCGTTACCAACCGATCACCTAAGATCTTCTACATCAATCTCTTCATCCAAACCTACCTACAGCTTAGCCCTCCCCTCAGTCGCCTTATGCAACTCACCCCCCTTCTCCTCAAAATACTCCCTAATCTTCGCCCTCGCCACCTCAACCACACTAGCATCCTCCACCGTAGCCGGGACCTGAACCTCCTTCTCAAACTCCCCATGCACCGCATTCTCCACCAACTCCCTTAACACCCTCCTCAACGTCTTACCCGACCTCGTTTTCGGGATCATGCCTTTACCCTGAATCATGCCGCCTAGGGATGCTATAGCGCCGATTTGCGTTCGGACCAGTTTTTGAACTTCGGAGTAGAGAGCCGAGGAGGGGATTGCGGAGGAGGGATGGTCGGGCGTCGAGAGGGTGATGAAGGCGAAGGGGAGGTGGCCTTTGAGGGAATCTGGGATGCCGACTACGCAGCATTCGGCGATGGTGGGGTGGGAGGAGATGGCTTGTTCGATGGAGCCTGTATAAGCATATCAGTATTGAGCTGAAAGAGATTGAGAAGAGGTATATACCTGTGCTAAATCGATGGGCTGCGACATTGATGATGTCGTCTGATCTGGACATGACGTGGATATATCCATCCAGATCTATCATACCAGCATCGCCTGTGTCAATCCATTGGCCTTCAAATCTCTTCAGATACCCTTTATAAAATCTCTCCTCGTCTTGCCACAGTGTTCTGAATCCTGTTGGAGCAAGTGGCATTGCCAGGACAATGTTACCCATTTTCCCCTTCTCGACTTCCTTTCCAGAATCATCAACAATTCGGACATCGAAGCCTGGCATGGCTTTTCCTGCACTGCCAGGTTTGATACCTAAAGGTTGGACTTCTCGACTTTTTGTTTTGCGGTCTTTGCCAGCATGAGGAACGAGAGCTATGCCTGATATCGGGGATCCCGATTCAGACGACCACCAGTTGTCAATAACATTTGCTCCATCTGCTCCATATTTCTGCAGCAGATCTTGGTACATTGTGATAATGCTTGGTTCTGACCTCTCGCCAGCGAGGAAAAGAGCTTGCAGACTCTTCAAACCTCCTCTTTGGCCAATCTCTTTAAATAACTTGTTTTCGGGATCATCTCTTCGGATAGCTCTCAATGCAGTGGGAGCTGTAAAGAGTGTATTGACTTTGTATTCCTCGATGATTCGCCAGAAAGTGCCAGCATTTGGTGTGCCAATTGGTTTGCCCTCGAAAAGCACAGTGGCTGCTCCTGTAAGGAGAGGTGCGTATAGAATGTATGAGTGTCCAACCACCCATCCAATATCAGAGGCGCAGAACATGACGTCTCCAGGTCCATGGATACCAAACAGGTAACTGATTGACAGATGAAGTCCAACAGCGTGGCCGCCAGCTTCTCTTAGGACTCCTTTGGGAAGACCAGTCGTTCCAGATGTGTAGATGATGTAGACCCCATCGCTCGACTTGACAGGTACACACCCTGCTTTCAGACCTCTGCTACTTGCACTCTTCACCAAGCGTTGCCAGTTCCTCTGTCCATTCTGTTTATCTACTGCATCCCACCTCAATTGATCTCGTTGCCAAATAATGGTCTTCTCTGGTTTATGTGACGAAAGCTCAATCGCTTCCGTGATAAAAGGCTTGTAAGCCATAGGAGGCTTGGCACCATCAATCCCACACGAAGCTGTGAGAATAGCAACTGGTTTCGAAGCGTCGATCCGCTGAGCGAGGGACGCAGGTGCGAATCCACCAAATACAACAGCGTGTATAGCCCCCAGTCTCGAGATAGCAAGAATTCCGATGAGAGCAGCGGGGATCATGGGCATATAAATCAAAACCACGTCTCCCCTCTTAACGCCCTCTTCTCTCAGTACGCCAGCAAAAGTCTCTACTTCCTTCAACAACTCCTTGTATGTGATTTTTCGTTTTGTTTTTGTGACGGGACTATCCCAGATGATGGCTGTTTGGTCTCCATTGCCGGCTTCGACATGTCTATCCACGCAATTGTAGCAGGTTGAGATCTCGCCGTCGGGAAACCATTCCCAATGGTCGTGTTCGACGCCTGAGTTTAGAGATTTCGATGTGCGGGTAAGGGTAGAGCTGGGCTTTTTGTGCCAGGAAAGATGTGAGGCTTGTTCTGCCCAGAAGGAGGATGGGTCGGTGAGGGAGTGGTGCTGGACTTCGTCTTGGGGATGGGATGGCATTGTGAATTGCTGTGAATTGTGAGTAAAGGTCGCATAGGGAACGGCTGTATATAGCATACCTTCGAACGGAATCTTTCCTTTGATATTTCAATCGCACTTCTAAATGTAGCACAGTGTCACTTTACCACAGCTTGTAATTAATTCTTGGATCACAGCTCAATGCCGAGGTATTGGAAGGAGAAAGAAACAAAAGAAACGCAATCGCACGACTTCAGTGCAGCAGATAAAGAGAGAATGAAGCGTGAATGAAATATACTTCATGACGAGGGTAGCTTAGCATTACCCCGGATATCCTCTCGGACTGGAGGATGATCCGTTCTTGGGGAAGAGCAGCGGTGGACCTTTGCCCCGCATTGCTTCCGCTCTCGCTCTCGCTCGGCTTCTTTCTTAGTTGATCAACGTGACTGCACGCACTGAGATTTATTCATATCTGAACATTCATGGTACAGAACTAAACATGTACTAAGAGGAAATTTGTTTAGAAACCTTTTGATCGGATATCGATTCCAACATTTGTGGGCGAATACAAAACTCAGAATTAGTATCAATCACATGACCCGTTCTATTCTCCTCACAGTTGATTTCCCACTTTTTTCGACTCAAGAATGCCTATATATTGGATTGAACTGTTGACTGAATCTGTATAGTTTAATTTGTGATTTGATTCTAGTTACTGGGAACGTATATTTGCAATGAAAGAACACGCTTCGTTTGAATTCGACGGATATGATGACAAACTCAATACCAGGACATTTCTTCAATCTTCAGAGGAGACAGAGCAAGTGCTAAGAGAGTTACAGGTATGAGATCACCTATACCACGAGCATATTCAGAGTCACCATGACACGCCTAAGAGTTCTAGGCATGAAGGGTATTCAATTTCTACGCCGAACATAACAAGAACACGGCCATCAAACATAGCATCGATCGAAGCAATCCACCATCCATCCACCATTTTCTCTTCTCCTTCATCACTTGAATAAAAAGAGTATCTTTAACGCCACCCAATATGTTCAAATGCAAGCTTCTTCTGCCATCCACATGTGATAATCTTACAAGAGCAAGGAGGCCAACCCTTTTACTCTTCCCAAGAACCTGAATTTCCCAGAGGTTCTTTCTTCTTTACCCGCTATGATATGACCAAATCAATTGAAGCACTTTTAGTGTCAGTGCAAGGGTTTAGCGACGAGTGAAGCAGCACATGATGCCGGAACGTCCCAAGAACCACAAGCAACCGATGAAACGGACACAGGACAAGACGGCAGTGGCATACAGAAGAACGGTGAAGAACTTCTGTGTACGGACTGAGGCTGTGTCTTTGCTCTGTGAAATTGTTAGCAAGGTCCTCTGAAAAGAAATAGAAGGTAGTACTAACCCCGAAACCGAACTTGTCAACGTTGTCACTCGTGATAACGACAGCCAAAGCAGCATTCGAGAAGATCCAAGAAATGAGGAGCTTGGTTCTGAAAGACTTGTAGGAGTCTTCCAACGTCTTCTTCTCGACCTCAACTTCAGGAACCCAGGGCTTCAAAGCACGCTTAACGGTAGCTTCAAATTGACTGTCAATATCCTCTTGTGGTCTGTCAATTTCTTCAATAACAGCACCCTTGCCATCCTCCTTCTTGGTAGTCGCAGAGGGAAGAGCATCGGCCTTGTCAGAACCCTTGGTACCCCAAGAAACATCATGCCAGTTGCTGAAAGCGTAGACCATGAGGATGTTGATGTAGGAGGACATGAGAAGGAGATATTGGCCGAAGGAGTGGAACATGTGCCATGGGTCAAGGTACAGGAACGAGGCAATGAAGTACAATCCAAAAGTGGCCAAGAGAGCAATGATGATGATACCACCAGAAGCTCCGTCACCACCGAAGAAACTCTTGAAAAAGTCATCGACACTATCAGTTTTGATTGATGAACCAGAGATACCGCGAACGGCCAGGTACATGGATAGGACGATTAAGTAGGCATTGATTGCACCGAAAACGACGAAAGACATGAGGTAAGTGACCTTGGAACCTTTAGGTCTGTTTCCGAGAGCCAAAATGAATTGGACGAGGAGGAATGCCAGGTAGAGGTACTTCAGAATCGTGTTGATGATGGGAGTTGCAGTATCACCAAAAGGCCAGCCATGATGTTCAGCGGATGTAGATGATGCTGCAGTGGGTGTACCGACGAGATCCATAATAACAGTCGTGGTAAGCCAGAAAGATGCCAATGTGAACCAGGAGAGCAGAAGACTGAAAGTGTTGTAGAGCAGTTGAATATGGAGGAAGAACATTCGAATGATGTTGTGACCCGACTTGTACATTCTGCCAAAATGCATGACAGCGTACATACTGGCCGCAAAGGAACCGTTAAGCCATCTTCGACGTTGTCCAATAAATTCAGCAGCTCCCTCAGGAACATCAGTTTCTCCCTTGGCGGCTTTGATGTATGTCAGATGCCACTTCGAGCCAGCCTTGGCGACCAACTCGAAACAAAGAATTCTGTCTTCGGCCAAGAACATGTTCTTCTTGAAGATATTCATTCCCTCAATACCTTTCTTTCCGAGCTTCTTCGAAAGTGTGTGATCACCATGGAAATATTGCTCCAGAGGACGGCCCATAATAGCTCGGAAACGGTATGCGGAGAAAGCACCGGGCAAGACACTAACGTATCCGAAAGACGACTCGAGAGGCTTGTCGAGAATATTGGAAATCTTGTACTCGAAATTCTGAGCAGCAACCAAGGGATTCAACAGTTTTCGACCACCCTGCCCAACGAATTAGCATAGTAAAACATCGAAACGAAAGTGAGGGGCTCTGGGAGCCGGGAGCTGTCTCAAGAGCTCTCGTTTGCAATATGTCTCGGCTCTGCCCGGCTCTCGGCTCCCAGAGCCCTCATACAAGAAAACAATAAGTTAGTATGGGGATTTGACATACTTTACCCAACATGGCATGGATTTCACCACAAGCTCCTCCAAGATCCTTGTCATTGTAGAATCCTTCCCAAAGAGAAAGTAGCGATTTCGGGCCAGGCTTGGTTCCAGCATCCAGAAGGATGCAGACTTCAGGGTTCAACAATCGACCAAAAGCGTTGAAAAGCCATCTATGAGAGTTGATCTTTTTGCTGTTCTTTTGCTTCAAGCAGAACATCATCTGCACAGGAGGCAGGGTCTGAGTGCTCTCATCGGTGGGTCGAATCAATTGCTGGTTCGCAGTGACAGACAACTGTGTAGTATATTCGAAAATGTGGGCAACGGTCTCCTTTCCATCGACATCTCTCTTCATGACACCATCTTGGTAAACACCAATGGTTGCCAGAACATCCAAGGTCTCCTTGTCGCAGGGATCGATACCATCAAAAACAAGGCACACGACAATCTTTTGCCACGCTGGACCGCCAACATTCCAGAAATCAGACTTCTTCAGGTTGACAATATCGCGGATATTTTGCATAACACCATGTAGCGTACGAGCTGTGAGCGTCTTATCTTCATTATAATAGGTGATTGCAATGAGCAATTCGGTGTGTCGATTGTACATCGCAGGTCGTAGATTGTAGCCGTTCTTCAGCGTAAATTCATCGGGATCGCAGGTGGCTGCTGTGTAACGCATAGTTGAAAACTCCTCACTTCCCGCCTCCACACTCGCCTTGTATCTATCCTGGATAGCATTTTTGATAGCTGATGGGACTGGGTGATCGACACTCAGGACAGTGCCTTGTACAAGCTTGACCTTTCTTGTTGCGTATCGCTTCAATCCACCGGCTGGGGCTTGTCTTTGTCGCCATGCTTCAGTTGAGCTCGTCTCGGATCTAGAGTAGGGGGAATCAGTTCTGGCTGGGTATGGGTTATCCTCAAGAGAGTGTCCATATTCGGTGCTGCCAGCATACTCGCTGCTGTATGGTGCTGGAGCCGCGCCTCCCGGTGTAGCGTAGGTCTCAGTGAGACTGTAAGCAGATACTGGTCTCACGGGTGGTGTTCTAGTCCTTAATCCACCTTGATCATATGGGCTGCCAAATGGCCCAGCAGGCGGTTGTGAATGTAGCAGAGGTTGGTTTCCTTCTTCGTCATCTTGAGGAGGCATATGATACTGTTCGCACGGGCATTAGATGATGATAATTGATGGAGCAGATATATTTGCTTACGCTGTTTCCAGGGGGAAGGTCCTGGAGGGGGCGACCATCCTCATGGGGAGGATTGTACGACATGTTGATGGCGCGTATTAACTACTCTAGAAGAATGGAAAACGAATGTTTGATTGTTAGGGCTGATACGGTAAGACGATGCCGTTGTGTCGTTGGTCGTCGTCGGATTCGGAACTTGGAATGTGCCAAAGAAATCAGGGACTTGAGGTTGTCAACACACCGACGTCACCGAAAGTCTGGCCCAGGGAAATATTTTAAAGAGGAACGAATGCTAGGGTCGGTGAAGGGTTTTGTAGATTGATTGTAGGAATGAAGGTGAAAGAGGGGATGTGGTGAGATTTTGACGAGTTTGTTTGGCTTGCATAGGACAGTATCACTGGTCGTGTTCCTCAGCTAAAAGGAGAAGGAGGCGTGGGTGGATGTTTTAGCTCGCTTCTGGTTACGAACTCGCGAGCGCAGAAAAGCTCCTCCGTAAACTCGCGCTGCTGCTGCGAGAAGAACGACAAAATGCTTGCTTGCACTGCCACTCGACGAATCTAGGCTCTTTGTTAGGAGACGCCGATATGCAGCAATCGTGTGTTCAGCTGTCAACGGCGAAAAGTCTCTGCATCCCCTACTTCCTTGTTATCGAGGTTGAGATGCCGATTGACAGGTCTGAAGAACTTCTCTCAAGGTCTGGCTATGTTTCAAGGTTTGATGATCTCGTTTCACAAGTACAGTACCGCTTCCAGGGTCCCAGCATAACACCACCATGGCAGATATTGTGACGATTCACAGCAAGACATACGTCCAACTGTCATGATTCACTCTTACAGATTATTTTTCGTTGTTCGGCAGAGTGCGGCAGCCTCAGCTCTCTTGCCTTGACGCCTCCTCTGGTGTCCTCACCAGCCTCACTTCTGTCTGACCTGAGATTGTAAGGGGTTCCAGTCTATTTTTAGGATCTTAGTCTTCCCGCGGAAATTTATAGTGGAAATTGCCGAAACCGGTTACTGCTTGGGGCTGTGCTTTCCAATGTGAGAGTAGAGGTTCAAAGACCTACTCGCTATCCGACAACAGTACCTTCGATTTGTTGAGGCAAACGAGAAACGTTCCGTTATAAGGAACGACATGGACCATTGTTCCATCTCATTTTGAATCGAAGCGGCGGCTTGAATGCGACGTGACATTACTCATCTTTCAGATTCAAAGGGGGCTTACATCACGTGTACGAGTTGACTTTGATTACAACCTAGGCCGCTGCATTCGTATGCTGCATTTGTTGGTTTAGAGAAGTCTCTCTCTATTGTGCATGTCTGTTCGGCCGACTTTCAGCTCTCGCAGGAGATGCAACCGTTCGAATGTGGGCCCGAAAGGTTCGCTCGTCTGGAGATATTTGCTTTTTGTCTGGTGTCAGCTGCTGGCATATTAAAGATAACGAGGAGAGCAGGTGGGGCAGAATCGAAGTAAAGTAAGAAAGTGTTCTGTCTTTACCGTGATGCATTTTCAGCCCTATGAACAGTCATTTAAAGCGGCTACTTTCCACCTTCAAGACTAAGTAGAACTGATCGAAGAGCTCGGTAGCTAGCTACATAGGAAATCCACAAGCGATTTCGTCATTTTCGAGATACCACCCTTTCAAATCACCAACGTCGACGATGATTGAGTTATCTGGGAGAGATCTTTATGATGGTACAGCGGTGTCGAAAGAGCTCGACTAGGCCAGAGGAGGATCGAAGAGTGTTGGGCTTGTATGAAAGAGTGTATGAGCCAAGTTCGGAGTACTTTCAATGGGTTTATTGAGGCTCTTAGTGATTAGTATTGTGTCTATATACCTCTAAAACTCAGCAATGCTTACGAGCCCAGTAAGCATTTTTACAAACTAGCTTTGGTAGATGGAATTATCCCAGCTTCACCGAACATTCCTCTTCCGGGGATAATTGTTGGACAGCTTTTGGTGGGATACTCCCTCTGTCCATAGAGTGCATCAAAGGGCACGAGAGACCGCTCTCGACAATACTCACATTTTCACTCGGGAGTCGACGGTCCGACATAGTAGCTTTCACAAGTTGTCCTCATGGACGCGTAACGGATCTGCTCTTTACCCAACCTCGACTTCTACGGTACCAATACAATTGATTTAATTAATAGAAGCTAGTTAGGGAAATTCATAGAGCAATTGCGCGAACACCGAAATCCAACTCCACGACGCCACTCTCTGTCCAAACCGCTGAAACCGACAAAGAAATTGTTTCTTCGGACTATTTCGAGGAAAAGAAACTGAATCTTCAACCTTATCCGACGGATGTTTCTGATCGCGATAGCAACTGAGACTTTGTGGGACAATCATTTAGGTGGCGCAGTCCTGAATTCATCCAAACAGTGGTTCCAGGAACGAGGTTCAAAATCTTGATTTTGTTGATTAAGAAGAATAGAAAGTCTGATGTTATGTAAAAGGACAAAGTATGTTTCTCCGCACTGCTTGAGAAGTATATTGAAGACGAAATTCAATATAAATTCGGGAGAAGCTCTTTCGTCTAATTCGACGACTTGAGAGCTCGCATAAATTGTCCAAATTACTCTGCTTCCGTGCCACCTGGAACGCCAATGAGTGGAGACGAAAATATCCAAACTAGTCCCCGAAAAAGTTTAGTTTATTTTGGACGCTTTCCCAATTGCGCTTCCTCCGCCTCCCTCGTGTTGACCTACTTTCGAATACTATCAAAGAAGATCTCGCTCAACGACCACGAATCCCCTCACATCATCGTGAAGTGAAGGCTGTCGCTGGTCTCGATTACTTCGACGTCCATGTAGTCGTGTCGCAAATTTTCCACGACTTCTGAGCTCGTTCTCATCACACTCGTTATTCAATCAGCCATCTTGCTGCTGCGACCGTAGCCGTTGCTCTCCCTCCGACGACGACCACAACGGCAAGCCGCATCTTCTCCAACAATTCATTTCTTTCAATCGGACTCCTGCATCAAAGAATTCGAAGGCACCGTATCAGCGATACATCTTTCTGCCAAATTTCACGACCTCCGTTCCGCTCATCAATCTACTCAGCCTGTCTTTGTCAGACAATCCTCAAAGACGACGAGCGCCTAATTAACGACCACAATTACACCTGTTTGCGAACAGCTCCGAAACCTCGAGTAAATAACGCACCGAGGAAACTCTATTGATAATTGCACATATTCACGATGGCGTACTATGGGGCAGGTTCGTCTTATCTCAGCTCGATTCGAGATCAATTTGCTAATTCAGATACAGTCTCCTTTGAGTCCCTCTTTCGTCGATGCGTAACTGGATGTGAAGGCAGTCCAGCCTGTCCCACCTGTCCCTCGGATCAGATCTGCTCTCTCGTTCCTCCGACTTGCGACGAATGTCAGCACACAGTCTGTGTTGCAGCTTCTGCTGCTCCATCGACAATCAGCTCATCTTCAACCAAATCAAGTTCAGGGCCGAATGTTGGAGCCATCGCAGGTGGAGTGATTGGAGGAGTGGCAGTGATAGTGGCCGTCACATATTGTGTCTGGCGATTCTGTATCAAGACGAAGCGACAACAATACGAGCAAGAGAATTGGGCCGAAGACCCCGAAGAGACTCTGCCGGCCGAGAAAGATTTCACTATGCGGCGAGATGCAAGAGCTTCTACACATACAGTTGGCTCTATCGCTTCGACAGTATTGACTCGAGCATCCAACATCATCCAAATCGCTTACATCCCTGGTGTCACGAATCGTTCAGCTCCATCTACGCCTGGTCTTCTGGTACCGCCTGTTCCTCCGATCCCAATTGCATTGTCGAATGCAAGCACTCCACGCTACGAGCAAGAACACTTCTTTATGCCTGGCGACCTTCGAGATTCTACATACTCTGGTGTCAGTGATAGAACTTCATACGCTCGGACAAGTGTGGCTTCAACCATCTACGGCAAGAACGCCATTGTATCACCCATCCCAGCTCAAACTGTTATCAGAGGCAAGCCTGCTTTGGTTAGCGTCAAGTCCAATGGCAACAGCTCGACTGGTGAGCTTACACCTCCCGTGCCTAGCGTGGACTATAGCAAATACGGTTCTCAAGGACCTCCAAGTCCTGCTTTCAGTGTCGGGTCTACCTTCTTGAACAACGCCAATACTGCAACTACAGTAAGACCACAAGTTGTCCGGGTCGTGAGTGCCCCAAAGAAGGCTTCTCCTACAGGATCCCTTGCAGAGGAGCGAAGTCTTCTTGGTCGAGACTCTAACGCCATAACGATTATTGATGACACTCCTACTGTTGAGCAAGGCCCTTTCAGAGGTACTCGAGAGCATCGTCCTAGTAGCAACAGCACCCTAAGTGCCGTTATCGAAGAAGCTCAAGCTAAGAAAGCTCAGAGCGCCAGTGGTTCATCGCCAAAGACAGATGGTACTCCATTTGGAGACGAACACGAAGTAAAGGAATGATGGGGTCTCGCTGGATGATGAACCATCTGTGGGGATGTCGATTTTTGCCGCATCCCAGGACATGACTATTAGGATTCTTCTGTTTATATTTTAAGCTCTTTTAACGGCGATCAGGATGGCGCAAGGATATGGTGATATCCTCTCTGGGGAACTTACCGAATATAGGGAGGCTCCTTGATCAGCGTCTTCGATACAATATATGATTGCAATGGTCTTCAACGAAACACATCATGGTGACTTTTCTTTATTTGTCATTACCATCTACCACGTGTCTCCTTATTCTCTCTATATAAGGGCCCGGTCTTGTATCCCTATTCGAAGTTTGTTAGGTTGACTCTCTTGTCACTTCTACTCCGCGAAAATGTTCCTGGTACATTTCAACAGCCAACCACTATCTGAATCTTTGACCTCTGTTCAAAGTTATTCAAAAGTACTTTCAAGATTCCTACTATATGTTTGACTTGTGTTTGACAAGACTATAAAGTATGCCAGTTTCTCTGATGAGCAGATTCTCTCGGTTCAATTTCTAGAACTCTGATACGCATCATCTTGAGTTTTTCGAGCAGGAGCTGAATCTATCAACCATAGTGATTTTATTTTTGCCTCTTTCTCTTCGCGGCTCTCTCTTCACTCTTGAGTATCCTTCATTTGGGGGTTTGGAGAGGTATAAGTATCCAAAATACATAATGTACCAGATAGGCTGTCACTCGACATGGCTGTCCCATTCATCCTCCCCGTCTTGACAATGAGCCTTCTTTTTAGCACGTGTCAATTCTCTCTTTCCCGGAAATCTGGAGTCGTCAAGATCCCCAACAGCTTTCCATATATCCATATTCCTAACCTCTGCACCCCGCGTTTTGACCCAGACGTCATCGGAAGCTGTTGCCGTATATTACATCCTCAAGTACCCTACATGCAGAACAATAATGAAGCCCAAGTCCACGATCCACTTCTCCGAGCACAAGAGGTGGTGCCTGATAAAGAGGATAAAGCCCCTGAGGACATCGGCGAGCGTTTCCACTGAGATTAGCCGCACTTGCGCGATGATTGGCCAAGGTGAAGGAAAATATACCAGCAAACAGCCATTGACAATTGTCAAAATTCCGCACACAAGGTCTCGCACTGCCATTGCTGGATGTAACTGGATCTATCATTTTCTATATCTATCTCGGTTGGGTCCTGAGCGAAGCCAAACTCAAATGCATTCCACTTTGGTCGAAGCACGTGACAATCACATTTTCTGCAGCTTGTCTCATTGCACAATCCAGGTCCAGCTCCAACATCAGCAGAATCAAGCAGAAGCGGCCGGACACGGAATATATCTTCTGCCCTGGAGCTGCTGCGTCGCGCCTGCGCCTGCGGCGTTCGAATTTTTAAGAGGCCGCCGCCTTAAGCCTTTTACGCAGCTTCCTGCATGCTTGGTAGTTGGCTCTTTTTTGGCGAGCATTGCAGCCATTGTTGCATCGTACTGTACCTTTGTCCTTCGTACCTATCTTCCATTCCACCAAGTGAGACCCAGCATCTTTTTCTGTCTATCAATTTCCAATTTCTGGCTGGTCGCCGCTCCCAAATCAGCTGTTCTGACTTCCGAGCTAGAGCATACGTCCAACGGGCTAGACTCCTGCCCACTGCACTCCAACTTCAGTTACAATCACAAACTCCCACTGCCGTTGAGCTTTGATCTGCACATCTACAAAAAAAAAGCCCGAGCAATTCGTTGCGCACCATTCACACACGCAGGCGATCAAGTGCCTTGGCACGAGTAACCAAGTCCCAAGCCTTGATAGGTATCGTGCCGCCAGAAACCTATCTATCTCTCCACAGACACAGACCAAATCAAAAACTCCACCGCAGATCAAGGGCCTCTACCAAGTCGGTCAGCACGATACTTCGACGAATTGTTCCTCTCACTGCCGACTTCTGCGATTCGGTCTCCGGCTCTCGCCCTCTGCTTGACGCCCATACGTTCTCACCACATCCCTCATCATGGCGGGCAAGATGGTGCTGTACAAGCTGGTGGTGCTAGGAGATGGAGGTGTTGGGAAAACAGCCTTAACTATACAATTAACACTGCAGCATTTCGTGGAGACTGTAAGCACCTTCTATCTCTCCCTGCTGCGTGGCCTCTCTTCAGTGTTTGAGATTGTACTTACTTTTTCCATAGTACGATCCCACGATTGAGGATTCATATAGGAAGCAGGTGGTCATAGATGGACAATCATGTATGCTGGAAGTCCTCGATACTGCTGGGCAGGAGGAGTACACAGCATTAAGAGATCAATGGATTCGCGATGGGGAAGGGTTTGTCTTGGTTTACAGCATCTCCTCGAGGTCCTCCTTTACACGGATTCAGCGGTTTCACAATCAGATTCAACGAGTCAAGGAATCTTCAGCATCGTCGCCCTCATATCCAGGATCGCCAATATCCTCGGCTGCTCCATCGGCACCGGTACCCATAATGCTTGTTGGAAACAAGAGTGATCGTGTCACAGAACGAGAGGTTTCGACACAAGAAGGTCATGCTTTAGCACGAGAATTGGGATGTGAATTTGTTGAGGCATCGGCAAAGAATTGCATCAATGTCGAAAAGGCATTCTACGACGTAGTAAGACAACTACGTCGTCAAAGAGTCGCCAGCAGCATGAGAGCAATGCAAGGCTCGGGAGGGAAACAGAGAATGGGGACTGGAGAATCTGGAGGACCCATTCGAGACGACAGTCGGATATATCGCGACAACAATAGGAAGAGGAGGGAAAGAAAGTGCACCGTCTTATGAGGAAGCGCTTTCCTCCTAACTTTGACCAGCTTGTTTATTTTTCCCGAGCATGCACGACGTTTACGATCTTCCTCTGGCAGAGACTCGAGGCGTCTGCCCCCCACTTCTTCTCCTCATCCTCTTCCATCACACGAAAGCTTCCTTCTTTCTCTCCAGCGATTTTGTTCTCATTTCAAGCTGACTCGGCGAAATCGGGTTTAACAAAAGAGTGGCATGGCGTATTCATGAATCAACGGTACCTGCACACCGAAAGAATCTCTTCGAGCGATATTTTACACACAATCACACACAACAATGGGCAACTCGAGGAGCAAATGGAAATGTTGATGGTTCATCTTGTCTGAACTGAGCGGGATTCAGGGTGTCACTGGCGCATATCATATATTTTTCTCTTCTTCTGCTCTATGGAATTGTCTCCGTGTTGCGAGCTAGCTCCTTCTACATCATCATTTCTACAGCCATTTTGAAAGGGATCATCATATTTTGTAGCGGAAATTCGAAAGGGGCGATTGGTACGCGGGAATTACTACTGGAAAGGACATGGATGGGGTAGCTTGGGCATGCATGGCACTAAAATGTTTGTTTGGATGATCAAGGAGAGCAAGAGAGAAAAATTCAGGAATTGATAGCTGGGAAAGAGTGAGGCAGAGAGGTTCAGTTGTGTGTCTGTAAGACCGGAGAATATTCTTGAAATGAGAATCATTTCACCCATTCCAACCTCTTCCATCTCATGAATATGAATGTGCCAATCTTCCCATCCCACTCTTGCCCAACCCTTCCAATTTAAAAAGCAGAACAGAAAAAAAAAAAGGATTCCCCAAATCTTTCTTCTTGCGTGCGTAGGACCCCACTATTCTTCTCAGTTCTCACTTCTGGAGCCCAGGCACGCAAAGCCAACAGCACTAGAGCAAATCCTTCGGTTTCCAGATCCGTGTCTGCCCCGGCATGTTTCTGGGTTCGCTTCTCGTACTTTTTTTTTTTTGAGGACCTTCCCGACGTGGTGGATTGTCGCCGGTTGGGTAGCACGAAGAGAGAGAGATGGGGATGGGTCGGGGAGGGGTTTGTTTGATTGAGCAACTAGGGTGGGAGGGTCAGGGTCAATTTCTGTCTGAGGTCATTGATACCTGCTAACTAACTAGCTAGTAAGCCTCGTTCCTCGCTCGCCATTGTCGCGGAGGCGCCTCCCAACAAACGTGGTGAATTGAACTCAGGGACCCTCATCTCTGCTAATCTGGAAGCTAGTATTGACTGAGGTGAGGGCTCTAGCTAGCTTCACGGTACGGTGCTTCCTAGCTTTTGGGCTAATGCTGAACAGTGAGGAGAGTTTTCGTTAGCGTTAGGGCACGATTTGATTGATTCTTGGCGGGGTAGTAGTTTATCTATCTCTAATCTCTAATCTTGATATGATATGAGGTGAGGTGATTGTTGCGAGAGCGGGGGAGTTAAGAGTTACGTTTCTGTTACATAGGTTCCTTACCTCTTGTCTAATCTGGGATAAGGGTTTTTTGATATGGCGTGGTTTCAAGGCTCTTCTTCTTGTGGCTACGGGATTCTAGATCGATAATTTATCAGATGAATCTTTGTAGAGGGATTGGATCAGTGAGAGAAGAAAGTCACAGGAGAGGTTCGGAGTTTCCGACAAGCATATGGTAGATTCGCGGATGCAGAGTGGTGGGATCAAAAGTGGCGTTCTGACCTGCCTTTCCCAGCACCACGTGGGAGGCGCTTTCCGTCGACTTACCGGTGCGGTGAAGAAGCTGTTTGGGATGAGAAATTGGGTATGGGGTTTCTCGTGTGGTTGGTGTATCTATGATAACAATGTCTTGGTTTCTGCTACCGGTACCTTGATCAGGGTGGGGTACCTTGATCAGGGTGGGGTTGGAGTGGGGGAGGCGTTTCTTTCGTGAGTGAAAGAAGATATCTTGAACCCCCAAACACAAGACTACTTGCTGTGCTGTATACCGCTTCTACCACCTAGGAAGTTGCTAATGAAGCTGTGCCTCTTTTAAATGTCCGAATGAACGGAGCACGAGACACTTCCAGCCAGATCTCAAGACTTTGTTAGTCATTCGAGCAGCTCTCTTTGGCGGTCAGGTACGAAGGTACATAATATGTACAAGGAAGGCGGATCACCACGATCCGACGGTTCGGGTCCGATGTCTCATTTCGTGTACGAAGAATTGGGGATTGGGCAACTGATTTCGGTGAGATGGCCGTGCTCACTGAAACCGGGCTTGAGGCTTGGTTGAGGGACTGCTGATGAGGACTTTGCTTTCTTCGGAAACGTGGTGAAGGATCGACCGCTCCCACTGGACTTGACATACAATAAATGCCTTCCGTGCAGGAAGCAGCAGCAGGCACGGCTCGCTGCGTCCCGCCCGAATGTTGGACAGCGGAATAGGGACGGAAAAGCCGATTGAATGAATGATAAGGGGATTGGGACTGGGATGTGATGTGATGAGGTGAGAGGGACCCGGAAGAGATGTGATACTGTGCTGCTCCTCGGGTTCGCTCTCTGCAATTGGGATGTCAATATCGAGGGATGATAACTTATCTTTATTTACTTCGTAACACGAATTCAGGAGAAGGTGTAAGTCGGGGAGATGCGGGAGGGACATCACTCGAGGAGATGAGCCAGAATCTGGAGAAAACGGGGTCGGATATGCGTCAGCGTGTTTCGAGCCCGAATGGAGCTGTCTGCTATATAAGGTGAGGTGAGTTGAGGTTGCACCACTATTGGAATCCGAGTCGCTGGGACGAGGTAGGCGCCATGGTTGAGAGGAAGAAGTGACCTTAGCTGATTGATGAGGCTGTTACCAATTTTGCATCAACTCTGGAGTCTCGATATGATATGCGAACGAGGGGGAGGAGAGTCTTGATGAAGAAAAAGCTGCATGTCGGCACCGATCGATGAGGTTTAACCTTGATGACATGGCATTTATTTCCGATGCCAATTCGTTCACACCATGGCCTTGGTGTCTTACCTTTTCCACCTCTTGAAGAAACATTGCGTCCATGACAAACATTACTCAGTCGCTCAGTAATCATGCATCTCACAAATGACTATTTTCAGGAACAGGTCACTCTCAGACCAGAATTCCCATCTAGCCCCCAAGAACAGACGAAAAACGAAGTGTAAATGAGTTCAGATCATACCCAACTCCGCTCATCATCCAGACCGAAAAAGTAAAAGAGCAGCTCTCTCCCCGGCTGACTGGTCACTTCGTCTCTTTCGTCCAGATTCGGAAGTACACACGAATTCTTCCCGCGGTCTTTTACCTCGATGGCTAGGTAGGCTGGCAAGCTGTCTGGTCCTCTAGGCGCCGGTCTCTTTCTCTCTTGCGTCCGATGTTGCAGAGAACTCACCTCGCATGGGCCATGCAGCGCCGTGCATGTCCGTCCAGTGTTCAGTCGCTCTCCCTTGCCTCTCGCAGCTCCTCAAAGCAGCGTCAAGTCCCAGGATTCGCTCAAGCGACCACCGTCCATTGGCCGCTCGCTTGGGGGGGAGGCGAGCCTGCAGCTGCAAGAGCTTGTGAAGGTAGGTCAACATTTCGTGGCCTGCGGAACTAACGGGCCACGTGATGCTGCTGTGAAGGATGACCTCGGGATGTGCGTTGCCTTTGGCGGGTGTGGACGTTGGTGGCATACGAAGCAGTCAATGCGATGGGATGGGGATCTGCCGTTGTCGATACGATGCTGACAATCAGTTTCGAGAACGGGGGGATGACGGGCCGGAAGGAGGTGAGGGAGACAGCGTTTACGTACCTTGGTAACACACGGCTGAGTTAGGCAAATGCTGTGTGGAGGACGTGGAGGTGATGAGGATGCAGAGGCAATAGGCATGCACGTGTGATGGACAACGGGATTTGCTCGCTGGCCAAAAATCCCCGAAGGATGCCCGAAGGATGTGACCGAGATCGACAAGTGTTTGAGGACTTGTACTTCTGTGACATGAGGTCTTTTGGGTGTGGTCCATTTTGCCTTGGCGAGAAGGGGGGAGAATCGGAAATAGGGGGGCGGGTTCGGTTAACGACCCGAGTAGAGCCTATTTTGTGAGGGACGGCCCGAATCAATCGACCATGCGGGGAGCCGAGGGTGTTTAGCCATCTTGCATGAGTACACTCCAGTGCCGTGGACTCAAGAGAGGGGCCTAGAAGCATCTTGTGATAGCTCTTCTCGAGTATCAGATTGATGGGTTCTTGCAGGCGGCTGAAACTTATTTCGGTACGTGACGTGTACCGGTACTCCTTGCTTCGGATCGACTTGTCTCTTCGGTTGTTAACAGGTTGCATGTACTCTGTACTTGGAAAACTTATACTTTGGTATGCACGCTTCAGCCATGTGGAATCTGTGTTTCCTTGGTCAGGATTTGGAATTTTGAGCTCTTCCATTCTGCCAAAGCAGCAACGACTGCCGTGTCACTGCAGATTACCCATTCTAAGCTGATATCAAGTGATTAATCGGGAGGAATTTTTCAGAACCGGTATGCTTAGCGATGCTGTGTAGCACAGAACGGCCGCCAGGCAAGTTGCACGTCATCTCAACGTCCTGCAGTCATGTAGATAGCCGTCCAGTGATGCCGTTCCCTCAATTCCAAATGTTCTGAGTTACATGTGACGTCCGTGTCTCTTGACAGCTTCTTGAGCTTCCAATTGCCGCCCAACTTCATGTTACTTCCCCTGAATGGCACTTCGGTCCTATTTTCTCCATGCATGATCGTCACTTGCGTTCGAGATCTTCATGTGATTTCAGTCCAAAAAACGCCGAGGGGTGCTTTCGACATTGAGACAGGATTATCGCCGAGAGTGCACACATGTGTAGCCCCAAGAAAACCTCCTTCGCTAAGGGTTTCCTGAAATGTTGTTTCGCCGTTCTCATCGCTTATCATCCAGCAGAAAGAGCTGCCTCGGGTTTGCAGAAAGAATCACGTCACTTGCTAGTTCCAAGTAGTATCAGATGTTGCAAACTACAGTAGTACTTCTTCTGATACACTACAATCATGTGGTCATTCGCGTTTACCTCCATCTCCTTTCCCTCCTTTTCCCCTCGCTTCGTCCTCGCTTAAGCGCGAACCAAAAAAAGCAGCAAAACATAAACAATCAACCATGACCATATAAAATTATAGAGAATTCCTTAACACGAAGATTAAACCTCGAGAACCGCTTTTGTTATACAGTCCTTTAGTCTCTTTGCAGCAAATAAACCAACCTCAAGTAAATACTCATCAGATCGCTTCTCTACAAGGAAAATATGCCCTCAGAAATTCACCTACGTCACACTATCTACCCACACATCCCTCTACAACCCATATAAATCCAAACAAGCATTTCCCACCCCATACCCATTTCAGCATTCCACTTGGTTCAGTGGTTCAGGTCAAGAGTGGGTCAAGAGGTGGATTGTGGATTCTAACGCCTGGCCCGAAACGAACGAACGAGCGATCGCGATTAAAACTGCAAACGACATCGAGCAAGTTTTTCATGGCTACCCCATTTCGAAGGGTTAGACCGGAATTTTTTTTTTGCCTCTTCTCTTCTCAGATTGGGAGACTGGTAGGTATTTTTTGGGTGTGGGGGAAAGTCAGGCTCGCTTAACGAGGAGAGAGGTCATTGACGAGGGGAGGGAGGCAGACGTCACAGCTTACTGATTTGTTCTTGCGTGATGAAGGGTCATGAGCATGTTGGATAGATAGGCATATACAATGCTATGCCTTTTCTAGCGGATATTTTGGTTGCGAAGGAATCGTAGCCTCGAATCGCAATGGCATGAGCTGAATATCCTTTTTGTTGTATCTTCCCAAGAGACAAAGGCGCAAGCTATCACTTTCAGTTGTGAACTTTTCAAGCAATAATCGATTTTGAAGATTAGCTTACTTGCTGCATGCAAGGAAATTTCTAGTTATACAATTGGCTTAATGCTTTTTTTTAAAAAAAGTGAATTGCTTGTGAAGTTGAAGTTGAATTTGGAGTTGAATTTGGAGTTGAACTTGAACTTGAACTTGAACTTGAAGCTCAAAATCTTAAATCCTTGCTTGATATGAACGACTAGCTTCCGTGCAATATTCAAAGAAATCTCTTCTGTTTGGGCTTTCTTTCACTTTCGATTTTTAAGAAATGTAATTGCTTATGTATCTTTATTTTTTCTAATTTCAAGATGTACAAGTTATTTTTACCTTAGAAGGGCTTACTATGCAACATTATCTACCGAATGGGTGGGAATTCTCGATTGTGGCTAGGATGATATACTTTAGATATCATTGTTCATGGTGCATACTCCCGCTCCGAAGATTCGTCACCAAGTTCGTTTTGCATTTCGAGGCTCAAGATGGAGAAGTCATACTTGCTTCTGAGAAGCTGATGCTGAGAAGTCTTAGAGAAAGCTTCAAGAGCGTCTGCTGTAGATTCTGAGCTTTGATCAACTTTTTTCCAGTACTTACTTCAAGTACTAAAGAGATCTGTTTTAAAAAGTTCTGCATTGGACTTTATAACAGCGAGTCTTTTTTTTTGGTCTCAGTTCTTTTCAAACACGTCCCAAACTTAACATTGTATGCTTTTGATATAAAGCTTTTTACAAGACATAAATTAATGCAACCGATCCTGTCCCATTTTCCCGAGATGATAGATAGATACCCAGGTATTTTATGCAAACCCAACCACCAAATGCAACGCTCACTTTTGTACCCCACCCCAACCTATTACATGCAAAAAATAAATAGAAAGATCCCATCAAGCAACAGGCTTCGTGTCCGATACCCTCCCACCATCCTCCTCCACATCCACAGGATGTTTATCCAAACTCTCATACCACTGAATCACGCTCCCGATCAAGAAACACCAACTACCCCAGAACGTAGCCAATGAGCCCTGATACACGCATCCACTGTTCGCGGCCGCGAAGCCGAGGGCCCCGCAGAGGGTGAAGCCGATTCCCTGATCAATTATTAGCTTGTATACACACAATGATTTAGGAGAGGAGGAAGAGAAGGGGAAAAGAAGAGACATACACCAACTAAATTCCAAGCCCCAATATGCCACCCAAGCACTTTCAGCGCGGGGAGGTACCATTTCTGCTGTGTTTCAATCATGAAGAGTGTTCCGGAGATGATAAAACCTGTTCCGCCAATTACTTGGGGAAGCCAGTATGCGCCATTCTGGGCGGCGGTTGAGGTGAGGCGGTTGTAGATTGGAGGGAGGGCTGTGAAGCCTGATATCCACTGTTGCGGCGGGTTGTTAGTTTTGTTTGGGCGTGATGCGAAGTTTCATGAGTTAAAGCTGATGAGAAGTACTGTGATAGCAATAGACATTGTGTCTTGCTTCGTTGTTTGCACTAGACTATGAAGACCGCTGCCTCTTGCTTCACTAGAGCAAGCACCCTAACACTTACACATGTAATTTAATGGTCCATAACTTGATGCCTTCAACCTGCGTCCTAAGAGTGGCACAGCCCCAAAAGTGGTCCACTGAACCACCATGAAGCGATCGTGCAAAGAAATGGAATGTACTCAAAGTCCCTGACAAACACAGAGAAAGGAGAAAGACTTACAAAAACAGTAGCTCCAATCATCTGCGACAGGCACGCCAAAAATCCCACCTCCTTGAAATAATGAGTCCTCAACTCATACCAAGTAGGCCACCAAGTCCACTGCCTCTCATCCCTATCCGTCGGCTGATGTTCATCCTTCTCTGCTTCTCATTAGCCCTTCCCTTTCTCCCATCACCACTCCTCACTCACCATTTACATCCACCCTACTCTTCCCCACCAAATTCCCCTTATTCCGATGATGATGCCTACACCCATCGGGCTTAACCCTAACCAACCTCTCCCCCTTCTCCACCACCTCCTCAACCGCCCACCCAAAGCAGCCCGCCCTCTCCTCATTCACAGCCTCTAACATCAACAATATACTCCCGATCTCAAAAATCGTCGCGCCGATAAAAGCCGTTATGCCACCCGCATCCGCGATCTCGCCGCTGAACTCGGAAGACGGGACCTGCAGCGGCAGCCAGACGAAGAACGAGTTGATGACCCAGACGACGGAGCCGAGCGTGAAGATGAAGGCCACGAGGTAGGAGACGTCCCAGATGGGGTGCGTGGTGAACATGCGGAGGATGCCTTGGAGGGTTGCGACCACGGTGGAGGTGGAGGGGGGCGTGAGGTAGCGGGCGTTGGAGTCGAGTTCGGGAGTTACGAGGATGGCGTGGCGGCCTGAGACTCATATATCAGTATACTACTTCTCTGTGCAGAGAAGAATCGGGTTGAAAATAAGTACCTTTCCTGTTATCCCTCGTGCGATATAATCTCTGTACATCCTCCGCTCTCACCTCATCCCGTTTCTTCTCGGCCAATTTCTCCTTGCCTTCCTCCTCACTCTCCTCTTTCCCCTTCAAACTCAGCGAGAATCTAGATCTCCTGGCTGTCGGATTCAGGAATCCAAAGGGTCCATAGGCCCCTACTCCCTCTTCGACATGTTTCCCGATGAAATGCGGAAGTCGTGCACCGGTTTCTGGATCGCGCTTCATATCTGCGAGTGCAATTGAGCAGTGAAAAGAATGAATGAATGGCATGTTTTGTTTGTTTGTGTATTGGAAAATAAGGGCGCTATGACGCAGCGAGACGGCGTCCGCCAAGGAAATGCTTAGTGTGGAGTGATTGTGGAGTTCTTGGCAGGGGTCTTCGGTTCGTTGTGATGCAAAGTCGGGGTAGCGGATGATGATGATGGACTTTCTCGAGAAAAAATCTTAAAGGTGTAACTTAAATTTGATTTTCTTGGTGAATCAGTAATTGGAAAGTCATGTCTTCAAAATACAATATCATTAAAGATCCACCTAAGGCTCTTACTTTTGATGTTTTTGGCACCGTGGTGAGTAATATCAAAATAGCTACCTATTGTTGAACAATAAACCCACATGTCCTTCATCCCAAATCTCCTCACATCTCACATCTAACGACAACATAGGTCGACTGGCGCAAAACAGTAACCCAAGCCCTCCACACAGCCTCCCTAAACAAAACCTCTTCCTCTTCCCGCCTCTCGTCACTCTCTCCCGCCCTCCGCACCCGCCTCACCTCAGTAGACTGGTCCCAATTCGCCCAAGAATGGCGAAACGCCTACAAATCCTACACAAGATCCTACAACCCGTCTTCAGACCCATGGAAAGACATTGACACGCATCACTACGAATCCCTCATCTCTTTGCTCTCCTCTTGGGAGCTAAATGGGCTTTATACGGATGAAGAAATTAAAGAATTGAGCTTGGTATGGCATTTCTTAACCCCATGGCCAGATTCCAGTGAAGGAATACAGAAATTAGGGAAGAAATTCGTAACGAGTACGCTATCAAACGGGAATCAAAGTCTCCTACAAGACCTAAACTCGCATGGCCAGCTTGGCTTCCAGAAATTGCAAAGCGCAGAGGATTTCCGGGCGTATAAGCCGAATGAGAAGGTGTATAGGGGATCAGCGCGGGAACTGGGGGTGGAGATGGGGGAGGTGGCAATGGTGGCGGCGCATCTGAATGATTTGAAGGCGGCGAGGAGTTTGGGGATGAGGACTGTTTATGTGGAGAGGGAGGGGGAGGAGGATTGGGGGGTTGGGGGTGAGGAGTGGGAGGATGCGAGGGGGTGGGTTGATATGTGGGTGAGGAAGGATGAGGGGGGTTTTTTGGAGGTTGCGAGGAGGTTTGGTGTTGAATGAGTGAGTGAGTGAGAGATTGCGGGGATGTATTTGAGTGAAGACTTTTTCAGCTCAGTTTGAGTTTGATGTTTAGACTTCTTTGGGAGGTTGCTTGAGATGAAAAGATCGGTACTTGAGGCGAAAGTTCAACGCATGGCGCTCGGGACGCGGGCCTGTGTATTCATGCTATTTTGAACTTCCAATGCACGCTTTGATCTCCTTTCTTGCTCCATCGCCAACAAACGAGATACCTTGCATGTGACAATACTGATGCGCCACAGGCTGATAATAGTCCTGTTTGAGTACGTTTGAGGCTCCCCGGGAGTCTTTTGGTCACCTTGTAGTAGTGAACGTTGGGGGTTGTTCGACACGGGATACAGAGTTTATTTGACGCGCACACACGAGAGAAAAGGAGTTCGTTCGACCTTTCTTTCTGCTTAAAGTATTTTGTATTAAGGATGGAGACGGCAGGGAAGCTGGTGGGGTATCCCATGCACGGGGCTCTTCACGAAAACGGTCTGCAATTTCGGAGGATGGCGCCTCGTTGTTGGAGTCTGGTTCAGGGGACATCCAAGTAGCGAGACGTCTAGTCGAACCTCGTGCTCGTGGATCGTGAGGAAGTCTGTGAAATGCTTGCTGCTTGCTTGCTGTACCACGTATCTGGAATCGGTGGCTTCGTACGAAGTAGTACGAAGATCAGGTAGAGATGATGATCGAGCTGCATGATAATGTATCTGACGCAGTAGTGTCTCGCACAATCTAGAGAGAACCGACGGGCCGGGTTGTGAGAATGGTAACGGATGATGAGGCAAAGTGGCGCATTATCATTACAGTATCAAGGTACGAGTACCTAAGTAGGTTTCATGAAGAGGTGACGAATGATGCGGCGTCATTTGAGGGGGAAGAGAGTTGGGATTGCAAAAGTCGCTTTGACCGCAAAGTCATGCTAGAAAAAGTATACTGTACAGTACTCGTACATTAAAATTGATAGCCGGGGTCGGATTATGCATCTCCTGGATGAAGATCGTATCTCTTCGCAGAAACAGCACGTCCTGCGAAGCAAAGTACCTACCGGTAGACAAATGTAAAACCAAACACGTGCTATTCCCTTTTCTGGCTTCACGAACTCTCTCTTCAGAGGAAGGAGCGGGGATGAAACCAAAACGCGCTGCCAGCTCGCGTGTTCCTGGGGATAAACAAACTTTCGACGTTTAATTTAAAAATGGATAACAGTTTTTCTGTTAGTCTGGGAAATGTCATCGAGAGGTCTAGCATGCAGCACCGTCAGGCCGGTCACACACATCATCACACGCATATCTACGCCTCGTTTAATCTGCCTTGGTCCGCAAGCCAGCCGGCAAGCAGTAGACAGACCAAGTCACAATTGATTTCATTGTTCAGCTTTTGCCAAGCCTGTTGGGCGCACTCACTTTCTGTCTCTGATCTGCCGTTCCAGGAGGGCTGCCGGAAACGATGCTTATCTATCCTCGTCCTCGTCCTTGTCCTTGTCCTTGTCAATCGCGAGTTGTCTGAAAAGTCCTTCATGTGCGCCGTGAGTACTCGAGTGGCTACTTTACGATCTTCAGCCCTTCACCTTCTCCTTCAACACTACGGATGCACTCGACCATCCGCCTCCACGATCTGGGATCCTTTGCTGGGTCTGCTGGAGACTAGAGAGAGAGATTTACAACCTGCCTCACTGCCTGCACCTTGTCACTACCGGCTCTCCGGCTTCGCTGCACTGGCGATTCCGGGTCTGCTGTAGCTACAGTAGGCTAGATGCTGGCCACAGTAGTAGCTTTAGCTGGTTCCAGTGATGAGTGGAGTCCGGTACGGGCCATCCATCGCTGTTGGCTCGCTGGCGCTTTCTGAAACATCTAAAAGCCATCAGCTAACCGCATCTCTACTGAATCGTCGACGGATTGTGTTGGGCGTGGATTGCCAGATCCTTAGAGCGATGGCAATCAAATTTGACCTGAAGTCTGGCCTGTCTATCCTGTGAACAGTGCGAAGCAGGTGTCACCAAAAGGTCTGCGGCGACTGCTGCACGCTTCTGTTTGGCTTCGTGCTGGCCAATACCTGAAGCATCTACCGGCAGGATGAAAATCCTCAGCCTATTGTTGCTAAATCACACTCTGGCAGCCCCGTGAGTGGTAGACATATCAGGATCAGGACGACACAACGCACATCGTGACAGCCAGTCGATGATATGCTGGCTCGCTCCTGTCAACATGATCCCTCGTCGTTCCTCCTCGTCGCCTCAATCCGTCGGCTTCGATCCGAAGGCTGGACGGTACAGAGATGAAAGGATCACTGTCTATCACTTCCCTTATCCAGTCAAGTGCCCCTGGAAGCTGGAGAGAGAGACGCGACCCAGGGTGACATCCCGAGCAGTTCACAGCTCTATTGTGCGCAAGGTTGCATTTTAGGTCGACGGCAACAAGTGTAAGCGAAGAACGACGCCGTTCGGTTCAGCGAGTCAGTGGGGTGAGGGAAGAGAGGTTTGCCGTCTGATGTGATGGTGATGCTTTCGATTGGAGAGAAAAAAAAAGGTTATTACTTTTTCGCTACCTCGTAACTGCACCGCATCGCGTCTGCATATCTGCGTCGTCGTACGTATTGATTTGTTTACACAATGTCCGGTATTACGACGGTGCTGGAGCGTGCGTGCGTTCGTTCTCTTTTTTACCTCTTCCCTTGCAGGCGAAGTAGCCATGTTCGTGCACTCGTGCATTGCATGAGCCAGGACTAAGCTGGCTTGCTTACCAAAACCTCACTCACCCTGCAGGCCCTAGGTAAGTTTAATTCTAGCTTCCCCTCCAACGTCCTAACTTCACTGGTCTGGCGTGCTGCCACTCCCAACTCCCCTGAACTGTGAATGCACTCTTGGCCACAGCTGACTGAGTCTAATTCCCACACTTCACCTCATCAAACATCACCCACTTATTTCCCCCCCGTACGTGGACCCCCGCTAAACTGCCCCTGGTCCTTACCCACCGTTTAACCTCTTCGAGACGAGGCCTTGGGAACCATCATGGATCCAGTAACCGGTACGGGCGAGATAAACTGTGGACGGCTCGAACGTCCACGATTATTCCCCGAGGACGATCTTCGTGCTTCATCTCATCCTGTCGTCCCAATCCCTCGTCTCCAGTCCCTTCGGATCTTTCCTCCTACGCGTTGATTTTCTTGCTCTGCTCTATTCTCCTAATTCTGCTGCATCTCTGCGTTCATTCTGTTTCTGCAGTGCGACGAGACAACGACTTAAATTCGTTTCGAGCGTGTACTCGAACGTGACGGCCAACCATTTTGCGAGATAACCTGAGACGAACTCCTCCGTCATAAGTATTTTGCTTTTCTAACGGGACATCCGATATACGGGTAAGCACGTTGGACCCTTTGAAAACACTGAGATTCGAGTTGTACAATACTTCGGCCAGTCATTGAAAATACTCAATGGCATCCCAAACACGTCCCAGAGATACACCGTCACCAAAAAACCATGGCTAATTGCTATATCTCGACAGTAGACCACGAAAGATACGAACGACCTCCTCGCCGCCATTCTCGCCTAGCCGGCCTCTGGTCTTGAAGACTGTTTATTTACTCGGTCTCACATACAACTCACTAGACCTCTTCGCTTCTCCTCAAACGCGCCAGTTCTGCAGCAGAGAAGTGACTGAATAGATATGAGTTACGAGAAACGGTCGCAGTTCAGCCTCCACCAGTAGACTAGGACGAGGCTTGCTAAAATCAAACTTCTCTGAGCATGGAAGGCCAGTAGACGAAAACCCTCGAAACTTTTCTGGGTCAATTGTACAGCATACATACACATTTCTGAGCGGTGTCTCAAAAAGGTAAGTTGATGGCGTTGAGGCCCAAGCTCGCGGTATCTCAATATCCAATTTGAGTATCCTATCTCACAACTCTGGCTAATTTCTTCAACAGTATTTTCTCGTGAATAGACCGGTCATTGTCACATTCACTGTTTCTTTTTTAAGTGCATCTGTACATAAACGGTATGGTTCCCCAATCATATCAATGCATGTCCCCCGCGCGGCGGCGGCGGCTCATGGGGGATCCTTGACAGCTCAAAACTTAATACTGACTTATGCCCAAGCGTTCCAAGCCATTGCATTGTCTTAACTCCCGATTCGAGTCGTTGCCGATTAAAGCAATCAAAATTATTCCGAAACGGTCCTTGTACGCATCTTTCCTAGGATAATCGTAGCAAATATCGAATCATCCGAGGACCCTTTCACAACTTCGACGAAACAATTATTGATACAACACCAACTTGTACCCATTGATGTCGAACGCGTGAGCAATTCCTCGACCGAAAGGTACTTTGTCCCTTTCGACGCGTAAGTTTCTTACCAGCGGCCAATATGAAGGAGTGGGAGACGGAAGATGAGTATGCTGCGGCAGCAGCTGCTTCTCTTCCAACACCAACGGACACGCCATATCGAACTCCTTCACGCGGTTCACGACGTTCCTCGCGCCAGAAGTCCATCTCTCCCGGACCCTCCTCATCACCTCCACCATTGCCTCCAGGAGAGAAAGGTCGTCGAGATTCGCGAGACGTGACGAACGACGAAAGGTGAGGTGATTCTGCGAGAATGATTGAATTCTTCTAACACTGACTCCAGCATTTCCATTCTTGATCCTCGACGCTTCACTCCTACCCTTCATGCGAATCTGGTTTCAGAGATCCTTGCTCTTCGTAGAGACCAAGAAGAAAAGACGAAGACAATTGAAAGTTTGGAGAGTGAGCTCCATGAGACTCGTGGGGAACATGAAGAAATCCAAACCACACTAGTGTCTACTTCGAAGGAGAACCGGTCACTAAAGCGTCAATTGGCTCTTCTCGAAGGAGGAACTTCTTCTGCACTTTCAGAACTTGCGAGGGAACGCGACGAGGCAATTGATACCCATAACGAGACCAGAAAAAGATTGGAGGTCGCACAAAAGAAGATCCGAAGCCAGGAAGAGGACTCGGACAGAGTCCACGAGTTATGGTCAAACGACAAAGACAACTGGGAGGAGGAGAAGCGAAAACTTGAACGCAAAGTCCATATCGCCGAAAGTCGATTGAGGACTGTGCTTGATGAAGTCGCTACCTACCAAGCAGATCAGCAGAATGGTCATACGGAGCATGAGAACGAGCTTGAAGAAGCTTCAAGAGATACCGCCAATGGCCATGCTAGCGATGCTGCTAGTGTTCGAACCATGAGCATGACCAACAGTATTCGCTTTTCCATTCTCAATGGAACAAATGGATATGGAGGAACCAAACTCAATGGGATGAGCTTAGCAGATGAACTTGATCTGGATGAAGACGAAGACCAGACTGATTATGATGGTCGTGAGAGTGTGCTTTCTGTCCGTCACAAGCGCAATCAGAGCCGTGAGAGTGTCATGTCCAAGAATCATCGTCGCAATCAAAGCATCGAAAGCCTGATGCGACCAGGAAGTGTCGCTCGTGGCAGACTTCTCGCTCAACAGGCAGTATTAGACAGACTTGAAGACGGAATCATGGAAGATGATGAGAATGCCCCACCTCCTAAGGTCGAATATGTTGATACCGGCGTTCAATTTTCACCTCCTCCATCACCAAAGCTTCAGCCAGTTGAGGTTGTGCAAGTCGTGGAACCTATACCAGTCAATGGTGTGAATGGGTCTCCGAAGATAGAGCGTCATGAACCTGCTCACCGAGAATGGGAGATCGAAGCAAATCAACGAAGGAAGCGTGTACACGCAAGTCCACCATTGGTGATTGAGCCACCAGCAAGTTCGTCGATGGTGTCTTCAGCATCGCAGACGATTGAGGATCCTCTCAGTCCCCCACGGACGCCTATATCCCCCACGAGAGCTCCCCCGCCGCCACCATCAGAAGAAAAACTGCGAGAAATGACATCAATTTCGACACAAACAGATGCTCCCGAGCCAGCACTGCAATCTCCCAAACGTGCTGCCCCACCTCCTCCCATCCCGATTCCTTCAATTCAGCTGCATCCTCCCAATTCAGCTCCTGCAACACCACATGAACCTTTGTTGCCCCAGCATTTCAAGGACGCCGGGTGTCAGGTCTCCATGCAGGTACCCGTCCCGACCAGATCAATTTCCGTGCAAACAGAAGAGATTCGAGTTGCCCAGCGAATAAACCTGCTACCACCCCACCTTCAGCCTTCCGCAATTTCATCTAAACCTCCATCTCCAGAGCCGATTCTCGAGGAAAACAAACGCTTTTCTCCCGTTCCGGGCAATTTACCCCCTAGAAACCCTCGTCGTGTGACGAGTCGAACAAGCTTGGATCAACAGATCCCGTCTTCGCCACCAGAGCTACCGAGCGAACCCCGTGATGCTTATCCTGGCAACAATGACGACGGACCTGTATCTAAAGACAGAACATTTATTCGAAGACCTCACAGAATCAGCAGCTTGTTTGCAGGCTTCGATAATGCAAGCTCAGACGATGCAGATGATTTCGCTGATGCAGATATGAGTGACAATGATTTCAGAACTGCTCTTTCTGCACCGAAGCCTCACAATGGCCTTCCAAAGATAAGCAGACGGGTTTCATCGGGACCAACATCTGTTCCCGAGAATGTCGAGCTGTCAGAAGTGTCAAGGCCTTACCCAAGCAAGGGTTCAATGAGACAAGTGGCCCATCAAGATGCAAACGGTGATTACTCGTTGCCGGAGGTACAAGCTCTCCCATCGAGGGCCGGTAAGACTACTGTTCGTCAACTGGACAAGCCTTTGACTCTTGTTACAAACAACAAACCAAACACGATGCGCCGGGCTGCATTGATTCAGAGTGGTGTAGCAGCTCACCAAGGTCGTGCTCGCAGTCCAAGTCTCCCAGAACCTGTCAAAGAACCACCATTCCCTATTCCAACTAGGGCAAGCTCAAGGAGACCACCTATCAGTGCTAGCGCTCCCAGTGACGGTAATAGAAGTCCAACTTATGGACGTGGTGGGGGAGGGAGAGGTCATTACCGTGCAAACAGTATCCGAAAGGTTAGATCTGCTGCAGCTCTTCCAAGAGGTGGTAGAGCATATCGTCGCCACGGTAGTCGATCACCGCCTCCAATGTCTGCATCGACAGAAGCTCCTGAGAGTCCACAGTTACCTCCAATGCCTAACAATGAGATCACTACTCCTCGATACATGAGGGAGACTGGTAGCAGTCGATATAGGTCTCACACCAGACAACAACCTTCGACAAACACTGCTAATACCAGTAACACTGCAAATACTGGTAATGGCTCAGTTGGAACCAACAACCAAGCTACGAGTGTTGTGGATGCTATTGCTCAAACCATGGTTGGCGAATGGATGTTCAAGTACGTCAGACGGCGGAAGTCGTTTGGGGTATCTGAGTCCAATGGTATGGAGGGTGACAATGCCAATGGCGTCCGTCACAAACGTTGGGTCTGGCTTGCACCTTATGAGCGAGCTGTGATGTGGTCCAGCAAGCAACCAACATCTGGTTCTGCCTTGATGGGCAAGACTGGACGAAAGTGTAAGTCACAAATCATCTACAATAGAGGCCAAGTGCTAACATTCCTAGTAACCATCCAATCCGTACTCGATGTCAAGGACGAGAATCCTCCACCCAAAGGATCAGCTCCACTCTTTAATCGCTCCATCCTAATCCTCACTCCAGCTCGAGCCTTGAAGTTCACAGCTGTATCAGCAGAACGCCACTACGTCTGGCTGACCGCTCTCTCCTTCCTAGCACACTCCTCCCAAGCCGTACCAGAAATCGTACAAGCACCTCTCCCGATCCCAACAATCCCTGATTTCGAGATTCCACGACAAGCAAACCGTCTTCGCAAGGGAGGCATCCGAGACTCCATCCGCGTCGCCAAAGGCAAAACCACATCAGCACGCCAAGGACCCACATCAGTGCACTCCTCCCAACAAGACAGCATCCGCGAGGCGGAATCCATCTACTCGGGCCGTACGGACGGCCTACCAGACATAGCAGCCGACCCACCCATCGTACCCCGCTTCACCGACCGCGGAAGAGACAACTACGGACCCCCTCTCACCCACGGCCGCAAACGCTCCAACACCGGCTCCCGTGTCCCTCCTCCCCTCTCCTTCCGAGGCTTCTCCGGCCCCTCGAGCAGCGGCCACGCTCCTACATCTAGCACCGCCGGGCTTTCCGTAGGCACAACCGGCTCCTCGGATATCTACAACCAGTCCCAACCGTCGTCCTCCATCGCCGGCGGCGGCTTTAACGTCTCATCCGGGCGCTCCTCGATCCGTACCTCCGACGCATCTGGGCGTCCCGGTGCGGTGGTTAACAATTTCTTTGACGCCGTGGGCACGATGCGGATGGAAGCTTTTATCTCCCCGATGGCGTTGTCGCGGTTCGACGATTATCCGGATGAGCAGGACGAGATGGATTTCGTGGGTATGCACAGGCGGAGGAGTAAGGAGCGGCGGAGGCGGGAGAGGGAGAGCTTTTATGGGAGTAGTAGGGGCAGTAGGCCGAGCGAGGATTATTATGGGGGGAGTAAGACGGCGGGGGAGGAGGAGTATGGGAGGTTTGATGAGGCGGCCGGGTATGATCCTTTTAGGGGGTTCTGAACTTGATGACTGGTGAACACACTCACTATCTACTGTTCGTTTGCTTGGATATCACTCACTTGCTTTTTTTGTTTATTTGTTTGTTTGTTTTGTCTGGAAGGAAGGAAGGAAGGAACGAAAGACGGCGTTACGACTATGACTTGGCCTGGCTCGCGCCTCTCTTGGGAAGGCAGGATTGGAGTAATGTGTATTTTTGACACTACTGTGGAAGCCGTTTCTTTTCTAATACTCTTTTTGCGAGATACCCTGTTGTTGATGTTGTTTACCTAATGAGGAAAAGGGGGTGGAAATAGGGTGTATAGTCTCGTGGGTTTGGGGTTTGTATGTGTGTGGATGGGTGGGAAGAAAGTGGAGAGGGTGATTTTGTAGATGATTGATAGATAGGATAGGATGGGATAGGGTGTGATGAAAAGTATATTTGTCTGTATTTCTGTTGTTCTGTGTATGTGAGATTGGCACTTGATGATTTACTACACGTACAGTGTACCCTGATCATGTGTTCGCCTGCAAGAAATATGGAGGCATGTTGCTTGGGATTGAGGAGAATGCACAGCAAGGAGTTCCCGTACAAATAAAGATCTAAAGTCCGTCGGCAATTAAGTACTTCAAACCAGCATAAGTTCTCTCTTCTTCAATTTACTTTTAATAAAATTTCAAAGTCCGTCAGCAATTAAGTAGTTTAAAGTAGCATAAGTTTTCTTTTTTTGAAGTCACTTTTAATAAAGATTTAAACTCCACTAACAATAGAGTACTTTAAAGCAGCATAAGTTCTCTTTTCTTCAAGTTACTTTTAATAAAGATTTAAAATCTATCGGCAATTAAGCATTATAAAGCAGTATAAGTTTACTTTTCTTTAAGTTATTTATAACAAAGATGTAAAGTCTGTTAGCATTTAAATACTTTAAAGTAATATAAGTTTTCTCGTCTTCATGTTAAATAAAGTGACACAATCAAGTGGCAAAAAATAATACATAATCGAGAAGCACACTATACTTTCCTCAACTAAACGACCAGCTTCTCCTATTCGAGCACTGAACAATTCACCTCTATTAGATACCCAGTGAATAATTCAATCGAGCTTCATCCCCGCAAGGAAGCGAAGTATAAAAACCCCCCTCCCCCCGCGCAACTCAATCGCTGCTCAAAAGAAAGTGATCAAAGTGATTTGACCCGGTGTGTCTGTTCGTGTGCCGGAAAGTGGTATTTTTTTGGTCAAATATTTGTAGTTCTTGACAGAGTATTGTTGCCGTTGCTGCGAGATAATGCAGGACTGTTGTCAAGAGATTTCGGAGGGAGAGGACGAAGTGCGTTGTTGGTGATTTGTTCCTCAGACGTCATTCACGACACGAAGTCCGACAAAGTGAGTGCACTTTACTTCACCCTAAGTTCGGTCCAGCTCCTCAGACTCTTAGAGGATATAGTTACAGCTTTAAAGGTAAAGTAGCAAATTGTTAGTGAATGATCTTGGACTTAGTGAATCCTTGGATTTGCCTGTGTGAAATATTCACTAGAAGAAATCCAAACTTTCTCCGACACACCGATCCTTTGAAAAAGTATATATACTCCCATGGACTAACGCTTTTAGGAAATTCGCAAGGAAGAGAGACTGAAAACTATGTGGTTGTTTGCTTTTGTTGAGGGTTCTGTCCGCAGGTTAATGAAAGTTGGTGGACAACGAGAAAGTTGTTGACAATAACAAGAGTGGGAGAAAACAAGTGAAATGGAGGAGGGGGAGGAGGCATGATATGAAAGAATAGTGAGAAAGAAAAGCTTGGAGATAAAAGTCTGTCTGGGTGGTGACGCTCCCACACGTAAGCTGCTATATGAGCAATAGTTGTTTGCAACGGAGTGTGAGGAAATTTGAAAAGAGGGGATGATATTTATAGTCCTGAATGGTGGTGAGGTTTGTGTTGCAGTTGAATTTAAGTTCAGTGAATTGTGTCCAACCTAGTGACTTTTCCTTTGACTCACATTTTTACTCTCACTTTTCTTTTCCCTTGAGTATTCACTCACTTGCCCCTCTTACCAGTCCACCTTCAAAAGCTATACATACTCGCATAGACTAACGCTTTTAGGAAATCTGCAGCTGCTCAGAACAACCCGAAAGTGATTGCGAACGGTGAAAGACTTGGTGTTTGTGCACTAGGTACCACGTCTTAGTATCCAGTGGTTCCAGACCTAATATGAGCTTTAATTTGGCTCCTTTTAGGATATCTTGCCTTTCATTTGGAGAGTTTATTTTTGACAATCGGTTGATTGTTGACAAGAGAAGAAGTGCTGACAACAACAATCCTATGATAAAGGCCAGCATCACTTGCAGAGTTCCCTCTGTTCAGTCTATAGCATGATAGTATAGACAACATATCTTAGTTTCACGCCCACTCCGCACCCAACCCAGCTCTGAGCGTTTCGTGGTGGGGTCTTTGCAGTTCTGGTTTCTGGATAGTGGAGGTCACGTGGTATTTATACATCCTCTTCCTCCAGCTTCCAGAGCTCGGCGAAAAGGTAAGCCAAAAGTGAATGAGTAGCCTTACACACCCTCTTTTTCTAGCTTCCAAGAATCGGCGAAAAGGTTACCCAGAAGTGAATGAGTAGCTTTATATCTTCTTTTAACTTCCAAAACTCGGCGAAAGGGTAACCAAAGGTGAATAAACAGCCTTGTACATCCTCTACCAAAATTCAGCGAAAAGATAATCAACAATTCGGCGAAAAAGTAGGTGAAAAGTGAATGGGTAGCCTTATGGTTTGGTTCTGGCCTTTATCTTGTTCACTAGTGCCTTTTTTTGCGTTTCTTGAGCATAAATAAAACGAAATCTTGTTTCTTGTTTTTTCTTATAATATGGATCGATTTTCATAGGGATGTCATGGGGGTGAGCTGTTGTGGGCCAAGTGCATGATGGATAGCAGAGTGCCATGATTTCTGAGGAGATATGGTGGGGTTCAGTTGTGTAAACAATCTAGAACAAATAAGGAATCTAATTTGTAATAACTGTTCAGACAATGACAATAATACTGATTTCTTGGCAGCAAAAGTACTAACAAAATTGATAATAAAGTTTGAGATATCTTCAAAGTGCCATGAGGTGTGGAGACATAGGATAAGTTCATGATGTGAAGACTATTCAGAACATATGATCGATCTAGGATTGTGAAACAATGACAGACGTTTTGAAGATTTAACAGCAAAGGTACCAACAATGTGACGAATGTTTGGACAATGACAAACGTCCTGAAGACTTGACAACAAAAGTACCAAAGGAATTCTAGACAGAAGGCCGCAAAATGTCTTCCCCTAACTCATAATACCACGCCCAAACCAACGAACCGGTTCAGAGCCGGACTTAGCTACTGGAGATATAATGTTTCCTAAAAGCGTTAGATCCTTGAGTATATATACCTGTGAGAAGTTGCTAGCGTAGACTCAAATTTTCACACTGATCATAATTCATCATAAGAACCTTTTTGTGCGTTGAAAATTCACTCGTCTAACACCCGACCCAAATTTCACTAGAACATATCAATCAAAAGATGCATTGGTTTACTGACCCAAATAAAAATTCCTTCTTTGTGTAATGATATCATAACTTCAATGCAGACACTCCATTCTTTGCACAAATACTCCTCCAGTATGGAGAGCCATGGTAGGGAGACTCAAGTTCGATTCTTAGAGAAGATCCTTTGGAGATTGTCAAATCACTAATTCCCGGCATTTAGATTTATCGTTGTCTCAAGTGGATAAAAGTATCATGAGCTGGAAAAGTCGTGTCCCGTGAAGTCGAAGAGCAGCATACACGAATGTTCTGGAAAAGCAAAGACAAACATGGAACACTAAAATTGAATACCGCAAAGTCAAGACATAGCACATACTATTGTTCTAAAAGGGCAAAGACAACATAGATTGAAAAAAATAATATAGTATAGCATAAATTCAAAGAATTAGCATGCTTCAATGTTCTGAGAAGAGAAAAACATTATGATTTGCAAAAAGTGCATTTTGATATCTCAGGAATCAGCACACTCCATTTTCCCAAACGAGAGAGAACAAGATGAAGTTCAAAGTTATATTGCGTGAATTCAAGAGCTAGCACACTCGATTGTTCCTAGAAAGGAGAAGCAATACGATTCACAAAAGCCAGGTTGCGTGAACCTGGATACCACACGGGTGGTCGTCCCCCGCCAACAGAAAAAGACAGATAAACTGCAAAACGTCTTGCTTTAAGGCCCTACTTCTTCCAAGAGTGAGAAGAAGAAGATCACCAGTAGTACTTAGCCAGTGTTGTGGAATATGCATGTAGGTATGGGCTTAAGTTGTGCTGCTTAAAGAGTCTGGGGGCATTCTTCATAAACTGGTGGGCGCGGGGTTACTATGCTGATGGTATTTCCGGGTGTTGGCAGCAATGAATGAATGTTGACAACAGAGATAAATTGACAGCAGACAGCAGACAAAGATCTTGAAGCAAGCAAGAGCATACAGTGGATAGTTGACGAGTCCAGGACCAGCTCGTCTGTTTTTTGCTTGTCCTTCTCGGATTATTTCGTCTACGGATTTCCTAAAAGCGTTAGTTTATAGGAGTATATATATTTTTTGAAAATTAGTATTAAATAAAAAAATTTGCTTGAAAAGAAAATTACTGGACGAAATATAATTCATTAATTCATAAGTTTGATTAGACTCGTCTTTGAATTTCCATTTATAGAAGTTTTGGAAACAAAAATCTAGTTCTGCAACGCTTTAATTATAGTGAATAGATCGAAAGTGACATTCACTGTGATTTTGCGGCAATTATTGAGAAGAGCAGAAGCTGAGCTGTCACTATTTAAAGCATCTACAAAGAATTCTCAATTGAAGACAACTAAAGACACTAATAACAAGCAACGCCCGGCGGCCAGTAAGGGTATAACCAGTCGTGTGGTTTGAAGACCAGATCCTGCATCGCGTTGAACTGTGTCTATGGGGTAACATGAAGAAACCCAAGATCAAATGTAATACATAAACGACAGCCGAATGTTGACAGCAGAATCTAGAATTGTCGGAAAGGAACGACAAAGAAGCACTCCAAGGGCGACTGGTTCTTGCTAAGAAGTTTCGGTTGAAACGGCATACAACGAAACCCAGGCCAATCCCGGCACTTTCCCCAGGCCGTGGATCTTTCGTGTGGTATGCTTTTTGATGATGCAGACAAGGAAGGTATTGACTAGGTTTATATAGTTCACAGATCAAAAAAATACAGCAAGAGTTGAGAACAAATCAGGCCACAACTGCTCAGGTGAATTCTAAGATTTCTAGTCCCTGGAAGCAAAACACTCTTGTGTTGTCGTTCCGTACCAGTGAATCACAGCTTGAACGCTAGACAGCAACAAAGAGAGCTTACCAGCCTAACGCACTCCCAAGAAACAGCGCCAGTGCGGAGTATATATACAGGCCTCTTCACTTCTTCAACAATGACTATTACAACAAAGACTCGAAGCAAGAGAAGAAAGGCATTGGATCCAAAGGCTGAGGAAGGGGTAAGCGCTTTCGCCGGTGTTCGAACGTTGACTATACGAAGGTGATTGCAAAGATCAAGCTACAGCTTCTAACAGGGGAAGCTTGGTCGCAGTTCCACGAGGATCTTTCACTGTCATCTGAGAAAATTGCCATCAGACCGACTTTTTACGAGGGTTGACAACAGCAAATCTTAACACACTTGCTCAAATGCCACGATACTCAGTTTCAGATTGGTCCTACGTAGCCATGGTCTCCGGCCCACATGCTGAGTCCGTTGACGGTGATTGTGGCAAGAGCATGTGTTGCAAGAGAGATGTGGGAAGGAGGAAGAGAGAGTGAGAGCCGTATTTACGTTTCGCACTAGCGCCATTTCTGAGTGGTTGCTAGGCTGGATATTCACGCTTGTGAGAATCTGCAGTTGAGATGGCTTTTGAGTGAATTTTTTATTTAGAATTTCACAATAAAGAGATTTGTAGATAATGAAATCAAATCATTATACTGTTGAACAGAAAATAAGCATTCACTTATACACAGTACATTGCAGTATGTAGTTCCAAGTCAGATCTTCTTTTTTCAAGAATGTCGTGAATATATCCCAGCAATTTTGAGAACAACGTGTCGCTTGACATAAGCCAGTACTTCTCTTCCTAAAATGTCGTGAGATTATGAGTGATTCTTACAATGATTTGTTACTTGATACAGAAACAGACACATCTCAGCAGAAGGTGATCAAATAATCTGAGAGACTTTTTGAAAAGAATACGTCACTTGACAACTTCAAATCATAACCAGACAATTCTGGAAAGAAAGTCGTCATGTATCTCAGCGACTTTCACAACAACATATTACTCAACACCAGAGACCAACTTTTTGATTCCTGGCATCGATTGTCACACCCAGATGCCACTTGACAGTAACGTTTCGCCATTTCTCAGGAGAATATACAAGATCGAGGATAACGTTTTACAGCTGTGAATATCCGGTAATGAAACCGTGCATACACAACTCAAGTCATCTAATCTGAGATGAGAGACTTGTTGTCAACTGTCACAAATAGTTGTTATTGCAATAAGCATTTCAACTTCGATGATTTATCTCCCAAGAAATCAAGAATAAACGAATGCTGAGCTTCACTTGAATCTCTCAAACCCAAACAGAATATGAACGACTTCCCAGTGAACCGGGCATCACGTGTGTTCCATTCTTGCTTGCTTCGGTTGGTTGCAACTTGCTCAACAATCCCCTGCTCATTATATAGACAGAACTCGACGTCTTGCAAGAAAGAAGAACAGATTCACGTGACTGTCTCAATCTGCATTCACTCGGGCACTTTCCTCATCTTGCCTTCCATTCTGTTCAACTCACAAATCACAATCAAAGAACGCGACGCGTCCTCATCAAAACATCCTCACCTCTCTCCATCCATCCCATCCCATCTCCCACCCAAACGCCAATCCATCCATCCCATCCTCCCCATTACCGAGCCCCAAAATCCATCACAGCAATCTCGCTTCCCCATACCCTAGCACTTCATTTTCGGCCCGTCGCCTCCAAGTTCCAACGAAAAAAAAAAGATAGAAAAAACCCCTGCATTAGCCCCCTAAATCAACTACCCGAAAAAGTTTAGACCTCTTATTAATTTTATTTTCCTCGCCAGCAAGCGATTTCTCTAAATTTATCCGTTGCTGTTGGGTTGCCAATTTCCGATGTTTTTGGGGGAGGGATGGGATTCCCACTTTCTTTGAGATGGATGATGGGTGGAACAAAACTACTTGTGTGCGGACAAGCTGTTTTGCTGCCGCAGGCGGAGAAACCGTCTTGGGAAGTTGGAACATGTGTTTCTCCTCAAGATAAGCTCAGCTGTCTGTCTGTTTCTCACACAGCTCCCCCCTCCAGTTCCCACCCATCGAACATCAAACGCCACCACCAACCACCTCTCTCCACTCTCCCAATCCCTCGCGCCTCACAAATCAATCCGCAACACCACTCCCATCCTCCTCCCTCGCCATCCCAAGCAAGGAAACCGGCAATGGCTTTTCCCTTTCCCTTTCCCCTCCACAATCCATCCCACCAGGAAAGTAAAATCCCAGAATCAAGAATTTACACGGAAAAAGCTTGTTCGACTGGTCCAGTCCATCCAGTCGTGTTTCTATAGACCAGCTTCCCCTCATAAGCCCGTCGCGAACAAACTAACAGTTCGACGTCACTCTTTCTTTCTTTCCTTCCTTCGCGATTCAAGATTTCGTAATCATGATTTTTGTGTGTCTCCTCGGAAGTTAAGTGAAAACCTTTCGTGTAGCTGTAAGAGATTAGAAATGTCACAGTCACGAGTGAGTACATGTACATGTACTGTGTGTGTCTTTGATAAGAGACCGCGCCTACTCAGGTGCGACATGTGAATGAATGAATGAATGAATGATCGTCAAGACGTGGAGGCAGTTCGAGATAAGGATATCTCCAATTTTGGACTTTGATGTGGAGGTGTGTGGAGGCGGGTACCTACAACAACAATATCTGGGGGATCATCATTGCATTCCCGATCACATCACATCCCCATCACAATCATTCCCGTCCAAAAAAAAAGTATATATATAAAAAAGGCCGCCGGGCCAAAAACTTGGTCTCCGAGCAATGCTGCCACTTAAATTGCAATTCTTCTATGTAAAAAACTACAATCTAGCCATACAACACTGAATATCGTTGAAGAGAACCAATAAACACACCCAGCGTAACGGTCATTAATGTATATCTCTCTTTCCCGCCAAAAGTTCTAAATGCGAATCGAACACGAAAAGGTAAGAGGTAAAAGGAGCGCAGATGTAAATAGCAGGTGGAACCAATCTTGTATTTGACAGGCAGGATCCGAAGAAGCGGTAACATAAGTTCTCCGAACCAGGGGACGAAGAAGGGTCTCGAGACACCTGACGACCACACACGCTTTGAGGGGGTATGATTGATATGAACCTGGATCTGGATCCCCTTCATGTTTAGCAAGACAGGCCCCAAGCTAAACACTTCCCTCCTCTCGACCACAAGCAATTACAAGAAAAGATGCGAATCCAGCATTAACAAACAGAAGACATTGTGTGTGTTAGACTCCAGAGAGCAATGCAAACAACCCATGATGTGATTAAGCCCAATATTTCCACTCCAAACTGACCACCTTCCACCAACCCCTTCCTACTCCAGCCGCTGTTTCCGTCCGTCATGAATTACCGATGCGTCGCTAAAAGAGAGAATCGTACGTTCGTGACAATGGATTGGCGTTTGGAGAAGGCGCTTACAAGAAGTAAGCAGCGAGGCCCATAACACCAGCAAGGGAAGCTCCGGAGAGAGCGAAGAGCTGGTTGGCACCGGAGGTGGTGCTGATTCATGTTAGTACAGATATCTTCTGAAGTCAAGGCACGAGAATCTTACATGGTGGATGGGGTGGCAGTAGCAGAGGACTTGGCAGAGGTGGTACCGACGGAGCCAGGGGTGGTGGAGGCAGCGGTGGTAGCAGCAACGGTGGTGTTGGCGTACACTGGGGTGGAGCTAGGGGCACTATTTGGAAAGAGTCAGTCATTTGCTGTTCAAACTGTGTTTGGAAACAGTTTAGGGTACCAGGTGTTGCAGTACACTACGCTTGAGGTGGTAACTGGCTTGACGATGGTGCATGGGCAGTTGGTGATGGTCAAGGTGGTGGACTATTCAGATGATTAGTTATTGATACCGGTGATTGATAGAGACATGGGTCGCGATTCGAAGTTTGTCTCCTCGCATCCCCAATATCCCATCTCGTCGAGTGAAGCTTACAGCAGTAGCAGTGTAGGTAATGCCGTTGAAGGTCAACTCAGTGGAAGCTGGGCAGACAGTGGTGTAGGCAGTGTGGACCTCAGTGGTGTAAACAACAGTTCCGTTGTATCCAGCGGAGACAGTGGCTGCGAGAGCAGTGATGGCGGCGAGGGTAGAGAATTGCATCTTGACGGTTGTTTGGTGGTATTATTTACTTGGAAAGTAATTAGGTATTGGGAGAGGTCGGTATTGAGGTTGTAGGTTGAGTGTTGTTGGTACGTGTAGGATTGAACGAATGTAAGTGACTAAAAGTCAGGTGTGTTGATGTACGAACGAGAGTGCGGGTGAGGAAGAAAAGAGAAGTAGGTGTGATGGGCGGAAGAAGTATTATATACGGAGAGAGCGAGCACTGGCCGGTTTAGCTCTGGGCGGTGATGCTAGGAGGCTGACGGGGATGCAAAGCGGCAGGCACGATGGAAAGACTAGTCAGGATTGGCCAGCGACCCCTGAGCTACCCAGGATTATTACCCAAACAGAATAAGCTCGCTCCACTACTTTGCGCTACTCAACCTCTGCTATCCATCAACACAACGCTTGCTCGCTCGCTCGCTCCATTATCCTCTCTGCTGGCAGGGGAACCGAACTCAGCGCAGAACAGCATAAAAATTGGGGCCGCTGGGGTGCTCATCCGCGGAAGGGTGTCTCTCTCTCAAGGATGCCTCTTCGTACCGCTGAGCTTCCAATTCCAGATGCAATCAGGGGGCGCTGGCCGGTGGCCATCAGTGGATGTGAACGTTGCGTTGAGCCATCTTGACTGGCTTGGACGGCCATTTCCCTGAAAGTGATCGCTGGAGCAGAGTGGGCTTCACAGTTCACTGGACAAGTCGGCTCGATGCTGGGGGAAGCGCATGACTTTCCCTTTCCTTCTGTCTGTTCCGTTTCCATGTCTGCTGTCATGGCCTTCCTTCGCTGTTTCTGCTGCTCAGGCCAGAAGAGACCAGGGAGGGGATCAGGGTAAACGTCCATCAGCTGTTGTGCTGGTCCATGGAAAGAAACGACATGCAATCGTGCTTTTCAATATCGCATGCAACACACGCTGCAGACTGCAGTGCCAGTTGACCGCAATACTATCCCTCATTCTCTCTCTCAAGTATTCAGCCTTCTTTTCGTCCCATCTTGTGCCGTCGTTGGCTCGCTTGGCGGACGCTGCACAGTTGTCGTTGACTGCGTGGTTGCACTGCAGCATGCACCCGCCTTCTAGTCAGGGGCAATTCTGGCTGGCTGGTTGGTCTGTCAAGAACTCAGGCCAACAAACCACTAAAATGGCTCATAGTGTGTGATCCCGAGAGCAACCAAGTCCGTACTGCAACACCTTCAAATTCCCTTTCACCCACTACTGTACTTGTGCACCTCTTGGCTAAACCGGGTCCGACTATGAAAGACCATCATTTCGCTTTTCTTCGTGTCGCCTTCGACTCTCATCTCATCTATTTTTTGCTCACTTCATATCGCCCGTGCGATCCGTTCTGTGTCTCGCACTGCTCTCCCGGATCGCAGGTGCAGTCACTCACTTCCAACCGGAAGACACACCCCTCTGGGGGATAATTGAATGGTACCCTGATTACTGTGCAGGCAGGCTCGTGTGCACTGCTGCTGTTTAATATGACCTCGTCCAGACACGGGTGAAGGAGAAAGTTTGAGCTGGGATATCTTAGATTACCTTGCAAGTTTGCCACCCACCATCACTCGATGATTCGACAAATCATGCTTCAATCCTCTACGCGCACAGAGGAAGCCAGGAACCTCAAAGTCGCTCCAGGGTTCTCTCCCCAATCACCGGCGGCAAGACAGAGTGCTCTCGTCATCGCCCAGCTTTGCCGTCGACATTTCACAAGTCACTAGACCTTGTACCCTTTTTGTGCCACGGCTTCCAGAAGTCAGCCATTTGCAACGGCGTCAACACTCGCTGCCATCACTATTGGCATCCACCCACAAGCCGCAAGCCATCAATGGTGACATCTGCTGGACCTCCGATCCTATTCTCCCGAATCATGTCTACTTCATATCTCGGCGTGCACTCTCTCTCTCCCAAACCAACAGGTAATCTTGCTGACACGAACCATCTCGTGTTCACCCGTCTCGCCCCGGACATCGAACTCTCTCTTCTCTCTTCTCGAAGCTTTAAAACCAAATCTCCCCCAGAAAATTTTAAAATGCGCGAGAGTCACATCTCCACTGATCTCCCTCGCACACTCCCATAAATAAAATAAAACCCCTACCCAAAAAATGATTATATTCCCCGATCCGGTAAGTGGCTGGCTCCACAACTAATTTCCCACCGCGAAATTTTCGGACGGGCAAATCTCCCCCGTTTTTTTCTCTTTCTATTCTGGGTGCTGGTGTCTTTCAATAGCTCTCTTTATTTTTTTTTGTCGCTCGTGTTTTGTGGGGTGGCGAAATAATAATTTATTGATATGATGCCAAGAGTTCCTTGAGAGAGAGGTTTGTTGAGCGAGAGGTTTAAGGAAGGGAGTCGCCTCTTCCCAACCGACGCTCGCTCGCTCGCATCTGTGGTTCCTGCGCAAGCGTCGCATCGCCAAAAACTTGAGAGATTTCTTGCATCGGCAATAATTGCTAGTCGAGTTCGCTCGTTCCTCGGGATTCTAGACTCGAAGCTCTCGCCCCCTTTCACATGTCATATTTCCTTGATTTTGCGTTTTATTATTATTAGTCTCGCGCCCTCGCTCGCTGTGGAAAAGTTGGCCACCACACATACCATGGAATGAAGCTCGATTTTTCTGACGTACGGTTCGGATGCCGGTTACCTAGGATCGATGAAACGACAGGGTCGATTCGCCTGGAAGAAACGAAACATGCTTGAGGAATTGTTCTCATGAAATGGATGATCTCTTCGGGATAAAGAAGGTAGGAGGAAGCTTGCTATATTATTCGGAGGACGCGATGATGGTTGACTTTGTAAATGGAATGTCCAAGGAGCAGAGCGAGGATATATTCCCTTGGTTAGTTCGTTTTTCTGGAATGGACGCTAGCACGATACAGCTTTCAATTCTTCCAGAGGTAGGTCATGATATCATATTCTCCAGTCAAGATTCTAACAAGGGCGATAAGTGGAAGCTCTGCCAATATTCTACATTCCTCTGCACTGGTACACTTTCACTCTTTGCAAATACTTCTGTTCTTCATATTCTCTGCCATCAAAGTCAAGAATCTTGCACCATTTCTCATTCTTTTCATTACTTTCTCTTACATCTACACCATTCCACGACTCAATTGTCGACTCTGGCCCAAATCTTCTAGATCCAGTCTCGTTGTCTGACCCTAGGGTACTCGAAAATCTATCCAGGACACCTAGATCCAGCCACCATCAACCTCAGATTCCTCCCGATTGATCTGCCATCAAAAGCTCATGCTTTTTGCGATGTTTATATAAGGAACAACACAACTACGATGCTTGTGGCATTGAGGGCATCAACGCGTCACATACCTTAAACGGCTCGGCGAAGTTGGAATCCGGAATCCTGTCAACGTCGAAAGCCTCTTCACCATCCTGCCATCTGGCTTTGGCGGATGTCGGTGGAAGGTCGATAATGAAGAAGCCTGAACAGGACTTTCTCAATAAGCATCTGCTCTGGCTTCTCTTTCCGAGGCTCCAATTTCATTTGTTGAATTGTTCAGTCGAGGATCGTTCAAAGTTAACCATGACCGGAACTCCACAGCATCTCAGAGCCTGGGAAAGGGAAGTTCGGAAGTCTTCGACGTTACATCCGATCTCCTAGCATTGGCGCTGCTCTTCTTCATCACACAATCCGTCCTCGAGTTTAGGGTATCACCCCATAAAGTCTGAGTCTACTTCCTCGACCGGAAATGAGTTGAACTCTTGTGCAGACATTGTATGATTGTGCTACTTCAATGGTGCTACTCCCATTGGCCAAAGCTGACAGCGCGAATCGCGCAAACAGCGCAAAACGCGGCGAACGCGCAGAATGCGAGAACAGAGCACTGGATATCTCAAGTTCCGCAAAGTGAAGTCTCAAGCTTCAATAACTTAATTGCTTGGAAGAATTGGGGCTCGAGTTTTATTCAACCTATTTACCTTCATACAGTCTTGGTTTTATGTTTAAGCTTCAGATTCTTCGTCTTGACTTGGCACATTATTCAAAGAACGAGTATAGATACGACAGCAACAAAAGAATCTTGACAACAGAAACCAGACGAGTGATAGTAACCATCTCACTACAGAACACAAGACAAGCTCAGCTCTCTATACTTTCCAAATTCTCTCATTTCACATACCCGGCATATGCAAAAAAACCTCCTTTCTTCCGCAGCCCAGTCCATTACCATGGCCTTCTTCATCGATCGAATCCCGCGTATTAGTAGCGTACGTGGAAGAAGTGCTTGTTTATATACTTTGCTTCATCTTCAAGCTCGAGCTGCGGGTCCTTCTGTCAAACGTGTGTAAAGAGTGAATGTATTTGAATAGCGCTACGTGAATGTGTCCGTTATTCCTGTTCTTAACAGTGCTGCCGTCTGTCTGGCAGGTGTGATGAAGGCGTGAATGTGTTTGGATAGCGTTGTCTTTTGTGAAGCGTCTTGAGCGTGAATGTGACCGGTATCGCTGTGTTCTATCAAGCGTGTCAAAAGCGCGAAGGTATCAGAAAACTGCTTTCTGCCCCCCCCTCGACCAAGGGTGTCCCCAAGCGTAAATATATCTAGACAACGCTGCCTCCTGTGGAAAAGTGTCACAATGTGTGCATCTCCGATATCGCTGCGTTCTGTCAAGCGTGTCAAAAGCCGTGAAGGTATCAGAATAGCGCTCCCTACCTTCGAGCAAGGGCGTTGTCAAGCGTGAATGTATGCCAATCACGCCTGAGGACTGTTCTAGTCGTGTTCGCATCTCCAGCGCGAGCTCCAGCGCGAGTATATAATAGCCACACTTTACCAACGAAAAATAGGATTGGAGTTCAGTGTTCACTGTGGTAACAGGTAATCTCACATGGGAATGTTCTCATGGCATTTTCCATTTCCGTCTTTGGACCTGAGCAGTCGCTGCTTTAGCCTGAGCTGTGTCCTGAGCCCCCTGTTGCCCCTGAGCATGCCGCTGAATCAACCGGAGCCTGCGCAGGGGATCCTTTTCGACCCCCTAAGAGTCGGGTATTGTTTCCACGTCTGTTTATAAATAAATTTGTAAATGCCTGCTATCCTGAACACAGCCCTCTTTTGAACCTATCAAGATTTCGTTACGGTGTCCGTTCTCGCTCCCTTATCAGGCTTATCAAGGGTCACGGAGCCGATTTGGGATTCCCTCTAGTCCAGTCGCACGTGACTCGGCAGGTTTATTTAGTTAAGAGTAAGCGCAAATCGAAGGAGGGACTCCTCGTGAAGTCATCGAGGAGGCTTGTTTGTCGGTCTGCCCAATCACAGGGTTGGGTTTTCTTCGGTTTCCTTCCCCGTGTTGGCGAATGCCTGGCGCAAAGTCGCAAGACTAGGGTTGGAACGCCAAAAATTTGAAGTTTTTCAAAGTGTGCAGAAAATTCTAAAAACTTCTGGGGCTACTGTATCGAGGTTGATTATCACGAATATCAACTCAATTTTTTGATTCTCTGCCGTTGTTGTGATGAAATCACGGTTTGGGCGGTTGAGTTGTGCGGGCGTTTAGTTTAGTGAACGCTTTTACAACCGAGAGCATCATTGCAGAAGACGGAGCCGCATCTCAGCCCAACTTCCAATCTTTCTCAATATAATCCACTCTTTTGGTTACGAAAACCTTTGACCTTTATTTTATGACCTTACGACTTAACATGCCTGTAGGATTGGGATCCTCCGTGGGGGACTTTATCTCAGCCCTTGAGCTCGTCGCAAAAGTCATTGAAGCCTTACATCCGAATTAGACAGATCAAATGGATCGCGAGCCTTGGGTGCAATGACATGACAGCTATGCCGCAGAGAGTTTCAGACTTCTGGCGGACTCCAAAAGGCAGCAATGTGGTCAGCGATCACTATGTTGGCCAACACGCAACTGATTCACCGCCTTTTCAATGGCGCTTTGGTAGGGCAGATACATTACACAGCCGCATCGAACATCTCTCTTCACCAAAAGATTTCTCCGGGGTTGGAGAGCACCTACATTGATTCCCAATCAGCTTCTTTCAGCTTGTCGACCCATTCAAGCCGAAACACTTCGATGCACACCCGCGCTGGAAATTGGACTACCACTAGTTGATATGGTTGAGTGCCAGGCTCTCTGTTCAAGGACGAACGATGATGGCCAATCGATTTCTGGACACCGTCGTGAGGGATCGCGCAGGCGCAAGTCATGGGAGGGAGACGCAAGGCGCGCCTTCATTCTTAACGAATCATCGGAACCGGGCCGATGATGCATCTTACTAATAGCTTACTTCGGGCTGGGTTTACTCGGACCAAACCTTCTCACCTCCGGTAGTGTTCAGTCTGTGGACTCGGAGCACGTGAAAGGTAGATTATCACGAATTTACGCGCCAAACAACTAATAAGTGACGAACCGTATCGCGCAAGCATTACGTATTGTAACGGCTCGATATCTCTCCCGAGCATGCAATCATTGGATCCTCTTCAATAACAGCAGCAACGTATGGGTTCACCTTTATCAAATGGGTGGTCCTTAATATCACAACTAAGGCCAGACCTTACACCATCCATCCCAAAACCCTGATGTTAGCTCGGATACGGCCCGTCAAAGTGTGCGGTATGCGCTTTCTGCCGCCGATTCTCGAGTAATAAGCGCCGGTAGGCAGACATGGCCAGGTGAGCGATGCTGTATAACCACCAACCAACCTCACATTTCGCTAACATGCTTTGTCGGTCCAATCGAACACATTGCTATCCTCGAAATCTTGCGCAAAAAGAGATCACGGAACAGTTTACGTAAATATGAATAGTCGGGCTATTCATCAAAAACTAAATATGTATGTATGTGAGGTACGTCGCGGATTCCTTTGGTAAGGAGCCACACGGCAGGAGGCTCACCCAGTCACGCGAATGGCCCGGATTTGAACTATTGGCAGAAACCGAAGTGGGGGGGGAGAATAGGAACTCGTGCAACAATGCTACTGGAATCCAATACGATATTAATCCTTGAAGGTGTCAGCCCAGCGGCTTAAAACCGGCCTAGAATGCGCATCCTCTTGGGAACTAACGACGAACAAGTGAACCAGACAGTGAATCCGAGCTGCTGCATGGATATTCTGTCCCAGCCGTTCGCCAGTTTATCAGAGCCATGCTCTCTGCGCCTTCGCCCCAAGCAAGGCTGACTTTGATGCAAGGAAATCCGGGTGTTTTCGTATGCAAAGCCTGCATGGTCAAATGAGGGCTATGCTTGGATGGGTTGCTCTATGGGCTAGCAAGACAATAGAGCGGTGTACGAAAACGGACAGGGTGGGGGAAAGTCGAACTGCATGAAAATGGTTGTAGATGTGTGAACTCAGCGTCTTGCATATCTAAGCCTATTCCAGACCTGCGCTATCCTAGAGTCCTTAATTACGACTGGTGGATATTTGAATCATGATAACCAATCATTATTCTACGAAACTAAGCTAATGCATGAGTAGTGTAACCTCACGCGCCTAGTCAGGCTGTGTCTAAAATTTCCTTGTGGGAGGCAGGATGCCTGGTCTCTACTTAAGCATGATAACGCCAGCCCTCCTCTTTTCTTGCCTGTCCAAGCATCGTCCTATTCGCCCCTAAGGGCCTCATTGTCATCCCTCAATTGTTTCTAGTGAGGCATTTACTGCATCCCATCATTATGTCTGGAGTCCTCGAGGCTCTCGGCATGCAGTTGGGATGCCAAGCGCTCTGGCCTCTCCTCGAGAAGCTGTTCAAGCTTATCAGGCGAATGACGAAAGCTTTTCCCGAAGCAAAAGAGTTTTGGAAAATATTCAAGAGGCAGTACAAAACTCTCAAAGCAACTGCAGCGAGCATTGTTAGTCGATATGATATCAAGAACACCAATCGTACCTGGCTGAGGTCTATTAACCATATTGCTGCCGAAGCTAAAAGCATGTTTTGGGCCCTCATTAAAAAGATCGAGACTGTGTTGAGCAAGGATTATATATGGCGAACAAGATGGGCAATTGTCTATTCGGGCTGCAAGAAGGCTTCCTTGAAAATGGCACAGCTGAATGATGAGCTGTTACGTATCGAGACTGTTGTTCGTTTGTAGGTTCCCCAGTTCGCGGAGATGAGCAGCTTTACTGACGTTATCAGAGAGTACGAGGATGCACAACAGAAGAAAGCTGAGAAGGCTGAGAAGATTGAGCAGGAGAGACGCCGGAAGGCCATGAAAACTGGGACAATTGTTGGAGGCGGGGTAGGCTTCGTTGTTGGAGCGGGAGGTACTGCATTGTTTATTGAAGCAACTCTTAAAGGAGCTGCCATCGGTGGCATTGTAGGAGCTGTTGTGGGAGCGGGCATCGGTTTGGCGATCAGTTGGTTTGGTTTTGATGTGCCGGAGCAGCTCCCGACGTTATGACGGCCTCGCCAAGGGCACAATGTTTGTGATTATTACTATCAAATATTGTTCTAATGTTGTGTTTCTTATACGGTTTCGTATGGAATTAGTAGTAGATAGACCTATCCTTGTTAGAAATATCCACGATTAAACGATCTATCTCCTTTCTATACAGTGTGCTAAAAGTTCGATGAAGCATCAGATTTTGCATCAAGACGATAAGTGAGAATAAGAGAATATCACAGATTAGGCACGTGAGGGATATGTGTGTATTGATTAATTGACTATTCTTAAGCTATTCTAGCTGAAAAGTTGTGCAGAAAACCATTATAACATGCTTAGGAAACCTCTCAGGACAAACCCTAAGACCAATCTGTCACCCTTCCTTCTATTTGTCAGGGCGCTGCCTGTGTTCCGAAGTCTAGTGTCTGGCGTAAGGCCGTCCTAGCAGTTCCCTCGTGTCACCTCGTATGCCCTACTCCCCGTATAGGAGTAGCCCGGCCAGGTCAAATTGGCGGAGTCGTCTGGTGCCGATTACCACCCAGCTATCCCCCTCAGTCCCACCATTTTCGGTGAGGATCTGGCGGAGACGAAGCAGCGGCATTTGAGGCAGTCCCGGATAGGCCGCAGTATAGTTTCCTGAAGCTATCATGAAGGCAAGATTGTTTCGGTCTTAGGATGGGGCGGTCCAGCGTAGATTGTCGTCCTTCGAGGCGCTGGATTAAGAGCTGCGAAGAGGGGATGCGGATGCGTAGGGTACATATTTGAGCATGAACGATGGGCAGTGCCATGGTGACCGACAAATTGAGGAGGCCCTCCTGAAAAGCGGGAAGGGGCGGGGCGGGGCAAGGGCCACTGGGAAGACGCTCCCGGGAGAAAATTTTATAGAAAAACGCTCCCACGTTAATATAACGTCGAGGAGAAATATTCTGGGAGAGCAGTTCTAGAAGAATACTCCGGGGAGAAAATTCCTAGCAGAAGGTTCCCATGTCAATATGGCGGTGAGGAGAATGCTCTCGGAAAATCATAGCTCCTAGATCATTATAGCGGCTAGGACAGAATGTCTAGGAGGGGAAGGCTCCCAGAAGAACACTCCTATAAGTTCATAGCTCCTGAGTCACTATACCGGCTCAGAGGAGCCGTTTTAACGTGTCATGAATTAAATTCATACTGCAGACCGGGCTCTTATGTCAGTTGGATATCACATGATCCTGTTCATATAATCTCCCCCTTTGTTCTCTAGCTATCCTATTATGGTTAGGCTCTCCTGTAAGCTATATTATCTTCCTGCTCATGCCTCACTTCTTGTACTTTAGACAGCTGAATCTCAATCGACGTTACCCTAAATATCTTCTACACTACTTACAAAACGCTTTTGTACACCGCATCTAACATCTAAGCTCTGCTACGTCAAATGCCTATCTATATAGGATAGACAATCGAGGATAAATAAAATGAATATGTCGATTGAGCACTAGTAGGGGTTTGATAATTCCTTAAAATAAGAACTCCCTATCTAGTCCGTGCTGTCCTAATCTCGTAGGAGAATGCGTTTATTCGAGGAACGAAAGTTAAGCAGAGAAGAGGAGGGGAAGAGAGGCGATGAGTCTCGTATTTATACAGGGTGCTCGTCACATGTAGCGTTTCCTGAGCCAGTCCCAGGAAGGCTTAGGGGGGCTTGTAAGGTAAAACTCAAATAACGACGTAAAATCGTCACAAAAAGTTAATTTTAGATCGATTAGGCAGGATAAATTTTTAGGACCCTTAACTAGGGGAAGAGGGGCCTTTTCGGGCCCCTTATTAAAAGTTGATATTTCCAGTAAGCGTATAAGTAGGGTAAGCGAGCGTGAGCAAACCTGAGCCGAAGCTGAGCCTGCCCTGAATCGAGCCTGAGCAAAGGCGGCGCTGCTCACGTGAGGCATAGGGTTGGGAAAAGCAAACATTCCGGTGGGGGAACAGTCCATACGTTCGGCTTTTGCGACTTGTGGTGCCGGGAGTTCGTGTGGGTTCTTGGAATATGAAAGCTATTTGGGACAACTGTCGTTGGACGAGTGTTGAGTTAAGTTGTGAATGTAGTGGAAGCTCAGATGTTGGTAATGGAGATGAGTTGACAATTTTCTAAAAGACTACTTGGCGACTAGGCAAGACAAGATGAGACGAAAGGACGTGATATAATTGACAGTAAGAGAAGATTGATGGTGAGAGTAACGTTGATAGTGAGAGAAAGGTTGGTAGCAACAGAAAGGTTGGTAGTGAGAGACTGTTGACAGCAAGAGAGAAGGTTGATAGCTTGTCAGTGGGGAGTCCGTTGAGTCACTTGCGTTGACTCTGGTGAGGGGAGAGAATGCGACGAACTTGTTCCGGTCAGGAACATGGTCTAAAAGAGCTTGCTACGGTAAGTTCTAGAGCCTGGTGGAGCCAGCTGCGGTAGACGAGTCTTTTATAATATATTTTAAGAGTTGCAAAATAACAAGCAACTGAGGCAAAGAGGATAGGAAGTCGCGATAGGATTTACGCTCAGTTCAGGACTTGATGACTCCTTAATCGCTCTCCTTGAGCGGCGACTTTGAAAGCATATAATGTATCCTGGATATTTTTTGGTTTGATCCACAAATCCTTTTTTCGGCTCACGCACTCTACAGCTAAGGCGGCCACTTGTCCCGACTTGCCATAGGTATTATGGTACATGGATGCCGTACATTTGGTTGCCGAAGGTGATTGTTCTGTGAATTTGATGATTGCTGTCAAGCTTCTTTGTTGCTGTCAACATCATTGGTTGCTATTGATTTGATCTAAGAAAGAATGTTGCATTTCTCATGAAGATCTCAAGATGAAAAAATGTGAAGACTTAATATATAACCTGAAAGTGGAAGAGGACTTAAGCTCCACTCAATTGTCCCAACTCTCCGCAGATATTATTGCATCTATATGCTGCCAGTTCACATCCCACATTCTTGCAATCAAAAGTTGTATACTAGTTAAAAAATACGTTGCTGTCATTCCTCGCAATGTTGTCAACATCTCTGGACAGCGGCAGTATTGTAGTGCTGCCGATTACTTGTGACTTATAATTTTGTTCAACGAGACTTGAAGAGTAACTACCTGTCTTGTAGCCTCCCAGACCTAAGCTGGGTCGGAGCTGGAGCCGGACCCGCACGCATCTACTGCACTCATGAGATGTCATCTCTGTAGTTGTAATGAAGCTCGGATGAAGAGAATTTGTTTTCTCCCCTGTGTTCCGTTTTATGTTCGCTAGCGTATAACAGGATCAGTGCCAGCTGAAACATCGAAAGGGATTGCGATGCAGTGAATACCTAATGCAGCAGGTTTCTTGGGTGAATGATTTTAGGAATTCTGTGAATAGACTTAAGTCACCACTCCTACATCTAAGGCACACGACATGGGCAAATATGGAACTACACATTGTTATAAATTTCAAGAACTGCTATCGACATCTTGGATTCATTGGACAGACTGGTGTTGTATGTTCACAACTTCAAATCACTTATACTGTTGTCAAAGCTGGCCCAGCTTTTGAAAGGAGGTGTTTCTTCTTGAACCCCAACAAGCTCATCTTTACTTATTTGATCTTTGTAAGTCAACTCAAGCTTACAACATTACTGCTGGTTTCTTTGGAATGTACCCAACTTGAGCACACATCCACAACTAGCACTTTGACCCTACATGGCAATCGTACAGTACGTACTTGTCGATTTCTATGAATATATAAACTGGTTCAAAGGCCTTTGAACTCAAAAGGCTTTGATTAAAAACCACAAAAAAAAAAAACACTAAAGAAGTGAAAAAGGATAGAGACAGAGTGGAACAGAACCAGAGCCAGTCTTTGGCTCAGGACTTCAGATGGGCCGAGGTATCTCCAAGAGTATGGACGTCTTCAGAAAACGCAAAGTCTAGTGAAAGATGCATGGAATAGGTGATTCTAATTCCAAGACAAAAGGACATCTCAAAGGGAGAAGAATTTAGGAAAGATATGTCATTGTGCTAGTGCAACTATGCAGAACATATATTTCGTAGAAATGATCAACCTAGAGGATATAACTAACGTCTGTCCCTACGTAGCGAGACGCACGGTGTCCCGAGACGAATATTACGCAATCACATCTCATACTCTGTTGTATTAATTTACCGTGCTATTTGTGATGTTTTATGATTCTCTAGCATTTTTTCTACAAGATCCTCACACAATAACTAAAACCTAAACGTTTGGGTCGTCGCCGTCGTCGGTTTGCTTATTATAAAGTTTGATACCCGAGATTCAACCCCCTGCTACACCGTGGACATCGCCAGTTATTCAAATTTCGGAAGCCTAATGCTGTAGCTCAATATCAGATGAGAACCGCACTAGGCATTCAAAACAATAAGTCTTGTGTAGCTGGCATAAAAAAGTATCGCCGAGTAGGGAAGGGTGGCATTAAATGCGCGTCAAATACGCACTCCTATAGCGGCGTTTGCGCTATACCATATTTGACCTAGCACAATTCATACCAAGCAAGCTCGGTATTGCATCTGCCTTAACATAATCACGAGATACTCTATAAGCTGACGACGGTGGGGCTGTGTTCGATTCTGAACTAGAGGTTAAACGAGACGTCTGGTCTGTTCTCTAGTTATATCAAAAAATGCAAATTAATACTAAAGTCGTGAGAAAGAAGCCTTTGCCCTTATGGCTTATTTAATATTCAGCCGCTTTCCTAGCTTGCGGAATTTCTGCTTAAAGACCTCGACTTTGCTGCTCCGTAAACTCATGTTGGCCTACTTTCAACTCAGCATACGCAACTTGCAACGCTTGAAGCCGATCTTCAAGTTGCCTACACCATTTCGAGGAAGGCCCTTGGACGATTGTGTATCCAAACAATGCCCGAGTGTACATCCCCTTCGCCATGTCTCTTCGACCTGTCTGTGAGAGGAGATCGCCAAAAGCAAACATAGTGATCAACGCTGGTAAATATGAGGGCAGAAGTTCAGGACCAAGAGCGTGCTCGTAGCCTTGTAGCGCCCGAGTGTACATCGCCTCCGCTTCTGCCAGCTTGCCTTGGTCGCGGTAGAGGTTGCCTAGG